CCCTAACCCTAACCCTAACCCTAACCCTAACCCTAACCCTAACCCTAACCCTAACCCTAACCCTAACCCTAACCCTAACCCTAACCCTAACCCTAAGAGAAATAACAATAGCTAGAAAAGCGAGAAAAGTACGGGAAAGGTAACGGTTTAACTATAGGAGAAGTAAAAGGTCGCCGAAGTACCGGTATATATTACGGGCCGAGAATATTAATTATTACGATAGTATAGTATATTAGGTATAGTTACTTAACTAAAATCTAGCCTTCTAACTAAAAGAAAGGTAATAATTAAGATATCTAGTTAGAGCCGAAAGATAAAGAACTAAGATAGCTATTAGAAGAGAACTACCGAAGAGATACCGATACATATATACGCTTAATTAGGAGGATATAAGTATCTCGCCTTACTCCTCGACTAATCCTCTCTCTCTCTTACAACTTAATAACTTATTCCTCTCTTTCTACGTCTATATAAGACCTTCTAGATCTCTTTTGTCTTAATCGAAAAGCCTTTTTCTACCTATTTAGCTACGATAAGCTTAACTTCTTCTTCTCTAACTTCTTCGCCTTTACGACTTTAGAATTACTATTTCCACCGCCTTCTCATTCCGTTCTCTTTTTCCTATTACGTATCCGTAATTACACTTAGTCTTTTAGAGGTTATCGACACTCTTTTACTACAATACTTAATAATTAACGTACGCTCGCTCCGAGACCGCCTATAGTTCGCCTATATCCTTCTTCGTTAACTTCTACGATACGATCTACTAAGTACGTGATTTCTAATACGGACACTCTCGACAATATACCTATCCTCCTTATTAAACCCCCTTAAGAAGTATACGAGGTCTCTCTTATAGATACTATTATAGAAACTAACTAGGATAATTCGTTACGTATTTAAGAATTCTTTACTTAAGTTAAATTGAAGTATAACTAGGTAGATAATTAGCGCGACTACCTTACCTAATAGGTCTACGACTTAATAAAGTACATTCTAAAAGCGATAGAGAAATTCTTCAAGTACTCTACTCTTATATAAGGAAGAAGGAACTTTAAAGATAAGCGTAATCGCCGGGTAGAGTCACGTAATAAGCTCCTATCTAAGTTCGCTAGGGTCGCCGATATAAAAAAGTTTAGAGAAAGATACGATATAGTATAAGTCCCGGTCTCTCGAGGATACTAGATAAAGTTTCTAGAGTAGATATCCGTGGAATTCTTCGATAAATTGATTATTCCCTATAGTGACGACGCTATAAGTCTTCTAGACGTCTATTAACGGTTAAGAGTATACCCTTATTAGTTCACTATTACGCCTCTTAAGATTCTATAAATCGCTTCGCATAAAATAATCTACTATCTCGTAAGAATTTGTATAGCTTAACGCTATCGCGCGGAACTCTATCTCATTAAGGGCGATCTTAAATATCTAATAGATAGTACGGCGTCGATTAAGGAGGAAGATTAAGTAAAAGAATAAGAACTCGATACCTAGGACGAGATAATCGCGAGATACGGCTTTAAGGAATCGTATAGTCTCTTCTAGACGGGTCCGCTATCTATAAACTATAAGAATCTGATCGCTACTAAAGGTAGGTCTAGGCCCGTTATACTACTCTCCGCGCTCTTAAAGATTCTAGCTTCTCAACCTCCTCTATAGATATCGGATACTCTACGTTAAACACGTTCGTAGACTGGTTACCTTTCTCCGCCTTAATAGAACCTCGCCGGTCTAGCTAGACTTTCCACTCCTATATATACTCGCTAGTCGACGCGTAACACTAACCGATCCCGAGTTCCTAAGCCTACCTCGACTTCTAGTTCTTCTAGTCTAGTTCTCGTACCCGTTCTATTATAGTCTTAGTAAGGTACGTTCCCTATTAGGCCCGCTTCGATAGGCGTCAATCGAGAAGTTATTGTCTAACTTGGAAAACCTAAAGAGCCTCGCTTACCTATTAGTAATACTATATAGGTCGAGTAGATAAAAAATAAACCTATCGATCTCTCTATTTTTACGAAACGTCCGCGACTAAAGACGACTACTCTAGGGCCTAAGACTCCTCTATTATCCGTGAAGAAATTGAAGATTTTAGAGCTCTTTTACGGTATCGAGGTCGGCTAGATATATACTAATTAGAGTATACGAATTGTAAGCCCTTTAGGCGCCGCTCCTCCTCTACGATCTCTTAGATATAATATACCCGAAAGTCTATAGAATCTAATCCCAAATCCGGGTACTTCGGTCTAATTTATATAGAATATAATCTAGAAGTATATCAAATAGACTAACTATAGGTAGGATAGTCCTTTAGTCTAGAAAGAGGATATTATACGGTATTATAAATACGGAGCTGAAAAGATAGTCGACGCCTTAACGCTCCTTACTAGGTATATACTAGGACGCTTCCCGACCGTATATCTCTATATAGTTGAGAAGGGGATTTCCTTATACCTTTAGGGCCTAGAACGAATCGCCGCGCCGTATAAAGACCTAATAAAAAACGTTTAGTATCTAATCGAGTAGTGGGAAAAGAAATTCGGTAAGGTAGTCTATTCGATTCTCCCTAGCCACTCTGATTATCGAGGCCTTAATATTTCCAGCGATAACCTTCGAATAGCTTTATTAGAGCCTTAATATAACGGATAGCTTAATAGAAGTATTATTAACGCTAGGATCGCGGCTAGGCTACCTCGCGAGACTTATATCGGATATAAGTTTATCTTAAGTAAGAACTTTATCTTTTAGATTCGCTTATATCTAAAGGCTTAGTAAATAGTCCCTTTCGCGAAGTAGAGGGACCCCGATGATTATACGAGGCGAATCATTATCTTTAATAACGACTTTTAGGGGAACGGACGATATTAGTTAATCTTTATAGCCAACACTACTACCTAGTCCTTCTCGGTTATTAATTCGATATAGGGACTATCCGAGAACGCTATATAAGCGAAAGGCTTCCTCGAGGCGTAGCTTAAAGAGCGTATCTTTAGTATCCCTCCTCAAGAACTTATTTTAAAATCCAATATCTAATAAGATAAGATTAATTATAGTCTTTAGATTATCAAGAATATACTAACTATTATCCGCGCGGACACTTACGAATAACGACGGCTTTAGTAGGCGCTTAGTACCGTCTAAGTCGATATTAAGGATCGCCTCGAGATCGTTCTTTAGGTTTACTAAATAGTTATAAGGGAGCCGAGGATAAGCGGCGAGAGAAGGGTTATGAATCTAATAGATAAGGTAGGGCTCGACGCGAGATAAGTAAAGAATTTCACGAAGCGCCTAGAGGATATTAAGAAGAACTAGATATGGAGGGGTAGTCTTAAGCGAGGACGTTAAGGAAGCGAGCGACAATAGGAGGGATATATTAGGGAGAGGCGTAATCGGAGCTAGGGTTTCGCTAAGGCTAGGTCTTAGGCTATATATATATACAGAATAGGTTCAGGCGCTGTGATTGGCTAGCGCGCGCTGGGCTGGAATACTTCTTCTTCTTGTCAGTGCTAGTAAGATAGTTAACTTAGTAAGCAATCAATCACTCAATCAATTAGTTGTACAGATATCTACTTGTTCGGCTGTGTTATTGTTGTTGTTGGTGGTTGTGTTGTGTATATATAGCTCCCCCTACCCACGTATGAGTTGGCTCCCCATGGCCTTGAAGCCTCTCCCCAGTTCACTACTATATTACTAAATAAACTACCTTAGGTTTACTCATTGATACCTTATGTATTAGAAAGTCACTCATAATATGGATAAAGAATACCTATCCTAAAAGACTTGGAAAAAACTATATATAAGTATCTCCGGTTTTGTTCCTCTGGATCCCTCCTATTCTAACCTCAGAAGCAAATGATCAAAACTCAAACCGCGTTTCCTATCTAAAGCCACAACAGTTAAGATCTAGCCTATAGAATCAAGTCTTCGCTCCTGGTTGTCCCACCGCCTCCATGTGCCTCACCAGCGGTTCGCTCTAACTCAGAAGACTCACACCTTTACGTATTGAGAAGTCTAAACGCTACTTTCAATGGTGCGCCTTTTCGCCTATCGAAATTGTCGTTACAATCCTTAAGGATTGGCCCACTTTCGCCAAAAACGTCGGCTTTCTCAATGCTCTCTTGCTAAGCGTTGAGGACATTGTCAGCTTGTCTATCTCTTTCTTTTGCTGTCATGAGTGGAATTGCACTCTCCTCAGCGGTTGCATCACCTCTGGCTCCATTGTAATGCCCGAGGTCTCCATTTTTTAGGCGACTCGGTCCCAAAGTCAAACCGTGAAATCCAAGTCTCGGAGAGAACGAGCCTGAAGCTTGTGTCCTCGACCACAATAAAGTGCCGGCCACACCACCATACACTGCTATAATCAAGACTACATACCAGAACACAATGGTGAGCGACTTATTCGCGAACCTGAAACCAAGGAACCCGTTCACACATCCAAATACTATGGAGACGGGACCAAGGAAGATGTGAAGTCGACTGAGTCGGCTTGACTGCCTGGTTCTGGGGTATATGAAAAGATGGTGAATGAAGCCGATAATTAGCTGAGCGAGAATCGCAACAGCAATGGAAAGGCCGAGCAGCTGGTGTGTAGACTTGAAGTTTGTCTACGCAAGAGAGAGATGTCAGCTACTAGTGTCTGAAGATATATTCTTTTAGAGTCAAGGGACGGAACAGCAGGAGCACTCACCATGAAGTTTCCACTGTAGGACATTCGAATACCTAGTCCTGTGGACCCAAGGACCAAAATAGTTGCAGTGGTATTCGTCAGAGCGTGAAGTCTCACATTCTCCAGAAGTCGAAGCCAGACAATGCCCAGGGGATATAGAGCAGCAAAAGCAGTCAGCATCAGCAAGCCATGTGCAGGGCCGGAAGAGTACGACGGAAGTCGGTGATTCTTTTCAACCTTGGGCTCGTCCGATTTGGATGGTAAATCATTTGCTGCTGCTTTGGGAGGATGAGGTGCTCCAGCGATGCCAGTCGCAGCAACAAGGTCCAACTCGAAAGCACCGAACGTCGTATGTATGGATATCGGCTCTTCCATATCGTCGCTATACACCGGATGACCACTACTCCTGGCAGCTATGATCATCGGCTGCCGGTTCGCCTTGATGTCAATTGAGTTGCCAACCCAAGACCGACAGTTCGCACACTTCCAATCGGCGGTTATCACACCCCCTTGCACGCCACTGCCATCCAGAACGTGAACAGTGACGTTTTCGACCGGCTCACGCTCCGGCTCTACGTGACTTGTTGCAAGACGGGGACTGACAGTCATGGTCAATCCTTTGCTGTCCTGGTATGCAACGAATGTCAATGCGGAGTCCCGCATTGAACTGCCGATCCCTATGGCCATCCAGTCCTGGATATTTGATGCTTCAAGGTGGAAGTACAAGTCAGCATCTTCAGTGGGCTCGGAAGGCACGTTGACAGCAACGGTGATGACAGCGGAAGTGCGGTCATCATAGTGCCTATATGCCGAATAAGGCACACCATTCTTCGAGATACCAGAGAATTCGTGTTCTCTCGACGACGGCTGGCACCTTGATCCTGCCAACAGAACTATCACAAGGGTTCCACGGTTAGCTTTCCAGAAACTCCCGATGGGAACGAATGGAGGGAGTGGACGAACTTGTAGTGATGGCGAGATAAAGCTCCAGTTTCTGGACAATCGTAACAGCCATCTCGCTATCTCTCAAGACAAAGTCGGCTTATTGAACAAATACTTCTCTCGCTGAACCTTGAAGACGAGGATTCATGAAGAAGAAGAAGAACAAGAGAAACGAGAAGGAGAAGAGATATGTAGAGTTGAGACCTGGGCTAATAAGCCGCTTATACTGACCATTCCTTATGTCTAAGAAACGTGCCGAGATTCTATGGAGAAGCGAAGATCTCGACGCCGCACCACTGCCTAAATTCTCTCTTTATGCAACAACGTAGCATTTGGATTTAATTCAAAGTCGAAGGAAGAGATTGACCTGGATTGAGATACAGCCGGAGTCTGTCCGGATGACCGACGGTGAGAAATACTAAGTTCTGATGTGGGCCTGCACCTGCATCCCCTTTACCCCTCTTCCACCTGTGCACTATTCCATCGTCAAGGCCACTAGATTACGGCTCGCTTGGTATTCATTCTATGTCTTTGTGGGAACATCTATCTCCGCCCCGAAGCTGGGTTACTATCCACCCACTCGGTCAGGGTCTCAAAGTTCCTGCAGGTGTGTTTTGTGCCCCAACCGCTCGCTAGAATGGCGCTGTGGTCGCCAGTATCGGTAAACAGCGGTTCCAGCGTGGGATCCGCGTAACACTCGAGTGCATGGCGGATGATCTCTATGCAGTGGGAGAAATGTTTCCCGATCGTGTAACTCTCCTCGTCCGGACCGTCCTCCATTCCAGGATACCTATTGTCAAGTGTCCGGTTGCCTTCATTCAGCACCGTATTCCAGGCATACCGAATGACTCCTCTGGATGTAAAAAACTGATCAGTCTGGGGGGTATCGAATATTCAGGATGTCAAAAATGACTCACAGGCAATGGAGCTGATGGAAACCGGCAACCGAGTACAATTCGCGATTTGGGTGACCTTTGTCCACGGCTGATGGTGAAAGGCCATAAGAGCGAGGGTTTTCGACGAAAACGAAGCCTGTCGTGTGTGATGAGCCGAAGTACTCAATACATCCCCGGAACGAGTCTACTTACGCGACCTGTACTTGTACCATGCCTTCTCCGCCGGCTGATCTTCTCTAAAAGGATCGAAGAGCAGATCCGGGTTGAACACCTTTTCGATTGTGTTTGTGGTCACATCTGGACCTCTCGTCAGTGCCTGGAGACTCCAATTGTTTGATAGAAGGCCATAAAGTCGTACCATCGGGGACACCTGGAAACTGCAATGGCTGTAGGCTAGGGACTTGAGTTTCACCCGTCGAGACAACTTTCAATGTCAGGCAAGTGCCTGATATTCCGATGAAGAGTCCGAGCAGGAGCACTATCAGCACTTCGAAAATGTTCGCGCCGCGTCTTTCGCCCATCAACAGCCTGCGTGATTTGTTGTTAGTCTTCGGCCACAACAGCAGGACAGCCTTGGTGTCAAACCCAGTCGATGAAGTCGGGGATTCAATCTCAACGTCCTTGGACAACTCAGAATCGTAGCCTCCAACAGGAACGTAGGCCTGAGACGACTTCTTGAGTCCAAAGGATTGCTGAAATGACCACATGGTGAATACAGCTTTCAGGTCACAGTGTCCAGAATCAAACAGGACAGCAGAGGAATAACGTCTGAGGTTGAAGGTCTGTCCTTAGAGGAGGGAGAAGGAATTGTCCTGGAGCAGATTCGAAGCTGGAGGTACCTTTGGTGAGTGGCACCTATCAAGGCGAGTTTTCCGATGGTCATCATGCTCCTGGCACAGTTGTTTTTCTCACCGCTTTCGAGTACACGATGCTGTATCTCTTTGGGAAGTGGAGAAAGGCTTCCATCGCTTACATTGAAGTCCAGGCCGCTGTCTCACGAGCAGGGGCTCTGCTGAATGAAGCTGAGAAGCTCATTACAACGAGCTGATACCTGGACCAATAACCGAATGGGGAAACTCCGTGGGTGATAGTAGGTGAGAAGCACAAAAGTCCTGAGAAGAGGACCTTCGCCTAAACACCTTTCAGGGCAAACAATTATGTCGATCACCAACTACTGCCCAACTGTAGGACTGCCACCATCGTCTTGTGGATAAGTATCGCAGAAATGGGTCGGTCAATAAAAGCAGTAAGCCTTCCTTCGTCTCGTGTCGGTCCTCACCTTATAGAGTAAAAGGGCTGTGGGAATATAACCGATCGGACCCCACTCGCCATCTGTGGAGAACCCGTGCAGAATCCAGCCGGTCGGTGTATGGAAATGGACACATTTTCCCTCTTCACACACAGTGCCAGATCCCGGCAAAGGATCAGTCATCGTGTCATTGGCATCTTACGACTTGCACTCCTCGCATGATTTGGAAGCTAGATTTTGGCCTTGTCAGCCGCGAGGCATATGTGCATTATGCATACTGCCGGGCCTTGCAGTAGACTACTACGACTAGCGCCCTACTGTATGTCTTACCCACAAAAGCCTCGATCCTTGCGGGGTAAAGAATACTCAAAGACGAAGGCCAAGTGGACCAGGATGCTGCGATCATGCAGAAGGATCTTGGATATGTATGTGGCGTGGCGCCTTTGACAAGATGAGATGTCCAATCTGGATCGCGGCTTTCCGATACATATTGAGTATCATGTCTCCACACTGTCCTGGTTCGTATTCAGTCTTCACAGACCACAACCTCACCGCATCAAAGAATACAGCACATGGTACCAAGTGATACATACGAATCCTTTCCATTTCCCTCTGCGGATGCTGGAATTCCACCTCGAGTCGAGGCTGTCTTCATGCAGGTCGTTCATGCAGCTTAGGATCCTCGAATTCGTGCTCACGGGCACTTTACGTGAAATCAGACCGGGTCCACTCTATGGTTCTGTGGGGCCTGGGAATTGAATATTCGCCCTTTCTTCGACTTCGCGTTCTTCGTTGCGGCAGGTTTTAGAATCGAAAAAACACAGGCGTCTAACTGTTCTGTCAGCTCAAACGAGTATGCGCATGTGCTGCTGCTACTGGTTGGCTGGCGGCCAGAAGGCCACTTACTCTACAGATGACGTGGTCGCAGGTCGATAGACATGGATTGTGAGTTTATTGACTCACAGTTCACGTGGGCAGACTGCAGGTATCGAGGAACTGCGTATGACTGCGGGCACAAAAGTTCTGGGACGATGGTACATGGAAGAAAGGGAGGGAAGCTGTGCCCAATTCTGAAGTCGTAATGCTCGCAATCTGCCTCTGCAGCATGCCGCCGGCAACAGCTGAAGCACTACCTAGTAGGAGCCTGGGAGGCCTCGCGGACCACTGACCCTGGACTTCAAGTAGAAAAGGATCCTGGCTACGGCTAGGTCTGATTTCTAAAGACTCGGAAGGAGATAGATAGAGAGATTCAAGAAGGAAATTTATAGTTCATCATTGAGGATTTTCTAGCCTTGGCAGCGATCACTGACCGCTCCACAAATTCTTCTCTTCTCTCCAGCTCCTAAACAAAAGTTCCATTGACCATTTCTTCATCACATGAGAGAGGATCTCAAGCGATTCGGTCACAATCACACAATGCGTCGGAAGCAAATCTACGGACAATCCGCCCCGCACGAGTGTTCCTTACTCCACGCGTGCAACAGGTCCAGGTTGCGGCACGTGTGCAGGTTGGTGAAGGAGTTGTAGACGCGCTGGTTGGCGTCGCTCCAGAACAGCGTTGCGGGCGTCATGTCGGCACTGCACATGATCGACTGGCGCAGGTAGTCGAGGCAGTGGTCGATGTGCATGCGCCGGACGTTCGGCGGTTCGCGGTGCGTGCTGAAGTCGTAGTACCAGTTATCGAGCTCCTTGCGGACTTCGTTCTGTGGGGGTCTCATATTAACACCCTTGTGGGACAATTCCGAAGACTGGATGGACAGTGAGGGTGTTTTAACTTACCACGCAATGCAACGTGTGGAATACATCCAGCGCGGATCGATACGCACCGCTCTCGGGCATCTGGTAGGTCTTCCCAACCAGCTGAGCCGCATCCTCGCCGTACAGTCCGACTTCCGGCGCGTACAGCAGATCCGCCCAGTTCCTGTCGATGTCGGGACTTGGCTCGCCGACATACTGTGGCTCGTTGGGGTCGACTGGGCGGTACAACGTGCCGTTTTCGGTCACCAGAAGACCTCCAGTGAACCGCACCTGCTTGAGTTCGATGGAACCGAAAGCCGAGTCCGTTGGTTTCTTAGTGAAAGGTTGATGGTCAAAAGAGCAGAAAGGGACGTACGCATGTCCGTTTCAAAGCCAGTTTCATAGCTTCCATATCTACCTTTCGAGCTTTGCTTCCGGATCTGCAGAGACAGGTACACGGTTGTGGCAAGTAAGGCCAAAGTCGAGAAAGTCCACGCCCACCAGAGGATAACTCCCAGAGTTGTTCGACGAGGCGCCGTGGAACGCAGCTCGGCGCCCTTCTCGGATGAGAGGAACGCCTCACTTTCTGCCTTCTCGGAATCGGTGTCGCTCATCGAGTCTCTATATCGTGAGCTGTCGCTCTGAACGGGTGATTTGGCACTATTGGGCCACAGGGTCTTAGTGAAGTTGAACATGGCTGGATGATTGAAGAAAGGCTGTCTTCGCCCGGGAGAGAAAGGTCAAGAAAGTGAGGGAAGTACAGCAGTCACTGGAGACCAGTATATCGTGAACCCTCGACATAGGACCGAAGTTAAGACTGGTTCGGCCCTAGCCTTTCGGGGACGTCTGTGGGGACATGACTGTATCGGGGTATGGAGATGGCGGAAGATGCCCGGTTTGCATGGGTCCCACTAAACCTTGTCCACAGCTGCAGAACAACAGGCAATCCAGTCTCGGCCTTTGTGAGGCCAACGAATATAAGCTGACATGCATCTGCGTTGACGAAAAGGGTATCAATGAATTTTGAGGGAATGATAGATCCTGGTTAAACGTGCACGGTGGTGCGCTGACACATGAGCTGTAAGTGGATGATGCCATTATCATGTGGATCTATCGCCTGAAGGGTAGGCTGCCGGCAGTTGGACCCCTGGATAATAGGGATGCGTTCCCGAAGGTTTCTTCCAATGCCACACTTGGTATCGGATCGTCTTTGGATCCTAGCTCGAAGCGCTTTGAGCATCCCTACAGGCTTCCTTCTTCGGGCGTCCAGGTATGTCGGCAGCTTGATCTATCATCAGGTAGTTGACCCACAGCCGAGAGCAAGAAGACGCGCAGATTATCCCGAAGATCATAACCCCAATTGCATTCTCGTTGTCGACTAACACCTGCGGAACCGGGTCATCACCTGGATTAGGAAGTCCTTAGGGCTGCGCAAACGTACTTCTGATAGTTCCAAGGTCGTCTAGCTCGACAATGTTCGTGGTAGGTCGTGAAGACAGGCATCCGTACAGATGTCTAGACAGTCAGTGAGGTCCAAACGAGCCAATCCTCCACACTAAGATAACTAGTGCTGAGGAAGACCTCCACGGTGGATATAGACAACTCGGCTCGTTCGCCAGAACTAGTCTTTAGTATCCCTCGGGCATATTCAAAGGTCCCTAGTTGCAAGTCTTGTCCACTGCCTCCAGAAGTAAGACGATACTCTCGAAGTCGCATAGGTATAGCTTATCTCCATCTGACTGCATCGAAAAGACGGTGAAGAGGTAACCTTGTCGTCGCTAGAACACCCAGCGAGAAGTGGACTACGCCAGGCAGAATGAAACCAAGGATTCAAAGTGCATGATAAGAGCCCACAACGGAGACTAAAGGTGTTGAGAGAATGCTGACCAGAAGCGGCGATACTTTCCACGGTCGGAGCTGCTCGAGTAATAGAGAAATCTTCTCTAGAAAATCCCTCGGCTAGGATGGCGATGGTGTGAGACAGTAGCGAGCGTCTGCGAAAGAATACGGCAGATTGCCGCTGTGGTAGGAGAGCCATATAACGTTCCAGATGGCCATGGTCCAGACAGATCCCCTCCCATCCTCGAACAGTTGGAACGGACAGCCGGAGTCACCAGCTCGAGTCCTGTATACTTGCCAGTGTCGATTCACCTTTCAAGATGAAGCTCAGCTCCATTCTCTTTGGCCTATGCTCGGCCGTCGCAGTGTCCGGTCTGGCTATCCCGGCCCAGCTATCTGAACGTAGTCCAAAGTGAGTGATTAAGCCTTCCATTTGCATTTTGTGGAGCTTACCGTGGCCAGCAAATTCATCGCAATCGGCTACGCCTTGGCAGAAGGAGGCAGTGAGGTCGAGAAGCGTGACGGCCTCGTGACCAGGGGGCTTAACATCGAGGAGCGAGAACCGAAGTGAGTGATCGTGCTGATGGCAGTGGACATGAACGGCTAAACGATGTCGTAGCAAATTCATCGCCATCGGATACGCTTTGGCCGAAGATGGAAGTGTCGAAAAGCGTGAATTCCCGGTGCAAGTTGTCAAGCGTGGTCCCAAGTGAGTTTTCGAGAGATTTTCGGAGCTCCAAAAGCTGATTGTAGTAGCAAGTTCGTCGCCATCGGCTATGCACTAGCCGAGGATGGGGGCTCTGAGAAGCGTGAGGCTTCAGTAGAAGTTGAAAAACGCGATCCTAAGTGAGTCTTCAATTCAAAACCTTGGAATTTGACAGCTGATTTGCACCAGCAAGTTCATCGCTATCGGCTATGCACTAGCCGAGGGTGGAAGCACTGAAAAGCGTGAAGCTTTACCGGAAATTGAAAGCCGCGACCCCAAGTGAGTTTTTGACCCAGAACTCGAGGTTTCGGCGAGCTGATTTACGACAGTAAATTCATTGCCATCGGCTATGCATTGGCCGGGGATGGAGGCCCTGAGAAACGGGATCCAGCTTCGGCCTGACTACATGGCTCCGGAGAATGGACAGGTACTGACGACGAATGTGTCGCTCACCCAGGCTGTAAGCCAAGTACTGGTTGAAAGGCGGTGATTTGGGTTATTTCCGGCCGTAACACAAGCCCAAATATATTAGATTATTTCGGGGCATGGTCGTGGTGTCGCGAAACGTTAGAAGAAGTAAAGTAGCAGGTCTTGATCTTGTGGGAGATAATCCAACATCTGAGGTCTTGCTAAGAGGCCACTATCCAGTGATGTCGACCTTGTCATGCGTGAAGAGTGAATGTCAGTGCATAAGGCTCGGCGTATTCGTATGAAGAAGCTGGAGTGATACGGTGCAAAGTAGGCTGTACAGATTCCCACGGCCGATCGTCGTTGGTCGCATCCGCAGACGATCATAATGCCTAATACTTGTTAGCCTGAAAAGTACATAAGCTGACTGACCATAAAAAAGGCAGATAGCTTCCCAACTCGTTGTGGCGGCTTTCACACCTCGAAAACCTCTTCCCAAGACAACCTCACGGTCCTGATCCAAGTTTCGAGTGCTCATCGAGGCAGGATGGACAAGACAAATCACCTACCACACTCAGTCGACGAATTTCTTCTCGAAGGACAATATCTGAACGACTGCATACGAAAAAAGGACAGCAAAGGAAGGCAAGACTGTTATCGAGTGCCATTCTGGGGTCTCCTGAGTGTATATCTGTTGACCCTTCTCTTCGTCTCGCATTCCTGGACGTACGTTGGTGCCGGAGCGGTCTCGGTTCGGGGAAACGCATCATTCTTCCCACATGGTACCGAATTGTATTCCCGAGAGTATGAGGCTCGAGGCTGATGATACCGTAGTACCGGTAAAGCAAGTCCAATTTCAGAGGGATGACATCTTCAGTGCCGACAACGCTTCAGATATGGCCGCAGAACCATGGAGCTCGATCACCGCGGGTGAGTCGACTTCGTCGTCTCTCTATATGTGAGATCCGTTGCAGCTAACGGGAATACAGGCGAAGGGTATGTTCTGGTAGAGAACCCTCGTCGGCTTGGCTTGACCGGAGGGATGGCATACAGACCAACATCTGCAGCGGAGGTGTACGGTGTCTCGATGTTTCACCAACTCCATTGCCTTGTGAGTTGCAGGTCGAGTGTTGTGTAATAGTCTTCAGGAGACTAATGGCCTCAGATGTCCATAAAGCATTCTCTTTTGCAGCCACGCTCATCCAACGCGAGTCTCGAGGCCCATATTGTCCACTGCGTCGATTACCTCCGTCAATCGGTCATGTGCTGCGGCGACACGACGCTGGAGAGAGGCCACGAAGCTGGAGGGATCTTCAAACCGCCGGTGGATGGTTGGGGCAACACGCATATGTGTCGAGATTGGGACGCGTTATTCTCTTTCGCGATGGCACATCAGTATGAGGTTGCTAAAAACTCCGGGATATTGAGCGGGCATTAGATTTTGGAGTTCCCGAGGTCGTTTTGGCGTACGAGTCATTGTCCGCCTGCGGTTTAGTATGGCTGACTCATGAGGATTTACGCTCTTCGATCAATCTAAGTTTTCCCTTCGTACGGAATTAACTACCTAGTAATGATATTCTATGTTATTTTGACCCGTTCATGGGTGTCTACAGCGGACCACCGGATATTGCCTCTTGTTCCCATACGTGTGACGAAGGCCTAAGAGGTCTAAACAGTCGCATTCCACTCCTCGTAGCCAACACTGGGCTCCAATAACACAGTCGGTTCAAACACGGGCATCGCCGGGGTGGCAGTCGTCGTGCCGCTCCAGCAGTGCGCGGTAAAGCAAGTCTAGCACGCTTCTGGAATCGCCTCGCCGACTCGCGAGGGCGATTTGTAGATGAGTCCGCAGGCGATACAAGCTGGGAAAGGTGGATCGCCTACAGGGTCAAGTTGACGCCCATGGCTATCAGCCTCGTCCCAATTCATTAGTGGGCCCTAATAGGGGTTACCTAGGCGGAGAGAGAGACAAAGATCTCGGGTCGTCTCCAAGAAAGGGAGAAACGCCCTTGTGGAAAATTGTACTGAGCTTTAAAATACAGCCCCAAACCCCACCAGTAGGTAAACTCCACAATCTACTTGAGAAAGTTTAAATCGACGCTAGCTTTGATCAATATATAAGACCTATTCGATTTCTCTATCACAGGACCTCTTACATCTATTGATCTGTGACGAAAATATGTCGTTTCCACAGTCTCTACTTCAAATACATTCCAGACCTACGGCGGTGGACCCTTCAACATGGAGGGCGTATCTTGAACAGCAAATATCCGATATTGTTACTTCAAAGGTTGCTCGAAGGGCTGCCCTATACGAAGTATATCACAACTTTGAACTTGCGACTTCTACGGAGCAGCCTCCTGACGAGAAGACATTTCTGGTGCTATGCCACTCCGATCATCTGGTCCCGTCTGACACGGATACCTATAAGAATCTTCTCAAGCCTAGCAAGCTACTCGGGGGAAAGGATGCGAACTCTGTTGCCGCTATAGAGGTTCGAAATTCGTCCTTGATTCAAAGCGTGGACCCAAAGCATCTTGGAGATAGTGAGTTGTCTATATCCCATCTTTCCAGAGAACGACCCTAATATGAGCTCATGTAGAGGAACCTCCGTATATGTTGTTGTGCGAGATCGAGCCGCAAGACGACCAAGACTACGACCGATTCTACCGCGAGGAGCACCTCGGTAATCTCCTCAACGTTCCAGGATATAGGCGGTCTGCACGTTATCGACTTGGGAAAGTCGAAGGGGATACAAAGGAGAAGATTCCCAGGTTCTTTGCGGTTCACGAATGGGATACTCTACAGCATATGAACGGCCCCGAACTACTCTATGCCGATGCAACACCTTGGGCGAGAAGGATTCTCGAGAACTTTAAGGACGTGAGGGGGTTCAAACTTGTGAAGGGTGTGGGTTATGATAAGTAAAAGAGGCAGTATCTAATATGAGGGTAGTCCTTCAACAAAATGTGTTCATGTTTTGATCGGTCCAGGATCAGCCTTGCCCCACAAATGGCTACGCGTACATCGCAACATAGTGGGTAAAAACCCCTGTTGTGAGAGCTTTTCGGGTCTACACGTTGAAATAGCCTGTCTCCAACAATAGCAAATCTTGACTTAACCCACACGTTGTCATACACGTATGGTCAGTATCATTATTTCCTTAATTCATGGACTGCCTTGACCTCTGCGGGTTCAGATTTCTCAATAGCACCGAAAAGACTTTGTGGAGAGAGTCTGTCTGGATAGTTGTGGAGAAATACAAAATAACACTCCTACTTGAGATTGGTTCTCTGGTGGAGAAAGTGGGATTTATTATTTCTCAGAATCAAATTCCCACAGCGGGGAATCCCTTCTCCGGAAAGTTCGTGCGTTGGTAAAAGCTCCTTACAAGATTGGCCAACTTGGGCCGTTGTATGAACAAAGAAGGCCACACAATAAACATTTCTACGCAGGAGCAAGATCCTCAGTCTTTTCCGCGGTTCATATATATGTATATATATGTATAGGCGGGATAGTGGCTTTGGCCATCTGCATGCTTCACTGGCTGATCGATAGCAAGCTCAGCACTAGCTTCATAGATTTTGAAAGATAAGAGATCATGAGGGGCAGTAGGCTTGGGCATCAGCAGATGGCTTAGCGTCTGATATTCTCACTTGTTCATCCTGTTATCACGGGCGTAGATTCCAACAAAGCTAGCTCCTAGTGCACACTGTTCTCAAATCACACATCTCAGCTTTGATAGGCAATGGCACCGACATCATGACAACATTTCCTCTCCAGCTCAGATTCAGCCGATCAGACTTTTTGATATATTCGAAAGCGACCCGAGAAGCTTTCTCACAGTCAAACTTTGACCGGACCCGTATTTTCGACGTAATCAATTGTCTCTGGGTCGTCGATATGATCAGCCACAACGCCCACCTTGGTGTTGATGATATCCGACATATCGACCGCCTGGGCAAGTCGATCGTCAAACTCCTGACGTTCCGCCTCGGAAAGGTGGGAGAGATCGATGGCGACCTTTTCACCAAAGAGAGCGCCAATCTCCTCCAAGCTCAGATTCTTCGTCTCCGGGAACCATTTGATGACCACAGCGAGCATGAATGCTGGTACAATGATGAAGACCAAGTAGAACCTCCAGCCAACAGCATTGAAAGCAGGCCCGGCAACTGAAGTGTAGACTGTGGTATGTCAGCAAGCACGAGCGTTGAGGTTGATTGTATCTTACGGATGATGGGAGGATACTTACTAGTTGTCATGATGAACAAGCTACTCACTGAGAACCCCACACCTTGAGCACGGATGTTGGTGGGAAAGATCTCGGAACAGTAGACGTAGCTCGTCGCGTCCACGCAGCTTGCATAGAAGGTAGCAAACAAGAACATAAAGAACACTCCCATACCAGCGCCGGCCCGGTTGGTGTTATCCGGTCCGCCGAAATTCGCCACCATGGCAGTGACCATGATCACAGCAAAAATACCACCACTCTGAGCCAACATCAGCTTGCTAAGACGTCTAGGGTCAGGAGAAAACTTACAATTCCAATTGAGATGATCCGGATTCTCCCGAAGCGATCAATCAATAGCGAGTTAATAAAATTCAAGAAGCCCGCCCAAGAATTGTAAATGGCGTTGAGCATCAGGGGGATCCAACCAGTTACCCCGAGGCTCGCAAGGATAATAATCTTCAGGACAATTAGCTCCCAACCATTCATGTAGCATATATCCTCGAGGGATAGAGAAATGGTGGTATGGCTCAGAGCTTGACATACCATATAGTTATTAATGACCAAGACACCGCTACTTTGACACATTGCCTGCAGCCAGAATCCGTAGAGGAGGCGTTTGCGATAGAAAGGGTTCCGGAACAGCTGAAATATATTTCCTGCCTTTTGTTTGCGATCAAGGGCAAGCTGTGTCTGGATTTGGACAAATTCTTCTCGAGCTCCAATGTTCTGTGGATCAGACGGGTGCTCATGGAGCTTCATCAAAATTTTCAAACCTAAAATAAGTAATGTTTTAGCCAACCAGCTTGGAGCAGACTCAGGAGATATACCTTCTTGATCACGGTTGTTGTTGATAAGCCATCTAGGAGACTCAGGGACCCAAGGACTGCCACAGAGTAGGAGCAGTGGAGCCACAATCTGGAGGGCAACACAAAGACGCCATTGGATAGACGGATTCTTCTCAAAGTACGTTCCCAATCCAACCCATCCAGCCACTCCCTGTAGAGAATATATCAGTCTCGAACATCGCAACTGAGCCGGCGGAACTCACGTATCCGGAGGCAATCAGAACACCGTGGATGCTGACGACCCGTCCACGTTGGCGAGCTGGGGAAATTTCGCAGATATATGTAGGGATGGTGCAGTTAATCATTCCCACGCCCACACCGTTGAGGCATCGGCCGACAATAAACATAGCAATATCGACAGACCCTGCCTGAATTGCAGCCGAAATGATGCAGACAACGGCAATGACCTGAATCGAACGTTTGCGGCCAAGACCATCCAGAAGCCAGTTCACAATCCAGCAGCCGATGGCACCGCCAGCCGAATAGACGCCGTTACAGGCGCCAATGAGGGACGCACCATGGGAAGTATTTGCATTGATGCCAAAGTAAGAGAGGAACGAGGGAAGTCCGATCAGAGCAGCTATAATCGCCGAGTTGAAACTATACGTGAGAGATCCTAGTGCCACAAAAAAGGCAACAATGAAGTTGTAGGTGTTGGCTTGCGCGCGAACGTGAGCCATGATGACGAGGAGCGCTGTACAACTGTGGCAAGCGAGCGAGTGTAGACAGGAAGATCAGGATGAGTTGGTTTAGATACACCCTCCTTCCTGGATCTTATATCCCCAGCCCGAACAGGAGAGTCTGGAGAACCTAGAGTACCCCAGAAAGTTAGGGGGCGACAGAGCTCCGTCCCCACGTATTGAGGTGCTCTGGCCAGATAACCTGGACCATTCGAGACGGAATTCTGTCACCCACTAGGTGCTAGAATAACAGAATAACCCCGCCTGAATCTCCACTAGCTGAGCATTGCAAGCCAGTACTACCGCTGGCTAGCCGATAACCGATATTTGGCTAGCCAACCTCGCAGTATATCGGAAGGGGTATACATGGACAAGGAGCATATTGGACGTACCTAGACAACCCCCTTGCAGAAGATAAATTTTCTGCTTGAAGGTCCAGGTTGATGCCAAATACCCCACCGCAAAGTTGGAATTTACCCTAACAACACGGAGCAGTAGGACGAAAAGCTCTCATCATTTCCAGCTAGAGCTATTTCCAATGGCATAAGCAAAAGTTTCAAGAATCAGTCTCCTCAGGTCTGCAGCTCGGGGCTGCGGAAGTGTCTGAGTCTGAGTCTGCGTTGCCACCCTAGCCAGAGGATCTTTTTGAGATGGGTCATGCTCATGCAGGTGGTTAACAGGGCCATTAACCCTGGAGTAGTTGTTCAGAGCGAAATGGCATACGTGTATTCAGTGACAGGCCAAGGTAGCTCGTTGAGTTATTCCTCAAGTCGCACCCTACACAATCCATCTCACGCTGTATCGTGAACAGAAAATCGATGTCGATTAAGCTGTAGCCTAACCTGATGGTAGTGGTGTCTGGCGCGAGTACAAGTTTCATCAACAGGGATATCTCATTATTGAGTCTTCGAGAGAATGGGAATAACTTAAGCTATGCAGAAGATTCCCATATTGATATCTTTATGCCAAGTAAGACATTCCCTCGAATGGTTGGAGATTTGGGAGTATTTCAACAGGCCATGCAAGGATCAGTTTCTATATCTGCTTGAGCCTGTTAAGAATGGAACCTGTAAAGGACGCTTCTTTATATCTACACTGAGAGCTACAAAGTTCAGTGTTAAGAACCCGCTTATCCAGAGTCGCATTGCTTCAAAGCTGCTATGTCTTACTATATTTTTGGACAAACTCGGCCAGTTTCTTTGCAATCTCTTTTGGATGTGTAGCATTGAGGTAGTGGCCACCGCCCTTGATAATATGAAGTTCCGCACTCTTTGAATTCTTGAATAGCTTGATCTCCTCTTCTGCCACCTTATACGAGAAAGGTACGTCTTCAGAACCCTTTGAGAAGGTCAGCATCCATCATCTGTGTTCGGAATCATCGACCAGAACTTACGTGGATCCAGAGAACTGGGCAGCGAATGTCTGGCAGTCTGCAGTGCAGTCCGTCCCTCTCTAGGACATTTATTATGGATGTCCTCAACCTCTTGCGTCCGTCGTCGCCGCAATAGTTGCCCTTCTGAATGTTCCTCCAGTACACTTTGGTTTCTTCTGGGCAGTCTTTGCCAAATCCCAGATACCAAATCAAAGCGCAAAAGTCGTCTTCCACTACCCAATTTGGCGTAGGTTCCGCAGAGGTCCACCTGTTGATGAAGCGCATGTAAGAATCATACGCATCATAACAACCAAGGTCTCGGGTGTGCTGAGACTCCGAATCCATTGTAGTTCCGAGTGGTATGATGCCTTCAATCTATTTGAACGTTAGTATCTGCTTCTGCAACTCAGCACGCAGGAAAGCTTACTCGATCCGGAGCCAGAAGTGCCATTCTTGCCGCGATGAATCCGCCCTGACTGGTGCCCATAGCAAATGCCTTTTTGATTCCCAGAGCATCCATTACTTGAAGGTTCATAATAGCCGTATCCCAGAATGTGAAGTTCTCGACTTTTGATCGCGTTTTCCCGTGGCCTAGAGGCTCAATTGCGACAAGGTTCATGATGTTGGTCAGCTCTGGGTTCTGCAACTCGGATTGGTAGAGTAGACTACTTGTCGTAAACGAGTTTATCAGAACACAGGTCGGTTTCGAAGGGTCAAATCCTTTAGACATCTTGTATCCTACATCAATCCCCCAGAGATGGGGGACATTGATTATGTCGGCAGCCGCCATGTTATTGACCTGTCGACACCCTGAAAATTGGAGATGTTTATGTGCTGTAAATCTTATCTTTGTGTAGATACCTATAGTGTTGCGAAACCTCTGATTCTGAAGATCTCCAGGTTTCGGCCTTTCAGGGTTGGAGTATGGAGGAGGATGTGGTAAAGAAGGCAGCAGTCTCCGGTTTAACTCTCCATACCCCCGCCTCTAAAAACTCTACTTAACCCCGCAAACACAAAGCCGGAGATGGTCCATATATATAGTACGAGGTAGTCTGCATATACTACGTTCTTTAGGCGAAAATAGTCAAGTGGAAATGGCGGGGCCTCCGACAAGCCTCGGCTAGGTGGTAACCCCGTTTGGGGGAACCAAAGGGCATTACGACGTGACAAAATTGAAAATCAAGTGAAATTCTCACAGAAGTTGATCTCCTGTGAGCCTACATAGCTCAGGGCCTCTATCTAGGGTACCACGAGCCGCTGGTCAGGGACAGCGGCGGGCTTGGTGTGCATATCTCCTTATCAATGCCTTCTCTCTAGCTGGGGCAATGTGGTCCCATGTCTTTCCGCATTTGGCAGGAGAAGCCCGAGTCATCTCCTACTACCTCCGTGGTTATGGCCATTCCCGAGCATCGTCGCTTACAGAGTCCCTGGCCCATCTGGATCAGGACGCCTTGTAGCTGCTGGATGCCTTGGAATCGCCAAGGCTGATGTCTACGGGCAATTGTATGGCGGAGCCGTGGCCCAGCACATTACGCCAGACCGCCCTCGCTGAGTAGAGCCCTCGCCGGAAGTGGTTCATCGAGAGCTAGATCCGGGAACGAATATGGTGGTGCTGGGACAGCCAGAGGCGCTACTCGGAGAGCTGATCTCTTTTCGAAAGAGAGGAGATGGAAAAAAATGGGTGATATCGTAGATGATAAGGAGGGAGATTGTCGGCACCAAGTAACAGAAGACGTTGGAAGATGAAGCAAATCTATCTCTGGAGGCTAGCATGTAGGTACGCAAGGCGTAGGGACTGATAATTATTCCATATTCTTGGCTGTCGTTGTCCAATAGACACTTATACAGTACCGTCTTTTTTCACACCATCATATCTTGTCATTTGACTGCAGTCGGTACTCCGCCACCAGCTTCGCTGCCGCCACAGCACCAATAAGGTATGCCGTGGCCTGGGTATGGCTACTACAGTTGCCACGGAGGGTTAGTGGCAGCTTTCTCCTTTTGTGTGTTTTTTGGAGTACGCACTTTGGAAGGAGAGGGCACACGCTCATGTCTGCCACACGGAGGCCTTCAACCCCGTAGACCCTGAAACTTGAGTCGACGCAGGACATCTTGTCAGAACGCGGACCCATTCTGACGGTACCAGTTGCATGTAGGGCGGCCTGGGTTTGTTTCCGAATATAGTCCTGAGTGCTTTGTTAACTTTCAGTGCCTTGTGGCTGGTATCTACTGCATACCACAATATCCTCTTCAGACCTACTTTCCGGCATCAAAACAGGGCCTTTCAGGTACGGCGACAAGGTTTTCGAGTTGAAGAATTCCAGTGTCTTGCGCATCCCTTCCACCATCATCCGCATGTCGTATGGGTGGTCATAGAAGTTGAAATCCAGATTGGGTATATCCCTCGGATCCGCCGATGCTAGACTCACCTTGCCCCGGGATTGACAATTCATTCCAACCGCCAGCGCTGCCAGATATGAATCATCGCCGAAATCCATATCGGGAAAGAAATTGGGCCCGCCAGCCGTCATCTCGTAGTGTGGCACGCACGGTTGCTGTAGGAATTGCTTCGTCTTGTCGTCCAGGCCTTGGAACTCAGTCGTGGTCTGGAGCTCGGGAATCTTCATGAATAGGAACGCCATGTTACTGTGACCGTCAGATAGTGGGCCGGTTTTGTCTCTCGTCCACTGCTCAGCAGCTTCCCTCTGCTTTTGCGGAGACTTTTCAAACGCCCAGCGATCCGAGAAGGAGCCAGTCATTCGTGCCATCATCGGGACCCCGGGGTGCTCTTGAAGACCTTCACCAACTCCTGGTAGATCTTGTACCACTTCGATTCCGAGGTCAGATAATTCTCCGACGGGACCAATACCAGACAGAAGGAGGATTTTTGGGCTGTCGATCGAGCCTCCACAGATAATGACCTCCTTTGTCGCTGTTGCCTGCCTGCCATCCACGCACTGTACGCCAACAACTCTTCTTCCGTTAAGCTGGAGTTGACTTACTGGACAGTCAGTCCATATATGTAGATTGGCCGGTGGAGAAGCAAGGAATGCAGACGCGCTTGTGGTGCGCTCGGCATGGTCGTGGGTTGAGACTTTCAGAGAGATACCCATGGGGTTTCCGGAATTTACATCCAGGCATATAGGAACCTATCAACGATTCAACGTCAGGACCATTCAAGTAGGTTCGTCAATGTAATACTCACCCCTATTTCTGTACCGGCTTCAAGGAGCTTCTTCCCTTCCTTCTCCCACATTCGTGGAAATGATATTTTGATGGGTCTTGAAGGAATCTCGAGTCAGTAGGGATACTTCTCGCCGGCTGCTGAATGTCCTGTCCTTACCCGCTATCGCCATGATCTCTCCGGGAAGGATTTACATAGGCCTCCATTCCAGCGGGGAGCTCAACAAGGTATGTTTCAAGCTGCCAGCCATGAGTCTATCTGCAAGATGCTAGAGTTAGAGCTGCTTACAGATTTAAACACCTCCTGAACATGCTCCCACCTCCACACTGGATCGTCCACCAGCTCTGCCCAGGCATCGTAGTCTGCCATGGTTCCATAGAGGTACGCCATGTAGTTCGTGACGGTGCTCCCACCCAGCGCCCGGCCCCGTCTATAGGGAAGTCGTCGCTCTAGTAGCTCCTTCTGCGGTATCGAGACGTGTCCATGGTCTAGAAGTTTCTGGTTGCTTAAACTCCAAAGCGTGCGATCCGCCGGCGCCCGTAGTTGAGGATCAGAGGCACGAGGGTCGCTTCCTGCCTCGACCAGCAAGACTGAAGGTGCCCGCGCTGTATTTGCCAGCTGGGACGCGATAACTGCCCCCGCTGCTCCGCCTTCGTAGGATCAGTATAAAGCTGGGTCATACTTGCGGTTGCAGGTGGACTGACCGCCAACAATAATGAACTCGAAGTTTGTTGCCATGATGGAGCTATGGTTGGAATCGAGTGCAATTGACTAAATGGCCGACAATTCGATATCAGACATTCGCATTCAAGATTACTTGCACAGGCTGGACCGGTTCAGTGGAGGATCCAATCTGGCCAGATTTTACTTTCAACTGCAAGAACTCCGCCACGTCTCCACCCTGGTCGCGGTCCCTCCACCATCTCCACCAGTTTCCCACAGTTTGGTTCCCCCGCGAGAGTTGACCAATCAGAGATCACACCTCTGCAACTCGCGGTCACCACCACAGGAGTAAATCTTGCTTGTAGGACAAGAAGGATTACGACGTTCAGATTTTAACGATGGGCAAAGGGCTAGTAAGAGACTTCGAAGAGATCAAGAAACTGGCGAAATAGCTTCTTCGGAGTTTCATTACACCTGTTTAATACTACACTGACAATTTTACCATGGCATTCCAGTTTAGCAAATCCAACCTGCCGAAACAGCTTTTCATCAACAATAGATACGTTGACTCGAAGCACTATGAAAAGTTAGTGATGAATCTCTCTTGTTGCATACTGCGATGATCAACCAGCTTTCAGGCTTCAACTGTACAATCCAAAGGACGGCTCTCTGGTCGCCGATGATGTCCCCCTCGCGGCCGACCAGGATGTCGATCTGGCCGTAGCTGCCGCGGAAGCTGCATTTCCCCAATGGAAGATTACAACACCTTCTGCTCGCCGGGACATGATGCTCAAATTGGCCAATCTAATAGTCGAGCACGGCGCCGCGCTCGCAGAGCTAACAAGAATCACCCTTGGGGCACCAATGCATGTCTTCGGTGAGTGGGAAATCCGTCGAACTGCAGAAGCATTCAGGTATTTCGCCGGCTGGACAGACAAGATCAGCGGCCAGTCTTTTTCAAACGAGGACGGCTTCGTCAATATTGTCATCAACGAGCCACTTGGTGTGACGGCGGGAATTACGCCTTGGAACGTCCCTCTTCTGACCGTCGGTCTCAAGGCTGGTCCAGCTCTTGCCACAGGGAACTGTTTTATTCTAAAGCCGTCCGAAAAAACCCCGTTTGCCTGCTTGGCTTTGGGGGCACTGATCTGTGAGGCGGGCTTTCCGGCTGGTGTCTTCCAGGTCCTGAGTGGGAATGGACTGACAGGATCACTCCTCGCGAGCCATATGAGGATTCGCAAGATCAGCTTTACTGGATCCATCGCAACGGGGAAAAAGATCCAGGAGGCAGCTGCGAAGAGCAATCTGAAGCGTATCACCCTGGAGCTCGGTGGTAAGTCTCCAGCAGTGATCTTTGACGACTGTAATCTGGCCAATGCCATTCGGTGGACATCGCAAGCTATCACAACCATCAGTGGACAGTCCTGCTTTGCCGCAACAAGGCTTTATGTGCAAGAGGGCATCGCAGACCGTTTTATTAGTGGATATAGAGAGGCCATATTGGAGATCACACGCAATATTGGCGACCCTGATAGCACATCTACGCAAATGGGTCCTTTGGTTGACTCTTCCCAGCACAAACGGGTCGTGGGCTTCATTGATCTGGGGAAGAATACTCATGGTGGTTTGCTGACAGGTGGCCAACGGCTTGGAGACAAGGTATAGTGCCTTCTGTTTCAAATGACCAACAGCTGATCTAGTCTCCAGGGATTCTTCGTTGAGCCCGCTATATTCCTGGATGTCCCCGAAGATGCCCACATAATGCGAGAGGAGATATTCGGACCTGTCGTAATCATCAATACCTTTAAGACTGAGGCAGAGGTGATGCAGAAGGCCAACGACTCCGAGTTTGGTCTCATGGCCGGGGTATTCTCTCAGGACATCAACCGGGCTTTGCGCTGTGCCTCGAACTTCGAGAGCGGCATGGTGGGCATCAACTGCGTCAGCCTCATGTTTCTTACGGCGCCGCTGGGGGGAATGAAGCAAAGCGGCCAGGGCAGGGAATGTGGGGAAGCTGGGTGGAGGTCATTTGTAGAACCAAAGACAATCATGATCAATATGTCGTATTAGGGTGGATATCAAACAACTCGAACAAATTGGTAAACTTTGCCCAGCTCTTCTTTCATGAAATCACGCCCTTGCTAAACGGCAGTAATGGAACCCAAACCGGGAGGTCTCCCACCTCACTATTCCCCCTCGAGGGATTATGGCTCGCTCATTTAAGGAACCTGGCGTACAATCATTATCTAGGTAAGTAACCTACAGAAATTCCCCCGTATATACTAAACTGCAAAAATTCAGGGGCACATCATCGAAGTTTGACAGATACGTAGTCAACGTGATGGCCCCTGCTCTATGGCGACATATCCACTGTGAGTCATTTGAGTGTAATACAGTGGAGAGTGTGAGAGTACTTGATTTATCCACATGAACTCGTACTTCCCTAGATCAGTAGCTGGCCTTCCCTTTTCCACCGGACATTTGAAATTTGATTACCCAAATATTAGACAGTGATTATGAACGATCGGAGCTGGATGTGCAGAGCTATATCAATGGCCAGGTGCACCACGGTGACCTTTGATCCAGGTTGTAACGGTGACTTCAAGCATAAAGGAGAGCAAGTCTTTCGCGTTGGACTGGAATGAGGAGGTGTTCACAGGATAGTCCTGGCATGACCCAGACTTCCTAGATACCTACCATCTAAGTATGGAGACCTAACAAAACTTTAGTCCTTCCTGAAACACACTTACTGGAGAAATGCACAGGGTAGATGTCTCCATGACACCTCCACCTTCCACCAAAGCCGTACCTGCCCTTTGAATAGCCACTGCGGAGTATTTACAGAATGATATATCCCCGCTAGATCCAAAACCCCACAGCTGGGACCCCATGGGGCGGTATATCTATAGGTTGAAGCTCCCTGGCGGGGTTTACACGTAGCTCAGCACCAAACGGGTTACGGAAAGGCTTCAAGTGTGGCTTTTATACCCAACCCCAGGTTTGATCCTGTTGCGCGAAGAACAAGTTTCTATTTGCGTATCTCGGTTCTGACTGGCTAGACCTGATCAACGGCTTCTGATTTGTTTATCTATGTTCGAGTCACGTGCAATGATCATACGACTGCGAGCAATACACGTGATTAGCAGGCACTACCTCCCTACCTTAGTGTCCTTCTTCACTTCCTTCGGGCAAGGTTGATTCTGGGTTCACTCAACTGGTCTTCTGAGGCAGGTTTCACACTCTGCAGCACTATTTTATACTACTTTCCTACTCTTGCCTCTCCGCGCTCCAACTCTAGCCTAACCTTTTTCCCATTGCCATGAGCCCTGTCGATGAAGTCTGTAGAGGCTACTGAAGGGGCACCCGCCCCCAGCACCGCGAAAGGCACGTCGGCCGGGAAGCCCAAAACGCGGTCTTGCAGGTTCTGTCACAAGAGTTTTAACAGGTTGGAACACGTCCAGCGCCATGAGCGTTCGCATACCCATGAGAAACCCTATAGATGTTCGTGTGGGAAGGCATTCAGCAGGAGGCATGTACCCCTTTCCTTACGTGGCGCGAAAATCCGTCCTGACATCGGTCTCCAGGGATTTGCTGAGCAGACATGGGAAGGCGTGGCCTTCGAGCGATAACCACAAATCTCTGCCTGTGTCGCGTAGCAGAGGGGTACAAGTTAATGATCAGCTCCAAACAGCAGAGACGGGCCCGGCGCATCGTGGGAGTAATGTGAGTCTGGACTTTCTAGACGTCTCTTCTCTGCAAACTACGAGAGATGATGCTTGTGTAGACCCTTTGAGGGCCCCTCCCACTGATTCAAACCCCGGACGTGCGGATAAAGGCAGTTTCCACAATGCTTCCGTTGAACCACAGCCAGCAAGTTCCTCGATCGCCGAATCCCAGAAACATTTTCCTGAGCAAAATCCCTGTCAAGAGTCTGCGCAGGACCAAGTACGGAATGACCGAGTGGTCTTATGGGCGGGCGAACAGGAAGGCAGGATGATAAATGGTGACAATAGCAACGACCTTATGAGGCAAGGAGCCTCGTACAATCCTGTCTGGCCCTCTGGGGTTGACAACTACAACTTTTCTCTGGGTGACTTGGACTTGCCGTCCCATCTACCCCCTTCAGATTTCCAAGGCGAGCATACCATGCCATCGTTGGTCTCAAACATATCGCAGGATGAACGTTCCGAAGAGATCCCTTTGGCGGACCCTGCGGGGACCAGTGGGACGTCTGGCAAACAGCCAAATGAAGATGATTACAACTTCTCCCGGTTTGCATCCGGACTCCCTTCTCTACAGCCAAGTCTTCCGGAGGCATCTACGGACAATTCACTGCTCATCGATGACCATGTTCCGCACAGACCCTGGTGGAGGATCTCCAGCTCCGAATACTACGATATACTTCAGAAGGTACAGAGTTTTTAGCGATATCTATCCAAAGATTTTGTCCTCCCCTCAAGGCATGCCCTGTCACGTTTTCTCGAAGGAAGCATTAAAGGTCTCCTTGAGCATCTCCCTTTCATCCTGGTTCCCACCTTTTCCGTGTCGAACGCGTCTCCGGTGCTGCTGCTTGCACTATTTGCGGTGGGGGTCCAGTTCCGGTTCGAGAACCAGAAAGCCAAAAGTCTCTTCTATGCTGCGATGGCTCTGGTGCTGAGACAGATCCAAAGAAGATCTAGCAACGAGCAAGACAGAGAGACGTCGTCTCCCTCGGCAACTCAACCTCAAAATCTCTCCAATTATCCTCCAAGCAACATCTTTCCTGGGCTCGTGACCTCTGACGACTGCTCAAATGCTCTCGGCCAGATGGGTTTCATTACCCATCGCAGGACAAAGGAGGTGGATTGGCATGGTCAGCTGCAGACCTGCCAGGCAATCCTGGCACTCATGGTAATGGGCACCTGGGGGACTCGAGACGTGGTAAGGGAGATTCTTGCGTTGCAGAGCGTTCTGGCTATCCTAGTGCGTGAAGACGGCCTTTCCAACCTGGACGACGATGTTCCACCCCCACAACACTGTGTGCATGCTGGTGATCCAGACCGTACGTCCTGGGTGACCTGGGCGTGCGCGGAGAGCAGGAAGCGGACTAAGCTCTTGACTTATTGCTTCTTCAACCTGCAGGCCGTGGCATACAATATCACACCCCTAATAACCACAGCAGAGATTGTTTGTTCGCTCCCCGCTTCCGCGCCGGAGTGGATGGCTGAGAATGCCCGCCGGTGGGCAGAAAGTCGTCGGTCATCCGGAAATACCGAGGTCTCCTTTCAGGACAGCTTTGCGGGTCTCTTCCAACACAGAAGCGCTCTCTCAAATTCAAGTCCATCCGTGTCAGCTCTCGGAACTACATCTTGATCTCTGCCCTACTCCAGCGGATCTTTTCCCTCCGTCTGTCCACAACTGGCACCATACCAGGGACAAACCTGCTGGATTTCCGACCTGACGAGATCGACATCCTTAGCCATGCCCTGCAGTTGTGGCAGGCCCTGCGGAAAGAGGCTCCAGGATCGAGTCTGGACCCACAATCTCCTTCTGGCCCCGTTGCCTTCAACTCATCGGCGCTACTTAGACTTGCGTGGATACGGTTTCACTCTGACTTGGGACCTTGTCGAAGCCTATGGAGCAGAGATCCGCTTCTGATAGCGGCGTCATTCAGAAGTTGCCCTCCGCTGCAACGGTCACCACGACTTAGCCATGCCATCCTTCAGGCCGCCCATGCGCTATCCATCCCGGTGCGTCTCGGCATCAACTTTGTCGCGCGGACCCAGACCTTTTCGTGGAGCATACAGCATTCACTGTGCAATCTCAAGTGTGCAATCTTGCTCGACAGATGGCTTGGGGAGATTGTGTTGACTCTGCCGCAACATCCACTGACGACTGAGGAGATCAACATCATCAACCTCCTCAGGGGCGTCATTCGGGAGAGCGATTTGTACGTCCCGGAGATTATCACAGATAGCACGGCTATAGAGTGCCAGCAACGGAGTATTAGATATCTTAGGGTTGCTGTGATCCCTCTTTGGGCGATGATATATGATGGCATCCATGTCTTTGATGTGGTTAGCACCATTGGCTCCAGCCTGAAAGTCCATGCGCAGAGACTTGAAGAGAAGCAAGCATTGGCAAGCGAATAACATACAGTCTCTATAGAAACGACCGCTCTCGTTCAGTTCAATATAGGCCTTCAGTGCCAACCACTGTAGCGAAGACCACTTCAGCTCCTCCTGTACCATTTCGCACCATTTCGAACTCACGCCAACTTCAATTCTAGAAATCTATAGAGGGTTCAAATTCCTTTGGACAGCTCACCCTTAGACATTTTGATCTCGTATTCAAAGTCAGGCTGAAACTCTGTGTAGAGAGCTTCCTGATATCACTGCATTAGCGTTGACAAAGGGAGAACGCAGATATCAGGTCTATACTTACCGGGCCCGCGGCAGCATTGTATGTGTACTCTGCCTCCGCGTCGCCAATGATTCTCTTGGGAATCTTAGTGCTTTCCACCAAGATTTGAACTTCACACGACCGTTCCATCAGGGTGAAAAGATATGCAGCTTCGTCTACAGTATGTCCCGTCGTTAGAAGTCCGTGGTTCTGGAGGATCGCCACACGGTTGCTGTCCCCCAATGCCTGTGCGATCCGCTGACCTTCCTCCTTCTGAAGTACCACCCCTCCGAAGGAAGTATAAATGGCTTGGTGATTCCAAAACGTGCAAGCATCCTGGTTGATGATATCTAGTGGCCGACCGAATGTTGACCAGGCTTTGCCCGCAGCGGAGTGGGCGTGGCATACCGCATTGATATCTGGCCGTGCCTTATGAATAGCCGAGTGAATTATGAATCCTGCAGTGTTGACGGCGACTTTGTTGTCTCCAACGATCTCTCCATTCTCGTCGACATGCACCATATCCTGCGCGGTCAGCAGAGCGAAGTGCCTATTCACTGGATTAATCCAGAACGTATTCGGGTCAACCGGGTCGCGGACACTGATATGCCCGGCGTTCCCTTCAGTGAAGCCCTTTCGAGCAAACACCCGGAATGCTCCCGCCAGGTGCTCCAACTGCCATGCACGCTTAGAGTATACATCGTCGATCAATGGAATGCCTGGAATCACCGGCCCACCGGCGGAAAGTGCTTCGAGCTCTGAATTCCGTGTCTCGAAGCCAGGAGTCGCTTGGATGCGGTACGCCGCAGTCGAATCTGCCGCCTCTGTCGCTGTGATAGATGAGGGTGCCATAATCTAAGTGTAAGGTGACCGTACAATATTGAAATGAAACAGTACCGAAGTGACTGGTTACTATAAGTGGAAGGATCTTATGATACGTCAAGAGAGAGAGAGAGAGTACTAGGCTGGTGTTATTGCACGGCTTGGAGAGAAGTGGGATTTATACATAGGAATAATGCTGGCTCTTTGGTGGCATTCCGGCAGGGCTGGGCACTGGAATCATCGGAAGCTCGTGTGGGTTACGTCGAAACACTTTTTAGGGGGTCATTGAGCCAGTAAGTCCAAATTGTGACGATCTACCCTACGGTGGAGAAAAAAGATCACCTTCTGTGATCCGAAAGCCTTTCTGAGACGAAAAGCAGATGAGGCTGCTTCGGGACCGACAAAGAGGTGAATCTGTAGGGACGGCAGTCTAGGGGTGAGGGAAATGTGGAGGTTCTTTCTTCGAGCCTTCGGATTTCGGCTTTTACACCAGGTCGGGGTGACTATCCCAACAATCCTCGGACAGAAATCGTGGTTCGGAGCTGACTTACGGTTGTTAGCTCCTGCAATATGCACAATGGGGCAGCTAGCTGACACATGGATCAATACAAGTATGTGAGTTGTTACGGTTTGAAATTGGAGTTATTGCGCTTCACAAGAGCAAATTGAGGCTTCGTCACCCTTGAACTTGTTTACTGAAAACCATTGGAAACTCTACACAATGAACACTGCATCCTTTTTCAACACCGTGAATGGCGAGTCAAGGTCCGGAAGCGCAACTTACCGTGGCATTGACCCAGCTACGAGAAAATATCTCTGGGATGTTCCAGTGGCCACTCGACAGGATCTGGACGATGCGGTTACTGCAGCGCAGACAGCATTCAAATCGTGGTCCGTCTTACCCTTCGACGAACGCAAACAGTTCGGTATTCGTTTTGGCAACTTGTATGAAGAGAATCTACGATTTTTCCATGAGTTGACCGCGAAAGAATGCGGCAGACCGGTAACGACGAGCAAAATCGATTGACAGAATCCTGACCTGACCCGTCAATGCCAAATATAGAAGATTGTCAACGAAGCCCTGTCGGGATATAACATGTACCGGTACCATTGTGAGTGTCAGGCATCCCGTTGACTGGGCTTGTCCCTGACAATGAGCGGTGACACTGGAGCTCCCACAACACAAGGTGGAAGACCCAGATCGGACCATTATTACCCAGTACGTGCCGATGGGTAGGTGACTGAGCTTGATGGTATGCAGAAAATAGTCTGATGATCTAGGTGTCGTCGGGGCTATATGCCCGTGGAACTGTGAGTAGTTCTATCTTGATGGGCTACATTATTTTCGACTGACTCTCGCTCGAGTTCCTCTGCACTTGGGTATGCACGTCTTGTGGATGGAGCAGTCTTTATTCGTCGTACTAAATGTATCACAGCTCTTGGAAAAATAGCCCCAGCTCTGCTGGCAGGATGCTGTGTGATTGTGAAGCCTTCGTAAGTGCTCGCAAACTTGTTGCGCGCTCAGGCATGCCTGGCCACTGACGGACTCCTAGACCATTTACCCCTTACTCAGCTTTAAAATTAGTTGAACTGGCACAGCAAGTGTTCCCGCCAGGTGTCTTGCAAGCTTTGGGCGGAGAGGAGTCACTCGGTCCATGGATGACTGAACACCCCGGTATACATAAGATATCTTTTACAGGTTCAATCGCCACAGGAAAGAGAGTCATGCGAGCATGCGCGGCGACCCTGAAGCGAGTGACACTTGAGCTGTAAGTTGTAACTTGGAAAAGACGAAACCGACGCAGGAAACTCAAGACCTTTGCAGGGGTGGCAACGATGCTTCAATAATCTGTGGCGATATCGACATCGCCAAAGTCGCCCCTCTTGTCACGAACGGAGCTTTCAGAAATTCCGGGCAAGTGAGTTGCGAAGGCTTAATCTATTTACTCCATCATTAATCCGGTTGAGCAGGTTTGCACCGCGACCAAGCGGATCTACGTGCACGAATCTATCTATTCTGATTTCGTCAAGGCCATGGTTGCGCATGCCACTACGCTTACACTTGGGGACAGCGAAATGCGCGACGATGTGAAGCTTGGCCCAGTACAGAATCAGATGCAGTACAGTAAGGTAAGAGAATATTTCGACGATTGTACCAGAAATGGTTATACGTTTGCTATCGGGCGAAGCCCCGAGGATATCGAAGGGGAAGGGTATTTTGTCCAGCCCACAATTATCGACAATCCACCGGCAAAGTCACGGATTGTTGTCGAAGAACCGTTCGGTGAGTAAGTCATGATCCACACAACAATTTCCAGCTGATCTCCCAATAGGCCCCATAGTGCCAGTCATATCATGGTCTGAGGAGGAGGAGGTAATCCGTGCTGCCAATGATACCAACACCGGACTAGCAGGCTGCGTGTGGACAGCAGATGCCGTCAGAGGCCGAAGGATCGCTGACCAGCTAGAAGCTGGCAACATCTTCATTAACAGCGCGGAGGCGGTGACACCCAAGGCGGTTTTCAGTGGTCATAAAGAGAGTGGGCTAGGTAGTGAATGGGGTCCGACAAGTCTCCTCAACTACTGTAATACCAAGGTGGTACATATCTTTAAATAGGGGATAGTAGAGAACAATGATGAGTGTCTCGTGTCTCCATCAATCCCGTACCTCGAAAGCATAACATGACCTGAGATGAGCACGGGAATGTTTTCGTCGGTACAGATTCTGATACGTACGCTCCAAAAGGGGCATACAGATTCACCATCGACCTGCTAGGTTGATACCAAACGTCCGAGGAAACTCCTCGATGTCAATATTAAAGCCGAACAGCTTCTGGATCGATCATGCAGCTCAACAGATGCTCAACCTGAACCTCCCAATCGCTTCTTGTATGGTTCATAGGATCCAGGAACCCCGCAAAGCCATCTACCTGCTCCGTCGAGACTTGTGGTTCCTGCGGTCGCTGAGACCCGTGCTGACGATGGAGGTAGGCGGGAGCATCAGCGCCGAGACTGCCAGGATAATCAGACATAGTAAAATCTTCTGCTGAATTCCTGACGCCCGATTTCTCCATCCCTGGAGCAAGTCCTAGTGGTGCATTGCTAGGATAAGATTCAGCGTCCCAAATCCCAGATATGTCACTGATATGGGCATCTCCGTGGCCTGCATGCGAATTCGAGGTACCAGATACATCGTCCATATGGTGGAGGGCCACCGTATCCAAGGATCCGCCGACCTTGTCATAGCCACTGCCATTATTGACATGCCCAGAAGGTCTCAGGCCGTTGAATTCATTTAAGAGGGTGTCTCCCTGTTGTGGAGGAAGTCCGGTATGATGAGGGCTGAAACCACGCCCAGTGCGCCTTCGGGTTCTAGCAGCATCGCCCGTTCCGCCGTAGTCTGCAGGTGTGATGGAAGCGTTTGGTGTCGCACGCAAAGCTCTTGTTGATTCACTCAGTTGCGTTACGTTGCCCGTCCAAGGCCTTTGTCGTGTGTTTGACTGCGCTTGAGAAAGGGCAGGAGATCTTTGATTCCACCGCGGAGGTTCGACAGCCACGTCCGCTGCATGAGAAAAGGTGGTGATGTTTTCTCTCGTACCATTCTCCGACGATGTTCTGGGCTGATGATGCTCTGGTGTAGCGTTGCTATTGCAGTCTGCTAGATCCACCGAGATGCTTGCCACAGTGTTCAGGAGTACTTTCAATTCTGCCAGGATGAGTTCAAGGAGACGGCACAACCCGTCCGCGGAAGACCAATACGGAATGAGCGCGTTGGACAACGACGCCAGAGCTTGCAGCTTGTGGAACGACTCCAGTGCCATTAGCAGATTAGAGGACGATCCCGAGTTTTGACCTCTTAGACGAGATTCTACGCGGTCCGCGCTCCAGGTACCAGCGGAAGTGGCATCATTGCCAGGAGATTGCAGTGGGCTGGTGGCTGTCCGGATTTCTGAGCTGAATACAGTCGCTGCAGCCAGAATGGAAGTCAAAGTACTTGGCCAGCAACTTTTGCTCCAGCCCGAGTCCACCATGCGATTCAAAATCGACACGATCGAGAGTGCCGAAGAGTGGCACAGAGATAGCCATTGACCCTCGAAGTGGTTTCCAGTCGGCAGGCCATCGTCGCATGGAGAGCGCAAATCAGCAACTGCGCTCAGCGGACATGACGCCTGTTTCATCCAAAAGCCTGGCCCATATCCGGGATCTGGTTCGGGTATACTCGCTGGAAGTCTGCGATTCAATGTAATGATAGCTGCGTAGTAGTGCAAGTGAAGCTGGGTAGCAAGAGACGATTGAGATGGGTGCCCAGGTTGACCCAGAGCTGAGGGCAATTGCATACACCACTTAGCCAGACGGTCGTTCAGTTCCCTTTTAGCTGCTCGCATGGCTGAAGAATCCTCACCACCGAGCCTTCTCTTCCACCCAGGGGAGTGAAGCTTCAAGATCTCCCAGATTAGAAAGCAAAGGGAAGTATTCGCCAAGCAGAAGTCAACGTCAGCGGTACAGGCCTCGTGAGAAGTGCCAGTCTCAGAGTCGAAATACTCCTCTTGAAGATCCTTTTTGGTGAGCATTGCTTGGTCACAGTCATCCAGATCAAAGCTCACTGGGCGACCATGGCTGAAAGCAAACATAATCTCGGTTTGAGCCACCATCCACCATAAAGTCCGTAGACGCCGTTGATCACGAATCGACATTTCCACGGACGCCATCCGTCGATGTAGGCCCAAGCCAAGAGCGATACGGCTTGCAACTCCTGACCAGTACCATCCGTTGGCGGAGATATCATCTGCAGAATCGACATGCCAGGTCAGGATCAAAGCGGCTTGTATTAGGTTGAGACGATCGTTCTCATGGTGCATGTCAAACAATGTACGCACACGGCGATACAAAGCCTGCTTGATCGAAGCCCTTACGTGCCGAACGCGGGGATGCATGGACACGTGGACACCGGCCAGTAAGACACACTGTATCAAAAGTAGAGCTGGAGGCTCTTGTTTGAGCACGTTGCCATTGGCCGGGCTACCTACATTGCTGATTCCTTGTTCCAGGCGATTCCTAAAGTCTGATTCTTGAATTATTGGGAACCCAGGGTGAATGTGCTCAAAGTACGCGTTGATGAGCTCTGCTCGGATTTCACTAACTGGCAACACGGCAAGGTCGGGGTCCGATGGCGGGGCAAAAGTCCATTGGGGAGGAGCGTGAGCAGCGCTGCTGTCTTGACCTCGATTCACTGGGACAGCGTGGGTGCTCGAGGACGACGTAAACGGTTTCCATGGAAGTGTGGCTCGGTAGTTTGGGAAAGGATAATGCAAGCACTCCGGACGGGTGGTCCGACTGTGCACCAAGTGTGCGAGGTTGGACGCCGTTGTTCCGACATACGTCCAACGGCTCAACGGACCTGATGGAGGCGCGTTATTGATCTTCTCATTGATCTTCTCTCGATAGAAAGTTGCCAGAGCGGATCGCGAGAGATCTTCGTCTTCATGGGACTGAACGATACAGATGGCGGTCGTCGGCAAGGTGGTTGTACCACTCGGAGTCAGCCCTGTTCCAGTTTCCCCGCCATCCAATGCGTCATGGCGGCTTCGTGGCAGCGGGGCTGTGCTCTGTCGACCTTGCTGGCTCCTGCTGTTCTCCCTTTGATGGGGAAGGGCTGGGTCATGGCCAGAAGCTCTCTGAGCGGAGGAGCGCGCCGCATTCTTTCGACCCTTTCGGAAATTTTCTCTCAGTCGGAAACTGGTCATTGAAAGATAGTATTGTGAGCTATGGCCCTTGCCACATCGATCCTCGACTCAAACGTACATCCCGGTAGGAACCTTCACTCACCTGCAAGCAACACCAGATTTCTCGCATGGTGCACAGGGCACTTGCTCCCGGTAGTTACATTTGACCTTTCGGCGATGGCAAACGTCGCATGCCATTGTGGTGTGATGGGCTATCAGGTCTCAACAAAGTTTGCCGAGCCGTGTGATAAGCTCCGATGCGCTTCAGGAGGTTGTATTTGGGCCTTAATGATTGTATCAGCGGGTCAAGCTCGCAGTTCTTCGGGTCGTAGAGCTGAGGAAAGGCCTTGGTGCTTCGGCTCTGCCACTGCTGGATGCGAAAGCCAGTGGATAAGTACTCGGTATACTTGTAAGCCCACCTTGCAACACGAGCCCGAAGCCGAGAAATAGAGCCAAGCTCCGAAAGCCGAGCCCAATGCCGCATTGGGTGCTAGTCCTGATGTTCCTTCCTAGACGAGCGTAGTGCCTTTAGCGATGTCGCAGTAGTAGACGCTGAGACACCAATGGCAGGACTGCCTACCTATACTCGTATGTAGCAGTGCATCGTGGCGGGACTGAGCCAATCCTCCACCAGACGACGATTGTCTTACCTGCTGCCGTCGTATCGCCCTGGTAGAGGTTTGGCACCACCGAGGGACATCTAGAACTCGATCAGATGGCCATAAATCTGTCATGCAGGTTTTTTTCCGGTTCATCGGGTGGCCGGACGACATCATCGGGCAGAAGCGTGAGTCTGAGCACACAGAACGCCGAAATGGACAAAAGCGCAGAGAGCGGAAGCAGAATCCAGGATCCATGAATTGACACTAGGAGAGACCTATTAGGTACAAGGGCGGACAATTGCACACAACCTGACTTTAAATGGTCAACCCGGTCTGCAAACAAGACCACTCACCCTTTTTCGAGCTTTAGAAAAGTCACTGTCGCAAAAGCAAAACGTTTCCAGAACGACACGCTTCGGATGAGAAGATATCCCTACCATTTCCTTGAAGAAATCACATTTTAATTCAGAGAGCAGCCGCAGATCATGACATCAAAGGCCAACGTCTTGGTGGTTGGTACCGGTGGTGTCGGCACCATGGCTGTGTACGCCCTGGAATCTGGCGGTCATGCCCGTGTGACTGCAGTACTGCGCTCTAATTATGAGACGGTTGTGGCGAAGGGTTTCAGCTTTGACTCTGTCAGTCATGGCAAAGTATCTGGGTGGAAACCCACCGCAGGCAAGTACCCCGTAGTTATGAGGAACCTAACGTTGAGAAAACATCTGCTGACGCTCATGCATTTCGCGACAGTCACCAATGAGGTACCATCTGCCGAACAGGCCGATCAGCCCTTTGACTTCATTGTGGTGACTACCAAAAACACCCCTGACGTTCCCCCAACGGTGGCGGATCTGATTGTCCCGGCGGTGACAGCGGGTCACACCATCATCGTCCTCGTGCAGAACGGAATGAATATAGAAAGTCCGGTGCAGCAGGCGTTCCCGAGCAACATGGTCCTGTCGGGCGTCTCCTATATCGGTGCCAAGGAGGTCACTCCCGGGCATATCTGGCAGAGTGATCCAGATGTCCTCTTCATCGGACCTTTTGTCCATCCTGCTATTTCCAAGCAGACCGGGCTGGCGGCAGCAAAACGGTTTGTCGACATCTACAATGCAGGAGGGAAGGTTGAGTGTCAACTCGACGACGACGTGGCAGCACGCCGTTGGAGAAAGTTGATTTACAATGCCAGCTACAATCCTGTCTGTGCCATTACTCAGATGGACACTAGTCGCCTCCGGCTTGCCAAGTCCCCTATCGATGGCTTGGTACGGCCCTTGATGGGCGAAATCATCACTGCCGCCGGCGCTCACGGTATTGAGTTGCCTACTAGCCTGATCGATATCATGGTGAACGCCGAAGACATCGATGAATACTTCGAGCCGAGTATGCAGCAGGATATAGCTAAGGTATGCCGTGTCTTTGCGCCAAACTACTGTGTGCTCTGCAGGCCCGGGCTCATGCTGACCATATTCCTTTTCTGATTCAGGGAAATCTGACCGAGTATGAAAACATAGTTGGCGAACCCCTTCGTGCAGCAGAGAGTAAAGGTGTCGCGACACCAACTTTGAGACTGATATATGAGGTAATGAGGGCTCTGCAATGGAGAACAAAAGAAAGAAAAGGCTTGATCCAGAGTTTACCGCCGAAGAGGAACTGATAAGCACGCAAGGAGAGCCTTTGTTGTCAGGAAGAAGACGCCCATCGACTTCAAGGACGTTATAAAAGCTTTGTCAAGGCAGAGAACATATAAACGTACGCTTCACAAATCAGTCAGATCTACAGAGGACCTTTTACACTTTCACAAATTGTCCACCACTACTGTTAATCAGTGGTTGACTGATGGAGATCAGCGGAAATAACAGCCGGTCTTAAGTCTTCTGCATTTGCATGCGGATACATATCATGAATGTTTGATTAAATCTCGAAGGCGAACGTGAGACGACAAACGTGTCTTCCAAATTGTATCAGATAGGATTATCGAACAGATTCTGCCTGCAGTATTCCCAAGTCAACTTATGTTAGCGATTCAATTTTAAGATCAACCTCGCTATGTACCATCTCTGTGATCAATCCTTCCACAAGCACTACTGGCAGGTAGCGGAAAGAACGCTGATATGTTGTCAATATGCTCCTCCGGCCAGGACGATCTCCACAGGTGGTTCTTCCGGTAAAGACACGAGGATGAGCCAAAACGTAGAGACGTGGGTGCTTCAACAACTAGTCGCATGAGTTCCATGTCCTTTCAACACACCATGCTTGCTCAGAGCGCTCAGGTCTAACGGTTTGAATCGCCGGGCCTTTTTCGAAGACTCATCCATAAAGCTTTGACCAGTGGAAAGCCCGTTCGGCCGTCCTTGGTTTCACTGTCCTCCGGTGGGTAGATGCGACGGTCCCTCACAAGGTCAATCTGGCCTCGCTTCCTGTATAAAGGACCACGCCAATAGATTTTGGCGCAGATGTAGACAAACAGCAAGACCACTATCGAGATGAACCCTCCGAAGAAATTGTCAGCGGAAGGGGATTCTCCTAGAGGCCACACCGAAAGGTAAAATTGATTCACGATGAGCAAAAGGCACATGCCTAGTCCTATTCCGCTAGAATAAGGGTAGAACTTGGTTGCCCATGGAAGATCGGCCTTTGTATAGCCTTGCGCCGCCCAGGCTTGCCGGAAGCGTATATGGGTTAGAAAAATCATAGCCCAATTGAACAGCTCACCCAGCCCGACCAGACGTGCAAGCCACACGAAGACTTGGGACGCACTTGCACTGGCATTGAGGTACGATATGCCTCCACCAACGACGAAGGTCAGCATGATACTCGGCCAAGGTCGTCCACGAGCATCGGTTTTGAGAAAGATCTTGGGAGCCATGCCAATGTGGGCCAACCCGACTGGAATTCTCGAACTCGCGTAGGCCCCTGCATTTCCACAGGACAAGACGCTGATCAATATGATGCCGTTCATCACGTGTGCAGCGTTAGGGAGACCTGCCCTCAGCATAGCGATGTTGAAGGGACTGGCGTTCGTGCCCGAGGCTCCGAAAAGATCCGGATCTCGAGGATCCACACAGAGAGTAGTGAAAAAGGCTCCCCCGACATAGAAAAGACCGAGGCGGATCCAGACTGTGTTCACCGCCTTAGGAACTGATCTTTTGGGGTCGCGGGCTTCAGCTGCCGTCAGACCGAGGAACTCAGTCCCTGCCATGGAGAAGATGCAGTTGTACAATCCAGTGAGAAAACCTTTGAATCCGTTGATAAAGGGTATTTCTCGCCAGTAGCGAAAGCCTGTTGTAGTATGGTTTGGGGCTCCACCAGCCGATATGACGATGAACATGATGATGACGACGAAAATCCAGAAAAATTTGATGACGGAGAAGAAGAACTCCACCTCTCCAAACAGCTTGACCTCGAAGACGTTGATTAGGAGCAGTATCGCGAGGAAAATTGTGACCCACACCGACACATGTAGCGCATCGGTCCAATAACGCACAACAGTGACGGCGCCCTGAATCTCTGCAGCAAGCGTAAGGGTGAGCAACAACCAGTAGGACCACGCTAAGGTGAAGGCGGGGGCTCTGTCGATGAATTTGTCGGCCCATCGTGGGAATGCCGAAGGAATAGGATAATTGCAAGCGATCTCGCCTGTGGCTTGTGCGACAGACCATGAGATAACTCCAGCAGTAAGGAAGCCGAGGACGTTACTGACAGGACCGCCAGTTGCTAGTGTAGCTCCAGATCCTAACCAGAGCCCAAGGCCGATGGAGGATCCAAGTGAGAAGAATATCAGATGACGGGACTCCAGGGTCCTGGCCAATGCTGGCTCTGCAACGCCGGAATGGCTAATTTCTCCCTGGACGTCAGTTGGTGCTCGACTGATTGGGCCATCTGTGGCAATTGCAACTTCGGGATCCTTGCTTTCCATCTGGAGGGATGCTCTGAGAGTGAGAAGAGCTCAACAGATGTCAGAAGCGGTGCGGATGTATGCTCCTATACGGCTGGCGAGCACATTGAGCTGCCTTTATAGACTCACCCGCATTGATATGCAGACTACGCTCGGTCACACCTTCGCAAAACCCCGTCCGCGCCTTGGTCACACCAGAAAAGTCGAGACGGTGGAGCTTGACTGGACGTGCGAATTCGACTTGTACCCTGTAAGTTCTTGATAACGATATTTAGAACGATCACCGTTCGAAGAAGGTGCCGAAGGCGAAGGCCGAAGAGCTCTGGCGGAGACGGTCTGGATCCCCAGTTTCGGTGGACAAGGCTCCAGTTCTTCCAATCGAGCTGAAATTCCCGACCGCGTACCAGAGAGCTTCAGGTCCGAGAAAATAATCCGTATCAATCTGAATGGACGAATTAGGGTTCAACTAATTCTTCCAGAGTAATGCATGATGCCAACAACTCTGAATGCACGATTTACCATGGGCGCAAGCGCGCTCATCGGCAGGCATTGAAACATTTTCATCCTTTTCGGGACTGTGTTCGGCCCCGCCCCCTGGCCAAATCTGCTCTTATGCTCTTATCAAGCAGAAAAATATGATCTGTGGCACAGGTGATATAAGGGTGGTCGCCGCTATGGACAATATTTGTGTTTAGGATATGATTACACTGGTCCATTCTTGCCTTCCCTCCAAAACACGACCGCTGTTGTCTGCTTCATCGTCGCCCTACGCAGTGCGACACTAATCAATCACACGATGGGTTCCGTCGCCGACACACCAGGGACAGCAGCTCACCCTCTCGATCCTCTGAGCGCAAACGACATTCAAGCCACGGCAGCTCTTATCAAGTCCAAGTATGCAGATGGCGCGGTGCACTTCAAATCCATATCCATCGTTGAGCCGCCCAAAAAGATCTTACTACCTTATTTGGCGGCTGAACGTGCTGGTGGATCTGTTCTGCCACACCTTCCGCGCAAAACCCAGGCGGTTTGGTTTCTCCGGGGCAGCTCTGATTTCTTCTGCGCGCTCGTGAACCTGGATACGAGCCAAGTCGAGCAATTGACAAGTCTGGGCAAGACAGGCTATCCCAACTTTGATGAAGAGGAGGTGGCTGAACTGAGACGTATAGTGCCCGAGCATCCTCAGGTCAAGGAGGCTTTGAAGAAACTGGAGCTCCCTGAAGGCACCGAGGTTGTCTGCAATACGTGGTCTTACGGCTGCGAAAACGATCTCGAGACCAAGCGAATGGTTCAGGTAAGCTCAAGGCCCAAGATAATCGACACTTGACTGATCACAATGTGACGACACAGTGCTATCTGTATTGCAGAGACCCGCGTCGCACCACAAATGCATCTAACGCATATGACTTTCCCCTTCCGATTGCACCAGTTTTCGAAAACGAAACGTACCGTCTAGTGGAGATCATCTACCTCCCGACAGGTGCGGATGCAAGAGTCAACAAAGATCCAAAGTTCGTCCATCATAAAGCGAAAGAGTTCCATCATAGTCTCCGAGAAGAGCCTGTTCGAACGGATCTAAAGCCTCTATCGATCATTCAACCTCAAGGTGCCTCCTTCGCAGTTGACGGGCATTTGATCAAATGGCAAAAGTGGCGCTTTCGCCTGTCCTTCAACTTTCGAGAAGGCATGGTCATCCATGACGTGACGTTCGACGGACGGGAACTGTTTCACCGGATATCTTTGAGCGAAATGGCAGTTCCATACGCTGATCCGCGGCGTCCTTTTCATCGCAAATCTGTATTCGACCTGGGCGATGTGGGCGCTGGAACTATGGCCAACAACTTACAATTGGGCTGCGACTGCCTGGGACTCATCAAATATTTCTCCTTCTTGGTGAGCAATGCTAAAGGCGAGGCGGTGCCCAAGCTCAACGCGGTATGTATGCACGAGATTGACAACGGCATTGGTTACAAACACACTAATGACCGGAGCGGACTGGTATCTATCATTCGCGCGCGAGTTTTGGTCTTGCAGTCAATTCTGACGGTCGGAAACTACGACTACATTTTTGCCTTTCATTTCGACCAGGCCGCTGGGATTCACTATGAGATCAAAGCTACCGGGATCGTTGCCACTCAGCTGATTGACAGAGGAGTCCGCGTTCCGTGGGGCACGACGGTCAATGAGGGAGTTCTTGCCTCTCATCATCAGCATGGTATTTACAAATGAGCCGAATCGAGCTGCTTTGAATACTAACCAAAGGCAGTGTTTAGCCTTCGCATTGACCCGAACCTCGACGGATCCCACAACACGGTTGTCTTCGAAGATGTAGAGGCAATGCCAGTGGAAGACGAATTGAACCCTTTCGGCGTTGGCTTTGCCGTCAAGAAGACCAAGGTCACCAGCTCGGGCCATCTTGACTTCCAGCCAAATCGCACCTTCAAGATCACGAATCAGAAATCCATTAACCCAGTGTCCGGTGAGCCTGTGGCGTACGCCATCACAAGCCCCATGAAGCAGATGCTGCTCGCGCACCCTGACTCCCAACACGCCCGGCGTGCTCGTTTCGCGACACATCCGTACTGGGTGACTCGGCATCGGGAAGGGGAGTACTTCGCCGCCGGTAATTGGACGAATCAATCGATTGCCTTGCCTGTCGACCAGGCCACCGAAGATGGCACGGGTGATGTGGCAGCGTGGGCGAACCGGAAAGACAGCGTGGATCAGGAAGACATCGTATTGTGGCATAGCATTTCCCTAACCCACACCGTGCGGGTCGAGGACTACCCAATCATGCCGTGCGAGACTATGCAAGTTTCGCTGAAGCCAAGTGGCTTCTTCGGAGAGAACCCGCTCATGGATGTGCCGCAAAGTAGTCAGTTATCTGGCGGAAGCAAACTCTACGAAGATCACGCATGTAGGCGAGACACTTGATACGTATGGAGGCGGCAATGCAAGACGCATAAGTCCAAAATGAAGTAATAGAATTTTTGGAAAGCGAGTCTAGACTGTCGGAACATGATAGGATCCAATCCTGTGCATATAGATCCGGCGGAGGGATAGGCATGTGCTCTGATGGCCCCATAGTTATCGTGATCGCAGAGACAACATTCCTGCGGTTGAGACCCGGTATTTTGGGGAGGTTTTAATCCACGAACAGCCCGTGCGCACGAAACGGCGGCACTGTTGCAATGTCCCGGCATCAATCTTGGGCCATATGGAGATAATTTCGGCTGACGCCCTAACCAGAACAGCAGAATATTTCGGTGACACTAGTTAGCTAGCTCTGATGGCCTCGACATTGCAGGAAGGCTAGTTGCAGCGTGAACTTGTCCCGGTCAACCGTGCTCACATTTGTCCACAACTTATCTCCGCTTATCTCTTCAGACAATACCAGAGGCGCAAGGTAGATACCATCGAGTATTATGACCGAAGATGTGTCGTCCTGCGCCGTCCTTCGTATTCAGTCTTCGGCCCCGACAGATTGACAGGCTCTCGGCCTCACTAGCCTTCCAACTTTCCGGCTAGACTGTATTGCCCCGGTTATCACCCCTGAATTGCTGAACTCTGTGCCGCCGAGAAGAACCACAGGCCAATTGATTGCGCTCATCCGGAACAGCGAAGTAGACACCGAATCCCGAAATCCACGGGCACACGATCCAGACAATCTATGTCCTCTCTGGCCGAGGCTGGGCCCAAATGCCCCCTGCAAGCGAGGGCAGTCCATACAACATGAGACCACCAGTCTTCGGCCACGTTGATCAATCATCCCAGCGGAGAAGTACGTGCTGAGCCTCTCAGGTCGCATGCACGTCGAGGGGTCCAGTGACCTGATATATACTATGACCAGTTGTGCAACAGCTTCGAAGGCCTACAGTACCGTCTCCCGGGAAGATACCAGAAATGGGGCACACATCAGCGTCCTTCGCCACAGTCGAGCCTTCAGATGATTTGAACGCGGAAACTCTGCAGCCTCGACGGCCGGCAGACCTGGAGAGCATCCTCACCATCGCAGACCTTCGGAAGCTGGCACAGGACAAGATTCCGAAGATGTATCGAGGTAGGCACGCTCACCAATTACACCTTCTCGTGGCCGATTTCTGTCTTGCTGATGTTGTTCTGAGAGATCAGACTATTTCAACGACGGAGCTGACGATATGATCACGTACGTCCAAATCTGATATGGTTTCTCCTCCCGAATTTTGGACCAACCATCACTGGAACCTTTCCTCGCATGACTTGCATCTCGCCTGGGGTCAGACCAAATACTGACACTGATTGTATGATTCAAGGTTGCGGGACAACGAGGCGGCCTACGATCGCTACAAAATCCGACCAAGAGTGTTGGTAAATGTTGAGGATCTCCACTCCAGCTTGGAGATGTTCGGAGCACCGGTACAATACACAGCAGGCCATGAGCGGCCAACACTCCACATGCCGCATACAAACGACCCGGTGCTGATGATACAATTGTGTTGACTGTATAGATTCCAGTACCTATAGGTTTTGCCCCTTCTGCAGCACACAGGCTGGCCCACCCTGAGGGCGAAGTGGCCACATCTAGAGCGGCTGCCAGAGCTGGAATCCCCATGGGACTTTCATCCTGGTCGACAGCTTCAATCGAAGACGTTGCAAGCCAAGGCAGCGGTAACCCTTACATTATGCACCTGACTATCATGAAAAATAGAGAGCGGACGATTCAGACCATCCGCAGGATCGAGAGTAAGCTCTGTTCTCTGTCCGACCGCGTGGCCCCTACTGATATATATTTTCTTGCACCACAGAAGCCGGCTTCAAGGGTGTTTTTATCACGGCCGACACTCCCGTACTCGGTCGGCGGCTCAATGAGTACCGCAACCGCTTCGTCCTTCCTGCCGGGGTAGATTTCCCGAACATGCGCTTCGTTGAGACTTCCTTGGAGAAGGAGGGTGTTAACAAGGGAGCCAAGGGCTTCTTGTCCGTCATCCATATCGAAAGAGAGCTCGGAGAGGCCTGGGACACAGTGATCCCTTGGTTGAAGTCACAGACTAAACTACAGATTTGGGTCAAGGGAATCTACCACCCTGAAGATGTCAAGTTGGCCATCAAGTACGGCGTGGATGGGGTCGTGATCTCGAACCACGGGGGTCGGCAATTAGATGGTGTTCCCGCAAGTCTGGATGCCCTCAGAGATTGCGCGCCCTTGGCATTTGATCAGCATGGGCGCCGCCTCATCCAGGTTGCGTTCGATGGAGGCATCAGGCGAGGGTCTGACATATTCAAGGCCATCGCCCTGGGAGCCCAAATGGTATTCCTTGGGAGAATCCCTCTCTGGGGTCTATGTGTGAGTCTCGCTTTCAGCATCCGCGTGCGGGCAGATGCATTCTCTTGAGCGTCCCAGATTGTGCTCGGTGTTAACGTTGTGTTGTGGAAACTAGGTCGGCGGAGAGCAAGGCGTGGTCAAGGCTTTAGAGATCCTAACACAGGAGTTTCGACAGACTATGGCTCTCGCAGGGTTTGTATCTGGTCTATCACTTGACGATTCATCTCGATTAACAGTGGTATAGGTGCCGAACATTGAAAGATATCACATCTGATCGGCTCGCTGTCTTGAGTGAGGGGAGACTTTTGAGGCTTTAGCTTTTCATAAATGTTTGTTTTTGGCGGTGAGTATCATCGAACATGACTTCAGTGTTGCGGATCAATATACAGTATAGAATGTGCATACGTGCTCGGTGGATTTCAAAACGACGGAAAGCTCCAAGTTGTGGAATGACGTGAGGAACCCTTGGCTGACTCCTTTTGAGTTCTTACAAGCACTGGTATATAGTCGCTTCCATGAGTTGCCCGCAAACTTGGCCAACCTACGGATAGTAGTATGCCAATATATCTATTGACAATGCTAAAGATGTGCTATACAATCGATTTCGACCTTTTTGCATCAGGATGTCAGACAAAGTCGTTCTAGCTGCCGCAAGGGCAGAACAACGTTCATGCACGCCTGGACTTAGTGATAACTCACATCGGTCCCAAAGGCAAGTTCTTTGACACAAACACAAGCTCGGGCAGGTCTTGGATTTGGCATCATTTCGAGATCTGTCGTATTATTGCGCTCGGCTCAGTAATGATCTCAGAGTGTGTATACCCTAGCTTGAAAAGGTGGCAAAAGATAAGGTAGACGGGTGGACGGGAGGGTTGGAGGTTAGAGGGTAAGAGAAAGTGCGTACAGGTCTCGTTCATCAAGTTGTAATCCGCCATGTTCGTAATATATACGGTTATTTTCAAAGTCTTATCAAACCCGCTGCCCGCTCGCTCCAATGTTGCTTTCAGATTGTTTAAAGCCTGTCTCTGTGGTTGAAAGCCGATAACCAGCGTCAGCCGTAAATGTCGTCGAGGGACAAGGAGAGGGTGCTCAACAGTGCGGTCTGCTACGGTTCCCTCAACCAGCTTCATCGTGGCGGCAATAATTCCGATATTTCCCCCAACATAGACGGTACCATTATGAATCATAGCAGGAGAATATAAAGTCGAACCGTCTTCGGGCAGCAGGTGTTTCCTTGGCGCCATCTTTTTTTAGAACGAACCGCGTGTCTGAATGGAGGAATGCACAAGTGCTGGGTTGGTCGATAACAGAGATCGGAGAGATGTGGAGGAGCCTTCTCGCTGGGGGCGTATGCTGGATCTTGGGGATGGTTTATAGCATCGCCGTTCTGCTTAAATAGATATAGCATATCTTGTCTCGGAGTCAACATACTAACAGTGAGGCATGAATACTCGAGGGCATGATAGCTGCATATGGAGCTCGGCAGGACCGTCACCTCGGCGCCGAATATCCGAAGGCAAGAATCAACCCAGCGAAGACGAGACCGTGACGGAGTGTCTCGGACTTTACAGTAACCAGATGGTCAGAGAAAGTCATATCGTATATGCCTGCGTTTGTTGACAATATTAGCTATATCTGATCTGGAGGCCATTCCGTCGCCATTGATTGACTGTGGCTATCTCCCACAATGGTGTCTGCTCGGTGTCAGAGTATGCCACCTATTTCTGAAGGTGACCTGGATCTCATTAAAGAGATATGCGATCTTCTGCTGTCAGATGGCCATTTAATACTTCCTTGGCTCACCATCTCTAGGAGACGGTATATACCTAATAGGGAGGTATACTTGGCACCCCCTAGCTTCTGATTGGATATTTATTTACTGACTGAATATGGGAAAGCTCGGACTTGGGGAAACCATCTGCGAACGTCATCGACAATTATGATCGTCCACCGGATAGGATCATCCTTTATTCAGTCCAGAGACTCGAGGCCCGTTGACGGTAGTTGCTGTACTAGCTGCAACTGTTCCTTTCTCCATTCAAAACATTAGACAAGTGGAATATTCGGGTTTGCCGGTGCATCCCCAGCCAGCCTCAATTTCTCCCCACTTCGTGATATTGACCCTCAGCTTCTCCGCCCATTGCCGCCATCAGGCTCATCTATACCCACCTAGCTGCAGCTCGGGACGGCTCTGGGACAACTTGACAACTCAGCTTTGCTTATCTTGCAATCTCACGCAAGTCGTCAGCTGTGGCCCCGAAAAGCCGAGACCAGCGGGGATCTGGGACAGCTTTGGCCACCGCGTCCGCCCAGCAGTATGGAGAGAAGCAAAACCACAGGCAGCTTACTCCAGGGTTTGCGGCTAGCTTTACTTGAGATCGGCGGTCGCTTTGATACTAATTTTTGTATACAAATTTAGTACGTCATTTCACATGTTGGACGCAACAGCTCGTCTCACGGTGGACTTTCACACCGCGGAGCTGCGGAGAGGTTGAGAAAATGCCCAATAAAAGTTGAAAATGCGGGGAAGATCAGAAAAGCTACTGACCAAACCTCATTTCCTGATGACCCGGCTAGTTTCCTATAATTCCTGCTCCCATCTGCCCACCTGAGACCCGCCAACGGCCTTACATACGAGTAGAGATGGATACGGAGAACAGCCGATAGCCTCTCGAGACGCGGGGTCAAGACCAGTTGCGTCGCCCCTCTCCTCTTCAGGCCTTTCGTCGTTGATCCTGGATGGAACGCCCGGTAAGAGCTGAGCAATAGGATCATTGGTGAAGATACTTCGCTTGATGTCACAGTCTCCTCCCAAGGAAATGTGCATGTTCTTTCCCCTCACTGGGGATCATTCCCCTTATGGCGGGGTAGACAGAGGAGAGGGGGAGAGGAGCTCGAGATATTCGTCCTCGAAGAGCGAAGCTGACCGGTTGCCCGCTTATATAGCTTGTTGGATGAGCATTTTATAGCATCTGCTTTCCGTAAGATCACAATCGCGGTAGCGCAACTCATCCTCACTGCGACACTCGTCTAGCTCCAAGCTTCTACACACTCTCGCACAGAAACTCCAGGGCCTCGTCTCACCATGGGTTTGTTCACAGAATTACCAGAGGAGTTCCAAGAGGTGGACGTTATTGTGGCCGGAGGCAAGATTCGAGGTTCCCATCCACAATATCTCTCTTGCTGACGAACTCGCATAATAGGAGGGACGGCTGGGTGCGTGATTGCTTCTCGTCTCGCCGAATCAGACCCAAATCTGTCGATTCTGGTCATCGAGCAGGGCATGAACAACTATAACGTACCCCAGGTGGTGCAGCCCGCCCTTTTCCCACTGAACCTTAATCACGACAGCAAATACACACTCTTCTGGAAGGGCAACAGGGCACCACAGCTTGCAGACAGGGAGCCCGTCGTCCCTTCAGGCGGGACTCTCGGCGGAGGGAGTTCGATCAACTGGATGGTGTACACTCGGGCTCAACGATCTGACCTCGAGTCATGGAAGACGCCTGGGTGGTCGTCGAAAGAGCTGTTGCCGTTCTTGAAGAAGGTAGGGAGGACCAACCCTGGGAAAGACCCTGGCCTCATCGCTCGCTAGATTCGAGACCCATCTAATAATCTCACCAGTTTGAAACCTACCATGGCCGAGGTGAAAAGGAGCTGCATGGTGACAGTGGTCCCGTGAACGTCTCCAGCGGCACCTTCAGAGCTACTCGTGCCGAGAACGACTTCATTGAAGCCGCGGCCAAAATTGGCTACCGCGAACTGAAGGATTTGCAAAATCTTGACTCTAACAACGGTACCGAGCGTTGGCTGCGCTACGTTGGCCCAGATGGAAGACGCCAGGATGCTGCCCACAGGTTCCTTCACCCGAAGCTGCAGAGCGGACACTATCCAAATTTGCATGTCCTGACAGAGAACCAAGTTGTGAAAGTCCTCCTGGATGATAAAAAAAGAGCCGTTGGTGTCGAGTACAGACCGAATCCCAAATTCCAAGCCGCCGCTCGTGGAAAGTCTCTCCTTACTGCCCGTGCCTCGAGACTGGTAATCGTCTCGGCCGGCGCGAATGCTACACCACTGATTCTTGAGCGATCGGGAATTGGCGACCCGAAAATTCTCAAGCGCGCTGGAGTTCCAGTTGTCGAGGACTTACCCGGTGTAGGACATGGCTACCAGGATCATCACCTGACACTGTACACTTATCGAACCAGCCTGACGCCGAACGAAACTATCAACGCTTTTGCCGACGGGCGACTGAATGTGCAAGAGGAAATCAGGAAGAACAATAAGCAGCTGGGTTGGAATTCCATGGATGCCTCAGGCAAGTTCCGTCCCACTGAGCCTGAAGTTGAAAAGCTCGGACCCGAGTTTAAGAGAGTCTGGGATCGAGATTTCAAGAACGCCCCTGACAGACCTCTGATGATCATCGCCATGTACTTGAGGTAAGAGGAATGATCGGCTACCATAACCCTCCATCATACTGATACGGACACAGCTTCTTTGGTGATCATGCTACATTGCCGGATAACTCCGAGTATGTTTCTATAGCCAATTGGACGGCGTATCCCTATTCGCGCGGGCACATACACATCACAGGGCCGAACATTTCCGACCCTATTGATTTCGACGTTGGCTACTTAAAGGACCCCAACGAAATTGATGTCAAGAAGCACATCTGGGCGTACAAGACTCAGCGCGAGATTTTCCGTCGCATGAACATATTCCGCGGCGAGTTGGCAGCCGATCATCCCAAGTTCCCTCCAGGATCACAAGCTGCTGTCGTCGAAAGGGCAGATGGTCCTGTTGCCGATGACGCCAAACGCATCGAGTATACGCCCGAGGACGACAAGGCTATCGAAGAGAATATCAGGAAGATTGTGACTACGACCTGGCACTCATTGGGAACATGCAAGATGGCACCAAGGGAACAGAAGGGCGTTGTGGATGCCAACTTGAGCGTGTATGGCATCAAAGGCTTGAAGCTGGCAGACCTGAGCATTGTGCCTGAGAACGTGGGAGCAAATACAAACAACACTGCTCTGTTAGTCGGGGAGAAAGCGGCTGACATCTTTATTCGGGAATTGGGTCTCCGTGGCACGTCTAAGGGGCGCGATGCGGGGAGGTACTCTAGAGAAAACCTGGACATTGCTCGACTTTGAGCATGGGGCAAGGCGGCTCGGCATCGAGCTCGGAAAGGAAAATTGAGAAATGAGCCAAACGACCCCGAAATCAAAAGTATACTTTTTATTCTAGATATAAACCAATCATTTATCTAAATGCGTCTCTTGTACATCTACATCGTGGGACATGTATCTCTCGAGACGACGGGCTGACATCGAGCACTATTAGCATATTCTGGCGAGAATAGGTTGGTAAAGTAACAAAATAGAGGCGACTCACCGTTGGCTATCAGGTCATAATCGTTTACATGGGTATTCAACCTCCTCTTTGACTCAGCAGTCTTCCTATCCTTATCAATAACATCAGATCTAAGTTAGGTGTTTGCGATATAGCGACTATCTTGTCATAGTTGAGTACTGTATATATATCAGACAACGTGTGTGCTCTGTGTCAGGCTCTCCTACTCAATGTTGACGTCGACTCCACAACCACTTCTCCGTTTTGGCTCCCATTCTTAACGCGTTCTAGTGTCCGTCGCTTTTTGAGTAGAGACCGTACAGAATAGGGATTCTTCCGAATACAATCACTTCAAACAAAGAGAAATTGTCGCAGTTGCGCAATAAATTTGACAGAATTAGGGAGGGGCATACATTTGATGATAAAGGAATCGGCAGTTCAGATGCCTCGGAATGAGCGGTCCTCAACCTCCCCACTAATCAAGTAGCATAACAATTGGGTATTCTGGGTTCATCGCGATCGGTCTACTTAATCCATCTCGTGCAACGGATCCTCCTCTCCTACGTCTGCGCCGAGACCCTCCGGCTCCTCAGCCACATAGCCATCTTGCTCGTCCTTCTCTATCTGAATGTTGACCTGTCCGCCCAAAGCCGCAAGTTTCGCCTGCGTCATATCATACACATATTGGCCAAGGTGCTCCACGCCTTCCATCTCCGATATATCTACCACTTCTTCCTCGAGCAAGCGAGCTGTAGAAAACACCTCCCCAGTGGTCACAACGAGTTTATCCGGTCTTTGCAACAAGATATCCATGGCCGGCTTCATCTCAAAGCAGCTTGCAAAGAGCTCCTTTCGACCAAGGATATACAATCCGAGCCTTGCGCGGGACAAGGCGACAGTTAATCTCCTGATGTCCCTAAGATATCCCACCGACCGAGTCCTTGTCATGCTCACGATGACGTAGTCATTTTGCTCGCCTTGATACTTGTCGACAGTTGTCACGATCCTCGGCATACCGAAAAGCGAGTTGTTCTTGCACCTGTGTTCTAGCACGTCACGGATTAACGACCTCTGACCAGCATATGTAGCGAGGATAGAGATGCTGTGCGACGGATATCCAAGGAGGCGCATGTACTGGTACAACGCCACTGCATATTCCGCCTCTCCGAGATTTTGAATAAAATGCGGTGTGGGTTCGCGTTCGCCAGCTCCTTGATAGTCGGGGACATCGATAAATTGGTAGTCATAGCGAAAACCCGCGTTGGCGCGTGAAAATTCCGGCTGCGAGACGAGGTGGGGCAAGTTACCCAAGTTGTTGTAGCGCCATTTGAAGAGGCTGGCGATCGAAGGGCGACAACGACCTTGTTGGTCGAGGTGGATGGTAGGGACGCCCAGGCGGACGAGACGTAGAAAAAGGGATTGTTCGAAGTTGGCGTACTGGCGCAAAGCCATGTTCTGGATGATTGGGGAATTCTGCAGATGATCTCCTATGAGAATGATCCGCTTCAAGGGCACTTCGCCGGTCTTCAGGTCCGGGTCTTGCATCACGCATGGAATAAAGGTTTCGATTTCGGTGATCTGTGCTGCTTCTTCCATGATCAAAGTATCATAATGAAAGCCCAATTCAGCTATTTCGGACCTCCTCATGGCTGCGTGTGTGGATGTCATGGCAATGATTCGTGCTTCATTTACCAAGAGGTGATTTGCTTGATCGCGACCAGCGCGCAGAATCTCAAAAGGTCGGATCGACTCCAGTTCGGAGAAGATCTTTTCAATATGATACTGACAGCCGGACGCAATCTCCCGCGCTTCTTCCGTCGTAGCATCCGGAGGGAACAGCGTTGGAACAGGCGCGTTGCTGAAGTATTTGTAGAAGGGGAAAGAACTGAGGACGGACTCGAGATTGGCATTTTCTGCATTGGCGACATCCCAGAATCGTTGCCAAGCAGGTCTGAGGAAGACTTGATTGAAATAGTCGGCAGTCTCACACGAAGCGCCATGTGCTCCTTCAGCGCCAATTGAAGCCGCAAGACGGCTGACTTCAGACAGATAGAATTGGCGGTTCTCCAGGAAAGACTCCACCCGACCGTATTTACCGTAGGACGCCTCCGAGTCCAGATCCTCTTCACCATGCCCCAATCGCAACAGGTGGCGAGGGTCGATATCAAGTGCGATAATTTTCTGGAAAAGCTGGTTGAGCGCTTGATTGCTGTGAGCAACAAGCAAGATGCGTTCCGATGGAAAGTTGTGGTAGAGTAAGTTGATGGTTTGAGTTGCAACGTCGGTCTTGCCCGTCCCGGGAGGTCCAACGACAATAGTAAGCCCAGGTTGAGTTCCAGATACAATAGCTTCTACCTGCCTCGCCGTGAAGCGTATCGTGTTCTTCCTCGGGGCGTCCATTGGATACGGTCCAGTATTGCGGGGTTTGTAGGTCGAAACTTTGACCATAGATGAGTCTTGCTCCATTTGATCGCGACGTCGCTTCTTCGGGTTTGCTGAGGGCTCGGCCGAAGTGTTCATCGCGCGTTGAAGGACGTAAGGTGGTTCGATGGGAGTGGAGTGACCAGCGCCAGTATCCACAGTCTTCCCCGGAAAACTGTCTAGGAGATGCTGCCAATCAAGAAATGTATCCAGGTAGTCTATGGATTCGATGTGATTCGAAAGTGACGGAAATGAAGCACCCCGTGGATCACCATAGCCTAGGTAGACCTCTTGCAGCCACGATGGAAGCACAGTCTCCAAGGAAACCAGAGCTTGGATAGTCTCCAGAACAGGTTTGAAGTTGTTTTCTCGTCCTTGCCTGCGAGCAATAACGTTCAGAGATGCGAGTTCTGACACGACCCGGCCTGGTTTCTGCATGTCGACAGCGTAGGCACTTGCATCCAAGTCAAGCAGCAGACGCCTCCGTCTAGGCCTCGAGGTATATCCATTTGCTTGCGTACCTCTGAGAGCTCGCCCGTCATCGTCCAGGACATGGACGACTTCGGCCGCTCTGAGACTGGTGAACATTCTTTGTTCGCTGCCTTGGTCGATAGAATGACCATTGGTAAGAAGTTGGGAACCGTTGGTGGCATTCACCGCTAGGAGAAATACAACGTCACGCGGTCTAAGATTGTCCCATTCTCTTCTGATAACGTCCGTGAGGCGACTGACGTCCAGTATGACTTCCACTCTCACAAAGCTGGGCTTGAGGTTACCAACTTTCGGTGGACCGACTTCAATGACGGCAGGCTCTGCGATCGGAAGAGCCATCTTCGAGAACCCTTCGAATACCGTGCTGTTCCGATCTCGGCCTATTTTGGGCTTCATTCGCTTCACAATGCCTTCCATGTCCTTCCTTATACCATAGAATGCTTCGGCCTGATAGAGCTGGAACGATCGCCACATGAAGTCGCTGATGGTGAGGTATTGCAGGTTCAACTTGGGAAGTCCAAGCGGCCGGGAGCCATCGTAGTGCTCGTTCCTCAGCAACGCTGGGTCATATAGTGAGATTGCTGTCGGCAGAACTGCTAACTGGGCGACAACCTCACGGAAATCTCGAGGCTTGGTGAAGGATGACAAGAGTGTCTCCATCATAATTGCGCGGGTCGCGGTAATTCCAGCAGCCGGGGGATAGCTAGTTCGAAACTCAAGCTGCGTACATAGCTCCTGCATTTCAGCATCAGTCAACGCAGAAAAGTGAGACTCTAGCTCGCTTCTTTTGTCGATGCTACCGAAGTTCGACAGTGCCAGAACCTTCAATTTGTCTCCAAAATATTGGAGTGCTACTCGCTGCAGCCTCTCCAATGCTTGATAATGTCCCCTGCGCAAGCTGTCACGTCTTTCTTCTGCGCCTCCCAGTTCATCTATCGCAAAGGTCTGGAAATGTTCGAGAAGATCGGTTAGGTCACGCAGAAGAACTGCGTCCTCTCTCTGATACACCTTTGACGTTCGAATTATGGGGATGATGTTGACGTCTTTCAACAGAGGATTTGTATACCGTCTTGTGGGCAATTGACTTGTCAGGTCGACCAAGAATTCCAAAAACCGCTCAAAGTAGACCATTTCTTGAGAGTGAACCAGCTTCGACGCGTTGAGCCTTGCAATGAAGTCGATCAGCATCGTATACAGCCATGCTCGATCGAACCGCAAACGGCTTTGAGTTTCTGGATCTGCTGCATCATATCTTCGCGCAGCGGCCCTCCATGCTTTCTTTCTTGCTGGAGTCGCCTCCAGAAGTCCTTCTCTTGTTTTTTCATTGTGTAGATTATGCCATATTGAAATCGACACAAGTGGGGCGCACTCTTTGCGCACCTGTTCATTTTCCAGAGACTGGAATGCACCGAGCACAAAATGGAGGAGAGACAAGCGGGGAAAGATGGACAGAGAAGAGTCGAGGTTCAAGGATAGGACCCGGCGAAGGAGGCTTGAGAACTGTGCTGGGCGATCGGCGAATAAGAACCAGTCATGGAGACGTGCCCGTTGCTTCACGTTGAAGAAGACCGCGATCAGCAAGACATGATGATTGGAAGACTCTGACGAGAAGGTCGGCCAAAGAAATCTTTCGAGAATCTGGTAGTTTTCAAGAGCTGCGAGGCAGTGGAAGGGAAAAGAGCCTTGTTCGAGAGGATCCCAAATTGCTGCCTTGATCACTTCTGGTTTGACCTTGGTAGGTGCAGTGTCTCTGTCCCACCAGTACTTTTTAGCCAGCTCTTCCCACGGATCGACAGAGTCGTCGGCCTGGATGCTGACGTCGGCTTGCACATCTAGGGCTGGAGCCATCGCCGGCCGCAGTTGAAGGCGCATTGACCGTGAAAACACGCGAGTTGTGGGTGCAAAAGAGTGGCGAGGTCAGATTCAACTGCGATTTCTGGGGGAGTTTGTAACTGCGCCTGGAGAAAATTAAATTTCTCCGCAGAGCCGCAAAGCCAACAGCAATGCTTCCCAACCTGCGGAGTAAACAACATTACCTTCTCGGCATTCACGCACTCACCTTTTCATGATAATGTCTTTCTAGTCCATACCTAGGTAGACATTCCTCCTCCGCTCTGACATCATCTGAGTGTTTGTTCCTTGATGGAAGCGGCCCAGATCAGACATTTCTGCCTCCAACCTCCGTCTCGTCCCCTCGCGTTGCAACGAACATGGCTGCCACAAGCGTTCCCTCCGTCGCGACCTACAAGCCCGTGATTGAGTCCTATGTGCACAGCCTTGCTGGAGCGCGGGAGGACGGTGATATTGATTCCCCCGTTCACGAGACCGAGTGTGCGGAGCTGCTCGACAGAATAAAAGGAGTTCGCGAAGCGATCGTTCCCGAGACACTTCAAGTACACAATGCTGCTGTTGAAACCGTCTGTCGCGAGATCGTTGTCGACATCGTTGCTACGGTTGATATCTCGGAGCCAGCGTTCGCCCAGGTCTGGGTCCTCCTAGACATCATCAACATCCTATCCGACAACGAATTATGCGAACCAGGATTAGGCTTTTGGCTGGTCGAGGAGCTGCTGGACAGTCAAACGATTGAAGGCTGCAGAAAAGTTTTTGACTACCTAGAATCGCGCAGAGAAAGAATGACGGCGAAACATTTCAAACAGAAGAACTTGGTCATTCTCAGATGCTGCAACGAATTGCTCAGGAGACTGTCGCGAGCTGAGGATACCGTCTTTTGCGGGCGAGTCTTCATCTTCCTCTTCCAAAGCTTCCCACTCGGCGACAAGAGCTCGGTCAATCTGCGTGGAGAGTTTCACGTAGAGAATGTCACTACTTTCGATCCAACGCCCGTCAAGTCAGAAGATGCTATCAAGCCGATGGAACTCGACACAGACACACCGCAAGCAACCTCAGGCGCCCACACGCCTGCATCAAATAGCCAGGTTCAAGATCACGAGAGGGCGGCAAGAAGTACACCAGTCCCTAAGACTTCCAGATCGGAGCCCAAGGAGCAGCCCCCGGACCTCGACGCGCTGTATCCCAAGTTCTGGTCTCTCCAATCCTTCTTTTCTTCTCCCACGAAGCTTTTCGATCCTGCCAACATGACTGCATTCAAAGACGGCATGGCTGAGACCCTCTCCTGCTTCAAATCAGTCTCGAATAGTTCAGGCTCTTCTACAAATCCTACCGATGTGAAACGCGGCTTGAAGCGCAAGCGCCATGATGTTGACATGTCGTCCGTCTTGACGTCGACATTCAATCCCAAATACTTGACAAACAGAGATTTGTTCGATCTCGAAATTCACGACATTGCTTTTCGCAGACACATCCTCGTACAAGCACTGATCATGCTCGACTTCTTGCTCAGTCTATCTCCGATCGCCAAAGCAAAATTCGAAGGTCTTACCAACAAATCGGTACTATACCCCTTCGTTCTCTCCGAAGAAGATACCAAGTGGGCACATTCTACTCGTTCGCAAATTGCAGCTTATCTACAACAAGGCGGAAACGGCAATGAAGGGAAATTCTACTACCGCATGGTAGACACGATCTTGTCGAGAGACAAAAACTGGGTGCGATGGAAAGCTGAGAATTGTCCGTCGATATCGCGCGATGGTGTCTCGCCGCAGATATATCTCGAATCCCAGGATACGCTCACGAAACTTACAGAGTCGGCACGAGCACCGCTAGTCAACCCGCCCGGGGCAGCTGACCTAGCTTTCCTCTCGAAAGTTGAACCTCTCGAAGCCCTCAAGCATCCTTCAAAACGCCGTCAGGTACCAAGTTTAGAGGAATACTACAAGGGTGTTGAGCGGGATGACCTAGACATGGATTTTGCGATGACAGACGAGGAAAAGAAGGAGATTGAAGAGAGAAAGGCCGGAAAGGTGTGGAGGGCATTGCGTGCCAGCAAGAATCGGTTCGTTATGTGCGAGAAGGTGCAGTATGGAGGCGACTTGAAAGCTCTGCTGGGGGCTGACACCCTCGACGACCAAGGCGAAAAGGGTGGAGAGGCCGAGGCTGAGGCGGAAGAGGCCAAAGGGAAGGCTGAAGGGAAAGAGAATGGAATTGCAGAGGAAAAAGGATATGGCGACGACCATGCAGAAACACAATCACAACACGAAGGGGAGACAGATGCGGTGCGTGACATATCGCAATCCACGCCTCGGCCAGTCCCGGATCTGCCTGTAGAAGCCACAGCCTCCAAGATCGAAGACGCGGAAATGGCGGATTTAGCTGATCCCGCTTCTGCTCCTGACACGCCTGGCAAGGCAGAAGAGACGAAGAATGGCGTGGCTCTGAGTGATTGAACGGGCATCAGGCGGCGATGCAGGAGACGGTGGCAACGGTGGCAACGGTGGCAACGGTGGCGAAATACAGTGAGTGACGTCATATCATTCTTGGGACAACGTCCAAGTGCCTCGTGGACGCAACACACCCAAGAAAAACACATGGAACGAGATCCAACAAGATCTTTCGCGGGATCGATTCAAGGTTGTCATTCCAAACGAGAATCATCTCGAAGCCTCGAAGCTTGGTTACTAAATAACTGAACAATGGCAATGCAATGCAATTGATTGTTGATCACTACCCCAGTAAACGAAGATTGTCTCATTGTTCCATACTCAACTCAGATCCAGCTTTGCAGGACGCCTAATGGATGATCTGAATCGCTCATGAAAATGCATGCCCCTACCAACGCCGTGAAAAGATCCCAGTAGCAAGCAGCTGATCCTCGTCGACAAAAATGCCCAGGAAACAAAAATTAACGCCCTTCACAAACCAGCTCATTGTGGACCAACGGCTTCAAGGCGTGCCCCATACCGTCAGAAGCCTGGCGAAAGTCGTTGCCTCTAGCTCCGTTATCCAACATTATCCAGAGCCACAGTCGTAATTACACCAAGGAAGCAGTTCATAGTGCTGTACAAATCGAAACATGTCCTTGTCACTCGTAGAGATTCATTTCATCGTCAAGCTCCGAGTTCACTTCATCTTGCCGTAAACTTCTCTCGTCCAGCTCTCCCCAGCATTCTCCACGGATCCGTCGCCGGCCATGCTGGCGAAGTTGGTCATGTTACCAAATCCTGCGTAAGGAGTCGTTGTTGGACGAAGGCAGTCGTACCATTTGCCCTTTGGGTAGCAGACTGATGCGACTTGCCGAGGAGCGGGTTCAGGAATGGACGATGCAGAGCCGTTGGAGGAGACGGATGTGCGGCCGGCAGAAGACATTGCGGTTGTCTTTTGAGTAAGTTGTGTAGCGAGAAGACTAAGAGATGGCCTCTGCAGTGATGTGAAGTGTGTAACTTTGTCTTGGATGCTCTTGTGGATGTTCCGGATTCTCAGATGTTCGTGGATTGACTATGGTTTGAAGATGGAAGTGCTTGTATCAATGCTTGTTCATGTGTGGTAGACCAGCCCCAGGTTCCTACGCAGACTGGGTCCTTTTTATAACCAAGAAATCCGGGGTAAGGGGGTCCATACTAGGAGGTCAGATGGTAACACGGGAAAATTTTCAGCTTGATCAAGCGAGCAGAAGGGGATCTCAACTGTGCGATTGGTGAGAAGGCAACGACGCAGACGCCGTGGCGCTCCATAGCCTCATTGTACACCGCATGGGTGACATCAGATGTTGGTGACTTTGCGCGATTGCACCAAGTCTTTTCTTGATCACGAGCAACTGAAAATTCTGAAGGCGCTGAAACATCCAGGGAGAATGGCAGAAGGCGTCAAAAAGATTGGATGTTGTTGCAAGGAAAGAATCAACTATGTGTCATGGAATGGTCGAAGGAGGAATGAGTTACGTAGCAGAAAACAATAGGCGGAGAAGGGCAGAGAATTTTTGCAAAAAGGCTGTGCCGCAGCCCTGCCGACGTGCCGTGGAAATGCGGAGAAGGAGAATCTATTCTCCGGAAGGTGCCAGAAAATTCTCGCTTAGCAGATGCAACGTGACCTCCAGCCGAAATTCCGCGCACCCGGTGGGACATTCGCTTCGGCGGCCGCCAAATTCCCACGAGCCAGAGGGTGAAAAGTCTGAAGGCTTCAGGCCGATCGGTCAGTGCACAGTGCGAGTGCGGGGTAAGGCTATCCCCAGTACAGGAATAGCGGGATGAAGGAATGGAAGGGAGGCAACCTGGGGGCTTGGGGTGTAATTTCCCGCCGGGAGGATATAACTGTTCCCTGTCAACAGGGCCAAACACTCAATCTCTTGCGCCGGCGTGCTAATGGTGCCTCTCGTTGTTTAAGTGCTGCGATTGTGATTGCGACGGTAGCTTTGGGTTGTTTGCTTGACCTTCCGATAACGCAAGAGCCATGCGAAAATTGAAAAGGGAAGGTGCGATAGGTCTAGCCGATTCCGACATGTGGCTGGGAATTGCGATATCAGTGTGGAGAGGGAAACCTGCTTGGAGCTCAACAGGTGGACCGAGGTCGCGGCTATTCGTAGAAATCATTTCTTGCTTTGACATACTTGCCAGACACATCAAGGAAGCGGTCCTCGTGAAACTCTTTGGTACGTCGTATGCCAACAGATTCATCGGTGTGGTTATCCCGAGACACCCACACAGGTTTGGAGGGTGCTCCGCGAGCCAGGGTGAGACGGTTGAGTCTGACCAGATCATACGCGGCCCATCTGGGACATGGACAAATTCCATGTCAAGATAGCCTACTCAGTCACCAGGCTGGGCGGCGGTTGGGGCCCAACCAGCCATGATTGTTGAGCTGTGGCAAGGCTCAAAGCCTTGTGTGGGTAGGCTGGAATTCGGGGTCACAGGTCAGGGAGATCAGGCTGGGCACAAAACTAGAGATTTCGGAAGACATCAATCATTGTTAAGTAGACTGGTGCGAGAAGATGATTGATTCGTAGTCGATTCGTTGCAAACCCACCGAGCATCAGTGGCCTTGGTGGTAGTGAGGCAAAAGCGAGATGCAACAGTGCGTGGTGGCCAGCAGTTTTGGGAAGGTCGAGTTGGAGGGCGGGCGCGAAATCCCCTAATTTTCGTATCTATTTGGTAGCATTTGGTGCTGATGGGCTGATGAGCTGATGGGCTGGCTGGTCCTCTTGTAGGGGGCAATGACTTCGTTTGCCATCGCCATTGGTCTCCCGGTTAACCTTCTCGGAGGCAATATCTTTTGTGGGAAGGCCGTGCTTTAGCCTGTCCAGTCAGCGGTGCGCTCCCTGGCCATTCTCCAAAGCCTTGTCCTGTCAGAGCCTGTCACGACGCACTCCCTTGGATGGTGTCTCGGTGTGTTGGGCTGTGCCCCCTCTTTTCTGTGCCGTGATGTGGCCCTGGCTGGGGGTGGCTTTCGCACCACCTTGTCGTGCAGCCTCGGCAGATCTCTGCCCATTTGGATTTGGAAGGGCTTGCTGGCAGTTGGGCCTTGCTGCTACTCGGCGGGTTGTGCAAATCTCTCGATGATAAGGGTGGCCGCCACTGTGATTGATTTCTGCGCACAACGGCCGCAGGTTAGTTTCGAGGTTTGGCTCTTAGAGGATGAGGGGATCTATGGAAGGATGCTGCAATCGCGAGGGAACGAGGGCAGAACAGATGGGAAAACAGACATGGGCCATAGAAACGTGCTTGTTGAATTCTCTGGATGAGAAAGCGTGGAGAAGGAGAGAAAGAAGGTTGCTTCGGAGGAGGTTGACGGGAGTGAACAGGGCTAGCGGGTAGTGACAATCCTGGGTGCTTCTGGGTCTTTTGAAGCCTGACTCGGTGCTGAAGCGAGAGGAGCGAGAGCCTGACCGAATGCCTGAGGCTGATTGCGAGTGCGTGCGAGTGCGCGACGGCCACCTGCCCCCCTCCGAGGTGTCCTGGCACGGTCGAGTTACAGTGCCTCGTTCAGTGAAAAAAAGGGTCCCTCCGCAGCCTTATTTCAGGCTAAAGCCTTGTCCAGTTCCTAGCCTCCTCCCCCTCTACTATCTCATTTGCACACCTGCTGCAGCATCCCCTCTCCGTGCGAATTCCTCTCACCCTCCCACCTTTTTCCCTCTTTCTCTTCTCCCTTCCAAAGATTGTTCGACTCTTATCGCCCACTTCATCCGTTGCATCTTCATCACATTTTCGCAGTTCACGCCCGAAACAAGATCTTTCGCGTGAATTCTCCATCCCCATTTCCCTCTTCCACCCTTCCTTCACCCACCGTCTTCTTGGCGCTCTCGCCACATTTTCACAAGCTCGTATCTGATCCGAGCTTGCTCTGTTGCGGCACTGCTCATCTGCTGGAAATTCATCCAGCCATTCATCGATTCCATCGTCACACTCGACCGCATCGACCGTCGACCTGTCTCTTGACCGATTCCAGAGCCAGAAGATGGTCTATCTCGATTGAAACGCCACAGTGACCCGAGTCCCGGAAGCCTCGTCTGCTCGCGCCTTGTTGCCACGCCTCGTCGGTTGACTCGCTCAACTCCGCTTCTCAACCTCCCCAAGCTCACCCACCACAAGTCACTCAGCAATCTTCCCATCAATCATGGCTACCGATTCAAATATCAATATCAACTCTGCATCTCTGCGTGGAAGCCCATCAGATCGTATCATCAAACCACGTCCCCGTAAAGACTCGTTACAGTCCATTTCCGGGTCCGATACTCATCCCGGGCGCGTGGTCAAGCCTCGCGCGCGCAAATCGCCCGGTTCTGGAGCCAAGAGGTCAGAACCAGCGAAGCGCAAGTTCATCTGCTCGTTCTCTCACTATGGCTGCGACGTCGCTTTGAGCTCCAAGAACGAGTGGAAGCGTCATGTCTCGATCCAACACCTCCAGCTTGGATTTTATCGCTGCGATGTCGGCTCATGTAACCCCGACTTGAACACCAATGTTCCCAACCACAAACGAGTCTACAATGACTTCAACCGGAAGGATCTCTTTACCCAGCATCATCGACGAATGCACAAGCCTGAGACCGGTCCAGGCTCAGGCCCCATCGCACCCGGCAACGCCGGTGACAAGGATTGGAGAGCCTTTGAAGATAGTCTTGAGGAGGTCCGCAATCGCTGCTGGATGGAGAAGAGAAAGCCTCCTCAACGCAGCACCTGTGGCTTCTGTGGCAGGGTTTTTGAAGGTGAGGGCAGTTGGAATGAGCGGATGGAGCACGTCGGAGGTCATTTCTCCCGTGACATCGTCGAAGCCAAGGAGGAGAGAGAAGATGAAGATTTGACCAATTGGGCCCTCCAGGAGGGGATCATCAAAGACGCTGGTAATGGCCGCCATGTTCTTGTTGACCAACCCCCCACGATCAGTGAAAGACCTTACTCGACCAGGGATCGGGACGTCGCCATGACGGACGCTCCGAGCTCTGACGGTCTCTCCCGTGATCCCGAACATTCTCCTTCGCTGAGTGCCTCTTCCCGAAGACCAGAATCAGAAAGCAACTATCCTAAGCTCGATAGTCCCCGCGAAGCCCGCCGACTCAGTAATACCATGAGCCCCAATGGAACCCCGCGAGCTCCCTCTGTGCCTTTGCTCCAGGCCGCACCTGGAAGCTCAGCCGCCGGACAGTCAATCGCGCCTGCTCTTGCTGCTGCCGCCCTTGGATCAGCCGCCGTCCCCGATTCGCCTGAGAGTAAGCTCCAACCTCCTCCAACACCTCCCGAAAGACGAGGCTACAATCTCGCACCGCCTCCATTACAGGCAGGGAAGCAACCCTCCGGCACTGCTGGACAAGGTGATTCTGGAAGTGGGGATCGACTAGAAGATCTAATCAACCAGCTGATCAGACCCAAACCTCCCAAGACGCATCGCCGTCTTACGTGGAAATGTGTGAGTCGAGCGATCATGAGCCCTTTCTGAACACTTTTGCTAATCCCTCCTCGCAGGACTGTAATTTGGAGATGTCGGTTGACATTGACGACGCAGATCGACAAGCCATTGAAAGCCTCCAGGACATCAGCATCATTTGCAGCAAGAACTCGAACCCGTATCTGAAAGTTGCAAAAACTGGAAAGTATCATGTGGTTGCGTGTGACGAGCTTGCTGGGTACATTTGGAAGAACTCGAAACAACCGGTCGAGCAACACAATCGTCCAAGCGAAGTACCCGTCAGCTAGCGAACTCTTTCTCAGAAGAGCCTTTTTACGATTCGGAGTGGAATGTTATGCTGTTAGAGAAATATGAGAGGCGAGATACGTTTTATCGAAAGTACACCAGTCCCTGGACCACTCATGGCGCAGGTCGTTTGACGTTTTCAGCACTGATGCCTCCTACTTCATCACTATCGACCAGACAAGCTCGCACGCACAACAGCGAATGGAACAGGTTGCACACTGGGGTCGGCTTATTGATGGACTGAAATGGACACAGAGAGAATCGCCTCAAGGCTTTCCAACCCAAAGATTACATACAGGTTTTATGTCTGGCACGAACTGGTGGGACTGTATGGGTTTCTTCCTTTGCGACTGGGCAGAACAAAGCTTACTGAGAGTCCTGGTATCCGGGATCACTTTTACTTGGTCTGCTACGTCTCAGGAGGTCTACTGAGCGTGCTCGCTATCTTGCCACCAAGACACGAATGAAATGTCCAGTTGCTTCAGGTTTTGGCATAGTCTTGTCCCTGATAAGAGCCTTGACTGTCTTTGTTTCCTTTTGTGTCCATTTGAACCTTCCAAATCTCTCTGCGGGTCAATTCTATGATCCTTGTTCGTACAGGTCAGTTTCCACCCGCGAGCTTCACACGTCGGTGATTGTGCCGAAGGTGGCCTAGTCTCACGACGTTGCCTTGAACCGGATATTATCATGAATCGGGATTTTGCAATGGCGGGCTGGTGGGCTTAAGCAGTCAGCGGTGGAGCCCCCACAGCTATTCCTTTTGGTGAGTGGAAAGGAGAAAATGGTGCCTGGTGTGGTGGGCCAGGGGGCAAGAGATTGAGGATGGATAGACGACGAACTGGGCTCCAAAAAATAATTTTCATTCACACAAAATACTCGGTACACGTTTCATACATCGTAATGGCCGCTCTTTGAAAACGTAGCTATAGTATAGATTGAAGGATGGAGAGTTGCTATTCCCAAACTCGCACGAAACAGAGACTCACCCCGACGCATACTCGTAGCACCTATTGTTCCCCAAACCACTATTATTGTCCTCATGCCATCATCTCAACTCGGAGGATTGAGGGGCCGAGGAGTGGTACGTATCTCTGCCCAGCGTAACATGCTCTACCGAGTAGTGTGTGTCTCCCCAAGAAAATATCGCCGCTTCACCCTCATAGGGCGGTCTTTTGTCCAGGCACAAGGCGTCACAAAACCACCTGGTCAGATCACTCGCTCCAGACCCATGAGAGATTGACCAGACTGACTCCGTACGGGCGGCCGACGAGAACAACAGCCGAACATGCAGCGGGCGACGGGCGTACATTGGACAGTCCTATGAGGGAGGGGGATGGGGAGGAGCCCCAGGTCCCTTTTTCCCATGCTCGAGCTTTTCTAGCCACACGCTCAACCACGTTCCTCGCTCCTCAAAAATGCCACTCCGCCTAAACCATGCCATCGCAGGCTCACAGCCCACTCAACCATCCTACCATTGCCTCTCTCGACAAATCGCCGTCACCAGGGGCCACCATGTCCACCACTGTACCAGCGTCCAGCAGCCTTCAGGCTGCGGACCAAGTATCTCATCCGCAGAATGGCCTGCTCGAGGCTCATTTCGCTCTCAGGAGATATCTTATCCCTCCCGATTTGCCATCTGGAGCCTGCTTTCGAATCTCACTCCTGAATAATGGCTCCAAATGAGACTTTCTTTTGTCTGCGACTGTTCACCGCAACCCGCAATCCTGTACATCGTCTCCTCCAGCCGGCCCTCGTCCTGAGCTAATCGTAATCTGGCTACCTACTGCGTCAATCCCTGTTCCGACTGGCAGCTGGCTTCAGATTGGCTTCTAGAACAGAACCCTTCGTTCAGGACTGGCAGTCAAAGGCCCTGTCAGTGGAACCGGACCGGTGGCAATGTCCAGCCAGTCCAACTTCCTCGACACCACTGACTGGCCCTTACAAAAATCACCTCGACAAGATAGTATTACATCGTTGGATACTCCTTCAGATACTGCCAGTATACACTTTACCACTTTCAATCTGCCGCCCACTCCAGCCCTTTCAGGGCACGGTGATAGAAGTCGACAGTCAAGCTGCTCGTCAGAGCAGACAGTTCACGTCCCATTGACCAAGCCGGTCAACATGTATGTCCTTCCCTGGTACTCGGTCCGCCCATTCGCGCTCTCCTGTACTCTTCCCTGTCTTTGGTCTTCCTGCGGAGCATTTGTTGACACGCTCGTATGGTATCACACAGCTCCTTCAGCAAGGGCAGCAAATTGTTCAAGTTAAAATACTCGCAAATCCAACTCCGCAGAGATGTGGCAGGCCAGCTCAAGCAGATTGAGCTGAGTGACCCAGCCGGCCTCCAAACCACCTTCATCCACTCCTGTTAGTTGGCCTTACCCAACGGAGACTCAGTACTGATGGCGGGTAGTTCCTGGCACAAAGATACCCATTCCTCATCTCGAGACGCCTGTAACATCAAGTACCAGCCATATCTCCCGGGTATCATTCCTCGAGGAGCAGAATGTGCGGATGGCCTCGACGTTGTTTCAAGCGCAGCCTTCATATACGTTTGAGACATGGGAGGGTACGTTGATACTTCACGTTTCCTTCCCGTGACCCTGGCTACCCCGGTCATGCTTCGAGGGACCTTTGCATAACTTTCTGACCCGTTACTAGACTGTGTACACTTCCAAGAAGCGTTGCTCAGCCAAACAGTCATCTTCACTGCGGGTATTGCAGAGGCAAAATCCAAAGGAAGAGGCGAGGAATGCATCAGCCAGAATCTGCGCATCCTCCGTTCGCGGACTGGGAGGCAGGTCATACTCTTCTTTGCAAATTCACAACGAAAGGAAAAGAAGCACTACATCACCATTCCCCGTGAGTAACCATCCAGCAATCAATGAGTCAAAATGGACGATTGCACCGGCGGCAACCTGCCTGACAGAAGGACGCGTCAATCTCCAATTGTGGCTTTGGTGAATTGGGACACTCCGATTCTGTCAGAATTCTTGCAACCGCTGCCAACCCAAGTTTTTGAGGCACTGTACTTGTTGATGACAAAGTGTACTGACTAGTGGACAGTTGACTGCATCGATCATATTGAACAGAGCAAAAAATCGGGCCGCCCGATGACTGTCTCCTTACGACCAAACTTCGACTTGTTGGCACAGTTGAAGGCCCTGCACATTACATTTCTTGACGATAGCGGTATGAAGTTCTGCCTGCCTTCTTGCAATCCCACTAATAGCGCTTTTAGACCAAAAGAAATTTTTCGGTTTGTTATGTCACGGCGTAGGTTTTCAGGGATGATGAGAGCGCATGTCTAGATGTGATGATGCGCCAATTCGCGTTGTATGAGCGTATGAGCGATTACGAGATATACCCAATAATGACCTATACTTTGCCATGATTCAGCATCTCAGCCAGATTATATAGCTTGACCCCAGAACCAGCAATGCGAAGACCTTTGTCGATTGCAATACGAGCCTGGACATGAGAATTTGCTGGAACCGGAACTTGGCCGAAGCCTCTTACAGATGACCTCCGCCGCTAGAGCTCGTAAGAGCACTCCCCACTGATATGGCGCCATTCTAGGTTAGGAGCCCTACGAGCAAGGCTGGGTCCGGCTAGCTCGTGGGATGGTCCAGAAGTGGTGGCACGATTGTGGGCTGAGGCCCGGGCTGATTGCAAGCCCTAGCGTGAGCTAGTAAGGGAACAAGGGGGGTGATTCTTTTATCGACAAACGAGGGGTCCAGCCTCACCACCCCCTGGTCCTTTGCCTAAAGATCGATGATCTCGCTAAGGACTCGGAGGCGAGCCAAACACCTGTGGAACGTGGGTTCACGAGCATTTGCTGAGTGTCAATCCGGACAAAGAGAAGTGCTCGTAGGTACTACTGTCACGACTCACTGATCCCCGTTTGTATGGAGCACATAGGAAACTAGTCACAGAAGGACAAGGGAAGAAAAACTGGTCATCAAACCCTTCCAATACGGTGCTCCCCCCTTTTCGACGTGCATATGCCCGTGTGCTGTATACGACGAGCTAAATCAAGAGATTAATAGTGGTGATAGCACAATGTCTGACCGGACCAGTCGCTGATATCCAAGTGGAAAATAGTCATTGATAGGTCAGTGGCGGACTTCATCAATAGGTGTCACATCTGCCCTGAAAATGGCGGCAGTTTATGCGTCTGTGTACGGAGTACCTCGAGCCATACTTCGATAAATCGGCCCACGTCGTTATAGACAAATACTCGTCGGACTATGTCAGGCTTCGCAACTTATCCTTCGAGTGGGCTCGAGGGACAACGGGCGGGAAGAGGATTTAACTCGGAGTTGACCAAGAGGTGCTCGACCAAAAGCAGAAGGTAGTTAGTTGTAACAGATAATGCAAACTTCAGGGACGGTGGGAGAGTCGGCGTGGGGATTAGCACTCGGTTCTGGTCAATGGTTCGCGCAATTCCTGTTGAAAAAGATGGCTGGGGGAGAGGTGCATAATGCTGAGACTTTGACGGTGTCAGAGAGAGAGGATGGATTATATCTTAGCGACTAAAGAGGAGAAGTGTCCCTGGAGGCATCAGGACATCTGACGATCGAGAGAACTCTAGGCGTTGACCCCGGCTTGGGCCCTTCCCACGTGCGTAAGGCGGCGAACGCTGAATGGGCCACAGCTTGGACCTCTAGTCTGCCCCCCCAAGGAGTAGTTGTGCAATCTCGTACCTAGGTAGTGATAGCACCTCGCCAAGGGTCCCAAGCACCCACCAAGGGTCAAGGGGCCCCAGCTCCAGAATTACCGCCTATCCGTGGTACCAGCTGCCTCTCACCCAAGCGTCACTCCTCCAGCCATCCACGCCCCTCCCTCCCCCCTCTCCGGCACAGTCCCCCCCTTCACCTATCACTAACAGCTATTATGGGATGGGATCTAGGGGGGGGTCTCCCCGAAAGTTACGGCAAGGACAATGCCTACGGTCACGGGCTAGTTGAAGCGTGCAAGGAACTTCGGATCTCTTTGGTGACAGCCCATCAAATAATCCCTCTACCTTTCGAGCCAGCGACTGGATGGAGCGAGTAAGTGGACATGGCCCAGACGTGGTCCCCCGGGGGGAGGGTTGTTTCTGTCTGGTACTGCACAAGGTCTGCACAAGCTATTTCGCGCGTGCGGTGGTTCCACGCCCTGCACACCCACTGCACAACGCCCGATCTGAGTAGCATGTGAGGGAGAAAAATCACAGCCCACCACGACTACTCGTACTCCGTACTAACCGCTACTTGCGCCGGGCGTCGGTCCCTCGTAGCTGTGGCACACTAATAATGGTGCCCGTTCTCCTCGAGGTACTTCATATCCGAGTCCGCCTCATCAGTCAGAAGAAACTTCAGGTACCCGTTCTCGCCGTCTGCGCCATCCTTACCGTTCTTCTGGTAACCCCCAAAAAAGTCTTGCCCGTTATATTCCCTCTCCAAACATTTATCCCTCAAAACCCTCTCGTTTGCTCCCAAACTTACGACTGTAACCTCCCCTCAAAAACAGGGTTTCCCTGCGGCTTACTGTTACTGCGGTCTCAAATCATCCTTTGCGCTATGGATGGTTGACCCTCTCTCCCTTGACCCCTCGCTTTTAGCCCCATTCTGCCTGGAGAATCCAGGAAAACCTCATGATGGGACGATGGCGTGGACGTCTATATGCGACTGATCGCGCAAGAGACTTTGATCATGAGCGAGTACGTCTCACTTTTGCAAGACCGAAGGTTGACCTTTGGAAAAGGGACGCATGGTCTGACATGTTCTTCAACTTTTAGGATCGACATGTCCGTGTACGGCAGATTTACGAGACCATCGACCGACAGCCTTTCCAATGGGTCGTTGTCCTCGTGGCGGGAGTTGGGTTCTTGCTCGATGGCTTCTCACTCTTTGCCGGAAACATCGCCCTGCCCATGATCTCCTATGTCTACTGGAACCAAGAAGTCTCGACGTATCGACTGACATGTATCAACATCGTCACGCTCACCGGGACCCTGATGGGCCAAGCAACGTTTGGTTTCCTCGCTGACAAGAAAGGCCGAAAGACAATGTACGGGATTGAGTTGCTCCTGCTCATCGGTTCGACGTTGGGCGTGGTCATGAGCTCTGACGGCCACAACGGAAGCATGAGCGTCTATGGGTGGTTAATTTGGTGGAGGCTTATGGTCGGAATAGGCGTGGGAGCAGACTATCCGCTTTCCGCAGTTATAACTGCAGAGTCAGTCGCCTTTTCATCTTGCACTGACAATTTCGGTCCTGCTAACCTCTCCCAGGTTTGCTCCCACCAAACACCGAGCACGCATGATGGCAAGCGTCTTCTTCATGCAACCACTTGGTCAGATCATGGGCAATCTGATCTCACTGATCGTGGTCGCCATCTCCCGCCATTCGAACAAAGACGATCTGGAGCGCTCCGTGGACATTATGTGGAGGTGGATTATTGGTATCGGCGTGGTGCCAGGAGTGATTGCTTTGCTCTTTCGTTTCGCCATCCCGGAAACCCCTCGATTCCTGCTCGATATTGAAGACGACCCTGTCAAAGCTGAATTTGACGCAACCCAGCTTTTCGGGGAAACTCCCATGAACAACGAGCTGGAGATCGGCATGTGGTGCGATTCCCTTGAAGAGTCAAACCTATCCAATCGGTCACTCGACGAACGTTCTGACGCCAGACCCTCGTTCACGGTGACCCCGGCGCCGCTGGCTACCTTGAATTCATCCTGGAAGATATCGAAAGCTGATATCAAACAGTATTTCTGGACCGAAGGCAATTGGCGTACGTTGATGGCTGTGTCAGTATGCTGGCTTCTATTGGATTTTGGGTACTACGGCATTGGCCTGTCGAACCCCCAGTTTCTTGCCAAAACCTGGGGCAACCTGCACATTTCGACTGCCCGGCCGATCTGGGAGACAAACGATGCCCCTAACACCGATATCTACGACATGTTCATGAACACGTCGGTGCAGGCGCTGGTCGTTCTGAATACCGGAAGCTTTGCGGGAGGACTCTTGTGGATTCTTTCGGCTCCTCGGCTGAACAGGGTGTCTCTGCAGAAATACGGCTTCTTGGCCCTAGCAGCATTGTTTATTGCTTTGGGCACTGAATTTATTGTGGTCCAGCAAGAAGGGGCTTTGGCAATCACGCTGTACGTGATTGGACAGTTCCTGTTCAATTTCGGTAAGTTACGCAGGACGTTAGGTCCCAAGCATTGTGGCTGACAACTTTGACCAGGCCCTAACTCAACGACATACATCATCCCCGCTGAGCTGTTCCCAACCCGTTATCGATGTACTTGCCACGGCATCGCGGCGGCTTCCGGGAAACTTGGATCTATTTTGGTGCAGGTGTTTTCTTTCTACTACAAGTTTGGGTCTACGTCACCCGGCGACAACCAGACAAAGCGTTACGGGACCATCCTGGTGGTCTTCAGCGCATGTATGATCCTGGGGGCGGCGGTCACCCATTTCTTCATCCCCGAGGTACAAGAAAAGGCGAGGCGAGGCTCCATCTGGTCTGGAAGAAGTAAGACACTGGAAGCCCTTGCACTTGGCCGATGGGGCGAACACAGTGAGTCGGTGATTCGTTCCCGTCCGACGAGGAGCATTGATGGGCTATGAAAGTTCACCAACGTGGCTAATCTTATGTCTGTGTGCAATTCATATGGCATGGCGATACTGGAGTTATTACGAGTTCATATGTGGTGATGTCCGGATTTCAGTATGCCATACGACATCCTCGCGTTGAGCATGTTTGGAAGCCAAATGAAGCAACTCTAGCATGCGACCTGCTCCGTTAAGGAGCAAAGTAATTGTATCATATGTAGGAAAATACAGTCTAGAAGAAAGAGACATAACCTGAGGGGAAAAATGTTTTCTTGCGCGTACGAGGTACTTCTCTAAATTCTCCACAACTCCCTTTATCTGTGGCGCCACTGTTTGAGATATTTGTCCAGTCCATTCCCACTTCTTGGGCTTTATATTCTGCGTGCCTTGCAGTCTCCATACCTTCATCTCCCTGATTACATCGCAGATCACTAAAATATTAAACGCTATTGAATAACCTCCATTTGTACCGGTCTCTTCAAAATATCGGTGCTGGGAGTGGAGCTAGAGTCTGTCCATACCACTCGACACGAATGTTGTTTGCATGCTATGTAGAAGCAAGAGAAAGAGACGTCGCTGTCCGCTGTGTTAGCTTCTCCTCCCCTTCCCTCGCTGCGCGTCTCTATTGACCTTCTCCAAGAGATGCACTCGACTAATTTCTTGGTCCAGCCTTTTCTGTCTTTGTCCAATCTCGTTCCAATTGAGCGTCGCCCATTTCAGGACGTCGTCAAATCTTCCTGCTTCGAATGCCATTCTGACTTCGTCTGACCCATCAAGCCTTTCCAGCTGCGCAGGTTGCTCTTCGCGGCGGCCCGCAATCTCTCTCTTCATCCCTTTCATGACATATCCGATCTCTGTACCTTCTATTGGCAGGCTCTTCCTGATATCGGCCCACAACTTGTCCACCCCGATCTGACGGACCATCTTCTTCTTTCTCTCTTCAAAACTGGTTGCAAAACCGACACCAAAATACTCCTTTGCGTCCTCGACGACGGCTTCTCTTGTCAGGAATGCTGACTTGCCCGGTGGCCTATCGACGTTGGCAGGAAGATACTGTTCAATCCAATACGCGAAAAGCGGTCGTTTGGCGGCGCGACGACGGTCATTTGATTTCAGAGACCCGGCCCCTGTACCAATTTCTTCTTTGATTTCCGCTTCTCCTTCATCCTCATCAGGTTTGGTCCAGTGTTTCCAGCGGCCCGGGTCATGAAGCCTGCAACTCGCCACGTAGTCCATCATCTCCTCCCAACTCCCAAACGCCTGCCAATATCTTTCTCTATCCAACCCTACAAAGTCCAGGACTGTGTCTGGATCATTGGTCATCAGAACCTTCGATTGCTCCTTGTTATGCATTTCCACTTCTGCAATCTTCAAAAACAGCCCTTTGGAGGTAAGGGAAATGCCAAACCGGCGGAGGACTCCTCCAAGCATTTGCCAGAGGTCTCCGTGCGCTTGCATGAAAGTGTGCCACAGGAAGTAGTGCGGATTAGGCATGAGGCTGATGTCAACTTGGATATATTTCTGAGTGGAGCTAAGCGGCATGGGCAAGGATGGGGATGCGGAACCATCGATCGTGGTAGAAGAGATCCGAGCTGCATCCATGGTGAAACTGTTGGGGTTGATGTTCCCATTCATGGAAGTCGTATTTTGCTCCTTTTGATCAGAAAACGGCTCATCGGTTTCTTCTTGGCCAGATCCGTCGCCGCTGGGCACTAGCTTCGTTTCGCGCTCGATTACCAGTTGATCTTCAAACTCCTTTGGCCATACCAACGCAAAATGATACGTTGAAGTACCGCGCATCTTCTTCCATTTTTCAGCCTTCAGCAGATCAGCCAGGAAATGTCCTATATCACGGCTAGCAGCCACATTTCGATCGAAAGGCTCCGCGACGAGGATATCGATATCTCCGTGGGAGCTCTTGGCGGGTGCTTCGATCGCGTGGCCGACGAGCTTGAAGTGTGCCCTGAGGAGCTCCTCGGTGTGGGCGAGGACTGAGTTGTAGACTTTTGGAGGCATACGGGGAGTGGAAAGGCCCTCTGGTTTGAAAACGGAGCCGCCCATGTTGCTGTCGTAGAGATATTCGCACAAATAACTGAAGTCTCGTCGTATGCTGCCAGCAAGCGACACACGTGCATCCCTGTGGATTAAAGTCCTTCTTGTAAGCTCCCTTGATAGGTAAGAAGGGAGAGTTGAAAGTGAAGATCGTGAAAGCGAAGATCGTGAAAGTGAAGGAAGGCCTTCCTAACGTGTCTTTCGGTCCTACAGCAGTTTGTTTGTCACCAGAACATTGTCTCTGACTCACATGAAACTCAGGCAAGAGAAAGCGCACAGCCTCGTCTCAGGAGTTTGGGGGCTGCCCCTTCTACCACAATCACAGGAGTGAGGTTTTCTCAATGTGGAAGTAGGTCTTCAGGCCCCTTCTTCGACCCTCGCACCACACGCGACCTAGCATTCCTGAACTTAGTGTGGTCGCAAGACCAACACGGCATTCTATAGGGCGTGTACATTGGCTCGAAGTCGGTGACCTGGACAGAGTGCGAGCAACAGCTTTACAGATCCTGACCGACCAATTAAACCGCCAGCAACCACCACCTAAGCAGGCTTAGGGGAATGTCTGACCAACGCCTTCTCCTACACTCCACAGTCTCTCTATTAGAGGCCAGCGGTCTTTCATTAACATTCTTTCCTAAGTTGGAGCTGGGCACTTGTCTCTATGGATTCGTGGCTGGCAGTCGCGAGAATGCTCATTTTGTACTCCCTCTCTTGAAAGAGAAAAAGGTGGGCCTGAAGTCAACACTATCAGATTCGGGCTGCTTTATGTCCTGTAGCCGTGTCACTGACTGTAGTATGTATCAATCTTCGTCTGCCAGAAGCACACTATCCTAAGACGCCGTGTTATGACTCATATCTCCCAAAGTTCTCGTGCTGATCCGCTCGACCCTCGTAGCAATTTTGGTGATTCGCCCATGCCCACAAAAAACCCACAAAAAGGTGTGGTGAGTGCCAGCCACCTGAATGGTTAACACCAAAGTCGTTTCCATTTCTCGTATGATATTTTGTACATTGAACCAGTGTTAAAAGGGAGCCGCTATGCCTTGGTCGTGAAATCCGTCTCCGTCGGAAGTAGTCCACCGTCTGCGGCTTTCTCGCACGTGCAACTTCCCGAACTCCTCTGACCACACGCGCATGTCGCGCCCGTGGGTGCCGCGTTCTCTGTGGCAGCTCGGTCACAAGTACATTGGCCGGCAGGGCGGGCTCCTGGATGGATCGGAAGAAGGTGTAAATGTTAGTGTGTGTTGGTACGGGGGCCGAGAATTGCAGAAGTGGATGAAGGAGGCAAAACGTACTGCATGAGCACCGAGGTCCCTGCAAGGTATTCTCTTGTCCCTTCTTCTCGCAAGTGCAGTGCATAGCTGAGGTCTTGCCGCACGAGCAGGTAGCCTTCTGAGCGCAGACGCATTCATCACTGCGGCCGCAGCACGAGGTTGGTTTGACCATGTTTGCGGGATTGGGGTTTTGCTTGGTGTGTTTGATGGAGAATTGTACTGATTTGACACAAGTTGTTTTGACCGAGGGATAGGAGGATAGATGCGATGGTTGGATATTATTTGAGATCGCAGGTGCAGGTCTGCTTGCTTCGTGGAGGGGTTTATATCTCCCCATGAATGACGCCCCGAGACCAGGGGCTGACAATCACTTCAACAACGATTGGTGAGCCTTGGTCCTTGTGGAGATTATCGCCAGCACTACTAGCCAATCATAGCCATTCCATTTGCAAAGTCCGCCTTCGGTTTATCCATTTTCTTGCATATCAAAGGTGGTGGGTAGGTGGTATGATGTTTCCCCATAGGTGGCACCCAGGTGGTCTCTTTCAGACAACTTACGGCAGTGGTGGCAGGGCCCGCCTAGAGAACGTGTGTATCCCGAGTACTCATTAATGTGCCTTACTGAAATATTTGCTTGGAAAAATGGGTCGTCTATTGATATCGTCTCAGCAAACGCTCGCTGCTGCCGGCTTTCCCTTGCAGACAGCATTGCTTCAATCTAACCCCGGAATCAACCCTCTGTAGTACCGCACTCTCGTCCCCGAAAAGCACAACGTTCCTGGCGTCTCCTCTTTGCGCCTTTTCATTATGGCTGGTTTGAGATAGGACGCTTCAGAGTCTCGCCAGACAACGGCTTCCCACACTCCTCGCAGCAGTCCGAAAGCTTGGGCCGCCCACTGAGGATATCCACCGTCTCCTTCATAGACAGCCAGAATTCATCCTTGGGTCTCCGATCCTCCCAATCGGTTCCCATAGCCTCGAGTCCCGTTTCGCCGCCCATTGGAGTGAAGACAACTTCAGATCCTTGGATACCTATGACTGCTGCAGACAACGGGTCATCGGCGATCCAGTCTTTGGACTTGCCGGTAAACCGGTCCTCGATATGTTGCATACACTTGATTGCCATTCGGAGGGCACGGATTCGATCCATAGGCGAAGGCTTGCCACCCTGTTGATAATGACCAGGTACGGCTGCTCGGGACTCGAACCGGCCTCGGGCTTCCTCTTTGATCATATCGGCAATGAACTGTGTTGTGTATGTAGTGCTGGCCCTCTCATTTCGAAGGATGATTTTACCCGCTCTCGATGCTCCTTGATCATTCTTGAAGTTCTCGCGTAGGAACTCAATATCCCTGGCAATCATATGGATATTGATCCCTTCTTCAGGAATATACACCGCGAGTGCACCGACCGAGAGACCTGCCATCGTGGCCAGATAACCCGATCGACCACCTTGAGTCTCGATGACGAACACCCGTCGTCTCGAAGATGAAGCAGATTGTCGAATAGCATCGCAGAATTGAATCAGCGTATTCAAGCACGTGTCGCTGCCAATGGAATATTCAGTGCCTGGGACATTGTTTGATACGGTCGCTGGCAGCACAACCAGAGGGATCTTGAAGACGTCGTATTGGTCTCGCGCCTTTCTCAGCTCACTTGCTGCGGTAAATGCCTCGAACCCGCCAATGAGAAATAGCGCGTCAAACTTATACAGCCCAAAGCATTCTGCTGTTTTCTTCATGTCCGCACTTGGTAGACCACGATTGGTACCAATCTCAGAGCCACCCTCGTTAACCCATGGATCCACATCAATCCACTTGCACTCACGCACAGATCCAAGCGGCTTGTCGTCGTGGTGGCGTTGCAGACCTGGAAAGCCATTGTGGATTGCGATTGGAGTGTGCCCTCGGGTCAAACAGTATGCCACAGCAGCGCGGGTAGCTGGATTCATACCTCCGGCAGGAGCTCCGACGTGGATGATTGCGATTCTCATCCTCCTTTCCTCGGGTAGGCGTAGGGCAGGGTGGTCTGTGGAAGTGGTGATGACATAACTGTTATAGTACTCTTTGAATTCGACGTCTCGCAGCTGCATCGCCTTGTCAAAGTCCTTGGCGGCGATAGCAGCACTGACCGACTTGGTCAAGGCCACTGTTTCCATCAGGTTAGATCGCTCAATCTTGTTTTCTCTGATAGTTATGACTGGGCTGGGTGTGTCTGGGGTAGCATCCAGGACCGCTTTCACCGCTTCCACGCCTTGCAGTGTCGACAACCAACGGTCGTAGAAACAGGCATGTCCGCCTCGTTGTGTGTGCCCCAGAACGGTGACTCGTGTGTCTAGCTTGAGCTTTTGTGTTAGAAGATCTTTGACTTGGTTTGCTGTAATCCTGTTTAGTTCTCGGTCATGGGCACCCTCTGCGATGATGACAATCGACCTCCTCTTGCCTCTCTTTCTGTGAGTAGCGATGATGTCACACATCTGATCTTCCCAACCGACCCGTGGAGGCTTCTCTGGGATAAACACAAAGTCTGAGCCTGTGGCTATGGATGCCATAAGTGCCAGCCAGCCACAATGTCGTCCCATGACTTCGATCACGAACCCGCGTTGGTGGGAGGCGGCAGTGTCGAAAACGTCGTCGACCGCGGAGCAGATACGCTCCAGGGAGGAATAGCAACCAATGGTGGCATCAGTGCCAGACATGTCGTTGTCAATGGAGCCAACTAGACCGACGATATTCAGGTGCTGGTAGGGTTCAACTTCTGCCTGGGTCAGCTCTCCAGTTTCCACCAGCTCTGCAAGGAGGCTCGGCCATTCTGCTCTGAACTTGTCAGCCCCAGTCAAGCTACCGTCACCACCGCAGATGACAAGGGCATCAATGCCGCGGTCAACCATGTTTTTGGCTGCTTTCAGGCGGCCCCATCTCTCCATGAACGGCATGCACCGTGCGGTGCCAATGAGCGTTCCTCCTCGAGACAAGTATCCTCTCACGTCTTCCCAGTGCATCTCTTTGATCAGATCCCCGCCCTGCACCAACCCTTCATAGCCTTCATAGATCGCATAGGACTCGCAGCCCATGTGAATTGACATACGAACAACAGCTCGCACAGCGCCATTCATGCCAGGAGAGTCGCCTCCGCTGGTCATAACACCAATCCTGCGCTTCTTGGAAGCAGCGGGCACACCGTTGGCGGCCATTTTACCGGCGATCGTAGGCAGTGAGCAGGATAGACGGGACGGTTGGGGCTCCAGACAGGGCTCTGGTGGGGTTGCGGTGAAATTTGATCGAGGGTTGCTTGACTGAGCGACGGAGTCGCTTTGAGGGTGCCGTTAAATGAGCTTGAGGAGGAAAAAGCAACGTGAGACTTGAGCCCAGAATGAGAAAATCGTAAGGTAATGATTGACCATAAAGATAATGCAGCAGTCTATCAGTAGTAGATAGCACACGAAGTCTGTCGTGCCGAGCAGCAACCACAGCTGAGGTCGCAGAACGTCATTCGTGTATCCTCAATGCTGTGCAGCAAAAATAAGTGGCCCGTAGAGCTTAGTGTCCCAAGCTCCAGAACCCCCCACCGTGGCCGGATGAGCCGATAGGTTTGAAGTATCGCCCTGGCGACAGCGCCGGTGGGGGGGGAAAGAAGAAATGTTAGGTAAGGCGAGGAGCGCCCCAACTTATCTCTGGGCTCCGTCAGGACCCCTAGACTCTAGTGACTCCCTTTCATTGCGAACTTGAGTTCACGATTCAGGACTTTCACCAATCAAACCACGCTTCAACCCTTCACGTCTCTACTGCGCAGCCAGGACTACCTACTAGGTACCTAGATAGGTAACCAGGTACCTGTCATTTGATTCACTAACACCTTCGGCTTCATTATTCAAGTGTTCCTCCGAATCACGGACTAATAACAAGCAGCGAACACTTGTCCCTAGTCAATGCGGCATCAAGCGTCATGTCTGACTCAAACACCATCAGCCTTCTGATTCCTCCGGAGCCCTCATCAAGACCGCAGAATCTGCAAACCCAGATACAGCAGATCATCGCACAGAAAGGTCATTTTCGTCATGTCACCGAACGTTCTCTCCTCGCCGAGATCCAGGGCAAAGCCCCAGCACAGGACGCAGTGCAACCTGGCCAGGAGGACGATCCTCAACCCGAGGAAGAAGATTCTCCTCAGAGGCGCCAGGAACGCGTTTGGAAGCGCAGAGATGAGATGCTGGAGCGCCTAAAGTGAGCCTCCTTGCAATCCCATTCTTTCGAAATCTGACCGCTCGTAGTTACGCCCAAAATGAAGTCCTCTGCGCCTTGGACTTTGTGTCTTTCTTGATTTCGCAGCAGTCAGTCCCCGCTCAGCATTCGATGTCGCCTGCCCTCCAACAAGCCGTCCCTGTGGGGACGTTGGCCTCGCGAATCCTCAAAGACAGACCTATCCCACCTTCTACGAAGCGGCGTCTGGCTTCTGTCTCTCAGGGTTGGAGGTCTGCGGGCTTCCAATCATCCTCGAAGAAGCTGGCTGCAGCCTCTGCTCGACTTCAAACAGAGGCAGAACGCGAGGCAGAGTATTGGCACCAGATTGCTGATCTCAACAGCAAAGGATGGTCGGTTTCGCGACTTCCACGAGATCGCAAAGCCATTGGCGTTCATTTCGGATTTGCTGAGTCTGCGCCACAATTCCGTGATCGAGGCTTCGCTCTTCTTCGCCAGACTGATGATGGCTCCGTGGTTCTGGATCGACAGATTGGCCTAAAGAAGCGCAAACGGCTGGGTGTTTATGTCGTCCGGGCCGGCGTTAGAACAGGCGCATTCGACTTTCAAACCCACAGCCCAGCCGAGACGACTGAACTCAACAGAAACCTCAACGAGTGCCGTAACGCCATTTTCGAAGAAGAATTATTCTACGAAATATGCCGCGAAGCCCGACTTGTGGCCAACCAGAGTATTACTACGCGCTCGCAGAGCGTTGAGATTGACGTCGGTGGCAAGTACCATTTGTCGCTCGTGTCCTCCACCGAAATCGAGCATGTGCCGGCTGCCAATGCTGAAGACAATTTAATAGCTCAATTTGTGGCAGTATCTCTGCGTTTGTTGTTGACTGCCGCTCATGAACAGAATCTCATCAGGCGATCGCAGAAATCGCCCCCCATGAGCCTCAAAGCACGACCAACCACCGAGTACGCGCTGCTCCGACCTGTTCTAGCGCATTTACGGCATCGTGCAGAAGCAGGGGCGTTTTGGGATAAGTGCAATGCGCTGCTAGGTGCCTTCAAGCAGGCGAATCTGCCGATCACGGTGTCTATGGAAGCCTCAAGCGCCGCATTGTTCCAACATCTGAAGATTGAAACGCCTAACAGCATACTTTCAGGCATGATGTTGCCAGTGAAAACCTCCTTCAGAATAAGCCTGACAGCAGGGCGGAGCTTGCAGATTGGACTAGCCACGTTTCTTGGGCCACCCCTCTTTGGCTCTCGCTATGAGATATCGTCGACCGATTTTGGATTTGCAACTATACCATTGTCTCGGCACGAAACTCGCGACGAGGCGTTGTCATTCGTGAGACGCATGTTGACATTGGATCTAGTCTCGCACAGCGAGACGCTAGCGGTGGCGGAGGAATCGGCAACACGATCGGGGGCGGACAAGAGCAAACGGGCAGAATGGGCGGTCTCACAGCCGCACAACGGCGAGTTGAGCTTGTGCGATGCTCAAGAGGCTATCGAGAAGCTGCAGATCGCGGTTCAACCCGGGGCTATCGGCGTCAAACTGAGCCCAGCGAGAAAGAAAATCGGGGTTCAGAATGTGGTGTGGTCCTGGACATCTACTGGATGTTCAAAGACCGAGGGAGCTGTAACGACCGCGGAAGCGGATATCACATTTGAGGGAGCAATAAAGGAGGCAGTAGAGCGCAGTAGCCACAGAAGCGGTATCTAATCTGCTCCCACCATTCGCTGCAGGTAGACCGATGCCGCGAGGAAGACGGCATGCCTGATAGAATTCCGGTGCACATAAGATCAAGCTATTTGGGTCAAACACGCTGCTTCCACTGTCTCTGTCTCTGCTCCTGCGTCTTCCCAGTTGCTCCCGATATCACATTAATGACCTTCTCTGTCTCAAACGCGCCATCCGTGACCTCCACCGCTCTCATGCAAAGATGCTCTTCTGTGATCCCTTGCAGAGGATTAATTTATCCGAAGACGGTGCACGAACGATGATTCGCCATCAGAGAGCATTCAGTCTGCACTGTCAACCCCAAAGAACTGAATCTGTTTCATGAATGGTAGGTCTAGGCGGAGATAAAAACTATTACGCCTCGATAAATCCGAAACCCGACAACTACGAGGTACTCCGTCCTCCGTCCAAATTCTACTACCACCGCAGTTGGCGCCAGGATTCTATGTGACATATTCGGCCACTTTCGCCTGCTGTTGACACAAGAATGTGCCATTGACACGCTGATAACTAGCCTCTGCTCTCGGTTCTATGGTTCCTCGCCCGGTACGTGACGGTGTCCAGCCCAGTCCACGGAAACGAAATCGGCCTGCGCGATCCTGCCAGGAATGCAGACGAAGGAAAGTCAAATGTGATCGCTTAGTACCGTGCGGTCATTGCGTTCTTTCCAAGAAACCATGTCATTACGGTCACGGCCTGGCTCAAGCCAGTGGAATTCGCACCGGGCGTCCTCCCGCCATCCAGGATGTCCATCGACATACACCCTATGCTACGCCACCCCAGGCTTCTGTCTCTGCGACAGGGCCGAGTCCCGTCTCGAATGCATCTCGACTCACTGGGAGTGCTCTGGACACACAGCTCAGTGCCCAATCCTCAGGAAGTATTGCAAACTCTTACCACCTTGGGCCAGCCGCCAATACCAATCTTCACCATATCGCAACCACTCCAAGGGACGGGAAAATTTCCTTAAACAAATCCAGACTGTTCGGTCAGAGCCACTGGACAAATTCCACCCTTGAGGTACGCCGGGCACACCAGCCGCCCACCTATACCTCGATAGTTTTGGCTAACATACCACAGCTCCAAAAGACAGCGGCTGTTCTGAGTTCTGAAATCGGGAATACGACGGACAATGAAATCCTTATACGATTGAAGTGGGAGATTGGTTCTCTCCTTCAAAAATGCAAACTCCGTTCCAAAAGTATCAAGTCCTCCCAAACAAGGAGGTGTTCTTCACTTCCGCGAGCGCATCCATCAATCGCAAAAGAGTTCGCAGATCAGATGGTGCACTTCTACGTCACTCGCTTTGAGTCTGTATTTCGCATCCTACACATTCCATCATTCTGGTCTGAATACGAGAAATATTGGCGCGACCCCAAGGGAGCTGAAACTGTCCTTCAACTCAAGATTCAGCTCGTCATGGCCATTGGAACCATTGTTCACCAAGATACCTCTAGAACAACAGATATTTACTTAACAGCGCGTCAATGGCTATACGTTGCGCAGGAATGGCTGTCGGGACCTATGAAAAAGGACCGGATCAGCATCAGTAGTCTACAGGTGCAGTGCCTACTGATCCTGGCTCGGCAGGTTCTTGCCGTTGGAGGAGATCTCGTTTGGATATCTATGGGGACGGTCTTTCGGACGGCCATGCAAATGGGCCTCCACCGTGATCCAAAGCATTTCAAAAGGATGGGTGTTCTGTAAGCTTTGGCGAAATTGAACAGAATTGATCCCTGGAACTGACTATAATGCTTTCTCAATCAGTGAAGGCGAGATCCGTCGAAGGCTCTGGGCCAGCATCTTGGAGCTGGATGTCCAAGCCGCCTTGGATGCCGGAATGCTACCTACCCTGTCATTGGGCGACTTTGACACGGAGGCTCCTTCCAACGTCAATGACAATGAAGTTGACGAGCAGACCGATGCCCTCCTGGAGCATCCCGCAACGACAACAACAGCCTCATCCCTCCAGCGTTTCTTATTCCAGTCGCTACGCCCAAGGCTGGAAATTGCCCGCCGCATGAATGGGATTGCATCCACTCTGTCGGAATCATCGTACAAAGAAATCGTTGCTTTAACCACCACAATAACCAACATCTGCCGGAGCTGCGCTGCCCATATCCCTAGAACAGACAGCCCCGACGTTGTATCCTTTCACAAAAATCTTGCAGACCTACTTCTCCGGCGCTTCCTAGTTCATCTGCATCGCCCCCTTGCTAGCCGGGCCCGAACTGATCCACTGTATTATTTCTCCAGAAAAATGAGCATCGACGCCGCCATGGCAATACTCTCTCCGATCCCCAAAAACGCCGAGTTTGCGCATCTCGTGTTATTGGGAGCTGGCATATTCAAGAATCGTATGATCCACGCGTCCCTAGCCGTGGCGTCCGAGTTACTCATGGAAGTTTCAGAGCAAGGACCGGTAGAGTACCACTCGCCCTTCCAGGGACCTTCTGGATATAGGAAGATGTTGATGGAAGCGTTGGGAGAGGCGCTTGGACAGACTTCCGAGCGAATTCGACTTGGAGAGACGAATGTCAAGCTACACATGAAGTTGAGTATAGCGATGCGCCAGACAGAAGTGGCAGGCGAGAGTTCTTGGTCCATGCAACAGTTGGCTCAAAGTGCCAAGGAGAGCCTGGAGACTTCCTACGCCACCATCCAAGAGCGGGCTACTTCTGAAGGGGTTGACATCGAGTCTAGAGGAAACGGCGGGATGTCTGAGGCTTTCGACCCGGATGACTTCGATCCAGAGAACTTTTTCCTTGGCCCCGACTTCACCTTAGACGACCTCTTCTTCGTCCCTGCAGATTTCGACATGGATGGCGAAGGCAGGCCTCCTCAAATGTGAGAGTAGGATATAGAGGAAACTACCGTCTTCGACTGTAATATCTTCTCATCTTCTAGGACTTGATCGACTACGAAGCATCCGCTCCTCTCCCACACCTTGAAATTAATCTGTCAGAGTATGGCCTCTAACACCGCTCGTAGGACTATCGTGGACACAATAATTTCAAGAGTAGTATTCCGCGGGCCCAAGTACGGCTTTGCCGACTTTACCCTGGCAAAGCATTCAAATACCAGGTACCTGGGTATTGACACAAGTCCAAAATCCGCAATCTGATCCGAGTTGCGCGGAGCGGGTTTCGGTCGTAAAGGATCCACACTCGCTTCCGGCACGTGGCGGCCATTGCGGGTATATGCATATACAATGTATATAAAGCCATAAAGAACCAGTCTTTGAGATGAGGAGGCTCTCTCTTCTAGTCTACAGCAGATTACGTTGCACTTTGCAGTCATCTCTGTCTATAGCCCTGATCAATTATGGCATCAACAGCCCTGCCCAGCCACCACCGGGCCCTCGTCCTCGAAACCTTCGAAGGAGGATTCTCGGTCAAGACAGTACCAACTCCGCAACCCGGCGAGGGTAGCGCCATCATACGCATCATCGAAGCCGGATTGATCTCCTATCATCGCGAGATCTACAACGGAGAGCGCAACTATGATTTCCCAAAGCCCATCGTTGGGGGATCGAGCGCCATTGCTCGCATCGTCGCTGTAGGTCCAGATGCCACGGTCCTGGAACCCGGCCAGCTCGTCTTGTTCGATTGTGTGATCCACGCGCGAGACAACCCGGACTCTCTCTTTCTCACAGCCCTCCATTCGGGTAACGACGCAGGGGCCGCGAAATTGAGCAGCGGGATCTGGCGTAACGGGGCGTTCGCAGAGTACATGAAGGTGCCGATAGAGAACTGTTTCCGGCTGGATGAGAACAGGCTGTGTCGAGAGCTGGGATACACCACACGCGAGTTGATGTACATTCTCTATTTGATGGTGCCGTTCGGTGGACTTAGAGACATCCGTCTCGAGGCCGGTGAGACAGTCGTTGTTTGTCCTGCGACTGGGGGGTTTGGTGGTGCGGGTGTGCAAGTCGCTATAGCAATGGGTGCAAGGGTCATTGCCTTCGGGAGGAATGAAAAGGAGCTCGCCAGGTTGAAAGAGCATATCAAGAGAGGGACCCCGGCCGCCAACATTGAGACCGTCAAGATGACTGGCGACTATGAGACCGACGTTGCCTCAATCCAAGCTTTCGGGACCATTGATGTGGTCATCGACCTCACACCTCCTTTTGCATGCAAATCGAAGCATTTGAAGAGTGCAATTCGCACGTTGCGCCGTGGTGGGCGGTGCAGCATGATGGGTTACGTTGAAGACCTGATCAACTGGAACGTCATGGCCCTGAACCAAACATTGAAAGGGAAGCTGATGTATGAGAGGGAGGACATTGTGGTTTTCATCAAGATGTTGGAGCGAGGCTTGTTTCCTCGGGGAAAGGATTTCATGGAACCCAAGGTGTTCAAGATGGAGGAGTGGAAGGAAGCGCCTGACGCCGCGGCGGAGTGGGCAGGAGTCGGTAAGTTAGTGATGATTGAGCCATGAGAGGGCTGTCAACCTTGCAGGCAGCGGAGCACACTCTTCATGGCATCATGAGGGAGTGATGAACTTGGTATCGAGGAGGCTTTCCGAGCCCCTCCCATCAAAAGATCAATAGCATCCTTGTCCGCCTTGTCCTGACTCGTGCGTGGTATCATGCCGCATCATTATTGGACTGGCCCCGAGTCATAATTAGAATATGGATCGCTTGGCGTAGAAACAAATGGGACTGGACTTGCAACCCGTTGAGCCGTCGAGGCCGTTCCATCAACCTCTGTCATACTTTCATCCAGTTCAATCCAACAGCATCCTCTCGCAAACACTTTCATCTAAGTGGTCGTATCCTGCGTAGCCTGCAAACAAACAGCATGACTACCCGGTACCGAGTCGAGTGTTCGTCACCAATCTTATATACCATGCAGTTGCCTCAACCCCTTGCTAATGATGGCTAGATGCACTGAAGGCAAGTCCAGCCCCTTTCCGCAACACGGGTCGCGAGTGTGCTGATTTTGCTACGACTGAAGACACATCGCAGAGACCAACTTGTACGTGGATGACCTTGTCGAATTTGTCCGATTGCTGATTTCCAATGTATAGATTGAATGGATCAAGGTAAGCTGGGAGCCAACAGTTTGAGCATCAAGCACAACCCTCACCGCGTGCTCCTAGGGTCTTCTTGCTGTTCCCTTTGTTCTCAACTCGCAACCAGCCGTCGAATATGACGGCACCAATGGCCAGAGCTTGGATACGATGGCGAGATCAGCACAGCAACGATATGCCGAGATCTTTAGAGATGTCGAGGATTTGATACTCGATCATAGTTTGTCTCGAGCCCGGCAAACGAACAGGTAGACGGACTAACGTGGTGCAGTCAACCAGCAAGCTATCTCGAATCCAAGATCTAAACTCAATATGCTGGTGCCTACCATCTCTGCCTTCTTCACCCCTCTGGCCCTAGAAGACGCTTTCCGATATCAAGATGCGAAGCGCGCCATCTCCTCCCGCCGTTTTGTTGCCCCATCATTCAACGACATCCGGCTAATCCTGAACACCGCTCAAGTGATGGCGATGATCCGGCCCAAGCCATACAGACAATTGAAAGTCAAGTTGAACCCAGGCCTTGAGCTTTTGACCTTTGATGGTGATGTCACATTGTACGAGGACGGTGCATCCCTACATTCACCCGAGGCGAATCCTGTGATTCTACGACTCCTTCATTTTCTGGCCCAGGATGTCAAAATCGGAATCGTGACGGCCGCCGGATACATGCAACCCGAGCACTACTTCAATCGTCTATCTGGCCTGCTTTTGGCTGTCAAGGCTTCACCGCATCTCAGTGCTAGTCAAAAATCCAACCTGATCATCATGGGCGGTGAATCCAATTTCCTCTTCGTGTTCGATGAGAAGGAGGAGCACTGCTTGCGGTATATTCACCGGCGAGAATGGATTCTGGATACCATGAAACACTGGTCGGAGTCTGCCATCCAAGAGCTTCTCAACGATGCCGAGTCTGCGTTTCAATCGTGCATTCGCACGCTTCGGCTGCAAGCCAAAGTACTCCGGAAAGAACGAGCGGTTGGGATTTACACAGCTGACCAGTCCAAGAAGCTCACCCGTGAACAACTGGAGGAAACCGTCCTGGTCGTTCAGCAGGTAGTGGAGACCTCTATCAATACGGCGCATTCTGAAAAGCCAGCCCCATATGCGGATATCCCCTTTACCGTGTTCAATGGGGGTGCCGATGTTTTCCTGGATATTGGAGACAAGTCACTGGGGGTACAATCATGTCAGAAATGGTTTGGGGGTATTCGACCATCCAGCACACTGCATGTCGGTGATCAATTTCTGAGTGGAGGGGGGAATGATTTCAAGGCCAGAAGTGCGTGCTGTTGTGCGTGGATTGCCAGTCCAGCAGAGACAGTGGCACTGTTGGACGAAATGATAGCACTGGGAAAGGGTGATTAAGGGCTGCGTCGGTCGAGATGGATGGTCTTGCAATCAGTGCTCGGCAAGATAGACACGAACAGCGGATTTATTAGTCCAGGATGCACAGTACCGACCTACGTGCAGGTGGTGCGAATAGGCGGCATCCGAATAAATTATGCTGATCGGAGCGGGAAGCTTCAAAAGCCCCGACCCCAGCGACCATTGATGTGACGTGATGTGATGGGCCGAATAGTGGTGAGTTGTGGGAGCCCGTTGATGGTGCTTGGGCGGTGCTAGTGCACAGATGGCGCTGCTAAATGCGGGAGGTTCGATCTGCGCAGGGGTTCGGCTGCTGGGCTTCGACTGCTGGGCTTCTTTTTGGGAGGGGGCGCGGCCACGGGGGCTCTCACCAAGCCCAAGTCGCCAACTGCCAACTGCCAACTACGGGTACAGCGGACGCGGACAACGTCTCATCCACCATCTTGAACACGAGGCTGTCTTTGCTCAGCAGTCTTATTCTCCTTGAAGCCGGGGGACCATGAATGCTGATCCTGTTGTTCTTTGACTGCTACTGTTGATGACTGTGAAATGTCAATCTCTTCCCAAACAATGACTTGTTGATCAAACTGTTGGCCTCCGAATTGAGCCCCCCTACAACCCTACCCTCCTGCACCTCCGCTACTGCGTCCGGCGCGCAGCCCTTGCGGCTTGCCTTGGATGCCGTCCTTTTCTGACCCGTCACCATGTCGTCGATGCGCGGTCTTGTCCAGTTCATAGCCGACCTCCGAAATGCCCGGGCGAGAGAACTGGAGGAGAAACGAATCAACAAAGAGCTGGCCAACATCCGCCAGAAATTCAAGAGCGAGAAATTGGATGGCTACCAGAAGAAGAAATACGTCTGCAAGTTACTCTACATCTACATCCAAGGATACAATGTCGACTTTGGGCACCTGGAAGCCGTCAACCTGATCTCCGCAACCAAATACTCTGAAAAACAGATTGGATATCTGGCCGTCACCCTCTTCCTCCACGAGCAGCATGAGCTCCTGCATTTGGTGGTCAACAGCATTCGCAAGGACCTGTTGGACCATAACGAACTCAACAACTGTCTGGCCTTGCATGCGGTGGCCAACGTGGGCGGTCGAGAAATGGGCGAGGCGCTCAGTGCGGACGTCCATCGGCTGTTGATCTCTCCGACCTCCAAATCCTTTGTCAAGAAGAAGGCGGCCTTGACGCTGCTCCGTCTCTACCGAAAGCATCCGGCTATCATTCAAAGAGAATGGGCAGAAAGAATAATATCGTTGATGGACGACCCTGACATGGGCGTGGTGCTTTCTGTCACCTCTCTGATCATGGCTCTGGTCCAAGACAATCCTGAGGCATACAAAGGGAGTTATGTCAAGGCTGCCCAGAGGCTAAGAAAGATTGTCATTGAGAACGACATTTCGCCCGATTATTTGTACTACAAGGTTCCCTGTCCGTGGATTCAAGTCAAATTTCTCAAGTTACTGCAATATTACCCTCCTTCGGGTGAGTCCGACATCGAACCCCCCTTGATCATTGAGCGCTCCTGACTTCAGAGCAGAAGATTCCCACGTCCGCGATATTATTAGGGAATCACTTCAGGCTATTATGCAAGCGGCAACAGAGACGCCCAAAAATGTCCAACAGAACAATGCTCAGAATGCCGTACTGTTTGAGGCCATCAATCTTCTCATCCACCTCGACACTGAGCACCAGCTCATGATGCAGATTTCTTCGAAATTGGGCAGATTCATCCAGTCACGCGAAACTAACGTGCGATACTTGGGCTTGGATGCCATGACCCATTTTGCTGCCAGGTCTGACACGCTCGATCCCATTAAGCGACACCAAAATATTATCATCGGTTCTCTGCGAGACCGAGATATCAGCGTCCGGAGGAAAGGTTTGGATCTACTATACAGCATGTGCGACACCACCAATGCTCAACCCATTGTCAACGAGCTGTTAAAGTACCTGCAAACCGCAGATTTTTCAATACGCGAAGAAATGACGCTCAAAATCGCGATTCTGACGGAGAAATATGCAACCGATGCTCAGTGGTACATTGATATCACATTGAGACTGCTCGCCATGGCCGGTGATCACGTTAGCGACGAAGTTTGGCAACGCGTGGTCCAGATCGTCACCAATAACGAAGAACTGCAATCATACGCAGCACAACATATTTTCGACTATTTGAAAGCCGAAAATTGCCACGATACGATTGTCAAGATTGGCGGTTACATTCTTGGAGAGTTCGGCCACCTGATAGCCGACAGCAAAGGATGCAGCCCGATCGAACAGTTGATGGTGCTACAAACAAAGATGATATCGGCGCCTGATCCTACGAGGGCGTTGCTGCTGTCCACATTCGTCAAGTTCGTCAACCTATTCCCGGAAATCAAGCCGCAATTACTGCAAATGTTCCAATTCTACAGCCACTCACCGGATTCAGAGCTGCAACAGAGGGCATGCGAATATCTGACCATCGCGACGTTGCCAACAGACGACTTGCTACGAACCATTTGCGACGAAATGCCTCCGTTTTCTGAACGAGCGTCCATCCTCCTGCAAAGGCTGCACAAGAAGAGTGCAGGAATAAGTGAAAGGAGGACTTGGGTGGTTGGTGGCAAAGATGCCAATGCCGACGAAAAAGAAGTTCTACTGGCTCAGCAGACAGGGCTGAAGCGATCTTTTACCACTATTGTTAATGGGACGAATGGGACGCCTGCGAATGCAAATGGCGTTGCAGTTACACCGGCTCAGAACGGAATGACCAGTGCTGCGAAGGACCTGGAAGGGCTAGATATGAATGGCCATGGCAATGGCGTGACGACTCCCGATCCGACCAGCGCGGCTCATCTTTCACCAGATTGGCAGATTGGCTACGACAGCCTGTTCTTTTCCGATGAAGGTGTCTTGTATGAGGATCCACAGATTCAAGTCGGCATCAGGGCGGAATATCGTGGCCACCTCGGGGTGATCAAACTCTACTTTACCAACAAGGCGTCTTTTTCAATCGGCTCCTTCACGAGTACTCTGGACAACAAATCAGCCCCCAGCCTCAAAATTGACACCAAAAGCCTCCCGGATTCATCAGTCAGTGCAGACTCGCAAGTCCAACAGACCATTGTGTGTACTTCAATCGCCCCATTTTCCGAAGCACCCACCATCCGCATCTCATATCTCGCTGGAGCCTTGCAGGGATATACTCTAAAACTACCAATTCTCCCCCACCGATTCATGGATCCGTCGGAGCTCTCAGCGGAAGATTTCTTCAAACGTTGGCGGCAGATTGGAGCGGGTCCCCTTGAGGCGCAAAGCACGTTCGGCTTTCGCAATCCACAGGCGCCAATGAACGACAAGTTTGTTCGCGATACCGTTGCAGGGTTCCGTTGGCGCCTCCTGGACAACGTTGATCCAAATCCGAAAAATATTGTGGGATGTGCGGTTTTGCAGCTGGAAAAGGGGAAGACTGGATGTCTGCTCAGACTAGAGCCCAATCATCAGCAAAAGGTATGATCCCGGAGAAGCCCTATGCCATGCACATGATCGAGACTGACCTGCCTTAGTTGTTTCGTGTTACGATTCGTGCGACACAGGAAAAGGTTCCCGAGGTCCTGTTGAACCTCATGCAGGAAAGGCTGGCCAGAGGACCTCCAGCTTAGAAATGATCTTGGTTCAGATCACCAACATCAGCATTATCAGGTCAGGGTACTCTGTCCTTTCCAGCACAAGTCGCATGGTGTTCAGCGGCCGAGGCGGAGCGGATATCACATGCATTGTCCTCAAGGGTGGGTGACACATAATTTGAGCATCTTCTTCCTGGCCATCAAATATCATTATGCCGTTCTTCCCCTTCCGGGCGTGGTCGTTTCGGAGCACACCACCAGTGTCCTCAATGTCATGAGATCAAGCTCTCGTATGATGCAGTTTCAATTCTTCTCTTGTTCCGTTTGCTCTAGCACTTTGGCGTCCTTCTTCGGCGGCCGCTCCCCAAATATCGTACTTCCTACCCTTACCTCACTACTTCCCAACCTCACTGCGCTCTCAAAGTCCTCTGACATTCCCATACTCAGCTCGAGTTCATCCTTGTTCTGCAGACCTAGATCTGCAGCGAGTTTGTCGCGGGTGGAGCGCAGCGTGATGAAGTCCTCGTTTTCTGTTTCCGGGGTTGTGGCCTTTGATCGCGCGATGGCACCAATAGTCATGAGTCCCTGGAGGTGCAGGTTCGGACACCGCCCATCGTCGCGGATGAGTCTGGCCAGGGACAACAGTTCTGGGGAGTCTGGATCGAGCCCGCTCTTGGACTCCTCACCGGAGGTATTGACTTGTATGAAGATCCTCAATTTCTCCTCGAGGCCGTTCTCGTCCATGGCCTGCTGCCCGTGTTCCTTGCGCAGTCGCTCGTTCCTCTCCGCCCGGCCTTTGTTCAACAGGTTCGCCTTCTTCTCGCTGTCCACGCTCTCCACCGCCCACAGGTTGTCCACGTCCCGCGCCACGGGCACGCACTTGTTCGACTGTAACCCGCCGATGAAATGCCACTTGATCGTCTTGGGCAACACCCTCGACTTCTCCACCAGCTCCTGCACGTAGTTCTCCCCGAAATGGTCGTGTCCTCCTTGCCCTTGCGACTGCTGCGTGCTGGCGGATTCTTCAGAGGATGATGATGATGCTGCTGCTGCTGCTGCTGGGTGATGTAGCGCGAGGATGTCCGAGGCTGGCTTCAGCTTCGACACGGCGACGACTCGGACGGGCGCGGCAGCGGTCGACGGGCTCGTGCCTGGAGAAAGGGAGGAGCTCCATGCGCTTTGGACTCGTTGCTGGACCGAGGAGAGGTTCTGTAACAGGGCGGCGGCGCGTTGCGGGTTGATCGTGATTTTCATGTCGGACGGCGGAGCGGTGGTGTCGTTTGAGGAGCTCATCGTCGCATGGAGCAGGTCGTGTGTTCTATTTCTATTAGTGTACAGGTTAGGAGTCAATGTAAAAGGATCGTGCAGAGGATCTTTAGAGATCGAATCGGATAGAGTTCATATCGAATGTTTGGCCAGCTACAATAATTTGACCGTGACTTTTTGAATGCGACGTCATTGTTCCCATTGGGGGACCTGCGGGACTTGCTCAAGCCATTCTACAAATTTTCGCACGCCTTGTGCTGCTACGAGCAAAGCCTCGTCAAAAGTCCTCATTCATTAAAGAAAGGGTATCCTCTCTAAGTGCCGTGCTCTCTATCAACGTAATCAACGCAACTTTGGTCGACTCGCAGCATATACAAAACCCTAGTCAAACTTGTAAATGCCAATCGAGCCCAAGTCTATCCCTCGTCTTCCCGCATGTCCAGTCTATCGTCTATCGTTCGCCCATGAACGCGTACATACCCTTGTTATGTTCAAAAGTCGCATGAAAGAACGCCAACGCTATGATTTCCAATCGTCCCGTCACTCTTATTCGTCATCTGAATCAGGTGGATGAGGAGTCCCCGCGGGCTTGTTGAGCCATTCAATGCTTGAAGACAGACCGTTAGCATATATCACGATGCTGGACTGGGCAGGGTCAAAACTTACTGTCTCAGCCTTCTTCTCACCTCTCTCTCCTTCAATTGAGCCCTTGTCATCTTCTTTTTCTTCTTCGCCTTGAATTTCATCTCGCTGTTGTCCTCAACTCCGGAGTTGACGGCGGAAGCGGTGGCACTGGACACCGCCGAGGAGCTGACATTGCTGGACCCTGGGCGCGAGTCTTCAAACCGGTTCAGATCGATAGCAAGATGACCTTTGTGTGTCACTTTTCCATTAGCCACATGCCATTGTTCCGGACACAACGCGCCAACGAATTCCTCATTGTGACTGATCATGACAACGCCGCCCTTGTAGTCACGAATAGCCACGGCTAGACCACCCAGAGAATCTCGATCCAAGAAGTTGGTCGGTTCGTCGAGGACCAACAAGTGAGGGTTGTTCCACATGGCACCGGCCAGAACGACTTTGACCTTCTGGCCACCACTTAAACCTGAGATCTCATTATGATTGGCGATCTCGGGATCCAATCCAACGTCCTCAAAGTGCTTTGAAATCACCTTGGGTTCCAGGATGCGATAACCAAGACCTTCTCGGGACGCTTCGTGATCATCGAACTCTTGGACAAGCTTCTGGAAGCCCCACTCCAGCAGCGTCTCTCGAGAGACCTGTGTGTTGAATTTTGGAAGCATACCTCTCCATTTCACCTCATACTGGAATGTCTTTTTGTACTTTTGTCGGCCGATCAGGTTCTCAATCTGCCTGCCACCCTTCCCGTCCCCGAGGTCGATCCATTTGTCCATCTGTGCCTTATCCTCGTCAGTAAGCTGGCGCGTAGCTTTCATCAACACCTCGCGATCATCTCCGTTGGCGTATCTCCATTGCAAGTACTGATTTGGTGTTTTTTCCAAATGCATCTCGACGTGTTCCAAAGCATGTTGCTTAATGTACCCGATTCGCAGATTAGGATGCTTCTCCACCTTGCCCGTCTGAGGGATGGTTTCACCCGTCAACAGCTTGATGAGGGTAGATTTACCAGCACCGTTGGCACCAATGATTGCCACCCTGGATGAGAGACTGAGTTGACATGAGACGTCGGTCAAGCTGGGCTTTGACGCACCGGGATAAGTGTAGCTACAATTTGTCATTCGGATTATGGATCGAGTGTTAGACTTGACGCCGCTAAGGATGCCTGGAGGAGGGAATTTGAATTGCACTTGTGTCGCCGATAGTGTGTAGTAACTCTTGCCCTCGGGCTTGACTTTAACAAATGCGGCCAGATTTCCAGGATAATGAACGAGTTTCTTGTTCTCGTAGTGGTAAATGTCCGTGCACACTGCGTCGAGGAAGCCGGAATCATGAGAGACAATCAATGAAGTGATCTCTGTGTGCTTTTGGAGATACTCCTCGAGCCACTTGACATTTGCCACATCCAGGTGGTTGGTCGGCTCATCGAGCAGGAGAACATCGGCGCGCATCAGCATTGCCCTCGCCAAAGCCAGCTTCATCTTCCAGCCTCCAGACAAAGAGCCCACCTTATGGGACTGTCGGCCCTCCGGACCAGCTGTAAAGCCAACTTCGCTCAGTACCTCTGAGATCCGCGCTTGCCCTTCCTTGGCAATTTCGGGATCCTTGGATACATACTCAAGAATGCTGATATCGGCATCTTCACCCTGGTTGTGCTCCACAAAGCATGTCTTCAGGACTTCCTTGGGTGGAAAGCCTTCCAGCTTCCCTTCTGCAATGCTTCGCATGAGTGTCGATTTCCCCGCCCCATTTCGGCCGCATAGACCGTAGCGGTGCCCTTTTAGAAGTCGTAGGTTGGTGTGTGACAGCAATAGCATGCCACCATAAGCGAGAGAAAATTCTGCGTTGACAATCTCAACCTCGTTTGGATCCTCCACAATGGGAGCGCCAAATTTCTTGTGATCCTCATCAACGAAGTGCTTCTGCACAGCCTCGGCAACAGCTGTGCAAAGCTCGTCTGGCAGCATGTACTTGAGATATGGACCAACTCGAGAAGGAATACGCGAGAAGACCCGAGCGTTGACATCTTCTCTGACCATCTCTGAGACATAAGTCTGCCCGTGTTTCCAGATTGGCATATCCTCTTTGCGCAGACCGCCTTGTGCGCGGATCTGGCTGTCAAGGACTTTGAGAACATCGTCGGTGGTGGTTCTGGCAATTTGGCCGTTGGTCACACCATCTTTGTCGTCACCCATGGCCTTCTTCATGACATTCACGGCCCTGGTGGCCAGTTCTCGAACTTCGGGAAGGGATGCGTTGTCTTTGACTCTCTGGACACCCGGCTGGAGCTTGGGCAGGAAAGTTCTAGCCTCGACTGGATCATGCACGAGCTTGGTCAAGTTCTCCACTACAACCACTGTCTGGCGAAGAACTTCTTGAGAGGTGCTTGGAGTGTTGAGTGATCGCTCCAGCAAAGGGGTCAGAAGAGCGAGGACAGGGGATGTCACGATAGCGACGAAGGTGGTCTGGGACAGGGCGTGGATGGCTTTCTGAAGAGTCTGAGCGGACGGATTTTTCATGGTGTCGATGAGCAGGGGTATCCGAGGGGCCACGTCGTCGTTCTGAAGCAAAGTCGTGAGCGAGGTCATGGTCTTATTGGCGGCTTTGGAGACTTCGGCTTTGAGGTCGTGCATCCCCCCCTCCACGATTGGAATGAGCTCCTTGAGCGTTTTACCCATAGATTCCCGCAGAACGTCTTTTGCTTGTTCCTCTTCTTTCGTGCCTGTTCCCATCTGGGCCTTATCGGCCATCTTGCCCAAGAGAGTGTATGCGCCCACAGTGCCTTGCCATTTTCCGGTTGGTTTGGACAGATAAGATTGCAAAGCTGGGAGGAGACCTATAACCATAGCCTCCGGCGCGAGGTTCTTGAATAATTCGTCGACAGCATATTGAGCCGACTCGCGGACAGACGAGCCCTTGTCAGCCAAGCCATCCAGGACCAGGTTGAAGAGTCCCCCATCCTGAACCAGAAAGACAACTTCGCTCAGCGGCTGCTCGCGGGGGAATCGCTCGAACATGGCCCCGAGCATGAACATGGCACTTTCCCGTTTGGCGCCGTTCTTCTTGTCTGCCGCGGCCTTTTTGATCTCGGGAATGAGGTTGTAGGAGAGCAGGCCTCGGATTCCTACAGACTGAAGAAGGAGGTTTGTAAGCGCATAGGAGGCGTCGAGTGAGGTCTGCGCGGAGTTGGTGTCAACAATGGTCTTTAGAATGCTGCTGACTTCTTCAGGCGCTGGCGCGACTCCGGAAAAGTCCGACTTCGAGGGTACGACGGTCGTCGCCATTGCGGGAGTCGAGGGAGGGCTTTCGAGGTGTGGCATTACTTTGCACCAAAAATTCCGTGCAAGGCGGAACTCCCAGGTCTCACAAAGACGTACAGAGAAAAAGAAAGACAGATAGCTCGAGTGCAGAAGAATGGACCTGTGAAAAAGACGATGGTGCCGCTCCCTATGCCGCCGCAACCCGAGAAGGAGTGGAGAGTGAATGCAAGGGAGAAATACAGAAAAACAACAAAAGAATATATCGCTGAAGCCACGAGGGGTCTGTCGGCAGAGGACAGCAGCCTATGAGAGAAATCTGATTCAGCCTGCGCCCACCAGCCGCTGACTTCACTGGCGAGTGGCTGCATGGGAAAAGAAGGGATGCAATTTTTTTTTCCAGCCTTGTAGAAATTTTTCGGGGCCTCCAGGGGGTTTTCTAATCGATAAGCGACAAGCGTCTAGGCGCCTAGAACGGCTGGGGATCTTCTAGGTACCTACTAGGTGGGCTTAGGTACCTAGGTAGGGACACATGTATACCTGGTAGGTAGAGTAACTCCTGGTAGGTGACTGACTAAGCTCGGCATTGTTTGTACCTGGCTCGATGGGTATGCATCTTCGTTGCCACTTTCGCAAAATCGGTCTCGATTCCTCCCTAAATGACTAGCAAATACCTATGTGGTAGCTTTTGACAAGAATATATTTACAGCGAAATCCGCTCCCAACAAACATTTTGCTATCCGGGTTCATGTCATCATGTGGTTTATAGGGACCCTCCGTGGCCGCGATGAAAATAGGTGAGCGTTGGTTTTACCAGGGTAATCGGCTGCCTCGTCGCAAATGCTGGACGGACAGGATTCCAGGTAGACAGTGCTCCGTGACAGAGGGTCAAGACCCTTGGCCCTCAAAAGCCCGCCTCCGTGTTGCCTTCGCCCATGCTCCTGCTAGAACTGCTGCCGCTTTGGATGGCGCCAATGATTCCATCGATGTACGGCGCTCCGCTCCACTTCTGATGGGTGAGAACATCAACACCAAGCTCCTTCTCCCGGCTCTGGACTAGCTTGACATATGCAAGCATTCCGTCCTCCTTGAAGCTTCGTGACAGCTCTGCGGTAATTGTGGCCCCGGAATGGAGACCGGCAAGTGATATCAGTTGAAGCACGAAGCCTTCCTTGGCAAGGTCCCAGATAAAGGACTTCAGCGAAGCATCGTTGAAACCTTGACCCATCCAGTTGAATGACGGGCTCAGGTTGTAGACCAATTTCTTGCCCGGGTGCGCCTCACGAATCTGTCTGGCAAATCCGGCAGCTTTCGATACGTTAGGGTCGGCAGTCTCCAGCCAGAGAAGGTCTGCGTAAGGAGCAAATTCAATGGCACGTTTGGTTGCTGCCGGGATACCAGCTCTGTAATGGTAGAATCCTTCTCGAGTTCGAGGAACGTCGCAAGACCAGACAACAGGAGACTTAGTGTATTGGGAAGAAAGTTTGCGACGTGACGAGAGTGACATATTGCGATCTGCTTTGGTTTTGGCGAGATACTCGGAAGCGTCTCCGCCCTCAGCTTTGATGTAAGCTTCAACGGCTTCGTCAAATGTGACCAGCTTGTGTTTCTTGACCCAATCAGCCTCGAACTTATCCACTACTGGTCCATCTGCACCGTTGAGCTCCATCTCTTGAAGGACCTCAGCCAAAGGTTCCGTGTCCTCAGTCACACCTAGAATATACTCGTGGTCTCGGACATCAATGGCACTGGAGAGTAGTTTGCCGCTTTCTGAATCAGTTCGTGCAATGACAAGGTTCTCGCAGCCCATCATGTCCCACTGAAATCTTGCTGCGACGAGCCGGTTGATGTGCTCGCCTACAGGCACCAGCACTTTGCCAGCAAGGTGGCCGCATTTCTTGCCGCCATGAAGCTGATCCTCAAAATGCACTGCGGCAGCACCATTCTCCGCGAAGAGCTTGGCCAGTTTGATGACGGCCGACAGTCCACCATGCCCGGTGTCGCCATCTGCGACGATTGGTCTCATGTAATCGATGTAGGGCGTGTTTTTCCGTTCTTCAGCAGTCATCTTCTGCCGCGCATCGAAGTGTTTGCGATCGTGGAGTTGTTGAGCTTTAAACAGCCTCTGCACCTGGTTGGGGACGGTATTGTAAGGGTAGTCGCCAAAGTCGGCGGAAACCTCGTTGGTGGTTGTCAGGACGGAGGAACAAGCCCAGCCCGATACATAGAGGATCTCTTGGTTGGGTGCCTGCTGGGTCATCTGGACGGGGTCAATTGCTCCCATTGTGTGGACCGGCTTGCCCTCCGCTGCTCGCTCCGCCAGCAAATTGAAGAGTTTCCTCGCCATGAGCGAGCTGGGATAAACCTGTTGTAGAGTTCCTCGTTTGCTCACGACATCCTCTGGTCTGTATGGCCTTTTGATGCCTTTATATCTCGGCGATGCCCACCATGCTTTTATGTCTTCCACTTGTTGTTTGAACAGGATATCTTCTGCGTCGCCCGCTTTGTCCTCGGTCGAGAGAAGTTGAAATGAGTCGGAGGGTAATGAAGTGGACACGGGAGGTTCAACTGAGGGCAAGGAGGACAAATATCGAGGCATGGCTGCAAAGAGAGGTCTCGACGCTGCTGTTCTTATTGCGGGTCTGGCTGCGAGCCTGTCAAGGCTCCTCGGAAGTCGTCGAAGCATAGTTCTTGTCGTTTTACTGACCTCTTCTCAACATTCCAAAATGTAGTGCAAGGGAGACGAACAAGCTGCACTCTCCTGGGTTTTAGCATTAGAAAATGGGCACCTCTATAAGCCCCGCGGACACCTGCGCGAATTTGCTTTGTAAGGAGACGACGGCTCAATGGTGCAGACAGGATAATGTCGAGGGCTCTCAGTGCATCTGGAGATCAAGAGCCTCTTGCGACTTCGGCCGCTCAAGCGATGGCAGCCGGAGGGGGCTTGTGGGGAGCTGTCGAGGATTCGAGGAGAAATGGGAGGCTGACAACAGCCTCGGAAGTCGGTTAGGCTCGGAGCTTTTTGTTGTTGGTGAGAAGCTGCCCTCCGAAAATGCGCCTTTCGCTAGGGCTGTGGATGGGCTTGTCCCTAACAACATATCCGGACTTCACATTTTTGGTCGAAGCTCAAAGCTGGTGCATGCCGCACTCTCGTAGACACTGTTGTCTTTCTACGTTCGTCGTCTTCACCTCCAGTCCTCGCTCCCTACTTGCTCCCGGCGTCTGTATCTCTTCCTTTTGCGTGCGTTGAAGTCAACAGACCCCGCACGAGCACCTCGATCTCAGCAACAATCGAGACAGAAGTGTGAAACAAAAGGCTTGATCACCACAATGGCTACCACAACTAGGACAACTCAGCACGCCCTGAGAAGCCTTCGTGCTGCCTCGTCAACCCGCTCTTATGCTGCCTTCACCCTACGGACTTACGCCTCCGCCGCCGAGCCCGACCTCAAGGCTACGCTGCAGTCCGTGATTCCTGAGAAGAGAGAATTGCTCAAGCAAGTCAAGAGCCATGCCGACAAGAAGATTGGAGACATCACCATTGGCCAAGTCATCGGCGGTATGAGAACAATGAAGTCCATGGTTTGGGAGGGAAGCGTGCTGGACGCCAATGAAGGAATCCGTTTCCACGGCCGAACCATCGCCGACTGCCAGAAAGAGCTCCCCAAAGGCACCTCTGGGACCGAGATGTTGCCTGAGGCCATGTTCTGGCTCCTTTTGACCGGCAAAGTCCCCTCTACCTCTCAGGTCCGAGCCCTGTCGCGCGAATTAGCCCAGAAGTCAGACCTCCCGCCCCATGTCGTATCGATGCTTCGCTCCTTCGACAAGAATGTCCATCCGATGACGCAGCTGTCATGTGCTGTTGCCGCTCTGAATACCGAATCCGCATTTGCCAAAAAGTATGCCGAGGGCCTGAACAAGGCGGACTACTGGGAGCCTACGTTTGATGATAGCATCAGCCTCCTGGCCAAGCTGCCTCGCGTGGCTGCGGCCATCTTTGACAAGGCTGCTCTCGACATGGCCCTGGACCCCGACCAAGATTGGGCCTACAACTTCGCTAAACTCCTCGGGAAGCCAGGCAAGGAAAATGAAGGTTTCCAGGACTTGCTTCGTCTCTATCTTGCCCTTCACGGAGACCATGAAGGAGGCAATGTCTCGGCTCACGCGACTCATCTAGTCGGATCCGCTCTTTCTGATCCGTTCTTGTCGTACTCTGCTGGCTTGCTGGGTCTGGCCGGACCTCTGCATGGACTTGCTGCCCAGGAGGTGCTCCGCTGGATCCTGAAGATGCAATCGCACATCGGAGAGAATTTCTCCGACAAGGACGTCAGAGACTACCTTTGGTCTACTCTTCGCAGCGGTCAGGTTGTACCAGGTTACGGTCACGGTGTGCTCCGCAAGCCTGACCCGCGATTCAAGGCCTTGATTGATTTCGGCGATGCCCGCGAGGATATTGCCAAGAACCCTGTGTATCGGCTGGTCAAGAAGAACAGCGAGATCGCACCAGGCGTGTTGACCGAGCACGGCAAGACCAAGAACCCTCACCCCAACGTGGACAGTGCTTCGGGTGTCCTCTTCCACCATTATGGCTTCCAGGATCCCCTGTACTACACTGTTACTTTTGGAGTCAGCAGAGGTCTCGGTCCTTTGGCGCAACTGATCTGGGATCGTGCTCTGGGCATGCCGATTGAACGACCAAAGAGTATCAATCTCGAAGGTCTCATGAAATTGGTGTAACTTTGTCTAGCAGGAATCGTTGTACATAAACTTGCCTTGTCTACGTGGATGGATTGGCGTCCTCGCCCCGTGCTGTTCAGACAGTGGGGATCTTCTCAAAATGATAGTAAAATTCTATACCGACTGTTCGAGCTGTCCTGTGACATTTACTCTGGTGGTGGTGGTGGTGGTGGTTATCGATCTGCGATTGAACGGAATAACCTTGTACCGATAAATATATCCTAGACTGGTTCGCATCATCGCTTTGTGTTGTCTCCAACCCACAATCTTCCATCAATAAGGCTCTTTGAACTTCAGACGTACGAAATAAAACCATACACCTGAAACACGTCTATGACCTCCACCCCGTGCTTGCAAACAAGTTCAAGGAGACCTGCCAAGAAGAAGTTCCCACCAGCACCGAAGGACTTTCATGAGCTCCCTGACGACTCCGAGAATCAATCACTGACATCCATTGTATCCCTGCTGCTGCCACATTTTTACACTCTTGATCGTCATTTGGGCGCTGTCCTTCCACGTCGGATACCATGTGCTACGCGCATTCCAGAAGTCCCTTTTCGCAGTCTGACTGGCGTCCACCCAGGGTTTGCCATTCCTGCCGTCTTCGAACCATCCGTTTGTACCGCCGACGGCGACATTCAGAATGAGATAAAAGTCTTGGTCGAATGGTGTTGAAGCACGGTTGTACTTGGACCATGGATCGACAATGCGAGTACCGTTTTCGTCGGCCTGGGGGAAGTGGCCACGCCCCCAGAGCGGCTTATCGAAGTTGGTGTACAACACCTGCAGCAAACGTGTGTCGATATACGTGAAGATATACTTCTCAGACCATTCAAGCCCGAATGTATGGAACTTCTTGGAGAAGGTCGTGTGTAATGCATTCCTCTTGACGTTAGTCCGCCACCAGGCATCATTGGCAGCATCTGGGCCCCAGTGCAGAGTGCTCGAAACGATATTGTTGCCCCCTTGGGGATAGGTGTGGTTATTGCCCCGAGACTCAACGATATCAATCTCTCCAGATTGCGGCCACGCGCCATACACAGAATCGACCGGGAGCAACCATATTGCGGGCCACAACCAGTCACCTTCAGGCAACATGGCTTCAACCTCAACTCGGCCGTACTTGATCACTGCGCCTTTCTTTGTGTTGATGCGTCCAGACTTGACGGGGTTGACAATGGTGCCATTGGTCGTATTAGTGCCTGTGATGCAGTTGCTCCAGACTGACGATGTGCATATACCACCAGCCCGCAGATCAATCACGTTGTTGGTCTCGATCAATCTAGGATCTTGAAGTGTCGGCTTGATGTGGAGCATTCCATTTTCGACGAAGACATTCTCCTCCGTGACTGTGGTTTCCTCGAACTGGCCATTGCCGAAGCCACCAACCTCAGCTTCTTTGGTCCATATTTTGGAGTCGAACCCAGTCGAGAAATCTTCCAAATACACTGGACAGTACTTGTGATTGACCACAGATCGAAGGCCATCCCAGACAAGTAGGCCAGCAAGGCCCAAACCAATCGCGAGTCCAATTAGTGGGATGATTGTTACCCATTTCTCTCGAGGATCTTTGACCTTTGTCCACGGTCGGTCCACTTCTCCTTTCTTGACTCGGCGAGAGTGGAAGTATCTCTGATTGAGCATGGGTTGAGGGAGGACTGCCGATGAGGCCGCCCTTGACGGATACCCGGAAGCATAGGGTGTGAGGAATGGATTGACTGGCTTCTCCTGTTGATATCCACCACTCGCAACCGCCGAGTCTGGTGATCCAGCTCGAGGCGTTGCGTCCATACTCATCGTGGAGTTCGCTCGAGAGTAGCTGGGACGAGAGAAATGTGTCATGGTAAGACGGAAAATGCAGAGCGCAAAGATAATATCAGGTAAGAGGGTTGACGATGAGGCTTTCGAGCTCTCCAACATCAGAAGGGGCAGCTGGACGGCGCAACGTGCTGGAAGGTGTCATGGAACTAATTGTGCCATGAGGATAGATTTACCACCGATCTTGTAATTTGACAATGCTGCTTCAGACGCGCTTCCAGATCAACACAGGGCAAATTAGTCCTGTCTCGGCCCGGTTGGTCATATGTCTCATGTTTTCAGCAACGCTCCATCAAGCGGTGGATCGAGCATTTCGCTTCCTACCGATCTCCCAGTCTCTTGACCCGGATATAAAGGCTCCTTTTTAATATAGCATAGCCACTTCTCCACACGACCGCAGGAGAGTCATGGTTGCTGGTGACAGGGCGGAGATCAAGCAGCATATACCCAATTCTGTAGTCGCGGGCAGGGATGAGGACTTCGTGTAAGAGAACGAGTCTCTATAATTACCATCAATTGGTCCCTGGCCTGTCGGATGTGACACTACGTCCTGCATGATGTACGGGCCCTCGTTTGCTGCCCTTGCATGCTGTTTGAGATGAGGCTGACCTAAACCAAAACAGGAACAGGTTTTTTGTCTTTTGTCTGAGGGAACTTGTCAGGGAAAATGACCTGTCGAATCTCCCTGCTCAACATCCCTCCCATTCTATCATCCCTGTTCCAGATATTCAGGGCTTCTTTACGAGCCGAATTCGACTAGCCTAATCAATGTCAAGATGCTTTCCCTTCTGAGTACTCTGGGCCTCCGCTATTTTCGGTCAGCAAGACCTCATGTGGCTACCGAATTTCGACCCCGGTAGTGACTGCTGTACCGCAGACACTTTTGGTCGTGTCTCAGGGCCATGACATCGCTCAAAGTGGAAAAGGAACTAGGTGTGATGAGGATGGCTGCGGGCTATGGTGAGTCCAAAGCCAAATGCTGCTCGTGTCGTGGAAAGCTTCCTGGGTTGTCATCCCAAGTTTACGGCAAAAGGTCCCATAAGCTCCTGCAGCCACCGTCTCTGCTACACTCCTTAGGTATGACTATTCACTGGTCCATCGTTGGGACTGTTTGTGGTCCTTCCAAATTCTTGACGAGAAGAAGGTATATTTTTAATATTCAGAGCGATAGCCCGCCTCTCTCTTCGTGCCAGCAGAGTACATCTCTTCCTTCTGTCTCTTTCTTTTGCCACACTGCTCTCGGAGTCGCGGCTTTCTTGGTTCGAGCGCTTCTATAGCAGTGTGGTTTCTCGGTATATACCATGAACCTAAATCAAAAATCAACGCAGCAGACCGTCTCGCCAGGTTCAATCACCCAGCAGGGCACTTCCGCCGTGATCTCAGCTCCACCCATTGGCTCTCCAGTTCAAGGCTTTCTTCGTTCTAATGATTCCCCTTCGCAAAGTGATGCCGCATCTATCGGCGGTAGGTCGATGCGCAGCGTGCGAAGTGCCCTCGAGGACATCAAACACGAGGTCATGGTAAACCATCTCTATCAGCAACAGTGTTCGCGGCTTTGGGTCAGCGACGGGAGCGGAGACATCGAAGGGGTGGTGCTACGAAAATCTCGTGGCATCTACCTATCTTGTCCACAAACACTTCGAAATTCACATTTTGGGCAATTTTGTGCCGAGCTCAATGTGCAGGTAAACTAGATCACCCCAAGCCGGAACGATGGACTCATTCACGAATAGGTTGCCATGACCGTGAACTCGAGAGTCATCAAAACGTTCTTGGCTTGGGCTCCTGATGCCACAGACGTCCCTCTAACGAACGGCCTCCGAGTTCAGATCCTACCCACGATTGCTCACCTGCCCCGTGCGCGAAAATATCAATTCGCTGCCTTTATTGCTTCTGACTCCTTGTTGGTGGTATGGGACGATGACCCTTCAAATGTGATGAAGAGAGCAGCCTCCATCGAGTCCGAGTTGATGGAGCTGGTCTGGCACACCGGCGAGGCTGGGAATGAGGAGGATGTCACCAATGAAAAGAATGGAGCTTCTGCAGCCTCTGTCGATTCCGAGTCCGGAGAGCTGTCGACCCAGGACCGTCCCACCAATCTGATGAACACGATATTAGTCGCGTTTACACTAATCATTGTTGTCACATTGCTTGGCCTGGCATGTCGGTCTTTGGCTACTGAGGTTGCCGTCGATGGCTCATACCTTCGTCTTGCTTTTATCTTCTTGGTTCCCGTACAGATCTTCTTTACTTTGGTAAGTCAACATTGCTGGTTAGTTCAGCGGGCTTGCTGACGATTCCCCAGTTCTTCGCCCAAGTTATCGTCGGATGTGTTGCACAATGCATTGGACCTATACAGCAGATGCAAATGAACTCAAAGTACTTCTCAGCAAAATGCTCTCCTCGCTTGCGCACGCCAACCTTGCCGCATGTCACGGTTCAGTGTCCTGTCTACAAGGAAGGACTTGCGTCCGTGATTGCGCCAACGGTCAAATCTATCAAGCAAGCCATCTCCACGTACGAATTGCAGGGCGGTACAGCAAACATGTTCATCAACGATGACGGCCTGCAGATCATCGACGAAGACCAACGGAAGGCACGGATTGACTTCTACCAGGACCACAATATTGGCTGGACTGCTCGTCCGAAACACGGCAGCGAAGGCTTCGTTCGCAAGGGCAAATTCAAAAAGGCCTCCAACATGAACTATGGGTTGATGCTGTCCTGCAAAGTCGAGGACAAGCTTCACAGATATCACCGCAATTCTGCCTGGACTCCGAACGACGAGTCCGAAGCCTACGATCAATGTTTGCGGGAAGTGCTCGAGGAAACCCCACGCGCTTGGGCTGATGGGAACATTCGGGTGGGAGACTATATCTTATTGATCGACAGTGATACCAGAGTGCCCGCAGACTGCTTACTGGATGCCGTGAGTGAGATGGAACAGTCTCCGAATGTCGGCATCATGCAATTTGCGTCCGGCGTCATGCAGGTCGTGCACACGTTTTTCGAAAACGGCATCACCTTCTTCACCAACCTCATCTACACCGCCATCGAATACACGGTTGCCAATGGTGACGTCGCACCTTTTGTGGGCCACAATGCCATCCTCCGTTGGAGTGCTATCCAACAGGTCTCGTACACCGATGAAGACGGCTACGAGAAATTCTGGTCCGAGTCGCACGTCAGCGAAGACTTCGACATGTCCTTGCGGCTCCAATGCGACGGCTACATCATCAGACTAGCCTCCTGGGCCCATGGCGGCTTCAAGGAGGGCGTGAGTTTGACCGTGTATGACGAACTTGCTCGATGGGAAAAGTACGCCTACGGATGCAACGAGCTTCTCTTCCATCCGATGAGGAAGTGGATCTACAAGGGGCCCTTTACCGAACTTTTCCGCCGGTTCCTCTTCTCCAACATCCGCTTCACCTCCAAGATCACCATCATCAGCTATATCGGCACGTACTACGCCATTGGAGCCGCCTGGATCATGACACTGGCCAACTACTTTGCCATCGGCTGGTTTAATGGGTATTTGGACAAGTACTACATTGACAGCTGGAAAGTGTGGTTCAGCATCGTGATCGTCTTCAACGGCCTGGGCAACATCGCCCTCGCCGTCATGCGGTACCGCATCGGGCAGAAAGCCTTCATCCCAGCACTTGTGGAGAACTTCAAATGGATCGTCATGCTCTCCATCTTCCTGGGCGGCCTCTCGCTCCACGTCTCCCAGGCGCTGCTGGCGCACATTTTCGAGGTCGACATGACCTGGGGCGCCACCTCCAAGGAAGCAGAGTTCTCAAACTTCTTCATCGAGGTGCCCAAGGTGGTGAGAAAGTTCAAGTTCAGCATCGCCTTTGCGCTCGTCGGCATCGTCGGCATGATCGTCCTGGCAACGAATCCGGGAGGTTATATTCCGTACGACTGGGTGATTGACGACTTCATCGCCATTTTGCCCATGAGCACGGTCACCGCGAGCCATCTCCTGTTACCCATTGTGTTGAATCCTGCGTTGATGACGTTCTCGTGGTGATGAAGAAATGATCCCAGAATTCCATCATTGAACTGTCAATAACTCCATCGGCGGTTGTGGTTTTGGATCACAGCGTAAATTCTCGGTTAGGGCAACAGATTTGACAATTTGGGATCGGAAATGAGTGGAGTAACTCGGTCGGTGTAGGGAATTGTCAATGCTTTGGGCACCGCTTTCATCTTCTTCGTAGAGTGGACGGGGCTTTGGGACACAGGTTTATTCACTAAACTGATCTGGCACTTCTATATAATCACAGATCAAGCATAATTTGCAACATTCCAACATACCTCAGGACATGGGCCTTCACGCCTGCTGCTTGTCCGTTTGGCCAAGGCCAGCTTTTGTAAGCCATGATGAAGAATGAAAATGCAGGACAAGAGAAGAAGGTAGTTCGTGCTACTTAGGGATGAGTTGGAATATATATGTCCTTGTTCGATTGCTGAATCGAGGGGAACTAATCTTGGTACACGGTTTGTTACGACACCTTGAGCACCGCCCTGCCTGCAAGCTTTCCGGCGACCATGAGGTCGATGTACTTGTCTAGATCCTCGAGGGTTCCCTTGGTCAGAATCGGCTGAAGAGAAAGGGGACAAAAGTTAGCACCATGTAGACTCGTGGTTGATAAGAAGTGGGTTCTTGATGACTTACATGTACCAAACCCCGAGCGGTGAAGTCAAGTGCTTCTTCGACATCCTTCAATGTACCGACGACGCTGCCCACAACGTTCAATTTCTTTAGGCACATCATAAGAGGAGGTGCCCCCGCGATGACTGTTGGATCCTTGGGCAGACCAACAGCAACTACTGTCCCGCCTGGACGGAGGAATCCAGGTGCAGAAGCGTAGGCCTCCTTTGTGGCCGCCGTGACGATGACGCCGTGGGCTCCATACTTGGTGATCCGCATGACCTCAGCCGCAATATCCTGGGTCTTGGTAAAGTCAATAAACTCTTCGGCACCGAGTCGTTTGCAAAGATCCCGTTTCTCGTCCCCGCCATCGATGGCGATGATCCTCATGCCCTAGATAACGTGGTGAGCCCAGTGCGCTGTGTATGTACGTGCATGATCATACCATGGCTTTTGCATATTGTACTGCGAAATGGCCAAGACCGCCACCCGCTCCTGGAAGTACCTATGGCGGGCTGGTGAGTAAGTTTTGCGATACATCAGCTGGTCAACACGTACAATCCACTGCCCGGGCTTCACGGCGCTTCGCTTGCAAGCTGTGTATGCAGTGACTCCTCCACACATGATAGGCCCGGCCTCCTCGTCGGAGACGCCTTCTGGAATGCGAGTGGTATATCGTCCGTCGCTGAGAGCATATTGTTGGAATGTCCCAGCTTGGCTGAACCCCGCGTTCTTCTGGTTCGGACAATGGAGCTCATCGACGCCGTTCGTACAGAACTCGCACTCGCCGCAAGTACTCCAAACCCACTTGATACCGGCACGATCTCCTACCTTCCACCGATGATGCATGTCGTCCCCGACTGCGACGACAACCCCAGCCCCTTCGTGGCCGGCAATACCGTGCGTGGCAGGCTGCATCGACAAGCCAAACGAGGCCCATTCATCCTTGATCAAGGACTTGTCCGAAGCACAGAGCCCAGTCCTACCTGATTGTCAGACATGGAAAACTTGCTGTGTGGGAAGAACCTGCCAGTTGATCTTGACCAGGATTTCTCCTGGAGCCGGCGTTGGCACGTCGACCTCCTTGACGGGGGCTTTGGCATCAGCTCCCTCCCCAACTTTGACTGCGGCCTTTTGTTGTTTGGGGATCGATACTGTAGACATGGTGGTTGCTGTTTAACGTTAATGGTTCAGTGTGGAGAGCAGTGTGAGGTTGAAACACAGGCGAGGCTGATTTCTTATTAAATAAGACGGCCGAGGGTATGCAACAAAGGCCGCGCAAGGGAGAAGACAAGGCGAGCTTTTATAGCGTCAAGCCAGCCTATGATACATGTGATACAAACAGCATCCTTTAGTCCTCGGGACGCTCCCCTGGCCGCTCGACTCGAATGGATAGAGTCGCGGCCCTCAAACAGCGCAGATGCCCCAGCTTTGAGGTGCCCTTATTCGGTCGGGGGCCTTCAAAAGGCGGGGTATACGGTTCAGCGACGTGGAGAACCTGAGGGAGGAGGATGCCAGTAGCGCGGGACCAAAGTATCGACGACAGGTTTGACAGATACAGCTTTTCCACTTCCTTTGGCCGAAGGAGCCGATTGGCTTTCTACCTACCTAGTCATTGGCATGCAAAGATGGCTTGCCGGTTGCAGGGGCCGAATGGACATCTGTGGGCTCTAGGGTTCATTGTGAAAGGGGGGCAGTGATTGGGGACGTGGTAGCAGCTTCACCTTTTCTGCCACAGCAAACATGGCGTGATACAGACACAAGCAGGAGACGATAACAATCTCAATGGCATGGAGAGATACTGTCGCGATTGTCTACAACGTCCACGTCCGCGGTACCGAGAAGGATGCAGGTGGGCGCAGGGAGCGAGGCATCCCAACCGGGCAAGTAAGCCGCGTGAGCAACGAAGTCGACCATGCGGAACCGGGAAGGCCATTGCCCTTCAGTCACATTGCTACCACCCATACCTAGGTACCTGATACCTAGCACCCAGCTTAGGTACTAGGTACCTAGGTGCACATCATCATCATCCAATGGACCAGCACCTGGAGCGTGGGTCTTTCGCTCTGCTCATTATTTCCTCAATCATCAATCTACTTCTTCTCCTCACCCTCCCCATCCTCTTCGCCTTCCCCATCTTCTTCCTGTCGGTTGAACGGGTGAACGGAGGACATCCCAAGGGGTGGTACGGTCCGCCCTCCAAGAATTCTTGCGTCCTGCGTTGTTGTGCTCGTTCAGCACGACTCGAAAGGAAAAGCCTCTCATCACCCACACTCACCATGGTGCTCGCCGTATGGAACCATGTTGCCCGATGCTGTATGAAGCTTCGGATTGGCTGACGCCTTGACTGCCCAGGCTATTGGCCAAATCTGCTCGAATGCATCCATGTCCCATAACCTTGCGCAATGTCAGAAGCTTGTGCAGAAAGCGGTGGCGGCTGGAGCAAAGGTAGGTGGAATGATCGTATTCTCGTCCGGGGTCGCTGGCTCTCTATTTACACGAGACCATCGACTCGATCCTTACCAGCGAAACTACTTTCTAGGCACTCTTCCTTCCTGAAGCCTCTGACTATATCGCCTCCTCCGCGGCGGAGTCGGTAGAGCTCTGTCAGGACGTCTCCCATAGCCCCTTCGTCCGCGGGCTTCAACAAGCCGCCAAGGCTCATTCCTTACCTATCAATGTTGGAATCCACGAGCCGACCGACCCAGCCTCCAAGAGAATCCGTAACACCTTGATCTGGATCGATAAAGAGGGGGATATCGTACACAGGTACCAGAAACTGCACCTCTTTGACCTTGACCTTCGACCAAACGGGCCGAGGCTGAAGGAGAGCGACTCGACTGAGCCAGGGCATGAGATTGTCCCACCATATCCCACACAACTGGGCAAGATCGGTAGTCTGATTTGCTTTGACTTGCGATTCCCCGAGCCAGCACTCAGATTGCGTAGGCAAGGTGCTGATATATTGCTCTATCCGTCCGCCTTCACCGTCCCGACCGGGAAACTTCACTGGGAAATCTTGCTGAGATGTCGAGCAATCGAGACTCAGTGCTGGGTCGTGGCTTCAGCGCAGTGTGGTAGACACAACGGGAAGCGCGTGAGTTATGGCGACACTATTGTCATTTCACCAAATGGCCAGATTGTTGGGCGGCTGGACCACGTTGACGATATAGACAAGGAGGAGGAGCATGCTCGGGAGCCGGGTATCCTCACAGTTGACATTGATCTGGACTCACTGAGAGACGTCAGACGAAGCATCCCGTTGCTAAGAAGGACTGACGTCTACCCGGAGATCTAGCAAGGTCGAATGCGATATACATCATGAAGGCCCAAGGAGCTTCTTTTTACCGAAAGTCCAAATGTCGCGCTTACAGCCAGAACCCCGCGCTTCAGACCGATGCGCCCAACTTTCAGGGTTCAACGCTCATACTGATTGCAAATACTTGGAGCCCATCGAGGACACTAGGAGTTTTCGTTCCTGCCGGCTCTACGCGTCAAACGTCCCGCATTTGTAATGATGCTCTGGGAGTAAGACAACCAAGGCGGGCTGTGTTCAGGTACGTGGATACATTGCCTCCGAAACCAAACATTCGCATAGATGCACAGGAGAACTCTGCCCAACATTCAAGGCAACAAATGCCGCTGAGCATTGGTTCCTCTTTCTCAATTCCGCGGATCGAAGGTCAGTAGCTTACAACATCATCCATTTCCTTTGGTCTTGTTGAATGGGGTCCTTCTGTCTCTCCTAAAGTTGAGATCTTTTTCGAATATAGGATACGCTGCACCTGGTGACCATGTATATATACAAATCCTAGACCCAAACGTCCATGAAGACGGAGATAGTGCCTCGAAGTACGTTGTACGTTCGGGATCCACCAAAACTTCGTACAAAGCTCTCAACCGCCCCTGTCAGTGCGCGCAATCCTTCTACATCATCCGCGGCTGTTGTTGATGGCTTTCCAATAAGGTCACCAAGGCGTATGATGACTCCATTTTGCAAGAGGAGATGGGGGATTCGTCGTGCCGGTCCGCCGTAGGGAGATAGCCCCAGAATACTACCACGAAGATACGCCGAAATCGCGCTCCGAAAACTCGGCCAAAGGTGATCGACAGAATCTGTTTAGGCGTGCTGAATGGAAAATACGCTGAACGACGACGAAGTATCCTCTGTCCGAGATAGATCTAGTCATCTGATTCAGAGACGACGATCTACTACCATCAAAGAATGCACAAGTTACCCTTCGAAGTGAATGGTAGCCTCTATCTTGTTAAGGAAAGCCTCTCAGAGTCAAGGAACGACCTGGTCGATTTTGCGCCACTTGTTCTTGGGCCGGCGGAACATCTTGAAGAGTCGGACGAAACTCGAGCGCTCATTAGCCCTTTTCGACAGATGGGTTCCAGTGATGGATCCATTCCGGGGAAGTTATCAGACTCCTTGACGCCGCAAGTGGTTGACCCCATCTTGGAGCGTCGTACATACCTTTGCCGTATTTCCGACAACGGAGCCTTTTAAATCCAGCGCCAGCGGCCGCTTGCAATCAAGCCGCGCCTGTCTGTCACGACGTCCATTCTTGTCGCTATTCAAGGTATTTCAGTGCCTCTGCTGCCGACATCCATCATGGCGGTGACAATTGTGCACACGACTTGACCATGGCGCCGATGGAAGCACCCGAACCAAGGAACACCCAAACACCGTTTGCCTCGGCTTCCTCGTCCACTCTGGACGAAACCGCAGGGATGGAGAAGCCAGCAGTGCCCCTCGAGGCAGGGTCCGACATGCTGTCGCTCAAGGAACTCGACAGAGACGAACAGACCGTTGCTCCAGAACATGCATCTCCAGCTCTTGAGCCTCGCAATGACCTGGTCGACTTTGATGGCCCAGACGATCCAGAAAACCCCAAGAATTGGTCAAATGCAAAACGTTGGGGGATTACCGTTTCTATGGGTCTTATGGTAAGTTCTCAAAGAGTTCCAATCATCTTCTTCTTCGTATAGAGATCCAGATCGCTGATATGCTTTTGAAAGACCTTTGTGGTCACCTTTGCAAGCTCGATCTATTCTGTTGCTATTCGTCCTGTTGCCGAAGAATACCACATAGGCGAAGTCCCGTCGACTCTTGGAGTGTCACTCTTCCTTCTTGGATTTGTGTTCGGCCCTATCCTCTTTGGACCGGCATCGGAGGTTTTTGGGCGCCGCGTACCTCTCTTTGCGGGATATCTCGTCTTCGCAATCTTTCAAATCCCAGTGGCCGTTGCTCAAAACGTGGAAACAATCATGCTCGGTCGCTTCTTCGGAGGATTCGCCGCTGCAGCGCCATTGGCCGTCGTTGGAGGTTCCATGGCTGATATCTGGGGACCCATCGAAAGGGCATATGGGATTTGCGTGTTTGCAGCCTCCGCCTTCACAGGACCCGTTGCAGGCCCCATCATTGGCGGCTTTGTCACCCAGTCTTATCTTGGCTGGCGATGGACCGCTTGGATCACCTTGATCATGACCGCACTCTTTGGATGTATCGGCTTGGTCCTGATACCCGAGACCTCCGCGGCGAGGATTCTACAAATGAAAGCCAAGCGACTGCGATACGAAACGCAAAACTGGGCACTACATGCCAAAGCGGATGAGAGTCGAATCAATTTCAAGACTCTGAGTACTATATACCTTGTTCGACCGTTCGTCATGTTTGTCCAGGAACCGATCCTGTCCCTCATGACCGCCTATATGAGTTTCATCTACGGCATCTTGTATCTTCTCTTCGAGGCCTATCCCATCTCTTTCCAGGAACAACGAGGCTGGAATCCTGGAGTTGGATCTCTCCCCTTTGCCGCGTTCATTGTCGGCATTGCGATGGGGACCGGCATGATCGCCTACTCCACAAGGACCAACTTCACAAGAGCCTTTAAGAAACACGGAAAGGTGATTCCCGAAGAGAGACTGCCGCCAATGATTGTCGGAGCCGCCGTCCTTCCGATCGGTCTCTTCCTATTTGCTTGGTAAGTGCGCCCTTCTTCCCTCGCCTGACTGTCTCTGGCGACCCCGTTCTAATCGTAAGCAAAATTGTTTGCTGACCTTACGGCAGGACATCCGATCCACATATCACATGGGTCCCACAAGTCCTCGCCACGGCGCTCCTGGGCATGGGATGCCTGTCGACTTTCTGGCAGGGCACAAACTTCATCATTGACTGCTACGGGTTCTATTCCAACAGTGCCATCGCCGTCAACACTTTTGTCCGGTCTATAGCTGGCGCGGGCTTCCCTCTGTTCGCCCCAGCCATGTACCACAATCTGGGTGTGGCATGGGCAACTTCGCTGCTGGCATTTCTTTGCGTGGTTTTCTTCCCGGTGCCGGTCCTCTTCTATATATACGGGGCCAAGATCAGGGCAAGATCAAGGTTTAGGCCAGTCAGCTGAGACTGTCGCAGCAAAAGAAAGACGCAGAAGCCTTCCTCCAGCAGAAGCGAATATGAGAGAAGTGAACAGCGGAGAAGACATTCTCTCGCTTTGCCAAAAGTCCACCCCGTCCTCCCCCAGAGCAATAACTATTCTATCGAGGAAAGGGAACCCGGGCGGACAGGATGCCAAAGTGCCGCCGCCGTTATTAACCAATCCACGGGCACCCAACAGGGCTCCAGGCCGGATGTCTATGGCGACCCACGAGAAGGAAACGACGCAGAGGGGGCCCAAGATATGAGCAAAATGTCCGCGACAAAGGCACCCGTCACCAGGTTCGAGTGACAACAGTGGCGAGAATGACACGATGGGACCGGGATAGATTGGGTCTGCATGGAAAAGACGCTATACATATGATATAACATAGAATTGTTCAATATTAGTTTAGTGGCCACCCCGACCAGCAGTAAGAGATAGAGATTTGCTCGACAAGCAGGGGCTTCACATCCCTTGACGATGAGTGATAGTACCGTCGAACAGTTACCGTATGAAGCCCTCGTACAGTAAGTCGGTATTCCCATATCAAGCAAGCTCCTTGTGAAACTCCGCGGTCCGATTCGGGCCGAATCTGGGGATATTAAGTACTTGGCGCCCACACGTTTAGCGGCGACCCGGTCCATTGCCGTTTTACCACTTTGTCACTCCTTCAGGCCTTGATCTCCATTTCGACAACTTCGGCATTCACCAGAGTCTTATCAAGCCTGGCTCGCTCTTCGGCCGAGAGATGTGTGAGATCGAGAGCGATCTCGTCGCCGAACTTTTTCCCGATTTCCTCCAGCGCGAGCCCCTTGGTTTCCGGGTAAAACAGCGCCATGATCGCGGCTCCAAACAACGGGACAATGACGAAGATTAGGTAGTATTTCCAACCAATGTTGTTGAACGCGACGGGGGCAGACATGGTGTAGATCAAGCTGAATGCAAACAGACCAGAGACGCTGAAGCCGGCGCCTTGGGCGCGGATCGAAGTCGGGAAGATCTCGGAAGAGTAGACGTAGGATGAGGCATCCATCGAGCCGCCGAAGAAAGTCACGACTGGTCAACAATGTCAGGGTGCTGAAGGGTAGGAATTGCATTTTGAAGCCAGAGACATACACAGGTACAGGAAGAAGACGCCAAATCCATTGCCCACCCGATTGTCGGTCCCGCCGTATCTCGCAAGACAAGCGGTGAACCCAGCAACGGAGATAGAACACCCAATCTATATGCATCAGTAGCCTGTTGCCACGGAAGTGCACCACAAGCAACAACATACCTGCCCAACAACCATGATCGGGATCCGGCCGACTTTGTCGAGGAGAAGCGAATTGATGAAGTTCATGAAGGCGGCCCAAGTGTCCCATAGGGCGTACAGCATCAGAGGCATGGCGCCGTACAGACTGAGGCCGTTGTAAAGCAGGACTTGATAGTTGTTGATTACCAGGCAGCCCGTGCTCTGGACCAGACCACTGCGACTTGTCAGCAGATGTCTCAAGTTCAAAGAAGGCATCTTGCGAATGATGCTCGGGGGAAGAGGCCCAATACAAAATATTTGACCATCCATATCGGAATGACCCAGCATCCCCTTCAAATTCAGAGTAATATTGCATATCAAGATTGCGAATCCGAGTATGAAGAATGAAACCATATCGGAGGAAAAAACTCACAGAAGGAGAAATCCAAAGAGCAAGCGCTTTCGATAAGACTTCCTGGAAAACAAGAGAACCCAGCCTTGGACCCAGCCTTGTCTCCAACCGTCGCGCTTCTCCAGGTCGAGTTGTTGACGAATTTGATAAAGTTCTTCCCGGGCAATGGTATCGTCCTCGTCTTCGGGTTGGTGGTGTAATCTTTTCAGGATTTCAAACCCTTGTTCTTGCATGTCGTTTGCGACCAGGTATCGAGGCGACTCAGGAAGCCACGGAGATCCGAGTAAGAGGAAGAGCGGTGGGACGATTTGGAGGGCAAGGCAGAGACGCCATTGAGCCACCTGATTCTTTAAGAAATAGCAGCCGTAGCCGGTCCATCCAGCTAAGCCCTGGTATCATGTGTGAGAAAGCAAGTCAAACAGAGATATCGGCAAGGGAAGCTTACGTATCCAACGCAAAGGATGAATCCATGACTACCCACCATTCTCCCACGAGAGTGCGCGGGGGAAACTTCTGATTGATAGAGAGGCGTGATGACAACGGCCATACCAACGCCTAGGCCCATCATGAATCGAGCGACCAGAAACATGGCAATGTGCACAGATCCGGCTTGAAGGGCACCTGCAACGATACAAATACAGGCAGTGATTTGTATGGACCTCTTTCTGCCCACCTTGTCGGCCAGCCAAGTGATGAGATAGCAGCCAATGAACCCACCCCCTGCGAAGAGTCCATTGGTTGCTGGGGACAACAAGTCAGTCAAAACTTTTTTAAATGTCCGTTTTGTCGTCGAAAACCCTCACCTCCAGTGATTCGGGAGCCACCACTTGACTTGATGTCGATGTTGAAGTACTGGAAGAAGGATGGCAAGCCAATGACGGCCCCAATGATTGCAGAGTTGTACCCATATGTTAGGGACCCGAAGGTCACGAAGAAGACGACGAGGAAATTGTACTTGTTTCCTGCACCCATTTTGAGAGTTCGCGAGACTTCTCAGAGCTCTCCGATCGACTGTTCTGAGGTCATACCGGGCTTCAGACTTTATGCCAGCTTTTTCAAATGTCTGGGTGCTGGAAACAGCTGGGGATACCCAGGGCTTCTCCAAGCAACGGCAGTTTCTTCGCGCACCCCATTTACCCCGAAGGAAAGGAGTATATTCAAAAGGGCAACAGCATCCATCGGCAAGCGATTTAACGAGGTTGGGGTACACGTCGACCAGGAGCAGAGAGTGTAGGATTCTCACACTCAAGAATAGTCATCTGAGTCTGGGCCAAGAAATCCATGTGCTCCTGCTGTCAATCCCACCCTTCTTCATGTCCCCACATCTCCGCAAAGTTGGGGAAGATAGGGAAGATCAATTTGGAGCCAGAGGAGATAGGGTGGTTTGTACTCCGTACTTGGTCATGACATGGTTCTTGTTAGTGTCGGTGAGGGTTCAGGAGGGGCGAGGGTTCTTCATCCAAGCTCGCAGCAGCTCCAACACGTAGAGCCGGCAGATGGCAAACACACCATGTCGGCAGCCAAGCTGTTCGATGTATTCTTGAGTCTGATGGGGAGCCGCAGGGGTCGGGCCAGGAGATCGTGGGAAGCTGCTTTGGTATAAGCCGAGCAGCTAGCTTGCTAACATCATAGGCTTTGTCGGCCAGGTCTGGGTCGGGTGAATCATGGGTGGGATGGTAGCTGGACGCCTGAGCCGGGCTCTCTGCGGGGTAGCACCAGACCAAGCACGCGCAGGGAGTCAGCTCTCTTCGCATCTCCTGAAGGCGAGGACGATGCGTAGGCGAGAGAAAGGATGGAGTGGTAGGAATGTCGAAGTCGAAGTTGAGTTTGAGATATGGCTTGTTGTCGGGCGAATATGATGGGCCGAACTTCATCAAACACTAAGCACATCGTTGGGGTCGCAATTAGGTGCACATCATTGCTGGCTGTTGCCGTCGTGCCGTCTCATCCGCGGAGGAGCAAGGAACAGAAGAGACAGACGCCTTTTCGAAAGAATTGCATCCACTGACCTGCTGGTCTAGTTTTCGGAGTTGGAATAGCCAATTCATCTCGCTGAGAAGCGCATCAAGGTCTATCGCCCCGTCTTGGGCGGTCAGGGACTCGATGTTGGATTACTCGCAGGGCGATCAATATTGAGCCGTAGAGCGTGACGTCATCGCAACGTGTCTGTCGTATCTCTGCTGCGTCTGGGGATCTTTAAACTGCGCGAGGGCGAGGGACAATCAAGGCGAAGTTGAGGGTTGACGGCAGCTGGTAAGTCAGTGGTAGGTTACAAGAGCAGCAATGACAATCCGCAAACACAATCCGTGGGAGGAAGACGCCCCGGTTTCAGCACTGGTGTCTCTCCCTGCGAGGGACCTGTCTCTGTTCGCTCGCGCTTCTGGCCCGGCTCGTCGTCCTGGTGACCCCGTAGCCATCCTTTTCACGGGCGCAGGTGGAGCTCTGGCGGCCTATGTCAAGGTCGAACAACACCTGTGTACCTTTGTCAGGACGCTCTTCTACGACAGGGCTGGTTATGACCTTAGCACGCTGCCCTCCAACGTCGAGTCCTTGACCGCCCAAGACGGGGCAATAGACCTTGATGCGCTTCTGAGCAAGATCGATGTCGGTCCACCGTACCTTCTCATCGGACATTCGTTTGGAGGGATCCCACTGCGAGAATTCCTGCACCATCAACTGGTCAAACATCGGCCAGCGAAGACTACAGATATCATTTCTGGGGTCGTCCTATACGACACAGTCTCGGAGCTAGCATGGGCGTTGTTCCCGCGCATGCCGAGTGCTGATCTTCTGGCTGTATCTCAGGACGTGGACTGGGAGGAGCTCACCAATTTCAAGACCGAGTCTGGCATGACCGACGAGGAATGGAATGCTGCGATCGAAGCGAGTCTGCGGACAATCAAGGGTGCCAGGAGAGAAGACACCCATGGGAGTGCACGGGCGTTGGCCAAGAAGCAGCAGTTGGAAAAGCACACCTATCATGGGGGAATCTTGGCCGTGATCCGGTGTAACATGGCGGGAGACTACCAAAAGATGTACGACGAGGGAGTGAGGCTGGGGGGTGGGACGCAAAAGGAGCGGGAGGGAGCAAAGCAGTTTATCGAGGAGTGGAAAATGTACAGCTATCAGATGGTCAAGGCACAGGTTGATCTGGTAGGGAGCAGTGACCAAGGGAGCATCTTGTTCAGGGAGCTGATGGACTGGGGGCATGATAGTCTCATGAGAAAACCTGAATTGGTGGGAGACGCGGTGCGCTGGGTTCTGGCAGCGTTGGAAGAAAAAGGGATGGCGACAGTCGATGCTGTTGCCCGAGGTTCAAGGAGCTAGATAGCTAGATGGTGGTGGCAGAGAGAAATCTAAACCATAGAGCACGCGCGAAGGAAGACAGCACCAGACAGAGACACAAATCATGCAAGTAGAGATGAAGATGGAGATGGAATACGGCCACATAGAGACTCGACAAGAGAAGCCGCGTCTGCTGTCCACGTACGCAAAGTTACAACTCCATCCAAAGACTAGAAGGCGAGATGGTCACCCAATGGGATCCAAAGGCATTCGTGGTCGCCGACGCCAATCAATCTCCGATAGCGCAATCACTCAGGCACCCATCAGATAAGCTCACAGCGGTAATACAACTCTGTGCCATTTGATATGGAATCAAGATCATCAGGTGCTATCAGGCGCCTACCGTCTCGCCGTCTTCCTCAAAACCTCGTCTGGTATCTTTCCATTCTTCACCTTCGCTTGACAGCAAAAAACAATGTGGCCTCTGTGGCCAGTCCTTGTGCTGGTCCTTCTCATTCTCCCACGAGCCGCGCGAACTACAGCATTGCCTCCGCATCAACCGGTCGAAGCCGCCGATCAAGTCCCCAATGCAAACCATGTGTTCAACGCCATCCATTCTTCCATGCGACAATGGGGCTCATCCATCTATCATAACGGCATGTCACTATTCCCAGCCATGGTCCCGGCTGGCACACAGTTCTATCACGGCAACCCCAATATGGCACCCGTCCCAGGCTTAGAATGGCTGGCATTTGAGCCCGAACATGCCATCAATTTTGCACGAAAATTCCATAGGCCTCGTGAGGCAGTACACCCACAGGGGGGGAAAGGTGCGGAATATGCCGACCAGCCTCTTCTCCGTGGCCCAAAGCACCGAATGAGCTCCTCCCTTCTGAACGCAGCACAAGCCATTTTTGGTCCCGTGGGCGAGCGTCATGAACCCGAGCCCGATAGACCTCAGCCCGACCCAGGCTGGCTTCACACTTATCGGACCAAAGAAATAACTCCGCTGCTTTACATTGACGGCATGTCAGCTGGCAAGTGTGATATGGGCACCCTCGATTCGCAAGACATTCTGCTTCTGAATGCTACCTCCGAACATGGCGGCATGGCACAAGAGAGAGAACGAGCAGATGGTCTTTGCAAACTGGCTCATGAGCGCTGGAACGGCAAGGTCAAGGGCTTTATCCGCATGGAGGCCGGTTTCGAGATCATCATGTGCTCTTTCTCTGACACCTTGGATTTTGTACAATCGGTCAGGGCTGGCCCGTTTTCGCCAGATGATGCCGATTCAAGTACTGACAACAAAGGCTTCGGTTGGGGAATGTGGAAATGGATCAAATTTGTAGCGGCTCGTTATGACGGCATTGGCGGCGGCAGAGTCAGGCTAGACTACGATCACTTCGTGACGGCATATGCCTATGATCTCGACCTGTTCACAGGAGAAACCGACTTGCCTAGGCTGAAGAACCTTTCACCCGTGGCTCTGGACAGAGTCCGCAAAGACGTTGACAGAATGATTGACTCATGGGATCCTGCCACTACCTTGAATGATAAGGGCTCTGTCGACTGGCAGAGCGTTGCAGATATGGTGGTTGAACGTTATGCTGGCGCGTTGAAGTACCTGATTGGAGGCACTTTGACAAGTGCTGAAGACCTTTTCGAGGAGCTGGAAGTGATTCTCCGTGTCTTTGTCGACTCAGACGCGCGAAACACAACAGCCGAGGTGAATCGGTGTGTGGCCCAGTTCAATCCGTTCGAAAGCAATGCCTTGAACTCATTTGCGGGCCGCTCGATCCACACTGTGACGAAGAAGATCTGCGAGACTCTATTCGCCGCGTACAACACGAATGTTACGCTATCGCAGTCAATGGAGAACTTGCGGTTGCTCACCGAGTACCTAGATTGGTCGGTCTGGAAAAGGTGTCCTCAGTGCGCGTTCAACGAGGTCTGTTTCATACCAATGTGGCCATTTGGTGCTGCAGAGGATCGGGAGCATCCACGTTGTAGAAATTCCAGTGAGTTGAACGGAAGAATGGGTTACTGGGGAAACCCTCGTCCTCCAGGGAGAGATCCTCGTCCCCCGGGGAAGGCTCCTCGTCCTTCAGGGAAGGATTCTCATCCTCCAGGTAAGGGTCCTCGTCCCCCGGGGAAGGATCGTCGTCCTCCAGGGCACGATTCTCGTCCTACCAGGAAGGATCCTCGTCACTCTGGGAAGGACGGTGGGATGTGAGAGAAAGCAAAGGAAGATGCCTCACAGGAGAAGTGGGTGTGCCTCAAAACCCCAACGTGGATACTCGATTTTCAGCTAGGCGTAGAACATATTGCCAATTGGTAGAGAGGGGCATGTGGCCACCTGCTTCCTCGTTTCTTTCGATAATCACTGGTTTGATGACATGAACATGGAACAAACTCATTCAATAGTCCAGCGGCCACCCCTGAATAGAGGACAAAATTCCAGTTGTGGCATTGTTGTATTTGTTGTGCGTTACGTGTCTGGGTGCAGCTTCACCTATATATTGTAGAACGAGGCAGTCTAGAGGGCCACCAAGCTCATGGAAGCTGTTGTGAAGAGTGTATCAATGTATCACTTCCGTAGGTTGGCTTAGCAGATTTCGAGTAGACATGCAACAACCTCAAGCATAGCGGCAACTCATACACCGATAACAAAGCAGAAGGTCTTGGACAGAGGGATATTATTTTCCAGGGCTTCCGAGGGTCTAGAACGTGGCAGAGGAGCTGTGGGACACAATCGCAGAGTTGTGAGAGAGCAGATGGGGATTTATCGAGTCGCCCTGTCCTCTCAAGATGGACTTGGTGTTGATGATGCAGGTTGTAAGATGCAATTTGAACTGTTGTTGAGTCGACGATTTCGGGCGCCACTCCGACCTTTTTCCGATCGAACCCCGCCAAACCATCTCTTAATTAATACCTGCGGTTGCGTGTCAGTTCTCGATATCTGACCACCCGCCAAACATACGAGGGACCCTCCATGCACAGCGGTCAATATGACGGATGGGAGTGCTCAACACGACGTCCCAAAAACCTCGGACTCCTATTACGACCTGGGATCGTTCAGTCGACCTGTAAGCACAAGCAACAAAGAAGCTCAACTATGGTTCGATCGTGGTCTGGTTTGGAGCTACGCCTTCAACCACGAGGAATCTGCAGAATGTTTCCGGAAAGCCATCAGCCTGGACCCAGGGTGTGCCATGGCTTACTGGGGTCTAGCGTATGCCCTGGGTCCCAACTACAACAAGCCATGGGAATTCTTTGACGGAGAGGAGCTCGAATCAACTGTAACTAGGACACACGCTGCTGTGAGGAAGGCCAAAGCCGAAGCGAGCCATATCACAGCGGTCGAAAAGGCCCTGGTTGATGCCCTCGAGTTCCGATATCCCCATGCGCAAGCAGCTGCTGATTGCTCCATCTGGAATCAACCATACGCCAATGCCATGCAATCAGTATATCAAGCATTCCCTGACGACCTTGATGTGGCCACCCTCTACGGTGACGCCCTGATGAATCTCACGCCTTGGAGACTCTGGGACTTAACCACCGGACAGCCAGCCCCTGGAGCAAGGACGATAGAAGCCAAGGCCGTCCTTGATCACGCCTTAGCTTTGAAGGGTGGTTTGCAGCATCCCGGCCTGTTACATCTCTATATACATCTGATGGAAATGTCCGGCCGCCCCGAACTTGCCATGCCCGTAGCAGATCATTTGAGAGGGCTGATACCTGATGCTGGCCATCTCCACCATATGCCTACCCATCTCGACATACTTTGCGGCGACTACCGCCGAGCGATCGCTTCGAACACCGATGCAATCTACGCGGACGAAAAGTTTGTGGCTCGTGCTGGTCCACTGAACTTCTATACGCTCTATCGATGCCACAATTACCATTTTCGCCTGTACGCTGCAATGTTTGCTGGCCAGTCGAAAGTCGCGCTGCAAACTGCCAGCTGGATCGAAGCAACGGTCCCAGAAGAGCTCCTCCGTGTCAAGTCCCCTCCAATGGCCGATTGGCTCGAAGCCTTCCATGGGATGCGTGTGCACGCCCTCGTTCGCTTTGGCTTGTGGCAGGAAATTCTTGAGCTGTCTCTACCCAAAGACGAGGAACTCTACTGTGTGACAACAGCCTTGATACACTACGCAAAAGGTATTGCATTGGCAGCTACGGGAAAGGTGGGGGAAGCAGAGAAGCAGCGGATCATCTTCAACGAAGCAGTGTCGCGGGTGCAATCCACCCGAACACTTTTCAACAACACCTGCCTTGACATCCTTGCAATTGCGCGATCAATGCTGGATGGCGAATTGGAATATCGCCGCGGGAACTTCGAGGCAGCGTTTGAACATCTCCGCAAATCCATTGCTCTCGATGATGCACTTCCGTATGATGAGCCTTGGGGGTGGATGCAACCGCCTCGGCATGCTTATGGTGCTCTCCTGCTGGAACAAGGCCATGCCGAACTCGCCGCAGCTGTGTACAGTGCCGATCTGGGATTCGATGACACTCTCCCTCGAGCTCTTCGCCATCCAAACAATGTTTGGGCTCTCCGTGGATACTATGAATGTCTGATGAAGCTGGGTCGTATAGCCGAAGCTCGACTTATTCGACCCCAGCTGACGCACGCCACAGCCATGGCAGATATACCCATCAAATTTTCATGCTTTTGCCGGACAGATCATGCTAGTGGGCCAGTACAAGAGCGTTCTGCATGATCAGGCGATGACCAGTAGATGTATGCGACTTCTCTTGCTCTCCATTTCCACATCTTCCCAATCATTTGGCTGGTCTCTTTACCATGTACAGTGCGAGATCAGTCTTAGTTGCGTCGATGGGAACACACCGATCCAATGATGTATTTACTGCAGGTTGGGTCGGGCTATCCGCAAGGAGGCTCATGAAGATGACAAGAAGGGGACTGCCCACCCACTGTAGGTGACTGATCTTGTTGTTGTCGACCTCGGCTCATTAAATGAATGGTGACCTAGTCTTATGTCGATTTGCCCGGCAGCAGACTACTTAGGGTTGAAGCTGGGGTATTTCCGAAAGGTCACGGCGACAGCAGGCGAATGACGATGCGGTGCGGTGCCAACGCTCTCCGCAGCACCAGCCGGGGCGCAGCTCGCTTAGGTGAGGATTATTGGGCGCTAGGCTCTGGGCCGGGCGGAGCTGACACCCACAAAATTGCCGTGGGGGCGCTTCTCCGCATCCCGCCCCTGACCGGCCCCTTGAAGAAGGTCCCCATATGCTCTGCCATTCGGGCTGCTGTCGCCGCTGTGGCCGCCGCCGCACTTATCTAAGCCGTGGACCCCTCCAAAAAAGCAGTCCACGATTCTCTCTAGTCGCAGGCAGTCGCAGATATCTGCGCCGTGGTCGCAACCATGGAAAATTTCCACGACTTGATTAGAAACCAGGCTCTCCTCTCCTCAGCTTGCATCAAGCAGACGGAGACCCCTACCGGCGCCTCCAGCACCCCAGAGAAGCGCTACCGATGTAAAGAGTGTGGGCAGAGCTTCTCCCGCGCTGAACACCTGAAGCGCCATCAAACTCGACGTGAGTAACAGCAGAAAGACTGTGCAACGCCGCTAACTTGCCTTGTGAAGATACCGGGGCTAAACCATTCTCTTGTGTCTTCTGCTCTCGAGACTTCTCGCGCAAGTACGATATCCAACTTCTCAGTACCCCAAAGTCGTGCAGCTGATGCCCTGGGCAGGGATCGCCTTCAAACGCATTATGGCCACTGCCAACGGCGGGGAGACCGGGATGTCCCCAACTCGATTCCCAAGGGTCGACGACCGCATGCTTGTGTGACGGTGAATACATTGGACGAAACAACAAAGTCATACAACGTGACTGACCTCTATCAAGTGCATTTCCTCCAAAATTCGGTGTGACGGAGGCAGTCCTTGTGCACAGTGTAAGAAGAAACAAGTACAGTGTCGCCAAAAGCACTCTCTACGAGACAAGTCAAGTAGGCCCTCTAGTCCGCCACATGTAGACAAACCGCTTGGCGATGGTGCTGATTGTTTTCCAGTTGCCGAGAAGCTGGGCCCCCTAGGCGACCGTGTGTCCATTCAGGCACTCCTCAACGGCGGCACCGACACATTCACAGAGACCTTCAATCTCCCTCCTTGCGATGATCGGCAAAGAGGGCTGCAGTTCCATCAACAAAATGAAGAAGGGGAGGAAGAGGAAAACGACGACGCCGATCCGAAATCGGAAGATGACGGTCTTGCTACTTTCGACTTTTCCGGGATGTTTCAGATACCTATGGGAATTGATGATCAGTATCTGGACTTTTGGACAGGGCCTTTTGGGTTGATTCAATCCCCTTCATATACTGATTTACAGCTGGAACTTTACGACCCGGCCATGATATCGCCGGACGCTCACATTGGCTCCACACCCTCCAGCTCGACACAGCAGCCTTCGGATCAGGCGCCGTATGTCTCAGCGCTGAACATGGCAATCTACAATAAGCTATGGTGCCTGGCTTTGGATGAGAAATCTCGCCAAGAATTGACTGCATGCCTGAATTTTGTCTTGACCGCGGAGAAGATCCGCAAGTTCATCTCGCTCTACTTCCGGAATTGGCATCTGAACTGCCCCATCATTCATCGACCGTCGTTCGATCCCTCCAAAGTCCCAGTGGGCTTGGTCATCAGCGTGGTCTTCATCGGGGCGATGTATTCCAAAGATCAGACAGAAAGGCTTGCCGCGAAGAGACTGGTCGATGTTGCGGAATTGGTGGTCTTCGATTCGGAAATTTTCTCCTTTGAGGTCGAAGTCACTCGATCTATAGAAGGCGACTCTCTGCCGACACGTTCAGACTCTCTTCAACAAGATCGGGACTGGGAGATTTTCCAAGAGCTTCAGGCTGGCTATTTGATGGTCATTGCGCAGTATTGGGGAGGCACACGGGGTTCTAAACGAAGAGCAATGCAATCCCGGCTTGGAGATGTCATCAATGTTCGAGCTTACCCTCCCGATGCTTAGATTGTCACTAACCAGTCTCTCCAGGTCGCTCGTAGCATGCAGCTGCATCATGCGCGTCATCGGCCGTCCGATCGCATCTCCGAAGTTGCTTGGCTACAGAAAGAGACGAAGATCCGGTATGTTCACCACCTCCGTCGTTAACTTTTGCTGACTGCATTCACCCAGAACTATATCAGTTATTGCATTACTTGATTGCGCCATGAGAATATATTCAAACTATCCTTGTCGCATAACGCTCGGCGAACTCGACAATGACCTACCCTGCAAAGAAGCCATCTTCAGCTCACGACACCCTTTCATGCAGGACGACTCCATCTTTGCACCAAGATTGACGATGTCTCAAGCGTTTGCTCTTCTTTTTGATGGAAAAGCAAAGGCTTCTGATTCAACAACAGCATCACAGGCGGATCCGTCCGAAAGTGGGGCGTCCTTAGAAGAAACAGAAGGCGGTTGCAACCTCACCATATTTGATCTATTCATTCTCATCCACTGTAAGTCCGTCTTTTACTTTGGTCTGCTGCTCTGTCGTCTTTGGCTTGGTGAGCACTGGCTAAATGGCGATTGACTAACCTCTTTCTCAGTTCTGTACACGTACGTACACTCCTGTGTAATGACAATGTCACTCAACTTGCCCACGACAAACTTTGGTCGCCGGATCAACGGGGCCAAGTCTTCGAATTTTGCCACGGGCCCCATGGCACAAGAAATCAAGGGCGCTTTGGAAAGATGGCGCCAACTGTGGGAAATCTTGCACTCGCAGACTTCGGATAAATCCCTGAAAGCCGAAGGCATGTACAGAAATGCGCTTCACTTCTGGGTCGTCCTTCAATTCATCATGGCCAAAGAAGAAGCGGTCGATGTTATCACCAGCATGGAAGTCAACTGCGATGACGCGCTGACCAAGCTCAAAGTCCTCTTTCAGAATGACAACGAGCAAGAAATGTGAAAAAAAACAAATAATGTGAGATTAGTCTGGGAAACTATGGCTCGCTCCTTCAGCGACGAGTGTCCAGTATCCTCTGAATAGGACTTATGGAACTGCAATTAATTGCCGTCCTGCTTGCGCCAGCTTTTCTTGAGCAAAGCAGATGCATACCTAGGTAAGTACGAGGTAATTATCAACGGGGTACATCCCTTATCGGCTAGCCACCTATAGACTAGATCGGGCAAGCACGTGACTCGGAGCTATTCCATACTTAGGTACGAGGAGGGAGCCCAACAGCGCTGAAAATCAAAAGACCCCTGGCCGCAAACTCGAAATATTCAGACCTTCTCAGCGTGGACAGTGATGCCACTCTTCGTAACTTCGTCGAGCTCCTTTTCAGCGATCTCGCGGGCCCTCTCTGATGAGACGCATTGATATGTCTTGAATTGACTGCGCGGCACCTTGTTGACAAACATCTCATCGATTTCCTCCAACGAACGTCCTTTGGTCTCCGGGATGAGGAAGAAGAAAAACACTGCAATCCGAAGTCAGCGTCTATTGGGAGTCACATAAAAGCAGGGAGAAACTGACCGAATGCAATCGCATTCGACCCCGCCCAAATGTAGCCATACTTCGCCCCCCAGTCGAGATTGTTCGCATTCAGGAAATATGGTGTGCAGTACGAGATCAGCCCTGTAAAAATGGTCAGCCTCAGCTCCGAACAATGGTCCTTTGTTTCAAAACTCACAGTTGAAGAAATAGTTGATGCCAGTGCCGAGGCCAACACTGAAGACTCGCAGTCGAGAGCTGACAAGCTCCCCTGCAATCGGCCAGGTAATCGTGCCCGTGAAGCCATTGTAGAAGAAACTGAACATCAGCGCAAAGCCCACCAGCGCTTGGCCAGCACTTTTTCCATGTCCAGCAAGGCTCAACAAACCAATGACCAACATGCAGATGCAGCAGCCGGCAGATCCGATCAAAAGCATCGTGCGGCGGCCAAAGACTTTGTGCATTAGAAACATGCCGCACATTGCGCCGATCAATCCGAGACAATTCTGCAGAATGGTCGCCTGGAATGGCTTGTCGATGCCTGCCATCTGGTAGAAGAACGTGCTGTACGAGATTGTGAACCAGACTCCAGACGCTGCATGCGATGCGATAGCCCCCGCTGCCAGGATCGTCCGCCGGCGATCGGTACCCTTGAACATGTCCAAGACCGAGGTTGTCGATGCTAGTTCTTTTTCTTGGTCAATCCCTCTTTGCATCTCGACGAACTCCTCGTTCAAAAGCTCTGCCTTGAGAGATTTGCCTCTGATGCTCTCCAATGCTCGGCGGGCCTCTTCTGGCCTGTTTTGCAAAAGGAGCCAGCGAGGCGATTCTGGGACAAAGAATAGGAAGATACTGAGCAGGAATGGGATCGCGAATAACGAAGCCAGAGGAATCCGATATGCCAGACGGCTGTGCAGGTTCTTGCTATAGTTGTCGGCAACGGCTCCGAGAATGCTTCCGAGATTCACCCAAAATCCAAAGAACGAGGCAAGCAAGGCCCGGTGCTGTGGGGGAGCCAGCTCCACCGTCATGATGTTGCTGAACAAGATGAACCAGCCGTTCCCCAGCCCCAGAAGAATCCTGCCGGCATAGAGGCCTGCAAGACCATTGGCTCCGACCTGGACGCCGCATGCCACCATCGATACGACGGCGGCAATCCAGATTGCCGGTTTGCGACCGAACCGATGGGAAAATGGACCGCCGAGGAGCACCGCGACAATGGTACCGACGTTGAGGAAGCTTGAAATCAGCTGCTGAGGCTTGGTATTGATATTCCAGCCGGATTTGACTTTCGGGTCCTTGTAGCCAAAGACTTCGAGGAAACCGATCATGGCCTGGAAACCAGCGACAGCAGCGGTATCTGCGAAAAGGTCAGCGCCGTCAAGTGCATCCTGGTGAAAGCTCTTACCAAAGCCATACTGGCAATTGGCCATGCTGACCGCACAGCAAATGACCAAACATTTCCAATTGTCGATGAGGTGGTTGTTTCTTCCTTCGCTAATCATCTTGACTCGTGGGACGGCAGTCCTCGTGGGATGACAAGGCGGTATGCGAGATTTGGTACACCGAAAGGGCATCCATTCGCCTGATTATATCAATTCTCCAAGAGTCTGGGGATTTGGATCCGGGGGAAGATCGGACGTCAAGGGCAAGTACCCCAGCCGCTCGAATTCCGGACAGCCTCGTCCGGAATCTGGCCGGTGGCTCCCACGCAACCAATGGTACGGCTCCCCATGTGCTGGGGACCTACCCGTCGCAGACAGAAACGTCTCGCTTGACCCATCGAGCAGCCTAGCTTCGTCTTTTTTTGCATGCTGTCCTGCATCCACCGAACCAAGAGCGTCTCGCTCGTGGGGCTTCTCGACATGCATGCCTCCAATTCCTTTGCTTCGGTGTGCTAGGTTCCCAGGGGAATCGCTGGAAGCGGTACTCTTTGTGGGTTCGGTGCATTGAGGATTTCGGCAGTTGTCCCGTGTCGCGTGGCATCTCGAACCTTTTCAGCGCTGCTGAGTTCAAGATTTGGAGTACGCAGGGGGTAGAACGGCGGCATAACCTCCACTTGCCCTGTGACCTGCAGATTGCTATATCAAGTTTACTCGTATACCGTTGTCCTCGGGCCAAAATTCTTGCAACTGAAGTTACCAGGCCTCTTTGTCAGACCTCGAAAGCGCAATGGACCACACCAACAGGCGGCCGATGACTGCATGCCAGAAAATACTGGTTCATCATGCTCTTGGTCTCGAGACTCCGTACGTGGAACCAGGTACCGTGATCCGCGTTGCTCCAGATTGGTTTCTGGCATCGGAAGTCGCTTGGTTTGGCATGAACAAAGCCTATGAGCGTATGGGACGTCCCGGCATCCGCCGCAAAGACAGGTTCTGGCTGGCAGGAGACCATGTCGTGGACCCACGAGTGAACCACAGGGCCTACGAGAAGTCTCTTATTGAGGCCTGTGACCAGATTGCAAAAGAAATGGACCTCGGGGACAACTATGCTGGACACAACACCACGATCATGCACACCGAATATTATCGCTCTCGATGTCAACCCGGCATGCTTGTCATCGGCGCCGACTCTCACACCTCGTCTGCTGGAGCGCTCGGGAGTCTCGCAATTGGCGTTGGGTCTACCGATATGATCTTGCAGCTTGTCACTGGAGAGACCTATCTCGAGGTACCAGAGATTGTCCGCATCAACTTTATCAACACGCCACCCCTTGGGACCAGCGGTAAGGACGTTATCCTTGGGGTAATGCGCAAGCTCCGAAGAAATACTGTCGCAGCAGGCCGTCTTGTCGAATACACTGGAGAAGGACTTCAGTACCTGTCGTGTGATGCAAGATTCGCCATTGCAAACATGACGACCGAGTTCGGCGGCATCGGGGCTTGTATTGTTCCAGACGGGGTAACCATGCAGTACATTCAACGTCGGAGGGACCCTCGACATAAATCAGACAGCCTGTACTTCCGGCCAGACGATGATGCGCAGTATGCTGAGACATTCGATGTGGATTTGTCAGAATTGGAGCACTTTATTGCGCTGTACCCGTCCCCAGACAACGTTGTGCCCGTCTCCGAAGCTAAAGAGCAGCTGCAACACCTCCAAGGGGTCTTCATAGGAGCATGCACCACGACCGAAGAAGAGTTGATCCTGGCTGCACTGGTATTAAAGGAGGCGATGTCTCAGGGCTTGAAACCCGTGGTGCCGGGCTTGCGGCGCGTAACTCCGGGGTCCAATTCCATCATCAACAGGCTGAAGGAACTAAACCTTCTAGAGGTCTACGAACAGGCGGGCTTCGAGATTGGCGCACCTGGGTGTAGCTACTGCGTGGGTATGGGGGTCGACAAGGCTGGCCAAGGGGAGGTGTGGCTGTCTTCCCAGAATAGAAATTACCGTGATCGAATGGGACCCGGGTCAATCGCAAACATTACTTCTGCAGCAACGGTGGCCATTTCTAGCTTTTCGATGTCGTTGCAAAGTCCCACGGATATCCTGGGTAAGATCGACATGGCCGAGTTCGACGCCATGAGGAGATACGGTGCACAGGAGCCACGAGAATCACCAGGATATGTCGAACCGGAACTCCTTCCCACTGTCCGAACAAAGACCGATGCAGACCTCCTCCCATCGGCAGAAGAGAAGCCGCCGCCATCACTTCCCGAGTCGATTCGAGGGCGAGTGCAGCGGTTCGGGGACAACGTTGACACGGACAGTATCATTCCGACGGACAAATGCCATTCTCACCTTACCCAAGAAGAGGTTGCCCGGGGTGCATTCTGCTATACTCGACCCGAGTTTTATGATCGTGCACAGGCCGGTGCCTCGATCGTCGTTGCGGAAAAGAGCTTTGGCTGTGGCTCGTCTCGAGAGCAGGCTCCGAAGGCGCTAATGTGGGCGGGCATTCAAGCAGTGATTGCAAAGTCGTACGCCTTCATCTACCAACGAAACCAAGTCAACAACGGCTTGATGGGGATCAAACTCCAGGACGATGACTTCTACCAGCTCGCTCAAGAAGGGGAAGAGGTGGTGATTGACGTCAAAAACCGGCAGATCCATTGTGGAGGACGAACATGGGATTTCCGGCTGGATCGTATTCAGGAACAACTGCTTGCCGAAGGTGGATTGATCAGCACTTATGAAAGATACGGACCCAGTTTGTTCTCTAAGCTGCAGAGCCTGGATCAGAAGGCTGGCAACGCTTCGCGAGATGCTGCTGAAGCTGGGTTTGTTGAGGAATCGTCGAAAACCACGTCTCTGGAATGGTGAGGGAGCTTGAGCTAACATAGAACCATAGCAAGACTCGCGAGAAGACCAAATTGCAGACGAACAGCCACGAACACAAGTATGTTCTTATTACAAAATTACCACATGTGTTACAGACTTCAAGCATGCTCTGTCGCCGGCCAAGAGTACGTCCCAGGGTGAGCTAGGACGGGTAATACTCCAAGCCATATTCGGTGGCACCCTCCAGGGTGTGAATTGGCTTGCCGGCCTTCTTCAAGCGCTCCAATTCGTTTCTTTTCATTTCCTCTTGCATCTGCATTGGAGTGAAAGGGGTCAGTATGGACTTGACTTGGTTCAAAGTTTACCATGAAGGCAATGCCCGTGGAGAATGCAGCGTACCTTTATCCTGCCGCCAGCACTCGGGAGTAATTCTCTTGGTCCAGTAATCTTCCACTCGGGCAAACCTTCGGGTCGACCCAGTTCCCTCAATGTTTTGGCCTCAACAAGGCTGTAGTTGCCGTCTGGACGGTTATAGTTGAATGGCTCTTTCAAGGCCACGGGGGGGTTTGTAATGATTCGGACGCTTCGGAGGAGATTGCGTGATGCCGAGTGCAACATGAACGGATGCAAGAAGTACACGTCGCCCACTTGCCCCGTAGCTTCGTGGAAGGACTCGTCGCGAGTCAGGCTGGAATCTTTCACCCAGGAATTCCAGAGCTTGCGGCGCTCAGGGTTGGATTTGGGGATCTCGGGCGTGCCTCGAGGCGCCAGGTAGGGCGTGGCTCCTTGCGGTAGCGAGTACTACGGTCGCCAACGGCTGGTAAGAGAAAGAAGCATCAAGCGAGTCTGGCGAGGGACGTCAAAGCAAGCTGCTGCAGCTGCAAACATACCAATTTTTCAGCCACCAACTTGATCCCATCCGTGCAGATGACGGTGCCTCCTCCCTTGGGTTTGATCTCGGTGAACAGGGGAATCACCAGAAGAGCTTGCTCCGGGGAGTCGAGGAAGTGGGTGAACCAGTCTCCATCGCAGTGCCAGTTGTCCAGCGACCTGAAATCCAAGGGATCGGTTTCCTTGTATTCGGGCTTGCCCAGGTTGGGAATGAAGCCATCTTTCCAGTATTTGCACCTGTTGCAGAACTGAGCATGCAACACTCTGGGAACGTATACATATATATTCCCACGATACGTGGACGGCTCATACATACCAGTCGGCGACTCGATCCTCTCCGCCCACCAACTCACACATTGCGGCGTATGCTTTGGGCGCGTGCTCCTTGACCGAGATGACCGTGTGGCCGGGCATGTTCAACTTCTCCGTCGGCCACGTCGATTTGTCGTCCGGATCCGCGCCGAGTCTCGTCCAGATGGAGCTCGTCCATCTCTCTGCGAGTTCGGTGGAGAAGCAGTTCTCGACCTTGATGAACCCGTGCTCCAGCCAGTGCTGCTTCTGCTCCTCCGTCAAGGAGTAGTCGGACCATTCGCTGATCTTTCCAGGCATTTTCTTAGTCCTTTCGAATTCTTATTGCCGTTGCGCGACGCGAGAGTGAGAAGGATCGATTAGGCATTCCAGAACCCCAGCTCTCGCGTCAGTGGAGATCGTCCAGGGCAGATATACACGCAGGACGCCCTTCGACTCATGGGGACAAAGGCTATTGAAGCAGCAGCCCGGGAATTAGCCTAATTGGCAGCCACAGGGAAGCCAGAGCGAATGAGTTCCATTGTTTTGCTGGGCGTTGTTCCAATCGGCCTTCACCGGGCTTACGGTCCTTTGACCGATGCTGTCAAATATACCTCGTACTGCGGGGGTTTGCATAGTCGAGTCAACTGCTAACTAACCGAGCAGAGCTTATTCGATAAAATGGGTAATACTCGGTACCTCGTACAGGGGTATAAACTACCTAGGTAGTCAGCAGTCTTCTCATGGGGCGCTGCCCGTCACTTAACCTTGTGAACTATACCTGACAATCAATCGCTACTCAGTACCCTTCTCCTCTTCCCCTCTGGCGAGCGTCGCTCGGAAGCATGTCCTCCTCGGTCAACAAGCCGTGATCCCTAATGCAATACTGATGGCACGATGCTCATGTATTATTCCCTTCTCAACCAAACCGATGATGGTTCACTCGACAATCCTACCATTAGGATTGTGAAGTGCAATATCCTTATGATTCGCCCCGTGGAGACTCGCTCCTGCGCTGGGGGACAAGCGCCCTTGACGCTACCGCGTGCTCGAACAGATTGTTGCTCCCTTTGATCTTCCTTCCTGTGCATTAATCTCTGCACCTGTCCACGTTCACTAGTCCTCATGGTGCTGCCGACATTGCTCACTACTCATAAGTATGTGCTGAGCGTAATGTTGCAAACCTCTTCACACCTCCTGCCCAACACCCCTCGTCTAGCAGTTTAGGTCCAAATATCGAGGAACTTGATCCATCTCGAAACTCGTCCGATCATACGTCCCCTCATTCATTTACTTCCCGGGCTCGGTGTTGCCATGCTCCGCCTCTGAATCGAGCTTGTTGTCTCGTCGGAGTTGATTCCGCTTCCCCAGAATGCGGAGGGTGCGTTCGCGCTCCAGCTCGGTCATCTCGGCCCAATTGTGGATCCTGGAGAGCGTGCCGTCTGAATTGATGACCAGAGGACCTAGAGCGTCAAGCTTGAATGTAGACTGCGGTGGTTCGGTCGCTGAAGTCGGTGCATCTTGCGGTGCTGGTAGGGCGAGCGGCGGTGAAGATGTCGGACCTGCGTCCTTTTCTTGGGCAGAGGGATTCTGTGAATGTTGTGGCTGATTCGATGTCATGGTTTGCTTGTCTCTGCGTCTTGTTATGGGCTCCTTTTTTTCTCTCTAGTGGCAGGGAAATGGATGCTTGGAGAGAACTGTGATCAATGTTGTCTGCTGTTGGAATCAGTTCATCCCTCTCTCCACGTTTTCGACGAATACTATATGCGAGTCTTGGATGTTGCTATCAGCCCCCGTAAAACCTGGTAGAAGCTTCCAGGCTCCACACTGGCTGCGTATCGAACATTCTCCAACTTTACCGCCGGCACCACGGGTCTCAATCTGACGTAGGCGACTCAACGACACACTGCCTGGTTGGGATGCCCAGTATTCGAGTCACCAATTGGAGCTGATCCAGTTAAAAGATAGAGATAGAATCTCTCTTAGACCGAACCTATAGTATTCCATGTGAACCATCTCTTAGGAGATCTTTGAGGTACCACACCAAGTCCTTTGTCTCCTACAAGACTCTGCTGTGGCTCTGACCTGGAAAGCTCAACATACTAGACTGTTCGACCATTTTGACCAATGCTAATGTACTCTTTTGACCCGGCCTCCTTTACGACAAAGCAGCAGTTTATCAACTCTCACCATATGCTGTTTCACATTTTCCGCTCGACATCTACAACTTCGCCAGGATCTGCCCTGCATCACCACTTCCCATAACGATCTCGTCAGTCTTGTAGTCAGGGTTAAACGTGACCTTGTTGAGAGGATTCAAGATGTGTGCGCGATGGAAGAGATCCTCATAGACCTTGCCGTCGTACCGTCCGAGTGCACTTTTCAGTCAATTAGCATGAGCTCCAGGGCCATTGTACGGGTGCTGGAGGGGGATGTACTGACCTGTCAAGCAAATAGTCCGGGATTGCCCACGCATCTACCAGCCGAACAGCGTGTGGCCTTATTCTTTCCATCAGCTCCAGCGCTCTCGAGGGCAACTCATTCAGATCGTCCGAGGAAACTGCGCCGGAGTTCTGAAACTCCCGAGCTTCCGAGTCCATGGTATGAAGGGCAAACAATCGGAAGAGGTCCAGTAGAACAGAGCGCGTCGATGAATCCGAAAGAGCGACCTCGTTGTTGTTGTCGCCGGCTACCGCGGCGTAGAAGTTCGACACCAGCATGGCCTGGGAGTAGGCCCTGCTGAGTTTGTGGAACTCAATGAGCAGACTGTTCCAAGATCTCTTCCGGACCTCTCTGGCGTCGTATGCGCGGCATGCCATGCAGGCCATACGCCAGTTGAAAGCATCCACAATGGACTGGTCGCGATTCAGAACGTCAAATTTGGGCTCTTGAGATTGGGCGGACAGATACGTTTTGATATGCTTCTCGGTCTGGCTCAATGGCTGGATTTTCGACGCATGTGCCTGCTCCTTCACCTTCTTGATGAGATACCGCGCGACCTGCTGCGTGATCATCCAGTTGTCACCCTCCACCGTTGGCTTGGACAAATAGTCCGCATTCAGCTGCACGAGGCCTGTACCTCCGCCGAACCCGTGGCCGCCCATAGATCGTCGACAGACCTCGATTCCGTCTGCAGCGAGCGTGGTGGCTAGACTCTTCAGCCCGGCTGACGTACTATGCAGTTCGGAGAGAGCAGCTTGATCGACCGTGTCAATTGTGGTATCGTTCTTGCGTGTACTTTCGTACAGCTGCCGCATGTAAGCACCGGAATAATGAAGGGCAAACGTCGTTGCCAAAAGGGGCAGAATTCGTATCTGCACCGTGGTGTAATCGAGCACAGAGGTCTCCAGCGGCTGAGTCGGATTATCTTGGTCACGAAATTGTCGTCGAATCGACAGATAGCGTACCGCCACTGTCACGGCTCGAGCCAGCACCAGACGCGCATTCATGACAATGACTGAACGTCCTCGAGTAAGCTGGCCATAGACCGAAGATGGATTCTTCGGCTTGACGTAAACGCCAGTGTTTGGATCGACGCGAGAGTGTCTGGACAACATAGCGCCGTGCGGAATACTATTCTCCTTGGTTAGCCAGGGGCGCACCATTGGCTCACTTTGCAGGTAAGTCCCTCCTACCGGTGGTGATTGAACAAGCAATACGCGTTGTCCATGGGAGCGTATCCATACTTCGGGCCTATATCGCCGACGACGATACTTTGGGGAGGCCGATGCGTCTTGAGATCGCGTATCTGAACGAGGAACGGGTGCGGCCCGTATGACTTGTAGGTCCCGTTTTCAGGTAACATGAGCTGGGCAATGACAACTGCATAGTTCGCTGTTCGGCCAAGTGTGCCATTCCACCACTTGCTCGCCGTGATCGTGGGACTATGAAGGATGAATTCTTTCGTGGTCGGGTCCCACCGTGCTTCAGTCTCTATCCCTCGTACATTGCTCCCATGGCCCAGTTCCGTCTGGGCATAAGCACCGATAATCTCCCACGCTGAAATCTTGGGCATCCAGTACCGCCTCTGCTCATCGTTCGCCTGCTCACGGACAGCAGCGGTGAAAAGCGAAATATGGAGATGGTATGGTTGAATGTCGTCGACAAGGTATTCAGCCATTAAGAAGTCATCGTCGTCCCAACCGTGCTTGTCTTGGAGTTGTCTCATACGCTTTCCACGAGCGAGGCCAAGCTTATACCTGTCCGGTCGTGAGAGGTTTGCCTGGGTTGACTTGGAGAATATCCTCTCTTGTTGCAAGATGGTCAGAACCCGTCGTTGGCGCTCAAGATACTCAGACCCCATCAAATGCTCAGACAGCTGCTGTATATCGATGCTCGAACGGCTTCGCTCGTTGCCAATCACCGTAGCGCCATCCGGTGCAGCAGGCTTGAGCGCAGCGCTGAAGTCTCTAGAGTAACCCATGACTGGTTGAAGTCTGTGGAAAATTTGGATTCTCCGTCACTCTATCGCACCAAGAAGAAAAATGAGTTCACATTGGCAAATATCCTCACATAAATGCAGTGTTGCCAATGGCGATACGGCAAAGACATGGATGCCGAGCTGTTCAGGCTCACCTGATCGCGGAAAGTAAGCTGTATTCAAAGAGTCGTTCACAGGCCACGAGCATGACAAGCTGCGGAGCATATAGTCTCCACGTTTAGCAAATCATTTTGCCGTGGGGCCATTGAAGGCAATTGAACAAAACGAGTAATTTCCGAACTCAGCGAGGTCCTCGGTGCTCCGAGTATCGCCTATTCAGCTAGTACAACATGTGCCTCGTGATGCAAGGAACTTGAAGCTGTCCGGTATGTGGTGCGTGTCAGTTGATGAGGTGGGATCCAGAAAGGAAACTCTGAAGATCCTCACCGGCACGTAATTAGATGTGGTGTCTGAACTCTGGCATTTGCTTGGCGAAAGTGCTAAAGTCATGCCTCAGCAATTGCCTGACTATGGTACCGTGTATCTCAAGTTCTTTACGGGATCAACACTGTCCGTTTGCATACATTCCAGCGTCAGAAGAACGGTTCCTCTAAGCCCTGCTACCACCATCACCTCGTTTGAATATCAAAATGACTTCGAGAATGTCGAGTTTGACGTTTATAAAATAGAGAACCATGTGAGTATTGTAAATCCCAACCATACTTTTGTCATGCTGCTTAAGCCTCTGAGTTTGGGCCGGTTACTAAACTTTTGTATCAGGGATCTCTTCAATGTGGCGAAGATTCTCCAGATCCAGAGCGCGTTTCTCCTCCAATACCTTCTGCTCATGAAGACGAGCGAGGTTGGCAGCAGAAATAGTACTGTGTTCTGCATCTTCGATGGCTCGTAGAGGCATCGCATGCCCAGTCTTTGCCTTGCGCCGTTTTGCCTCCCAGAGCAGCCACAGCGGCAAGCTTGCAAAGCTGATGATGGTAAAGGCGATGGTGGAGGACGCGGCAGCAAAGCCCGGCAGGTACCAAGGGGCGTCTGTGCTCGGGAAGATCTGCTAGGGTTAATACTCTTGTCAAGCTTTTGGCAAAGGCTGCTCCTACCTGAGGACCAATAATACTTGCAATTGACAGCGAAGCGACAGCGGAAGCTCCACCGATGGCTTGCTCAGCCGCTCCATACAGTGTCGATGTTCGGTACGCCAGAGCAGCTGGCTGCGCGATAGAGACCATATTTCCGAGGTACGCCAACCCGTAAAGTTGGATCGGCGTCATGTCACTGAAGCTCTTCTGTGTTGCAACATGGGTCCAGATGGCGAAGCACGGAATAGCCATGGCTGCCGGGATGATATAATGCCATATCCTTTCACGCGTCCAGTCAGAGTGCCAGCTCCAGAAGGCGTAGATGACAATCGCCACGAAATACACCGAGGAGCTGTATTCGTTGGCCTTGGTGCTGCTGAATTTGGCAAACTGTGACATTCAGTCAGAAGTTCTGCGGACATCGAATGGACAATTGCTTACCACTTTCAAGATGGTCGGCAAGAAGGTCCCGAGTGCCACCGCGACGATCAGTAAGCAAAGATACGACACGAAGAAAACATATGTTGACGGTCGAGACATGACATTAAAGAAAGCTGGCCAGTCCCATGTGACATCCGTCTTTCGAGTAGCTCCACGACCAAAGCGATTGACGGCAATGTAACGTTCTTGATGTCCATTAGCGAGCTACCTTGTAACATCAGCCGGGCACATTATAACCTACCTCGCTCAGTCAATGCTTTCGAGTCTTCCGGGAATGTGAGGAGGAGGAAGTGAATCGGAACTGCGCACACAATCCTTTGAGACAATCAAAAGTCAGCGCATAAAAGGCAATTTTATTTAGAAGAAGGACTTACGGCATGGCCCCCTCAATGATGAACAACCAGCGCCAACTCTCGAGTCCGGCTTTTCCATTGAGCTTTTCGTGTCAGCACCGGGTGTTCTGGCACGAAGATATCTTGATGACTTACGTGGTCGATCGCAACAGCGAGGAAACCTCCCACTCCAGAAGCAAGGGCATTTGCGGCATGAAAGATACCAATCCGCCATGCTCGCTCATGTGGCTTGTACCAAAAGGAAAAATACATTATCGAGGCCGGGACGACGCCTGATTCAGGTACTCCCAGGAAAAACCGAGCAGCGAGCAGACCAGCTTTGTTATGAACTGCGCCAATGCACATGACGATTGTGCCCCAGAGAATCATGATTACCGGGAAGTAGAACTTTCCAGAGAACCTCTTCATCAACAGATTTGACGGAATCAAGAGGACAGTAACCATGAAGTACGTGACGGATACAGCCTGCGTCTTTGTCAGTGTCTAGAGGCCCAAAACCTGCTATGGAGATACTTACCCAGTTGAAATCTGAGCCCTCGAGATGTAAGGTCTCCTCGAAGCTGCTGGGTTTGCCAGCTTGGAGCACGTTCACGAATCCCATATTTGCCCGATCAAGGTACGCGAGGAAGTATATAATGCAACAGGGGAACAGAACTCGTGTATCGAGCTTCCTCACCAGCTTCCGCTCTTCGTCCTCGTCCCAGTCCTGGACCGCTGCCACGTGTTCGATCCTATCTTGACTGCTTGCTGTTGAGGGTCAGCTTTCCTTCATTAAGATTCTCGCATTTCGAGGGCAACAAACCATGATGGCCGTCAACGCGCTTTGGCCAGATAGCATTCCGTAGGCCCCAGCCTCCAATGTAGACGCCCTCAGCCTCGACGGCTGCCTTCGCAGCTTTCCAGCCAAACATCTGTCAGAATGGTGTCCGCGTCCACTGGTCGGCTCGAAGCAAGAGGATCGCTGAGTTGCAGGGAGCAGATGCGGGACGATAGTCACACCACAGCCGGTCAGTCAGTCCACCCTCTTCATATAGACCCCTGGGTAACATGGCTGTGTATCCCACAACGGACCCCATACGGGGCCCCAGATGCACAGGGTTCGGAGTAGATGGTACGGAGTTTGACCGGTTAAGACGTCTTTCCCCAACTCTGATGCTTTCGGGAAATTCCACTCGGGGATTTCCAGTCTAGGAAATTAAGGGCCTTTCAAGATAAATCAACCCCTCACGAGGATGGCTTCGACATTTTTTCTTAGCCACGAGGCTGAGCGGCCGGAGAAAGGTGATATCGAACATTGCGTTATCGATGAAGTTAAAGCCCGAGACAATCTCGGATCTGTCTTTTGCACAAGGTCGACACTGACTAACGACAGATTCATTCAATATCGCCATCATGTCGGTCCGTTCAGGTGATGAACTAAAAGAATTGTCCCTGAGTGGTCGCCCGGCAGTCATCGTTGATCGCGTCAACTATCCAGATGATCGAGCACAATGGGTACCAAAGCACCAAGGCCCGAACGTCTTCCCCAACTTCTTCTTGTTCAGCCGGTTGTTGCGCTGGGCCTACAGGCCACATCTCATCGCCATAAAAGATACCACCTTCGGGTACACAGCCGACTACACTCAACTCCTAACAGATGTCCTCCATCTCCGAAATGTGTTGAGACAAACGCTGCCGCTTACGGTTATTCAGAAGATTGATAGAGATGAAGAGGTCTTCATTAACCTCCTTGGCCCCGGTGGCTATGAGTTTGTGGTGGGCTTTTTCGCTTTGATGGCGCTAGGTGCCGTCATTGTGCCCATTTGTGAGTGACATCTCTTGATTTGGGGATTGGCTTGGGCTAAACAGTGCAGCTCCTGATCTTCCCACCAAGGAAGCAACATATTATGCTACCAAATCAAGGTCTTCAGCCGTCCTTGTTGCACAGCGTAGCGTACAACTAGCACAGGACCTCGAATCTGCGGTTCGCAAACAGCAGAATGCTGGCTTCCGGGCCATACAAATCACTTCGCATATCATGCAGAAGCCTTTGGATCCAAGCCAAATCCAGATCTCCTCCGATCCGTATCTCGACCTGAACAAGTCAGGCTTGGTTATTTTCACGTCGGGCACCAGCGGGCCTCCCAAAGGCGGGGTCAAGCGAAGAGGCTTCTTCTACGATGTTGCGGCTTCCTTCAGTGACCAACATGGGATCCGGGAAGGGGATATGGTATTACATGTACTACCCGTGCATCATGCCACAGGAGTAACCGTCACATTGATTCCTTTCCTGTACTGCGGAGGCTGCATCGAGTTCCGCAGCGGTGGTTTCAACGTCGAATGGACTTGGGAACGGATTCGGCAAGGGGGTTTGGCCTTCTTCTCGGGAGTACCGACCATCTACATGCGCTTGATGGCATACTACGAACAGCGACTGACAAAGCTGTCACCACGAGAGCTGGGGGAGTACGTCAAAGGTGTCAACGAAATCAGAGCTCTGCTGTGTGGCACTTCGGCACTACCACGACCCCTGCAGCAGAAGTGGACAAAGCTAAGAGGAGGTCGATCGATCTTAACACGCTATGGGGGTACCGAATTCGGAAATGCTTTTACCGTAACACCGCGGTCAGAAGACGTACCGGATGGCTCTGTTGGGGAGAAGGCGCCAGGGATCGACCTTAAACTATCCAATGGTGACGAAGGAGAAGTGCTCATGCGAAGCCCGATCCTATTCTCCAAGTAAGTTCTTTGCACTTACTCATGGTCGGCGGACTACTGATGGATTCAGGTACTTGTTTGACAGGGAAGCGACAAGAAACGCACTCGATGCTGAAGGATATTTCAAGACCGGCGATATTGCCCGTCGGGAAGGGAAATACTACTTTATCCTGGGCCGAGCCTCCATTGACAGTGAGCAAGCTCTATGGCCTGCACTGGACTAGCACTGACGCAGTTCTCAGTAATAAAGAGCGGTGGCTACAAGATATCCGCCCTAGACATCGAGCGAGAAATTCTAGGTCTTGGCTACGTTGCCGAAGCAATGGTGGTGGGCGTTGAGGATGAGGAGTTTGGTCAAAGGGTTGCGGCCGCCCTGGTCCTTCAACCAGATGTAAGTGCAGACTTCTGGACAGTGCTCGAGGAAGCTAACCAGTCCAGGCACCACGCAACTTGACCTTGGACAAGCTGAGGTACGACCTGAGAGAAACGTTGGCAGGGTACAAGATGCCAACAATGCTTCGCGTCGTGGACGAGCTCAAGAAGAACGCCACTGGGAAGGTTATTAAGAAAGTGCTTGTCCGGGAACTGTTTCCCCGAGAGGGGCATGCCGACGTGCAGCGCTGGGAGTCCAAAAAGCGTGACAGTAGGCTTTAGAGGTACATACTTTCCCCAGTGTTTTAGGGGCGAAATCACTTGATACAATGGCTCCTCGATGTTCAACCTTGTGAGCTGGGATGCTGTTTGAGGGCTGCTCTAAAGCTTTACTTTGGGCTCTCTAGATGTCTGCCTGGAATGGACATAACTCACCGCTTGATATGCAGAATGAGCTTGACCCCATAGTTCGTTTCTCAGCAACCCATAGACTCCCATTTTCGCCTTAGCCTTCCATTGCTCGGCGAGCTTGATGGCCTCCTCGAGCATCTTGTCCGGTGGGGCAACAACATCCACGATTCCGTCCTGAAGTGCTTCCTTTCCCGTGTACCTGTGAGCCTCCAGCAATACCTTTCTCGCAACCTTGGGTGCGAGTTTCAGCCGAACCAAAGAACCCATTCCATCATGATGCAGACCAGCATTCACAGGAGGCATTTGCCAAAATCCGCGTTGCGAATTCATCACTCGATAGTCGTGAGCGAGAGTAAGGAGGCAAGCACCGCCCATGACGTGACCTGTTATGCATGCTATTGTCGGGAACGGAAAGTCGAGAATCGTTGCCAGAAGCTTGGTTTTTCTTTGTGTTAGCAGAATGGTTCCTGTGACGACAGAACTTGTTTCACTTACGGGGTAGAAACCGTCGCTTGATGCAAAGATGTTGCCTTCTCGCTCGTCAAGATCAAGTCCCTAGGGTAATGTTAGAGCAGTGAAGGGCAAGAGCGGCGGCACTTCATCGATATTGGCTGACCGTGGTGAAGAATTTGGCATCGCTGCCAGTCAGTACCACCGCCCCCTCAGCATCTTGTCCCAGCTCCCTCTGAATCGAGTGATATGCCCTGATGAGTTCTTGACAGCACGGAACATTAAGGCGATTCTCGGGAGGTTTTCGTAACGTAATTATGAAGACGTTGCCCTTTCGCTCGACCGTGAGATATTGGTAGCCCATCTTACCTCACCCTGAGAGTTGCTGAAGACTCAAAGTTACTTTGTCAACTCCATATAATCTTTCCAGAAGTTCCTTTTACCGAGAGCAACTGAGTATCCTCCAGAAAGTCCTCAGATTACCCACACCTCTCTTGTCGGTCCGTCCTTGGCGTGCGGAGAAGGTACAAGGTGAGAGCGAAGAATCGAAATAGGCAAACGCCGGGCGGGCCCCGGAGAATTGCTAGATTCAGAAATTCCCGGTCTTTTCAACCTAAGGTGAAACGGTTCAGGCGTCTCTGGTGCAGCCGTTAAAGCGCTATGGGGGCTGTATCTTGCTAGCCTAAAAGGTGTTATGACCGTGAAGTTTGGTGGTGACGACGCGACCGAGGAAACAATATACATATCCTCTTGACTTGGTGCCTGTACAGCCGGCAATCCGAGTACAATTAGTTTCCCATCATGTCTCGAAACATCCCAGTTCAGCCCGAAGAGTCGGAGTTCACGTTATTCCTCTGGGGCGGCGAAGAGAAACTAGAGAGAAGGAAAGCCTTGCTCAAAGCTTTTATTGGCAATCCCGTATTTGACAAGAAGATTGTGACTCCTCCATCACTGGCCCGCAAAGATGCATGGACACGGGCAGCGTTACAGAGTCGCGAGCTCATCAGGCTCAAGTTCGAGAACAATTGGCCTCATCAGCATTTCATGGAAGCAATCAAACTGACAGACAACATGCTGCCGGTCCAGCCACAATTTAGAAGTATGTTCAGTGGCAGGGAAATGAACGATCCGAGGAGATTAACGTATGGCTCTAGTATTCATGTCAAATCTGGAGCGCCAAATGTCGGACGAACAAAAGAAAATCTGGATTCCGAAGGCGGAGCGGTTCGAAATCTTTGGCTCGTACTGTCAGACTGAGCTGGGCCATGGATCAAATGTCAAAGGCATCGAAACCACGGCGACATTTGACTCGGAAACGGACGAGTTCTTGATCAACTCTCCCACGATCAGTAGCACCAAGTACTGGATCGGTGCTACTGGGGTGTGGGCTACACATGGGATTGTTGTGGCTCGCTTGATCATCAGAGGCAAGGATTATGGTAACCATCTTTTCTTGGTTCAGTTGCGCAACCTTGATACCCAGGAACTTATGCCCGGCTGTGAGATTTATGAGCTCGGCCCAAAAGCATTCCAGGGTATGCTGGGGACCGATAACGGTGCGCTTCGCTTTCACAATGTCCGCATCCCCCGGTCTCAAATGCTGGCCAGAAATGCACAAGTTCTCAGAGACGGCACCTATGTCCCGCCCAAGAATCTGAAGCACTCGTACGGCTCGATGGTAACGGTACGTGCTCTCATGGCTGAGATCACAGGCTGGGACTTGCTCAAAGCCGTTGCTGTTGCTTATCACTACACCACCTTCCGGAAGCAATTCTCAAAGAGTAGGGACAGGAGTGAAACTCCTGTCTTTGACTATGCGAGTGTGAGATACCGGCTACTCCCACTTCTTGCCAAGGTAAAGCGCGGTATCGACAAGTGAAGGCGTTTGATTGCTGACTTATCCAAAGGCGACGGCACTTGTAGTTGTCGGGCAAGCTATCAAGCGTGCATATGACGACTACACTGCAAACTACTTGAGGACCGACGATACGTCGCAGTTGGAAGATCTCCACCTCCAAACTGTTGGTGCCAAAGTATACTCGACCGAAATTACAGGGTACGGTGTTGAGACCTGCCGAGTTGCCTGTGGCGGCCATGGTTATAGTGCTCTCTCAGGGTTCGGCCGGATGTACGCCAATTCTATCAACGCGGTGACATATGAGGGTGACAACTATGTTGTGGCACAACAAGTACCTAGGGCCATTTTGAAGCATTTCAAAGCGTACCCAACCCATTTGCATCCTTTGAAGATTTATCCTGACTGGTCTATAGTGGAACCGAGTCATCTCTCCCTTCGCTCTCATACCTTTCCTTTCTGCGCAGCACCTCAACACCGCAGCCACTGCACATAAAATCGCCTTCAGGATGGCTCGAGCGTGATGCACAGAGGTTTATACTTGAACAGCGTCTCGTTGTGCTTGTGCAGCAACACATCGAAGACACGAAGGCGGGCCGGGATACTAGTTATGCATGCCACGCGTTGACGATGGCGCATGGTGATTTCGTCTATTGGAAGGCTTTCTGGGAGGTTGTGGACAATATTCCGAGTGACGCCAGCTACAAGAAGCCGATGACGGCGTTGGCACAACTGGTATGCTTATCTCTGACAAAAGATACAAGAGCGGCACTGACTATCTGTCTTCTGTTAGTTCTCTATCTCCATCATGACCACGGCGCATGGAGTGCTATGTCCACCCATTTCTCTGACGTCCGACCAACGCTCCTCATTACGCTTGGCGTACGACGCAATCATTGTTGAGGTGGCAGAAAAGCACGCGCAGACTATCATCAATGCGTACGGCTTCACAGAGTTTGAGCTTGACAGTGCGCTAGCGAGAAGCGACCAGTCCCCGTACGAGGCACTACTGGAGGGCGCCCGAAGGAGTGAGATGAACCACATGCAACACCTTTGGCCGATGATGGTGGACACTAGGCAGTTGTGGAAGCAGTTCCAGCGGAGCAGTGAGAAAGTGGGAGTCAAACCAAAACTGTAAAGATAAATGTTATCGACAAAGATGTTCTATAGATATCACTTCATATGGCAGGAATTTGGGTGATGTCCGCCTCCGCTCTCTGAATGTTTGCATTACTGGTATATGTGTTTCTGATGAAGATTCCCACCACTCCATACAGTTGATGGTGATAACAGCGCCATATACAACGGCGAGTCCACCAAGATAGCGTGCCGATAGGGGTCCACGGGGGGTCGTGGGGTTCTTAAGACTGACGTGAAAGTACCGATACCTAGCGAGGCAAGCGAGGCTACGTAGGTACGTAGTTGGCAGTATCCCCCGCACAAGGCTGAATCGGTCCAACTTCTCCGCATCTTCACCTGGTCTAGATTCGCCGTCGACTTTTCTTCCATTACAGCTTACTCCTATTCCTTCCAGGCTCCAGGACATGGCACGGCCATGACGGAGGTCCCCTCTATACATAATGGCTACATTCAAAAGCTACGACCCGAGTAGTGTAAGTGCTCGTCCGCAACACGCCCGTGCATGTGAAACCTGCTACGCTCGGAAAGGTATGAAAGATCCCACACCAGAAAGTTGGAAAGATACTTTGGCCAGTCCCAGCGCTGACATTCAAAGTACGTTGCGATCTAAGCGGCACCTCCGGTGTCTGCTCTACCTGTGCTGAGCATGGTTTCACTTGCAAGTCAGTGCCTCAGCAATGTCTAGACGGACGGAGGGATAACTTTCTGTAGACCTCGTTTACGGCGGAGGAAAGAACACTATCAGCAGCGACCACAAGGGGAGAAAAGAGCCAGAACCTCGAGTCACGCTCGAAATTCTGTATCAAGTCCTGTTTTCCAACACGCCAACCATCAACCACAGGACTGTGGCGTGTCCCCACCGTCACCATTACAGGATCGAACTGACACCGCCATGGCACCACTTCTATTCGTTCACCATTGTGTCGCTGCTCCCAGCCCTGTTGACCTAGTCGCAGCGGCGTCGTCGCCAAGGGTCGACGAATTCTACAATTCATCGTACCTGTCGCGACGCGCTGTCCTAGGGGATGACTTCCCTGGCATTGACCACTCTCACGGAGCTCGCCAGCCACACGAGCACACTCTGACCGAGAGCGATATGAAAGTTCTTGAGCTCTACAACGCCTTCGAACTTCCGTCGATCCCCGTCCGTCAAGCATTGTTTGAGATCTTCTACGAAAGATGCTGGACTTGGATGCCTGTTGTTGATGATGGGACAGCCTCCGCCGACAAATCTTCCAGAGTGACCTCTTTGCTGGTCCTGCAAGCGGTTCTGCTAACTGCTGCCTCAACCAAACCCAAGAGTGACATGACTCTTCCAGCCCATCCACAATACCGTCGCATCAAAGCTATAATTGATACCGGTGCTGAGAGAAACCCGCTCAATCTACTTGCAGCATTATGCTTGATACAATTCTATGCGCCAGCAGCGCCGAAAGACATCTCCACCGACCATCCAAGATTCTGGGGTAACTATGCGCTCGGTCTCGCTCAGCAGATGGGCCTCAATATGAAGTCAACCAGGCACAACAACCAGGAGAGGCTCAGGCGAAGGATATGGTGGACTTTATACGTACGTTCCGACGACAAGAGAGAACTTCAAGGAACTAATGCACACTTTCATGCATAGGCAAGGGACAGTATCATGTCATCTGCTCATGGACGTCCCCGAATAGTCAACCCCACAGATTGCGGTATTGAACCGCCGTCCATATACGACTTTCCAGATCCCAGTGACATTCGCGCACAGATATTTGTTTCTTACGTTGCAATCACAGACATCCTGTGTGATCTATGCCAATTGCTGGCTCGGCGGAATGATCCATCACCTGCAGAAAAGAACAAAGTAGGTCTCAGACTGATGGAATTCGTTCGATCGTTGCCGCTCGCGCTCCGACTTATTCAAGCGGATGGAACTGCAAAGCCATACTCTTTCGATTTGGCTCAGTTACATATACACTTACTCACGACGATCATTATCCTTTACCGTCCACGATCCATCTTTTTTGTCCCGCCGGCTAGCTCACCGGCTATTGTGGCATCAAATCTCAGCTTCCGCATTTTTGAAGCAATGGAGCTGCGGGGCCATACCTGCTCCCTCAGTTCGGGCTTCGCGTGGCATTTACTTGTCACCGCTATTCCTCAGCTCTCCTGCCTTGGAATCCCATCGTTGCGGGACGAATGCAAGGGTAACCTTGACACACTCGAGGCTTGTCTTCGGACACTTGCGTCCACCAGGCCATCTGCAGCAAACAACTTACGCAACATACAGGAGATCCGCAGGGTGCTGGAATCAAAAGAACCACCCCCACTGCCGCGTCTCGGCCTCAACGCATCGGCGGATACTTTGTCCTTTTCCCCTCTTGATCTGTTCGACCCTTATGGAGCGGACGTTCCAAAAATATATGACCGCATTACTGCCGCGCTTGAACCCCCGGGAAGCAGAGCGTTGCGGGGTGGTCAGATTGCCGAAAACTCAAATTCTGGAGATCAAAACGTGTCAGACATGTTATATGCTCACACGCCATCGTTTACACCAACACCAACCAACCCAGCTGGCGGAATTGCATTGGACGACGTTCCGGACTTCGAACTGCTTGGTAGTAATTTTCCCGAAGACGGCTGGATGCGAAACTGGGTTAACGACCTGCACTTTTTCAACGAGTGAATGTCAAAATCTGTGAGAGGCAAAATCGAGCACAGGACGCGGCTCAGGCAATATCTGAGACCGTCTCTACGAGTACATATGTTCAACCATTGTCATCAATGTCCAATACTATTCATACCACATCCTCCATTGCGCTCTCTCGTCATGGTTCAGTCTTCTTTGGTTGGCGTGATCTCCAATTGACGGAGATGTACCTCGATTGAGCCGAAAATTACATCAAGGCGGCCCGAATAACGAGAAAGATCGTACGTAAAGCTCCATCTAAATTACCCATCGAACTTCTTCTTGTCCCTGTGGCGTTGTCCTGAAGATCTTTTGCGGTTCTCTTTCTCCCGGCGGCCAATGACATCGCCGTCCCTTCAAGGCGATGTATATGTCTTTGTTATGTTTTTGATCTAACTCCATTCCTCAGCACGCCTCCTGAGGGCCTCCGTCACTCCATTCGCTTGGCATGCGAGACTCACTCGGCACCTCAGAGCCCTGGCAGCGCCACGTTTGCCCGAGGGGTTGTTCTGTACGGGGTAATGGTCTGAGTCTCCAGGTCATCGTAGTCTTGGCCAGGGTTGGCTGTTTTCCAATTGAAAACTTCAAGAAGGAAGAAGAAGACCGCTGACACGAAAGACCCTAGGAACGGGCCAATCCAATAGATCCAGTGATAAGTTGGGAAGCTATGAGTAACAACGTCGGGGCCAAGGGCCCGAGCAGGGTTGATGCCAGCGCCGGTATAGTAGATACCTAGCTGGAATTAGCCACATTGACCTCAGAGCTGATTCGCATGAGCAGAAGCGCGGACTGACTTAAGAGATGGCCGATAAATAGAGCTATGCCAATTCCGATCGGGGCGAGGTAAGTTGCCTTGTGTTTGACGGCGGCCAGCATAATCACAGCAAAGTTGAGCTGAGTCGTTGCAAACATCTCGATAAACAGCCCTCTAGCAACGGAGGTGTCTCCTCCCAGTCTGACGTTCACCGCCATCGGCCCAGGCAACGTGGCAGACACTGCACCAGCTGCAGCAATGCCGCCTAAAATTTGAGCAGGGAAGACTACCAAGGAGCGTGAGGTAGGCACGGCTCGAATGAGCCAAAGCGTCAACGTAACCTGGAGAGTTAGTCACAGACCCTGGACACGTTCTCTTGCACCTGCAAACCTACGGCTGGATTGAACATGCCACCACTGACTCTATAGAACAGCCACACGTTAATAGCCAGGGAACAACCAAACCCAAGCGCAATGAAGAAGATGACCAAGAGGTTTGGCGCTGAGTTGGCATCCGCAGGTGGAGGGGTATGTGCGACTTGGGCAATGCCAAAGGAGAAAAAGAGGAAGAGAAAGGTCCCTGCGAGCTCCGCAAAGAAGGCCGTGGTGTGATTCCTTCGGCTATCGCGCAGGAAACCCTTTACACTCTCACGGGAGGTGCGAAAACGAGCCTTGAAAGACATAGTGAAGAGGCGAAAAGTGGTGGATTGTCCAGAGAATGTTGTAAACCAGAATATTGGGGGAAATGCTCACATATGTAGACTCTTGATAGAGTCTGATGTCTTCTTTCCCTCTTTTCTTTCTCGTTATGCTCCAATTCGTGTCGTCATCAAAGGAATATACAGTTGCGGGAAGCCCAAGTCCGACCATCTGAGCCACGAATGTTGATCTATTGAGTTCAAACCTATCTCGGTCCATCCGGAACGCGCTTTGACGGTGGAGATTGCTAGCCAACGGCACCCGCAATCGACGGACTGGTTAGCATGACTTCACAATCCTCAAAACCTTTTGCTCGGAGGAATGTAAAAGGTAGACCGCAAGTGGCCATCTGGAGGATAACAGAAGAATATCGAAAAATCCCAGACTGCGCTCGGAGAAGCCAACAACGTTTGCAATGCCGTCAATCGAATGAGCTAAATTTAAAAGGCCCGTGGTGATTCTATATTTTCTGCGGTCGCGGATCAACAAATAGCGATTTTGCACTTGCAAGAAGGTTGCCCTGGCCGTCCTCGATCCTGGCCTTAACCCATGTTTTCCTCCCCTGTCGCTCGACTGCCCACGAGCGACACAGCACAACCCCCGGCGTGTCAATCGGCGCTTTATAGTCCACTGTCATGGTCGCTGTCGCCGGTGCTGCACTGCCCGACACCATTGACGCCACGGTGCCTGTCATCTGATCCAAGACCAAAGCATTGAATCCCCCGTGCGCACGACCTGCCTTGCCGTCAATTCCGGAACCTAGGGACATCAAATAGCAGTATTCCCACGGGGTAATGGAGTCGGCTTCAGTCGCAGGTCGCTTGAAATTGATCTGGGCTCGGATGGCGTCGGCCGTATAGAGAGTGTGTCTGAACATACTGTTGGAGACCCCTTTTTTCAAGGGTGTGTCATTGTGGGATGGGTGCTGAAAGGGTACTTCGACAATGGAAATGTCGGATTGTAGAAGGCTCTTGCACCAGGGTATATCAAAGTCGGGGTGAATGTTGGATGTCATGATGCTGAATATGTCCTGTGAGAGCTTATTCCAGTCGTACGCCGTAACTGTTCGAGGAAGTGATTCCGGTGATGAGATAAATTGCGCATGCAACTGCCGAGACACCAGCAATTCCTTCTATCCTGTAAACATTGCTATCGAACCAAAGTAGAGACAGAAAATGAATGGAGAGCTTTCTACAGGTCTAGGCTTCACCCATAATCCTCCTGAATAGGATGAAAAGATCAAAACACGATAGCAATAGGACAATGCTCCAAGCACAACGGGTATCATCCGAACGCTCACGTCCTGTAACTGGTGCCCAGCCGATGTACCTCGGTAAGTTGCGAGAGGACAGCCCGAGCGGCCTTGGCAAGTTTGCCGCAATTGTCTACGACGTCCCTCTGGTGCCTCTCCTGTTCACCAGGCAAGAGCTTCTCATACCTTTCCCTATTCCTTGCTCTCTGAGATCCCGCATGATGGTCAATGACATATCCAGCCCCGGAAACCAAGATCAAACTACAGACAGCCAGCCAAATATTGCTCTTCTCGACCGTCTTCGGGCCATCGTGGTGGCCAAGATGGATGGTGACTTGCCCTTGCCAAGTTCTAGACAATGTTGTCACGAAAGGCATCCACCACTCCCCTGACTCGACCCGACGAAGGCCTGCAGCTGCCGGAATCTGGAAGCGTTATATCTCCCCTGTATCTAGCGGCCCATGGAGATGAACTCGAGCTGATGAGTCAGACACTTGAAGCAGAAAATAGTATCGACCAAGCGGACGTTCAGAGTTTCTTCGATAGAGCATGGCAGCACCACTCTCTTCTAGACTAGAAGAAAGTCCTCGATATTGGAGTCAAGAGAGTCAGGGCGACTGATTACTTGCTGCAAATGAAGAAAAAGCGAATAAATCTATCTTTTCTGCTGGAAGACGGCGCACGAGCATGTAGGATGATGGCGAAAGGCGAAAGGCGAGTTTGTCCATCTGTACACAATCTTCAAAATCTCCTAGAGCCATTACAGCTTGCACCCCGTGCGCATGGTATCCTCCGAGAGACCCATGAACACAAAATACGGAGACAGTAGCAAATTGCTGTTCATTTCACCTATTATCCAGGCAAGACATCCAGGCACCCAGGGATTTTGCCGAGTCGATCTGGGAGAACAGTGACTGGCACTGAGAGCCCGAATGGCGGAGTTGTGGCGACGCGGTTGAGCCACTTCCTTATCCCCAGGACTATGAGGACGTAGGAATGAGGATCGGCATTCCGACGCCGTTGGCGAGGATCATCTGGGGTAAAAGGCTTAGAGCATTAAGTCTTGATGCGTGGATACAGTCTGGCGACAGAGGCAGGCAGACTTCAATCCAACCGGGAAATGCGGTCGCTGCTGCGTCTTCCTCGACAAAAGTAACCTGGCCTTGAACAAGACACGCTTCCCTATCGCCGCGTGGGGTCCCCTCGCGCGATTCGTTTGGTTTTTGAACAGACGGCTGCCAGTGAAGGGATTCTGATTGCTGATCAGCACAAGCTGACGCTGCATCGAGCCTCAAGAAGTTTCCGCATCTCGGTACCTCTACCCAGATCGATATTGCCTTCGCCGGCCACTTTGGCCAGTGGCTGGATCTGGAACCCCCCAAACCTTAATAACTGAACCGTACATCTGAATTTTGTATTCTCACCATCGCTATAAGATGTAGTGTCCCGTTCGAGAACGCTCGGTTCGTACGCGAGCCAAGAAGAAAGGCGGAATAAACAGCTAGGCACCTAAAAACTTAGTTATTAGATAGGTCTCCATCATTGAGAAATGGATCTACCCAGCGCGGGCCAAGTCTTTGATGCTTTAGGGGTTTTCTGGGCAGCAAAACTCTTAGGGAGGACTAAACACAACACTCCCCTATTCGGGGCTAGAAAACACACCTGGCCAATCCAATAGGCTGTCTATGTGAGAAACGCCTGCCTTTTATGGCCGTAGCCTTGCAAAGCATCTAGTAACGTCTCAGAACGGGTGTTCTAGATCGTATAGTTGGCCCATCTCCATGACCGTCTACCAAATCCCAGGTGGCCAGTTGGACTTAACACCTTCCACCTTCTAGTTGTAGAGTTTGCGTCTATTAGAGACGTCCTAGCTATGGAGAAAGATTACCATATACAGGCTCAGGCAAGCCCACCCAATGCGACAGCCTCAGTGTATAAATCCCTGACAACAGGCTCCTCGAGGTAGGAGTAGCAGTGGATAAAAGTATATATTTACCGACCCAAATGCTGCAGTGCGTCGCCAGGCCCCAGATTGCCATATCTTCTCAAACCGCAGACTCAAACTTGAAGTAGTCGGAAGTATGAGGAAGCTTGCCTTTCTCTTCTTGCTTGCTATCGTTGCGATTGCTGAAGCTGGAGCCTGCAATAGCGGGATCAATGCAATCGCCGTGCCTTTACTGAAAAGCTACCCCCCAGCGCAAGCGTTCTGTAGGGCGAAATATCCTCAGCCTGTCTTCACAGTCACGAAAAAGCCAAACGTGGAAATACTCGGACAATTCGGACAACTCTCACAACCACAAAAGCTCCCACCACTACAAAGGTTCCAACCACTACGAAAACTACAATAACTACGCAGGATGCTCTGGCGTCTCAGTGGTCTGTTTTGGAGTCCGAAGCCGGTGCCGCGTTATCAACTTTCTGCTCCTGCATTCAGACGGTCAGCATAAAGACGGTGGGTTGATGCCGGATGTCACAAGCATGGCATTACTAACAAAATACTTTCAGGTGACTCCAAGTACGACCACCACAGCCACCACAGCTACGGCCATGACCACAAGAACATCTGTCACAATACCGACAACGACGACGTCAACGGTGAGTGGCATGTGTACCACGTAGTGATTTCGTAGCTAATTTGACCAGACCACGGCAACTACGGGGCCTCAGTGTGTTCCATTCGGGGGCGCCTGCACGGCGAGTGACCAATGCTGTCAAAATCCCTACTACCAGTTTTGTTACGCCTTTTCTGTAGATGATACAGGCTATTGTTCCACCAATCTTCCCACAGACAAGAGATCTGTGCCTACGGCAAGAAGTATTGGCGGAATACCATATGCTCAGGCTGGAGCCCAGAAGTAAAGGGAAAGCGGGTCATTGCTATGGCGAATCTTCTGCGATACCCTACTCGGGCATCTAGCACTTTATCATATTACAACTCTATAGGCTTCTCCCTCTATGATCCGTTCTATCCCTTTGCTCCTCCTCGTATGTAGCTGACGTGAGAAGAAATAAAATTGCCCTGGGCGGATATGCGAGACTGTATGCTGCGGCAAGAGTAGCAACACCGAAGTTATCAACAGGAGGTGGATGAGGGGCAGCGAGGAAGATGTAGACTTGGAGACGGACGACAATAAAGAGGAACAAGACACGATTCTGGGCGACGGATTTCCGTCCCAGGCGTGAGTCCTCTGCAAAGCCGCAAGGTTCGGCCTGGACTGGATATCGAGAACACTAACCCCGACGATTGGAACGATCTCTCTGACGGTGCCGGCCACGTTGAGGAAGCCTCTCTGCTGAAGGCGGCTACCAACGCCCGGACGCAAGATAGCTCACTGAACGTGCTTGATTTCCGTCTGTTACCCATCACATAGATTGCAGAATTTCCCACGCGTTCAATTATGAGTACAGCTCTCCCGAGCGCATCTCGGGATCTCGGTGGTGTGCTGGCATGTCAGTCATTACTGATCAGGTCACGGAAGAGAAGGCAGCACGTAGTGGCTGACCCCGCTTTTTGGTATTGCTGCGTTCTCCGATCTTCAAACACTTGGTCGTGCACAGGGATCCACCCGAGATGTTAGATGCGCAATAGCTGTGCTCTCTATCAACTTCTGTCTACACGCGGAGTTCACAGCAGAGGAAGACAGCTCCTCCACAACCGGCTTCGATGTCAACATAAGTCGCCAATCTACGTTTCTTGGGAAAGCTTCTGTAAGCTTGTATGGGAAGATCATATGTCCAGCGCATGATGGGACATGTCAAGGCGTCGGTTAGATCTGCCCAAGATACAGGCTACCTACCTCGCTACCTAGGTAGGTACCTAGGTAGGCACCGAGCTCGTGGGACGGAGGGAAGATGCCCCGCAATCGCTGTGGGGGCCCTAACTGGGTCTGGAGAAGTTACCCTTGATGAGATCCACCTTCTCCAGGTTGTAAGTTTCGGTCTACTGATCATGAACAGGTACAAGTTCACCGTTGCTCCGCCTCGAGCGTCGACAATCTTTCGGCTAGCACTAGACTGAACCAAAGACCGAGGTAATGGTTCAAGCGGGGTTCTCTCACTCAGCTCCTTATAATATCCTTTCGATTTCACGTCACAAATCTTCTAGGCTGTTCCCAACATCGCAACAATGGCGATCCGCAACACGACATATGCCAGGGAGGGCACAGCTGCAAAGGGGTTTGGACAAGACCGACAATGGAATTGGAGGAACTTTTTGATCTGTTTCGCCATTGCTGGCTGCGGCCAGCTGGCATTTGGCTACCCTGCCTCCATCATTGGCGTCACTCTCGCACAACCATCGTTCCTGGTCTATATGAAGCTCATCAACGCGGAGACCGGAGAGCTGGCCCACGATGCTGACTCTCTGATCGGTGCTATGTCCGGTGTCTTCCAGGTTGGACACCCGCTATACTCGCAAGTGCGAATTCTCTAACACTCACAGGCCGGAGCGTTCCTGGGAATCATCATCGGAAGCTTCATCATGGACAAATGGGGTCGCAAGGCAGGAACCGTGTTTTGTGCAACTATGAGCCTTATTGGCGGCGCCGGTCTGACTGGATCTGTCAACACGACCATGTTCATTATATTCCGATTGATCGCCGGAGCTGGATCTTGGGGCTTCCTTGCACTGAGTATGTTGTCCACAACTACTCCCAGCTGGATGCGTGCAACGTTGACTCTTCTCTAGCACCCGTCTACACGGCCGAACTGGCACCGCCCAAATTGCGAGGATTCTTTGTCGGCATGAACGGCATGGGTATCACCATAGGCTATTCACTTGCCTCATATATGGGTCTGGCATTCTACTACGTTAAAAATAATCCTGCGGCTCAATGGCGAGGGCCTCTAGGTCTTGCGCTCATTTTCCCGGCTCTCCAGCTGCTTGTCATTCTATGGGCGCCGGAATCTCCGCGGTATCTGTTGATGAAAGGCCGAGTCGAAGAGGCGAGGAAGATCGTCATGGATCTCCACCATGTACCCGGCGACCCGGACCAAGAATATGCACGCGGCGAGTTTTACCAGATGCAAAAACAGGCAGAGTTCGACCGGACCCTGACACCTACATACCGGGCCATGTTCTTCAAGAAATCGTACAGGAAGCGTACCATCCTAGCTTGTGGCTTCGCTTTCATCGGACAGTCCACCGCAGTGCTAGTCATCAACAATTATGGTCCAACATTGTACGCTGCTCTCGGATACGACACCCTGGATCAGTTGAAGCTGCAGTGTGGATGGATCACTATGGGCACACCAGCCAATCTGCTCGGTAAGTACGACAACGCCGTTGAGAAAGTCATGTTGTGGACTAACTCCTTTGCCACAGGTGCGGTGATTATGGACCGGGTGGGCCGACGTGTTCTCATGCTTACGGGCGTGTTTGGTTGTTGTGCTTGCCTTATCGTGGAGGCGGCTATCATTGCAACTTTTGCCAGCCCGATCCCCGCGACGCCCAACTATCCAGCGCTCCGGGCTGGTGTTGCCATGTTTTACGTATTTCTCCTGTTCTACGGATGCGGTATTGACGTCGCTGGCGTCGTCTTCTACAGCGAAATCTTTCCGAACCATCTTCGAGCGAAGGGCGTGGCAATGTCTATCTCCGCCGTTGCCCTTACCGATCTCGTTTACCTCCAGGTGACTGCCACGGCTTTCAAGAACATTGGCTGGAAATTCTTTCTCGTCTTCATCATCATCTCAGGCCTTGGTGGCATCGCGGCCTTCCTCCTGCTGCCCGAGACTAAGGGAGTACCTCTCGAAGAAATCGCGGCTGTCTTTGGAGATACCGAGGAGGTGATGGTCTACTCAGAGGACATTCACGTCGATCACCGCACGCACGACCTTGTCGTGGACGTCCACACGGGCAACACAGTGGAGGGCGGCGGCGGCGAAACGCTACACAAGGTGGCTACAGAAGCTACGGGGACGCCGGCCGGCACCAAACATGAGGCAGCTCATGTTGAAGGTTCTGAAATGGTGACCCCATTGGCAGAAAAGAACGCTTAGCTGAATCAACCGGTTACCGACGCCCGTATATAAGGACCATTTCTTGTGGTCTCTCGGTGTGTATATATGCCTCTAAAATCAATATACTCACCACTACGAAATATGAAACCTTACAAAAGAGTCCGCTTTCTGTTCCCAGATCTCAGCCACCCCGGACTTCATCTCTGGCAGTAACGAGAGTCTTGTTCGCTTCTGGACCGAGTACCGAGTGCTGGGCCGTGCCTGAGGAGGCGTGAACTGCCAGCCCTGAGGTCTGCACTGACTCGTTCAGATTCCCCACAACGGGGCCCCAGGTCCCAGCTTCTTGGTCCGGCCGCCCTAGAAGGGCCCAGACCGGAGGCTAGTAGGGCTAGTACTAGTTAGGTCTCTCCTCTCGGTTGTTCGCTCGATGTGGATATATCCCTGACAACGCTCGCATGCCATCCATCGTGCTGGAGGCTGGCTGTGCTAGCTGGACAATGCTGGGGGGATTGATCCGAGGTTAAACAAATTTATAACATCCGAGTGGAAACCTTGGAAGTAAGTGGACAGTAAAGGCCAACCGTCACCCAGGGGATGACAACCTCACTTGCGAACGTAAACGGGGATGAAGATTCGTCCCTGAGAAGTTTGCCGGGCCCCACGGTTTCGGAGTGTCGCCGCTTGTACTTTTGTTCTGTCTTAATGAGCACACTCCTAGGACGTTGCTGCCGTCTACGTACACGACAAATAGGTGAAGTGGCTCCATTGAATTGTCTCGGTGTACCAGAAGCATCAGCTGGCTGGATCGCGTGGAAGTGTACCTCGCACATTCTCTGCGTATCTGCTAAGAGACGTAGAGCGACACGTCCGGAGAGACTTCGTGAAACGGCTTTTGAGCGCGGAGAATACCCCCGATCGGTGTATCTTGTTGTAAATAACCTTACCGGTCCAGCGATGAAAATGGAAGGGAAGTCGGACGGAAAACGAGTCAGGCTGAAGGCAAGGTCAAACTTTGAATCTGGAGGGGTTTCTCCGGGGCTAACGAGTAGCTGGGATGCTCGCTGTCAATAAGTCTTCGCTCACTGGTTAGTCAAGGCTCGCAATGGTTTACGTCTCCATCCATCGACCTGTCGGTGTGGAATTGGCAATGCCTGTACCACTCACCCCCTCAGGCTATACCAACTGCGTAGGATGTGGCTTGAAAGTATTCGAGTCATTGTCTGGGGTAGGAATGCCATCTTCGGATGCCGGCCCTCCATTGACTTGAGGCTTGTTTACTGTCTCTTTGGCGAAACATGACTTCTGCGTACCGAAAAGTCCGCTCTAGAATGGCGTTCACCCTGGGATGTACACATGAAAACGCCAGCCACAAGAGTAAAATTTTTCCGCCGACTTATCAAATGATGGTCAGATGGCCAGAGAACGCACTACCGAACGAAGCTGCAGGTATCAGTCTGTCGTACTCTCAATTTTCTCTATTTTTTTCTCGGATCTGCCGTGGGCTTGGTCGGCAAAACGGTGTGTGGTATATCTTTGTCCCGGGCAATACTAATACAAATACAGGGGTGAGTCGTGAGTACGGTCTCTACTACCTACATATACAGTAAGAGCTATACATACCATTTACTCTTGCTTGAAGCATCTTGAAAGGATGCGCCAAATCTCAAACTACGCCATTCGACAGGCGATGCCTGGTGTGCTGGGGCGGGGGCTGCGCAGTGGACGATCAGAGCCTCAGCCTATATTCAAAGATGGAGATGCCTCCAAAATCTGGCATTTGTCTCATGCCACCAACCAAATGATCATATGGACGGATCTTCAAATCGACTGACGACTCCATGTGCCTAGCACGCCCATAACGCGTCGCTGGACTCTCCTCACTCCGCACGACCAAGACACGCTATGATGAGCCTCGGCAGGTGTCTCCGTGCGCGGAGAAGTGCGGCATTGATAGCCATAGATGGCGACAAACATGACCCTCGCTGTCGTCTTCATCACCAATGTGTTGTCTCTCCCGACTATTTGGACGCTGCATCGAATAACAATCAACCTGATCAACAATGGGCGAACTAGACTCTTCTGCAATGGCGACCCAACTCGACTTCGACGTTCTGATTATTGGCGCAGGATTGAGTGGAATCTACTCCCTTTACAAGATGCGGGAGCTGGGGTTGAAAGCCAGAGTCCTCGAGGCTGGCACGGGTGAGGGAGGGACATGGTATTGGTGGGTGCCACCGGGTGCTGCTGGGCGGACAGAGAGGACGGTGCTGACGTTGTCTGCAGGAATCGATATCCTGGTGCCCGCTTCGATTCCGAGAGTTATTCTTATAATTACTCCTTCTCACAGGAGGTCCTGGATGAATGGAGCTGGACCGAGCATTTCGCCCCTCAACCCGAGACATTGCGATACATCCAATTCGTGACCGATAAGTTCGACTTGCGACGAGATATGCAGTTCAACACCGAAGTCAGGTCGGCGCATTACCACGACACCAGTCGATCATGGGAATTGACGGATGACAAGGGTAAACGATATACCTCGAGGTTTTTGATTACCGCAATGGGCCTGTTGAATAAACCCACTCTTCCCAATATTCCTGGAATCGACGACTTTAAGGGACAGTCTTTCCACACCGCTCGATGGCCACGGGAGCCCCTCAATCTCCATGGTAAACGAGTGGGAATAATAGGCACAGGAGCCACGGGGATACAAATCATTCAGGAGATTGTGAAGACCGTGGGTCATTTGACGGTATTCCAACGAACAGCGAATTGGTCGGCTCCACTCCGTAACGCGAAAATCACTCCAGAAGAGATGGATGAAATCCGCAAGCAATATCCTGAGATATTCAAGAAATGTAAAGAATCAGCCACCTGCTTTCTACATCCGGCAGAGCCCAGGAAGTCGACCGAGATCTCCGAAACGGACAAGATAGCACATTGGGAGGACATATATTCGCGACCAGGGTTTGCCAAATGGGTCAGCAATTTTCCAGACGTGGCATATGACCGACAGGCAAATGCTGCTTGTAGCGAATTCTTTGCAAACAAAATCCGAGAACGGGTCAAAGACCCCGTGACGGCAGAGAAGCTCATTCCCAAAGACCACGGCTGGGGGACGCGGCGGATACCGATGGAGACCCATTATTTCGAGGCGTACAACCAAGATAACGTCCGACTGGTCGACCTTCGAGAGGACCCAATCGAGCGGGTGACAGAGAAAGGGCTCAAAACTCGCAGCGAAGAATTCGAGCTGGATATCCTGATATACGCAACGGGCTTTGACGCTGTGACAGGATGTTTTACGGCGGTCGACTTTCAAGGGGTTGATAACAAAAAGCTGAACGACGTCTGGAGCGATGGCCCTCGCACACAGCTGGGTTTGTTCGTTCGTGGCTTTCCTAATATGATGATGGTCATGGGACCTCACCAGATGTTTGGCAACATACCTCGAAGTATCGAGTTTGCAGTCGGTTGGATTGCTGACGTTATACGTTATTGCCGAGACAACAACATTACGCGGATTGAAGCGACTGAAAAAGGAGTGGAGGAGTGGACTGAGCATGTCCACAAATGCTCTGAGGGCCTCTTGACAAATGAGGTCGATTCTTGGATGACAGGCATCAACAAGAATCTTGCTCATAAACAAAAGAGGCACATTGCACGATATATGGGACCTGCCCCAGGTTATAGGAAGAGGTGTGACGAGGTTGCAGCGAAGAAGTACGCAGACCTGGACTTGGCTTGATGGTCTCGATAGGTGTCGCCATGATATGAATCTACGACTCCCTCTTCGACCGTAGCGGACCTGTGGTCATCTTGCTGGACGAGCTGGATGAGCCAAAATGGACTCTTGAGCAGGACAAGGCCGAGAATGGTGAAAAGTTTGAGTTTGTTGAGGAGGAGTCCAACGTCTAAAGTGCTTCCGCAGGACGAAGGAAGGACCTAACAAGGGGCGCACGGCCAGCTTCGTGGTCCCGGACATCTATTCTTCCCCCGAAGTTTGCTATCAGAAGCCAGAGATTGCCTTCCGACCGAGCTTTGAACAAGAAACGTAGGACGTCAGTCAGGGGGTTCGTTAGGAGCTGGTGGAAGGGAGGGTTTGGGCAGTGGACAAAGATGTTAGCCTGAGAGACTGGTGTCATCTGGGCGCCTCTGTGCCTCTGCAACAGGAAGGCAATTTGATTGTGGCGCCTGAGCTGCTTACCCAGGTAGAGACCTACAGTACCTATAGTGAAGCAACAGCCTACAAAACGGGTATAGCAGCCACCTGAGGGCACCCCTAATTCTCTTGTCTAGGCGGTTATCCTGGTAATGGTACTTAGCCCGCTACGTACCTAGGTAGCGATCTACGATTACTAGGGCCCCGGGTAACTTTCCGGCTCACACTTCGACGTCCCGTTATCGTCCAACCCTTCACCTAAAGTTAAATCATTTCGACTACCAACTCTTGTCTCAAGCCTGCATCACGTCGTGTCTGGTAATCTGCTGAATATGCATTGCGTCAAACAATCCAAAGTCCACACGATGTCGGCAGGCATCTCAGAATACCCGTTCCACGGCTCGCCATTTGCGACCTCTGATCGTCACCACCTTCCCCCTCACCGGACAACTATCCTCAATCCTTTTGGGGAGAACACGCTCCAATCGGAAATTCGCTGCGTCTACACGACCTCGGCAACCACTTACTGCTGCGGAGTGCTAGTCTAGGAGGCCGATACAGTTGAATCGACACTCAATGAGGAACACTCGGAAAGTCTATCAGCGACGACATCTAATTTAGCTCAGGTCTCCTCTCTATACTGATCAACCTCCTAGACGAGCACTTCCAGAGAGGATGGCCCAAGAATATCAGCTCTATATCAATGGCAAAGAATGCCAGGGTGGCCGCCCAAGTGAAAACACCATCAATCCGTACACCAACGAGCCTTGGGCAAAGGTGGCCCAAGCATCTGTCGAAGATGTGCAGGCTGCAGTCCGGGCGGCCGAGGTGGCCTTTGAAAGCTGGGGCAAAGTCTCTGGAGGGCAGAGGGCCAAGTTGCTGAACAAGCTGGCTGATCTGATTGAGGAAGAAGCGGAAACCTTATCCATAATCGAGACGTCCGATAATGGCAAAATTCGGCGCGAGACAAAGAGCCAGATGTTCTTCTCAGCCAGAAACTACCGGTTCTTTGCTGGAATGGCTGACAAATTGACTGGCGAGGTGAAGCCGATGGACAACCCGCAGATCTTCGACTATACCCTGCGCGAGCCTTTTGGCGTCTGTGCTTTGATCACTCCTTGGAACAGTCCCATTGGCATACTTACCAATAAATTGGCCCCATGCTTAGCAGCAGGGAATACCTGTGTTGTCAAGCCCTCGGAGTACACATCAGTGAGTACACTTTACTTTGCGAAGCTCGTGGAGAAGGCTGGTTTTCCCCCCGGCGTGTTCAATGTCGTGGTGGGTAAGGCAGAAGTTGGCAAAGCTCTAGTAACCAACCCGGCTATTGGTCGTATCAGCTTCACAGGAAGCGTCGACATTGGACGTATAGTCGCTCAGCAGGGCGCGCAAAATATTATTCCTGTTACACTTGAGCTTGGAGGTAAATCGGCAAACATCATCCTGGATGATGCGGAGCTGGACCGGGCAATCCCAGGAAGTGTCGCGGGTATTTTTGCAGCATCGGGTCAAACATGTATCGCAGGCTCAAGGCTACTTGTCCATCGTTCGGTATACGATACTGTGGTCCAGGGCATATTGGAGAGGATCAAATCAATCAGATTTGGCGACCCGCAGGATATGAACACGGATATTGGACCTGCTGCCCATGCCGCACAATGGGAATCGATTCATCGGCATATTGAAAAAGCCGAGAAAGACGGAGCCAAATTACTGATGGGAGGAAGGGAAGCAAGCAAAAAGATCGGAGGACTCTTCGTCGCTCCTACCGTCTTTGGCGATGTCGACCCGAACAGCGACCTTGCTCAAAAGGAAATCTTCGGTCCCGTCCTTGCTGTTATCCCATTTGATTCCGACGAGCAGGCGCTTAAGATTGCGAATGGCACCATCTTTGGCCTTGCTGCCGGAATCTGGACGATGAATATCAGACGTGCCCACAAGATGGCCAGTCAACTCAAGGCCGGTCAGATCTGGGTCAATACCTACCGAACAAGTGGCGCTATGGCTCCATTCGGCGGATACGGGCAGAGCGGATACGGCAAGGAACGTGGCACTGAGGCGTTACTGGAATATACGCGGCTCAAGAACGTCATGATCGACCTAAGCGACGAGGTCCGGGATCCGTTCACTATCAAGGTCTAGAACAACGGAAGATTGCTAGACCAGCCAACAGATTAGAAGTGGAGTGTCCGATCCCAATTGAACTGGCTGCCTCGCCGTTGGCAAACGTTCCCAGATCATAGGTCACAAGTATTTCGCATGCATTGGTTCTTCTTTTCCTATGCTCTCGCTGGTTCATATCTGCCTTGCTCGGAATGCTGCCTAGGGAATATACAGACTCCGAAGTCGTACCTGGGTCCAAATGAGATTTGTCGATGTAAAAATGGATATTAGCAGCAGGGCTCTCGCTGCCTCCTTTCGACGGGGACACTGCCAAAAACACTTAGCCGAGATTTGCCTACAGAAATTACCCAGGGTCATCTTCAAGAACAACGACAGTCATGCCTAAAACATCAAGCGGAGAGATCAAAGGAAGGAAGATGATAAAGCAACAACAAGTGGCCACTAAAGACCCGAGTTTCGCGAAACCTAGGAGTGCTTTGCATTTCTTCCACAATCATCGTCCACTTATGGCACTATCCAAATCGCTCTGTCCCAGCGCAAGAGAAGACAAACCAATGAAAAAGCCATCTCGACGACACTCCATTCGATGGCAAGATAGAAAGACGAACGCCGACCTGACCAACAACTTTTTCCAACAAGTCGCTCAACCCTTTTGGTCATCATCATCCATGTATTCTCAAATTTCTTCATCTCATGTCCCGACCAAAACTGCTTGTCATCGCCGTCGACCTACGGCGGTCGAAGGCGGTGTTTTGAGGGGCCTGACAATGATTCTGGCTTAATCTTCTTGGTTTGATCGCTCCTTTCTGATGTTCCAAATGATAACGCACGCTTCATCGAAACTCGGTATCCATGGTATGCCACAGACATCTGGCATGTGTCTCGCTCATTCCTTACCCATCCTCGAAAGCAGTGGCCCACAGCCTATACCGCGTCCAGAGTCGCTTAGCAGCCGGCGGAACGCACACCTACAATGCGATGTGGTGCGGTAGAAGTCACCCTTGGTGACACTGACGCTCAGACAAACCCCTATATCTGCATACCCGGGAGGCGTAGTCCGCGGAAAGAGGTGCCGCGACCTTCTCCGGGGCTCAATCGAACTGACGTGCGCTTCTTTTTCAATGTGGCAATCTCGTTTCGAAGATGTTCTGCATTTTTCTCGGCTTTGATCATGATAAGCTGGAACTTGTTACCCTCAGATTGCCATCTCCTAATGTTGTTTTCTTCCTTATGCAGCCTTCTTGATTTTGTACCGATTTGTTGGCATATCCTACAGTCTGTGTTGACTTTGATTAGGTTTGTGTGGTCGAGGAGAGTGGCAGGGCATGTCTCTCCGATGCGTGTCTGTCGTGCACACCGAAATCTCATATTCCCCCACCTGAAGTCGCCACATTGGAAGTCAGTCCGTTCGTAGTGGCACATGTTGTTGTGTCAAAAGCGCGACACACAATATTGTAAAAGAAAAAGTCGACGGTTTTCGGGCCTGTGGCCGAGATGTGCCAATCACGATAAATTTGCAACACAAAAACGTTCTTTGCTTTCCAGCTGCAACGAAGGCTCAATTTGTATGGCGGGTTAGGAGTAGTTCTATATATGAGGCAGCCTCAGAGCATATGTGGGCGATGATATGAAATAAGAGCCCTGGCTGTGATTGTGACGTCTTCTCCCCCCAGCAAGCTGCGCATGTCAATGGTGGCGCCAACGGCAGCATCACGCTCTGCAGAAGATGTCATGTTCTTGTGGTTGTTGTGGGCTTCGAGGTTAGTGGATGCACGTTGTTGTGGGCTTTGCAGAAAGCGCAGACAAATGCATGTTCATCTGAAGGATTGGAGCAGTTTGTCCGACCCATGCACCTGTCGCAGCAAAAGAAACTCACGGGAACCCCAGCGTCTGGCTAAGGCTTGGTGTCGACCCAATCACGAGAAACATGGACGGTGTGTCCATTGTGCTTAAGGTTTGCGGGACCTCTTCCCGAGCGTCTCTTGCTTGCCTCTGGCGGCCTGGCGGGTTGTACGGCTTAAGGGATCGATTGCTGTTACGAGATACACCACCCTGCGCCCTCAGTGTCTGGCTCGTCCTGGTGATTTGCTTATCCACCCTCTGTTTGTCACTATGTCCACAAACCCGAGTAAAGGTGAAGGAGCAAAATCGGAGGCCACAGAGCGGCCCGTGTAGGAGTGACCTGGGGCATCATGAGCTCGAGGTGATCGATCTAGATCAGAACCACTTGCCCCACGTCCACCAGTGCTGGTTGCTCTTTGCCGCCTCGGGGAGGGATTAGGGTTTGAGATGGTAGAGAGCAGATATTTGCGGACTAATTCTGTTCGAGGACGCATCAGCTGGATGGGGATGCACGAGGACACGTCGGGACACAAAGCTGGGTCCTGGGTGCTGGGTGCAGGATGATGATGAGATGAACGAGAGTTGGCAGGCCGATGACTGGTCGGTGGTCGATGGTTGATGGCTGCTACTCTTACTAGTTGGCTCGGCGCATAATGCAGCTGCGGCAAGGACTAGCAGCTGAAGAACTAAAATGAACCAACCCACAGCCCATCAATTGTCGACATTCCAGCCGATTGTTCCGTCTCCATGTCAGTTGTCTACTGACATCGCCATGGATATCCAATCGAGCCAGTGATGAGAAAGAAGAACAACACCATTTGTCGACTCTGAGATCTCTCCCTGCTCCCAGCAGCCTCCCTTGCGCCCCTTCTCCAGCTTCTCCCGCCCCCTCCTTTCTTCCTCAGTTTCTTGACTGTCTCTGTCGTCATCCCCTTCATCACAGCACCCTCCAAGATCATCTGGAGAGCTGGGGTAGGGCCTGTCGCGAGAGGCGTAGCTTGACTGGGGAGGTGATCAATAGCCTCATCACACCCTCTTGTCGCCTGGATTCTCCTTCAGCCTACAACGAGCACTTTCACCAAGTTCGAGCGAGACAAAAGCTACCACCAGAGGCGTTGTGTGCATGAGGGGCTGCTGCACATAGCATGGCAAAATGAGGACACGGAATATAAAAATAGTCGAGTACGAGATAGCTCGCATCTTATCAGACAGAGGAAGTCTTTTAAGTGCGGCCTCTCAGCGACAGCGACCGATACGAGCTAGTTCGGTGCCCTCCGGCCGCACTCCACCCTCCTTTAAGATTTTCAGCTATTTCTTTACCGGCATTGACCACGGCAACCTTACGTACATGAAATAGCATGAGTAGAGACTTGTCGTTGGGTGGCTTGCGGGGTAATGAGCTGCGAGGTGACTTAGGGTCAACTGGGGATTGGGACTTCCAGCAAATCACGACCTCCTTCGCACACGACCAAAAGACTTGATCAAAAGACAGAGCACTTGCTGTGCCTTGTGGTGAGGCCGTGACAGCGTGGAATCGGGAGTCAGCGTGCCTGTCTGTTGCCCAGACTAAGTCGCTTGAGCCTGGCGGTCAGTGCCAGACTGGGGTGCCAGAAGTGCCGTGGACTGCAGGCTGCGGACTCCAGTACGTCCGTGTCCCTGTGTGGACGGGATGAGGCTCACTAGGCGCATCAGCTCCCACCGACTACCGGTGCTGGTGCCGCTGGCACTAAGATCTGGAGGCCTGCTCGAAGGATCTCACTGACCTCAACCTCGAAGAGGTAGGTATGTCGCCCAACTTTCACGGAATCCATTAGGGATACCGCGGTAGACCAAATTCAATTCCCCTGCCGTTCTTGCCGGCTCGCTCAGTTGAGTTCCTCCTGTGTTGCGCTCTTGTGCGGCAACTGTGATGTTCAACCACATCGTTCGAGTTGACTAGCAAGGTTGAATGAGTACCAGAATTGGTGACAACCCCCTCCACAAATCTCTGAAAGAGAATCGCGATATACTTCCTATTGGACTCATATCAACTTGAAGACAACAAGCGATAGCCTTCTCCTCTCATTCAAGCTAACCTTACCTACGCTGGAAGCTAAGCTCATTCTGTCGATCAGCTAACAGCGACTGTAACTTCCCACCTGCAGCTGGAGTCTCTACTCCAAGGAGAAGCGCTTCGTGGAACGACACGACCTTTTCAAAGCCGTTCCGGTAGGACGCCCCATGGGTCCTCTTGGTACCCACAAGTCTCGCATACCTGACAGAAGCCTTTGAGTCGTTACACTTTTCATCTATACGAGGCATCGCATGCGGAGGGGTTAAACATAACGAGAATACGATTTAAGGTCGAGGCAAAGACGACCGGCGCCCATCATTTTACCTTGGGGGTTTGCCTTCTTACGGTGTTAGGTTACCAATTCGGAGGGACTTAATGCTGGAAGTGGCCTTGCTTTTGACTTTCTATTCTGTACTCTAGCGGTGGCCACGGGGTGATACTCGTATGCGGAGACCGTTGATGGTTTTTGGAGACTCCACGATGCTCAGTTGCGTGCAAGACATGTTAATGCATGTCACTCGGCAGCTCTGCGTTAGTTCCGAGTTCTCCGGTCCGTATGGAACCGTTTGCTCCAGCGAATGGCGCCATCTGCCACTTAGTAGGTTGGACGGTTTGCTGCATTGTTGAAGTCGTATAGGCCACGGTTGGCTTGTGCTGGGAGATGCCCTCTACCCCGTAAACTTCGCAGAAGCCTTGGCCTTACGGCCGCTGAATCCATGACAAGGCTGGACGGCGCTGGAGGAAGTGATTGACAAGATGGTAAGCAGCGACCGAGATCGAGCAGAAATACGAGGTAAATGGCGGAATCTGCGGTTGTGTGACAATCGACAAAGCCATGACTTCGAATTGCTCGGACGCGGAGCAATTGTCGGCCGCCGGCTGATCGACACTATTGAATACCGGCTAGTTCGGCCGCAATGCATGAGTGTCATCAAAACACTCGCCACAGCACACCTAGGCAGACAGCTGGATATATTGCCGAGGACCGTGTGATGCATTTGTCCGCGCGTGGTGAGCTGCCAAAATCTGTCTCGCAATCGCCGCCTGGACAGATGGGAGCGGTTGAGTAGTTAGGGTTGTATTTCGAAAGGCCCCAGGTACCCCTGCTATTGCTACTGGTGCTTCGCCCTTGAGACTGGATTGTTGCACACAACACTTTACTTTCCGCATCTTTCCTGTCACAGTTCATCTGTGATCAAATTGGAACATCGGCCAGCTAAACGATTCTTCGCCGATGGCTGGTGAGGGGAACAGCGGGGGTGGCTGCTGGACTTGTCGTCTTCGTCGGAAGAGGTGCATTGGCACGAGACCGAAATGCAGGAACTGCACCTCCTTGGAAATCACCTGCCACTTTGGCACTGTCAAGCCAGAGTGGATGGATAGAGGGAGGGAACAGAGGGCCATGGCGGAGAGGGTCAAAGCCGAGATCAAGCGAGGCGCTGACTGCCGGCGAAGCAGGCAAACAACCCAGGTCACCACAGGCGGGACAGGAGTTCGAGACTTCATCCTAGAGTCGGGACAAAGCGCTGTCGATAAAACCTCGAGACCGCTGCAGCCGCAGGTCCCCAGCGGATACTCCCAAATCACCAGGCCCGCTTCAGGCAAGGAGTCTGAAAGGGCGCAGTGGGCTGCGTCGATCCTTGGATTTCTCGACGAATACGAGCAAGTCGACGACCATCTCCCCATGCTGGCACGTGGGCGCGATTTCGACGTCGACTTTCTGGCTAAGTACTTGGACTACGTATTCCCCTTGTTGTTTCCTTTTTACCGGCCACGCCTTCATGAAACCGGCCGGAGCTGGGTGCTGGCCCTCTTCAGACGAAGCAGACTTGCTTACCATTCTGCCATGAGCTTGGGTACGTACTTCTTCATCTTCACCTTGATTGATGCGTACCCGGGGCAACATAGCTCGTGCAAGAGTCAGCTCTGGGAGAAAGTTGGGAAGCAGATAGATACGTGTTTCGAGATGATCCAGCACGACGTGCATGATCTCAGGCTTCGTGGCCGACATTCCCCGCTCATTGACCGAGCACGGGTGATGGAGAGCATCACTCAGTTCCTGATTTTCGAGGCGGCTTTGGGCAGATCTGCCAATTGGAACCTTCATCTGACGCCTGCTCTCGCACTCTTCGAAGAAATGTGGCTGACAACCGCCGGATCGGAGTCCAAGCTGCTTGCGGCTCTGGATGCAATCGATGTGCCTCTTCAGCCTCTTCAATTCGGCCTCAAACCTGGCAGCGGCTACGTTTGGAGCCCCGAGCAGGCCGGGTTTCGTTTCTTCACTGGCCTCCTGGTCTTCATCGATATCGTTGCCAGCACGGCCTTGGAGCAGCCACCTCGGCTACTTGAGTATCATTCAGATCTTCTGGATCCTCACGACCTTGGTGAGCCCGAGTTTGGCACGGTTCCGCTCCAATTGTCGGCCATCATGGGCTGCCAGAACTGGGTCCTGCTCGTAATTAGTCAGATATCTGTTCTTGATGCCTGGAAGAAGGAAATGAAAAAGGCTGAGAGATTATCAATGACTGAACTGCTTGACCGAGAGAACGAGATATCTCGAGCCCTGAATGATGGGATGTCAAACCTTGACAAGTCAACTTCAGACGCTGGCAAAAACCCTCTCCTCAACTCTCGGCCCTACCTCACCGGTGGGTCTTCCACATCCTCGAGGCCGTCAACCACAACGACACAGATTTGGGCCTACGCTGCTCGCGTGTACCTTACAGTAGTTGTTTCCGGCTGGCATCCGTCTAATGCAGGAATCCGCTCTGACGTGTCTCGAATCCTCGAACTACTGCGGACGATTAACTGCCCTGATCATCTCCGAACACTAGCATGGCCGCTTTGTGTGGCCGGTTGCATGTCCGGGGCGGGCGAGCAAGAACAGGAGTTTCGACACTTGCTGGCAACCATGGACGACTTGGGCCTGGTCGGTGCCTTGGCCGAAGTCCGGAAGATTATGGAGAGAGTGTGGGAGAGTCGAAACCTGCTGGATAGTGAAACGTGGGATATAGCAGCTTGCCTTCGAGTTCTGGGTGTACCAGCATTGCTGGTCTAGGAAACAGAATAGGTGGATGTTGAAAGATACTTGGATTCGAAACATCCTCAGACACTCATGAATGCTGCTGAATGTTCTGAAGACGGCGACAATGACCAGTATTGCAGCCAATTTACCCATTCCGCTCGCAGTGAAGGCGTCCCCAAGCATCTGTGGACAATCATTCGGCCAGCACTTTTGTCTCAATCTCTCCAATGCAACCCTACTTTCCAACCCAGACACCGAGCATCTCTCGGACCGTGGTTGGTTTGATCTCGGGGAATTTCTTGTTCAGGGTGGCGTCTTCGGGGAAATTGAACAGGCCTTTCATGACGTACAGTCCAAACTTGGAAAAGTATTGCTGAAAGTACGGCTTTGGCCAGAAAGGATAAATCGCAGGGTGAGAGGGCAGCTCGGTCATTTCGCCGCTCGCAAGCTTCTCGGCGCTATCATAGGCCACGGTGAACTTTGAACCTGAGTGTTGTTTGCTCATGTCAGTACTTCTTTGGGCACGAGAAACGGCGGCGAACCAACGGGACTAACCTCTCATTTCTTCCGCGATAGCCAGGAACTCATTCCACGTCACCTTGTCGCCATAGCAGAACAAAGCCTCGTCCCAGTGCTCCAGGTCGAGCGCCGCAACAACAAACTTGGCCACATCCTTTGTGTATGTGAACGCCGTCATATCGTTACCCGTGCCCGGTATCGCTGCAGCCTTATTGGCCATGTCAACGGCAAACGCAACGGGCGTCATGTTGCTCTCGATGTAAGGTATGCCGAAGTAATCCAAGAAATAGCCATTGTGAAGTCTGGTCCACTCAAGGTCGGTCTTCTGCAACTCGGCGATTGTCGCGAGACGGTGTTCGTGCTGCGGCAATTGCAGGTCTCTATTTCATTCGGTGGGAAGCTCAATTAGCTCAATGTCCTCAGGCTTCTGCTGGCGATCGGTATCAACCTGGATGTTGGGAAAAGTGGATATTACTAACTTCTCCTCCGGGGCCAGAGTACCAAATTCACTCGCCATGAAGCGTTTCGTCGTGTTAGCTTTTGTTGCCGCCTTCACGAGGCTAATTTCGGATGCCCCTTCCACCGGGCCCCTGATAGCGAGGGCAGATATGACAGTGTGGACTTTGTTTTGCTCGAGCACCTGAGTGACGGACTCAATATCTGCATAGTCCACGCCAAAGACTGGAACGTCCATCTCTCGACCCTTGGATTCCTACAGAACAGTTTGTCAGCAGCACACGGAATATGCCAGTATGAAACTGGTTACCTTGCGTGCCAGGACAATGACTTGATGCTTTGGGCTCGCCTTCAGCGCATCGACAATCGTGCGGCCAAGATCACCGGTGCCTCCGGCGACTGCGACTGTAACCATGTTGATTCTGGTGCTGTGGGAAGGGTAAAGACGAGGACAGATGTAGTGATTTAGCAACTTGGATGGAAAGCTTGGAAGTGGAATTAGAGTTGCAAGTTGAGGTCTTCCAACAACCTTCCACAACACGTCTATATATACGTCTGCCTCTTTGAGCTCCCCCTGGTGGTGGAGACCATGCTGCGTCAAGCCCGTTAAACAGATTTATAAGCTATGACGCCGGAGTTCATAAACGTCGCATTGGAAGCAGGAGGCACAGCGTGCAAACGAGCTCTCTTGAGTTTGGTTCCAGGCATCCCAGTTTACGTCCTTTGAAAGCGTCGCGCGGTATTTACTATTGGTGGCAGGGCGGTGCATTGGGCTTGTGCACTATTCCGGATCAGACACCAGCGCGCGGCACTCCGGGAATGGTTAGTGGAGCGGAGGCTCTACTGCGTACTCGGTGCGAGGTACCGAGTATCTAGTATTCTTGCCCCGCAAGGTTTAGCACACCTACAGCAAGTACAAGTCGGCACTGCATCATTTCGTGTGAGTCGACCAATCTAAGTAATGATTCATCAGTCGAATCACTTCTTTAGAGCGAGGCAACCCGCCGCCGTCAGGCCGCGATCTAAGTCACCAACATTCATAGGACCCATACGTGGCCGTGCACACTGCCTTGCATGTCTCTGTGGTCCGATCAACAGTGCTTCGCGACTCTACATTTCTCCCACGATACAGATCCTCGGAATTTGGCAAAGACACCGGTAAGAGGGCAGAATATCAAATTTCGAAGATGGCTCTAACAGCCAGTTTAAGCATCTGGATAAAGGTTTGTAGGGATGGGTGAGCCAATCCGGCAAGTGGTATATCGCCGTGCTCTGGATATAGCAGCCTTCGAACAAGATTCGTCGATGGAGGACATTATGAAGTCATTTCGAGACCATACTCTACCCTCATTGTCAGGTAGTCTGGCTTCTAGTAAACTGTTGGTTTCGTATGCAATTTGTAGCGCGAGTTCCCAGGACGTTGTCTGAGGGCGTGGACTGAAGAAGGCTTAACAGGATCCTGTATCCTCGTCAGGAGGGATAGCTGGCCTTAGTGCTCAATACATACTTCCAGCGCAGCCATTATGGAAGCATGGCTGTTGATGACGAAACGGCTCAAAGGATACCTCCCTCTGATCACTCCCCATGGAGTTCAAAGACTGTCCAAGGGCCGTCAGGGCATGCGCGGTTCTCGATGGCGAATGTGCCCGCAGGAGCCCGACACTGGAGAAAGGCTGAGCTAATAGACGTCGAGACCGAGGCCTTTGGTGTCATGTGAGTCTCTGCTATCTTTGATCGCTCTAGTCATCGCTAACACGATACTCTTTACCATACCTGGGAAAAACACGACAAGCTCGACGACGACTTCGTTGTGTTATCACCTACTCCAAAGATCCGGCCAGATGGAAAACGGCGTTGCCGAGACTGACGCCAGTCGTCTGCCTCTGGTTATCGGCCTGGAAGCATACTCAGTCACCGACGCAGAAGTGTCCTTGCCCTACCTAAAGTCTGTATTAGGGCGGATTTCCGCATCAACCCCATCTTCACCGAACCGATTTCTAGACGGGTACGGTCCCCAGAAAGAATTGTCGGTTTCGGTGAGCATATTCCGCATGGCGTGGGTTTGCTTTCCCCGAATTCAATTGTCGAGTCTCACTCAATAGACATACGGAACATTGTGCTAACTGTTCCACCACTCAACATCGGTGGCTGTTTGCAATCACGCCCTTCGCCACAGCCCAGACATTTGGGTTTCGACCATAATGTCTTTGACCCCTCGCGATGGGAACGTCCTAGTATCGCTGCGAAGTCACAGGTACTCATGCACTTGGTCAGCGAGCAGGAGACTATCGATGTGCAGAAAGATCTGTATATAGGACGAATACCAGAGATGGTGAGCGTCGGCATCAGTGATCTGAGGGGCCCCATTTGCTGAAGGCGGAAGCAAGAAAGAAAGCTGGCAAGGAAGGCCTGAGGCTGACAAAGAAGCGAAAGCTTTGTTCCTTGATCGTCTCGGAAACATTGGACGATTGGTCCGTTTTGGGGGCTAAAAGCCTGGGTGAAGGCGGGCCCTTCAGCCCTCGGTGGAATGGTTCTGCCTGGAACCTGGCTGGGATTATCGGTGCCTAGCCTCACTAGCCTAAGCGTCCAAGGAGCAGTTTTGGTATAAATGGGTATATCTCCAATACCGAGTATTCATTGCTCATCTCGACACCTTCACACGGCGCCTCCTGTAAAGAGTTGGCTGGACCCTCTGTCCCTGACACGAAATGAATGAAGCTCCGCCACCATATCACGCTCATGACCCCAGTCCGAATGTACGATCAACTGCAGCTCCTGTTTACGAATTGTCCACTGCTGTCAACTTGCAGCCCCACGTTTTAGAAGACACCGCAAGCCCATCGCAACAACCTGGCCTGCGGGATATCAGCCCCCAGGAAGTTGAGCAGTCCGGGTTCATCTCGGCAACGCCGTACTTTGAACTTCGTCCGCCCAGTCGTCCACGACCGCATGACTTCTTTGTTCATACAATTGTGGTCAATCCACATGCCAGCAAAGAGACAACACCGTATCCCATACGCAACTCTCTGTTCCCACTACGGGAAGTCGACGAATATGACTGGACAACATTTTTGAATCATCTGTTTCCTCCTGTGTTCGGCGAAGGTTCGTCTGGATCAAACCAGGCGACTAGGCCAAGTCCGACGGCCAGAACACGGCAATTTTCATCAAGCAGTCTCGAAAACGCAAAGTCAAGGCCGGAGGAGCTTACAGAGTTGGTTGACAGGCTGTCTCTTCCACCGACAAAGCGATCGACGTCAGAGAGCGGAGCTGTTCCAAACCCTTCACGTCTGCGGAGAATCAGACTTGAAACTGTCGTCGCACAATGGAACACCGGCTTTTTTGAGCCTCGCGGCCTCAAAATCATCCTTCTGTTCACCGAAGATTCTTTGCAATGGGAAGGAGACGAAACTCCACTCCACAAAGCTGTTGGCAGAGGTAAAGAGTCGGAAGTCCGCCGCGTCCTTGAACATAGCTCATGTGACGTTGAGGTAAGAAACAAGAAAGGCGAGACAGCACTTTACCGGGCAGTCTCTCAGGGAGACAAGTCGATTGTAAAACTATTGCTGGAAAATAACGCTGACCCCCAAGCTCGGCCCCCGGGAGCAAATAGCCCTCTCCAGACGGCAGTAATATCCGACCGTTCGAGTATTCTCAAGATGCTGATTGAAAAGTCGACTGCGGGCCTTGAAGAAGTAACTTCGGCCGGCGAGACACCTTTGTACCTTGCCGTGGCTCGCGGGCAAACAAAGAACGTCACGTCGCTCCTGGAGGCTGGTGCCAATCCCCACGCAAGGCCGGTTGGGAAGGATACGATGCTTGACCTCGCAGTCAACAGACGTGATTCTTCCATTTTGGAATTGTTACTCAAGAGCGGTAGTGATCCAAATCAGAGAAACAGAGACGGAGACACCCCGCTCAACCGTTTTGTCGCGACAGGCAGCGCCAACATGGTCAGAACTCTTCTGGAGTATGGGGCGAATCCGAAGGCCAAGGACAGAAAGGGTGACCCCCCTTTATCGGTTGCAGTACATCAAGGTCATTCATCCATTGTTGCTCTACTTCTAGCCAGAGAAGATGTCGACAGCATTATAGATTCAGAAAACAGCAAGGGGGAAACACCAGTTTACACGGCCATCTCGAGAGGACATACATCGATCACCGAGATTTTGCTGAAGAACGGCGCCGATCCGAACAAACGGCCCCCGCAAGGGGAGACGGTGCTGAATCTAGCAGTCTCCCACGGTAATAGCACGTTAGTGAACCAGTTGCTGGACCGCGGGGTGGACGTCAACGTCGCCAACAAATCCGGAGACAGTCCTCTTTCCCAAGCGGTGGTGCGCGGTGACTCTTTCATGATCAGCCTCTTGTTGAGTGCCGGCGCGGACGTCAATGCTGTCAATAGCACTGCAGAGCCGATCTTGTATCGGGCAGTCTCTACCGGAAACGCAGCAGTCACGGCGCTTCTGTTGGCTCATGGCGCCAAATCGGACGTGCAGAGCCACAACGGCGAACCGGCCTTGTACCGGGCAGTCTACAGGGGCGATGCGTCGATCAGTGCCATGCTTCTCTGCTATGGAGCTGACGCTCGAGGAAACAGTCCCACCGGCGAATCGTGTTTATACCGTGCTGTCTACCTTGGGAATACCCAGCTCGTCTCCTTGCTTCTTGGACGCGGAGCAAATCCCGACGAAGCCAATTCTTCCAATGGAGATTCGCCGCTCTATCGTGCCGTGTACAGGGGCGACGTATCCATTGCCATGATGCTGCTAGGGAAGGGTGCCAATCCAACCACACCCAGTTTCAACAATGAATCCCCACTGCAGCACGCTATGAGGAAGAACAATAAATCCATGATGCAGGTACTGAACAATGTCTCGCTGCGATGCTCGGACATGAAAAGGGTGTAAGCGGGGGATATATATATATATATTTATATTTATATTAGATTCTTCCCATTTGTCTCTCACTTGAGAATTCCACTGCTGAATGAAGCCCGTGTTGTCAGTGATAGCTTCCTCCGTTCTCACGGTCCCCCAAGTCGAAAGTCCCTGCACACCCAGTTCGCCTCTTGATCCCAACTGGTACCGAGCGGGTCAACTTACAACTACATATGTCCGCTTTCCGCAGTTGCGATATAGCGATTCTGCCTTGACACGGCCTGAACTCCTTGCGGAATAGCACCAACTCCAGCACCTAAATCCATATCCTCACCTCAAGCTTGCTCGACGCCTTCATAGTGACTTAAGGATGCTCATCGTATCGATGAAGCTGAACTCGTTTATTGTCTCTTGCCAAAGACGCTCCATGACTTCCTTGCCCTTCGGTGTATACTGGAAGGGAGCATACCTATAAGATTGTATGATTAGGAGCTGCAAAGACACAACAACAACCGGAAAACTTACGGGGCAATCTCCCAGTTCGTCAGGATGCAGCCATGTGACTCCTTGCCCTTGACGATCGCAGCATCGAGATATGTTGAAGCGCCGACTTTGACAGATCGGGCAGCCGTTGCTTTGAAAAAGCTCATGAACAATTTGGCGGGGATAGGTCTATCCCTGTGAAGTTCCGTGCCTTTGACGAAGCCAGGCTCAACAAGATTGACCACAACGCTTTCAGCGGAGACCAAGTCGGTGAGCTTCCACACAAAGGATTGGCCTAGTAGTTTCGATGTCGAGTAGGTATCCAGAGGGTCGAAATACTTCTGATTATCAAATGAAGGTAGAAGGGGGACTTCGTTCTTGTTGCCAAATTTAGCGGTGATGGACAGCATAGCTGTGCTTATGGTTAATCTCCCGGGCGACCCAGCTGGTGATTTGCTTTTCAATATTGGAAGGAGAAGGATGGTCAAGAGGATTGTTGAAAGGTAGTTGACCTGAACAGTCTCCTCGTGCCCGGTGGCGGGCACAATCTTGAAGCCACCAAAGCCTACGCCAGCATTCAAAACAGCGAGGTCGAGACGGGAGAGCTCTTCGTCCGTACGTGCCGCAAAGGCACGGATGGAGTCGTAAGAGGTCATATCCAGCTGCCAAACGCTAATTGTGGCATTCTGATATTGCTGTCGTAACCCAGCAGCCGCATTCTCACCCTTTGTCAAAGTGCGAACGGCCATGATCAGCCGAGTGATCTTGAAGGAGAGCAACTGCCGAGCACATTCTAGACCCAGGCCGGTGTTGGAGCCCGTCACAATAGCGACTTTACCGGTAAGGTCGGTGTCTCGAGGAGGGAATTGAGGTTTGGTGAAAAATTGGTTCTTGACGAAGTGGTTGGGAAAGAATGGGGTTGTGGACGGAGGCAGTTCCTTGGAGGAGGGCGTCATGTTTTGATGGGTTGGTGGTATTTGTAGACAAGTACTTTAGCTATAGGATATCAACAGAGCAGCGAGTACTAGCTACAGAGATGACACTGATCAGCGCGAGGGAAACTAGTATATATATATGTTGAATACCTAGGTAGGTACCTAGGTACCTAGGCAGGAAGGGAGCATTCATTATTACCGAGAGTAGGAACCTACCAATGGGATGAGAGCATCGGAAGGCCACACTAAACTCAATACGGCAGTCAATCTTCCTGCATCATTAGCGCCTCTGGAACGTCAAACTCCAATTCAGCCAGCATTTCAAATCCGAACTCTACATGCTCTTCAATCCTTCGAACTAGACCTTCTAGGTATACAATCTTCAACCCCAAGCCTGCATATCAGCCTCTGAGGGCACAGGCAGCCTCAATGCGCTGAATTACCGACTCCCTGGCACCTCGGTCTACACGTGAATGCGGTGACAACGAATCGACGTGGTCTTTTCATCATCAAGAACACACGTTCAACATGGCTGCTCCTGGAAAAGGTGGTAAGTCCAAGTCCCTCTTATAGTAGCAAGAAACGAGACTCCAGCTTTCCGGATATAAGAGCCTGTTCATCTAATAGATCACAAATAGCAGATATCCCGTTCATTTTCACCGACGGCAATGGCAGGGCGGAACCAGCCAAGCGCAAACTCATCAGGAAATACGTTATGCTTGGGAAGAACCGGGGCAAAACTCGAAACCTCAAGCCTGTCAAGACGGCGGCCCCATCTCAGTCCGAGGACCCCAATGACGTTCAAGATAAAGCTTCAGGCCTATTGATCAAAATGCGCTACTCCATGATCCCCAGGAAAGTAGGTTCAGAGCTCTCCTTTACACAGTTTGCCGCTGTTGTGGAACCACCGTTCCTGCACGACCTTTTGAAATGTAAGTCGCTACCTCGTTACAGGGTGCATGGTTCTCACCTCTGGCAAATCCCAGTCTCTTTCATAGCAAAGAGAGTCATGTACCCCCTGGAGAGATATATCGTATTTCACAGAAAGACCAAAGTTGATACCTCGTGGTTCGAGCTCTTGACCTCCGATGCTGCCTACGTGCACGCAGCGGTTTTTGCATCCCAGGCCTACATTCTCCATACCTCTACCGGGGCACCACCCATGGCGGCTAGACGAGCAATAACCCACCATTCTGCAGCTCTGCGCTTACTCCGCGAGAGACTGTCGGTTTCAACTTGTAAAGACGGAGTTTCCGACGCTACAGTGCTTGTTGTATTGTATCTGGCCTTGCACGCCCATTTCATGATCGATTACAAAACAGCGATGCAGCATATGGAGGGACTTCGCAAGATTGTCGACATCAGAGGCGGTTTAACTGCTTTTAGCTACAACACGAAGCTGGTGATCGAGCTACTGAAGTAAGCATCCTGGAGCGGCGTCCTTCATGACCATTCTCATCAATCTATTTCTCATATCTTTCTAGATGTGACTTGGGAATCGCATTGCACAATGGCACTATGCCAACATTTTCCAATGATCCGTCTTTGGAGCCGCTGATGCCCTATGACCTGGCAATGCTGGCAACGGAAGATCCAGGCCATTCGGAAGCTGAGCTGCGTTGGAAGCCAGTCCATTTGGGCATCAACGCAGACTTGGTCCAAGCATGGACATTTTTGAAGAGATTCTGTACGACGATAAACTCTGCCGCCGACGACAAACGCCAGTTGCCCAAAGAGACCCTGCTGAAGGCAATGACATCAATAATGTATCGACTTGTCCCGATGGAATTCGATTCCACCTCTCTCGACGAAGCCATCCGGCTAGGCCTCCTGGTCTTCTCGTCTCATATCTTCCTTAACTGGCAGGATGTAAGACCGCGCAACACGTCTCTGCCCAGCATCTATCGCAGAAGTCTCCTAAGTACAAAGCTACCGAATGTATTATCCTCACAGCTTCTTCTGTGGCTACTCATGGTTGGCTCCTTCTCCATCTTCACCCCAGCGGATGACGCCTGGTTGATGCCGTGGGTGAGAAGCAATATCCAGTTATGTAAAGCACAGAGCTGGAGTGATCTACGCAGGCAGCTGATCGTGTTTCCCTGGGTTGATGTCTTGCACGATGAAGCAGGGCATGCAGTTTTTGACACCGCAATGTCGTCGCCGTGGTCCTGAAGTGTTCAGTTATACCTCATTTCGCTCTCAGTCTCGATCCACATGCAACAATAGTAATCTAAATTCAGACGGCAGAGAAGTAGACAAAGTATTCACTTTCATCGCAAATTCAACTCACCTACCTCTTGGAGCTGTTGTGCGTTCCTCATAGCCAACCCGCGCAGGTACGTATATTATAAATACCCTTCCCCCATCCTCTTTCTCTCCCTTCGTTCTTCTCCCTTCCCATCCTTTTCTTCCTCCGTCCCTCCCTCCTCCTTTTTCTCTTGTAATCCAACTTTCTCAACCTTCCTCAACTGTGGCTATATCTCATCCTCTTGGAAATTTGATTTCAGCTTCACCTCGCCACTGCGACAGCTCCCATTTGTTAGAGGCGCGGTGTTTTCTCCAAACCTTCTGTCACAGCTCACACCTCACAGACTCAAATACTTCTTCATCTCTCGATATCGACTTCCTCTGATACATATTCTTTCCCTTGTCGACCTCTCTCTCACCTTTCTTTTCAGCGACTCATCCCCCCTCATTCGAAGCTCATCCTTTCTGATGCCCCAGCTGCCTCAACCTGCTTCTGATCTGAGACGGCTGTCCAAGACTTTGGCTGATCGGAACATCATCACCGCCACATCCGTGGGCTGTGACAAGTTGTTAATCAAATCCACTGGCCTGACTGAGTCGAATTCAATTCAATCGACCATCCATTTACGCTGCTTACTCGCTACTCTTTCGATTCAATTTAGGAACCTTCCAGATATCGAGACTTCCCACACAGCTCCTTCGTCCCGGTTGCGCTCTGGTCAATTCAAGCCAAAGTCAAAATGCTGTCTCCGCAAGCTAAAGCATCAAATGGAGAGTCCGCGGTCACGTCACCAAGCCAGTTTCCATATCCTCCTTATCGTGAACCATCGTACGAGGTGGCCGTCGTCCAAGCTACCAACATTGCCAAAATGATTGTTCCGGTATTGGAAAGCTGTCCACGAGGGGCTCCTCAAGGCCTGTTTCAAGAAGCCAAACGCCATGCGAAGTATCAGCGGCCGCGGGAGAGACTCATTGGCTTTATCGGCAATTCCGGCGCGGGAAAGAGCAGTACCCTCAATTCTCTTTTCGACGAAGACCTTGCGAAAACTGGTGCATGTGGCTCTGCGGTGACTCCTTTCCCCGCCATATATCGATTTCGCCAAGGAGCTCGCTTCATCTTACGCTGCAAGTTAATGGTCCTGGAAGAACTTGGGGAGTACCTAGGTGATTTACTACGTGATTTCTGGCTCCCTTCATCGGTCGATAAATCAGACCTCGAACGGAATGATCCCAGGACCCACGAGGATAGCGAGACAGCTCGCCATGTCATTGAGGCAATCTTCGGACAAATGGAAGATTTCGACATGGACCGGCTCGAGTACCACGACGACGAGGAGAGTATGAACAATGCTAAGAGATACTTGATGCAACTAGCTAGCCGGCTGGAGTATCCGGACAACATGACACCAGACGGCGAATGGGTTGAGGAATCACAACTTGCAGAGGAATGCGAAGACCACCAAACCCTACTCCAGGACCGTGGTCTGTGGCCCCTGGTGGTAAGTTTCAGCGTCTTCGCCGATACCAGCATTCTGGAAATGGGGCTTACGCTGGTCGACTTGCCTGGATTCAATGATTCAAACCTCGCGAGGATCAGAGCGGCTCGAAAGGCACAGTCCAAATGTGACGACGTGTGCGTAGTCGTCCCTATATCCAGAGCTACTGATACGGCCATCCTTCAGCAGAATTTGGAGCTCATCCGCGACAAGGCCGAGGCGCAGAAAGCCACAACCGTCAATATCACAATCATATGTACCAAATCGGCCACGGAATTGGACAAAAATCGCGGCCTGGAAAGGATGGTGAACCGCGCTAAGCTCGACTATGCCAGGGCTGAGCTGCAAAAGGTTAAAGACGCGGACGAGAAAGTAAGGAAGCATGCTGAGCGCAGAATGACGAAACTTCTTGTTACAGCCCGGAACGAGAAGGTGCAAAAAGATCTGCACAAAAAGTACGGCTCGTATGTGAAGGGTGGGATACTCAAAGTCTTCTGCGTTGACAACGTCATGTACTGGAAAGCCACGACAGACGAAGAGCGAGAGTTGAGTGGTATTCCTGCTCTCCGCCAACATCTTGGGGATCTCCCGGCCGAGACTTTATTCAAAGCAACAGATCTTTTTCTGGCCAAGAAGATTCCAGCGCTGGTCGGATCTTTTGCAACATGGGTGGAATCCTGCAGAATTGATCTTGAGCTCGAAAATCGCGTACCGCTTCCAGGGGCCGGCGAGCTGAGACTGTGTCTAGAAAAGATCGAGAACTGGGCCACTCGGATGCTTGAGGTTGTCGAAAGATGTTTCACCACGCGTTTGAAAGAAGCATCAGAATCAATTCGCGCTGCTTGTCTCAAAGTCACCCAAAGATGGGGAGAGTGGCCCGCGGGGTCATTTCGCTCGTGCTTGAAGAATGATGGAATATATACGGCAGCAAGAATGGGACCGAGGAATTGGAACCAGGAACTGGGTCTATGTTTCAACGAGGAGGTAACGGGACAAGGCTGGCACGACTTTGAAGTCGCAATTGATCCGCTTCTCAACGAATTCGGGAATATCATTGCGGTTTTCGAGGGATACGCAAAGCAATGCTCTGATTTGCGAGCCCCTGCCAATTTCCTGAAATCGTTTACGGCGAGGCTGGACGTCTTGAAGAGCACTTTCAAAGCTGAGATGATCCGCTATCACACCGTCGTGGGAGAAATCAGGTTCCATGCAAATGGGGGCCACCAGGACTCTTATCTCACGGACTGTATGCTTGAAACTTATCGTGAAGCCAACAGAGTGATAGGTAGGTACCGCCTTTTTCCCGGACTCCTCCCTGACCACCGGCAACTGACCAGAATAGGTACCGGCTCGATGAAGAAACGTCTTGCTATGCTGCAAAGCTACGTGGACAGTAAGGAGTTTGTGGATGCTTTCAGCACTCACCTTTGGGAAGGGTTTCAAGAAGTCATCGCCGATATGTTTGGCAAGATTAGCGAGGCGTTGGAAAGAGAAATCGAGGCCATCGAATCGGACCTCGAAGTTATCCAGCCCACAGGGGACAAGCAGAGGCTCTTCAAGGTGTATCCAGCTTACGGGGAAGAGTGCGAGGATCTTCTGGTGAAAGTGAGCAAGCAACTGGAGGAGATCGATGAGCTGGCTGCAACTGCCCGAGCGATGGCGAAAGAACGCTATGGCTGAGGGTCGCCTATGAAGAGGGTCCGCTTCAAAAGGAGGAGATTTGGAGCGAGCGAGCGACTAGCGACGTATTTCGCCGGGTCGCTGATCTATCACATCATCGTCACGGCCACCGGATACTACAGACCATGGGCTTTTACGGACAGAGGTGGGACTGGAAACACGTTAAGTTAGCTGTGAAGCTCGAAGTGCAAGTGGTGAGCTGGTTAGTTGATCAAGAACATGGAAAGGCCCCAAGTGAGATGAAGATTAGGAAGACAGGAGGACAATGAATGACCATGCACCCACCACCAACTTGTTCTATATTCTGCGTCTCCCCTCCGCTTGATGTAGTCTCTGAAAATAAAATGGCACACCCCAACGCTTACTGAGAAGAGGGTGGTAAAGCCGGAACTGATCGCCCATTATGGGTCATAGGGTTATCTTCACTTATAGGAATATTCCATCTTCTCTCTAGTATAGCGGCATCCCTGCATACCAGGTACCTGGGTATCTAGGTAGGTATGCTTATTACCAAATCGTAGCTGTCTTTCATACGGCGGCCACCTCCGTGGTATTTTTTCTACAGATTCGAGGAAAGACTCTTTGGGGGTCATTAACTGTCTCTCCCATTTTCCAGTTGCGCACTGGGATGGAAATATGGTGTTTTTCCCGACCTGCCTCATCCTTTTTGCTGTTGTACAAGCTGAATGAGGCACAATTTGGGCACTAAATTATCATCTTCTCTCACTCTCCTGTCCGGTGCATGCTCAGCAGTGATGCATCTCTGATGGCATTCACCTTCCTCCCCTTCATCCTTGTAAGTCGTTGCTAATTCCTCCGACTGTCACGCTCTTGATGACAACATACTCGTCAACACCGTACTTGCTGCCTTCCCTTCCAAACCCGCTCTGTTTCACACCACCGAAAGGAGAGGCACCGTCGGAGATCAACCCTGTGTTGACGCCGATCATGCCCACCTCCAAAGCCTCCGCAACGCGGTAAATGCGTCCAACGTCGCGGGAGTAGAAGTATCCCGCCAATCCCACCTCGGTATCGTTGGCCAGCGCCACGACCTCCTTTTCTGACTTGAATGGAAACAACCCAGCTACGGGGCCAAAGGTCTCTTCGTGGGCTATGGCCATGTCGTTGGTTACGCCGGTGATAACTGTCGGAGCGTAAAAGTTGGACCCTAGGTCGGGCAATTTGTTCCCTCCGACGAGAACCTTCCCGCCCTTTTTCGTGGCGTCTTGCACGTGCGATTCCACTTTGGCGACTGCGCGATCGTGGATGACGGGGCCGTGGGTCACGCCATCGTCGAAGCCATAACCGACCTTGAAGTTCTTGACTTTTTCGGCGAATTTCTGGGCAAACGCGTCGTAGATGCCTTCTTGCACGTAGATCCGGTTCGCGCACACGCACGTCTGACCCGAGGACCGGAACTTACACGCGATGGCGCCGGCAACGGCGGCGTCCAGGTCGGGCACATCGTCAAAGACGATAAAGGGGGCATTGCCGCCGAGTTCAAACGACAACTTCTTCAGGGTGGACGAGGACTGTTTCATGAGGAGCTTACCCACGTTCGTGGATCCCGTGAAAGAGACCTTTTTGATACGCGGGTCTGTGGTGAGAACTGAGCCGACTTCGGCCGTGTTTTTCATCGCGGTGACAATGTTGACAACGCCGGGAGGGACACCTGCTCGACGGGACAATTCGGCGAGAGCGTTGGCTGTCAAGGGAGTCTCTCCGGGGCTCTTTGCCACTACCGTACATCCAGCAGCAAGAGCAGGGCCAATCTTTCGCGTGATCATGGCGGCCGGGAAATTCCAAGGTGTGATTAGACCGCAGACACCGATGGGCTGTTTCCAGGTCATGATCCTGTTGCCCGGAACGGTGGCTCCAATGGTATCTCCATAAATTCGAGGCGCTTCCTCACTGAACCACTGGAAGAAGTTGGCGGCATAGACCACTTCGCCTTTGGCGTCGTTGAATGGCTTGCCATTCTCCCATGTTATCAGTGTAGCCAAGTCGTCAGCATTCTCCATCATCAAGTCATACCACTTTCTCAGCATTGTCGCTCTCTCCCGAGGGAGAGTCTTGCGAAAAGAGGTGAACGCATCCGCCGCTGCGGCAATGGCCTTGTTGGTATCCTCGGTGTTAAGCTCAGCAACTGAGGCTATCCTCTTGCCTGTGCCAGGATCAATGACATCAAAGGTCTCGGAGGAGGCAGCATCGACGAATTTGCCGTTGATGTAGGCCTGGGAGATGAGGAGGGAGGGGTCTTTGAGCTTGGGAGCGGAGTGCATTTTGGCAACGGATACTATTCGATACGACGGATGGATTGTTCTTGTTAAGGACGATGGCAGACGAGGGCGAGAAGAGGACAGGAGGGAGCGTATATATAAGGAGGCCATTGTGACCAGGGAAAGGCTTGCGGTGCAACGAGGGAGGAGGAGAGTTTGCGTAGTATTCGTTCGTGCGATGGTCCTTGACCTCCTCAATTAAGTCATGACCAATAGGGTGAGCGCAGTCGCATCAAGAATCTTAAGAAGGGTGTCCACTTCAGGCAGGAGTTTGAGGATGTTTGACTGGCTCGAATCTGTATATCACAATTACTTCATTCCGAATTGAAGCTCGACGAATCGAAAATGCGTGCAATGGCTTGGGTGGATTGCGGACATCTGCGTGATGTCATATGGCTACGGCGGAGCACAGAGACACAGCGCCATATCTATCAATGATTCCCCCAATTCTCTGCCCGCACCGCCTCGGCATCATCTACGGCGCAGCAAACAGCCCACGGCCGCTACGATATTTCTTCGGAGCCACCCAGGAGCTTGTGTCTGAAGCACCACCTACTCCCAGTGTGCCAGCCAAAGTTATTTACAAACCAGCGCCACGGGCCAGGCCCAATATGGCAGAACCCCAACAAAAGGAGCCGCAGAGATCGATAAACAAGTCGCAACGTCGGGCAATTGCGGAGGGCAAACTGGTCGAAACAGTGAACGCTCTGTCAGCTACGGACTTTTTCGCAAAGTATGCACCACAAGATTCGTTGACCGAATTGGGGAAAAGTCACCCCGAAATGGAGTGGTCAAGACTGCAGGTGGACGCTGCAAATGTGCCTGGTCGATGGTTGGATGCGTGCCTGCAGTTGATCGAGGAGACCAGTGCTCAGGACTACCAGAACTCGGAGATCAAGTGGTCACCCTCCAAGAAGAGGAACGAGATGAAGTCGCCAGACATGAAATATATCATTCTGCTTCATGGTGTCTCTCGGCTTGCCGGCTTCGTCTCTTTCATGATCACCTACGAGGATGGTTACGAGGTCCTCTATATCTACGAGATTCATTTTACTCCTGAATGGCGGGGCAAGGGGTTGGGTAAAGAACTCATCAAGATTGTCGAGGTCATTGGCCAGAATGTCGGCATCACCAAAATCATGTTGACTGTCTTCCGGGCAAATCGTCGAGCTGTTACCTGGTATACTCAGCTGGGTTACGAAGAAGACGATTTTTCTCCTGGTCCACGCAAGTTGAGAAACGGCACTGTCAAAGAACCAAGTTATATCATTCTCTCGAAGCAAGTGAAACGATAATCCCACAGAGAGCTTTTCATATCTGGCGCACGCTTTTGCCCTTCATCTCGGGTCTCTCCATCTCCCACTCATCGCGCATGACAGCAAATAAGGTATCACCAACAAGAATGGTCAATCCCAAACTCCAAACCAGTGTGATGGCATAGAAAAAGTTGGCATTCCCCGAGCCGGCATAGATCCACAGATGGTGGAATGCAGGTCCCAATAGGGTCGAATAAAGCAGCACCGATGCTGCTATGAAGGTGTATCGGGTTACTGCAATGGTCAGTAGAGTACGACGGATTTGTCGAGACACACTCACATGGAAGCACGTGTTGATACATTGGCAGAAATCCAAGGTACAGCGAGACATCCGCGATGCTCGGGTATGGCTTGAAGATCGCAAACAAGCCCAGCAGACTGGTGATGACAAAAAGTGGTTGGTTCTGAAGGCGAAGAGTCATGCCTCCTACATATCCCACCAAGTGCAACCAGAAGACACCAACGAAAAAATCCCGGAAGGAATCGAATATCTCGATGAAGAAGTACCACCACAGACCAACATTCGGTGTCAAATCAGGAACCGTTATCTGGACACCATAGCACGAGGCCAGGAAGTCCCAGAACCCGCTGGTCAAAATGGGCGTTGTGGCTAGGAGGGCAGCGAGTCCGGTGGCATAGGAAAGGATCGGAGCAACGAGAGACGTGGACCGATTGCTCTTATAGATCATGAGCAGGGTGGGTGGAAGAAGTAAAGCCGGATACATTGACAGATAGGTCCCCATCGCAAGCGCAAACATGGCACGGATTGCATTTCCCGACTGAGCGTTCAAGACAGCTTGGATGATGGCGGCAGTGGTAAAGATGCTGGTGCTTCTCCCAAGGCACGACAAGATGGTAAAGGGGTTGAAGAGATAGGCGGCGGCAATTAGAGATCCATCCAATTGGTGAAAGCGAGAGGTGGGGATGCGTAGTCCATCCGCGATGACTTGTAAGGACGCTGCATTCAGGACATCTAGCCCAACGAAGACCAGCGTGGGCGGTAGTATCTCGAAGATGACCAGTAACAGCGGTGCCTGGTGAAAGACGCCGCCGTCGTAAGGTGACAATCCATGTTGATAGAGAAAGAGGCCTTCCTGAAGTCTCTGGAAGCTCGAAATCGGCGTCGATATTTCCACTCTCGTGGTCAGAAGATCGGGGATATCGGGAAAGGCGACAAAAACGACAAGACGCAGCACAATCGCGCCGGCATATATCGCGGCCGTCTTGCGGTCCAGCGATATTGCCATTGTGGTTATAAGTGGCACTCTCTCGTCGACCACATTGACCTTTTGGCTTGTTGGCGCATCAGCTTGTTTGGGCTGTCAAAACATGGGTGAATGGGTGGGAAAAAGGAGGTCGAGGCTGAAGCGAAGCAAGCGAACTTGAAAGGTACAAAGTGGCCGTAGCGTGGATGTGGATCTCGGCAAAACCCCGGAACCGTGTCTCTTTCTCTCTCCACAATCTTCGAACTTTTTTCCTTGTGCGCCTTCAAGTCTCTCAATATCTGCGCTCTGCCCCAGCACCTGCACCTGCGCCGACACTCTTTTCCCTTCTCGCAGGACTTCAAGATGGCCAAACAAAAGAAGAAGGGCCAGTCCGGCCAAGCGAAGAACTATATCACTCGAACTCAAGCTGTGCGCAAACTGCAGATATCCCTCCCCGATTTTCGACGGCTCTGCATTTTCAAGGGCATCTACCCTCGCGAACCTCGAAATATCAAGAAAGCAAGCAAATCCGCCACTCACTCGACTACCTTCTACTACACCAAAGACATTCAATACCTCCTCCACGAACCCTTACTAGCCAAGTTTCGTGAACAAAAGGCCCTTGAGAAGAAAATTGCCAGGTCGCTAGGTCGCAATGAAGTGCAAGATGCTGTTCGGCTGGAGAAGCATGGCATGCCCAAAATAAAATTGGATCATATCGTGCGAGAACGGTACCCCACATTTGTTGATGCCCTACGAGACCTCGACGATGCGCTGTCTTTGCTGTCTCTGTTCGCAAACCTACCGTCGACCACCGAAGTACCTGCCAAAGTCATTTCGCGCTGTCAACGCCTCTGCCACGAGTTTGAACATTACTTGATCGCCACCAATTCCTTACGGAAGTCCTTCTTGTCCATAAAGGGCATCTACTACCAAGCAACAATCCAGGGTCAGGACATAATGTGGTTGGTGCCGTACAAATTTGTGCAGCGGGTGACACAAGATGTGGATTACAGGATTATGGGCACCTTTGTGGAATTCTACTGCACACTTCTGGGCTTCGTCAACTACAGGCTTTACACTTCCATCGGCCTCGTCTACCCACCCAAATTCGACGTGGTGTCCGACGAGCGAGGAGCAGAGCTAGCTGCGTTCACCCTAGAGGGCCGTGGGATTGGTGGAGGAGTTGACCAACAAGATGAGCAGAAAACTTTGACCAATGGTCATGCACAAAATGGGAACACAGAGGCGATCCAGGCCCAAATAGACAAGATTGCCCAAGAAACTCCGGCTCAAGAAGATGTCAAGCAGGATGAGCCAGCCGAGGAGCAAGCGCACACTGACGCCATTGACACTTTTACTCCCGCTGCACCAGAAGGTGATATCCTACCGCAGCCTGACCTGACCGGCGATGAAGCAGCGCACTTGTTCGCGGATTTCACATTTTTCATTTCCCGGGAAGCCCCTCGCCACTCCATCGAGTTCTTACTGAGAGCGTTTGGCTGCAAACGAGTGGGATGGGATGCTGTACTAGGCGAAGGTGCATTTACTCATGATGAAAAAGACCCCAGGATCACACATCAAATTGTGGATAGGCCTGCCCCGTCGCAACCACTTCCCTCGATGCAGGGCCAAGAAGGTCCGAAAGATCAGAGCCTGCAGGCCGTCAAACCGGGGTATATCATGCCTGGCAGAATCTATATCCAACCACAATGGATTTGGGATTGTGTAAACGAGGGCAAGTTACTGCGGACTGATCTATATGCCCCCGGAGAGACGCTCCCTCCTCACTTGAGCCCATGGGTCAAGCCTGTTAGCGGCCAATATGATCCAAGGGCGACGTTAGAAGAGCAGGAGCTCGAAGGCGAGGCTGACGCAGCCGCTATTGTGGAGAGTGAAGATGAGGAAGTACAAGAAGAGACGACACAACATACTGTCCAGGAACAAGAAACAGACGGAGAGGACGACGATAATGACGAAGACGATGAAATAGATGCACATGGCATGGATGTAGCGCCCTCAGATGACGAATCAGAAGAGCAAGATGAAGATGAGGCAGACACTTTTGGCGGCTTCGACGATGCTGTCTCAGAGGAGTCTGAACTAGACGAGGACGCTCAACACCAGAAAGAACTTGAAGCAGAAGCAGCCGGGCGACCTGTCAAGTCGAGTTCGAATGGAGCAGATCAAAAGGTCAAGGCCCTCAAAGCCCGGCAGACGGAACGATCTCGAAAAGAGGAGGAGATTGAACGTCAAAAGATGATGATGAGTAACAAGAAGCGCAAGCTGTACGAGAAGATGCAATACTCCAACAGCAAACGGGATGAGGAGGCCGAGAAATTGCGAAGGAAGCGGAGGAAGCTCGAAAAGGCTGGGAAAAGATGAGGCTGCAGGCCTGACAATGCCCGCATAACACCTGACTATTGTCCTCATTAGCGCGGCGTTATGGTTCTAGACTACAAGACCCAAGAAAATAGGAGTAGAGGCATTAATGAGAGCCCTCGTCTGGTCTGTCCGTCAGCATCATATACAAGCACACGAGGCTGCAATCAAGGGGCCCCGGATCCCAGTAGGTCACGTGCCAAGGAGCATCTCCATAAAAGCGGCGGCACCCGAGCTTCGGAGATCAATTGGAGCTTCACAATAAAACTTCACAACCACCAACTTTGTATTCTACCCTCGTTTTGAACAGCGCCCGGACAGGGCGGCGCAGTCTAGAATGCTGCGGTTAGCAAGGCCTGTTGGCGCCTCTGTGCGCCGGCAATTACTTGCCCAAGCTGCTTTGTCTCAGGTACGTCTGGAAGTTCTTTCGAGGGCAATTGTGAGAGCTCGCACGACTGACATCAATTTACAGAGGAGGGCATTTGCAGAGAGGAAAGACTCGATCTTGAGCTCGGATCCAGCCTTTTTGCCGGGCAGTCAATCTGGTGCCGTTCCGGTCAAGACAGAAGTTCCCCTAGGGCCCGGAGGGCCTGGGAGTCCAGCTCCTCCAACACCCACCCCAACCTCTGCGACACCGTCTTCGCCTTCTTCAAACTCCACCATTCCTCCTCAGAACGTCCCGCTTGCGCCCCCGAGCCCGCCAAAGACCCAGACAGCTCCTCCTACGACTCAATCCTCCGTCAGTCCAGCAGAGCCCCCTCCTCCACCACCGCCTTCCCAGAAACCACCGACGCCTCGGAGAAGGTTCTCCCGATTTCGCCTGCTACTCTACCTGCTTGCTTTGGGTGCCATCTCGTACGGAGGAGCTGTCTTCTATGCGTTGAGGAATGACAATTTCCACGATTTTTTCACTGAATACATCCCCTTTGGAGAGGACGCAGTCCTATACTTTGAGGAGAGGTCTTTCCAGAAGAGATTTCCGCATGCAAAGCACAATGTCACAAGGACTCCTCGACCCGACGCAAGGATGGAGGACGCCAAGGTCACCACGATCCCTCAGAAATCTGGACTCTCGTGGCGAGCCGTCGATGAACCGGAACAAAAGGGAAGCGATGTCACGCAAAAGGGCAAGCACATGAGTGCTTTGGATGCAAACCAAACGGTGACGTCGAAGGATGCTACCGACGCCAAACAGGATCCTCATGGCGCAACACCAAAGGAGAGAAGTGTGTCGGTTGACTCCGCAAAGAAGAGCGCGGCAGCAAAACAGGAGGGGAAACCAACGGAGTCTGCGTCTCCACCGCCGGCTGCGCAAGATACTTCTGCAAAGTCATCCCCTGAGACAAGTCCGGCAGCATCTTCCAGCTCAGCGACGACTGATTCACGACCACCAGCTATCCCACCAGTCACACATATCTCCCCGCTCACAGTGCCCAACGCCGAAGAACCCGTGGTACAAGAACTGGTCAAAATCGTCAATGACCTTATTACTGTTGTCAACTCTGATTCCGCTGATGCCGCCAACAAGTACTCGGCCCCCATGACCAAGGCTAAGGAATCACTCGAGCAGGTCGCCAGCAAGATTACCACGCTGCGTGAAGCAGAACGCAAGGCGGCTGAGGAGAGAATTGCACAAGCACATAGAGAGTTCGACGAGGGAGCCAAACAACTCCTGAAGAGGATCGAGACGGCCCAGGCAGAGGATGATGCGCGCTATCGCGAAGAATTCGAGACCGAGCGAGCCCGCCTCGGTCAGCTATATGAGGAGAAGGTGAAGACCGAGGTTCAACGGAGCACCGAGCTCGCGGAGCAGAGACTCAAGAACGAACTCGCCGAGCAAGCAATCCAGCTGAAGCGTGACTTTGTTGCACAAATCAAAGACCTGGTGGAGTCCGAGCGAGAAGGAAGATTAAGCAAGCTTTCTGATCTCAGCACCAACGTCGACAATTTGACGGAACTCACATCGAACTGGAACGGCGTGATCGATTCCAACCTTGCGACCCAGAAGTTGCAGGTGGCTGTGGACGCCGTCCGGTCAGCGCTTGATGCAAGCGCAGCCTCGGATGCGAAACCTCGCGCGTTTGTCCGGGAATTGGCCGCTCTCAAACTCTGCGCCGACGGTGATCCTATCGTCGATGCGGCCATTGCGTCCATCAACCCTGCCTCATACCAGAAGGGCATACCCTCCCAGCCGCAATTGATCGACAGGTTCCGACGCGTCGCGCACGAAGTAAGGAAGGCATCCCTCCTCCCGGAGAACGCGGGGATCGCATCGCACGCCGCATCATTAGTCCTCTCGAACGTGCTCTTCAAGAAGCACGGACAACCCACCGGCGACGATGTGGAGAGCATCCTCACCCGAACGGAGACGATGTTGGAAGAAGGAGACCTCGACGGCGCGGCACGGGAGATGAACTCTCTTCAGGGGTGGGCCAAGGTCTTGAGCAGGGATTGGTTGGGAGATGTGAGGAAGGTGCTGGAGGTGAGACAGGCGCTGGATGTCATCGAGACGGAAGCCCGTCTGCAGTGCTTGAGGGTTGGATGATTGTTGATTGATCGACGTCCCTGCAAGGATGACAGACACCAGGATGGGCTGGGTCGGGTAAGGGGATGGAACGGCACGAAAAGAATTTCCAGTGAGTAGGAGGAGGAGGCGGGTTCGTGTATACATATTGTATTTCGCAGCCACAACAACATGCAACCAATGGCCCCTTAACTGTACCGAGTACCTTACATATCCATCCGCCATCTCGTCGTCTGCTAGAGGGTTTCCCTTTCCAAAGGAGGTACTCGTCCTCCTCGACGGATAATCATCGCATCGAGCAGTGTACCTACCGCGGGACTGCCTTCTCGGACTGTGCCTGGCTGTCCGTAGTGTCGTTCTTGTTATCCTCGTTCGTGCATGGATGCTTCTTTCCTCCCGTCCTCTCCTCTTCACAGAATGGGTGTTGATTCAGCGCGTGAATGAAACGGATATTACTGAGGGTATAGTTAGACGATGTGAACAGCCTCTCTTATAATGTCTCAGCACGAAGTAGCAAGTACGTACCCCAAATGAAACGCTCAAAAATAATATAACGCTTTTTAGCCTCCGTCAATTCCGTTGATTATAAAAGCTATGCAAAATAAAAGAATGCTGTAGCGTGTGTGAGAGCCAGAAAAGAAAAAATGTCCCCAGTGTCCAACAACTAACTAATATGGTGTTCATGAGTCATGTCGCTCCCAGCGTATGAGCCCACAGGCCGTGATAGATCCGTCAACGTCACGACCAGGACAAACACATTGCAATCAGTCCCGGAACGCCTCGCTAGTTTCAACCAAATAGAAGCATTATCCAACGACAAGACCCGGACAGAGCTCCTTGCGTCCCGCATCTCGGACGTCTCGTCGGTTGATCAACAGCAAACTCACATGCTCACTCAAAGGGCGGATTGCCTGCACGTTTCGGTGTGGCTGGTTTGGAAGAGACCGGCTGATCAATCAATCCAAAGCAACCATCTCGTTCCCTTAATCACGCACCTGCCCATTCCCAAAGCAAATCTGACCACGGAAACAACAGCCCAGATCAGCCAAAGTAGCCCGACAACGGTCCATTCAATGCCTGCAAACCAGAGCTTGCGGAACAACCTGATCGGTCCCCTCCGCTTCCTGCGAAAAGCGACCTCGATGGAGTCGTTGAGTTCTTTGACGGCAAGCGTACTGGTAGTGGAAAGTTTCATGCTCAATTCGCCAGCTGAATCAGCTGTTATTCGTACCTGCGGAGTCATGGTGTTTTCCACTTGATCTTCGAGGATCTGTAGTTGGCTGTGCAGAGCAGGTATGAGCGACGTGGTGAATGAATGTAATTTCTTATTGAAAATCGAGGAGTGACCTTGCAGCGTCTTCATGATGTTCTGTGCTGCAACAACGTGTCGTTCCCGTTTCTTGACACGTAAAGGTTTCACAGCATGTAGGGCCTTGTTCTCCGGGGTGAGGGTATCGAAAAGAAATGGTGGCAGTTCTTCACTGGAGTCTTCTGCCCGACGGGCAATCTCTCGAGCTTTGACAGTTGAAGTGTAGAGGAGGACGTTAGCCCGTTCAATGTCACGCCATGTCACGTCTGCAGGTTCGCCATCTTCTTGACCCAGCTCCGATCCGCCCATCTTCGAAAGGTCGCCGATAGATCTGTTAGGGATGAGGCCGCTCAGCCCAGTCACCGGACCAATGACAGAGTTCAGTTGATCGGACGCATCTCGCGATCTGCTGAGGTCCAAAGCTGCGCCAAAGCCATAGCTCTTCTGCCGACTCACCTCAGTCGGTGTATTGGGTGCCCCAGTATCAAGCTTAGGTAGCGCAGCAAGTCGCGGCGAATGTGAGACCGAGCGACGCTGGGCAGCGAGCCGAGAGATGTGGTCTGTAGAATCACTCCGTATAGCCGCGTCTTCCGGGGCTAGAAACCCCTGCTTTTTCTCTTGACGTTCACGGTCTTTTTGGAAAGGAGAGGTGAAGCTGGGCAGGTTAGGATTGTTGTATCTAGGCCGGTCATTTCCTGAATTACTTGTCTTTGTGACATCAGGTGAGACGTGGTCGCTTTTAGTACTTGAGATGGTGGATGATCTTGAGCGTACAGGGTGCGGAGGTGTTTTAAGAATCGTCCCGTTTTGTTGTTGCTGTTGTTCTGGTTGTTGATGATGAGGGTGATGGTGGGGACGATGCTGCTGCTGCTCTCTCTCTGAATCCGACCCGTCGTAAGATCGAATACTGCCGTCAGAAGCCGAGCCTCTGTGTTTGTATATGATCGGGAGGTCACGTTTCCAGATAAAGTCTCCAACTCGAGAAACCTCATTTCCGACTATTTCTGCAATGCGGCCTCCTTTAAATATAGCGCGAATCCTCGAATGGTCACTTCCGGCATTCGTAGTTGACCGCGTGCTGACCTTGCTCGCCGTACTGTATCTGTGATCAATGGAGGATTGCGGAGTCATGTCGTCTGGCTCTGTCGAGTTTGTCTGATTTTTGGTCAGCGGGCTGAGAGTCCTGCTCATGGGGCTTTGGCCACGAGAATCCGGTCTGTCAAGCTGTTTTTCCATTTCATGCTCGTGGACCGATTGCACTGGTGGAACATGCGCAAAGTCAGTTGTGCTGGTCTGGCCCTGAGTCTTGTGGGATTTGCGGTGAAAGGGATGTAAGATGGTAGATATGGGTTTTTTAGATGGCGAACTTGGTCTACTTGGAGGCGGGGAAAGGTTGATGGCAATACTCGGCCATTCAACACCATTAGGCGAATTAGGGGCGGTGGTAGTATCGTATTCTTCAGACGGGCGAGGTTGGCGTTCGTGCTCGAGGCTCGACCGGACGGGAACCTGCACGGATCGAGGCCCAGAGGCATCTTGTCTATTCCGTGATCGAGTTAGGGGTGAAGATTTCTTGAAACTGTCCACTCGGAAGAGTTTATTAAGCCCAGTATGATCAACTGACGCTCTTTTCGACGTTGGGGCAGAGGAACCTTGACTAGAGTCACCGTGACCGTGCGCAAATGCGTGGGACGACTGCTTCGACTGGGAGTGACTTCCACGTTTCTCCAGACCATTGTTGACAGAAATTTCGAGCCTCTTCCGCCGAAGTCGTTTACGACCGCGTTCAGTCCCTGCATCATCCGAAGACATCGAGGCCGAATAGTCTGAATCGCTACTGTCATGAAACAGCTTCTTGCGTATCCGAGAGCGTTCCCTGGAGCTGCTGCCACTCTTGCCATGGATAGAGTCTCTGATCATATCTCTGCGGCGGCCATGATGTCCAGTCTTTTGTGCATGATGAGCTGATTTAAAAGTGGGCAGCTCGGGCAGAGCTGATGAAGGTGTTTCTTGGAATGAATCATCAGGAGACTCTGGAGGTGGAGACGATTGCTGCAATCTATTTGGAATATCGACGGGTGCTTGGTTGCGCCAACCCGAGAAGGTGAAATGAGTATGTTGCGGATAGATTAAATTGTTGTCTCGGTCTTGGATTTTGGTCTTGTTCAAACCTTGCTCCAACCAATATGCATCGGCTATCAAATCGGCTGGATGAGTGACCCAGTCAGAGCGTGGGCGAATGGGCTTGGGATGAAGTTGGTCTGGTACACGAGGGAGCACTGTACTCTTTGGCTCGTCTGGCGAATCGTCGGTATCTTCACGATCAGTTTCCGCACTTCGTAGGTCCAGTGGAGGTAGCCGGACACACTCCAAAGAATCATGCTGAGTCTCTGGGTGGCTTGACACAACGGCGTCAACCCAGATTCTGACCTTCTGGACATCGTGCCATCCCTCAGCCTCGCTATTGATCGCCGTCTTTTCCCAGATGCGGAGCTTGCGATTTCGGACATATTGCAAAGGATTGTATGCCTTTTGCATTGCTTCCGGCTCAGAAAGTCGAACGTGAGCACCTGGTTTTCGTATTGGAGGTAGATGTTGGAGAAGGCGTCGATGCTCGTGCGCGAGTTCAAAATACACTTTTGCTTTTTCAACTCGGGCGGCGGTGGCCGGCGAGAGCTGGTCCACGAAATCAGGATCGACGTCGAGATTAGGGGCGACTTCGGTAACAGATACGTCAACAGATGGCGAAGTCGTTGGCCCGTTCGAGTCCCCATGTTTGGTTGAAGGTTTCCGCTTGGGAGATCCACTCTGCGATGACTGACGATTCGTTGCTAGAAAGGGTGCGATGCTTCGTCTCCGGACGGTATTGCTTGGATTTATGGTTGACGCCGCAGAAACAACACGACGGTCACCCTGTTCGGTCGAGACATATCTCCTGCCCGAAGCGAGACGCCTTCGACCTTCACTTAGACTCAAAGCCATATTGACGATCTGTGCAGGATCATTATCAAAGCCGACCTTGGCAACAGGTGTTCTTTGCGCTTCGATATCACGCGAGGCCGATGCAGGAATGCCCGTAGACTGAGAGCCATTGTGCGATGAAGATAGAGACCGTCGAACGTCAGTGCCAGGGACAAGCTGATCCGAGCCAGCATAGTTATGGACGACGGGATCTCGTTTGACCTCGCTCGCCAATGGAGAACTTTTGAAGGACGAGCTGGAGTGGCCATTAGTTTTGTGCCTTCTCTTTACCAGCGTTAATTCGGAGTCGGCGCTGTCCCGCAAGCCTTCAGAATCTTTTCGAGCAGGAGGAGCGGGCGACGCGCGAGATCGTCGTTTGGAGTTTGACACGGGCTCGAGAAGGAAACCACCAGAACGTCGAGAGACATTGTGCCGGGGAGCGTCGTTTTCTTTTCCCTTTTCCTTGTCCTTGTCCTTCTCCTTGTCCTTCTCTTTGCTCTTGGAGTCCTCGTCGCTTTGAACATTGCTGCCGCCAAAAGAAAGACGCTCTAGCAATCGGGAAGGTTGAGGGTCGGGGTTGCGACTTCTACTCCGACGACTGGTAGAACCTGAAGCAGTCGACTCGGTCCTTGGACCTCGACCCTCTCGCTCGTTGGACGCTTCGCGGACAGAGTGAAAGGTAGGCAGCGAGAGGTGATTGAGATCCGGGTGTTCAGGTCCTCCGACATCGTCGCTGGCAGCTCGGCCATTTGGAGGTGTGGAAGTCGACATTCAGTTCACCTGCCCATAGAGCGCAGGTGCACTGGAGGGACTATCGCAGCTTCCTGCGCGCAAGGGTCAACGGGATCATTGCAGCTGCAATAGGATCCAAACAACGAGGCGGCAATGGCTCAGGCAGAGTAGAGGTATAGGGAGTCTTGGTGCCCGAAGTGTGAGTGCTGGAACCGCAGAGGAAGGAGTGCGAGTTGCTTTCAGTGCGGCTGCAATGACGGATCGCCGCGTCGGCAAAAGATTCTTGATGGTGGTGGTGGTGGTGGTCGGTCACTGGGCCAGAACTACCTCTGAGTAGTAAGGTCTCAAGAATCAATTAACTGGAAGTAGAAATTCATCCTCAAAACTCAGTCGATAGTCTCAGCCAGCGGTGATGCCATGATCCAAGCCACTACGGCAGTGGTGACTGGTCACTGGTCAATGGTCAGTGGTTACTGGGAGGTGGCGTGGTGGGTATCGGCTGAGGGCGGACGGGTGCGCGGAGGGCTCTTGGGCTGCTGTTTGCAGGCAATGGGAAGAAAGCATTTAATGGGAGTCCACTGCCTACGAAGCAATTGAAGCTAAAGTGCTGGCGCCAGTTGGCTAATTTGTACCTCCTCGTTATTGACTGCAATGAAAAGGACAATGTCTCTACTTACCTGGTAGGCAGGTATCTATGTAACACCAAAGATCTCTATATGGCCACACCACAGACACCCCTATACAACACAACTAGGCTGCCACATTCAATGCCACCTAAAAAGAAAAGAGAGTCTTTCTGGATCTCGCGTCATCCAAATCCTGCATCTGGTGCATCTGACCATGGTGGAGAAGATGATCTCCAGGGCACCTCAGCTCCCTCTGCCTGCTTAACCCCTGTCAGCACCGCCACCTACTCCTCTACAAGGATCTCGTCTAGTCGCCTCCCAACAGTCGCAGTATCGCCAGTCGTACCTGTTCACTCGTCTGAATTCTATTATGCCCTCCATGTCGGATTCTTTCCCAACGCAGATGCTTTCTGCCATCTATGCTCCTCCATTCCTCTCGGTCAAGGTTGCGATCAAAATCGATCTTGCCGTTGGTGGCAGCCTCCAACATGCAGTCCCAGTTGGCCCGTCCCTCTTGCCACGGAATTTCGTAGTCATTGCGAGCGTGTAGCATAGTAAGATGAAGTTGAACTTCTGGCGTCTTTACGAGCTCCACTAACCTGGAGCTCGCGTCCCATTTGTCTTGAATCTTGGAGCGCAACCATTCTTGCAGTCGAGGATATGCCATCAACGGGGACAAAACTGGAGGGGTGAGGCCCTTGAATGAGTAGGACTCGAGTAAGTTGGGCAATGAGGTGAAGCTGGCGATCAAAATCAAGCCCTTGAACGGTGCTCTGCCGAGTTTTACCACCCACTCGTAATAGAAGGCAGTCGAAATAAACGTGCCCATGGACTGTCCCACCAAGACCACACGCGCTGGGTCCACATACTGGTGCCCTGCGTTGCGTCGAGTTTGGCCGTCGTCGGACTCCCCGGTTAAAGTAGACAGTACCGATACTGCATCCTGAATCACGCCCTGCTCGGTGGGACTGCCAGTGCTCAGGCCGAATCCGCGGTAGTCGAAAGCTATAACGTGGACAGGTTTTTCCGGCGTCGACACACCCAGTATCTGCTGGTATGCCGAAGGGCGGTAGTTGGAGGCGAGGTGTGCAGCATTTCCATGGAAGGCTACCACGACGGTAGCTGTGGGATCATTGAGAAGCAGTTGAAGGCCAACGCTTTTGGAAGCAACATCAAAAGGCTTCAGGCCAAAATCTGTTTGCTCAGTCAAGGCTTTCTCGTGCTTGTAGTAAAGATGTGTCGGCAGGATGTGCCACGCAAACAGAGTCACATTGTCCGGAGTATTGACGGTAAATGGTTGGATTTGATGCTGGAGGAAGCCAAACTGCTCAGTATTGTTCAGATCTTGGAAATACGTAGGATTGATATTGTGGACATAGGTGGCATTGCGCTGGACAACCGGCAAGGTCAAAGCACCAATGGCCAGCGCATAGATCAATCCACATCCAGCCAGGGCCCAGAAGGCTTTGCGGAAGAGGTTGTCGAAAGCCATCACGACACCAAGCTCAGATTTTAGCTGCTGTTGGCTGTCCGTGAGAACAAAGACAGTCTTGATAAGACGGGTCAATTTCACAGATCCATGGTGGAAGGTCGGTCGCGGAGAAAGGCGGAATATCACCTGTAAGGCTTGGATATGCACAAGTAGCTAGCTAAGTGAGAGTTATTGGAACTTGGTGTGATCAACTGACGACAGAGAATGGTTGCTAGACACACAGTCCCTCGTCCTAGTAACCTTGAATACGAGATACTGTCTCGCTGTCCCTCACTGTGGTCGCCGAGGCTGCGCCTAAGCCTGCGGCACGGTGTGACGATGATCCGGCCAACCTTCCATAGATTCACTTGAAGCCTGCATTGCGGCGAAATTGACAACAACTACTGCGCTCACCTCTTCACACACACGGTGGGAGGTTGTCCCCAACTCGATCATGGCCGAGGTGACTCCTCAGAAAAGGGTTCTACCTGCCCGCGACAGACGAGATCCTGCATCGAAACGAAGAGCGTCCTCACCCGCGCAACCTGCTGTACCTGCGTCCACATCCACATCCACTCCCGCTGCGCGCAAGCAAACCTCCGCTGTCTCCTCAGAACCTCGCCAGAAGCGCCCTTACAAGAAACGGGTCAGTGTGGTCAGAGTTCAAACTCCAATCTCGCTCTCGCGCTCTTCCCCGTCGATATCTGTTGGCGAAGATGTCTTGCCCACCCGGATTGTTGCCAACCAGCCGCTACCCACGACCAAACAGAAACAACCTTCCGACCTGTCTGTGCAGGAATATCAGTCCATTGCCGAGAGTGCGATCCTTGCCGCATCTCTACACCGCTCTCGTATGCAGTGGCTATATCATGGCATCTTCGAAAAGTACTGGGTCAAACCCGTCAAGAGAAAGGGTGTTATCGAGGCTCCTCCCAACAACCCTGATGCAAAATCAATGCAAAGGCTGGGTGCTGCGACTTTGACAATCGAGCCCCATACCTTTGATGTAATTTTCTACACGGTTCGCGATCCAACAGCTCCTTCATCGTACCAACGCCATGCAAATCAACATAGCGTGAAGCACATGGCTGCTCCGCCGCCACCTCCTCCCGCATACACTGTTTATCCGCCTGCTGGCCCGTACCATCTTGCTCAACCGTTGCAACCGCCTCCATCTGCAATACCATCACCGTCGGCATCAGCTACACCCCGGGCTTCCCACCCTCCGGCACCTATTAGAGATGCGCCCCCCTCAACAGCTCCTTCCCCCGCTCAAATCGGACCTCCTCCGAACCAGATCAAATCCGAAAAAGATTCAGGACCCAGTCCTGCTACGTTTCCTTCCAAGAGTCCTCCGATGCAGCCCTCACATGAACAGCCTCAGACGCCGCGTCCGGAGTCGAGGCCCAACCCACCTCCAGGCCCGAGGGGAAGCACAACAGATCCAGTCATCCAAATGTTGGCCGCACGAGCGGCGTCTGATCCTCAGTTGAAGGAGTTGATGAAAATTGTGGCAACTTCAAGGGCATCACCTGAGCAGTTAAAAGAGTTCCAAGCTCATATCGACGAATTCAACGAGGTGATCCGCCGACAGGAAGCAGAACGGGTTGCGAAAAGCGAATCACGGCCACCAAGCCAGCAGCCACCGTCAACGCGAACGGTTGTGGAAACCTCGACACAGTCGCCCCTCGAGTCTAAACCTCCTGTCGCGAGTCCTGTCCCTCCAGGACCGCCGTCAAATCCGTCCCCTGTTGCAGCCTCTGGGCGATCATCGACGTTCGATCCTTCACAACCACAGCCACGTCAGCATCCAAGCCCTGCTCCCCCTGGTCCTCCTCCTGCAGGTCCACCAGTCGGACCAGGGGTATTACCAGGAGTGATGCACACGTTCCCACATCCGCCTCCACCAAATGGGCGTGGAGGTCCAATGGGAAGTTACATTGGGTATCATCCTCAACCCCCGCCGCCGCCCCCAGCTCGACCAGAGCCCTTCATCAAGCACATTGTGATGGAAATTACAAGCGTACCGTCTGGTAACCAGGCTGCCTGTCCGGATAGATGGCTCTTTCCCGAACATGCGGTGTTGGAAATCCGCCCAGGAGGATTGGAGATGCTTTGCTCGTTCTTGGTTGAACGCAAGGGGTCGCAGATGATGGCTGGGAGCGAGCCTGCAGGGGAAAATGGCGAAATGGACGGCAAATGGCAAGCAGAGCAAGAGTATTATCAGCCAGTGACGATGAGCATCAAGGCCCTGAATCACCGGACGATTGAGACGATCGCCAAAGCAGCAAAGATACTGCCGGTGGTGCAGGAACACATGAAGGCAGTGATGAGCAAAAAGCAACGGGCCCCGGTGGAATATCTGGTGCACCAGCTACCACGCGAAAGGAGCCATGTGGGTGTAGAGGGCGCCGAGACTGGGTTTGTGGACAGCGGCGTGGAGCTTGGCAGTGATTCAGCATCCGAAGACGACGAATTGAAGGATGTGTACGGAATATGAAGGGCCGAGTCAGTAGACGAGATGACTGGGGGGTCCGAGACTAGGGCGATACCCGGTAACAAGGACTTTGATAGCTACTTGTACGTCAAGGCTAGAGCGGCACATGTACTGCTACCCGACGGGAGCGTGGTGGTCCAGTGCTGGGGCGATGGATTCAAAGCAGTCACTAAGATCAGACCACGACAGAAGCGGGCTCTGAATACTGCCACCCAACTGCAGCAGAGGTACCTACCTACCTAGGTACCTAGGTAAGTATCTAGTAGTACTCGGGGCTGTACCTCCTACCTAGGTACTTACTACCGGTATTTGGTTGTGTATATCCATGACATGTGCGGGCATCTGACGACACGTGACCGCTGCTCCGACTCGTCCGAAAGTGGCTGTCTGTTTTCACACAGTCTTGGGCCATCGCTGCTCAACAACTCAACAACTCAACAACCCCGACAAGTTTTCTTCCACGTTCTTAGAAAAGTCAAAAGAAAGAAAGACACACAGAAATTGCTAGGCCTCACAAGGGCCACTTCGGAAAAAGAACCGAGCATTTTCTTCCCTCCACAAATCCAAGATCCACGCTCCACGCTCCACGCCTCACGCTCCAACGCTCAGACTCGAAACAAAAAGCCCTTGCCCTCTCACCCCCGGCACCCCGCCCTCCATCTGCTCAGGCAAACAATACCGCTTCGGGAGACCCTTAGGGCGCTGTGGCCCTCTGGCCTTGTGGGACGGAATTGACAGCCGTGAGCTGAAGCTGCGAGAATAATATGTCATGGGGCGTTGAATGATACCGAGTAGGTAGTGGCGCTGGCAGTTTGTGTCCCCCAGAAACTCTCACTACATCTCCATCCGAGTCCAGCAAGGGGCCTTGTATCGCCCCCTTCAAGCCCCTGGGTCGAACCAACCACAAGGCCTTGATACTAAACTCTGGGTCCCATCAAGCTCTGTGGCGCACGTCTGGCTGTCCCGGCCCTCTATCCATCTCTATCCACGGCTTACGCCATTATTGGTCCCTTCTACCATTTCCGACAAGCTCATCGCAGTTCATCGCCCTTGGAAACCCCCGGCGCTGTATCGCTTTCCCCTCGACCTGGTGAACCATAGCCGCTTCTTCATTGCTGTATCTTCCAAGACGCCACTGGCACGCTCTGGACTAACTGGACTATCATTTCCCAGTCGTGCTATGCATCTTTTCTTCACATGTCGCTCCCCAATCTCGCCATTCCTCCTTCCACTCCCTCCCACGCCTCTCCTCCTCCCAAACCGACCCAGATAAAGTTCTATCGTCCTGCGCAAATGGCCCTTTTCGCCAAATTGGCAACATATCCTCCACTGGCCCAGGTCACGGTCGTTTCTCCGACAAGAGACAAAGTAAGTCTTCTCTTTCCCTCCTGTGGTCGTTTCGCATTCCGTAAGGAAGAGCCTGCGGGCATTATTCGACAGTCGCATGATTTCCCTGTGTCACAATGACGTCTGCTTGACAAATCCCTTGCACCCCTTGTTCGGTCGCATTGACATTTCCCCTAGTTCAACTTCACAGTCGTCCTCGAGTCCTCGAAATCGTTACCGGAACGACCGTGGGAGGTTTCGATTTGGTACGATCATGCGAGCTACTCCGGGACCAAGGCTCCCTGGCATGCCCTCGATCTGACATTAGTCGACACCCCTCCAGCGGTTCTTTATGACGATACTCAAACGGATAATTACCGCTACACTTTTTCTGGAGACCTTGACAGCCCATTCAGCTCGGCCGACAAAACTTACAAGGGTCGAAGAGTTCCCTTTACTGTCCGCTATCGAGTGGATCCCAATTCGGAATGGTCTTGGGTCTATCACAATTTTGGTATCCGCGATGGCGAACTCATTCTACAGCCTCCCGTCGACCCCAACTTCCTCGGCGCATCACCAGTCGAAGTGGGTGAAGGTTGGACTCTTCGGAAGACTCCCAGCGATGCTCCTGAAGCACGCCTCTACACTATCGAATCAGCTCACCCCATCCCTTCCGAAGGTCAAGGGAATGCCAAAGCTGAATCGCTCGTTCTGGGCAGAGTGACTCAACTTTGCCGATGGTTTGCGCTGGTACGGATCTGGGAACCATGGTTTGCCCCTCGGCATGGTGAGCATCAGCTGCATTTGTCGGAGCCAGCGATATTACTGTCTTTCCTAAGATCCGACGGTCTACATGTCGTGATCCTGGCCATCAACGGAGTTGACGACGTCCTTACCCAATTCAGCTCGACACACGAAGGCGAGATTGTGGTTCAAGCAAGAAATGACTCGGGCCGGGATCGCAAGTTCAAGGTCCTGGCGGCTTCGGCATGGAAGTTCGAAATCGCAAATGCTGCCGTCATGTACGAGATGCGAAAGCTGGTCCGACAGTCTGCAGCCTATCAGCAAAGCCTTGAACGACTAGAGCAGCTGCCGAAGAGCATCAGATCGGAGTCCCTTGACTCGGACACGGTTTTAGTCAATCACGGCACACCCTCGTCCCACCAACCTACGCTCAATCCACAGTGGTTGGCAGGGTGGTACGACAGCCTGGCGTACTGCACGTGGAATTCTCTCGGGCAAGATCTGAATGCCGAAAAGATTATGGCAGGGCTGGATTCACTCGCACAACACCAGATTTATATCTCAACTTTGATCATCGACGACAACTGGCAGTCTCTTGATGGCACTCAAGGAGCCACGAACCAGTTCCATCGAGGGTGGAAGGACTTCGAGGCAAACCCTCTGGGTTTCCCCGACGGGCTCAAGTCTTCAATAGACAAAATCAAAGAGGCTCACCCTAAGATACGCGACGTTGCTGTTTGGCACGCCTTGATGGGCTACTGGGGTGGCATCTCTCCCGAAGGCAATATCGCGAAGAAGTACAAAACGCTCGAGGTCACCTTCCGTGACGGAACTCCCATGGCTGGACGCAAGCTCACCATCCACCCGGACGACATCCATAGAATGTACGATGACTTCTACCGCTTCCTGTCCAATGCAGGAGTGACTGGTGTCAAGACTGACGTCCAGTTTTCACTTGATCTTCTGGCGGACACATCTGATCGACGATCATTTACCAACACCTACCAATCTGCGTGGACGCAGGCACATCTACGCCATCTGTCTGGAAAAGCCATCTCGTGCATGTCGATGATTCCACAAATCCTCTTCCACAGCTTCCTTCCTACGACGACACCGAGGATTCTACTCCGCAACAGTGACGATTTCTTTCCCGACGTTCCGACCTCCCATGCCTGGCACGTCTTTGTCAATGCGCACAACGCTCTGTTTACCCAGCACCTGAATATACTTCCTGATTGGGACATGTTCCAATCAAGTCATCCGTACAGCGGCTTTCACGCAGCTGCACGTTGTGTATCCGGTGGACCTATCTATATTACAGATACCCCTGGGGAGCATGATGTGGATTTGATCCATCAGATGACAGCTCTGAATCCGAGAGGTCAGACAGTCATCTTGCGTCCGAGTTGCGTTGGCAAGAGCATGGGCGTCTATGACAAGTACGATGAGAAAGGGGTTCTCAAGATTGGTGTCTACGATGGGAGGTCAGATGTTGGTTCGGGAATGCTGGGTGTGTTCAATATCGCTGAGTCGGAGGTCAGCTTCATCCTGCCAATCATAAAATTTCCTGGCGTGAATGCACCAGCCTCAACCAACGGCGCGACGCAAGTTTCGAGTAGGAAGTGGATCGTCCGCTCACATATGTCGAAACGTATCACGTCCCCCATTCACCCATCCGACCCGATCCGAGCAGATAGCCTGCTTCAATGCACGCTACCCTCACGAGGCTACGACGTCTGGACGTCCCTTCCTGTGCACACATTTAAGCTCCCCGTTTCGAATTTGGAAGTCGACGTCGCCGTGCTGGGTCTGCTGGGTAAATTCACAGGCGCGTGCGCGATTGTGGAATCGATCTTCAACCATGCTGAAGTGGACTCTGAATCTGGTCCTCATCGACTGAAGATACATGTGCAATTAAAGGCCCTCGGTGTACTCGGCATTTGGATTTCAGATGTCCAGTCTCAACAGCGGAAGGTGGAAGACACGATGGTCATCATCCAAGGAAAGGCCGTGCCACAACACGTTGTTGGATTTAAAGCAGAACATGGTCCCAAGGGAAGTGGTGTTCTCGAGATCGACGTTGCCTCGGCATGGGAGGAGATGGAACTGGAGCCTGGATGGAGCAATGAGGTCGGTGTCGACGTCTTTCTCCAGTGACGGACGACCTCATCAGGCAGAGAAGGGACAAGGACCAGCGGAAAAGGAAATTACAACCCAGAATTGAAAAGTCTCGAGCACTTCAACGATCGAGTCGACATTTGTCTTCCTGCCAACCAACCTCGAATCCAGCAATTCAGCGCCAAATCGTCGAATTTTGCATGGCCAGTTCTTGAAAAGTATTTCTGGCGGGCGATGATAATACTTCGTTGTTTATTTCTTCTCACTGGGCATTCGAACACTATAGGGAGTGTTTTGCCTGCGACACTGCGCACATTTTCGCGACATATTCTGAGACGACTAGAAGTTCTGGAGGGACACGGTTTCATTGCAAGAAGCCATACTCTGCTTCCACTATGTACCACGACAAAAAGCGTGCATTGCATGATAGATATCATGAATTCATTTGAGGAGACGCTCTGGATGTCCAAAGGGAAAATAGAACCCCAGGCCAACAATGTTACATGGAAGAGGACACGCACGCATATCATGAACACAGCTACGGACAAGGGAAAATGGTATCGTATGAGAGCATCAAGAAAGGAAGCTAGAGGAGCTACCGTTATCCATCTATCAACGGGGCAAGTGGCGGGTTACTGATTGGAGATAGATCAAGGGAGGAAGGACAAGACAAAAATGAGACCTATTCCCATATTGAAGAATAATAACCGGTTATTATTACTATTATCATCATTATCACCATTCCCTCGTCCCTCGTTATCTTGAATACCTGGCTGGGTACCTACTTCCTCGACTCGAATCGGGTTGGTGCGAGCGAGTCCCGCACACTCGTAGAAAGGTATCGACAAACCCATAATTATTCACCTACCAACGAACGCACAGGAGGGACCAAAAATGGTAACGGACGCAGTATCTCAAGAGCTACCTTATATCGCGGGCCGGGCTATCGAGTACATACACATTTGTATAGGATCTGTGATACATACGCCTCGCTGTCCAGCTTCGAGGTCGTGCGGGTTATCTACAGTAACATGGGATACGAAGCACGAGAACGAAAAGGAGCGCCGGGGTCGTCATCACTTTGGGATTCGGTATCTCGGTGCGAGGCCAGTCAGTCATGGCAGGGTTTCGGTATATGGTTTTTTTGGTTCTAAAAGTTCTCGATAAGATTGCTGGTTTTTGCCGCTCCTTTCTAGGGTTGCGCGTTAAGTTGAGACTGTGGAGGAGAGACGATTCGAGTCGCGGATAGAGTCAGTCACCTCTGGTGGAACATGTTGAGGGTATGTAAGGTGTCGAGAGAACGGGAGCATGTCCTTGATCCACCGTCGAGGCTTCCGGGTTGATGTTGCTTATTGCTTGCTCATTCTCTATTCCTTCCACTGGCGCATTCGATGACTTGTATGAAGCCAGATTGCCTAAGCTGTGGGAGCCCATCCCGCCTCTGCTTCTATCGAGCCACACCATTGTATAAGTCAAAGACTCCATAAAACGCCATAATGCCGAAATTTGACGCGTATTTGGACAACCTTCCAAGCAGCGACGTACGCAACTAATTCATGACTCTGGAACGATTTCCACCCTTGCAGCAACGCAGAGCTCTATCTCGCCCGCCGCCCTTTTCATTTGTCGTCATAGAAGCCTTCTTTTTCCAGTCTTCGTCGCGCCTCTTCCAAAGCCCATGTTTGTATCCTAGAATGGGGGCGTCAGCAAGGCAGATTCTCCACTGTACTATGGAAGATTTGGTGCAAACAATGGGCCAAGAATGAACGGATGGGAATGTATGTAGCTTCTTGTCCTCAAACCCCGAGAGCAAGCCAATCTTCATCCCCGTCCCATCACCCTTGGCCACCGACGGATTCAAAACGCAACAAAGAAGAGTGACAAGGAAGAGAAAAGTAGGGTTGCAAAGGGCAATAACATACGAAGTGTCCTCCTTCATGGTATACGCTGCGACCGCCACGACCCAACTCGCCACAAACACCCATGCAAGGCCCTCCCATCCTTCCTTCTCGTATTTCTCTCCTGGTCTTTGGCCCCACAGCCATCCCGACGGAGGGTCAAAGTGGTCGTCGTGCCCACCATGTGCGTCTCCGTGGTGGCTGCTGGAGTGGTGTGTGTCTTGCCCACGGGATTCATTGTGAGCGGTGGTCGCAGTACGGATCGAGGGGCGGGTGAGGGCCAGGCGGGATGATGAGGAGGCGGTGGAGGACAGAAGAGACGCCGAGGGGCGCGCCAGGCGAGAGGGTAGGCGATGCAACATGATTTCCTAGGTGATTGATGGGAGATGCAGGTGTAGGTTGAGAGTAGACTGGGGGGTAGAGGAGAGGTGCCAACAGCAGAACAACGGCGGTCGTTGGAGTGGTCAGTCGGATGGTCTTAGAGATGGCCGTGATATGGTCTCGCCTCTTCTCGACGTCGACGAGGGCAGAGAGTCTTGGACAGGACGATGGATCTGGGGTCAATGGGAAGCTGGAACGCGATCGAGGTCCATGCGGTGGGTAAGAGTTGAGGTTGAGACCTTCGGGCAATGCCAAGCCTTTGGAGCTCCAACTTCAAGTTTGTTGGAGAGCAAAATCTCGGAACAACGGCATCGACGACATACGGACCGACAGTGCGACACTCATCAGGACATATCAACGACCTAGGAACCTACCTAGGTAACGAGCTAGGTACCTAGGTATCTAGGCACTTGCTAGGCTCGCTAGGTACCTAGAGGAATACCACAGACAAGCAAACTCGTCCAATTCAGTCATCCTAACACCTAAACGACTGGCTAACTACTACCCATCATGCTTTGCTCGTTGCTTCTTTACTACTCGTGTCTTTGCTTTGCTTGACTTTTTCTGCCGGTGCATTCAATGCTTTGTGCATGGAAATGGATGAACTCGAAGAATAGGACCAGCCGACCTCCAACAGGACTTTTGCACAGGAGATGGCTGCCACAAGTCAAACTCCTCCATGAGAATCGTGAAGAAAAAAGAAAAGACATGCGTATCCATCACAATGTCAGTGCCCAAGGTCGTGCAATGCACGTTTTCCTCCTTCCAGTTATTACAAAAACCCTCGGTCTTGCTCTTGTCCTTTGCCCTTCCCGCTTTTGCTTTTTGGTTGTCCAATCCCCCAACCCCAATGCTGATAACGACATGCGCCGTTCCCATGCATCCAATTCGATAGTCCGAACTTGATCATAAACGCCGTGCCGTCGTACTGTACAAATGCTGCACAAGGAAATAAAGGAACCCTGGTTTTGGTTTCCTACTTCAGTTAGCTTCCACAACCGTGGTGAACTTCAGTGGCTGTGGAATCTCGCAATCCGCCGATGTGTCTACAGTGTCGAGGTAGCTGTTTGCACTCCTGCTCTTCGGGAGGCCTGGCTTGCTCGATTCTGGACTGGGTGATGAATTTGGCGGTTCAAATATCTGCCGGAATACTGGCTCCTGGAACTTCTGCGCAGGCCGCTCGGGGCTTAGCGATACCCCTTCTGCTTTCCGCACAATCTCTTTCAATGCCCTTGTGATCACGCCGGCCCTCACGACCAGATCTCTCAAGTCCTGCGTGTCGAAAGGTAGCTTATCACGGTCCCGAGCACGGCCACGAATAGATTCTTCGGCGGGCGAGGCTTCCACTTCCCTTCTGTTCTGGTGAATGGCCTGCAGAAAGTTCTTGGCCTGCACGCTTTCTCCCCGCGGCCGACCGTAGGGAGGTGTGGCTGGGCTAGAGATGGATCTTCGGTTCGGTATTCGTCCCTCTTCCTCCTCAATGGTCCTTTTGGGTGGAGGAGTCTCGTCTCCAAATATGTCCGATGACACTGGTGAAGGTGCCCGAGGGAGAGCTTCATCATCCTCGTTCACCGTCGCCAAGTCAATGATGCTCCCTGCGTCTTCCCACAGCTGCCTCGAAGGACTATCCAGCAGTCCAAGGCTGGCACCCCTGAGGCGCAGCCTCTTAAGCTCCTCAACTAGCAGCATGAAATCCCGAACTTGGCCAAATTGTACATGGACGCTTTGCTGGCGATCCATGATGGATTGAGGAACCTTGACGCTCCGGATCGACTCCCGGTTCATCGCCTTGCTCTCATCTGCCACCTCCTGGGCGTCCTCGGCCACATCACCGTCGTCAAACTCAAAATCGTCGCTCCATTCCTCGCTTACAGGCTTAGTGCCCAATGCCCACGTACCAAACTTAGTGGCTGACGATGGCGTATCAGCTTCTGCGACACTGTCACGGTTTACGACCGGAACACTCTGACTGCGGAGATGCATGGCTGCATTGCTTTTTCGTCCTGGAGGCCGACTCCGGCCAACATGGCTCCCTTGCTTGCCATGCACGGTTTGTGGTCGAGGGCTGATTCCATTTGACTGGTCGCTGCCGAATTTGGAGTGTTCCGACCAGTCAAAGATGGAAGATTTCTTGGTAGATTGTTGTTCGTCAAAATCATCTTCCGACAGCGGCTCGAACCGAGTCTGGATCGGACTCGAAGGCATCTCCATTGCTGTCGTCCTGTTCCTGTCATTGGCAGATTTGGGGGACCAGTCGATGTCATCTTCATCGATATCCATCATGGAAGGAAGTTCTGGTTCCGCGTCTCGAGATCGTGGAAAGAGCTGCGTTGGGGGAGGGGAAGAGCTCAAGTCAACCGCCTCCCGATAATTTCTCTTGGGAACTGGTGTTAAAACAAAATCGTCCACTTCTGCCGTGGGGCTTTTGACCGGAGTAGATGCTTGGTCCGGACTGAAGCTTTGCATCTCCCCTTTGGCTTCAAGCCCACTGATGCCGATGCCGATACCGATATTGGCAGAATGTGGACTACTCGCGTCGCGTTGGATTGACTGTGTATCATCTAACGTGGCTCGTTGCATTAAATCCTCTAGGGTGGAGGACTCGGCCGGCAGCTGGTCTACCGACATCTCGTCGAATATGGTTTCTATTTTAGGTTGACGGAAACCTGAATGGCTGCTGGCCGTGGCTCGAGTAGCCAGTGAGTCATATGCAGTGTCGCTTTGGAAGTCCATTGAATCATCATCCGTAAACACCCTCGTATCATTGTCAGAGCTGGCCGTGGTGGGATCCGAAGGAGCCACAGAAATGCGTTTGGATATAGCAAACCGGTTTTGAGGGGGGCCGTAGGAAGGAGGGCTCGAATTGAAGACCGGGGTACCGTGAGGCAACTCAATTTCAAAAGTGGAAACGTTCGACATCGGCGATAAATTAGAGAAGGCAGCCGACGGGACGATGCTGCCATAAGCTTCATCTTTGTTCAGCCTGACGATTGGGTCGGTGAAGTGACGTGGAGGCATGCCCTTCCGTACAGTTCCAAACGTCCGCCGGATCTTATGCCGCCGGATTGGTGGGGGCGCCTGGGTATCAGACACTTGTGATGCTCGGTCGTCCATATCTGTCAAATCTCGAGGTTCTACTATTCCTCCGAGCAGAAGGGTAGGCGGGCGGCCTTGAAATGTTGAAACAGTCCGAGCACCAGCTTCTCGGGGCATTCCAGACGAATGCCTTTTCCTTGAATGACTCGGCTCGAAGAAAGGTCGCCAAGTGGGTTCATTAGTTATATAACCTGGGGACTCGAGGCTTGTGGAGTCATTTGTCAGAGGTCGAGTGTAAGTTATTCCGGAGAGCGTTGCTGATCTTTGGTGGCTCGTGGCCGGACGTCTCAAAAGAGCTGGAGTTGCACCGTCACCAGTAAGCATTCGCTTTGAGGACGACCGTTTCACAAGCTTATTGGGTTGGTCGAGATCGTTCATGGGAGGACGGGATAGACCTGGAGAATCATCGAGCCTTGACGAAGATGAAGCAGGGCTGCCTCGACTGTGACGAGACAGACTTGAAATTCGTCTCAACCAAGTTGACGCAGGTCTCTGTTCGCTCCCGTCTGCTGAGGATCCTCTCTCAGATGTCCAAGGTCTTAATATTCCATGCCTACTAATTGAGCTTTCGCGAGAGTCTGTGCCGGTACTTTCTGTTGCTGCCGGAGTAGGTGCCCGGACAGTCTTCCTCCTCAAGATAGAGGTAGACAGTCGACGTTCAAGTCTCTCGGACAATGCTGGGAGGGAAGCAGCGGGCTGGGAGGTATGAGGACGCGTAGGATGTTGTTGTTCGGCAAAGATTGGAGAATGGGTGGCAGCATTGGAGCCAGGAGCCTTCCTCTTGCCCGGCTTAATCAAGTATGAATCCCCTTCAGCTGTACCAAGTGCCAGTCCCGCAGCGGCAACACCAAGTGTGCCGACAGCACAGAGCTACATGGAAGAGGGTCAGCAAGCGTGAGCGGTATGGGAAAGTGATCATCAATGAGATGCCCTTACCGTAGCAACGTGCTCTTGTCTGGACTCCATCATGCTTGACAAGCCCATTGCCCTCGAGGCACCACAACCCAGATCCTCTGGAGGCTTCTGGAGTGAACCGTCCTCATGGCGGGTTTACCATCAGCACGAGTAGAAGGACGAAGAGAGTCCTGGGAGGAAGAACGGTCGTGGATTCGTGGGCTGTTTCTAGAAGACGTGTGGACGCAAGGGATATGGGTCTCCGATATACGCGGGCCAGGAAATTGGGTGAGGACACACGCGACTGGTTTGGAATGGGCCGGGCCAGGACGAAAATGGAGGCTGATACCGGTTGATTAAGAGTCAGAGGAGCAATGGCATAGACGCAAGAGACACAAGACACGAACAAAAGCACAAAAGAACAGAGACAGGGGAACGAAGAATGAGAGCTGGTGGGAGGTGTGATGGGGACGAGGTGCGATTGAAGGAGAAGAGGATTTGAGGATAGTGAGGAATCTCTGCAGGTGCTGCAGGTCAGCCAGATTTAGCTGGTGGAGGGGCGCGCAAGGACTTTCCAGGCGTGCGAGGGCGTTCACTGGCACCCGCTGGCGTCAATAGGTAACAACCGGCAGGGCCCATGGGTGAGGCTGGGGCAGTGGTTCTTGGCCTGTGTGGGTTGGTTTTTAACTAGCATGTTGATCTCTCAGTGGCCCACGACCCCGATGGGGCCGCAATGCTATCATGTCAAGTTTCGAATGGAGTCCGTATTGAAGTATCAGCACCCGTCAGACAAGTCTGTCCTCTTTTTCATTGCTATTGCTTCCTGGGCTTCCGTATCTGCAGTGTCGGCAGTGGTGGTGGCCGGCTGCAGTCTTAGATAGGAGGGGGGTCGTCCAAGCTGCGCATGTCAATGACAGCCACCCCGATGTCCGCCGCTCTGGTGAGTCTGTCAAAAGGGTCTCAGAAGCCGATGCCTCTTGGGAGGGAAACCCCCAGCCGGTACCGTGGAGGGAAAGTCTGGAGCACAGGCGAATGCATAGGGCAACAGAATCCTCCCCAACCACACCCTCTCAAGGCGTTTAAACGGCCTGGGCGCTCCCGGTGCGTCAAACTCACGGGCTAGAGCGATTCCATTGCTGGTACTCCTAGTACGACCATCCCATTCACAGCGTCCTTTTGCTCACAAATCATTCCGCGGCCAGCTACAGACGCTGTAACCACATTGCTACATCATGAAGCGGTATTGTTGCTCAGCCGCTGCTCAACCAGACGTGGTGCAACTGTCTACTTTCAAAAGTCTCGATGGGATGAGCGTGGTGGAAGCGGGCATCTACAGAGCAGCAGACGTGGGCAAAATCTTCTCCTATTTGAGCCAGACCACGCAGCAGACGAGTCAGGTTGAAAGCGGCATCGATGGCTCTGTTCTCGAACAAGAGCAATTCGGTCATTACTTCCACGATACAGAGTCAACAGCAACTCGCGGAATGGACGAATGCCCAAGGGACGGGACGCTGCCGTTGAGCGTGTGAAATAAAGAACCTCGCAACAGGAGCAATGGGAATAGAGTCCGTGCATGTCACTCAACTCGCATGCTGGCCATGATATCGGCACAAAAGAGCGCTCAGGTTTCTAAGGCTGGCGTTTGCCGGCGTAGAACTCTACCTGAATGACAAGGTTATTCCCAGCAAACAGCACATCCCTGATCCAGCAACGGACAAGGGATGGGACAGGATCCTGTAAGTCACTGACCTTGTAAGTTCGCTGAACTGCCCTTTTCGGCGGAAGGGCGACCCGTTGAAGTAACAGCCGTCACCCTAGTCAATTGAGCCCGGGATGGCTCTTGCAGTTTGAAAAACTCAGTTAGGAGCTGGCAAAACAATCGGCAGCTTGAGTGCAACATTGTGAGTGCGCCTAACCGTCTTTGTGTCTCCATGCATGTAGCAGGCGACGTAAAGAGGCTGGATATCGGTCAAGAAAGCAAGCTTTGGAAAGCTGAAAAGGCCGCCAGCGGGACGCGTGAGCATGTGGGAAAGGGACCAAAAGCGAGCAACCAAACAGGCCGACCAAGCGAGTAGACCAGGGTCAGATGCGTTAGCGACCTCGCAGAGCGTGAAACGCGATGATAAAACTGGAAGCCCAAGACCAGGATGTACGTAAATGGCTGGTCAATCGGATGAGAAAGTATCAAGATGGAATGAGTGGGCTTGATATGCCCATCCCGGATGACTCGCTAGCCACGCATTGGCCAGCACTATCGCTGAACCCAAGCAGTCACCGCCGCATGGCACATGCGGCTAAGCCAACAGTCTGCTCAGAAGCCACATCGAAAAACAAGTTTGCAGACCCCGACCGGAAATGTCGTTTGTTTGTTGTTCGGTTGCATAAGGCCGATCGCGCGGTCAGGGCGGAGACAGGTAGGAGCTTCGTCTGAGATTCTCGACAGCCGAGTGGTCGCCAAACGACATGGATGGGCCTGCTCCTCGTTTACGAGTCAACAAGGGACCGTGGCTCGTCAGAGGTGGAGGTCCACTACCTCGTACTAGGAGCTGGTTCCTCACAACAGGGAGCCGTTCGCCGTCATGATAGGCTGAGGTCCCAGATGACGAGATGCGGGTGTTGATACGCCCAAAGTCAGATCTCGCGTCGCGTGCCAGTCAGCCTAGCTCAATTCAGTCGAGATGACACACAATTGGGGAGGCTAGCCCGCTGGTTGTTCCCTGCAAAACCCGTGTCTGTTCGACGGACTGGAGTCTGGTGGGATCCTGAAGTGCTTTTCAGTTGTCACACATCAGCCTCGGATGACGTGACACTTGTCAGACAATGCCATTCAGTCCTGGGAGAAAGGGAGAGGGGTATGTGCTTCTGGAAGACGAGTTCACCGCTGATTGGCTGTTCACGCGATGTAGAAGCGGTTCAAGGGTGTTGCTTGAGACCTTTGCCTGGACGAGGCAACGTGTTGCCTCAGAGCTTTCTATCAGTCAAGTTGGTGGGGAGCCCAGCCGCAGTTCAGGACCCCAATCCCACTCGCACAGGGTTAGCGGGAAGAATACTCCTGCCTTGGAGGTCAAAGGCCTTTTTTGCAAGCTTTGGTACCCGACTGGGCAACAGCCGGTGAATGCAATGTTGATATTTCTGTCAACCAAAGCGTTACATGCTGTGTACAGCACTACAGCGGCTTTCCAGCAACTGCAAGGAGGCAATCGACCTGCAGAAGCGCCTCACCAGAAACAAAAGCTGGTAAGCTGCGGGGCATCAACAAGCTAATAATGCTCACAAGGTCCGCTCGACATCAGAGTTTGCGAGGCGCCGAGGAGGAATCAGAGGTGGCATGATGGGCGGTCCATGCGTTGATGATCTGGAAACTCATGTCCGAACAGGGCAGAAACTCCCCACAGCGGCAGTCGTTTTCATGCATATATTACGGGACCATGGGTAGAAAGTCCGACACTGCAGGGTCTTCTACTGGAAAATTTCTTCTTTCCCCCCAAGGAACCCAGCAAACTTCAGAGCAAGATGACATATTGTGAAACGTTGTTTCCGAGGTCTCCAGCTTCACGCAAGAACAACTTGATCTTACCAACAGGTGGCCGGGTCCACGGAGGGGTATCGAAGCACCGAAAATAGAATCGATGGCCAGCTGCTTATCTTGAACCATGCAGATGTCCTTATATCTGTCTCAAAATCTCTTGAAATGCCATGATTGCCTAGGGGAAATGGCAGTGTTGGGCTCCGGAGCTGCTTGACCATCTCGCATGGGCAACCTGGGGTCTGGGCAGTTTTGCATGCAAGGACCTTGTTGACTTCTCTTTTGTCATAGAATGGCTTGCCCAGAAAGGGTCAATGGCCGCACCGCATGTAGCAATTGATGCCGGTCATCCGCGCTGCTAACTACTGCAAGACGCTGGTGATTTTAGCGAGGCCCTCCCTGTTAGCAGTGTGAGTGCCAATGGCTTTTGTTGGGCGTCTTTTCCGTGCTCGTGGGGCACCATTCCTTTTTTTGACCTGGTAGGCAAGTAGGGTACGAGTAGGTGCCGTGTTGCTTTCGGGGTTTTCGCTAGACGCTTGCTGGTTTCCCCGCTCTCGCAAAACCCAAAAACCATCTCCACGGCGGAAACGAGACAAGCATGACGCGTAGCTTTCTTCAGACAGCTACCTAGGTAGGTAGGAATCTTCGCTGTGTATGGGAGCGGTGGTCATGAGGGAGTTCAGCGAGGATGCAGTTGTGATAGAAAGGAAAAAAGAAGTTTACAGGCTTCCAAACTGCGCTGGGACTCGCACGTGCCACTGCCAGTGCTTGAAGAGATGGCGAGCTGAGACTAAGATGGATTGGGTCTAGACTGCCAAGATGGCGGGAATTTCGGATTTTAACAGTTTCTGCTTCCCGCTCGCTGGCCCTCAGTTGCCACGGAGAAGTATTCCACCACTTCGAGATTTTGTAAAACCTCAATCCGCGATCGTCGTTATCCATGTTATCGTTGAGACCCAAGCTGAGACCTTTGCAAAAGTTCCGTTGTCCTACTAGGCCCCAAGATCCTTTCTGAGGGGTCTGCAGCAACACCCCGGTGTTGCCTAGTCTCGCATTTCATCCGGTATTTGACCTGGCTTCGTGCTCCCAGATTTTGGCTTTTTAAGGCCCTCAGGAGCCAGGACGGCGACCAGAAACAGTGCGGAGAGAGAGACGTTAAGACGAATCCCGTCAACGCCACAAAGACCCGCCCCTCGCTTCCCTCAATCCCTTGCAATTTTAGCCACGCCTCAACCACGCCGCGAAACGGCCTTCTTATTCATTCCCGCTCCGCATTCGGCTTTTGGAACTGGTCCTTGCTCCCAGACCGAAACATCCCAGTTGACGCCTTTCGCTGGTCGACTTTGAGACCGCCATCAGCGTGCACCTGAAATTGCGCCAAAAAAAAGCCCAACCCCTGATTGCCCTTATCGACGCTATCGGCTGAGGCGGCACTCTATTTGTAAAAGCTTCGGCCTTTCTTGTTGGCGATCCCTGCACTTACGAGATGGAAGCTGAGATCCAGGCTCAAATCCCCAACATCGACCATGTGCTTTCGGAATACTCCGTTGTAAGTCGCGAGACACGAATCCTCAGCCTTGTTACACTCATTTTGTGTTACTGACCAGGCTCTCAGGGATATCTTAACCATGCGTCCAAACTGTATTTCTCAGAAGATGACCCCTCTGCCCAGTCTCCACTGGCTGAAGCACTTGATACCGTGACCTCTCTACTTGTGTCTGCATCAGGAAACTTTTCTGAGCAGAATGAAGCTGCTATTCGGAACCTGGTCGAAAGATTCATTGCCAGGTTGAGTGAGGCAAATGGCATAGATCCCGAGCGGCGGCAGATGCCGTTCACAGCCAAAAAGCTTGAGCAGAGCATCCAAGTCAGCTCGCAGCGGAACATTTCATCTACGTTAGGTCTGACAAGCGCAGGCGTCGATCTCGAGGCCACCAATACCCGCAAAGTAGAATCCAAGGTCGACAGGAAGAAGCTTGAAAAGGCCGAGCGCAAGATTCGGGCCAAGCAGGACAAGAAGGTCATGAAGAATGTCGAGTATGAGGCATCACGGTTGCTGAACCAGCCGGATCCAACCCAATCATATGAAGAGTTCTTCATGGCGGTGAACCCTCTGCAACTTGGTGCTGATGCTCAGTCGAAAAGCAAAGACATCAAGGTGGATGGAATCGACGTGTCTATTGGAGGGAAGCGCATCTTGACCGACACGTCCTTAATGTTGGCCTACGGACGGAGGTACGGCCTGGTCGGTCAGAACGGTATCGGCAAATCCACGCTTCTGCGCGCCCTGAGTCGGCGTGAAGTCGCCATTCCCACCCACATTTCCATTCTGCATGTCGAGCAGGAGATCACTGGAGATGATACTCCAGCTCTCCAGGCCGTGCTTGACGCTGATGTCTGGCGGAAACACCTCCTCGTTGAGCAAGAAAAGATCACGAAGCAACTCGCAGCTCTTGAGGCCGAGCGGTCGAAGATGGCCGACACCTCAAAGGATGCCGGGCGTCTGGACAAAGAAAAAGATGGTCTGGACACCACCTTAGGTGACATCCAGGCCAAACTGGCTGAGATGGAATCAGACAAGGCCGAGTCTAGAGCGGCTAGCATTCTTGCAGGTCTGGGGTTTTCGCCAGAACGTCAACAATTCGCAACCAAGACCTTTTCAGGGGGTTGGCGAATGAGGTTGGCTCTGGCACGGGCATTGTTCTGTGAGCCGGATTTGTTGCTGCTTGACGAACCTTCCAACATGTTGGACGTCCCATCGATCACGTTTCTGTCAAACTATCTACAGACATATCCCAGCACCGTCTTGGTGGTCTCGCACGACCGTGCGTTTTTGAACGAGGTAGCCACCGATATAATCCATCAGCATTCGGAGAGACTGGACTACTACAAGGGGGCCAATTTTGATTCTTTCTATGCCACCAAGGAGGAACGAAGAAAGAACGCCAAGCGCGAATACGAGAATCAAATGGCACAACGGGCACATCTGCAGGCGTTCATCGACAAATTCCGATACAACGCTGCCAAGTCGTCCGAGGCGCAGTCTCGTATCAAAAAGCTAGAAAGGATGCCGGTTCTAGAGCCTCCCGAGGCCGAGTATACGGTCCATTTCCGATTCCCAGATGTGGAGAAGCTTTCGCCGCCAATCATCCAAATGTCGAATGTCTCGTTTGGCTACACCAAGGAAAAGCCGCTGCTCCATAGCGTGGACTTGGACGTTCAACTTGATTCCAGAATTGGCATCGTGGGGCCCAATGGAGCAGGTAAAACAACTGTCCTCAAGTTGTTGATTGGACAGCTTCAGCCCACGTCGGGACTGATATCGCAAAATCCCCGTCTTCGCATCGGATTTTTTGCACAGCACCATGTTGATGCCCTGGACATGAACACGTCTGCGGTTGGGTTCATGCAGAAGACATACCCTGGCAAGACCGACGAAGAGTACCGGCGACATTTGGGAGCGTTTGGTATCACAGGAATGACAGGGTTGCAGAAACTTGAACTCTTGTCCGGAGGCCAAAAGTCTCGCGTCGCGTTTGCTTGTTTGTCTTTGACCAACCCGCATATCCTGGTGCTGGACGAGCCGTCGAATCACCTGGATATCGAGGCAATGGACGCTCTTTCGGTGGCGTTGCAGCAGTTCCAAGGTGGTGTCCTGATGGTCAGTCACGATGTGACGATGCTTCAGAACGTCTGCACGAGTCTATGGGTCTGTGACAAGGGGACCGTCGAGAAGTTCCCCGGAGACGTCAACGCCTACAAGAAAAAGATCAGTGCGCAAGCGAATGAGGCCGGAGTTGTTCAAGCACACTGAGGCCAATGGACACAATACGAGAGACATAGAGATAGCGATGAAACGTGAGAGCAATGGCCTGGCTGCGGGACCGGGCGAATCCCGCGAATAGATCTATATCAATGACCTCCTTGTGACGTGTCTTTGCAGCTTTGCATACCGGTGACCCTTGGCTATCAGTTCGAGGACTCTGTTGTGACACGGTATATGCACTTTGAACGGCATCAAGCCTTGTGATGCGGTTCGTTGGTGGTCGGAGTTATAGTCATTGACTCTATGGTAGGGTATCAGACCCTCACGAGGCATGTAGGCCATTGATGAACTAGCACATCGGATAGTGTCGGCAATGCGGCATGGATTCCCGACACGTCAATGGCGCCAACCTTGGGCAGTCCAAGATGCAGCAATGAGATCATCGACATTCCTTTGTAACAGATCCTGGCACCTGCGGGCAGCAGCTCTTTCCCACTCTGCCACTGCATATAGATCCAAGGCAGCACCTGCACCGACATGATGGATCCTCTCCTTGCAGCATTCCGCAGGAGGAGCCTCTTCTATTCTCTCTCCTCCACACGCCCTCCTTGAATCATTGTGCTATCTATCTTTACCCCACAGCCTCATTTGAAAATCATGAAGGTATTCTTTGGGGCAGCGGCGACGCTGTTGGCCATCCCCTTCGCCGTCGGGCAGTCCTCCTCAACCTGCGGTCCAGCACCGTCTGGCTCGATCCAACCCTCCCTCGCCTCTGGCTACCGTATGCAAGTGGTTGCGACCGGCTTGTCCCAACCGCGCGGGATTCTCCTCGACAATGCTGGCAATCTGATGGTGGTAGAGCAAGGAAGAGGGGTCGTTTCGGCACATACTCTGAATGAAGACAATGCAGGCTGTGTTTCGGTAACGTCAAGTCAGGACGTCACGTCGGCGTTAGGTGTGAGTGCATTCAGTCCAGCGTGGTGAACGACGGGAGCTGACTGCTGTAGCTGAACCACGGCATAGAGTTGTCCAGTGATGGGAAAACTCTCTACGCCTCCTCTTCAGAGGAGGTGTTTGCCTGGCAGTATTCTCAGTCGTCAAGAACGGTATCAAATCGCACCACCCTCGTCGCCAACATGTCTGGCACAGACCATACCACTCGCACCTTATTGCTTTCCAAGAAGGCTCCTGGCCTCCTGGTGGTAACCAGAGGCAGCACTTCCAACATCGATTTTGCGGCTGCCAGTTTGAGCTCCGGTCACTCTCAAATCAAGGCATTCAATTTGACCAACCAGACTGGCACTCCGTACAACTTTGACACAACAGGGCTCCGTTTGGGATGGGGGTTGAGGAACGATGTTGGAATTGCAGAGCACCCGGTTTCTGGTGGACTGTTCTCTGTTGAAAATTCTGCCGACCAAATCACTCGGATGGGTGTTGACGTGCACCAAGATAATCCTGCCGAAGAGATGAACTTTCTGGGATATCTCAATGGAACCCAGTACGCTCCCCAAGGCGGCAATTTTGGGTATCCATGGTGCTTCTCGGCATGGGCTGTTCAAGACCTACCAGACAACGGGAACCTGACGGTTGGGAGTCAATTCGCCATAGACGCCAGTCCTGACTCCAACAACGAGAACCGAACCGATGCTTACTGTGCGGAGCAACTACCCGCACGCCTGGTCTTCCAGGCTCACATGGCTCCCCTCGATATCAAGTTCAACAACAGTGGCACAGAAGCTTGGATCACTTTCCACGGAAGTTGGGACAGAGACGAGCCCATCGGGTATAAAATGAGTGTTGTGGCGTTCAACAATGAGGGCCAGCCTGTCGACGATCTTCAGAGTACCACGGCTGCCCAGGATATCTTCGCCAACGCCAACAACTCGAGGTGTCCAGACGATTGTTTCCGGCCAGTTGGCATGGCCATTGATGATCGCGGTCGAATCTTCGTGTCCTCGGATGCCTCTGGCGAGATCTATCTCATTACAAAGGTGTCAGGAGGCAATGCCACGGCCTCTACCACCTCGGGTTCACCTTCTCCCACTACTACCTCAGGATCGCCCTCTCCCACGTCGAGTTCATCGGCCGCAGTGTTCAACGAGCCTTCTCTCCTATTGCCTATTGCGGTGCTTTTGTGCGTTAGCATCTTTAATACCCTAATGCTGTGAGGGGTGACATGAATTCACGAGCGGTAGAATGGAAGACACTTGGCGTTGACACACATACTACAAATATTCACAATTGACTTTCCTATCACTCACCCTTACAAGTCGACCTGCATCTTGCACCTGCCACCCAAAATCGAGGCCATCTTCTGGAGCACTGTTGTAATCTGACACCGCTTTCTCTTCATCCCCTGCACAGTGATTCTCTCTCCCCTATACCGAGGCCTTTCGCTGAGCTGTTGTGGCCTTTGGTGTCGGACATTGGTTGTTCCGTCAGTCGAGATGACCTCCACTCGCCTTGTTGATTCCTTCTCCGATACCGACACTGTTCTCTCTGATCCACCCACGGATCTCGATGATATGGCAAGTGGACAGGACATTGACAGAATGTCGCTTTCTGGTCGGGGACGAAGCCTGGAGCGCAGGTCCATTTCCCGCTCATACCGTTCTGACGACTCCATGACCGATGCCTTCGGTATTGACGACGACTGCAACTGGTATCCGCAAAAGAAGCCTAGATTATCTCGTCACGTCCGCAGCAAGTTCGAAGGTGTGCCAACTGAAGTCAGTGCTGAGTGATACGAGTGTGACGCTACCTCTGACAATGTAACAGATCCTCAACAAGATTGTGTCCTTCTTACCCGATGATCGAGATCTCTTCAGCTTAATGTGTGCCTGTAAGACCTTCGCGCAGGCTTTCAACTCATCTCAGTCGGCAATTTGGCGCCAGCGCTTCGAATCTATCTTCGATTGGCCATTCATCGATCACGCGACAGACTTTGCATCGGCGTATCAGCTGCGGAAATTCGTGCTCAAGCATTTCGTCGAGTTTACCGACCCTGACGACGAAAGGTTACTGATTCAACTGGAGGTTCTGAGGGATATGGTATTAGGTAAGTCTAATAATATAAATGAGTACACAAGCCCACGAAGCTGACTATTCTACTCAGAGGCCTACAATCAACCACCGCAGTACCTTCCTCGGCGGTCGACGTCTCTCAATCTTGCGGCACTTACATCTGATAACTCACCATGGATACAAGTGTTTCTGTCCTGTCCTTTCTTCCCGAGTCCTTACGAACGATACGGTCAAAGATTTCCAGCTTTCGACGCTCTCTCAGTTTGTTTATCTCATCTTCTGTTGTCACCGGCGTCTCGATTGGCCTACACTGTGAAATCATCAAGGACGAACTACGATCTGGCCATCGTATACAATTGGGATACTCCCCTATCTCTTTTATATCGCAAACTAGAGAGGCAGAATGAAAAGGTAACACAGGTCATGTCCAAGGTGCGCATTAAACGGTATGGCGGCAGACTCCACAGACGATCTCACACTGGCAATCCGACGTACGAACTCGACACCTATACGCTCCTTCACATCCGCAACTTCTGGCACCGTCATCTAATCCAAACAGTGAAAGGATTTGGATCGACGGATATTACCGAGAATACATATGCAAAAATGGCAAAGGAGTTGATGCGCTATGGTATCACTCCTACGCAGTGGGATAGGCCTCTTACGGAAGGTTCATTATTAGAGATTCCCACAGAGTGGTACGGACACTATTCTACGCTAGGTAGTAACTGGCCAAGGAAGCGGCAAGAGCTGGAGGAAGTACAGAGCCTGGCCGAAGACTGGCAGGAGGTTGATCCTCTGGTAAGTGATTGGACCAGGGCCTTAAGGGGTACTAATGGAAGGGTTAGAAACTTGATTTTGCCATCTCCCGAGACAACGACGTCGATGGCTTCTGGTCGCCCATTTTCAAAAACATCCCGGCTTTTCAAAAGGCAATCCCCGAGTCCACCCAGTGCGTATTCATCCGAGGCCTCGCGCCCTTTGTCCAGCTATCATCTAGCGATTCTAGGAGAGGACTCGACTCAGCTTCACGACCCGACTTAGCTTCACAAGCTACACTCACGCTTCCCACAGCGCCACGATTACCCAAATATCACCCCTACCTAGCCCTTCGTCTTCGTGGTGTTATACACTCCATCCCCCAACCACAGGCAAACGACAAGGTGAAGACAGATCACAGCATACCGGGATTTAACCATATTATTATGATCCTCTACAAACCCACCAAAAGGTACCTGATCCAAGTGCTTGAACATGCCGAGGAAGAGTACGGCGACACCTTTACTACACAAATAGTGCAGAATAGCACAGGTTCGACTCTCGACCCAGCTGAGATCGACGCTAGGCTCGACCAGTATCTTCGCTCCAAACTCGTGTCGAACCCTCTCTGGCGAGATGGCTCTAAGCTCGACAAGGACGCGATCGAGGAGATGGAGGAGAAATTCCGGCTTAGCGAGTATTTGGACTGGACCGACATCGACTATGCCTATGCGTACAACGGTGCTATCATTCCCGGCGGAAAGATAATGATGGGGAGGTTTTATAGGATCTCAATGTTAGGGGACGGCGATGGCTTGGAATGGAGCGATAGTTTGGGGGCGTTGGACGAGGATGGTGATGCGGCTGCGGCAGATGGAGGTGCATATGGAGATCCTATGGATCTGGACGAGGTGGGAGGTGGCGATGGACAAGGACAGAATGAGGCTGGGAATCCGAATTCCGCATCGGAGATGACGAGGGATGCGACGAGTCGGCACAAAAAGCGAGAGCGAGGACCCTTTATTTTCTGGTGCCGAGAACAAAAACGACAGCAGGAAACGAGAGCACACACGGCCAAGAGTGAAGGCTGAAGGCTGAAGGCTGAAGGCTGAACACTGAACATTGAAACACTGCAGATGACGCTGGCAGCGAACGCAGAACGGCAACTCATATTGGATTTCCGAGCCACCGTTCATTTACCCATGGGTCTTGATGGAGCTTGACATGCCATGCCATGCCATGACACACAACAAACGAGTTGGAACTGGGTCTGGATTGGCTCTGAGATAGAAACTCCGAGGTTGGAGCGAGTTGAGCTGCCTTGAAACCTTGCTGGAAAATGGAAATCCGATTGCGAAATCACAGTCTATCGTGCTCATTTGACTCTATTTGACATCAACCTATCTATCTATCTCCGCATCGCGGCTAGCCTGACTTCAGGAAATAAGTGGGCACGGGTCTGACGAGAAGAGAAGAGCGAGCGACACGACACGGCACGACACGGCACGACAGGGGTAGCAAATACAAGTGATTGGCCTATTAGTTAGGGGGGTGAGTATCACTTATAAAGGGGGGTTGGTTATTCTATCTGACTCTTCAGCACAGGCGGGAATTCTTGACAACTTGATCACCGAATATTAAGCTGTGTTTTCTTATATGGCGGGCGACCCCCTTCTTCGATCGTTAATTAAGCTGTGTCACACACACTAATGCTATGCCATGTATTTTCGGACGTCGGCTTGGGCGGGGTGAAATTATGGGCGGAGGGTGAAGATGGCTTGACTACCTAGGTACCTAGCAAGCCGACTTCAAAAAATAAATGGCACAGTCTGATGCAGAGTTTGCTGGCTCGATAACGACGAGTAGGCCACCTATCTTGTGATAGTCAGTACTAGTACCTAGTAAGTACGAGGATCCCGCTATACTCAAGAGCAGACCGGATATCCTTTGTACGGGAAGATAATCTGATAGCTAATAGTTAATCACTTGTACTTTGTTGGCGGCGTGCCCTCCCCTCCCTTCGTAAGACTTGTGCCACTTATTTTTTGAAGTCGGCTCGCTAGGTACGTACATACAGCCTTGTCTCCGTGCGTCAAATGTCAAATAACATTGCTGTGAAGCCTCTTTTGGACACGCGGTGAGCCCAGGCTGAAAAGTCTAGTTGATTCAATACTGCCTGTTGTTGTACCTCGTACGTCTGGAGAAAATAAAAGAGGCACCCTCGAACACCCCCGAATATGCAGCAAGCTGTCCTGTTTTCTACGGCCGCCTTGTCCACCGCTACGGGACACTGTCGTGTCCAGGTTTTGGCGGTGGTTGCGTCGCCTTTGGGTGTTTTGTATGGGAAGCCAGGAAAGAGGGATGCCTCAAGAAGAACCACCTCTCAGCCTCGGATTCTCAACTTGTTGCAAACCTGCTTTCCGCTGCCTCTGCCCTCAAGAATCTGCCCACCTCCGTGTTTGCAGGCTGATTCTCAGCCAAAGCGTCCAGGCCCACCTCCCCACGTCGTCCGACATGTCCGAACAAACACGACCACAGATCTTCCTTGTCTACCATTTCCCCACCCGACTTGCCCGAAGCAAGTAAGCGACTGAGGTCTGCGGCTTGTAATTCCATGGAATTGGCGGCATCGATTGCATTCTCTTGCAGAGCGTTATTTGTGGTGGGGGTGTGTGTGCCCGACTGAGAGGCTGAAGATGCACCTGTGCCGCTCTTGCCTTTACCCTTTTGTCCGCTGCCGCCATTGCTGCTATTGCTTTTCATGTGCGCCAACCGCCGTGTAACACTGATGTCGTAAATGGATTCCTCGACTGTGTCGGCAATGAGATACATCCACACCGTCGTCGGCCGATGCTGCCCAATACGGTGGACTCGCGCAATGGCTTGCAGCTCGATGGCTGTGTTGATGAGTGGTTCGCAGAGAAAGACATGGCTTGCAACTACAAGATTCAAGCCCGCGGAGTGCGCCTTCGCGTGGAGCAGAAAACACTCAATGGCCGGATCAGATTTGAACTTTTCGGTGCCATTCTTCACATCAATGCGGGTTGACGAAATTTTGTACGACGAAAATGCCCGGCTGAGTACGTCGATAAATTCGCGATATTGCGAGAAGATGATGGATTTGGAGCCTGGGTCGTGCTCGCGAAGCCACAGAAGATGACGACAGAGGAAATCGATCTTGCTGCCAAAACTAGGGCCTCGAATGTCAATGTTCTTGATCTGGTTCAACATTGCTGTGCTGATATCGGAGTAGATCGATTGGTCATGATGATGGTCCAAAGTCGAAGATGTGGATGACGAGGCAGAGCTCGATGGAGATTCGGCTTGCACAGCTATCTCAGCGGGTTTGTAGGTAATGTCGTGGAAGCTGTTGGGATGCAGCCTTGTTTTACACACAGGACAGTTATGGTGCTGACTGACCCAAAGCATCAAACAATTTTTGCATGTTAGGTGGCCACAGTTGGTCATGGCGCCGACCTCAAAGGCATCGGTACAGATGACGCAGATTCTAGGGCCTGTTGACTTTGACTCTGTCTTCATGTGCATCAGATATCGAAGCTTGGCAGAGCCAGAGACAATCTTCTGCTGTAGTCTGGCTTCCTCGTCCTCGAATTCTTCGTAGTGTGGTTGAAAGAGGGGTTTTCCCACATTCTCCTCCTGATATGGTGCAACAGTGTCAGAAATCTTCTGAAGCGCGCGGTAATATTCGAGCCGACTGTTCATGGTATCGCGGAAGTGATTCACCTCCTGCTCGAGACTGTTGAGAGCTTTCGTCTGTGCCGTATTAAGTTGCTGAACGTGTCTCAGGATACGCTCTAGGATCGCCAGCTCCTGAGTCGCACGGGTCTGGTGGTTTCCTTCTTGCCATTGTAAAGACGACGCCATCTGTCTGATTTCGGCGATGATACCCCGTAGACAACCCAGGTTACTGACTTTCACACGCTTTTCCTCACGCTCGGCAAGCAGTTGGCGCATCAAGTCAGGCGCAGGTCCCTCCCCTTCCTTCGCGATTCGGAGGAATTGCTTCATTTCCTGTTTGATGAGTAGGTTTTCTTGACCATTGAGCGCTTCGGAGCGGTCCGCAAACAGAGCCCTAAGAGCTTCCATGTATACGTACATCTCATCTTGATGCTTGGTCGAACTCTCGTACTCATCACCCTGGAGTTCGATGCCTTCGTCCTCGTCGATAAGAGCTTGGCTCAAGAAGTCCGCCATCTTCTGCCGCAGTTCGTGGAATTGCGCTGCCTGGACATTCATCGCTTTGCAATAGTAGTGAAGTTTCTCGAAGACCTTCCTGCTTTCTATCCCGCCATAACCCGAAGGCTCTGTCATGGGTGGAATCTGAGTCACCCCGCTTGCCAAAGTGGTTCTGACTGTGGTAATCATCTTGTTCACATGACCTGTGGCCTCTTTGAGCAGTTCTCCACGGATTGACTTTGCTTCTTCATATGCTGCTGTCTCCTTTTTCTCCAGCTGCTCATAGTCCTCGCTTTCCGGAAGATGCGTGGATTTCAGTTGAAAGTACGCATTTGCCATGAAGAAAATGGCGATGTGCTGCACCTCCAAAGCAGATCGCAATCGAGCCCTCAACGTGGTTAGCCGTGGATTCGCCTCATCGTCGTCTTGCTTCTCCTTCTTGACATCCGATGACTGTCGCTCTTCTTCATATTGTTTTCGGCATTCGCTTACAATGTCGACAGACTCGTCATAGACCCCTTTCCAGATGCGAAGCGCTTCGTGGGTGTCTTTGGCGTTTTCTAGCAACTGTCCTCTCCTAATCTGCGCAACCAACCGATTCCGCTGTGCAGTACGGAGCTGGCCTTCGTGTTGATCAATCATCACATCCAACACTTGTTCGACCGTCCGAAGAGGACCATTTGTGTTTCGACCCAAAGCACGCCTATTACGACCTCCAACTTCAGGATGAAGGCATGTCTGCCGCAGACGAGTAAGCCAAGTCCGCATTTTCTCTACCATCGCAGGGGAGTCTGGATCCCAGTCGTCGCCTAAAGGGGCGCCCGCCCGATCGAGGCCGCACTCCTCGCAAAACTCCTGAAAGAGCTGGGCGTAATGCTGTTCTTCGATGGCGGTAAAGGGGATTGTTATGGTATGTCGGCTTTGCGGCGGTAGTCGCAAGTCCTCACGGACGAACTCCTTCGAGTGCCTCATAGCGATCTCTCCCAACATTGCTCGGAACAAAGGGCGGTGGTAACTGATGAGGTAGTCCCACAGCCGCGGTGACCGACACCATGGCTCATAGCGGAGGAAGAGTAGGAGGCCGTACAAGTCTCGATGTCCTTTCCTAAGCGGAGTACCTGTGACTGCCCAAGCATTGGAACGTGGAATAAGACGAGCCACTGTGGCTGCCGAGGATACACCGCTCTCAACCATCTGAGCCTCGTCTAGGCAGACACGCCACCACGAGATTTGAGTCAACGGGCTTTTCGGCGCTTCCTCACGTTTGTAGCGCAGGTTTCGATCTGGCTTCTCAGCCACATAGTGTACTTCCTTTGCTATGACATTGTATGTCGTCAACACCACGTCTTGGCTGAGTAGTTGTTCGGTGAGCTTCTCCCCAGACTTCCTGTAGCTGTTAACTCCTGGATAATGGAAAACACTCAGCGACGGAGCATGTGTTTGGAGTTCGTCCTTCCACTGCTCGAGGATTGACGGAGGTGTGATGATCAAGGTAGCAGGAGATGGTTTCAACCCGTGAAGCTCAGGTGTCCAGTCAATTCTAGGATGCAGGCAGATAAGAGCGATGATTTCCAGCGTCTTTCCCAACCCCATCTCATCTGCCAGTATCCCGCCTGAGGCCGATGCAAAATGCTCGTCGACTGCAGATAGACTTGTTGTTGCAACTCCCAATGCATGATTGACATAGCAGATTCCACTGCACGGTGTCTCAAGCTTTTCAAATCCTCTCGGAAGCCAGCTCCCGGAGGGCTTCGGCAGTGACTCGAGGTGGCCATTTGGTTGCACACCGACACCTTCTCTTGAGAGAAGCCACCGCACAGCACGTCTCTGGAACGGGTACAATTGCGATTCGAGGTGTGGGATTCGAATGTCCGCGGAGTTGGCATCTGTCTTCTTGGGAACGTGAACATTGTCATAGAACTGACGGGGATTCCAGGGTTCAAATGTGGGCACGGCGGGTTCAGCAGGGGGCAGATAGCGTCCCAGCATATCAAGTAGAATGGGATCTACCTTGTCTCGACACAGGGCGGTATCTTCCCATAGAATGCTCAGCTGGAGGCTGACTCCGTGGCCCGCACGCTGTACCACAGCATACGCACAGGCGAGGGGAAGCGCCGCAGGACGTTTGTATCTCACCACTGAGTCCAACTTTTGAGCATCTTCCAGGATCTGCAGATCACTGGCTGACAGACTGTCCGTCAAGATGTGCTTGCTGCTTCTGCCTCGCCCGATGGAGAATCGAATGCCATAGCATCTCTTCGACTTCGTCACCTCCTGTACAGTAACTTCCAGAGAAGCTTCGTCGGAAGTCTCGGTGAAAAGGTCGGGGTCGGCCTTTGAGGCTTTCAGGTGCGTTTGAGCGACTACAATGTACTCAGAGAACGGGGCAGCGGGGCAAATAGAAGGCTGGTCGAGATTCGGTGCAATCTTGCGTCTCTTCGGCGCTGGCCCGTCAAGCGCGTCCATTGTCAAAAATCATCAAAGAACGAAAACATAAACGCCAAATCAAAACAAGGGTGAAGGATGGATTGGGGCTGCAGCGTGCAGGCAGAAAGAGACGACAAAGTGAAAAGGGCAACTCGAGCACGACTGTGGCAAAGCGCAGGTCGACCGAGCGCCCTGGACGAGTTTATCGATAAGGGGTCACGTGAGCGGGGATCTGGTGACTAAGCAGGGGTCCTCGTTATAGCTCCGATTTCTCGGGAATCACGAGCTGCGCCCCTTGATCCATAAGCATGGCCTAGCATGGCCTTTAGCCTATCCCAGTGACCAAAGATTCCAAAGGATTTTGCCACTCGGCGTCCCCAAGCAGAGTTCTATGTCATGTCGATTCGTGAACTATTGTCCGGATAATAATAATGAGCTTCAACGAAGAGCTGTCTTCGTCAGCTACGCTGCCTGTGTCAGCCTCAGGCGCCAATTCGGCGGCCTGCCGTGTCCGTCGTGTTCTGTCGTACTCGCATCCAATCGCAAGACCTTCAACGAGAAGGTGGCGGTTGCATTCCAAGGGTGTTTGATTCTTCAGCCTCCGTGCCCGCGTCGGCCGTGCCGCCATCCTGGGATTTGCTCTCGAGCGTTTCAATGTGCTTCAGTAGCGACTGGTTGAAGTCTCTGAGCATCACAATCTCATCCGATTGCGATTTGACCTTTGCCCTCAACTGCTCGAGCTTCGCCTCGCTGCGCAATCGGTGGTTCCGTTGCGCTTTTCGATTCTGTTCTTTCCGCCTCTGCAGATGAGTTAGCTTAGCCCAGTGAGTCTCGTGTGGGCGCGCAGGGTGAAATGTGGACCAGGCGCGAGTAGATCCACATGGCCAACAACCATCGATACTGACCTCTTTCTTCTTTTCACAGATCTTGCAAGGGAGATTCTGACTGTTACATCGTCCCTGACCCAAACATTCCGCCTCTGTATCCGGGCTTTCTTGGACAGCCGAATTGGTCCGTGCTAGTTGCAAAGAGTCGCCAGGACTGCCGAAGTGCTCTGTTGCGAAATCGAGGGGAGAGTCAAGCGGCGTAAGGTCATCCGCGAAGCTGAGGGCTTTGTGGTTCGACACAAACGAGGGGTTTATTTGACTGAGCTATGAGCTTTGTCAGGAACGGGCCTGGTTGTAGGCTCGCGATTCTGTAATCCACCTTACATCAGAAAAGTCGGTGCATATGTCCATCGCCATGTCGTAGTAGCCCAGAGACTCCCAGTACTGGCCCGGTATGTAGCAATAGGGATTGCTTGCTGGGCGCTGCGGTTGCTGGTGCGATTGTGTTTGAGGTTGTGACGGGGTTTGTGGCGTAGGCCTATCCAGACTGCCAGCGTGAAAGACGGATATGAAACTGTCCATGCTGCGAGCACCCTGAGGAGCTTGCGGCCGAGGTCTGGTTGATTTCTCTCTCATGGCGGTGGAAGGACGCTGCGAGCAGAGAGCTGTTAGAATAGGAAGGGTCTTGGAAGGATCGAAAATACATACTCAACCACCAAAGTATGCTGTGATGCTGGTCAGCGTTGCATGCGCACGCAAGCATAGATTTCTGTGGAGAGTTTATCCGAGCAGCCTTGTATAGCGAAAGAGGAGGTGAAGCACTTTGAAAGCGCGCGCTACAGTACTTGAGGAGATGAAAACAACAACAAAAGAAACAAAAACAAATAAAGGATGAGGACAATCTCGTATAGCTTGCGTCTCGGCCCTCGTTGCCTCAGCCTCCTACGTCTAGACGGCAGACGTCTCCCTGGGCAGACAGATGGCCCCAGGCAGGGTATCTCGAAAAGGAAATGGGGCAGGACGAGTTTCGAGAACAGCGCCCTCTCCAGGGACACAGAACTGACACCCTGCTTCTTGTGACAAACTGATTAGTTAAGAGTGCAGCAGTCAAGCAATGAGCCATGACCCATGAAGCACGAGCTTATAGCCCGACGAACACTCCTTCACCCTCCGCAGGGCAAAAGGCATGGTTTCCCGCCGGAGGCTACCCTACCCAAAGCAATCCGGGCTTTGGGACCTTTCAAGGTATAAGGTCGAGATGTGGTAGAGTGGAGCCACGTGGATGGGACGTCTGCCATATAAACGGTGGACGTTCCCCTGCTTGTTGGTTACAAAGTTCCAGGTGGGTGCCGGTGGGTGCCAGTGGGTGCCAGGGCTGAGACGGAGGGCTTATCTAAAGCGACTGGGGGTCTCTCGGGAGCACATGGATTGGAGAAAGGTGACGAGTCAAACGTTGAGACGGGCCACCTATTGTATCAGGCGTCCTATCCCAGAATTGTTTTCCCGTATCTCGAACTTTAGCCCAAGCCGGTGATGACCCGGGGAGGGTTGGAAGGAGAGACGGGATGTGCACTTACAGACGATCCTCCTGGGGCTTGTCTCGGTCTGGGCAATTCCCTTCTGTCCCTTGTTGATATGCAAGGACGAAGACCCCGGTAGGACGTCGCTTAACGTGGGGCTCAGCGTACCGATGGGATCCATCAGAGGCCTTCCAATAGGACAGAATAGAGGTTAGTAAGAAAACTGCAGGTCGTCGGCCCTATCACAGCACATCGAATAAGAGGAGGCGGTCAAGCCAGGAGCATTCTGCAGCAATTTCTCCTATTACCCAGCACCTCGTATAGCGGTACTGGCAGACGAGACGCAGTCCCCGAGGTCAATGTCTCTCTCACGCGGGGTGAGAGAAATCAGCCCTGACTCGAACCAATGAGAAAAGCGCCGTTTGCAGACGACTAAAATATGCAAATGTGCCTGGCATGACCACAGGCTTCTGGCTCTCGAGACGCAGGGAAATCCTCTAGCTGGCAGCGGACCTGGAATGGTAGCCACACATGCAACTCCCACGAGCTTCTCAGGAGAACTGGGAGCAGGAGACGGTTGGATCATCAGGTCGTTAGACGGCAATCCAAAGTCCGTCTTGTTTTAGAGCGACGCCATGCATGTGTGTGATGATATCATGACTTGCCCCTCAGCACATTTGCTCAATACCATTCGCACAGATAGTTCAAGTTTGTGATTGCTCGGGGCTCTCGAGGGAAGTTTCCCACTAAATGAGTCAGCCATTCGCTTAGGATAAGTCAGCATAATGCCGACCGCCTTCAACGCAACACATTTTGTAGACCTACAGAAGAAGATCACGGTCACGTGGCAACAATGGTGAGGAACAGCATAAGGGTGCTTCTTGCTTGATTTGAGAGAAGGGAAAGGAAACAAAGAAGAAAATTGTGATGATGATGCTGGTATCATGCAGATTGAGTCTGCGTCGGTGTGTCGACAGGACTCATCCAGATTGCTCTCCGTTTCTCTACCCACGCGAACATCGATATCAAGTACGCAGAACTCGAAGCCAGTAAGTTGTTTTCCAGTCGGAGAGTATTTTGGATATCTGCCTTTTCCCAATCACGTATGTTGCCGAGCAGGAGCCGCTGTACCAAAGCCCCATCTGCAAAAGCTTCAATTCACAGAATACCGGCGGTGGATAGGCTCTATGTCCTAGAGTACCGTTCGACAGGGTTGGAGTATGTTTGTGTTGTGGCAGCCTGTTTGACTTACAGTCGGGCCTAGTAGTCATCGTGCACAGGGTCGAAAGCCACCTGCCAAAAGCAACCCACCTCGACAAGTTGCAGTTTTGGGTTCAGACGCAATCCAGTAAGTTTGGAAGAGGTATTGGTTGGATTGGGAGATAACGCCAGGGATTGTTGCGTCGTAAAATGTCCCATTCAGCCTTTGTTAATCGAGTGACCAAGCACCAGATGCCTTGCTTCTGTCATGAACCGACGCTAGTGGGAATCATGAGCGCGGACCGCAGACCCTCCCCAGTATTAAGCATGAAAGCAGCCACTCGCACATGCTTGAGACACCCACAGGGAGCAATCACCTTTGGTCATGGGGTAGTTCCCACCCTTGCTTGGAACAGGCGTTTGGATTTGCTGAAGGATCATCGTTGGAAAACCTTCGCTGGTGCAAGCAAGTCCACGGGTTAGTCCCTGAACTAGCTGGAGCCATCATGACAAGCAACTCTTGTGACCATGGGGTCAAATCCCATAGGACAATGCAGAGCCAGCATAAAACTGGCTCTGAGCTGCAGCAGCGTGGGCACTGTCGTCTGCAGGACCAGCACTCCAGCACGCTTCATCTCCACGGCGCCGGACTGCTGCTTACCCTCGGGCCTCGCACTCGTATTTTGATTGACACCGGAGCCGATCTGGGGCCATAATCCCTATCGCATTGCCTATTGGCGCCGGCGATTAGGCATCAGAAGAGACGTTAGGGGGTGGCAAGATCGTTGTTGTTCTTCTACCTAGCTTGACTCTCACTGGGGTCGAAGTCCTAGGCGAGACCAGCAAATAGATGACCGACAGTGATTGGCACCGGTATGATATTCGACAGGGTGGGAACTCGGTAGTCTGCAGTATGTCCCTGGAACCTTGGTGTCCACAGATCAAAAGCACAAACTTGGGCGCAAGCAGGGTGGTGGTGGATGGCGAGAACGTGTCTTAGTGACTGCTCTCCCTCTGACAGTAGCTTCGCATTGGGCTGTGCGTATCAAACAGTCAACAGCCCGACATCTTCACCCAGTGCTCTTAACTATAGCGTCGCATCCTGAGACTTGATTTCCAGACATTCTTCGCAAGACAGGCTCTTTCGGTGGTTGTTTCCCACAGTCTTCTGCCTGCATTGGGACTGGTCACCCACGTTGATCGGTCGACTCGCATACGCTTAGAGGCGAAAATTCTCTCGTACAAAGCCAGGAGAATATCGTCGTCAACAAAGGACGCAATATTCGAGGCCTCGAGAGATGATAATCGGTGTCCTCGATCGTACGTAGGTGGCGAAAGTTACGCTCGTAGCAACCTCGAGGTTGAATTAGTAACGACGCCTTATGACTGGCACGGCTGGGCACAGCCTCCTTTGGGCCTTGCGCCTTATCGGATTCATAATCACAGTTTCAAGAAGAAACGAGTTTGCCATCGTACAAGCGGACCAGAGATCTCCCGTCATACTGCATTCCCATGCTATAGTAGATGGCTCGATGGATAGGGACAAAGAACATCGCTGTTGCCTGTGCGGCCGGATCTTGATTGATCCGAACGACGAGTGTTTTTGCCACGCTGAGCATCTTGCGCAGGGCAAGCAGAGAAGCTAAAATCAGCCCCCGGAGCAACTGATGACCGCGTCTACGGCGAGGGTGCGTGAAGTTGTATCAAGATACCTAAGTTGGATCATTACAGCTTCCCGTTGAGGTTGAAAGGGCTTTCTGCGGACGCCACGTCGTTATCCCGGTGATATCGCTTTTCAGCCGCATAGAGGTAATACAGTATACAGGCGACAGCCAACAGTCCTGAGACGAAGTTCGCGGCCAGAACACACACCCACCCCTGACCTGACTCTCCCACGAAAGCTGCAGAGAGAGTTTCCGGAGGATGGGTTGCCAGAACGGCCAATTAATCCATATCCATGTCACTCTCTTCGCCCTCGCCCTCCCCATCGGCATGGGAATCGTCGTCGTCCATATCGTCGTCGCTTCGCTCAGCAAGCAGATCTTGGGTGATTTCATCGTTGAGATCTCTTCCTCCAGTCCGGCTAGCTTGAGCAGACCTTCCCACTTCAGGAAGGGGCTTATGTGCGGGAGACTCACGCGTGCGTCGCTTCTTGCGTGTGCCATTTGTGAGTGGCCGAGAACGGGCTGCAGTAGTGAGATTGTCTTCGGCGGCCTGGTGGCGTTGGAGTCGGGCATGGTATACCGCGAGATCACGGTCTCCACCCCAGACTTCCAAACGCCTCCCTGTCTTCCTCAGAACTTTGGTCCATGTTTCCACTTCCTCACCGTGATCATCGGGTTCGTAGCCAACAGGAGTCTCTCCGGGTTCGGGTTCGTCGCCATGCCATCTGCGGCCAAGCACACCAGCAAAGCCAGTACCGCCGGTCTCTTCTTCCTCTTCGCTGTCATACGTTGGAGGAAGCTCGCTGACTCGTCTAGCTGCCTGCAGCAGCCATCTGCACCCGTCCCTCATCTGCCGTGCTTCTTGAAGGGCCTGCCTACGACGTCTCCGCAGGGCCCATTCGACCCGACGCTGTCTATGCTCCTCTAGTTCACGCTGGTACCCTGTCCTGGCCCTAGCCTTGGTGCCAGCCCCACCAGTTGCCGGCTCAGGTCGGCCCCCTATCACGTCAGTCTCGTTCTTTCCTCGGTGTGCAACAAACTGACCGATGCCTGGATGATTTCCAGTACCAGGGTGTCCAGGTTGAGGCGTCCCTCGGTACCGCTCCGTCGTGTCTGGAGTACTAGCATTGCGACCTGATTTGAGCAAGCTTCTGGGGCCATCACTCTGTCTAGCACCCCCTCTGCTTCGTGTCGGCGTGTTCTTCCCCCTGACACGCTTGTACCGTCCGCGGCCAGGGTGTGGGTCGACCGCTTCCCAATCGTCATCCAAACTGTCTGCTTGACCCCCTAAAGCGCTGCTCATAAGGTGTCCGTGATGACCAAGAGACTCCGGTGCTGGGGATCGTCCTACACCGGGACTTGCCCGCGAATCCACATCAGAGACGAGGGAGTCTTCGTCTCCGTATGCAGCGCTTTTCTTGAGACGTTTCAGGGCTTTATGGTCTGGGTTTCCTGGGTCAGCCATGACTAATGGTGGTTCATTCGCATTCTCCAGCATGATCCGCCGCCGCTCCTGTGTCATTTTCTCGGCAAAGGCAATCTCCTCCGGCGGGTCAACATTCTCAGCATCACCTTCTGCTTCCGTAATGGTGGTCAGTTTCGGTACCAGTTGTGGTACTGTGTCGGGATCATTCGGATCTTCGTCGTCTCTATACTCTCCAGGCCCATACGGATTCCGCAGTGCGTCTTCCTTTGTGAAGTTGGACTCGAGATACCACCACATGAGCCACAAAAACGCTCTGGCCCTAGTTCCGGATGAGATGGTCGGTCGCATGGCAAGATCAAAGAAATCAACCTTATCAGTAAAGTGCATTTCACTAATCTTGGGCGCAAACTGCGAGAGGACGAATATCAGATTGACTGGATTCGTCCTCGGGACTGGTTTGGCCTTGATCGCCGCCAGTGTGCGAGGTTCGTCTGTGTCCTCGCTTGCGCCTTTGAGGATACTTTTCAGCCTTGGAGCATCCTGTAGTGACTTGTAGTCTCTTTGACTTTTGTAAGCCTGCAGAGACGGGATGGAATGGTAGGTTCTCAGCTGGGCCCTCATCTCTGGAAAGAAGTTCAGTGTCGTGTTCATACGACCCACGTTGACAAGAAGACATATCATTGCCATGTTGTGGGCAGCCTGTCGGTCAACCTGAAGCCTGTCTTTGAGGATCTTGCTGGTCTTGGAACTTCGTGCCATGCAGTCCACATATATATCGGAGAAGAAACAATCGGTTTTGCCATCGCTGATTCGCGTGAAGACTGGCTTCGTGTCTTCGATCACAATCCGCAAAAACTCATACTGGATTTCTTTGCGCCAAAGAGGTGTGCCGTCGGGTTTCTTGATGTGCCTAACCTTGCTCCCCGAGTAGACCGAGCCAACAGTGCCATTGGCCTGTCTTCTCGTGCCCACCGCAGTTCCGATTGTTCTGGGCTCCGATTCGGGAGTGGCCTCTGACTTTTTGTTTCGTGAATGAGATGCCGAGACGACGCTCCCCTCGTCTTCAGTACCCTCGTGTGGTTGTTCATGTATCCAAATTGCACCTTTTCGTGGTCTTGCTTTTCTTCCAGATCCGGCTTTGTGCCGAGGTGCTCGACGACCGCTCGTAGGGGTAGGGCCAGCAGGGGGTTCTTCCACGGTTTCAACCTGCTCTTGATCAAGTTCTGCAAGGTCAGGCTTCGTGTCTTCCATCTGATCGTCGATGGTGTCGCCCTCTGAAGGCGCCGCAGATGGCTCGCGCGAAGTCATTTTGTCGTAGATGTCAGCGGCAGACCAGAGATAAAACTTGATCAACAAGGACTGATTATCATGGTGAAAATGATGCAGCTGAACTCAGGATGAGGCTTAATTGTCAAGGAGACATGGGGTGGGAATGGTCTAAAGGCGACGTCCGCGACTGTCCCGAAAGGATCACGCTAACACGTGACGCCAGAGCTTGGCGGGCCTGCGCTTCGCCCACCTGCTGGGTGCCTGCACCTCTGAGAATCTCTCCTTGTCACCCTGTTGTAGACTCTGTACTCTGTACCGAGTAGACGTCTGTAACTACCTGTACAGTAGTACTTCATCTCGAGACGTCAGGTGCTTGGAGTTCTCGAGTTTCAACAGGCTTTTTAGTTGCACCTATCCCCCTCCTGCTATTCAACACACAGGTCTGAGGGCCAGACATACGACGACGTTCCTTTGCTCCCACGTCAAGTCTCCTCGATGTCGCGAATGTCGCTCTGGACTCACGACGCTGGAAGTCGAATTGGGACCCCGAAGAGGGCCATCGCTTTCAGAAGACGCTGAAAGGTAGAGACAAGCCTTGAGTCTTGACCAATCAAAAAGATGCCAAACATTGGATTGTCATGGGAAGGGCGTAGCGATGGTAGCGATACGAGCCAGATACGTCGGTCGACCGAGTACTGTGACGAAAGCACCGCAATGTAGCTCATGAAGCTATGCCCCAAGGTTTGCATTTCCATGATTTCTGTACGCAGCTCGCCAGTAACCCAAAAATGTCCTCCCTCCTGTCGCTACCAAATCCACGAGACTACGATGTTGATTTCGTCCTAGGTTTTGTGTCCACGAAGCCGACAGAGTTGCCAGGATACTATGCACCCTGGTGCGAACTCCTCTTGGATCTGCCGCATCTGCTTCAGGCTAAGACCCTTAAGGCCCAGGTCAACAATCTCGAAACACTCGCCACTGACCATCTCCTGACCTCGGCGCACTGGCAACGTGCATATGTTGTCCTGGGCTTTTTGACCCAGGGCTTCGTCTGGCAGGAAAAAAGCAGGCCTTCACAAGTCATTCCGGCTAGTCTCGCCGAGCCTTTTCTCGACGTCTGTAACTACCTCGGGATGAAACCCGTTCTCAGTTATGTCGGACTGTGCCTGTGGAACTGGATGCAAAGAGAAGAGGATATCCGGTCGCCCCCGTTGCATGCTCTGGCCAACTTTCAGGACATCAAGTCTTATGCTTCTTTTACGGGCACGAGGGACGAAGATGCGTTCTATCTAGTGCCAGTAATGGTCGAGGCTCAGGGCGCCAAGCTCATCAAGTTGATGCTGGATACAATCGCCGCAGACCAAAATGGCGAAATACTAGACTTGGTGTCCAGCTTGGATGTTTGTGTGACAACACTGACGACGATGAGGGAATCCTTATCTGTCTTAGACCGGTATTGTGAACCAATATTCTTCTTCGAACAGATACGCCCAATGCTCGGAGGTAGCGTGGGTGCAGAAGAAAAGGGACTCCCGGATGGTGTCGCACTTGAACGAAGTGACGGATCGCGAATCGTCGTCAAGTGCGCTGGGGGCAGTGCCGGACAGAGCTCTCTCTTTCAGTTTCTCGATCACATGTTTGGCGTTCGCCACGAATCCAAAATGCTGCTTGAGATGAGGGCCTACATGCCAAAGAAGCACAGGGAATTTCTCGAAGCGGTTGAACTCATGCCTTCGTTGCGGGACATGGTTGAGCGACGCCCGGAAGACCAGGACTTACGTTGTGCCTTCCACGGCGTCATCGATGCGTTCCAGAAGTGGAGAACGAAGCATGTCATCCTCGTGTCGAGGTTTGTTGTCCAACCCGCCGCAGCTGTGGCGAAGGGCAGGCCTGCCGGGCAGCAGAGAGGCACAGCTGGCTCGCAGCCGATGCCATTTTTGAAACAATACAGGGACGAGACCGTCTTTAGGCTTCAAACTTGATAGAACCTGCTTGTTGAATGGAGACACTTCACAACAGCCGCCAACTGGTATTTTGTAGGGCAAATCTAGGGAGAATTGAAGCCTGAAGGTGTCTAGGCGACGGACTTAAGCTCAGGCAGCGAACGCACGGGCATGCACGACTCGCACGACTCGCTCTGTGATTTGTGGATGGAGAGGGATCAATGGAGTTAAGCGGCCACCTGCATACCTAGCGAGCTTGGTACCTCGTATACCGAGTACAAATACCGATACAATGTGCAGTGCAGGGGACGAGGGACCGAGCATCTTTATTCTCTTCTCTGGAAGAAAATCCATGAAAGCAGAAAGCATCGCCCAAGCCGTGTCCAGTACCAAATCGATCCCAGGCCCCCCTCCCTTCCTTTACTGCACAGCTCTTCATGCTGGCAACAGCGTCGGACGCATCTCTTCTGACGAGCCCAGACCGGTTCAATCTCTACGAGAAAACACCACAAGCTCAATTCTGGTCGTATGAAGAATCTCAGTGGTGGTTGTCGCACCTGCAAAATACGACGCATCAAGGCAAGAAACTCGTCGCCATGTTTGCGGGCAGCTGGCAGCTGATACATGTCAATTCCACAGTGCGACGAGACACGCCCAACGTGTCAAAGGTGCATCAAGTCTCGCCGACTATGTATCAGAGCTACTCCTTTGAGGGCCGACTTTTTGATCCACGTCGAAAACAACTATGCCAGTGGAAAAACAAAGCGACCGAGAGGACCTCGCTCAAGCCTGACTCCAGCACTTCTCCCAGACCTGCGGACCCGTGCCATCATCTACTATCTGAACTACTACTTACGGATGCCAGCTGACGTGCCGTGCCTTCCAGGCAGCGTTTCAGACTGCATTGTTGAATGGATCTCGGGAACGACGATTCCAATCCTTCATTTGGCCGTCTCGTCGATGGCTCTCGTCGTCTTTTCGCGGACACAGCGACATCCAGCAGCCGCGGCGGAGGCTTGCGCACAGTATGCCAAGTTGCTGCGGCACGCGCAACTGACGCTGTCCAGTCTGGTTGAAACAAATATTGATGCCGCCTTGCTAGCCGTCTTCCTCATGGCTCGCTATGAAGACTCGGCGCAGGGTGAGGAGGCATTCCTGCCCAATCCTTCCTTCAACAGCTACTTGCATCATGATGGTGCAGCTGCGATCCTCAAAATTTGGAGAAGCCGCCATGCAGGACAGAACCAGCGGGCAACTTCTACTGTCAAATACTCCCGGCGTGGCATCATTCGATCCGCTCTTCTGCGGTATCTTGCAGTGCCAGCATGGCTTGAAGATGGTCGAGTTTTCGGCGAGGGTGGGCGAGACCTTGAGTACGACGGCATCCTGGTCCAAATTGCCAATCTTCGGAATCAGCTGAAGGCTCTTCAACAAAATAGCTCTCAGCTAGACACTATCAGTCCTGAGCTGTTTCAAATGGCCCAAAAACTATGCAATGAAGCAGAGCGCTTGGACAGCGCATTGCAAGACTGGGCAATTCGGATTCCAAGCTCCTGGTACCCCTACCGCCATCTCATACGCACAGGCTCCTCTTTACCTCCCCGGCACTTCTTCTCCACCGAGGTCTACAGTTATTCCAGCATGACTTGTGCTGCCCGGTGGCTAAACTACTCGGCTACAAGGACGCTGCTTAATCGAGCATGGTTGAAGATCCTTGAGCTCGTCCAGCCATGCTCAGATGACTCTGCCCACAACCACTCAGTGGAGCAGTGTCGCTCACGCATTCTGGTCGCGGCCAATGATGTATCCTCAAGTATACCATTTGTACATGGAACCTTCAAAGCCACGGACGCCGGTAAACATCAAACAGTTATCACACTCAACACAGATGCCGAGATCGAACCATACGTAGCAAGTCTTACTGCGTGGCCTCTCAGTATTGCCTCAAGTATCGGGAGCTTGAATGCAGGGCAGAAGCAGTGGTTCGGGAGCCAGTTGGCATTGATTGGGAGGATTCTCGGATCAGGAGTCCTGGAGCGCGTTGGCGCTGCCGACCTCCTTGACCTGTGAATCCACCATACTCCCTCCCCTTTCTGTGTTTGGCCGTATCTCAGTCGTCTCGGAAGCGGTTTTAGTACTTCGTCTGGTTCCAAGCAAGGCTCTTCTGAGCGAGGGGCAGGCACAGTCGATATTACAAGCTCTCGACCGTAGGGCTCTTCGGGCACTGCCCAACGTATACAGCTCCAAGAATTAGCTGCAAAGGGGGGAAAGCGCGTGGTATTTGACCATCATCAAGCGCTCAGATCCATCTAGAGGATCAAGCAGCCGACTCCTGCATCGACCAGCTGTCGAATACGAGGTACGTACAGCTTCCCTTGCTTCTTATCCAATCATGGCTCTCCTTCTCAGCCTCACCAGCCTCACCACCACACCACTGAAGGCAGAGTAAAATTGCGCTCGGCTGAGGCAACAAGTTGCCATCTGTGCTGCTGGATCTTCAACTTTGAACTATCAGAATCGAGCTATATGCCGCCATCGCCAAAGCTACCAAGCATGCCGTCTCGTTCGCTTTCTTGCAATGACTATTTTGTTGCTTGCGTCTGCCCAATGGGCAAAGAGCGAGCCCCGGTTTTGGCCATGCTTGACGAGAGGCACCCTCCCCTTCCTACGAAACGTGCGCAAAGCTGCTACACCCTTGGGCGAATCGTACAGCATAACGTTGTGATCACTACTCTGCCAGAAATCGGGACCAACAGAGCTGCACACATGGCCACGCAGTTGATGAACGACTTTCCGTCGCTGAGGTTTGGCTTACTGGTGGGCATAGGAGGAGGGATCCCCGACCGGGAAGGGAAATTAGATATCCGACTGGGCGACGTTGTCGTGAGCACACCCACAGCGACGAACGGCGGCGTCATACAATACGACATGGGCAAATCCACTCAACATGATGGATTCCACCGCACAGGCTCGTTGAATAAGCCTCCTTCCGTCTTGCTGACGGCGGTGGAAAGCCTCAAAGCAGAATACCTTTTGGGACGAAGTCCCATGAATGATTATTTGTCGAAGATCGGCGACGAAATCTCAGATTGCAGGTATCCGGGCGCGCAACGAGATCTCTTATTCAAACCAACATATTCGCATCAAAGCGTAGGGACATGCAGACAATGTGACCGTTCCAAGCTCGTGAGGCGCCAGACTCGACCAAACTCCAGGCACGTCATTCACTACGGCACCATTGGATCCGGAAATTCCGTGGTCAAAGATGCCCGCGAGCGCGAAAGGCTACGAAGAGATGGTATTATCTGTGTGGAAATGGAGGCAGCAGGACTGATGGACACATTCCCTTGCCTTGTTATTCGAGGCATCTGTGACTACGCAGACTCGCACAAGAACAAAGTCTGGCAGCCTTATGCAGCGGCAACAGCCGCAGCATACATGAAGGACTTGCTGATGACTGTCCCTCCTCAAGGTGTTCGGGACGAGCTGAGGGTGATTGAAGTTGTGGACGTCCGTCAGATCACCGAGATGATTCACGCTGGGAAACATTGGGAAATGATGGCCTGGCTTTCAAGGGTCAACTTCTGGGTCAAACAAGAAAGCATCCTTCAACGGGCACAGGAAGGCACTGGACAATGGATCCTTCGACACCCCAAATTCACATCGTGGGTTGCGCGAGAGTGTGGATTACTGTGGTGCCACGGAGAGCCAGGTGTGGGTAAGACAATTCTCACGTCGATCGTCATCGAACATTTGGCAAAATCAAAGAAGGAGAATGAGGCGCTTGCCTGGATATACGCCGACTATCGCGAGCATAGCAACTTGACTATGGAGAACCTCTTATCAAACATCCTTGCTCAGCTCTTCCAGCAACATGGCGAGTTATCGCAATCGATGATGAAGTCCCTTGGTGTCAATTGGCAGGAAGCAAAGCCGACCTTGGTCCAGTATCGAACCTGGCTTCAAGACGAGCGTCGGAGATGTGGCCGGACCACGGTCATCATCGATGCTCTGGATGAGCTGCCAAACAGAGACCTCGGCGAGCGCTTCATTGATGAACTGCGACAACTTCGACCACCTATACGTCTACTCGTTACCTCAAGGCCCTATCCGGAGATGCGGAAATTCTTCCATGGTGCAAGTGCCCTTGAGATACAACCTCGGAAAGAGGACGTGATCCTTTTTGTGAAGAGTCGGCTAGAGTCCAGCCTCAGCCTGAAGGGACATATTGACCAAAATGCTTCGCTATCAGACCTCCTGGTCGAAAAGTTAAGTCAGGCAAATGAGAAAATGTTGGAAGACCCTTCGCAACCTCAATCTATTGTATCGACGCTGATTCTCGAGTAGGTTTTTGAAAGCCCAACTGGTCCTCAACGTCCTTGAGAATATCAAGAAAGTAGAGGATGTCGAAGCAGCCCTCACATCTTTGCCACCTGATTATAATGGGTGGTACGACTTCAGCCTCAAGCAGATTGAGATGCAGGCGCCCTCTCACAGGGACAAAGCGTTCAAGATTTTGGCATGGCTGTCTCATGCCATCGATCCACTGAGTGTTGAAGCTTTGCAGCAAGGACTTTTGGTTCAGCCTGGGGACACCAAACTCGACAATGACCTCCAGACGCCCGAGGAGGAGATGATCTCTGTCTGTCACGGCCTTGTGATCTGTGAAATCGATAGAATCGACAATGTCCCAACTCGTTCCCTCAAACTGCTGCATGAAACTGCTAGTGCATATCTCAAGAAAGTCCAATCTGTCTACCTCCCGGCCGGTCATGACATGATCCTGAGTGCTTGTTTAGCATACATGTCTTTGTCAGACTTCTCAAATCTGCGGATTCACCAAATACAAGTTGATGCAAGGGCCAGTGAATTTTCATTTTACAACTATGCGACCAGGAATTGGTCGAAGCACGCAATCCAAGGCAATCTTGAAGATGCCTTCCGAGAACAAATTGTCAAATTCCTGGAGAGTTCTCATCGTCATAGTGCCGATGAGATGATGAGCAGATACTGGCGCAGTGCATGGGGTTGCGAGTATGCCAATCGGTGGACAGACTGGGACAAACGCTTGAATAAGAGAAGAGACTCTCCGGTTGATGCTGCTGCTGCCAGGTATGGATTAAGCTGGACAGACTGGAACAGACACTCAATTGAGAGAAGAGACTCTCCGGTTCATGCTGCTGCTGGATATGGATTGAGCAAGAGCCTTAGCTTCTTGTTGGACCACAAAGGCTACCAGAAAGACATGATCAACAACTTTGGGGAGACACCCCTGCACCGAGCAGCACAGCTTGGTGAAACCGGCTCTATCGACGTCCTCCTGGCACATGGAGCGGATATCGCAGCTAAAGTCAACCATCATTATTTCAATGATGCCAGTTGCCTTATATTGGCGACTCAATGCCAACAGGCCGATGCAGCCCGTGTTTTCCTCAACCATGGACTGGGCGTGAATACATATGATCCGAAATACTTGACTTTCCCGTTGCATCTTGCCGCCAGCACAAACACCGAATTGACCCAGCTCTTCCTCGATCATGGTGCGAAAGTTGATTTTCCGGGGAAGTCACCCGTGTTTCCTGAAACGTTTATGACCAGTCTCCATTTCGCCGTCTTCAATGCACACGTCTTTCCAGATGCTCTTGAGAGGGTCAGACTGCTTCTGGACAGGGGCGCCGACATCAACATGCAATCAGTGGCGACTGGCAACACTCCTTTGCATATGGCGGCGTTGATCGGACACAAAGATTTGATTGTCCTCCTCTTCCAGAAAGGCGCGAACATGGAAGTGCGCAACAAAGCGGGAAAATCTGCAGTTCGACTTATTCGAGAAAAGGGCTTTTTCTCTTCCGATCAAAGGGGTGTACCTATCGAATGTCTGGTTGTATTGGAACAGGGATCCAATCTACACCGCGCGGCATGGTCCCGACATCACGAGGGGGTCCTTGAATTGTTGGCACAGGGGAGCAATTTGAAAGAAGAGGACCAAGATGGAAGCACACTGTGGGACTATTGCATCGCTGGGGCGGATATGATGCTGGCGGAGAAATTGGTCAACTACATGGACCAGTGCCAATTACCCGACCGCAACGAAATCGGCAACACTGCATTCGAAGCGGCCCTCAAGTCCATGACGGCATTCGACTACACAGACGACAAGACTTGGGAGGTTGCTGTGGAAATCGGCCGACTCCTCCTCAAGTACCGCGAGGAACTTGATCACGACTTGGAATTTGCCAGAATCCGGAGTCCGATCTCGGGATATAACAAAACGTATCTCATCTGGGCAGCGGAGCTGGGGAGGATTTCTCAAGTCCGGTTTCTGCTGGACTGTGGAGCAGACGTCAATGCCGCCGACGTGTTCGGAAGTACTGGATTGCACTATGCGACGAACAATCAGAACTACGACATAATTCGCCTTTTGGTGGAAAACGGTGCCGACTTGCTGCTCAAAGATCGACAAGGCCGCACTTCTCTGGATGCCGCTGAGAGGACCAATAATCAGCTCATATATAACGAACTGAAGCTGCATCTCGCAAGTCAGTCGAGATGAATTTTCAAGCGTAAAGAAAGCATGCTCTGAGTATGACAAGTAGTGATATATCCCCGCACGCCCCCTTGACGCCGCGAAGTTTCGGCGATCAATTCATTGGCGGATGCCACAAGAACGCGTCTCTCACCGTCTCTTCAGTCTTCTTCTTCTTTGGCTTTTGTGCTCAACACCACCACTCTCCCTGAAGCTCAGCAATATGGTCAACTGGATCCTCGGCGACAAGTTTCATGAGAGGTACCCTCATCTGGATGGCGTCAAGGCGCTGTGGGAGACCAAATGGAAGTTTCCTTGCACCCTGGGGGTGTATCCTTTCCACGACGGCAAGCTCGAAGACTTTCAACCCATCTTCGAGAGCCTGATCCGAGACAACGTGAACGATGCCTACACAGACACATACACCGAGTACTTCCTGCCGACGGCCGAGAAGCTCACCGATGCAGCCATGTCTGCCCAAGCCTCAGACCGCGCAAAAGCTGCCGCTCTGTTCAAACGCGCCGCCTGTGTATATCGGATATCCCGATTCCCTTCCATTGATGCAGGCTCTGGATTGAAGAGAAAGGCATTTGAGCTTCAAAAACAGGTGTATCTGAGAGGTGCAAGCTTGTGGGACACTCCCATGAAAGAGGTCAAGATCCCACATACCGCAGCTGAAGGTGAAGACGGCAACGAGGTCCCACTGTTTGTGAGGCTTCCGCGAGGAGCGAGTAGTGAGAAGAAATGTCCGGTAGTGCTGCTGATCACAGGATTGGACGGACATCGACCAGACAACACAGAGGTAAGCCTACGAGCAGCACCACCACTACCAGTTCAGCGCTCAGACTGACGGCACCGTCACAGCGGACAGACGAGTTTCTCGACCGTGGCTGGGGCTGCGTGATCACCGAAATCCCAGGGACAGCCGATTGCCCCGCGGCCCGTCGTGACCCAACATCTCATGAACGACTGTTCACGTCGATCCTGGACTGGATGGACAAACAGCCGTCCTTCAACATGGCCAAATGCATGGCCTGGGGTCTTTCTGCTGGGGGCTACTGCGCTATTCGATTAGCACATACTCACCACTCAAGGCTTGCCGGAGTCGTTGCCCAAGGCGCCGGGTGCCATCTGTTCCTGAGCCGAGAGTGGCTTGAACACGTCGACGACCACGAATACCCCTTCATCCTCAGCGAGGCATACGTTGCCAAATACGGATACAGGGACTGGGAAGAGATGAAGGACAAGGCGCAAAAGGACTTCAGTCTGGTTGAGAGCGGCATTGTCAACGGTCCCTGTTGCAGACTGCTCCTGGTCAACGGCACTCACGATGGTCTGGTTCCCATAGAGGACAACATCCTTCTTATGAACTACGGTCGCCCTAAGGAAGCTCGGTTCTATGACAAAATGCTGCACATGGGCTATCCACCTGCAAATGAGAGCATCTGGCCCTGGATGGAATCCATTATGGCGTCGGCGTCATAAGCACGGCGACTGGAAGAGAGCATCCTATCAGACTCGCATTGAAGCGCCTGGGCCACGTGTATTCAAAACCCTTGCGAATAAATCAATTGCCAGCCTCTCACAATGAACGTCTTGCTGTCCTTGATATGCTTGACCGTCCAAGGTGTGTCGTTAGCCGCATCTGCCTCTTTCCCGATAAAACCCCGCAAATTGTCCATTTCATGGACTGCCAGATACTTCGGAGGTTCGCCTTCGGTTATGGGCAGCTTTGGGCCGATGACATACCTCAGGGATTTTCGATACCCTGGTAACTTGTGCAACATGTCGAGATGTTCTTCGCGATACCACTTGTCAAAGTCGGGCTCATCCACTGGGTCCATCTCAACCGTCAAGCAGAACGGAGGGACAGCTTTAATCTGGGTATCAGCAACAATCGATCTTTTCCCAAAGGACAGGTCATGGGCCATGGCCATAGAGACTCACATTCTCCCTTTCCATCGGGATCATACTCCTGGATCAACTTATAATTCCTTGCGTTGAAGTCCCCAACCTCCGACGTCGGCTTTTTGCCAGGCCACATCTCGCTGGAGTGCCGTACGCCGTCCAAGTACTCTTTGGAACTAAGCGGCTCTTCAAAGTCTGACTGGTACAAGACCAAGTACTTGCGCGGGTGCTTCTCCTTTGGTTCTAGCGAGAAATCAAAACTCTCGCGATACATGGCCGCGCGGACGGCGGTCTTGCTGTTCACCAAGTCCGGGACCTACGACTGATGAGCAGAGTGAAGCCAAGGGAGGACGGTCAAGATACGGACATGTTCTTCGGTATACCATTTTTCCCACAGATTATCGTCAATCCCAGAATTGGGCAAGGGTCTTGAGTTGACCCAGAGCATATATTGTCGGGGCATCCTCGACTGTGTCCCTTGGAAGTGATCTCGCACGCTTGTGACGATTCTGTCTGATCCGTGTCCCTTGACTGAGACTAAAACCTTTGAAGTTCAACACCGTCCAATGTTGCAGCTTTGCACTTGTATATCTCCCTGCTTTTCACAGGTTTCTGTACCCCGCACTCGAAGCCTCAGGAGCCCATCCGAGGCTATCGCCGGCCAGCTTCCCCGATGCAAAATTGACTGTCTGACAGATTCCCCCAATTCTTGGCCACCACTGGAAGGTCTCGGCTGTCGGGGTCGATGGCGGCGTCTCTCAGAGTGGAGTGTCATTGGCTTGTGAGACGGCGATGCTCTGGCTCCCATTTGTATACACACCACTTGGTCGTCCTGAATGATATCCCTGCTGGGTTCATGTACCAGATGTTTTGGATGGTCAGGTTGAAAGTGCATCCTCGACTTGGATCGTGATTAGCTGATAATTACTTAGCCTTTCATCCAGGCATAAGACATCCTGACGCTTGTGTTCTCGGCTGGTTGTGTTGATGGCAAGGCTGGCAGCTTCTTGGTGACAACCACCCGGTCGAGGCGTGTATACGTTCCAAGGCAGAAGTTGTCAGTGACACAGCATCAAACACGGCCTCTTGTCAGCGACATATGACACACTACCGTTCGTCATTATTGGTCTCTGCATCGTAGCAGCGCAAGCCACTAATCGTAGCCTCCCGATAACAACCGCCGCGTTCATGGAGCGTACGCACATAGCTTCTCTGGCAGGCGAATAGCTACCTGTCCGACGTCGAGCGGAACGAGTGTAGCTGGGAGCAGGAAAAGAAACCGTCAATACCCTCCACATTTGTCCATGGCCATATCATCCGATTTCGTGAGTCCTGGGCAATTTGGAGTTTGTCGCTCAGCTGGACTGCACTTTTAGTTTGTGTGACCACAGACGATAGACCACGGAGCAACGACCAATGCCAGATTACTGCACTGCATCTTCAGTCTGTATGAGAGACGAGGAAGTGGTAGTTTTGTAAATCATGCACTGCATTTTTAGTCTCTGCGAGTCGACGGGGATAGGGACATGCGATACATTTTTAGACTATCTAGGTATATCAGAAACAAAAACTTCGACGGTCAGACTGCACTGCACTTTTAGTCTCTACGAGTCCGGGAGGACAGGGCGTTCAGAGCTGGCAACTTTGCACACTGATCTTGTTTCTACTTGGGCCACTCGTTCTCTTCCTGTTGCTCTTCCCTCGGCAAACTTTCTTCGCTATCACTGTCCTTGACTTTTGTCTTCGCTTGACGTTTTCCCCTTGGTCAAAAGATGCAGTTGGCCTATAGATAGGAGACAAGAAAGTGAACCCAATCCCCCACCCCCCGGGGGCGTTTTATCTTCTCCTTCAATCTGCTTCCTTCCCGCCAAAAAGTATAGGAATAATAGTCAAAGACCTTAACAACAGCAAAAGAACACATACGGGCCACGCATCCGGCTCCAGGAGGGCCAAAATATGCTCGAAGTTTATGCGACAGGTGGACATGTGCCAGACTGGCGCTCGTAATGTAGGACAAATACAAGGAGCGAAAAGGACAGTCTGTTAGCTCTCCATTCTGTAATATAGGCGTGAAGACGGACACTCATAGTACTAACTCGTCTGCAACTGCTCCCACTCGCAAACGTCTCTGTGCAGCCTGTCTTCAATCTTCGTGACAGCATCGCATAAGGAGGAACATTTTCCACCTCGAATTCTTCGGTTTCTAGTGTGTATGTATTTATCGGCAGCATCAGATCGGAAACTGAGGGCTGATGAAAATAGATTCAGAGATCGAGAATGCGTCGCTGATTGAGTACGGTGATCGGGAGCCAATTCAAAACAAGACTGTCTCCGTCGACGTCTCAAGTAAGCATTGCTTGGTCGACAGGAGCTGGTTATTCAAGTTCTCAGGGTAAAAATGCACGTCGTCCAGAAGGACCTTTCCATGCACCGGTTGCCTAACTCTGTCGGGAAGGGTTAGACGGGGCTCCATTGAACTGCTACACTACCGTACCACAATCACGTATTCCACTAGTTATGTTCCATCAATCAATTCAGTAGACTAATTGCAAGAAGAAGTTGGTCTCAAAGCACACGCAACTATACACCAGCACCGGAGACCAGAAACAAGCCCCATTTCGTACACAGTAAGGCCTCCATCCAACTCCTTGAAAATGGTGGGTGCCTTCGAGGCTTCGACTACATTGTGAGCCTGCCCGAAGGTATACCAGCCTGATGCGGTGGAGTGAGGTGTGGGGACCGAGTTCCATCGTGCGAATCAGCCAGGCATGATTTATTCTGCTGAGGATACTGATCAGCGGTATACAGTCCCGGGGTGAGGTTCGTCCGAGTTCCACATTTCCGCATCTGGCATCATGGCCTGAACTGGAAGTATGGGCTCGATCGGGATCACTCCATATACAATCCCAACGTCTATTTCAAAAAGTACGCTCGCAAGTCATGGATTGATTTATCAGCAAGCGCTCTAGAGATTGGGAACTGCCCTTCTGGTTCGACTATATATTCTTGGGAGGAAGCTGCACCATCACCTTTTGCTTGAGCACAAGAAACATCCAAACGGCAGGCGTCTTCGTGTTCAGTGCACTCTATTTCACACAGTACTTTGCCCGTAATCCAAGTTCAACGGCTCAGAATCGGAATTATGGCTCCCTTCCACATCGGCGCGCTGGTGTACAACTACCAGGCAATCGACGTAATTGGTCCGTTTGATTTGCTCAACTCTTCCGGCAAGACTCTCCTCGACGCCATGAGCTTTTTCATCCCGATCGACGAGAAGGTCCTCCGCGACGCACCGGAGTTCGTGTTCCACCACATCGGCGAGACCCTCGAGCCCGTCCACCTGCTCACCAGTTCCGTCACCATCGTCCCCAACACCACCGTCGAAGATTGTCCAGAACTGGATGCCCTGCTCATCGGCGGTCCCAATGTCGCCGACTTCGAGCTTTCGCCAAAATTCGCTGATTTCATCCGCCGCCACGTCGCCGCGGGCAAGCTTCTCTTCACAATCTGCACCGGCGCCGGGGTGGTGGCAGCGACGGGAGCCCTTGATGGGCGAACGGCCACGATCAACAACCAAGAATTCCACTGGACGAAAAAGCAGTATCCTAATGTGAACTGGACGAAGGACAAGAAGTGGGTGGTTGACGGAAATATATGGACGGGGAGCGGTGCCGTGGCGGGCATGGACATGATTGCCCATTGGATCAAGGAGAATTATGGCTTGGACGTGGTCACGCAAGGAACGAGTGGGCTGGACTATGAGCCGAGGGACGTGGATGGGGCATTCGATACTGTGTTGAAGCAGAGGTACGATGGTAGTGGGAAGCGCTTGCCTGCGCATATATTCCCATGATGGACTGCCAGATCAGTCGAGGAGTAGCCAGGCGTTATAGACGCTAGAGAAGACGGACGAACGCGTTAGCCAAATTTGGTAGACAAAATTTCTTCGATTCCCGCTTACGGTATTACCGTCTCAAACCGCATTTCCTCCAAAGGTTCTATTATATTATTGGTACGAGAACGGTGATCGACCTAGTGCCTCTGCTTGTCCGCTATGTAGAGTTGCGGCGTCAGTCCAACAGCCTACGTGAAGATCATGCTCAAGAAGGACGAGTCATACACGGCGTCGACTGACTTGGGTAAGCGAATAAATAAGAACGAGTTTCTCCCGATCCCGCAATCTCTTTCAGTGACGCCCAAAAGCTTCACCGGAAACAGAAAGGTCAACTAAGCAGCCGCCCAGCCATCACAAGCACCTATCATCATGATCAAACGTCAACTCAACTCGCGGAAGAGGTCAGAAAGGATTTGGGAACTTGGATGAGTATTCGCAGTCTCTTAGATGGTTAAAATCAATAAGCCGATGAAAGATCTGGTCGAAAACTCGGGACCTTCTTTCCGGGTCTTGATGTCTCAAACACCAAAACTGCGATATTTGCGGCCGTAGGATCGGACTGCGTGCATAGGTTGGAATGTGGAGAAAAGTGAATTGATTGATTTTGTGCAATCTAATGTCCAATACGAATGAGAAATGCAGCAACTGGAGATGTGCAATCCCGTCTATTCTCTGCCCACATGCAATATCACGTCTTCCATTTTCAGTAATTCATGCTCCGTTGGTCGGTTTCAGTAACCCGAGTCGGCGAGTGCGACGGGACTCTCAGGCAAGATCATCGTTCCAGCAAGGACATTCTCTTTGGTGGGAGCACCTTCCTCGTCAGCAATGACCGCAACGATGATCCCCAGCGGTTCGATCTGTGGAGGGATCACGGCGCTGTTGGTCGTGGTGTTGAAGGGGACAGAGATATTGTAGACACCGTGGAAGAAGACGGCATAGTAGTCCTTGCCCGGTGTGAAGTGGGGTTGGTTGTCCGGCTGGGTGAAATTGAACACGAGGGTTGAACCAGGTGTGACCCCCGTTGAGCCAGACCCGGGTGTCATCTGCGGGAGGTTCTGGCGGGGTGTTGGGTATACCGGGTTTTCTGCGGGACAGGAACCGTTGACGATCCATTCGTTGGTGAAGTCCAGGATCTGGTTCGCGTAGGGATACACCGTATCTGCGGGACCGGCGAAGGGGGTGGATCTCCAATTGTCAATGAGCGACCACGTATTGTGACGGGATTCGGTTGCGGCAATTGCGACGAGGGCCGCCTTGGATAAAGTGAGCTTGGCTTGCAACTCGAGTCCCGTGAGGAAGGCCATGCTGGAGATCTCAATGACTGTCTGAAGCGCGATGTAGCTGGCGGGGTCATCATAGGGGTATTCGTATTGACATGGTCCCGGCTTGACCGAGTTGGTCGAAATTTGGTCCTGGAAGATGCGCAGGTGACCGGCTTCGTTGTCGCGGATCTGCTGGATACGCTCGTAGGTGGTGTTGGGGAAGCCGGCCTCGACGAAAGCGCTACTGTTGAAGCGCTCAACCCCTTGTTGGTAGAAGGAGAAGATGACCCACTCGGCAGACAGCAGATTCTGGAAAAGGAGGTCGTCTTCGCCAGCAGGGCCGGAAGTGGTGTTGACGATGGCACCCGTGATATTACCCGGGAACGGAGCTGCTGTGCCACTGTATGTGCTGTACAACGACGACTGGCCTGGAATTGGACCGTAGGATGTGTTGGCCAGCTCGGAGAGGAGCGGTTCGGGTACGGGTGCACATTGTGCCAGGCCAAATGCCAGGACGGCGGCAAGGGGAGTAAAGCGGGAGAATGCCATGGTGACTAAGAGATAGTGCTGGTCTTGCAATCGGTCTTTGATGGTTTTGTTCGATCAAGACTTGAGGACTTGGTCTCGAGGGTTCTTGTACTCTCTGTGGGCTGTGTTGGTCTCTGAGCGGTCTCTGATGATTGTGTTTGATCATGTGTTGAGGACGTGGTCTCCCTCGAGGGTTCTTATACCCTCGCTGGGGACACTTGTTGGTGCTGTGTCTGTCCATCATGGGCCAAGTGACGCACAATTTGGTAGCACTGAGACTAGTCGGGCCATCGCCCTGACTGGGGATAGAGTCAGGCCGCGAGGCTGTTCGCTGATCGCTGCTCAATGCGGGTGACGCGCCGAGCGGGTTTGACATGTTCGTAGTTACCTAGTAGGTGCTGTGTGTATTGTCCATGACGATGAGAGATGAAGTGCTAAGGGCCTTGCAGAAGTACAAGGGCTTGATACATACCGAGTAGTCGCCAGCGAGATCCGCGGCGCCACATTTGATACTCCGCCGTCTCCGGCCCGTATGTCTCCACCCACCAGCCACCATTCCCAAAACGGTCTTATTTTCGATTGGAGCGTTCGCGCGTTCTCCGTGGGCTAATCCACCTTCAATGGACAGCTTCTGGGTGGCTTCAAGGCTTTATCATGCTTTATGTAACTGACTCGCCCCCAACTTAAAACATGGTCCGAGAATCTGAGCCACCATCAAACTCAGCCTCGTTTACCCTCCCCGTTTTCATCCATGCCGTCATAGTCCTCTATATCCTCCACTTTCAGCTGTCTTGATCAAAGCAAAGCACTTCTCTCCGACCTACTCGTATCTGCCTTGTCCACGCTACTTTCTCACTTTCGGCTACGCAGATCATTACATAATTCGCTTGCATTAAGGCCACCAACACTCCAGCGATACCTCTACGGACATCGACGCTCGTAAACAAGGACAAAGTCGACGGTTTTTCCCCTGATTCTCTTGCTGGACTTCGAAGACCTGTAGCTTGATTCCTTGGATTGCGCTCCTCTCAACCTCTTTCTCTTCGGCTCCTGCACTTTATGAATCAGCAGATATGGTTGGTCGTGGTGGGTGGGTCGACCCTCTCCGTCCAGAGACTGCTTGACTCTTGAGTGTCTTGCTAACCATCATCTGTAGGCGGTCGAAAGCGTGCTTCACCTGCCGTCGAAGACGTCTCAAATGTGGTAGGCTGCCCGACAGCGTTGTGATTCACTGACTCATACTGATCCAATCCAAGACGAGACCAAGCCGAAATGCGTCCGATGCCAGAGAAGCGAGCTCGAATGCACAGGCTATCCAAAAGAACTAGCGTTCATCGACGACAATCCAGCGTTTCGTCCGCGGAAAAAAGATGAGCCTCGAAAAAACGCATCACTGCATCTGCCAGGTCCAGAGACTAGTCTGAGTATTCTGGGAGACGACCTATACTTCGCCTTTCTGTATCGAGAGCTGCAGGAGGGCAACGCCTTTCTCGACGATCGTTGGCCAGGCTTCCACGCTCTTCGTATGGACGAGTCCTGCCTCCCTCGATGTTGCATGAAGTCATTCGCTGCTTCGTTTTTCGGCCGCAGAGTCAACGTCCAACAGGCACAACGGGAAGGAATGAACCTCTACGTCCGATCTCTCAGGGAGCTCAACGAGAATCTTTCTCGACCCGAGCGCTCGTCGGCTGGCCAAACCGTCCTCTCTATAGCGATCCTCACAATGTGCGAAGTAGGTGTTTATGGTTGCTGTTTCACCTGGCCAAACGAGCTGACTGGACATCAAGTATCTCACTGCCACCACCGGGACTGGCTGGGTTCAGCATATGCTGGGGATGACCGAATTCTTCCGACTCCAAGGCTTTGAGATTTTCAAAGAACCATACATCATGTGGTCGTTCCAGATTGATCGATATTCCATGATTCTCGCCGCCATCGCGGCCCGTTCTCAGACGTGTCTCGCCTCTGAAGAGTGGAAGACCATTCCTTGGGAAATTTCTGGAGTGAAAAAAGATCCGGTAGGATATCTGGTCGACCTCGCTTCCGAGCTTCCTGCCTTGTATGTGAAATTCAAGCGTTACTTGAAAACAACGGATGCATACGCAAAGGCCGAACTGAACTTCAGTCTTGAGGCGGATTTTGCTGACCTTCTTCAACGTATGCGAGACTGGCACAACAAGTGGGAGCGTGAGGTTAAGCCTCAAGTTGAAGAGATTCCGCTATCACAAGCCGAGCAGCGAAAATGTGGCTTTGCAACTACATTAGTCTTCGACAAATTAGCCGAAACTGGCTATACATTCGTCTTGTACAATACCACGGTGATTATCCTTCTGGAGCTTTGGAAGACGCATCGCAAGGCGCAGATGACACTTTCCACCGGGACCATCCCCGAGGGTGACGTCCGCCGGCTACCGGACATTCCTGCTGATGAATTGACCGGCCAGCCCAACGATGAACTCCCTGGAATATCCAGTTCCTCTCTGATATATCAAGCGCGAAAAGCGGCTTTTGACATCTGTCGAACAATACCCCTTTTTATTATGCCAACGGGACCCTGGACCCACGGCGTCCAGATGGTCATCCCTATCCGCATGGCACTCATTGTGTTTCGCCAAAATGGTGGTAGTCCGCAAGCCGCTTGGCTGGAAGAGTGTATGCATCAGATCGGCGGGAGGCAGCGAGGGTGGGAGATTGGGAGATACGCCATGCAGGAATATGGATATTCATGAGCAACAGCGGCGTTCTAGATCTGAGGCTTCAAGAAGATGTAACCTCCCTCAAGATGAAGCCCTCGAACATCACCGATGCACACCATCCCACACACCGACTTCAGAGATAAATGGCACAGTCTGACAAAGAATCACTATAAAACTACAGCTCAAAAGCGAAGGGGAGGCCGCCACATCAGATAAAGCCAACATTTTGTACGAGGATAGGATGCCGCCTTGGTCAACGATCAGCCAAATATCCGTTATGCACGAGCGTTAAGAGACAACAAAAGTCGCCTCGAGGTTCTGCCCATTCAATCTCTCTGATCAGGCCCGCGACTTTTTCTCAATCGATCTCAGCAGCGTCCTAGATTACCGGTTGCCCTCCGAGATGACCGAATCGACTCATGTCCAGAAACGGAACGCTCAATAGCGACGAGGTGCATCGGATAAAGCCAACATTTTTTCAAGAATAGCATGCCGCTGTGATCAAGGATAGACCGAAGATCCATTGTACACGCCAATACTCTTGAGATATCAGTGAAAGTAGCTTATACAAACCGGTCCGTGACAAAGCGCTTCTGACCAAATTCAAGTTCTTCCTGAAGGCCGGGACTTCACAGGGCGTGAGATGACCGATCTTGTCGAGAAGAGGAAAGCCTGCCAATTGTCCCATGAAATATTGGACGAGTATCCAGGCAAGCGAGATGGCTACATCAAGAGGGGGCTTGGTATTTTCACGATATCGCCCTCATTGGCGTTCGTTGAGCAATAGCCGGAGCATGCGTTTCCCACTTTCCAATCAGATCCATCTTCCAACCGAGCACCACGAGTATGACTCACAGCTCTCGGCAACAGGTCGAAAACGGTGTCTGCCATTCTAAAGGCGAAGAGGGAGGGACATGCACCTCCCTACTGTGCCCTGCGCTGCCCCAACCCGGATGGCGACCTCATGCTCTCCTTCTCCTATCCTCCGGGCACAAACAAGGCTCCGTTGGGACAACTCGAGTGACGAAAGCAATCAGCGCATCTAAAACGCAAAACTGGAAGATAAGATAGATGGCCATGTCGTCCTCGTCGTCGTGCTGTCTCAAGAGCTTCGCATGGGAAGGCACGCCCAGAGGCCGAGTCGACAAGCTGGGCGCGCTTGACTGCTACATCGCCGGGTCCGAGAACGACGATAAGCGGCCGGCGATGGGGATCCTCTTCATCCACGACCTGCTGGGGTTCACATTCCCCAACACGCGCATCCTGGCCGACCACTACGCCGCCGAGGCCGACGCGACCGTCTACGTGCCGGACTTCTTCGGCGGCTCCGCGCCACTCCCCTTCGAGCCCATCCTTCGCGGCCGGTTCCACGAGGTCGATCTCGCGGGATTCCTGGCCCGCAACGCCCGCGACATCCGCGAGCCCGACATCCTCGAGGCCGCGCGCCTGCTGCGCTCCCGGTATGCGCGCGTCGGCGCCGTCGGCTTCTGCTGGGGTGGCTGGGCGTGTTTCCGACTGGGCGCGAGGGAGAAACCCCTGGTCGACTGTGTTTCAGTGGGCCACCCGAGTCTACTCACCAAACGGGACATCGACGAGGTCGCCGTGCCGGTCCAGATACTGGCGCCCGAGCACGACCCGGCCTACACGCCCGAGTTGAAGACGCATACCTTTGAAACTCTCGCCAAAGCCGAGGGTGGGGGCGTCTACTTTGACTACCTGCATTTGCCCGGCGTGGAGCATGGATGTCTGGTCAGAGGAGATCCCAAAAAGCCTGGGGAGAGGGAGGCCATGGCCAGGGCCAAGGACGCCGTCGTGGGTTGGTTCAGGCAATTCTTGCACGAGAACTAGAACTGCAAGGGAGCATGATGCTCAAGCTTCTGGAGCACAAATCTTGGATCATATCGTTCCCCTGTATTATGTAGTGTCTGTCTATATCTGATACCTAGTTATTAACAACTTTGCTGCTCTCGTCGTTGTTCAGCACCTCCAGCAAGATAGTCTCCAAGGCAAGGACCCACAGACAGCCACTCTTCGATACAGACAATGCCGCATCTATTCTTCCTTGACGCCATTTCCATTCTCCACCACATCTGTCGCACAATCATCCACCGCCTGCCTCGTTATCCACGCCTCAGTCCCCAGCGTGATCCAACAGTACCAGTCCGAGACGAGGTAGAGTCTGTCGACGAGGACAGCCGCCCAGAGGTGCCGCTTGACAAAGGGGTATTCGTTGGCGAAGTCGAGCAGACCCTCGACGTAAGCGTAAATCTTCATACCAAGAACGAAGGAACTATTGAAGAGGGCTTGGGTTAGCTGGGACCGGATAGAGAAAGGGAGCTCTTGGGGTGAAGAAGACTTACGCAAACCACGGATAGACATAGAATGTGCTCCAAAAACAGTAGAGGCGCACCCACAGAAGCACCGGGTTGAGCATTCCCTCGACCATCTTGCGTGTCATGTGGGGACACGTCTTGAACATGGCTCTCAGGCCAGGTTCGTAGACGAGACACATCAATCGGTGTCGAAGGCCGCTCCTGTACCATCGTTTCAGTTGACCCGCGAAGCGCGAGTCCGGCATGATCGAGGTGCCCACCTCTGCCTCCTTGGTAAGCTGCATACCAAGCTTCCACTGTCTCGGTCTTTGCCCGTCGCCTTGTCGCTGCTGCTGCTGCTGCTGCTTGAATAGATGTTGGAAAAGGACCCACCGGGTGATGAAGCTGTCATCACCAGAGTTTTGTCGTCGGCCCATCCACATGTCGTTCCCAAAAGCACGTTGGAACGGCGGGTCAAGCGCGATCTCGGAACGGAGCAGCGCTGTGACGCCCGATACACAGAAATTGATCCCACCATCCGCAGCATACGCACTCTTCATGCTTCCATGCCGCTTCCCACGAAGACGAAGAGCTGCTACCTCCCACGGCGTAATAATCCTGGGATCCTGTCTCTTCATAGGTAGATATGAGCTGCGAGAAGATTTCATGTTAGCCGGCTGTGACAAAACTCGGCGTTTGAGTTCTCGAGGCAGGAAGTTTGGGCCTCTGCAAGCAACTCACGTACGTTATTGGACCGCCAACGAGTCCAATGTCTTCCTGTTGAAAAGGTGCCAGAAGGTGAGTGAGAACAGTATCATGTTCCCAGAATGCGTCGTCATCGACCAACGCCATAATGCCTCCTTTGCTCTCGTTAATGCCGCGCAGGAGCTGGTCTCGTTTGTTCGCCTTGGAGACCGTTAAGACGCGGACATCGGTCTGCCCTATATTGCCTTCCACAGCCGGAGTGTAGACTAGTCCTCGAACCCTGCCTTCCTCTTCTTCAGTGGTAATAATGATGATCTCCAGTGGTCTATTCCTGAGCAAGCCGCCGAGACATTCAGAGAAGGCGAGGTCTGTGTCGACGGTAGGGATGATGATGCTGACATCCGAAGCACTGTATGCACGTTCTTCGGGACGTGGCACAGGAAATCCGCGGTACCGTTTTCGATTTCTCGCCGATATTCGGTGCTCAAGGAAATCCCAAAGGCTAGAAGATCGAGGGTTAGAATATTCCGCAAGACATTTCAAGGCGATTTACATGAAAGCTCCTAGGATAATCGGAGGAGAGAGCCATGTGAAGCCGGACCGTAGAGCCATGTTAGACGATCGATGTTGGACGTTGCCGAAGTGGCGTCAAGGTATCTCTGGTGTATGGCGAGCAAATGTGCTATTACAACCCGTGGGCAGATCGAGCTGATGATGTTTAGACCAGCTCTTTCGGCCGTCCCTTTATATAGATATAGGAATTTGAGTGAGCCTCGAGCGTGGTGTCATGTGTTTGAGCCAACGAACGCTGCGAATCGTGGGTAACAGCTGCAGTGTCGTCTGGTAACAGCGAGATATCACACAAGCTCCAGTCTTGTATTGGTGACTGGAAGAGTGTCAAAGAGTCGCTGGCGGGCGACCATATTGGGGACATAGTGACTCGATGATATCAATAGATGTGAAAGCTGGTGAAGCGGTCAAAGTTCGAGTGATAATAGTCAGCGCCATAGCAATCATTTGGTGTTTGGTGAGACAAGATAACGCTGCTGGCGGCTCCAGGGTGAATACTATGCTGCATCATCCACTGTCCTCCTTTGAGTGACTTTTGCTGCATGAGGTCAATCCAGTAAAGCTTCTTGCGATCATAAGCTTCATGATGTAGTATTCACGTCTTCGTCCTTATGGTCAAGCGGACGACTCCCTTCCGGTGGAAAGCGCGCGAATAGCAAGACACCGAACCCTATCAACGCGACAGCCTAGGAGGCGGAGTCAGTAGCGTCACTTATAAGCAGTTGTCTGGGTTGAGCAGGGGCACTTACGGCGTTGCATGTGAAAACAAGCTCCGTTCTTCCAATGCTGGTAAACGCCGCAAAAATGACACCAAAGACAAACGTCGTCGCCAGCCGAGCCATGTTTTCGACCAGAGATATTCCAGCCAGAGCATCTGTTCTTTCGCTGCTGGAAGCAGAGCTTCCCACCATTTGAAGGACTGTCCCTTTCGCCGCCGACCCAGTCCCAGCGGCAAAAGGGAGAACAGCTGCCACCAGATACATTTGCCAACCTTGGCGAACAAACGAGCAGAGCAGTGTCAGAAGACCGTCAGCAATCAGCGAGAATCTCGTGTACGTCAAATCGAAAGCAAATGTTTGCTCCTTTTGATCTTCTTTGTCTTCGGAATCGTGCACGTTGCTGGTTCCTGCTTGAGCTCGAGATTCTGCCAAAAGTGGTGCGCGCTCCGATGGCCTGGCATCTTCTGTATTCGCCATGTGCCGCTCCTCGCTCTTTAGTGTCCACTTCCTCCCGATGGCGATCAACTTTGGAAAGACAAATGCCAAGAAGACGCCCCTCAGCATCGAGTACATAAAAATGAGGCCACCGTTCTGCTGCGTACCGAAATCAAAGACGTCTGTTGAATAAAGTTGTAACAGTGTGGGCAGATAGCCTGGTGCACAACGTCAGTGATGACTCGAACTCTGCCGAAGAAGCTCACCTGTCGCGAGAATTCCAAGAAAGACTCCCCACGCAAGCAGAAATGCCCCGTACTCCGTCCTGACCATGCCCTCTCTTGTAACAAATTTGCGGGGTGCAAACACCATCAAAGGACCAAAGAACTTGGTGACGGCTGAAATCTTCTTTGTCTTCTTTGCCTTGATCGAGTCCGTGTCAACTTCTGTTGGCTGGGGCGGGATGTGCGGCAGGAAGACGAAGACATAGGCACAGGAGGTCAAAAAGAGCATCAAGGTCAAACGGAATGGGGTTTTCATGTCGAAGGCCTCGGCCACAACGCCACCCAACAAAAAGCCCAGGGCAGAGCCAAACATCATGCTTCCAGTCAGTCTACCTAGCGCCGCCGTGCGACCCTCGTGCTCCACAACATCGGTAATAAGAGTGTTCAAAGCCAGCATATACCCACTGGGGCCCCCAACAATGGTGACGATCTGCGAGCACTGGATGATAATGATGCCAGCGTTGCCCCAGACCTCGACACCCACGTTTTGTACCAGTAACCTGACGGCGGGAAAGAACACCTGGGTCATCAATGTCGGCTTGACCCCAATGCGCTTTATCAAGCTGCCCGTCAGGAAGAGGTTCAATGTGCCGAAAACGAGGGTGCTGGCACCCAGCAAGGACACCGACAAGGCGGTCGCGCTTTCAATTGGATGAATAGAACACCGATCGGAGTCGTCTCCAATGCCTGGACTGGTCGAGTAGACGGATGGCACCACTACCGCGGAAAGGATGGATGTCCACGTTCCCGTCGTGGATGGCCGCTCAACTCCGTGCAAAACTCCAGAGGGATGATCTTTGTAGTAGGCATCACAAGTCATAAGCCTGAAGACGTATAGCAGGGGCACTTGCGTTACTCCGAAGCTCAGGCTCGTCAGGAAGGCACAAATCATGACCAAATATCTCACCGACCGCGGCCATGTTGCAGTCGGCACATCTGGTGTCTCGTCCTCGGTCGAGATTTCCTGGACGGCGACGCTCTCAACAACACTGAACTCCTGCGATCCAGTGCGATCAAGCAAGTGTGGTGCTGTTTCCTCTAACTCCTCGCGGTGTACGGACGAGGCTCGTCGACTGCTTGGGTGGCGTGAGTTGCCCATCTCCGACAGATTTGGGGTCGAAAGAGGAGCGACGAATGGGGACTTTTGTGACGGCGACTTGTAGCTCTGGTACAGCTGATCATACTTTGAGAATGAATCTCAATATGAAGGCGGCGGTCTACGCGTGTCGATGTGGCGCATCAAAGGCACAATCGCGATACAGGTGGAAGATGAGCAATGAGAAGAGAATGGAGGCATGCAACAAATGCGGTCAACAAAACCCCAAATCCTTCCTAATGTCACCATCGCCCCATCGCCGGCTGAGATGCCGACTTCTTATCGTCTCGTTGGCCGCTATCCCGCTTCTGGAAGGTACCGGCGGATGCAACGCGGATCAGCCGCCACATCGTCGATCCCGAGCCGTTGTGCGTCGCTTTGTATAGAATTGTCTGGAGTATTGCTGCAGGCACTTGCGCACTGAATGAGAGTCAAGGAGGAGAGACAGTCGTGGAGATGTGCAGGTGATGACTGTCAGGTTGGAGGAAGGGAAGATCAGCCACCGGTTGCTGGGTTTTGCGGCGGAAGACGACTGCTGTCAGAGTAAGTACAGAGAACGATAGAGCAGGAGTTTGTGGTGCGAATGGTTGGCTAGTGAGAGGCGCTTCTACAAAGACGAAGATGAGCGCACGAGACACGATGAACTCCGCGGCACCTGCGTGTACACAGGGGGCCATGTGTCTGCCAGCTGCCCGTTTGCATCCTTGCATCCTTGCATCGCCTGTGCTCTTCATGGCCATCACACCAGCACCACACTCATACTCGCCCTTCTTGCCATCTGTCTCTCCGACCAACGTATTTCTGAAGGTTGTTATAGAATGGTGGATGAGTCGTCCCAAAACAGCACACCCTGATTCGCCTAAGAGGTGAGTTACATCCCGCTGCGAGCTTTACCTGCTTGGCCTTTCTGCATCTCTTGCAGCAACCTTGGCTCAGTCCTGGATCTTTTTTTTTTCAACAATCTGTCCAATTGATGAACATCGATGCCGCCGTTGTACCATTGCGTCCGTGCAGTCACGCACTGCCCCAGGACGTGAAAGCACCCTCTTTATTCTTCTTCATTCGTTTGGGCGAGCACGATGTCCGCTCCAAGCATGACAGTCTTCAATGTGTTCGTCTTCCCAGGTCTTCCGTCGCGGCCTAAGGGGAAACCATCATCGTCAGGGGTTTAGACAGAAGACCTTTCCGTCGCTGTAAAGACGGTGGAGGCTGCTTCTGGCTGCTGCAGCTCTCGTATCGAAACGCAGTCTTGTTCCTCCAAATTATGGTATTTTCTCACTTCGTCCCTGTGGAATTTCTCGGCAGGAATGACGACAACCCTTTCAACAAAAGCAATCGGTAGATGGCAGCCAGGTCGAAATTCATGAAGAATCAAGAAACCCTAACCGGCAAAGAGCATCAACAGACTTGCGAGACGCATCCTGTCTAGGTAAATAGACCCAAAGATCTGACTTCAGCCCAATCAAATGGTCACATTGCTTGTGGGTGTTAGTGCATCAAGCCGTGGTCCGGCGGCAGCCATCGAAGCAAGAATGGAATGAAGATTTCTACGCTCTTGTGAGGGCTTTCAGGGGGAAATGACAAGGCGTTGAACGGACACAAACCGGGCAGCCTCAAAATCACGTCATGGGTCTAGCCATGCGCCACAGGCAGATGTGAGCTTCTCCCACGGTGTCAAAAGTCAGCTTGCTATTGACTGGAAGGCTCGAAGTCCGTTCATGTTTTGGTAAAACACATCCTTGACATACTGCTCTGTTCAGCCACAAGTCAGCCAGAGATAAGAGAAGCTTGCCTGCTGAGGCGAAAGGAAAGATGATGAAGAAGTCGCACTTTCACACTAGTAACGCGAACAATGGATGCTCTGCCGCGAAAAGGAGAGCAGCAAGAAAGTCCACGACAAGCACGCGTGTGTTATGTCCAGAGTTTGTGGTGCTTCTCTGTCAGTTGCTCGAACTGTTCGAATATGTGTACCTCGTCATTAGGACAAATGCTGGAAATCCCGTGGAAATGAATTGACATGGGCACGAGCAGACGGCCATCCCCTTTGTTGACATTCCACTGAAGCGGTGAAGCATCCCCACTCGGGCGGTTACTACCGAATGAAAAAGCACGTTGTCAACGGCGGTGCCAGGTTATACTCCGGACTGTTAGCAGTACTCGCACGAGTACGTCGTAGCTGGTAGGCAGATCAGCAGTGGCCACATGGTGACATGGGAAGTCCAGGGGTAGAGAAGAGCACAATAAGGTGAGTGACACCGGATCTGGAAACATGTTTGGTTGGGGGGCGCCGACAATCACAGGTAGCGCGATGGGGGCCCCGGTATAGACAGCATCATTGGCCCCCCCAAATGGCCCCTTTATATAGCTCAACCGCCTTGAAGCTCGCCCGTTAACCTTAAATCCACTATCGATACTGCCGCCAAATTGAGCTTCATTTCGGGATCGTCGCGCATAGGTCGCCGCGGCCTCGTGGCAGGGAATCGTCCGCTTGGCAATGCAACGCCTTCAAGACACGCTCGGCCGTCTCATCTCTACTAATCTACTAATCCCCATTCTCGACGTTTCTCGCCTTTGTTCCGCTTCGATACAAACGGCTTTCTTTGCCTCCCCACTTGGTTCTCCTGTTTCCCCACGGTTGCAGGGAATGTGCCTCAATCATGCTCAATTCAACAATGGGATTGAGCAGCCCCCTGGCTAGAAATTGGCTGCTATGGAAAAAAGGAAAGGAGCAGCAGACCCGGCCATCCGGGCATTCTTTGCAGCACGGTCGATGACCAGCTTCACGGCGGTTGTGGGCAACATACGCCGTCCCTATGGGTTACGGTCGTGTCCACCAGAGGTCGACAAATGGGCCAAATCAGCTACCTAGGTAGATGGTATGGTTTTGCCTCCGGTATTATGGGACAATCATCTCGTGTCCAGGAAATCAAGTCTCCTTTCCCCAATCGGAAAACCCAATCACATCGCATCTCCTTCTTGGACATCGGTATCCATACCACGCGCTGAGCTCTGAGCTCTCACGAGTCTGGCCCCTCCGATCCACTCGCAACTGATCCACGACCATCTCCGACCTCAAGGCTGATTTCTCCCATGGGCCATGGCTGAAAAGTCGATTTTGTTTCTGTGAGTCAAAGTTTGCCGGTGGTCCCCATCCCCTAACGAGGGATTGGTGCCTTGTGGGCGCTGGAATAGCCGACTCCAACTTCCCTGGTGAAATTGCCATGACAGCTTTTTACTGCCTGGTATATGTGAATGGCGCTGCGGCTTGCACGCCTCCCCACAGCCATCTGGATGCTCCGGCCCCTTTTGGGCCATACCGTGCTCGTGGGCCTTGGCTTCGAGTACTACTTGAACTCGTCTATATCTTCGAACCCCCTCGACTACTTGTTCCTTTCTCTTTTCCCCAAGCGCGTCAAGTTCACTTCAGTCATTCGTTTCTCGCTCGCTCTGTGCTATTTGCTCTTTGCTTAGCAAAAACCCAACTTCCGTCACTCGTTTCCTACGAACACTATCAAAAATGAAGACTGCTATCGTTGCCACCCTCGTCGGCTCCGCCTTCGGCTCGGCCATCTCCTCTTCTTGGGCTGATTGGACCACCACGACGACCACTACCACCACCACCACCACGACGACCTCGAAGCCAGCGACGCAGACCAGCACCTTGTACTGCCCCATCACCACCACTTCGACTGTGTCCTGCAGCGTGAGCGGCAAGGCCGACTCTTGCGTCACCAAGCCCGTCACCATCTATCCCACCGATACCGCTTGCGAGGCTCTTTGGGATGATTGGACCACGACCACCAGCACGACGACCACCACCAAGCCCGTGACGACCACCACCAAGCCGGCGACTTGCACTTACACCACCACCCCAGTCACCTCGTGCACCACTGTTTCCAAGAAGGCGACCTGCACCACCACCATCTCGACCGTCTGGGATTCGGTCCTCTGCAGCGGATGGGAAGACTGGGAGACCACCACCAGCACCAGCACCAGCACCGACCCAGTTTGGAGTGACTGGAGCGCCACCACCGTGAGCACGACCAGCAGCAAGCCCGTCAGCGTCACCAGCACCACCACCTGCGGCCCGTCCACCAGCACCTCGGTGACCTGCTCGACCAGCGGCTGGAGCACCGGCTGCGCCACCAGCACCGTGACCATTGTGCCCTCGTGCTCCACCGTGCCCGTGACCGTCACCGCCGGCTGGGGCGACTGGTCTTCCACTGCCGTCACCCCCGTCGCCGCCACCAGCACCAGCAGCAAGCCCGTCGCCGCCGCCTCCACCAGCTGGGCCTATGCTCCCTATGGCAACAACAGCTCCCCCGTCGCCCCGGCCAAGTACACCGGCGCCGCCTCGCTGCCCAAGGTCGAGCTCGGTGTCCTCGCCCTCGTGGGTCTCGCTGCCGCCTTGTAAATTCCTCGACATGGGTTAGGAGTGGATGGCTTTTCCTAATTATTCTATCCCATGGCTTCTACCTGGCAAAGTTGGACGTACTACTACTACTACTAAGCGCGCACGTGGTTTAACGACGGAGATGGTCCCAATGAAAAACAGGGAGAGACACCCCGACGCATCAGGGTTTGTGCACACTACAGCTTTTTTCTTCTTCGATAGTCAATAATTTTGTCAAATGGAGCCTGGTTGATACAATCTCTGTGTTTGTCAGCTAGGAGTTTTTTTTTTCTTTATCTGATTTGTCTTGAAAATAATCTGCCTTGCTATGGACTGCCCTGCCCTTTGCTCGTATACATCGGCATTTGCTGTCAGTAATTAACTCATGCTCACGTCTCGCGCCTATTTGGGTGATGATTACCTAGGTATGGATAACATGATTTGCGGGACGGCACCTGCTGTGCTGCCTTTCGCTTCCCTCCTCACTGCAGACACTCCCTTTCTAGAAAAAAAATCCCGTTCTTACTCCAGACTTTCATTCTCCCAAAAGACCAAGCACCGGATCTCGATGCTGGTTCTCGAGTCCCCGCAATCCTCGTCGGAGTAGAACGAAGTGTGCGGCACCCGCCGGGCGCGGCCGTCCCTCTTGGAGTCGAAGATCTTGAGCAGCAGCACGTCTTGCGGCGTCATGCGGCTCTTGTAGTACCAGCGGTGGGCCGGGTTCGCCTTGACGGACCACGTCTCGAAGTGTTTCCCCATCGAGCCGCCTTGGACGGAGCCGGGCAAGGGGGGCGGCGAGTGCGCGATCACGCCGACCAGGTCCGACTCCTCGACCGAGCGCGCGTCGCAGACCGCCAGGGGATCGCGCGTTACTTCGCGGATGCTTGTTTTGAACACAAACGTCAATTTTTCACTTTCTTTTTCCCTTTTCTCAAACGACGATATGGACGACGACCCCTTCGTCAGATGGGGGGCACTTACGGACGCCAGGCGTTGATGATTGCCCATCGTGTCTTGCTGAGCCGCTCGCGCTCCTCCTCATCTGGCACGTTGACCCGGAGGATCTCCTCAGCGCCGCCATACGAGTGATCCACGTGGACGAAGCGCGCAGGGACCTTTTTGCGGACAAGTTCGTCGTCCTCCTTCCCGTCCGAGGCATTTTGGGCTGCTTCCCACCGTTCGCGACGGATTATGTGCGAGAACGGGCGCACTTGGGTGGCGCCGGTCCTGTGGTCCTCAAGTCAGTCAGCCAGCCATCCTGCAAGGTACGAACGAGCAAACAGCGTGCGGACTAGTAGTGTCATACACTCCCTTCAAGATATCGGCGGCTTCGCGGAAAAGACGGTCCTTGACTTCATCATCGTCGGCGAATTCCTTCTCTTCACTCTCGTGCTGCACAAACGTAAATCCTTCCTTATCGAGGTTGAATTCTTCCTTGTCGAGGCCTCGGATATCCGTGACTTGGACTGGGTACTGCTCGAATTTCCTCCGAAAGGCTGAGGCGGTCTGTGGGTAGAAGTCTGTAGCTCCGCCTTTTGAAGGGTCAAGGTAGTAGTTTATGGTACTTTGAACGACGTGACCCTTCTCGGGCACCAAGAGCGAGTCCTTGATAGCCATTTTGGATGGGGACCAGCTGTGCGGAATTCAACGAAACCGAGTTCTCTCTGCAAGAACGGTGATCTCAGTGTCAATGTTGAATGTGGCGGACTCCAGATGACAGAACTACCTGTCTATATAACACGGCAGGCGGGATTGATTCGTCATGTAATCGAAAAGGAGGCCCCCTGGACTCAGGCATCTTGGTATAGTTCTGACACACAGAACTCCATCAGGCGATCGCAATGCTGGCGATTGCTCGAAGAATGCCAATCCTCTGGTATGTAGGGTATTGCTGACATGGGTACCTATAGATATGACTGAGCTGATGATTGGTATCAGACAGTGGTGGTAAGCTTCCACGCAAGCCTCCGGAGAGGAGCGCTCGTATTGCAGCGTCCCTCCGCTGCTCTGCGACAGGACAATATACAACCCAAGTCTCCAGTGGGATGTGGAGCAAGATGGCTTACCTTGCTGATAGCTTGTCTGATCATGGCTGGTGTTGAGGACGCCTGATAGGCAAGCCTCATCAGCCTGATCGGCTCCTCCGTATTTGAGTGGCAGCCGGTCATGTTCTTACCATCGGGCATACGGCATCGAAGTGAGTAAGCAAAGCGTGGATCTTGTCAGGCTGGACGCAACACAGATAATGATGCGAGCAACTTGAACGACTTGTGCAAGATGTGAAGGTGCACGAACACGCCACCAACAACATCCTCACCCTATATGCAGTGAACATGTCCAGTTCTGCTTGGCCTTCAAATGGGTTGGCCATGCGTTGCTTTTGGGTTTTCACTCGATGCAAGGCACTGTTCCACCGACCATCCCCGGCAATGTCGGAAGTGCCGGAAACAACGCGGCGCAATGAGAAGGACTGCAGAGACAACAAGAGGAGGGCTCAACTGATGGTTGTTCGACTGCTCCGACACTGCGGCTATATCATCGACCTGTTGCAGCAACTTCTAGCGCGAAGCCTGGAATCATGGACGTTCCCATTTAACGCCCTCCTCTGGCACCTATATACCTGGCGCGAACAATCTGCGCATGCCTTGCCTTGCCTTGACTTGCCTTGCCTCCGAGTCGCTGGACAAAGAGTTCCTTCTTCGTTCCTCCCCAAAACGCCGGCTGGACTGCCTGCAATGAAGATACAAAAATCTCTGCCCTTCTATGAACAAGTGAATTCGTCAAATTGGTCCCATCAGAAGCCCGGGCCGTGACTGTTCCCTGGCCATCAAAGCGCCATGCCCTACCATCCGATCGGCGGTCCATCTGGCAAGGAGGGGTATTTCGGGTTGCCATCGTCGTAATAGCCTCCTCCCTCGGGGTTGTATCTCGGTACAGTGCTGTCCAGAACCTTTCCAGTATTATCAGCGTCATAAATCCCGTAATCGTCCAGGTTCTGCAGGAAGGCCATAAACTCTTTCCTGTCCTCGGCCCGCCAGCGCTGGCACTCGGTCTTGTCCGAGTGATACTCGTCCACGGTCTGCAAAATGACCTCGCGGTGGCCCTTGTTGTCGACCTGGGGGATCCACTGCCATTCCCATGACGTCTCGCCGGTTTGCACCTCCTTGCTGATTCGGACGGATGGATAACCCTTGTAATTTTGGTCGTCCTCGTCCACCCATTTGCCGCAGCAGCGTTCGATGCTGGGGGCCCGGGTCCAGCACTTGTACGGAGGAATGAAGCTTCCGCGATCGCAATGCAAGCGCCAGTTCGCCAGCGCAACAAGAGCCTCGCGAACGCATGTGCGTGGAGGGTCGGGAAGAGGGGGACTGGATTCAGCCGTCACGTTGTTGTCCAAGGTCGCCTTTGCGACGGGAGAAATCCCTGTTGATGTCGGCCGCAGTGCCACTCTTCTGACAGCCGTTACCATTGTCACACTTGGATTCCCGTTGGGAATCGGTTTGGCACTGTCACACACCCCAACAGCAATAAACAGCAGAACGCCAAGAACGAAAGATTTGAGGGCCATGGCGAGGCTCCGGTTGTCGTTGATTCTGAAGGTGTATCTGAAAGACCACTTCGATGGTGAGATGAGTTGTTGTGCGAGGGTCCCTGAGAGACGTGTGAGTCAGGACCAAGGTAGTATGGAGTTGCTTGGAGTCGCTTGAAGAGGCGCGCTCAGCGTTGAACCTTTATGTCGGCTCAAGTTGAAGGTCCTCAGCAGGAGACCTCTCGCGGGAGGAGCTCCACTATCATCAAAAGTTTGGATCAGAAGCCAGTCTAAACTTCCAGACCATCCATCTCTCAGAACCAAATGTCGCGGCACTAGTGAACCAGAATCTGGACGTGTTAGACTCGAGGGTGCACGCCTGGGAAAGTCTTGTGGTCTGGTAAGTGGCAAACCCAAATTAAGGCTGGGAACGAATAGGAGGGACACTTCACACCGGTGCTACAGGGCTGCTGGCGATCCTCCCCCTGATTTCAGAGTTTTCTGTGTGCTTGGATGTTTGATGCTCACCTGTGCTTTTTTCACTGTCACTCGTCACTGTGCCATGGCAACCGAAGTTCGAAAAAGAAGCAGGTCGTCTCAGTTGCCGTCTTGGAGAAGCTGAAAGTATCGAGACCGAACTCGAATAATGAGTGAATGTCATTTCGTGTCATTTTCAAATGCGGGAAAGAAGTTCTCAGATCACATCCGGTTCACCGCCAACCCATCCATATTTCCCAGTCTGACTCCCATGCTTTTGCCCCCTTGCTGTCGTGCACCAAGCAGAATAATCCCAGCGGCACGCAAGGCCTGCCCCTCTCCGCCACACAATGTTGTTCGCCATATGCCATTAATCTGTACTTGATTCCCTCTCCTCGAAATGTCCGTCGTCTTCGTCTTCCAATTCTTCCTCCCCGGGCACCTCCGCCGGCCCAGCAGGGACGATGCCGTTCTCAAGCACACCCTGGGTCTCGTGCCCAGCCTGCGCAACTGTAGCCTGGGCGGCGTTGGAATGGACATTCTCGATCGGCGGCAAAGCCATAGGAGCTTGGGGGATATGCGCAGTGTAAATCTCAGATTCCGGAAGGCCTGGGATCTGTATCACTAACGCTTGGTGCGTCATCGCTCGAGCCGCGTCACTCGCTGTGCGTGCGAGCCTGACAGCAACCTCCGCTTCGTCTTCCAAACGGATATCTGGCAGCGCCAAAGCAGCCAAGGACCCAGGCGGAAATTGGTCTCTCAGACGCTGGATCCGCCGGATCAAATCTCGAGCGAGAGCGCCCATGTCTTCCAATGCTTGGATCTCTTGCTGGTTGCCCCCGCCCTCTGTCTGGGCCCCATTATCCAACTGTGACTGCCCATTCGCTTCTGTTGGGGGATGGCCCGGACCGGGATAATGAGCATTCAGGCTCGTGAAAAACTCCACCAACCCATCGATCGCCTCCTCTGTACTGGAAGGATTTCCCCCTGTTCCCAAGCTCGTTCGTCGTGCTTCTAGAGGTTTGCGCATCTTATCCTTCCGCTTCTTCGGCTTCTTGCCATGCCATGATCGAGCAGCCAAAAATAATGGTGACCTCCGTTTGCATTTTCCTGTCAGCATTCTCTCCCATCGGCAATTAGGACAGAAGAACAAAGGAGTTTCAGAGGAGGCGGTGCTTGGCGGCAGGTTTGCAGATAGGTTGTGGTCTTCTTCTGACTGTGGAGATCGGCATCCCTTGCAAGGACATGGAGATTCGAGGATGTTTGCACAATCGCCACAAACGTAAACTTTGCATTCCATGCAGGTCTTCATAACCACAGTGCAGCGTCGCCTGTGGTCGCCTGGGGTGGAACGTGACGGGGGGCAGAAAAGTGTTTGACACCCTCGCCATTCGGGACCTGGAGGGATATCGGGTCGATGTGGCCGTCGAGGCGCAGAGCTCGGCTCGGGTGTGGCGGTTACTGAATGTGTGGACGGCGAAGGGGATGTGGATCGAGACGGAGGCCCGGTGCTGTTAGAAGCGGGCGAGAGGGGACGCCGAGGTCGGTCAACTTCTACTAGAGGTGTTCGCATTGATCTCGAAGCACTTCCAACGTCCGCGTTGAGTGGAACTTCAAGAGCTGCGGAGCCTGCTACTGACGAGGAGGACGCTGGAGAGAAAGGAGGATCTGGCTTGACGGTAGCTTTCCCAGCTTTCGGTGTGCTGACAGCCATCCCATCCTGGGCATGTTCCCCTTGCTCTGCTGCCATTTCCTTTTCTTTACGTTGTCGCATCAACGTAGCGAGCAACTTCATAGCCTTTTGTCGCGACTTAAACTCTTGTTTCTCGACGGTCAGTTCTCTGTAGCCGCAAATCCTAGCTTTGGTACGCTCGCCAACATCATGCTTGATACAAATCGGTGTCGAACACGCCTTGCATTTGACTTTCCAACTTTCGGAGTTATAGCACTCGTCACACAAGACCCTAGGCACTGACGAGGTGGGATGGTCTCCGCCGCTCAGATATGCAGCAGTGTGGAACAAATCATTAATGGACGTCCAACGGCCTGCAGGACCTTCTCGGGGGGTGGCATTATCTGCTGTATAGCTGACAAGGTCAGGAGAATCAAGCAAGAACTCAGGGTCATCCCATCCCTGTCCGGTTGGGAGTGGTGCCGCACGAATGCAGTCGCTGTCTCGATTCGCGCTGTTGCTGAAGGTAATGCCACCGCCACCCGAAAACACTGGCTCTGTACAGCACCATTTGAACTTGATATTTGGAAGAGTGTTTGCGTTTGCGTTTGCGTTTTGGTTTCCGTTGAGGGCTCCATTTGGAGGCAGATCCTGATCCTGCATGGAGCAAGGGGAGACGGCACATCCGGGTGCCCACCAGAACTTATTTCTCTCTTCCACAGGAGCATTCTTGTTTCGGAGATAAGGACGATCGAAGGCGCAACTAGCACATAGTGTTTTCCTGCACCCGACACAGTGCATCATCACCGAGCACTGTTCACATCGCTCCAAGATCTCCGCCGAGCAGTTGTGGCAGGTGATGTCTTCGACAAATTGTCGGTGGGACACTCGCAGATGCGCCGGCGTTGCCTTGCCCTCTGGTCCTGTACCGATGGCTTCGCCGTTCATGCCTTCCTCGTCAACTTCCCAACTCCTACAGTCCCGTTTTCGCTTCTTGTTTAATGCATAGTTTTTGGGTTGCTCAACCGGGCCCAGCCAGTTCCGACTCCTCCACAAGCGATCATAAACCACCCAGACCTCCCTGGGATCCTGGGGCATGCGTAATTTCACATATCCTCTTCGGCGATAGCACCTGGCTCCGGGCGTGGTGCACCAAGCCGTATCTGTCCAGATGCCTAGTTTGTGGCAAGTCAGGACCAGTTCATGAGTGGGTTCACTATCGCTTTCCTTGCGTGCGAGACTACTGGGTAAATACGGCCTTCTCCTATGATGGCGGCATCGGTAGGTATACAAGCTCTTCAGAGCCAGTGTCTCAAATCCTGGGGGGCCTCTGACATCTGGAGACTCGCGAGCCAATGCGTGCATTTGTAGCCATGGATTGATGTGGTATTTCAAAGAGACGTTCTTGCACCCGCGCACCGACACGTGGCGAAGAGTCTCCCTCCTCAATATCAGCACGGTGGATGTTAATGTGGTCCCACTAACAGCGGTATTGTCCAACTCCAGGCTCACGAGCCTCGTGCTGAAAGGATTTATAACGGTGAGGATGATTTGATCAAGGGCGTAGTTGCTCGATTGCTTGGGTAGTCCGTTTCCGGCGACGCTGACGCCGACGGTGGCGGTCGTGACCGCGGGCTGTTGTAGACGCCATGAGATGTACCGCCAGGACGTGGGGGATTTCGAAAAGAAGTCTCGTAGGTAAGATGAAGTCTGGTACAGCCTGAAGATGGTCTCAGTCGGCACTTGAGCGAGGAGTGATTCGAGGATGGGCGGGTTGCAAGTGATCAAGAGTTCGAATGGCGAGAGGATCTTTCGGACAGGCCCAAGTATTGGCAAGGAGGACTGTAACGGTTCTGGGACAACAGCCATTATGAGTAATGGGTTAATAGTCTTGGGAGTATTAAAGACTCCGAACACATATTTCGGCTCTTCAATGGGAACAGGGAAACACGGTCAATGTGCTTGAGGGGGAGAGCGAGTGGTATCATTTATGTTCCATCACAACCGTAACAGTGGTTTGCACTGGGAAGATCAAACAAGTAAATTCTCAGCAGGTGTTGAAAACAGAAGACACCTCGAGCGCTGATTTGAGAAGGGCGCAGGTCAGGCTGGAACATAGGCCTCTCCTCCACGTGACAAGTGGGTGACCAGGAAAAGGCACCGGAGCCTCCTTTGTACCGAAGTACGAGGCACCCAGCGAGGTTACCTCGTATTAGGTGCCTCGCACCGCCTGTGGCGCCTCACGGATGCACTGTTAGGGGCCCCCTCGCCCCTCTCTAGGCACCACCAGTCACCCACCAGTGGTGATGGGACAACCTCCCAAATGACGTCGAGGCTTGGAATAATTGCGAATCTAGATGCCTAGCTAGGTACATACCTAAACTTGAGGGGCTATTCGCCCAACCGACGCTACATTATCCACTCCAAGTACGAGGTAGAGGGAACGCCTATGCCAGTCGAGGCTATCAGTCCCTCATCCGTGAAATGGCTCGACCGTGGTTAGATCGATTCGCACAATCTCTGCTGGAAACCGCAGCAGGGCTTTAACCCTTTCATCTTGATCGTGCATCAGGAATGTCGTGATGGCCATGCATTCGTTTTCACATCTCCCATTGCTCCACCACTGCTCTACCCTCATCATCAATGCTAACCAATGCGCCAGAATCAACAGTGCTCGCTTCTCTCTGCACAGCAACAATTGCAGAAAGTCACCTTCAACCACCGCGACGAACGTGATCAGCTTGTTGAATGACTTCATCCCGGGTTTCAGTCGACGTAGGAAAAGGAGATGCTCCAGCGCTTCGTAGTAAGGGTTGTTCTCATATGACGATTCCAGGGTGACCTGGCACAGTTCAAGAAACAAAGCATGAGTTTCGTCCCCTCCTTCTGCAGTCATAGCCGTGGACGCGAGTTCCTTGAAGTCCGAATCCATAAAAACTGGGTTCCAGATCGATCCCCAGATGACTTCACCCAGTTCGGCATATAGAGCATTGAATCCGTGCTGGAGGGTCAGCCATCTCAGACACTCCCTCCGCTGCCCTGCCGGCGCGTACACAAAACTCTCTCCGGGATCCGGTCGGGGTTTGGTGAGCATAAATTGATGGACGCAAATCAGCATTACAGCCGATAGCACGGCATTCATGTTTTCCTCCGTGATGCCGGCGGACAGCTCATCACGAAAGAGCTGCAATGCTTTCTTGAAGTGGTACAAGTTGGCGAGCTGATTCTGGTTATGCTGCACAGGATGTCGAGCAGCGGGAAGTAGATAGCAGAGGTGTGCAGCCGCGATACCATTGACCGCATGCATGAGGTAAGGCTTTTCGAGGGCCAGATCCAGAGCACTCGCCCGGATGATCTCTTGTCCCAGATCAGATCCCATGGAGCAATATGTGACCATGCCGAAATGGTTGAACGTTTGTACCACGGGAGTCATCTGACCTGGGACTTCAATAGGAAATGGAGAGTGCGGATTGCGAACCAGGCGCAGCGGGGCCACAGACCTCAAGTTCGCGTCTTGATTGTTGATTCTTAGCAGAGGGCGAGACCGACTGTCATTCGAGAAGGAAGATGTAGCAGAACGCCTCTCCTCCCTGGGCAAGATGACAGAGGCCTTGCCCTGCTGTTGCGTTCCTTTGTTGTAATCACAAGCAATTCCGTGGCTTTGACATTTGAGACATCCGCCTTCTCGGTTCTCATCGCACTAGTTGCCAGGCATTAGACCAGCCCCAGGCCTTTTGTAGGGGGAAGTCGTGAACGAGAACTACCTTGACTCGTCGCTGTTTGCACGTCTTGCAGCCATGTCGCGACTTTTTGTGGGACCTCCTCGTATGGACTGTTGTCTTTTCGGGTGTGGAAGATTTGACATGACTCGCAGAAGATTCAAGAGTAATCCTGAACACTGACTGCATCATCTTTTGTTGTTTCATGGTCGGTGGCTGCCCTGGCCCTGAACGTAGGCTCCGTGCCATGGTCAAGCCTGCTCAATCGACAAATTGGCGCCTACGGCGTTAAGTTGTCGCTGTGAGAAAGGTGTGAGGAGACGTAAGGGATAGAACGAGGGCCAATACGATATTTGCCCGTCTCGACGTTAGGCTGCCGCGTTGTCTGAGGATCATGGTCTATCTCCTCCACCCACGGCGTACACAAGGAGAAATGAAGCAGTCTGGCAGTTACCTACATATAGCTGTCCTGGTATTGCATCTCCAGCAAATGCTGTCCAAATCCAGGCGTCAGACTTGGGTCCATTTTCGATTCGGCCTCAAAGCAGTGAGTTTCCAACAAGGAAATCATCGTATTCGGATCCGGATGTCGAATTGGGCCTGGACAGACACTTCAACTGCGTATCCGGGACATTTCCGCCAATTCAGAGACCGATCTTGACTTAAAATCTGTAGGGATGCTCAGATCATGTTTCGATACACTATTCTCAGGCATACCCTTCTGTTCATTTAGGTCGAGATTCTCTCTCTCTCTCTGCACTCAATATAGGCATCCAAGTTGACCGGGCTCAACACCGACCAAAATTGCAAGTCAGTCTAGAGCCAATGCATCGTTGATGACGGCCACGCTATGCTTCATCAACTCCTCTTCCAAAGCCCCAAATGCAGTCAAAAGTATCAACCCAAGCAACAACCATCGCTCGCCCTAGTGAATGCTCCCTGGAAGAAGTCCAACATAGCAAAATAGTGAAAGATGATTCCCAGGACGACTGCAACATGCCAGATATTGTGACTGCATCCAATGTAATCGAATGACCCAGGCCACCATTTTTCAGGCACCTGACTCGCATAGATGAGAGCTCCCACGAAGTACACCATGATACTTTTCGCAACGGGTGCATAGAAGTAGAAGGTCCATGCCGCTCCTCGGGTATAGTTCAGTTGCAGCACCGGCGCAAAGCCAACCACGACAAACGTCACAAAGAACATCACCCGGAACCAAGCCATATCGGCTCGGTTAAAACTCTCCCGCCATGGCAGGATTGTACCGGCTACTCCCAGCACCGTTGTCAAAGTCATGTAGACCGCCCGCGATATGGGCTCGCAATAAAAGGCTGTCCACTCGGTGCTAAGGATGCTCGCTGCCACCAGAAGGGAAATGCCCGTATAGTCGACGCAAGCGAAGCGATCGAACAAACGTTTGTCCGAAATACTGTTCATGGTGTGCCACATGGTAGAGCAGATCATGCACTTGCAGGCGGCGGCAAAGAAACAAGCGGCTATTAGGACATCCATCTTGGTCGAGAGGGGAAATGTCGATGAGGAGGGATAGTAATAGAAAGCCACGGTAAGAACGATTAGCAAGCCGATGCCGTGGGACCAGATATTGACCATCTCATTGTGCGCGTGAAACATGGTGGTGAAGCATTCGAATTGCGTTTTGTTGAATCGGTAGCCCTTGAGAATATGGGGATTATTCCTCCAAGGCATGGGGAGATCTTCGTAATGAATCAATCTTGTTTCCGCTGCACGGGTCAGAGCGTGAGAGACGGACTCGGCAAGCAAATCTCTCGCTCGCAGCGCTTTGTCGAGACCGTCTTCTAGCATCTCCCGGGTAGCATTGAGCGAGTCGTCGACCTTCCTCCATCCTGAGTCAATCAACTGTTTCTTTCTTTCCAGCATCCGTGACTCCAGCTCCAGAAGAAAGGAGTCCATCACCCTCATGCCTTCTTGTGCTTTGTGCTCCAGACTTTCCCTTGACGGCATGATGTCGTTGTAGCGGGTCTCCAGCGTATCGACCAGAATGAGAGCCCGGTGTCTCGCAGCCCCCCACAGCAGTTCACCGGAAAGGGAAGGGGCGCATGAGTCTCGTACATCGCTCAAAACTTGGTACGCTCGCTCCAACTGAGCATCAAGGTGTAGAAGACTGTCTTGGCGGTATTTTTCTAGTCTGTCAAGCCTACTTTTCAGCTCACTCAGAAACAGATCGACTCGCACAAAGATGGCATCGGCGCTGCAGATGCTGGACTGCCGTCGTCGGGGAAGGGTGTTGTAAGAATGGCGGCGGCCACGGGGTAGGAGCTGCGTGCGTTCATTGTCTCTCGCAGGACTGGATTCACGGCTGGCAGACGAGGCCGCGAAGGTGACAGTTTGTGTTGCGCAGGACATTTTCCTGAGCTCACCGTCATTCGGCAGCTTGGGAAGACGGCAGAGGGCGATGAAGACAAGGAGAAGGAGAAAGGCTTAGACAGGAGGCGTCCTCGGCGTCTGACGGCCTGGTGTCGGCCAATGCCTAGTAGCTAAGTGGCGTAGGGAACGTGTCGCGTGCGGTGGTAGGAGGAATGTCGGAGGAGAGGAAACACTCTGATGAAGAGGCACAAGGTAGACAACAGTAAGGACTGACTCTGAAAGGGAAGAATGAACACTATGACTATTTAGATAGCAGGCCAATGTCGGTTTCTCTAGGTGGGGAGTTGGTTGAGATGGTTGAAAGGGTGGCAACAGACCAGAGGGCAATGAGGCAGGATTGCTGAGAGGGCGAGGCGCATGATGACGGACCTGGTCATTTGATCCAATGGCTGAGCATTTTTGGGGTCCGTCTCACTGTAAGTTTGCTGGGAAGGCAGTGGAAGGGCAGCTCGGGTCCAGTTCAAATGACCAGTCTGACATCTAGCGGCTCTAGCTACCGACCGCTGCTGAAGACATGGACTCGGTACCTCGTACACAACCCGAGTTTGACACCGCAAGGGATATCTTCACATGCAATGCTCGTCGTGTCCAATTGGTGGCTGGCCTCTCCCATCCGCTGCAATTCTGCATGTACACTGGCTGATTTTTGGGATGAACCGATGCTTTCTCGTTGCTGAACATGTGCCCTGCTGTTTGGAACCAGTGTGACATTCTTCATTTCCGGCTGCCTTTTCCCCTTCAATCCTCCAGCCACGCCTCTCACTCGAATTCCGGATTGGTCGATTGACAACTTGGCCTTATTGTGTGCCATATTTCCCCTAGCAATGTCTGTGAGATCGACGGTCCAGACCATCCCTAGCTGCTGTGCATGTTGTTTTGATCAACTACTCGGTGCCATCCTTCCTTCGGAAGCGTCCCTGAATCCAGCACCGGTACATGGTGATGCGCCGTTGTCGGTTGACAATCAGCCGCCGATCCACATCCAGATTGCATATGTCGAAGGCGTCGCCCCAGATCGTTTCGAGCTCTTCCTTTTCAAAGAAATATACTCTGGTGCCGTCTCCACGAACATAGAAATTATCCTCCATCCACCGTCCAGCCTTGAAGCGGACTTGAGCGAGATCGCCTCGTCCGTAATCTCTGAACAATACTTCCCCGCCCGGTTTGAGGACTCGCTGAATATTGATCAGAGCCTGCTGCCATTGCTTGGGACTCAGTGCTGAGAAGATGAAGATCATAATCACAATGTCCACGCTGCCTTCGTCGACACCAGGAGGCAGGGTTTCTCCTGCCACGTCCCATACCTCCGCTGCCATAACACCATTCGACTCCGTGTAATCCTTTGCGCTCCGCATTGTTTCAACCGCTTTTTTGCTAAAGTCCACCGCAAACAGCTTCAAGGCCGGATTCTTATTCATTCTCAGTATTGGGAACGCCGTGTTTCCAGCTCCTGCGCCGATTTCGAGAACTACTTTCTTACCGGCGTCTGGCCTTGTAACCTCGCTTAGTACGGGAAACTCTTGAACAAGCCACTTTCGATCCTTGAAAAATGTACTTGTCTTTTGCTTGTAGAACAGGTCCCACCATTTCTCTGGGTGGTCGTTAAAGCGGGCCCTGTCAAAGTCGGAGACGGGAGAAGCGCGTTGCGCGGCATATTGGGTTTCGCAGTACTGGTAATGCGCCGTGTCTGGCTCTACGTGATCCCATGCGTTGTAGGCAAAGACATCGTCGTCTTCTGACAGAAATCGCTGTCCGAACTGAAAAGGGTCTGATCGCTTCGCATTTGTGGCAGGGTCGTGCGACAAGTGAGGTGGAATTGTCTCTGTCGCAGGTTTCTTCTCAGTAGCAAGCTCGTCATGTCGGGATCCAAGATCGAGAGATGCGGTCGCTTCTTCGATTCCCCTGTCAGGCGCCATTTTTGGGGGTTGGTAAGAGAAGAGGCTGCGATGTGGTCGTTATCGAAATATTCAACATGCAGTGCGGAGTAGTTTCCACTCCGATTGGCTGAGCGCTTCACCTGGCAAAAACAATCATCACAGCCTCATCTGTGCCTTAGTTTTGTCTCCCTCGCACAATCTCTGCTGTTTTCATCTAGCCGAGGAAATAGTTGCAACTGCCAAAATGGCCATAGACGATCTCATAACAGATCCAGCCCTGCGACCGCTACTGCAAACCTCCCACGCAACCCTAGCGCAGACACTTTCTGTCTTGACTTGGCTGGAGGAACACGCGACGACCTCAACTCCTACACTTGAGCAGAAGCTTGAATTGGCACAACAACACAAGATCCTTAATGCATACCTGGCCAAGCTACGAGGCCAACATCGGCAGGCAGCCTTCGGAGCGCGGGCAACCAAGCAGGAGACGGCAGAAGCAAGACAGGAAGTGGATCGGCTGCTCTTACAGCTACAGAATTTGTACTACGAACAGAGACACCTGCTGGGCGAGATTGGAACCTGCGAGGCGTACGACCATCTCTATATGCACCTACCACTCCATCCTTTGGATGAATACATTGCCATGTTCCCGGATCAGGCAGAGTTACCCGAGCAGGAGTTGATGCCCTTAAGGATCGAATATGAAAAGCAAGAGCGGGAGAAAATGGAGCAGAAGAGACTGGAGCTGGTCAAGATCAAGGATGCACTGGTTAAAGAGAATACCAGGAAGAAAGACGAGCTGAAAAAGATGGACGAGAAACTGGAGGTGATGATTGATGGGCTTAAGCCCCTCGAGGAAGCGCTACAAAAGGAGCTGTGAAGAACGATCACGGCACTCCTCGCTGCTGGCGGGCAAGATCCTCGCGATTCGGACTGCGGCTACACACAACTTTCACTCTTGAAGACGGACGCCGAGTCACGCGGCCTCGATTGGCTCCAGAATCACTCCTTGTCGAAGGCCCACTCGTGCCATTAGCAAGCTCGATGTTATTCTAAAGGAGAGGAGGCTCCTGAACCTGGATAGCTACCTAATGGGCCGCAAGAGGAGCCTTTTTAGCGTCTTCGGGGTATAGGCTTTTTGTCAGTCTGCCTCATCCACCCAGAGAGACAACTTTAACCAGGAGCAGCAGCCACCAAGACACTATTATCTTCACCAGATTCCTGAGACCGCTTGCACAGCTGCTGCAAAGTTCCTCAATACGTCCTGCCTCCAACCAAACAAGATGAAAGTGCCTGCTGCCGATATCCCCCTGGTCAAAAGGAATCAACTCATGCTGTAAAGTCTATTCCAGAAGGCTCGACATCGACCGCCGGCTCTACAATCAAAGTGGTCATCATGTGGAAATAAGTGACCAGGCCTTCCGCAGTACCCTCCCTGGTCTATTTCGACGTATGGACAACACGATTAGCTCGAAGGACTATCGGTATTTGCACGGTACCTTGGACGGTGGAGTTGATTGCAGACAACAGCATCCTCTATACTGTCCAGTGTGTCTATGCTGAATGACGCGTGAGACCAAGACTTGAATATGTTGTGCTCTGGTCCGGGCGAAAGCAAGTCCAATTGAGCACAAGGATTCTCGTTCACAATACCGAGCTTCTTTTCAAAACTTACTCTGCTGCTACACACGACGACGGAGATTCATATCTACAATGGCTGACTAAAGAAACGAGGAGACCTCCTGAAGGTTATAGTCCAGGCAAATACAGGTGGATTCAAGACCTAGGTCCTTTCTTCACCAATTCCGACCGTGTGATCAGGAGACTATGCCAATTCTATCCCGGATGTGGCAATCTTTTGGGCGGCGGCTGAGCCTGCATCATACCGAGTACCAGAAATGCGAAAAGATCCTACCTAGGTAGCCATGAGAAATCCAGAGCAGTATGTTAACCTAGGTACTGCAGTGGTTGAGAGGGGAACTTTTACTTGGCGAGTTGTGAAAAGGGTATCAACTGCGGTGCTTTATCATCACCCACCACTCACCATTGACCACTTGTGTACCACCGTACCTCACCGTTAAACCTCTTCTCAATTTAATTTCCTCCCGTCTTTCACTCACTCTCTCTTCCGCTTCAACCACCATATTTTGACTCACTCTTTGCCGTCGCGGTCCCGCTCTCCTACAGTTCTGTTGTGTACACGCGTCCTCACCAGGAATTGGCCTCGGTCGGCGAAGACGGTTTCTACGAGACAGAATGGTCCACTTTCCCCAGTCCTAGGTTGTCGGGGCGCGAGAGTCACTGTCCCACCTCCTTCCCCATCGAAACCCGCCTTGAGAAGCTCCGACCCCCTCTCTGGGGTATACATTAGACCCTGGGACCGCACCCAGGTTTGTGAGCTGCGAAACCCCCGCTAGTGCTGTGCCCACCTACCGCCTTCCAGCTCCCACTTCGCTATTTTCTACCTTCTCTCTGACACCCGTGGATTGCCCGATGCTCTCTACGTCCACTATCAAAGGTAGGCTGACCGCTACCACGGACGACGGATAGGCTTGAGCAAAGGAGAAGGGACATCAGGAGGAGACCGGTATACACGTTAACCTAGGGTGCGCGATAGTGGAAAGTATATCCCCAAGACATGAAAACGACAACTACCGAACTACGACCGCTACATCCAATGAGTTTATTCCGCCCGCGTCTCCTTCAGCAGTGAATGTTTAGCCCTGGCACCTTAACTCGAGAATACCCGAGGTTAAGTGACGTTGGATCTGACTCAATTGGCAATGATTCATTGTCATGATGTACAAGGTACTGGGTATCATGTGGAGTCTTGCCCCTGGGCCTCTGCCAATTCCAAGGCGTCACGGCACATCGCCGACGCGGGGAGCTCCAGCCTCCAGGTCTCCAACTCCATTCCAACTCAATTCCCCAAGTCCCACAGAACCTCCCCCACAAATTCTGTGCTATTTACTTAGCAAAAGACTGATGCCGTGCATGCTTCATCTCCCTTGATTCGCAGGAGCGACGGCGATGATGCCGCGAAGCCACCAGGCTGAGCGGTACCGCGCACGGATTCTCACCGCTGGTCTGCCGTGTTCCCCAACACGTGGACTTACCTAGATACCCAGAAATGTCACCCAATGTTATGGACGAGCACTGTCTCCAAGTACCTCACCTTGTTCTACTCCGTGGATCCACCTTCAACTCGTGGTTATATTGTGGTTGGGAAAGCAGGGGGATATAAACCCCTGACCGGCCCTGCCAATTGACTTGTGCCTCTTTGGATCTCCACCGTTTGTATCTGCATCTACCGCACGAGCCTGACTCGTTCTTCAGCATGGGCTTGTTCAAGCATAGCACTGGGGATGCGGCCGAGGCCTCGCACTCCGCCAAGGCGAACACTTACAACTTCTCTGTCGTCTTCTTCAGTGCGTTGGGCTCGTTTACGTACGGATACAGTTCATCCATTATCGGTTCCGTCTTTGGTTTGCCCGCATTTTGGGACTATTTCAATATTTCTATCACTGGACCAGACGCCCAGAAGGGAAACGATATAATCGGCGGTAAGCGAAAGCATGTTCACTGGCATTGCAGAGTCCTGACGCTGCGAACTAGCCGCCAATGGTCTCTTCGCTGGAGGAGGCATCATTGGTGCTCTCATTGTCAACTGGATTCTCAACAGACTCGGCCGCTGCAGGTCTATTCAGATAGTCTGTGCCCTTTGCGTTATCTCGTGCGCGATCCAGGGGGGCGCTGTTCACGTTGCCATGTTTCTCGTTGGACGCTTTTTCAGTGGCGTGGGTGTAGGCATGATGCAAGTGACCGTGCCTGCGTACATGGTCAGTCGATCCGTTTGATTTGTGAGAAGTGACTCTACTAACATGCGGAATAGTCGGAACTGTCGCCTGCAAAGCAACGAGGTCGAATGACCGGTAAAGAGCCTTTTCTGATTCGTTTTCAATTTCGACGTCGTGCTGATATTTGGGCAAGGCTCACACGGGGTTCTGATTGTCTGTGGCTACGTGAGTATATTACATGTGGAACGCGTTTTCGTATAGTGAGGATCTGACTGAAGGGTTTAGGGTTCGGCCGCATTCACAGGTCTGGGCTGCTATTTTGCAGCGCCCACCGTGCAGTGGCGACTATGCCTCAGTCTGCAGGTTGTAGCCCCCCTGATCCTTCTCATCGGCTCGCCATTCTTACCGGAATCACCTCGTTGGCTCATCTCAAAGGGCCAAGAGCTACGTGCGCTCGAGATCCTCCAAAAGCTGCACTCCCGACCAGATGATCCAGCAGGACTGGCAGCCAAGGAGGAATTCTACCAGATCTCCAAGCAGATCGAATTGGAGAACGCGACTGGTGTGCACGGAATCTGGGGCATGCTTAAACGCGCCTCATATCGCAAGCGGATCTATTCTGGCTTGCTCGTCCAGTATGTCTCGCTTTCTTCACCACCCGCGTTTTCCTTGACCCGCTTTTTTCGTGAGCGGCTTTTGCTTTTATCGCATCTCGCTTTTACCACATCTCGCTTGTGCTACACCTCCCTTGTGTTATATTTTGCTTTGGTGACCCCTTGTGAGTCTCTGTTAACACACTGGACAGGTGTGCCGCACAGAGCACGGGCGTCCTCGTGATTAACAACTATCAAGTCCTCTTGTACAACAATCTCGGCTTGTACGGATGGCTACCTCTGCTGCTCTACGCGATCTACACCTCCTGGGCCGCTTTTATGAATTGGATCAATTCAATGCTGCTAGATCGCCTTGGACGGATCCCCATCATCACCTTTGGCTTGGCCGGCTGCATCTGCATGATGATTGTCGAGACAGCGATGGTGGCTACTTATGCGGGAGGATCCAACAAGGGCGGTAACGCAATGGGTGTCTTGTTCTTGTTTCTCTTTGTGACGTTCTACGGAGGGAGCCAGGACGCCAGCAGCTACGTGTACTGCAGCGAAATCTTTCCAACTGGTGTCCGAGCACACGGGCTAGGCACGTCGATTGCAGGTCTTTTTGCATCGACTCTGCTCTACACTGAGGTCGCACCGACTGCATTCGCCGACATTGGATGGAAGTAAGTGTCTTGTCTTTGCTCTTGTCTCTCCGCATCGCTTTTCCTCTGACTGTACTAATGAATTGCAGATATTACCTCGTCTTTATCCTTGTTCCGGCGGCCTGTCTTCCATTTCTGTGGCGCCTCCCGGAAACCAATGGGCTCTCGCTTGAAGAGATTGCTGCCAAATTTGGGGACGAAGTGGCTGTGGACCTCTCGCATCTCGACGAGGAGCGCAGGCGAGCTCTTGACGAACGCCTGTTGGCGGTTGGTGTTGGTATTCATGGTTCACCACCGAACGAAGGCGAGGACAAGGCCGAGACTAAGGAGACCTATGTGGCTAAGCATCAAGAGGCCGCTTGAAGTGACGGCACATGGTCGTCGCAAGGCCTGAATACACCACAGCCAATATTGTTAGAGCCAGTGGAATGTTTGCTCGCCGACTCCAATACAGACCAGTAGATTTGTTTAGGCCCGTAAACCCTGATCTGATCCAGCCAGGACCAGCCAACTATTGTCTGCAATGGAATCGGAATCAACATTGGCATATGCTTTTCCGGCATCCTGCCGCAACTTGGTTACAAGGCTTTGCATGCAGCTACATCAGATCCAGTCATCAGTGTCCTCGCACGCCTCAAACCACCTTGGAACATACCTAGGTACCTACGTAGGCAATCTGGGGCGGATTTCTCTTACGTTGGTCTGAAGGTGCAGGTGGCTGTGGTGGCTGTGTCAACTCGTCTCGCCTTTGCTCGTCATTTCAAAACCTTGGCTGACAGCCTGATGCCTGCTGCGTCTTACGACTCTCAGCCTCTGCCCTCTGCCACCTACCACGTCTTCAATGTCAGTTTCCGTCGGTGTGCGAATGTTTGAATCGTCTTCTGCGCACGGAAAACATAGTCATGGCCATTCTTGCTTCTTTCCTTTGCTGCGGTGCTTCGAGTGACCGTCCAAGCAAACTTGAAGACCATACCCGGCATGCCCGCATTGTTGCCGTTACCAACGGCCAACCCGATCGCTACAGAAGTCCGCATGTGCAGCCGCAGAGCTGTCATTACGACAGCCCTCCTTCGTATGACGAGACAGTCCGATATCCGTTAATGGCCATAGACGAGAAATCTATCCCCATGGGCTTTCGAGTAACCGTGGAAGACGAGGAGGTTCCGCGCCGGCCAGCGTCGCCTCGCTCTTCAGTCGTCTCGATACCCTCGACCCGAATGACGGACCTGACTGCGGCACGGACCGGCGAAACAATGCACCAAAGTGGCAGAGAGAGCCTCGAGCGACTTTGGACTCGGTCTAGCTTCCCTGCGTACTCAGACAGGAGTCCAAGCCCGGCATCTTTGTCCGCCGGAGTAAGAGAGGGTGACAGAGATTTAGTCTGGCAACATCCGGTTATGACGAGCAATTGGCTCGAAGCGTTGCGGCAAGAAACACAGACGGTGCAAAGTAGGAACAATAACAGAACGAGCAGCGAAAACAGGATCATACGTCCAGGACTGGGATAATACAATCCGACGATTGGTCACCGAGGTCTCCAACGGTGACCACGAAAGATATCACTCAAAACCTCTGCGACCATGCTACAGCCAACAATCAACTCCGGGGGCGATGCTTCTGGACCAAACCTGATCTGCACTTTGAGGCTTACGGTGCCCAGCTCTTCACAGCTCGCGGAAGAAGGTCCATTCGAGGGGTGTTCCTGAACGAGCTACCTCGACTTAGAGAAGGGAAGCTATTGTGGCTGGGTAGAGACAGCACCGTCAGAAGAGGTGTCAGTCAGAGGGTTGTACGACCTGAAAGTTGGGGCAGCGCGCCCCATGCCACTTTTCTTCGAGATGACGGCGCGCGGACCTGACGACTGCACAGATCCCGGACGCAGCCGAACGCAGAAACACATAACATGATGCAGCGATTGTGGTCTCGGGAGTCGCAAAGGAAGGAGAGAGGAAATCCCTACAATCGCCGTCAACGGTCTTTCTTACATAGAAGCTATATCTGCCTCGAAGGTCGAGCGTCAAAAATCGTGAAGACTCACTTGTACATGTCGAGAGTCCAACATCCACTTGCTACGGCATAGCAGCAATACATACATTGCCGATCAACTAATCCGCCAATCCACCAAACTGGACCTCTACCGGTCAACAACTCCTGGCCGAGGCTCAATTATTGGGCAACTTGATCAAGAAGCGCGAGAGAATGACGTAGAGCGCCTGATGGGTTATCTGCTCCCTAGCGAAGCGACGGTGTAGTTCGTTCGACAAAACGGCAGTCAGACGATCCAATAAGAACGAAAGCGCGCTCTCGCCGTCTCCAAGGAAATCTCGCCCCAAAAGCCTTTGCGGGGTACAGCAGGATCGACTTTGTCGTTGATCGACACTGTCATTGATCATCAGTCACAGTTTTCAGGCAGTGTTCGTTTCTCCTCTCAAAATGTGGAATCAAGCTTCAAACGATATCGCCCGCGGACTTCTTGCAGACTGCGTCAGTGTTATTATGCCCTCGGCTGGCTCAGTGACGATTGGTCAACAAGCAAGCGCGTGCCGGACGAATTTGGGGTCTCTATGGGGTGGAAAATTCGAGGCATTCTTTGGCCTGGATCGAAACCCTTCCTAGAAGAATGGCATCTAATTCCAGTGCCTCCTCGAGCTCGTTTTCGTCAGCAGCCGAAGGAATCACCGGGGGTTATACTGGCGACAGCCTTACGATCAAAGTCCTGATCGCATTCTTCCTCGGTCTGTCGTTGTATAACGCTGTCGAGTTGCAAGTTCTCATATTCGGTACCTTCAAAAAGTTCAGGGGCCTTTACTTCTGGAGTCTGCTCATTTCCAGCATAGGCATTGTGCCTTACTCAATAGGCTTCCTCTTCAAATACTTTTTGATCCTCAAGCACCAAAAATGGTTCTCCCTGCTGCTCCTGAGCATCGGCTGGTATCCCATGATTACGGGCCAAGCAGTGGTCTTGTACTCGAGACTACACCTCTTGTTGACAGGCGGAAGGCGAGACAAGATTCTCAAGTGGACCAAGTGGATGATCATCGTGGATGCGATTTGTTTGCATATACCGACTACGGTCCTGACCATCGGATCAAATATTGATACGCATACCGAGGCGTTTGTGGATGGATATAACGTTATGGAGAAGGTTCAGATGTGTGGCTTCTTTCTTCAGGAAGTTATTCTGTCGTCGATCTATATCATCGAAGCCATTCGCATACTTCGCTCCTCGGTGCAAATGAATACTAAGAGGCTCATGTATCAACTGCTGGCAATCAACGTCTTGATTATCACACTGGATCTGGGGTTATTGGGTCTGGAGTGCGCCTCGCTCTACATCCTCGAAACAATCACCAAACCCGCCTTTTATTCAATCAAACTTAAGCTCGAGTTTGCCATTCTCGGGAAACTGGTCGATTTTGTCGGTGGAAAGAACTCATCACTTCCGTTTGCACCAGAAGAGAAGCGGACCTCTTCTGCCCTGGATGGGGGGACCGACATCTCTGAATTTGTGGATCTAACGAAGGTCTGCACTGACGTTACAAGGACATCTCAGCGAAGGCGGCCCAAGAGTGGCAGCAGGCCCCATACCCAGGACCCAGACCTCGACTTGGAGATTGCCAGGCTGGAGCACGTGGAGACACTTCCGTCAGAGACAAGGATACCCAACGGAGATTTTGCGTCTGCAAGGTAGTGGAAGAATGAGGGTTTGGACAAGAGCCATTGGTGTGGCAGTGATTTTACACCACGATCAACGGTGCCACGCGTCTATCAAGATTGCGATGTGGCTGAAGGCTATGTTTGGCTTCTATAGCCCAGCGAGACAGGCTGAAGTTTGTTGCGCTTCTCAAGACAGGCGGTGATATCTGGGGTAGGGCAAACTGATGCGTTGCTCGACACCCCCGATGAGAAGTGGTACTTGCCTCCGAGACAATTCCTAGGTTCTGTTCGGCCAACCTCAGCCCATCGTTCAAATTCTACAACCGAACAGCCGTTGCTGCCTGGGTGCTCTATCTGGGGCACAATGACTTCGCCGAGTTCAAATAAGCAGCTGCGAGCTGACTCGCGAGTGGCGGTGGCGCTGGCCATGAGAAGGTGGTTATCGGCTAAGCGCAAGAGTTTCTGTGGCATACGGCATGATCCAACCTTCCAATTGTTACATGATGTCTTTCAAACGGACTTGACACAATACTGCGACATGCAATCTGCTTTCTCGTCCGGATGTGTTGTGTCCCAGATAAAGATTCGCAAGCAAACCAAAGCTCATGCCTTACTCGACCTCCTCTTCATGAGGCAATCCCTCATTGAAGCAATGCTGCCCCTCCGACCGGTCTCGCCACCACTTGATGGCATCAAACTCGCCAGACTTTGTCTCCGCTGAGTCATATTCGCGAGACTCTGCCGCCGCATGTTCTCGTTATTCAATCGCGCTTCCTGATCTTCCAGTTCACTATTCGTGTATCTATTTGCGAAGCCGCCTGCTCGAATTTTAGCCCCTGGTTGGTGGGATGGCTCGGCACCTGTGCTCTTCCGAGATATGCAGGATCCCGCCCTTGACAGTCGACACGTACCTCGTCCCGTATGATATCCACCTTCAACAAGCACAATCCCCGGCGCTTGTCTGTCATATAACAGCCTCGTCATCTCCTCATCGACCTCGGATCTACCTTGCAATTTACTCGCCAAAGACATGTTTCCCGAGCCACCTATTCCGGTCGAGAAACGTCGCCCTGGTGTGTGGAAGCCTCCTCCACGGTCCGTCGCCGTTGTCGACAGCGATTGTGCGTCGGCGACTCCAGAGGCAGAGGAACGGCGGGGCTCTTTGGTTGTCGAGTTCACGATATTGCCTGGCATCGGATTGGTTAGTATTCTTGTGTTGTAGCGGAGAAGAGAGACGAAGGGAGTAGCGGGGAGTACCTGCGCCGCCACGTCCGAAATGGACGTAGGCTCGATCATCTTTAGGCCGGACTGCCATGAAAACGTCGTGCGAGCGAGGTGGCTCCTAACTCGTGATGAATAGTGTAGATGTGGAGCTCAAGTTATATATATCATTGAAACAAATACTACAGCGAGAGGATTCTTCGACTCTAGACAGGCCGCATTCTCTTCAGGATGAGACGAGAGAGGGAGAGAGAGGGTGTGTGTGACGACAATAACAGCCACGCCTATCTACTCATGAATGTAATATACTCTGATCCTTCCCCCCTCTCCTCTCCCCGCAAAGGCCGCGCAGAATCCAACACGAGAGATAAGGGACAAATCTCCCTCCTTCGCAGAGATGACGGCCGCGAAACTGATAAGGGATTCGGGGCCTGAAAAGGGTGTGTGCTCAACCCACCAACCCGCCAGCGCCGTGCGTCGATGATGACGTCCAGCCCAAAGCCAGGGCACATGGAAGACATTGCCGCGGCGCTGGTGGGATGGGATTTATTGGGCATAGGATATGAGTGCCCTAGGTATTATTGACACCCTTTCTTTTCCTATTTCCCACTTGGCGGTAGTGATCTGGGGGCGCTTTAAGTAGGTAGGTCTAAATAGAGGATGTATGTGTGTGTCTATGTGGCCCATACGTATTAGTTAGTATACATGCCTCCTCTCACGTACCTAGGTGGGTGTATAGGGAAATAGTTTGATGTTACGTGCAGTAATGTACCCCGGATATTCGCAGCCCATTTATTCGGGGGCCACCTGAGAGAAGCTTGTTAGGTGGAGTAATTAATAGGTAAAGGGCTTGGTGCAATTGGTGCCACCCTTTCCAAAGGACAAAAGGTCTGTGCGGGCAAGGGCCGAATCTACTCTGTAAGGGGGGCGATTTGATAAAGAGTGCGGGGGCCAATTGGTGATGGGCTATGAGCCGTTCAATGCCGTTCATTTAGCAAGGGGCTTTACTGGCGAAACGATGCTTGACATTGTCCATGTTGGAGCGCAATTCTGACGGTGAAATCCTTCTTGATGGCTGTTCTGGTCAGCGCAACCAGACACCGTTTGCTTCGTTCTAAGTCTGTTATTCTAGGAATGAGATCCCAAAAAGACGAAAGAGCTCCTCCAACCGCGGCGCGACCGCCTTTAACGGTACATTAGGACTGAATCAGCCGGTCTTGTACGTGGGAAGATGGTCCTGAACGTGTCTGGGCCGTCGGGCGCAGTCGGAATGTACCTGAGTAGAGTACCTAGGTAGCGAGAGGGCGTCCAAGAGGGTTGAATATCAGACGTTGGGCAGCCGCGTTTCGAGAGGCTTCGGCGCTCCGACCCCTGAAGCTCTCCAAGAGCAGAGGTCGATGGGGGGTTTCTTCCTTGAAGATCACCTCAAGTTTGCACAGTACTCAACCACTTCACGGTGTGAAGAACGTTTCAAGTTTCCCACAATCCTCTGCCCAGTCCACGACCTTATCGGCCCCCAGTGCGCTCGTCGCGACCAGTCCATGGAATCGACTGCGGGTCGGACGAGTACGCGAGCTGCGACAACGGAGCCAATTTCCATGTTCCGTGTGTTCAAGGAGGAAGAGACGGTGATGGAGAAGGCTTGCAAGCAAAGAAGCAGCCTACACGCTCTCTTCCTGTGACAACTGACACGGGGATGGCAGGAGGGGTCCGACTTGCACTACATGACATGGGATAGGAGGAAAAAACAGCCGGAGCCAAAACCCCTCCTTGGAACGAAGCTGGGTGGCTACATGGGCGATCCTTCAACACATACATGGATCGTACCATCATAGGCCAGAGACCATGAAAAGGTGGAAGAGGAGGACAGCCAACAAGATGCTGGGGAGGGTAGAAGGGTAGAAGCGGCCCTTGCCTGCCTCGGAACACTTCGCTCTCTTTGTCAGTTACGAGGAGGAGGTGAGCATCCGCTGTCTCTCCCTCCGTCGTTCCCACGTTCTTATCGCTAAGTCGCGCGTGACTTACACGCAATGTAGCTCGTACTCTGCTCGATGCGTTGAGATGCATGCGGCAGCCATTTGACCGCGTCTCCTCAACGGTCGCCGTTAGAACCTGTTTAGCTCCAACGGGGAAGTGGTTTTGGGCCACTAATACTGGGAGGTAATGGCCCATGCTATCCTTGACTAGATACTCGGGGGATGCGGACTTGCCATTTCCGCAGGCCCCTAGGTACCTAGGTAGGCAGACCAACTTCAACAACCCCGGCAGATCAACAAAGGGTCCAAATTTCCCTCACCGGCGCCCCCTGAACTCGCCTCGCTCAGTGCGAGGTCTTGTCGGACGATTACCAATGGACTCTGCACGAGGTTTGGACCAAGTGAGTGTCCAGCATCCAAGATGGGCTTGATGCATACGAGTGATAATATGACCTGTCCCTTTCCGAGGTTGGCGAGTGTCCTTTTGCAGAGACTAACACACCACAAATTCGAAATCACCATGCGTGGCTTATACCTCTACCTATGGTGGATGGCTACTTTGCCATGGCCCATATTGAAAATGAGTCTCGTCAGTCTCCATGCCACTGACTCGCCGTCACGTTCAAGCGACTGCTCGTTCCTCGCAACAGAAGGGCCCCCTCTCGCAATACCGCAACTCGGGGAGGCGTCTCTTGCGAGTGATGAGCAGTGTCCACCCAGACGTATGGACATCCGTCAGCAAGTGACTGATTTCCGAGCACCCAGCCGAGCCAGATCACAGACTCGTAACTCCTTGGGAAGGATTCCGTTTGACCACGGCTTTCGGTTGCTGAGGGCGTGGCAGCTCCCGCTCCCGCGCTCGCTCTGATTTCTCAGAGCTCGCTTCCTTATCTGAGTTCGACTGGCCTCTGTCACGGCTCACGACCGTTGAAAGCCACTAATCCCCATATCTTGGACAGGAGAAAACAAGTATTCGCGCTCTTTTCGGAACAAGAAGAAACACCGCCGGGGTTACGGCAAAAACCAGGCCTTTTCCTGCTCGCTTTGATCGAGGCGGTCCTCTATCGCTCTCATCTCGTTTTATTCTTTCACGGCTTCGCTTGGCTTTGTCAATTGAGACGACGATTACCGAATAATACTACTCATCAATGGCCTCTCGTTTAACGAAACGGAAACTCGCCGGCCCCCAGCTCTTGGCCACCACCCATTTGGGGAATTTATCTTTTGGGGAAAATTAAAATCCGGATCAAACACGTTCGCGAATCCGTGAACACGCGACAGACAGGGCCGTTGATCTCAAATCAAGTATAAGATGGTAGATGGTGGTTTCCACCAGTCGCGGCCACAGGACGAAATGCCGAGTATGGAATGGTGCAGCACGAGATCTACCGAGTACATGATGCACGACTACGAGGTACATGTGTGTCTCTACTCGTTCCTTAGTCTCCTTCGAATCGATGGAAGGAAAACGGATGGTTCTTTTTCCTGCGGTTGTACGGAGTCGGTTTCGCTGCTTGCCATTCTTGTCGCTGCTATAATAATATTCTTACTCTCGCTGCCGCTATTGTCGTTTCAACAGATATCTGTTGTCGTGACTTTTGCTTTTCGCTTCTTCCCCCAACAACGGCACCAACCGTAGTTTCGCCTAGTCATTACCCACTGGTACTATGACTACGAGAACAACCTTGAAGGGTGATCACCTCAACCACCTCCTTATTCCTGCCCAGGGCTTACCCTCACCAACTCAACACAGTAGCTTAGGTACGTAGGCAGGTACGGGGTACCCTTTACCTGTGGCCCCCCCACCAAATATTGCTGCCAAGGGCACGTAATACTCGGTACACGCCGCATACCCCCCTACTCGGCACCTGGGGGTGATACATTTGCTGAGCGGTAAGAGGGTGGTTCGCAATCTCCCCAGCCCTAAGAGGCTGCAGTCGGGTCGAACCAACAAACGTGATGAAGATAGATGTCCTGGGGTATTGCCATTCCCCCTCCCGCTGGGGCGCTTTCTCGTTACGATCAAAATCGATACCCAGGGTTACCTACTCGCTACCTACCCGTTCACTGATCGCAGAACCCGCGCGGGCAGCTCGGTCTCTCGCTCTCAAGGCCCGTTTGAACGGCATTTCGAGAAGGCGTGGGGGAACTGTCTGTTTACATTAATAATGATAATGACAAGTGCAAAAGGTACTTAATGTCATGATTGTTAATTATTAACGAGGAAGGATCAGTCCGATCTGGCCCCCAAACTCAATCAAGTGAGCTATTCTCCCAAACCGACGGTCAACGTTTCGTCCTGGACTTCCTGGTTGTTTCCATCAGCGTCGACCGGGGACGGTGGACGGACGGGGTAAGCTAGGTACCTAGGTAGCGAGGTAGGTAGACGGTCGTCAGCAAGCCGCCGGCCGACGCCGCATTGGGCAGGCGGCTTCGTGATATCCGATTGGATCGTTCCAGAGTCCTGACTTGTGATACAAAGGCCAGTGCCTGGCGACTTGGGCAGTAGGTACTACCTACCGAGCTACCTACCTAGGTAAGCAGTCGTGGCGGGGCGCTCGAGGCACAGCCTTGCCCTCGCTCAACTGCTTTTGCCGTCGGCGTGGGCCCGGTCGATCTCCCTTCCGACGAACAGTAAGCACTTATTGCTGGAACTCGGTCGCAGACAAGCGCATCCGCACAGCCATTTGCACAGACACACACCGAACAGGAACCACCTCCGTCCCTCTTTCCCCTAGTGTGTCGCAAGTTGCCTGTCATACACAGCAGAGCAGGCGACGGGGAGCGGCATCTCCGGAGATGAACATCCACCCACAACCATGACGTTTGCCCCCCTCGCTTACTCCCAAGGAGAGGGCCGTTCTGTGTGTCTTGCCCATCACCGTCGCGTGCTCTTCTCCCTTGGGTTGCTGCCTTATAGGGAAATAGGCATTGGGAAAACCCACCCTTGCGGCCGATGGTGCCCAGAGTCAGAATGCCATGCGGATCGGAGCTTGGCCGCTTAGCATCTATGCTCGACCCTGAGTAATCAGCCCTCTGCAACCTGGCCTCCGGTATGCGCAAGCTGCGACGGAGGTATAGGGGCGTCAAATTCAGGAAGCACTGGTCAGGAGATTGGCAGCCACTCGTATCCAAAACAGTATCGTTGTCCATCTCTTTGTTGAGTGGCGAGACGCCATGTTCGACCTGTATATATAGGTATAGCGGGGCATCTATGCAAACGGCTTCCCCAATCCCGCCTCAGTGGACCATGAATTGGCCGACCGAAGCCCATCCTGGTCTGCGCTCCCATCCTGCGCCCATCATCCTTGCATGAGGACTCGCCGTTGTCTCGTCTTCCATCGTCCTGCACATCCTTTGGCTCCTTCCGTAGATCGTCAAAGTATAACCCGGTTTTCCATTATCCCCCCAAAACAAAAACATGGTTTGTTGAATGGGAACGTCCCTTCCAGCGCCGTCGCTAAAAACTTCTCAGCTCAGTAACCCGCAGCACAATAATCCATTGGGATTTAACTCCATGCAAGACATCTGGATATCAGACCATCAATGGCAATTACTGGTACCCAACCCCAGGAGACGAAGCCAGTCATGCTGAACGCAGGAGCCAAACAAAAAAAGAAAACTCCACTATGACAACTTTTTCGGTCCAAAGGTTGGCGATCCGCGGTGCTGTTGGTCCCCGCCAAGAGGGTCGAGGTTCGTGTTTGCTGCATCAATAGCGGCGAAATATAACGTCTGGCAATGATGAGTACGCAAAAGTATAATACGCCGTAATACCGAGAAGAGGAATCTTCGTAGTGGGATGGTGTCGTGAGTGTCTATCGGCATCGAGAACACATTTCATCGATGCCGAGCGTCATTTGGTTGCGTTCCAATAGTGATCATTTGGTGGTTTGTTTCCTCAAGTCGAGTATCCCATCGACCTTGGGCTCTGCGCCAGGTTGAGTAGTAGCTGGCCCTCCTTCTCAAACCGCTCCGTCTCGTGGGAATTTTGCATTGAATGGTGCCTCTGAATGGATCGTCCTCTTCGCATTCTCACGCCTCGCCGTGTGCGAGTGGCTTCACCTTTGCTTAGTATGTGGCTTGCTCGAGGATATATGAGAGAATGGCGGGGAAGAAGAGAATCCTCTTCGACATCAGCTCCCTGTCCAGCCTCATCGTCGGCAAGGATACTTGGCAGTAGATCATCGGATGATTTCCTCTTCAGACTCGCGGGTGTCAGTGGCACAGGATTCATAAGCTCCTGTAAGTTCAAGGGAGAGCGTGAACATCTTTCCAGCTCCGTCACCGGCGAAGGCGTTAAGGGTTCAAAGCAGGGCTCGTCAGAAATATCAAGCGGCGGCAAGGGGCTGTAACTGTCCACCGGTTGCCGGCAATCTGTCAGGTCCTCCGAGTGAGGCGAGGTCGGGTGACATGGTTCATGTGTTGAGTGGGTGGTGAAATGAGTATTGAGCTGTTGAAGAGCTTGCTGCATTAAGGCAATGTGTTGCTGTTCGAAACCGACACTTTTGGTTCCGAGTTGAGAAATGGCAAATTGCCGTTCATGTGCCAGTCCCAGCATGGGAGAGTCCATGGTTCGTTTATATTGGGTTGGACCATGTTCGACATAATAGTAGATGTTTTCAGCGTTCAGTTCGACTCGCCAGTCAGGTTCTTGTGCGCTGGAGCGTGTGAGCATCAATAACTGAGGCTGAACAGAGGGAGGAGGGAGTTACCTCGTGCTAAAAGCGGCCCATGGGATCATGGTTTCGTTGAGTCGAGATCAACTCATATAGTTTGGAGGCCGGTTTTGTTGACACTCCAAGTAGCGAGCGAGAAGTCGATCGATATAAAGTACTGGCATCAGGCTGACGTATGATAGGGAACAAAAGCAACGACAGAATTAAGGCAGGTCGAAGCTAAGTCGGTTCGAGGTCAGGGGGGCACTCTGCAGCACACGGTGATATGCCTGTCAGCCCTACCGACACTTTAGAGGGACCCAATGTTTTAGTTGATTTAACAATCTTTCGCGAGGGTCCGGGGATGAGCTGACACGAGCTCTTTTGATTCTTCGCAACAATTCAACCCTCGGATGCAGGTGGCCGTGAATTGACCTGCGACCTGGAGCAAGACGTTTCGATTGTGGAGCGGGAATGACAAGTGACGGATGGAGCGGGTGGAAGACAATCCGATGTCGAGTTTTGTGGAACCGCTCAATGCTGACGAGAAACAACAAGACGACCGCTTGACAATGTTGCGCCTGCTGGGTGCCTGTGAAGGATGAGAAGCGTCCAGAGTCTCTGCCTTACAATCGAGAAGCAAGGAACATGCGAGGTTATCCTCCGTCAGTGGTCGAGATATGCAGCAGTTATAAAGGGAGCAGAGGGATGGATATTGTTCGGAGGTCGAGAACGCGTGTTGGTGGAGCTGTGGGACACCTATACTGGTGCTCCGGCGAATTAAGAGACCAGGCCGATACGAACAACGACCGAGCTGGATGAAGAGATTGAGGCCAGTCAAGAAGGCAAAGGTAGATGTAGCTCTCTTCTTGATGAGCGCGTTCTTGTATGTGGTTGGCGCGAGTGAACCAAAGCGTGCAGAGAAACAGACACTCGGTTCGAACAGACAGGGTTCAGGTGGAATGGACAGGGTCACCCAAGGGTCGAAGTGGTTTTGACACAAGCGGGATGGGAAACACCCTCTCTTCTAGACACAGGGAGAAGAATTTTAATGCCGAGCCGTGCGCGTAGGAATGGAGATTTTGAGCTGAGAGGACGGGCTCAGGTTTACGATGGATTTCAGGCTCATGGGCAGACCTGTGGTTTTCTCTGGGGAGGCGGGAGGAGGATGGAGCCAGGGCCAGGGGTTGACGGGTGCAATGGGTGTGTTGAGTTCGATAGGTCGATAAAATGCAACGCATGTCTGTTGCAGTAAAGCTGGGGGCTCTTTTGGTGTTCACAAGAATGATGGACACGATGGCCATTGGATGGCTAGGCCCAGCCAGGCCCCCAGAGGAGTCGAGAGGAGCAAGGAGCTGCCCATGGTCTCTTGGTCTCTCGTATGCATGGGGTGCGACGGCTTTGCCAGAGGGAGCTTTTCGTCCCAGACACACCCGTCCTTTTGGATCGCCATTGAAATTCGGAGATGGGCACCGCAGCTAACGAGGATGCAGCTTGGCTTGTGAGCCCGGCCATATTGGGGCTGCCGTGGTTCGCTTTAGCCCTGCTAGCCCTACTAGCTCTGTGCCCCGGCCACCCAGAAAGCTCCCAGCGGCACCCAAGGGGGGGACCCTTTTCATGCGAGAGAGTGTCTCCGCGGTCGACAAGGGTGTTCCAGGCTCCCAGGGTTGCATGGCAGCTCATTAGCCCTTTGGCGGCTCATTTCACCAAGGCACAGGTCCAACTCTTTCCCCAGGCTACACCAAGCTCGTGGTTTCAACGCAACCTTTCAATTGCTTTGGTGGAAGGGGGCCCGCCCTCTTGGTGTGTTGAGATTTAGGCTCATGCAGGGCTTCGAGCCATGGCCTAGGTCCTCGTAGGCAGAGTGAAAAAGACGGCACTCCTTGCATGTTAGCTTCAACGCGGGCTCTTTGAATGGGAGGGACGAGACCCGTGTTCCACTGTTGACAATGTCTCGCGCCAATAGCACTTGGACAGCCAGTTTGTCGATCTGATCTGAGCGGAAAATAGACTGACTCTTAGCGAAAAAACCGCATCTTCTCGACGTCACCACTACTGGTTGCACAGAAGCTGCACAGAAGTCATCATCGTCTCGCGTGGCCAGACCAACGAATATTGATCCTTCGGGGGGATCGGGCGATGGACACGGAAGGGACGGCTTGTTCCATGGGCCACGGCCCACTGGAACTTGAAAGGGATGGACTAGTTGGGCGGGTAAAGGAAAACTGAACAAGGCAGGAGGAGGGGGACGTTGCCACACCAAAGAACGAGACAGTAATACCAGACGACGGGTGACGTGACGGACAGTATGCGCGCAGTACCTAGGTAGGTACGGGGCGCGGGGGAGGAATCAGATGACAGGAAATGACAGGCGCTGACAAGCAGGGAAGACCACGATAGAGGCTTGTTGAGCCTGTGAGGGGATCAGAAACTTCATTCCCTCTCCTGGCGCTCAGACATTACCTAGGGACCTAGGGTATGGGCACTTAAGGGCAGCGATATGGGAGGCAGTCTCCGAGCTTGGGAGCTTAGCGAACTCCGCTCGCCTCCAAGACTGCAATGACTCTACCGGTACGTCGTTACCTAGGGGTTGCCGCTGGGCAGTGGGCAGACTTTCAGTGGTTCTTTCCCTGGCCCACCACGGCGCGAACAGGGCACCAAGGGCACGAGCCTTGTTTTAGTTAAGCCCACCCCAAAGCGAAATTGTCATTGGTACGGGGAACCAAGGGGGAGGTCCAAGTTGACAGCTAGTAGGTAAAGGCGCGCTGGACTCAGCTCCCGCTAAGAGCTGAGTCGATGCCTCCACCTTCATGCCTGAAAGCATTCTGGTGCTGCCTCTCACGCCTGGGTCCCGTGCTTACCTCCACATTCCACCATCCTTTAGTCTTGCCATCTCCATCTGCGGTAACCCGTCACGCCCCCCCATCATTTCGAGCCTTAAATGACAGTCTGTCCTTCACGTACAAGATGAGGAGGTGACTGAGAGCATAAGGACCCAAAGAAGGGGACCACGAAACGAAAAGGAGCACCCAAAAAAAAAATAAGAAAAGCCTGCGTCGTATTTTGATCAAGCGCTCATGCACGACAACCTTCCTCCTTTCCTCAAGCACTGCCTCGCTGTGCCCGAAGGGGGTGCGAAGGTCCTTTGCTCCCATCGGGAAGCGCCCTTCGAATCCATGCATAGCTAGCATATGATGATCAATTCTTTGCTTTTTCTTTGCCCCTCTTTTGACAGCGCGGAAGCCGGACGAGCGAAGCCACCAGGAAGGCCTCTGACGCAGACTGCTGCGCTGCGCTGCACTGCAACAAGCCTACGACAAGCCTACGAGAAAAAGAAACAACTGATACGAACGCCAAAACTCTAAGCAGCCTATTATTAATGAACATGGGACAGATGCCACCGGAGGTCCCCCGCAAATTGGAAGCGCTACTCACTGGACTTGCATCCCGACTTGGTCAAATGCAGCCTTCTGGCGCTGCCCAGACCCCTGCTCAACAATATGACACGTTGGATTTTGCGTGATCGGTGGCTTGTCAACACCCAGATATGCCTTCTATACCAAGCTTGGTGCGAGCTGCTCGTCACGAAGATATTCCGGTGCCTTTTTGGTCCCCAAGAGAACGGCCGTACGACGTACTCTGCTCGCACACCATGCAGTAGCCGGATTGTGTGACGGATTCCCGCCAATTTCTGAGCAAAGACGCAGAACTCTTGTCAGCCCTAAACTAACCCGACGGCAAACTGGTCTCCGTCCGATGCCGTGGCCGTTGGCATTCTCCTCTTTGCAGTGACCCTCTCTGCTGGCATATTAGTATCGCAAAGTTTAAACCAGTCTGACAGTGTTGGACCTTGAAACATGAATCGGTGCTCCGGTCCTAGTGCTACGAGGACAGATTTTCTGGGAGCCGAGATGAGGAAGGTGACCTGGCAGCTCGAGGGAAGCATGATGCTCCACTGTGTTCCTGTTCCGCGCTGTCGTATTACGTACCTAGGTACCTACTCAAAGTATACCTAGGTGCTCTGGGTAAATACAGGTAGCACAACAGGTCGGGTTGTTCCAGTCTCCGGGGGTTCTGCAGGGGGGAAAGGCCAGTTGATTCCATGCCGGTTCACCATCTAGGTACTCAGGCATCTTCCGTTGTGCTCAGATCAGCCGCGCGGTTGGAGCCCGCACACTTCCGTTGCCATTCAGTCCTAAGTATCCAATATACCTCTCCTGGTATAGCCACTAGGTACGTACCTAGATATGTAGACTTGGGAGCCTGTAGGCCATATCTTCAATTAGAAGCCCATCTCGCAAGTTAAGCGACGGATGGTGCCATTTTCCAATTGCTTTCAGGAAGAATTCTCATCAAAGTGGCACTCTGTTCAATATTCTGTCGTTGTTGTCGCCAAATGTGCGAATGGACTCATTTCCCTGCGATTCTCCCGTCAGCCCTACCACATTGTGAAACCCGCCCAAGCACAACCCCAACATCTCGTGGCCCCCTTTATCTCCCTTTTGATTCTCTTTGTGATTTTTCCTTTTCTACAAGTCATCAGGAGTCAACGTGGATTTCGCAGCAAAAGGAGTACGACGCCCAGTGCCGCATTGTCTCGCTCGCTTATTCGAACTTCGGTGGAACAAAGGCCAGATCAGGCGGAGGCAGATTGCCTTGTCCAGCGGCTTCAATCTGCCTGGTGCGCAAAGTGGATAGACAATCATTCTGGTCCGGGCTCCCGTCTCATCAACTGCCGGTCGATCCATTTCGGTCTGTTTCAAGAGCAATCCCTGTCCGACTTGGACGAAGAAAAGGCTCCCCCCGATGGGCGAGACGTTCTGCTTCCTCCCCACTCGCCAATCATTCCTCCTGCATGTGGCACTCAGGCTAGCGACATCATCCGAAACCATCCACTTACACCGCACCAAACACTCTCAAGGCTCTCATCTCGAATCATGACCCAGGACGAGGCTTTACACTCCCTCCAGCGCACTATCTGGCAAGCTCGACTGCCTCTGGAGATCCGACTAGCCGCTTCAGAATGTCGTACCTTTGATGGCGCTGACCCGTACCTGGTGAGTCTTCGTCGAGCCCTGGGCCCCTCCAACAAATGCACTGACTCCAAACGTGCTTGTAGATTGCTTTTCCTCGTTTGTCGTATCTTCCGCTCCTTCTGCCACGCCTGCACACTTTCTTTTCGCCCTCACTGATCGCCGATCCCGAGACAATATCACCCTATACCGGCTATTTCACATTTGACAATGTCCCCTTGAAAGGGCATCTTCCGTTGGGGCTGCTCTACGATGTCTACGTGGTGTCGACTCAAGATGCTCGACCAGATCCATCATCTTCGGACCCTCTACCCTTCAAGCTAACGCTGCATTTTACGGCCGACCCAGACAAGCCAATGCTGCCAGATGCAAGCCCCGTTGTCCTGCATGACTCTTTTATCAATTCCGTCAAAGAAGCGGACTTTTTGAGATCTGGCACCGCGAAACCCATCATGACCTTAGGGGCTCAGGAGAGCAAGGCTCTGTGGACCTCGACCCAAGACAACGACTTGCCGACCTTTTCCAGGATCCATAGCTCTTTGGTGCCAACACCAGGCCAGATGAGACATATCCCTTTGCGACTGTACTTACCCTCTGCACCAGACCAAGACCCGAGCAAAGCCCAAATCAGAGTGTTGCAGTCGCACATCGCACCCACTGTCGCGGCAGCCGGAACTCAGAGCTTGCCTACCGCAGCGCGAGGCGTCCCTGTAGGACAAGCTCAAACATTGGGGACGGCCTTGCATCAGCTTGTCCCTGGCCTGTTTCCATCTCGGAGGACGCCAATCCTAGCCACACCGCTTCTGCATGGGGCACCCCTTCCTATGAGTGCTCACCTTGAGGAGCTGGCCAGATGGGGCTGCTATGCCGATGGCTGGGTGTCGGTGGTGATAGCCATGCGTGGATAAGGTGGAGGACTCTTCGACATGAGGGCACTACACAGTGCAGTGGCCATGAGAAGAGGCTCAAGGCCTGTGCTCTAATTATCCTAGATGTTCTTGTTTGTCTTTGCTGTACCCCCTGGTGGTTCCCTATCGCTTGTCGACGTCATGTGTGGCTGACAGGCTGTTAAAGACCCAACCCCCTCATCCCGCTCAGCCACACTGGATAGTCACACAACTCCAAACTTCCGAGTCCATCTCAGCCATGAATCACGTTGCAATAGCCGCCCGCCTGCGCAACTTCACATCTTCATCCACGACCCTCGAACCCAGGCTAATGATGAAGATGGCTTCTTAGAACGATTTACATAATACACCCTTGGCTCGAGACAGTGCAATGCTTCTTGGTGATGTTTGAAACTTATCCGCGCCTTGCTGCTTGTCGTGCTTCAACGGACCAAAGTTGACTGAACCTGAACAACTGAACGACCCTCATCACCATGCCACCGTTTCCTGGGGAAGAAACGCTAACTGCAGTGTAAGTAAGGCGTAGCCCGATGCCTGTGACTGTTTTGTCTCGACGACAGTCTGACACAAGTTTTGCTCCTCAGATATGCCGACCTCCACTCTTACTTCACTGCGCCGTCACCCCGGCCGGCTCTACATCGCTTCGATAAAGCCGCCTACTTCTACGTCTACTACAACTCCACGAGACACACAAGTCGCATCGAGGCCGCCATCAACCCTGGCACGCCAGAGCAGACGGCCTTTCACGGCTTCCTCGACGGCGCCAAGGTGATCAATTCTCACCGATTCCCAACAAGAGTGACGTTCGTCGTCGATGGAGTCAGTGCGCCGGCGGCCACTTCCCCCTCGTCTCCGCGTTCAGGACGAGACCCCGACGAATGGCGTCTAGCCAGTTCAGATCCGCGAGATCCTGGCACGTCCAAATACCGAATCCACACGATTGACGCCTATTTCTGGAGTCAGGATGATTCAAAGTTGGTCCTGGACATTTTCAAGAGGTTGCTACAGCCCGCCCAATTGGACATTGATGACGATGTGCATGAGGAACAACCAGATCACCATGACATGGTCAGCCCCGTGGTGCAAAACCTAGAGCATGTGGCCATCTCAGATCCGGCATACAAGGAGGTGCAACATGATTCTCCGTCAGCCCAGCACAGCCATCCTGTCCAACAGCTGCCCACTGCTCAGCCAGCGCCTCCAGCAGCTGTCTTTCGCGCTTCTCCAGGCGGCCCTGCGGCTTCGGCCTCGCCAAACTCGGCCACTGCCAGCATTGGTGGAAGATCGTCGGTCAAAGACTCGAAGCCGGCCGCCACAGACTACACTCCGCTCGCGTACAATCCAGCGGCGCCAGCGGCACCGGAACCTATCGCCCATAGAGAGGACACGCCTCCTCCGATCGACGCCGTTGACGGAACGGGGCTCGCTGCGGCAGCAAGACATGATCACCCTTACGTACCTCAGCAGCAGCATCCACAACCATTTGCCGGCTCTCACACTGCTCAGCCTGGCGCATACGGCGGACAATACGGCCCCGTACAACCATCATTCGGACCGCACGCCACCACCTCGCCGGTGCCATCCTTTGGACCTCAAGCAGCGGCCACGGTGCCACCGCCGTCCTTTGGACCGCATGCAGCATCACCCCCACTTCAGACCTCCCCGCGGACATCTGTGTCAACAAATTTCGGCCCGCCGCCCACCGGTGCCAGTGCTACGGGTATCGGTTCCGACAGCGGCAGTCGTCACCCTTCAGCAGCCGCTCAAACGTATGTGCCTCACGGGCAAGGGCAACAAGATCCAAATGCGCATATTTTTGGCCAACAAAATGTGCAAACTCCAGGCACACAGTTCTACCAGTCCATCAACGGTCAACCCCACAAACCACTCCAGCATGTCCAGCCCCAGTACCCGGACTACCTGGCCGCTGGCCAAGCTCCACCTCCTCCTTCTGTTCCTGCTCCGCCTCTCGGGGGTTACTCGACCTACAATTACGCACAGGCACAGCAAGCCCAACCCCCCGCGGGAGCCTATGACATCCACTCTCAAGTCTACCGGCCGACCGAGGCGGAGCACCACTCGCACCATCACAAACCATCCAAGTCAGGGTCACAGCATAAGCCGTCACACACAGAGAAGATTGAGAAGGGGGTGGGCAAGTGGATTAAGAAGATTGAAAAGAACTTTGGGTGAATCGAAAGCGAAAAGACAGATGGATTCGAATGGGGTATATGTATGGTTTATTCTTTTATTTTATTCATTGGGTTTTCTGGGCGAGTTTGACGACATTAGCAAGCGTAACGGGTAGTCAAATGATATCCTTTCTGTCCTCGATATCGGATATCCCCTTGAACAAGCACACGTATTTGCTTTGCAGTTCTGAGTGACTCCCTTTGCATCTTACCCATTGCTTGGTTTGCCGACCATATGGTTTCAGCCTCCCTCCGTTGGTATCACCATATCATCCAGCAGTCCCATTTCAAATTCATTGCATGCCTTCCGGAACGAGCGCGATCCGACTCTTGACCCTCCCGGCGTGCAAATCCTCCAGAACCTTGGGGAAATCCGCCATGCTCCCCGTCTCGACTTGCGGGGTGATGACGCCCCGGGAAATCAGGTCCAGACTCGCGACGAGATCCTCGACCGTCCCGCCATAGCTGCACAGGATGTCAAGTTGTTTGCGCACCGCGACGAATGAGGGGATTGTCACTTCGCCACTCAGTAGGCCTACTAGGACGACGGTTCCGGCGTGGCGGACTGAGGACGATAAGGTCAGTGGCTGCTGCTGCTGCTGCGACGACAGGATAGAAAGCACAAGGGCATTATGGACTCACCGCTCTCAATGGCGGTCCTAAACGTCTCTGGCACCCCGACGAAATCGATCGCCGTGTCCACTACTAACGATCTCTTCGCAACCCAATCACTCACACTGGGAGTGTTCACGGGGACGACATCCTCCTTCTTGACCCCGAACTTGACCGCCTCGTCCAAGATCTCCTGCCTCTTGTCCACGACGAGGACCCTCGCGCCAATGTTCAAGATCATCTGTAACGCATTGAACCCCAGCCCGCCGAGGCCGTACAGCAAGACCGTGTCGGATTTCTTGACCTTGGCCCGATTCACCACGGCGTTGTAGGACGTCACGCACGCATCGGTCGCGACGGCACCGGCAGCCGCACTTACCACGGCGGGTAATTTGACAGCGGCGCTTTCGACAACCGCGATGTACGGAGCAAACGACCCGTGCGCGTTTCCAATCCCATAGTGATCCCCCGCCGGGCAGATCTGTGGGACGCCGGCAGAACATGTTGGACAGGTGGCACTTCCGCAGCCGGGGACCGATAGGATCGATACCATGTCGCCTGGGGCGAATTTCGTGACTTTGGCACCGACCGACACGACTTCTCCGCAGCCTTCGTGGCCCTTTTGTTTTCAAGCATATGGATTCAGTATCCGCCCGGATGCAGATAGTCATATTACAACGCGCTGGGAGACAAAGACAGCCGCTTCAATGCTGTGACCCAAAAAGAAGGGAGAAGACGCAGTGCTTGCTCTCTGAGCTACATACCAACGTATACTTGTCAAGATAGCCCGGCGGCTTGACTGGCGTTTGTAACAATGCGAAATCGCTGTGGCAGACTTTGCCCCGTACGTCAGCATCCCATCCTCTTAACAAAAGAATCCCCTTTAAGTGATAACATGTCCTCCCCCCTCGAAGATATAGAAAGAAGGAAAGAGGGCCTTCCTCACTCACCTCCCGCGGCGTGGATTTTGATCAGCAAGCCATTCTCGCCAGGCGTAGGCACGGGCACCTCGACGCGGACCTGTATCGTTTGTTCTCTGGCAGTTAGCAAATGCAATATCTCCTAGTCAAAGGAGGGCAACGAAATTCGCAGAATGGGGGTTTCGCTAGAGGGGGCCTACATACCGGCTTCGTGCTGCCGAAATGCTTCTGCCACGCTAACATGGTCTCTGGAACGTCCATCGTTGCCGTTATTGGATTCGGACAAGAAGAGAAGGAGAAGTAGAAGGGGAAAGCAAGACGAAAAGGAACGACCTGTTCTTCAGACTTCTGCGAGCTGAATTGATTGAGACCTTAGATTTCTGGTAGGTACATATGTCCCTGCATGGACTAGGTACCTAGGTATGTAGCGACGTAAGGCCCCCGCCCATCTTCCGTACTTTCGGCAATTCTGGATGGATGAACCTTATGGGCGCACTAGTCAACGGTCATACCTAGGTTCAGAGCTCATGGACCGAGTAATAACATTCATGATAAGCACAGAGTATTTATACGTGGTAAGTCCTGGCACCAACATTGTAAGATGTTTCAACAATATTGTATCTATTCATTATTTCGACATTAAGCGTCCCCCACTCGTCCCGTCGTATGTTCTCTCAGGGGCTGCCGGGGCTATCGGGTGCAGGAGCCAATGACTTGTTACTAATCCGAGGACTTGCAGTACTCCTTTTCAACTAGGTAGCCGATATGCCCTTCCTACTTCCCAATGCTCTGGACGCCACATGTGCATACCGAAGCTAAAATATGTGCAGCGTGCGCCAGAATGTCAACGAACGGGATGAAGCCAAAGCCATGAGCGGCTGCTAAAGATATATCGTGAAGGCTTGCAACGTGATAGACCATGATGTGACCCCCAGCCCCCATCGCCGTCACAACCGACCCTGCCAAAACGGAGACGGCTTCACAGGCCGTAGATAAAGGTATACTTCTTGTCGCCATATCTCTGAGGGTTGGTCTTCTCGTCCTCGATCTCTTCAGGGCTCATGGCGTCCACCTTGGCTTGCCGTCGCCTATTGACCGCGGCTAATGTGAACCGGTACGCAAGGTATCCAGCCAGCGCAACTGCGATGAACCCTAGCGTCACGTAAAATGGGCTGTGGGACAGGTCAGTCGTCGGGCTCACATCAAAAGCAGCAGCCGTCATGGGGTTGACATACATCAGGTACTTCGGCGCATATGATGACCGGAAGAGTTGGGAGCCGATGACTCCGGATAGATTTCCAAACCCGTTCACGCCCAAGACGAGAGCTCTCTTCCCAGGTTCTTAAGGGCCGTCTATCAGCAAAATCTCTCAGAGCTTTGGGCTGCAGGCACTTACCAGGAGTGTTCCCGCTCAGCCAAGCCACGGTCAATGGTGCAGAGACATAACTTCCAAACAACAAGATGCACAAACCAGCGTACTTGCCGCCGTGATGTTGGACAGTCACCGTAATGATGAGCCCGACGAGTTCAATCACGAGGGAAACAAAGATGTGATAGCCACGTTCCTTCCTAGATCACCGACGTTAGTGGTTTGTTAAGTAAACGACCGGCGAATTGCCTACCTTCGATCGGAGCTGATGGCGAAAATGTACAACCCAACTGCTCCACAAATATATGGCGGCACAGACATCTGTTGAAATCAGTACCTTGCCCAGGCAGTGCATGAACAACTTACCAAGTTCGCCTCAATGGACGAGTATCCCAACCCCTTCACAACAAGAGGTAGAAAGACGGAGAATGCTTGGCCGGGTATGCTGGCTAGTATATTGAAGCCGAGCACATACCAAAGCTTCCAATCTCTTGCTGTCTCAACCACATCACGTCTCGTCAACCTCTCCTTCTCGAGCCCACTATTGCCATAGGTATGCTGCGCATACATCGCGCTGTCTAGGCGGATGCGCTCCACGGCGTATGCGCGATCCTTCTCTTTTAGAAACCACGCACTCCCCGGACCGAGAGGCAACCAAAACCACGCAATGATGGCGATCAAGCACGTGGCGCCGCCTTCGATGATGAAGAGGTACTGCCAATTCTTGAGCGAACCGGTCGTGATGTGGAAAACACCGTACGCTTTCTATCATCAGCGTTCTCACCTTCGCCATCGCGCGGGGAACCACTTACCGATAGAGCCAGAGAACGCGCCAGCGATGGCATATTGACCATAGAAGAGGCCGATGCGTACGGCGAGGTCGTAGCGCGTATAGAATGTCGACAGATAAAAAACACCTTAGTTACCCCTAAAGTCAGTGTTGCTCGAGTAAAGTTTTCCACGGATGCCATTGTCAGGTCACCACTTCTGCGCAGCTCGGTTGAGAAGTCCTCCAAGAGAGAGACTGGACCTACAACTAGGATAGAACCCCGCTTCCTGCACATCGTTAGCATGAAATATTTCTATCAGGAAAGACCAGTCCTGGCTTCTCAAACACCAGCCCAGGGCACGCGAGGAAGACTTACGAAAACGCCAATGAGCAGTCGCGTAGCAATCAATGTAGCTAGCAGTGTGTCAGTAGCTTTCTCGAAGGCAATGGATTGCTCCATCATACCTCGTCCTTTGATAAAAGCCTGGCAAATTGTGAGGACGCCCCAGCAAACCATGATGACAGGTACCCAGTACTTCGCCCCGAGGTATCTTCCGACGGCGGCGGAGGGAGGTTGAAATAGTACAAAAGTAATGAAGAACAAGCTCACAGCCAGGTTGAGATCGTCTGGATGGGCTCCGATGTCCGTGGTAAAGCCTAGTACGATGGGTTAGTAGTGGCACGACTATGGGTGGATTGGACTGACCTTGCGTCTCAGCATTTCCCACGTTGCCGCGATCGAGGCCGTTGAAGAGGTACAGCAACGACAGAAAAGGCAAGAGCGCGATGTCAAACTTGCGGTTCAGCGCTCGGCTCATGGCTTTCTCTTCATTTGTCACGGGAATGTGGCCAGCAGGCACACTCCGGCCGGCCTCAGGTTCGGTTTCAACGGAAGACCAGCCAGCCTCGACATGGTCCGACTGTAATTTTTCAGACATTTGAGGCATCTGGGTCGACAAGGGAGGTGTTTTTAGAACAAGTGGTCGAGCAGAACTATGACTTTCGAATGTGTTGAAAAGGGATCATCTTCTCATCCTCACTTTGAGCAAGTAATCCAGCTTTATAGCACGCGCCCAGACATGGTAGTCAATGTTTTCGTGCACGGGTACCGGTGCCGCATATACCAACACTTGCTAGCGAAAACTGAGACGTGGAGAGCGCTAATTAGGGTGAGGAGAAGAAGTCAGAGATGTACTAGTAGTTGGTGGGGAGGAGCAGCCATCCGGAATGGGGAAAGCTAAGCCTCTGTCGAACAATGCGCGCGGATAGAGTACCCTGTGCAACTCCAACGGACGGCAATTTGTCTTCTTCTGCCATATCCGTCCATAAATACTGCCGGGGGACCAGCTTCGATCCGAGTTACTTAGACAGAAAGCTCCCGCCAAATACAAATCGACCATGATGGCATTTGACCACGGGGGTGCCCAGGAGCGCACGAAGACTCTCGATATAGGCTTCAATGGTGTTTCTCTGTCGACTGACTTTCGTGGGACGGTATGAATGGCTTCGAAGTTATCCAAAGGATAAAGGCTGAGAACGATGACAGATTCTGCAAATAAGTGCATTCCATCCAAAGCATGGCATTGTTCTGGCGGAACCATATGAGCAATTCGATGGAACCAGATTCAGAGACACTCCGTATGTACGAGAGTACCGAGCCCGAATGTTGAAGTCTATCAAAACGGGCAAGCCAGGCTTCGGGTTGCGCTTCGATGTCGAGTCCCGAGACACCAAGATAAATCTCGACGGGTTGGGGCGAGCAACAGTATCTTTCCGCACAGTTGACGGACTTGCAATCACGACGTGTCTGCGCGTCACCGAGGATGGAGAGGTCATTCAATCTTTGGAGGTGAAGTCTTCTTGTGACTCAACGTGCCATCTGAGGTACACCATGGACTATGGTATCAGCGTCAACCGGGCATCGGTAAGTATTTCGCATCACAATATGTTGCCATGGCGGGAGCTTTCCAGCCTTTCAACCCCGTCTCTTCTCAATGATGCTAATGATGAATCAGTATGGACAACTTACTGAGGGTGGGCCGATCCCAATTCCCAAGTCAGAGAACAAATTCAGTTTCGCCGACAGCGGCCGGGGCTTTTTGATCGTCAACGTTCCCCTTGGTGCACACCTTCAAGGACATATGGAAAGCGACGGTCAGCTGGTAGATATAGAGGAGGCTGTCCAAGAAAAGACTTTCGTGAACTCCCCCGTACAAGCAGCATATTCTCAGACCTTGGAGGTTCCGCCACGAGCGTCGAGGACGCTGACAGCAAAATTCAACTTGCGACCGGGAACAATTTCCCAGACCTCTCGCGGCGCAGATATTTCACCTGCCGCCGGGCTGCCGCTGCTCTGGCGAGACCACCAAGAGAATATCGGCAAATTGATCGTGCGTCGGAATCTTGAGTACATTCTGGGTAATTGCGCCGTCCCACTCTCGCCTTCCAAACATGCCGTTTGCCTCCTTACAGATCACGTTGCTCTACCGCTTGGTTGGATGAGAGACAACTAGTAAGTTTCAATAAGTCTTGACCCTTGATTATCGCTGCTGACCCGAGAAAGTTGGCAGATTCAATTCTTGATCCACGTATATCGGAACCTTGGTAAATTGACAGATCGAGAAACCTGCGCCGCTTACGGCGAAGTAATCAAGGCCACGGCGAAGGGCCATCTGACCTGGATCTTCCGATATGCACAGCGGCCCCACCAGTTTTGGCATCGGTCATATCTCACGACGGGCCGGCCCAAAGACGGGGCAGTTTTCCAGCTGGACCAACAGTGCTATCCGCTACTGGAAATCTGTGACTTCTGGGAGACCTTTCCAGGGGAGCAGGCATTTGTGGAGGAAATTCTGAAATCAGATGCTGTGTCTCAAGTCTTGGACCTCATTGAATCAAAGAAGGATCCTTCCACGGGACTCTTCTCGACCGATGAAACTCCAGGCGATGACGAGGTGGAATATCCGTTCCACTTCTCTAGTCACGTCTTGTTATGGCACGCGTTGTCCAAGCTTGCGAAGGTGTTGATGCAGGTGACGAGTTCTTCCATGGGGAAGAGACTGGCTGGTTTCGCCGAAGATGTGCGTACCGCAACATTGAAGCACTTCCTGTGTTCTGATCCAATGCGAGGTGCGCCGTCCTTCTCGTACCTGGTGGATGGAATTGGTCACCGGACATTTTACCACGATGCCAATGACCTGCCAACCCTTCTCGCTCCTCTGTGGGGTTTCATAAGGACCAGCAACGAGAAGCAAGCGTGGCACAACACCATGAACTTTGCATTCACGGCTGCAAATGAAGGAGGGTACTATGGAGAGGGAGCCTTTGGAGGTCTAGGAAGCGTCCACACGCCAGGACCGTGGACACTGGGATACTTCCAGGAGTGGAAGTACGCCCAGATGACCGGCAATACTCAGGGAGAAACTGTCGTATGGAAGAAGATCTGTGGCGCGATGTTGTGGGATGGGACATTCTCGGAAGCGGTCGACGGTCACTCGGGGATTTGTACGAGCAAAGCCTGGTTTAGCTGGCCTGGGTCGATGATCGGGAGCGGGTTGCTTCAGCCGGGAGTTCGAGAGAGGTACCTCTAGCACGGTCGGAGCGAAATACATCGCCAACGTAAGCGGGAGCCTGAAGATCACCGAAACTGCGAGCGATCAATTTTCTACAGCAGTCGGCAATCTCTCCACCGCTACATATTCGGGCGTGACAGGCACATTCTCGATCTACAAGATTGATTTCACAAAAGCCTCTACCGCATTCACCAAGATCGCCTCTGTCCACAAGCGAAAGATCTTGAATGGATCGACGCATGTATCGAGCAACCCCTCGATCATCCTTGCCGCGGATTCTGAGCAGGAAATCATCTACGATATCAATGCGGTCACGGGAGTCGTTTCCGCTGCCATTCAAAGCGTATACGCGCACGCATAAGCATACGCATATGCACGCTAATATTGGCCCCCACAAATTAAGCCAGTCTTCGCATCTATAAACGGACGCGCTGCTTAATGCGCCAGTGGGACACACTCGACCAAATGACCCAGTGATGGCCCGAATAGTGTTCATAGTTGAAATATGTGGTTTTTCGGAGTAGCGCTGTGGGCAACAGGGGCGAAGATATATATAATAGAGCCGTATGGTATTTAGGTATCTAAAGGAGAGAGAGTGTGTAATAGCTAGGTACCTAGGTACCTAGGTAATGTATAAAGAGTGCTAAGCCGCTAATAGCTCAACAGCGCCGTTCGAAGGCCTTCGGCCGAAGGCCTCAAACGGCTAGTAGTCAGTAATGGCTTTGACAGTCTTTACAACCCTTGGCATCCCTAATAGTCACGTGCTCGTCCAGCCATCCAGCCACCTCTGAAATCATGTGGCGCTAATAGGTCACGTGACTACGCCACTAGGTAGCTGCAATCCCTACGGGACCTTTCAACCTCAGTTTGACACAACCCTCCTCATCCATTCTCACTTTCTATTAACGCTTGAAAGGCAGTTGAAGGTGAGTCGAGGTGGCTGCGTGCTAGAATATCCTCCACAAGCATCTCGTCCATCTTTCTGCATCACCAACGCGCTATGTCAGCCGCCCCGAAGTCATTCCATCTTCGTCTGTGGTGGTAGGAGCCGCGCATGGAGCGTCTACCTGTCAATCCGCGACGACATAGAATTGCACCGGAGCAACGGAAGAGAGTTGCGCAAGCGTAGGCTCCCTCCCCCGCCCCTTGCATTGCTTGCATGCCTTAAAACTCACTCCGCTTGTTGAATCAAGATGCAATAATTGCAATGTGAAACGCGCCAAATGCTCCGGAGGCCAGCCATGCGAAAGATGCCGCAAATCGTCGCGCGAGTGCCTGTATCCTGAAGTTGTGGAGACTGTCTCGATTCCACGCCGCGAGCATGACGCGCTCAAAGCTAGGTGCGCGTTGCTGGAACAGGCACTCGCAGAAGCCATCCCTTCGCCACGCGAGAGGGACAAGTTGATGCAGCATATTCCAGCAAGGCACAGTGCCCCCGAAGGATCACGCCCTCCCAAAAATCCTAGTCAGGATATCGCCGAAGACACCCAACAGGTTCGGGAAGGACGAATCCTTCAGGATCCAGACGGCACAGTGCGCTACCTTGGTGAATCTTCAGGAGCCACGTTTCTAAACCACTTGCGAGAATACATGGCGACAGTATTCCCACAGGCATTTGGAGCCGCGTCGTCACGCGCCTCGAATCCTGATGCGACAGCTTTTATCTCGGCATTGGGAAAATACCAAACCCACGATAGTCGTCCTCTGCTGACCTCTACGGTCGACCCTCTCATATCGGCGACGAATGAACAAGCTGCGGCGATGCTCTTGGAGTTCCAACACTCAGCTCAGGATGGTGGAGGGACTTTCGCTTCCGGTGGCATCCATTACTGGATCAATGTCCAAGCGGTACTGGACGAGTATCGAGCTTTTGTTGACGGTGTGAGGACGATCGAGGCCAGTCCCAATATCGTGACCGCCAATGCGGCATTTGCTGTTGCTTGTCAATTCAACTCAAAATGTGCACCACCTTGGGAAACCGGATTCGGACAGACCTTCTTCGCTAGAGCAAAAAGCCTGTTGGGAAATCCCCTTGACCATTCAACCATCAATGATGCAACCGTCCTGGCTCTTCTGGGGGTTTACCTGCTCAACAGCAATCGCCGTGACGCTGCTTATATCTATATTTCTATTGCAATGCATATTCTTATCGTCCATGGAGTTCATCGGGCTTGGATGGTCGATGAGCAAGGCAAACGACTGTTCTGGACCGTATATGTCCTAGATCGGTAGGCCTAGAGCTCGACCCTTGATCTTCAGTCTCGCTTACAAGTCGCAGTTGGCTAAGTTGTTTGATGGGTAGACCGGCCCTTATTTCCGACGACGCCATCAAATTAGACCTGCCCCGTGATTCAAGGTACACCCAGTCTTCTCAAACTGTACGCGTGGTGGACTGACAGGTTGAAGTAATCTGCCTCCTGCTGCTGGTCTTCGCGCCCATATCGAGCTTTCCAGGGTCTCGAACTACATAGTCTCAAATGTGTATGATGTTGCACGGCAGATCGAGGAACCCCTCATGACAACCTTATGCATTCAGAAGTCCCTGAGATTATTGAGATCTTGGTCCGAAAACCTCTCTGCCACGGTTCTAGCCACAGAAGAGAACTTGAGCCTCGATCGGGCTGTTGGGGAACTGCACATGGCGCACAATCAGGTGAGGTGATCGAGAGGCCCGGGGACAACTCCGCTGACGTCGTAGCTTATTATTCTGACTGTCCGACCTTTACTGTTTATTAATGTCAAGAGAGTCACAGCGGACATGCTTTTGAACGGTCGAACCATTGGTCATGAGATATCGCACAAGAATGAACTCGATCTCTGCGCAGATGCTGCGCGAAGAAATGTCCATCTGTGGCATCGACTTTTGAACCTGCAACGACCAGCAAGGCTGTCTGTTTCCAGCGTGCATTATTTGTTCAACGCTGCTCTCGTGTTGCAGCTTTATCAGCTTCTGGGCCATGGCGAGGCACAAGACTTTGAGGAAGTGGGTTTTGTCATTTCCAACCTGGATGTGGACCAAAGCAGCAACAAAGAGTACGCAGCCGATTGTGCCAGAGTCCTCACCGACTTCAACTCGCTCATGGCCAGACTCCAAAATGTCGATCTGTCAAAGGCAGCCTCCCGAATAGAGAATGTGCGCGACCGTGTACACGGCTTGCCGTCCAACTCTTCAATCATCCTCTCTCCCAACAGTGAGACCAGTGTGACAAGTTGGACAGAGTCCCACCATCAATACCGATCTGATTCTAGCGAAGTGAATGCCGAACGCACCGACTTGCCCATGTATGATCATCGAACTTACAATGAGCTTCTTTCTTGGCTAGAAAGCGATGATCTCCAGCAGAAGTTCGACTTCCCGCACCGCTTTGGATGAACCTCTGCTCACAAGTCTTGACGGGTTGAGAAACGTCAAACCTGGCAAGTACCGATAACACTGGGTAAGGCCAGACTCTGCCATACACAAGGTTCGACATCTGGATGACGCTATCTCGGACTTTTAATGGCGGCCGACCACATAACAGGGCATAAATTTCAAGAGAACAACTTGTTGCCGACCCTGGCTTTTTCCTGGCTTATACGGACGAAACGGCTCACGGTCACGTGCTGTCAGCCAGCGATTGACTTGATAATGGCCTCTGTCATTGCTTATTGGCTTATGACTGGATCAGTGCCCTATACTTCAATTGACCATGAAGCCAATGGAGACAGACACCATTTTTATGTCTTGTCTGCAAGATATATACTGCCCAAGACTCCTCCAGCTCGAAAACTCCAAATGGCTGCACAGGTTCAACAGCTTTCACAATGGCTTCTCCTCACGCCCCCGTTGATCGGTTTCTCAAGGGCATCAACACAGCAGATCTCGAGCTCATGTTGAGTGCCTTTGCATCGGATGCTGAGGTCATTGACGATGGAAAGAGTTTCACCGGAGATGCCATTACAGCCTTGTGCGAACCTGGCCGAGTATGCAATAATCCCAAAAAGAAATGCCGTGCCTAGACCCGAAGGGCTCGATGCGAAGTCCGCAAGCGTCATGGGGATTGCCTGGCTGACAGCTTACCGCATGTTGTTCACCCAGGCAAAAGTCAGAGCCGGCCAAACCGTTCTCGTGCAAGGATCATCTGGTGGTAAGCACCCAATTCAGCAGTCTGGATATGCCTGGGTTATACAATGCGCCATGACGGCTAACTTAACACCATCTACAGGCGTGACGACAGCACTCATTCAGATGGGCTCAGCCGCTGGCTTCCGCGTATGGACAACGGGGCGGACGAAAGCGAAACGCGAGCTCGCAAGCTCGCTTGGTGCAGAACGTACTTTCGAGCCTTCAGCAAAATTGCCTTTTCTTGTGGATGCCGTCTTCGACCCGGCGGGAGCATCGACAATTTCCCACTCTCTATCCTCTGTCAAACCAGGCGGAACGGTCGTGTCGTGCGGGATTCACTCCGAGGGCGGCTCGTCAGATGTCACGATCGACCTGTTACACCTGATGGCAAACCAGATCACTTTGACAGGGGTCTATACGGGCACGCGGGACGAATTTGTCAACCTGCTGGATTTTGTGACGGCTGCCGGTATCAAGCCGTATATCGGCAAAGTACTGCCTCTGGAGAGGGCCACCGAGGGACTGAGGGATATTTGGGAAGGCAAAACGAATGGGAAAATTGTAATCGAAATCTGAGGAAGTGAGGAAGTGAGTATGTGTACTCGGTACTGAGTAAGAGAGGAAGTGTCAGAGAGGAAGTGAGACTGTCAGACAGTCAGACAGTCAATAAAACTCCGAATGAGCGCCGAGCACGCCGAGGCGGAATCTGCCGAGTCTAATATTGCCACTAGAACATAAGAGGTATAACGCAGTACCCGGTAATTTATCTGCTAATTGGTTGGTGGATGACGGCTACGCTCCTCGCTTATCTACAGAAAGTCATCACCGACATCGACTCCTCGATATAAGTTCAACTGCTTGCACCTCATGAGCAACGGTCAAAAAAGAGGTTCACCACAGTGGACTGGTGCTCATGCAACCCATCACAGCTTCCAGACTTGCTACTTGTTCTTCTAGCACCCCAAGATTGTCATAAGACTACTCCCATGGCTCTTTGGACTGGCTTTCCGGCCGGCACCGGACTGAAGCTGAAGGAAGACGCATATCTGGTGCCCCGGAAGTCACTCAAATGTAGAGCAAAGAGCCATGACTTCGAAAGAAAACTCTCGTGCAGATTCATCATTTCTGGAGAGGTACAGTTGGGTCTCCATTGTGCTCCGCGATGGAGGCTCTGACGTTCTTGCAGATCCTCGAGAATATCGATCCACGATCCAAGGGCCAATCTATTCTTTTAAAGATGCCCTATGAGATTCTTCTCGTCATATACGACAGTCTCGCCCACGCCCCATCCCAGGTTGCCTTGGCACTATCCTGTAAACGCATGGCTGTTGTGGCCCGAGACGTTCAGCTGTCCCTCTCACCCACCTCGCCAAAATATGCGGGGTTCCTCCCCCGGGCTGTCTTTGATGTCCCGGAGCTTATGACCCAGTTGAAGCCCTGGATGCCGGCTGACTTGCGTTTATGCAACCACTGCCTCACCAACAGACCTCGCCGCGAGGAATATTGGGACACCATCGTGGGCTGCGAGATCAGCAACTTCTGGATCCAGAAGACCGGTTGGAACTTTCACAATGCGAGCTGGCACAAGCAGGTCCACGACATTTGCCCTGCCTGTCAAGCTTCTTGTACAATGAGCGATTTTAATGACTGCGAAGGTTGTCGAGCCCTCGGACGCCTTGGCGACGTGGACTGGACCAGAGTATCCGACTCCTGGAGAAGGAGGACAGAAGAAGAACTTCGAGCCGGTCGATTTGCAACTGGCCCCGAATGAGATGGTCCCAAACCGTGAATGCTAGAGGACTGGCCCTAGACTGAGCTGGATGCCGATTTCTAGTTCGATTCATTTCCACGAGTTCAGCCAAGGATGTTGACTTCCCAGCACTCTCATGTGATCGATGCAGATCAAATGCAAGATCAAGGTGGCATGCTCGCTAGCCATGGGTACGTTGTCTATGCTCCGGAGATGACCAAATCCGCCTGAGGGCACAGTTACAAAGAGGCCATGAGTCAGAAAGGAGTGTAAGGGGGCTACACCCAAAGAAACGGAAAAAAACCAGTATTTCGCAATATTGCCAATCCAGGTGGTCCCATGTAGGTCAGCTTCATAACAACTTGCCGATACAACTACCGTCAGTCCAGAAGTATTCCAGGCCATCCATTTGTGCTTGCCTCCTGCAAAATTCGACTTTGTGGTATCCTATCTTGGACCGGCCGGAATGCTCCACTATAATTTTAAAAGTGACTTCCTGGTCATACGCCTTCCGGGTATACGAGAGCATGGCGTAGTGTGGCACGTCAACCTCGGGGAACGGTGTCAGGCAAGGTTCCACTTCTAAGTCAGGCCCTGACAAGGGCACATCAGAGATCACTTCATTACGGTTAACCGAAAGACGCTTGGGATTTGCTCAAAGGAGATATATCAATGTAGGCTATAGTGCAGGCGACGAGAATTGCCTTGTCTGGATGATAGGACAGGGCCTGGTGAAACAGAAGTAGATTGATTCAGACAATGCGGAAGTTCGTGTGAAATGACGCGGCGGGCTGTGTCTCTGACTCAACCTTGTGCTCAAGGAACCGAAGCTTTTAAAAGTGTTCCTGGACAGAGATTACAGCGAGCACCTGGCTTGAGTCGCAATACTTTTCTGGCGAGTTCGACATGACAATCGGAAGAAACTCAGCCGTGAGTCCTATGAAAGCAAGATCTGGACATTCTGGAATCTCAGACGCTCAAGATCTTCCATCGTCTCCTGCGAAACTCGGGTGCCCCGATAGGTGATTTGTGACGTCGATAAACGTCGTGACAGGGCCGGCATCTTGGATAGTGCCTCCCAAGACTTTGGTTCCTTTATCTCGTCAACGAGCTTGATGCCTAATACCCAATGGCATGCTTCCAGGACTTGGAACTTCACCAACTCCTCGGCCGAGTCTTCCTCCGGCAAGCCGTCTATATCACTCTCCAAGGTTAGCTGGACGATACTCCCGCTCCACAATCCTGCAGCGCTGTCTTCGCCCCACGCAATATCAAGTGCAATTTCAGCGACTTTTGCCCCTGTCCAACTGCGGTGGAAATTGACCGTGGCAGCACCAGAAGCGTCTGGGCCATCCGCATAGATGAACCATTTATCCTCCATTTCCACGGGAGCGAATCCATGGATCAGCTTGCCAAGGCTCTCGGGAGAAAGTGGAACATTCCACGGCAAGTGGTACTGCTTCACAAAGGGCTCAGCCTTTGCCCATGAATGCTTTGTGGTCCGTGTGCTTCGGAGAAAACCCTGTCGGCCGAAGAGTCGGTGGTGGGCTAGATCTCTCTCGGTTTGAGCGCCTGGAAAAGGCTTGCCATTGTCGTCTTCATGCTGAGCTTCTTCCTCTTCCTCCTCTCTTTCGTCCGTCGGCTGTGGTGCTGAAGGCTGTGCAGATTGACGTGCCGACAAGTCAAGGAGGGATGTTTGGTCGCTAAGGGACTGGATCCCGGCTTGCGATTGAGACGCAACCTTGGAAAATTCATCCGCCATGTCTGATGTTCGTCTTGTGCTCTAGACTTTTGTCTTCGATAGAATTAATCGGCCACTCGCCTAACTAGTTCAGTTTTTATGCTTTTCGCACACTGATGCTGAAACCTGCTCGTACTTGAGAAAGCGTCTAGACGTGCCCGGAGGACTTCAGCCTCAGTCAGGCAACATTCCTTGGCGATCATGAAAACGCCTTGGCTTCAACAGGCTCTCTACAGTACATTAGCCGCAGACTCAAAGTGACAAGGCAGATCTAATGCCTCGCAGCATCCAAGTCCCAAATGCTGACACACTCACTCGTCTTATATCGTCTCATGGTGCAATTATAAGCTGCATCGCATTAGCTGTCAAATGATTATGGCCCTTGCCGGGACTTGCGAGGTCTGTGGGAATCTGGGGGCCTGCCACACCGAAGTTTCTGCGGCGGCACTTGTGCAAAGTGCTGCAAGCGGCTGCCCAGCGTGCTCGATCCTGAAGGACGGTGTCTTTAACTTGGTGGAAGATTTCGAGCAGATCGACAAGCTCCAGCTGGTGGTAGATCTGTCTCTGTTTGTTTATCTACTGGGAAAGCAAAGGGAACGGCTTGGCGTTCTCGAATTCTACACCCTTCCAGGTACGTGACCAGATATTTCCGTCTACTGAGACTACCTAGATATTCTGTCTTCATCGGCAACGTCCTTGATGAAGCTGATCGAGCGTCTTATGAATCAGATCGTCCCGTTCTTTGGCCCAAACTAGGCCCAGCACTACATGTCTCCGAAAACTCATCAAGTGATGAGTGCATTGCTTTGGCTAGACGATGGCTCAGTGGTTGTCTCTCATCGCATCCAGCCTGTAGAAGGCTTGGTACTCCGATTCTGCCTACCAGGGTCATAGAGGTCGGAGCTTGTGATGAGGACATAAAACTTTACGTCAACGGATCTGAAAAGAGGGCCGAATACGCCGCTCTATCTCACCGCTGGGGGGGCGGCCAACCCATTGTCTTGACCAAGTCGACCCTGGAAGAGAAGCAAGAACGGCTCGTCTTGGACGACTCGTCAAAAACCTTCAAGGAGGCAGTGGATGTCACTCGACGACTTGGAATTCCATATCTTTGGATCGATTCGCTGTGCATTCTGCAGGACGATCACTCGGACTGGGAAAAAGAATCACCGTTGATGGGTAGTGTATACAATAGCGCTACTATCACTCTCTCCGCCGCCTCCTCTATCAATACCGCTGGTGGTCTCTTCCCGCGAGGGGAAGACAGACTGAGCAGAAATAAAACGCTCAAATTAGCCTGCGCAGGACCAAGCGGAAACCAGGAATTCGTCCATGTCAGAGCTCGACATAAGGACCCTTTCAACATTCATGAAACTGTCCATTCCTCACAGGAACCGGAGCAACCATGCTTGCGATCGCGAGGATGGGTATTGCAAGAAGATCATCTGTCACCGCGAATGCTCCACTTCCGAAAAGAGGAGCTTGCATGGACCTGCTCGACGTACTCACGATGCGAATGCCGGACTCGACCCTCTCTCCCGCTCCCACACCCTTTTCGCGCGGCGCCAGGGACAAGGGAGAAGACCCCGGAACTCACATATACTTTGGGCATCCAGTGGCCGCCCATGGTCATGGACTACTCGCGCCGCGATTTGACAAAAGCATCCGACCGTGTGGCTGCGTTGTCTGGGCTGGCAAACTATATGGAAGACCAGACGTCTGACACATACTACTGCGGGCTGTGGTACGAGGACTTGCGATTTCAGTTGCTCTGGTACGTCGATCGGAGTGGTTGCACTGGACCCGTCCCCAGTCGTTTTCAGTTCCCGTATGCCCCCACGTGGTCCTGGATGTCTGTTCCTGCTCCCATCAGCTACTACGAGAGATATCCCGTTGGCAGCGCGCCAAGTCACCGGGCAATCCGTTCCGCTGATGCTGTCGCACCTCTTCTCACCATTATCAATGTCGGTCGTCTTCCTGTCGACTGGGATAATCTAGTTGGGCCTCTGTTAGTGTGCCCGCTTTTGGTCGTTGCACGCGTCCTGCCCGTCCATTTCGACAATGTAACCAAATGGTGGATCGCCGAACACCCGGTTACAGATTTCGACCCGGAAAACCTTCGGGTGAGCATTGACGTTGGGGAGGACAGGCCGGAGCGCTCTCCTGAGGCATCGTACGTCTTCATCCTAGCCGGCCGCTGGGTAGGTCAAGGCATGACTATTGCGTGTATGGAGGCAGTGTGCATACTGGCCCGGCGCATGCCTGAGCAAGCTGAGCCAATAATCGACCTTGCTCGGAGATTCCAACGCCGCTTTGGTGATGATGTGGAAACTACCGGCAGCGACTCTAACGATGCTGAAGGTCCGATAATGCCAGAAATGGACAATTCATACGAACGCGTAGGATTGGTACGGGGCGCAGGATCTCTCCAAGCGTGGACCCAGGCGAACGTACCAGTCGAGGCAGTATTTTTGTTCTGAAATGCGAGACTACGTATTATCGACCTTGCAGAAATTAGCTTGGTATTGCAGCGTTGTTCGCTGAAATAGAGCTGAAGATGGAATGCACATTTTACCCGCTTTTTCCTTACCCGATGTTTTATGAGGCTTCGTTGGTTATCGAGAAGCGACAACGACGGCCTCTGGCAAAATAGTGAGCTCCACTCCGGGTTATACTGGTACAGTGGCGTTTGAGAACGAAGCTCATCATGGCGGTTTAAAAGTTGTTGGAGCATCTTTTACATCTGAATGATTTCCGGCCACGCCTATCACAGGCTCAAATACCACCATAGATGACGGAGGCCTTGCTCCTGTTCCCTGGACACAATGCGTCTACCCATTACATCCCTTGACACATAGTCCAAACGCGCCCAGGCATCTGAATTCTCTCGATACGGAAAAATGCCCGGTGTGCTCCCTTGTTCCACCTTAACCAGGACCGTTCGATTCGTCCGTTGCTGAGTCGGGCCGAGGCAGTGGTTCCTGAGGCTTGCGCGCCATGATCTCCAACCTGTGCGGAGAAAGCGGAGTCGACTTCGACAACAAACCTGCGAGCCTGGTGAGCCTCGTCGTGCTGAATACAATCTTTCCTAATCTCCAGCAACGAACAAGACCATGCCTCAGGATCTCGACATAGCGTCCATCTGCGCCGAAATCGCTCGGTCGTACTCGCCCTGCGACGTCTCCGACGCGCTGTTGAAACTCCATGTCCCTTGGGCCGGCTACCTTCGCGACATCTCGCCCATCCCCGCTCGCCATGGCTCCAGCAACCGCCTCGTGGCCCCCATCAGCACAGTGGTCTTCGTCGACACGGCCCACGCGCCAGGCACGCAGTATGACGGCATAATCGTGCCCCCGGAGTCCAATCTCCCAAATGACAAACACTTCTCCGACGTTGCGCCGGCCGGCTCGGTGGTCCTCCTGCAGCAACCCTCGCACCAGATCGCTGCTCTGGTCGGCGATATCGTGGCGACGCGGTACAAGGTCCGTGGCGTCCGAGGCTGCTTCATCGACGGCCGGGCACGGGATGTCGTGGGATGCGGTGAGCTCTGCAAGGACGGAAACTTTCAATGCTGGGCGAAATCACTGTCAAGTCCCGGCACGAGTCTCCAGGGAAGGCCGTGGGCGGTGGATGTGCCGATCAAGATCGGAGACGTGGTGGTGGAGCCGGGAGACGTGTTGGTGGCCGACGAAGCGGAGATGGTTTGCTGTGTGATTCCCAGGGCAAAGTTGAAGGAGGTGATGGAGCTGTTGCCCGTGCATAAAGAGGCAGATGATGGATTGTTGGACGATGTCAGAGGTGGAATGGGCTTCAAGGAGGCGATCAAGAGGTGGCCGAAGCATTATAGTAATCATTGAGTCTTAGAGATCAGCCTCTTATTACCTAGGTATAGCCGAAACGGACTATTATAGATATAAGCGAGTAAAGTTACGATGAGACTAGATGTTCGTAACGTTGGCGCCTATACGCCTAAAGCCCGAACGGGAGCCTTACCGGTATATAAGGGAGTACGGTAGGAGCGGGCTAGAGCCGTAAGAGAGTGGAAGGGAGTCGAAGAGGAGCGTGAAAGAGAGGAACAGAATAGAAGAAACGCTTAGAAAGCGGACGACGAGCTCCCACCTCCACGTGGTGTCCGCTAGGACCTCTCAGAGGAAGAGTCAAGCTTGTCTCTGAGTGCCAGGAGCTCAACAACGCGGTGATCGTCTCATGAGCGACACGTCGAAAGCCACGAAAATCACCCTCTGCATCTCACGAAACACCGCAACATCACAGCCACTGTACACACAAGAGGGAGTCGCGCCCCTTTTCATCTACACCCCTGGACGGAAAATGGAGCTCGGTACTCCATCTTCCTGCCCGACGATGGTTTACGGTATCGGAGATTGAACCGAGTCCTGGCATCGCTGATACTCATCGACCTACGACGAGTGTGCCAATTACTTACTGTACTATACGCACCGAAGACTCGGTGGATAACAATTCAAACTCAGCATAGCCCGTGCCTGAGGGAGTTTTGCACAGTCGTCGCCATCCACGCGTGTCTCTCGTTATCTCCTCCCCCAGTTCTACCGGCCCTCATCGAGAAAGGGAAATTCGCACAAGTCGTCCAGTCCGAGCGCGGGATCAAACACTCCGGCGAACTCGTCGCGGATCTGGGAGTCGAAGAGCATGTAGTCCTCCGCTCCGGCCGCCATGCCTCCTCCAACCCCAACATTCCAGTTGTCGCCTAGACCACATATTCCTTCTGTAGGAGTCGGTCTCATTCTGGCAAAATAACCCACTTCCTTTTCATTCGGCTCTTGTCGCCGTTCTTGCTGCTTTTGCTGATCTGGTTGTGGTTGATGTTGTTGCTGCAGCTGCAGCTCCTGCTGTGCCGCGGGTTTCGCGCGGCGGGCCGCCAAAATCTTGGCCTGGACGTCTTCGAGGCCCTTGAGACGGTCCCAGGCACGCAAGACCGGGCCGGACCTGTTGCTCAGCTTCCTCAACAGCATCGAGGCCGCGCGGAGCGTTCCCCGGATCTCGGCCCAGTATTCGGCCGGGGCGTGCACCACGATCAGCAAGAGATTCCCCAGGCTCGAGACGATGAAGTGCTTGAAGAAGGTTGCGTGGGTGTACAAGAGGCTGGTGGTGGCGTCGAGATCGGACAACGTCTGAAGCGAGTCCTTTGCGATCCTCAGAGCCGTCAGCGTGTGCTCCAGGTCACTGTTGATGCGCGAGGCCGACTGCAGCAGCGGCCGGTAGATGACATTCCGCAACTGGTTGGAGCGGACGCAAAGCGCGACGCCGAGGTAGAAGCGCTGCAACTCGTCCGCGTCGCTGTTTGCCGCGTCCGGTATGGCCGTCTGTCCGTGCACGTATCGGATAGACACAGGGATCTGCTTCTGCCACTGTCGAACTTGATAGTCGAGATAGTCAATGTCTTCGTGCACCACGTGCGGCTCTTTGCTGGGAAATTCGTTGTTCATGTGCCAGGCCTTGGCGGAGAGCTTCGCGAACGGGATCATGACTCGCAGGTAATCATGGTCGAAGTCGATGGACAACAAGGCCGGATCAACAAGGCTGTCTTGGATGACAAAAGGCACGCCCAGGCCGAGGCTGGATCGACGGTCGAGCGTGTAGACCGACCAAAAGATCCTCAAAACCTCCTTGCGGGCGTCTTCTCCGGGAAAATGCTTCAGCAGGGTCTCGCGGCGATGAAGGCCCATCTCTAGACATCGTCGCGATGCGAGACAGGAATATCTGCTAGCGCGAAGTTCGTCGTCGAGATTATAGTAGAACAGTGCCTGTCATGAGAGGACATCAAATCTCAGTTAGTCCTTGGGCATCCAACACAGACTACGGCCTCGAAAAGCCTTACCGTCAAGACAAGGAGTTGGACGCCGCCGAGCCCTTCCACATTCATCAGCGAATCATCCGACGCGTCGAGCACGGTTTGCATGAGTTCTGTCGCTCGGTGCGTCCCTGCGGCGCCTAGTTCGGTCATCATGCCGATCGCAAGCTGGATCTTGAGGATCTGGGTGTCGACGCTGAGCATGAGCTCTATGAGACGGCCGGAGCCACCCAAATGCGGGCGTCCTCGCGCCACGTCCAAGCTGTCCAGCAAGACTTGGGCTTTTGATGCGAGGCGCAGCCTGTTGGTCACCGGATACATTGCCCCTATCGTACGGTGAAAGGTGTCGAAGTACTTCAGCACGTCCGACCGCTCCATCGTCCAAAGAGGATCCCGACCCAAAAGCCGCGGGAAGAGCATCTTCTCGGCCGATGCACTGTGTGGCGGGTGGAGCAACGACGGAGATTTGGTCGGACGATGTGAGTTACTGAATGCGCATCCCACACCCAGCTTGGTCAGGCTCTCATCCGCCACTTCAAAGGTAAACTCGGAGCTTGTGGGTCCGTGATACTCTGGGTAGATCGTGGCAGAGTCGTCCTCGGCGTCGAGCGGCGGCGTCGACTTTTCTCTTTCTTCAGGTTCGGTTAATTGCGCCGTACTTACAGGCTGGGCAAACTCGTCTCTGGATTCGAAGGGCTCTGGAGCATTGTGGGTGCCTGCCACCATTTGCTGGCCCGCGTGCGTCGAGCTGGGAGGAGATATCGCATTGATCTTCTCATTCAGGAGATCGACTTTCTCCATCACTGCCTGAATTTGACTGGCCATTTGACGCCATTCTCCACCTCGCATGTCTGATGCTTCTCCAAGCCCGGGGAGAATGTCTCTGCTTGAAGGTCCTGCTGGTCCTGCCGGTCCTGCGCAACCATGGTTTCGCGCTGGTCGATAGTAGTTGCACTGCACCATGCTGCCTACACATCTCTGACAAGGATCCTGGCCATCGCAGCGAACCTTGCGTCGTTTGCATTCATTGCTGGAGCCACTGGGTTCAATTTCACTTCGAAAGCAGGAAGCAGGAATGATAATGCTCACCAGGCACTCGAAACATAACGAGGTCGCTTGGGTTTGTGGGAATGATCCGCACTTTCGTTGCAGCTGTGCTTGGACGCAGATATGTTACCCTGGGGCGTCATTGTCGCGGTGGCCGCGGTATAATCAGAGAGAGTGTGAGGGATGACAATGGTAAGCTGTGGGGAATCACACTCTTTTTCAGGGATCGGAAGAAGAATCATCACGGGCATCGTGATGCTCCTCCACCCGCCAGATCTTCATGCTCACCCCAGGCCAAGGTTGTGGAGCCGTTGACCCGAGACTACCTGGTATCCGCTACGACTAACGTCAATCCGGGGATTACTAGGTACACTACCGACACGGAGTATGGCGCTACAAAGAGTGCCTCGGCTCCATACTGCTTATTTCACTTCTAAGCACCCAGGTGGTAGTCTGCTTGCTATCAACAGCCTGGGACACGGAAAAGATGGCTGAGCTATCGCCAACTACCCTGCATGAAATTTGTTCCTCTCAAGGCATTCCCCATAGGACTCAAGCCTCTCCTTTCCAACTCTGTGCATGCAGACCGTGGCAGTTCCTCACACCACTGCTCCTTCCTTTAAACCCTTTTCCAGGGCCGATAGATTGTGAGGAACAAAACGGACCTTATAAGCCTTGGGCTGCGTGGTTAAAGCCGCCGGGTTGGCGACGCCCTTGATCGGAGAAGTCTCGAGGATCCCATCCGGTACAACCTTGAAACTGTTCAGGACCCTCAGGAAGAGGACATAAAGCTCCCGGTAGGCCAATTGCGTGCCCAGGCACATTCTCGATCCGGTGCCGAACGTGAAGGTCGGAGCCTCGGGCCTCTCAACCCATCGCTCCGGTCGAAACACCTCTGGATCTTCCCACAAGTCGGGATCTGTCGAGATTAAGCACATGTCAGACAGGGCGAATCAGGGAGGTGTGCTCGAAGTCTGGAGGTCTTACCCATGTTGCAAGCCCAGACGTTAAGGAACATCACCGTCCCCTTTGGGATCACCTTGTTCTCGTAGACAAAGTCCTGAATGGTACAGCGCGGCAGTGATAGTCGAGTCACAGAATAGAACCTGATATCGGCTTTGAGCATGGAATCGGTCCTTCCGATGGATCAAAGTATGTGCTTACCTCAAGATCTCCTTGATGACTGCTACCAGATATGCACAGCTTTGATCGTCCGCGGCGTCACATAACGGGTTGTCGGACGAATAGGTCTCGCGGATGGCGGCGAGTGCCTTCTTCTGAACATCCTGTCTATCCGCCAAAATAGCCAGTCCCCACGACACGGCCGAGTTCATGGTGTCCAAGCCGGCGGCCAACAGTGTTAGATTGAGCGAACTGAGTTCCAGCTTGTTGAGCTTTGCCTCCTCGTCGAGAAGCACGTTGGCCCTCATACATGGCTTGTAAGCCCCTGTGGCAATCCGATCATCCAAGTCCTTGTCCAGGATTTGCATGTATCTATCCCGCCGGATTTTCATATCTGTAGCCACGGCAGACTGCTTGTTGAATGGATTGAGGCGAAGAAGCGGGATATAGTCCTGTAAGTTTCCTGTTGTGCTCCGGAAATTGCTGATGGTGTCTTCGACGTGCACAATCTCATGAAACAGGTTGTTCTGTGACTCCATGCGAGTTCCCCAGTGGAGCGTTAGGCCAATGCTCATGTTCATGCGCAGAAAGAGTGGCATCGGGTTAACTCCCTTCTTGCCACGGTCACCTTCACGCAGCGCCTCCGAGAGGAACGTCCGGGTTTCGCGGTCGAGGTGAGGAACATAGCTGGCGACCGCCGGTCGATTCACCGCTGTTGCTATTGCCTTCCTTCTTCTCTTTGTCGACTCGGACCAGGGACTGGTCCCTAATGTTGTTCCCGCAGTGTCCGAGATGATCTCAATTTCTCACGTTAGGGCGAGCTGTATGTAAATAAGAACTTCCTCAACGGGGACTCACTTTGTGAAAGGTATAAAACTCTGGCCTCGAACTCGTGGCATGCGAATTCTGGTTCAGGATCACCTTTGCTGCCGTGGCGGAGTTGATCACAAGGACCGGTATATTCCCCAGTTGTATTTGGTAAACAGGGCCATATTTTCTGGCCCATTGGCGATACTGCTCTGGTGCATCCTTGTGTCGAATCTGCAGCAGATTACCCACAATCGGTGCTCCAGGTGGCCCTTTGAACCCGGGTACTCGCGCGAACCAGCGGACGAGTTCGTAGACAACGAACGCAATGAGGCTAAGTGCGGCGGGTATGAGGACACTTTGAGGTATATTTTGAGTGAGGTTGCTAGCAAACATCACGGCCATTGAGACAGCCTGGCATTCATCCAAGGAGCAGGGGCTTAAACTGACTCTGTCAGGGGATTTTCTGTAACCGTAGTCCTATATGAGCTTGTAAAGCCAGCCTGGTGGTCATGAGCCTTTTCTAATTTGGCGTTCGAGCAAGTGAGCCCCAAACATGTGCTCACTCAGCCGTCTCGCAGGAAGTACTCGTGCTTTGAGGCGGAATGTCCTTTCCGAGCCTCCGAACGGCCGCGAGCCTCACAAACGAGAACAGGCTGTCTGTCTACACAGATGTTTCCCACAAATCCCGGCCATACTCCGAGATCCCTGCATTTATCTCCGCAAGAGCTTTCGAATAAAAAGGTGCAGTAGAACGTTTGGGCTTGTTGGCATTCGGACTTCCCCCGTTCATGTCAAAAATGTCAGGACTTAAACTTCCGTTGCCAGATCGTCCTGTGGTCAGCTTTGTGCATTCGGCACATTGCTGATGGATTGCTATCCCGGATACTGGCCGCGCTGGAATTTCAACATGTCACAGAGGAGACCTTTCAAGGATATTGAATTGACACGTCCGGCCTTCGACCGCTCAAGCAGATTTGCCCTGACAGCTACCGTCTCCCCTGACTGGCAATGGGGCGGCGGCGCCAACGACCAAGGCTCTGGATTCGAAAAGAAGCACATCGAAATCGACCCGAATGCACCAGGGCGACCTGTCACGAGCAATTACAAATTGTTGATTTCAGGCATCATCCCCAGGCCGATCGGCTTTCTCAGTACTCAAAGTGAGGATGGCGCCTCGCAGAACCTGGCCCCGTTCAGCTACATGCAGGTTGTCAATCACGACCCTCCGGTATTTGTGGTGGGAATAGTTGGATCGAATGACAAGGACACCTTGAAGAACCTGAAAGCAACCGCCGAATGCGTCATCAACACGATTAGCGAACATTTCGTCGAGGCTGCTAACGCCGCCGCCATTGACGCTCCCTACGGTGTGAGCGAGTGGCAGCTGACAGGGTTGACGCCAGCGCCTTGTCGAGAAGTCCGGTGCCCTCGAGTCAAAGAGAGCATCTTCAGTATAGAAGGGAAGCTCCTCGAGATCAAAGATTTTGAGAGCAAAAGCACAAGGGGGGCCAAATCTGGATCCATGGCCATCGTAGAAGGAGTACGTTTCTGGATTCGCGAGGATGCCCTCAGCGAAGACCAAGCCACCATTGATCCAGCTGTATTGCGTCCTGTTTCTAGATTAGGGGGAATCACATACGGGCGGACTACAGAGGCCTTCGAGATACCTAGGCCTAAATACGCAGAGCACCGAGACCACCTTGCAAGTAGACAGCGCAAGAATTAAGATCTTTGTCTGTTGGAGACCTGCATCCTCCCACGTCAACTGCTTAGAAAGAATCGTTGAGAACGTAGTCGTTGCTCGCGACCTCCGAGGCCACGGAAACTCGGCTCGGAACAGCGCATTTGCCTTGAAGCATTCCTCCACTCATTTACTTCTGTCAATGCACATTTTCAAACTCTTGTACAGCAAGGCAAAAATTTCAATACAATATCATAGAGTAGGACGAAATCAACGCGATGGCGCCGACATCATGGCTGGACGTTGCCTCGGACTCTCCGTTCTCCCTGGCTAATATTCCATTTGGCGTGGGCATCTTTCCTGGACATGACAAGCCGTCCGTAGCTGTTGCTATTGGCGAATATGCGATGAACTTGGCAGTATTTGCCTCCAGTGGCGGATTCTCCCAGCTCGCAGATGTTCAAGGCCATGCTGAAGTCTTTGACCAAACAGCCCTCAATACACTTGCGGCCCTCGGACGACGCTTTTCGGCAATTGTACGGCGCTTTTTACAAGAGATTCTCAAAGAGACAACGCCATATCCTCACCTCCTCAAGGACAATAAAGATTTGCAATCTCGATGCCTGGCGCGGTTGACGGAGGTGGATATGCGTCTCCCATTCAACATCGGCGATTTCAGCGACTTTTATGGGGGCATGAACCACGCATATAATGCCGGGGCGCTCTTTCGGGGTCAGAATGGAGCACTGCTACCCAACTACCTGCATCTTCCCATGGCCTACCATGGTAGATCATCTTCGATATATGTCTCTGGAACACCAGTACGAAGGCCTTGGGGACAGATTGTGGAGGATCTAACCGCTACAAAGCATCCAATTTTCGTTCCATGCCGGACCATGGACTTCGAACTTGAGCTAGGTTGCTTTGTCTGTGGGGGCAATAAGCCATTCGACAATATCTCCATCGAGAACGCCGAAGAAAACATATTCGGATTCGTACTCCTGAACGACTGGTCCGCGCGCGACGTGCAACGATGGGAGTATGTGCCACTCGGACCATTCAACGGCAAAAACTTCGCGACGACCATCAGCGCCTGGGTTGTGTTGGCAGACGCATTGGAACCGTTCCGGAGTCCTGGGATGATTCATCCTGGACCGCTTCTTCCGTATCTACAGGAGCACCGCAAGGACTTCACATATGACCTCAAGTTGGAGGTCCAGCTGCGCAGCGGTAGCACGAAGCGTCTCTCGACAATCTGCTCCACCAACGCCAAGGACGGGCTGGTCTGGTCCTTCCCGCAGATGTTGGCACACCACACAATCACGGGCTGCAACATCAGGGCGGGCGACCTTCTTGGGTCTGGGACGATTAGCGGTGAGAGCACCTCCTCTCTGGGCTGTTTGTTGGAGCAGACGCTCAACGGAAGGCGACCGATTCAGTTGGAAGGAGGTGAGCAACGAACATGGCTGGAAGACGGAGACGAGGTGATTTTGAAGGCCTGGGCTGGTGATGAACAACACGGGATTGTGGGATTTGGGAATGCCGCAGGGGTGTTGTTACCAGCCCATAAGCAGATTGTGCCAAGTAAAGCTGCGTTATAGTTCAAATAGTGAGCCCTTGGAAATAAATCAAGTAGTTCTTGAGGTAGACGACGAATACCTTTACAGGTACACGTACCACCTTGCGACATGAGAAAGGCCCTGGCTTGAAACGGACAGCAGAATGTTGCTCGCGTAATCCATATTACAACTCAGGCCGCTTGCTTACTTTTGCTCATTACTCAAAACGTGATGACTTCGCATAGACTTGGCCCATCATCTGGATCGATGGTCTCGGTACCTAGGTAAGTCTGATGTGAAACAGGGCGGAGGCTGAAAGGTGCTCGGAGGGTGCTCGGAGGTGCTCGGCGGTGCTCCGAATTCCCGAGCTGTATAGGTTGGTTTCTGGGGTGCAGTCATGGGCGATGAGCGAAGATGATCCTCCGACCAGATGCTCGTGTCTCTAGAGCCGAAGAGCCGAAGATTCTGTATCGGCCCCTCCTTCAAGTTTTATAGAGGCGCTTTTCAACAAGGGTTCGCTGAGAGAAGAAGTGGGTTCACAAAAAAACAGAACATCAAACCGGCCTCGCATTGAATCAGCATGCCATTCTCGAAGTTCAAGACCTCTGAAAAATACAGATATAACACTGGTTTCGGATCCTATCAAGAGTGAGTATTCATGAAGCAGTCGAGACTCGATCGTCATGTCCATATAACCAACCCTCACAGGTCTGAAGCCATCGAGGGTGCTCTGCCTATTGGGCAAAATACACCCCAACGTCCGGCATTTGGCCTGTACACCGAAAAGATATCTGGCAGTGCTTTCCAAGCGGCGCGGCCGGAAAATCAGCAGACCTGGCTGTATCGCATTGTCCCCGCGGCGGCTCATGAGCCATTCGAGCCTGAGCGCCTGCTGGATGGCGAGGTGGCTACCAACTACAATGCGTATCAGAATCTAGTGCATGTGCCGACTCAGGTCCGTTGGGATCCGTTTGACATGGACGAGAAAGCAGACTGGGTGCATTCCATGCGCCTGCTTTGTGCCGCCGGAGACGTGTCGGCCAAATCTGGCATGGGCTACTTCATTTTCACGGCTGGACAGTCCATGGATCTCAAGACTGCATTCTCGTCGGCAGATGGCGAGCTGCTGATCATCTTGCAGACGGGCGTCCTCGATATCAAGACCGAGTTGGGCCATCTGTTGGTGCGACCGCTGGAGATTTGTGTTATTCCACGCGGCATCAAATACCACGTCTCCCTGCCTGAAGGGCCTGTCCGGGGCTATGCGCTCGAACTACATCAGGGGGTGTTCACTCTGCCAAACCTCGGCCCTCTGGGATCCTTTGGCTGCGCCAATGCAAGAGACTTTCAGATCCCAGTTGCTTCATATAAGGACGACACAGACACCGAGTACCGAGTGATAGCCAAATTCAACGGACAACTCTTCGAGGCCAAGCAGGACCACTCACCCTTCGATGTTGTCGCCTGGCACGGGACGTACTTCCCATACAAGTACGACCTTGGTCGCTTCATGACCGTCGGGAGTATCTCCTATGACCATCCGGACCCGTCGATTTTCACCCTGCTGGCTTCGTCCGAAGGGGTGGTGGAACTCGCCATTTTCCCGCCGCGCTGGCTCGTCATGGAAAACACATTTCGCCCCCCTTGGTACCACCGCAACACGATGGCTGAATTCATGGGTCTCATTCAAGGCGAATACGACGCCAGGACCGACGGCGGGTTTCGGCCCGGAGGAGCCAGTCTGCACAACGTGATGGTCGGCCATGGCCCGGACAGCGAAACGCACGCACGTGCGTCTGACATGGAATTGGTTCCGCAGAAAGTCGGCGAGGGCAGCATGGCCTTTGTGCTGGAGTCGAATATGATCCTAGGCTTGAGTGACTGGGCCTGGTCGCAGTCGACCAAGAGACAAATGAACTACAACGCCCGCACGTGGCTCGGACTCAGGAAGCATTTCCAGAAACCCAAGGGTGCGAAGGAGAACTCACCCTTCCTCGCCCCGAGGTCTATATCGCATGGCAATGGAAGCGAGGCAAGAGTTAACGGTCATTGAGATATTCTGCACTCCATTTCATATCTGATACCGGCGCAAGGCACAACCATGCACTGGGCTTCCTTTGTGTGGATGAATGGCTAGATGTTCATTGCTCCTTGCCGCAATCCATGAAAAGGGCAATTGGATGTCAATACTCATCGATGCAAGCTTTTATCTTGCCTGATATGGTCTCGGCATGAATTGTTGCTATTCCAGTGTTCTCCTTATATTCCAGTGTTCTCCTTATATTCCAGTGTTCTCCTTATATTCCAGTGTTCTCCTTATATTCCAGTGTTCTCCTTACTCCAAGCTTAAGTGTCATTTGAAGTTGCGGAAATTCACAAGCCACGAGAACTAGGTAAAGCCTTCCAGTGCCACCTCCCGAAGGAGGCTTTTCTATCACTATCAACCTAGTGACCGTGCATCAGCATTCCAACACGGTCTCTTGACTCTCTAGCAGGATTTGTTCACTCGTCCAATTTGCAGCGAGGCCGGAAGATTTGGCTGGCTTGATGAAGGACGGGCATTGGAGTTCCAAGAGGGATCGACACACCTCAATGGCGTTCCGTCCCTAGGTAAATTCAACCGTCTCCAGTCACCTCATCCAGGGCTTTTCTCCCTGCATCGTCCTTTCTCAGACGCCCTTCCATCGACACAGAATACTTTCAGCAAGACCAAGAGCGTTTGATCGCTATCCAATCGCATGAGCCACTATTAGAGACCAGGCTGAAAATAAAATAAGGCAGCCCGGCTGTAATTACACCGTTCAAGGAGAGCTTCCAAGGTTCCCAATTAGGGGCCGTACTTCTGTCTAGCCCTGTGGAGAATGGGGGCCATGCTCCCATATTCGGGGTCTGCGTCATCCCAGACACTGTCCCACAGGGCTTTTTGTCAGCAAAACAAAGGGTTTCATGCGCCTGACGAGATGATTGCGGCCCTCCTGAATGCACAGTTGGTCGTTGCTGGAAGACTCGAGATTGAGCTGGCGGGAGGCGTATGGCCCAGGCGCCGAATGGAACGAAGCACCAACCCAGCTCGAGGCTGGCTCCCTCGGTCGATAGCCAGACGGGCTTTCTACGAGATGAGTATTTAAGCTGAAGATATGTTCGTGAATCATGCCGGTCAACAACTCAACTCGCACCTTGCTCTAAAACGGGAGACACCCAAACTCCTCGATTGATACCCAACCAAATTGCCAACATGAAATACTTCTCAGTTTTTGCCGTGCCAACCTTGGCTGCACTCGTTAGTGCCCAATCTGCTCCAGACTTCCCAGTCCAGGTCAACACCAATCTGCGTGTCGATTTTCTCAACAGTTCGACAAGCGTTAGCCCAGCCGGTATCCTGCTGCCCAGAGATGGTATGGATTTTGGCCAGACTCGACATGCTGTCCGTTGTTAACATATGCAGACGTACTCTATGGTCCAACAGTGTATGGCCCAGAGAATGCCACGCAAGAAGCCACCTACATGCTCTTCATGGTTGACGAGGACGTCAACACAGGAAACGGTCCACGAGTTCAACTGCTCCACTACTTCCAGCCCAACCTTGTCGGCATCAACCATGTATTATCGATCGAGGCACATGCCCAGAATGCCACGACGGCGGTTGGGGCGGAGTATCTGACTCCCTCGCCGCCTGCAGGAGATGGACCGCATAGATACACGCTGCTGCTCTATCCTCAACCAGAAGGTTTCACCGTGCCGCAGGCGTATATCTCCTTCAGCCCACCTGCAGACACGAATGCGAGATATCCTTTCAACATGTCCGGGTTTGCTGAAGCTGCGGGGCTGGGACAACCCGTTGCGGCCAACTGGTTCCGCGTTGTGAATGACACTACCAGCACGACCTCGTCTACTTCAAGCTCTGCCAGCACAGCTACTGGGACTGCTATCACAACTTCGGTTCAAACGAGCACCGTCGCTTCGACTTCGGCTTCTCCTAGCGCAAGTGCAAGTGCAAGCGCTGCCGCCAATTCCGCAGCTGCTCGAGATGAAGTGCGCGGGAGTGCGAGAGAATTGGTTGTGGGACTTGCTATGGGCATCGTCGGTGCATGGTTGTGGATGCTTTGATTGGTTTGGATATTCAGGACGTATATTTGCGGCGCGGGTAGCTAGGTTCCTGCGGTGTCTTGTTACTATTGATGTAGATAGATAGATAGCGTGCTATATGGTTGAGAGTAGAATTTCGCATGTCATTATTTAAAGGATCTGAAGGAGATTTCTTTTGGCGTTCGATCTGGAGCCAGAGGTGTCATGTCAAATTGGCACCGAGCATTTAGATGTGCATGATGCTCCTAGACGAGCCATCTTGCAAGTTCCGGATCGAAAAGAAGAGGCACTGCATCCATCACGTAAGAAGCAAGCGTAGCAAGCAGCATAAAGAAAGTCAGACACGAATAATAATGGTTCCGACCTCGGCACCTTCTACTGTACCATTCCTGTACCAGTCAGGCCCGGTCGGTGCCCGGTCAACTCCAGATTGGCGGGGGATTCTTGGCATCCCAGATCCCCGAAAGCGCAGTGATCTTTCTTGCAACCTACATCATTAGTCTTCGAAGCTACGGCACCGCGAGGATGCGCAACAAGCGTGGCTGTCCAAGCCGTGTCTCCCCATCTCGCCAGCCTTCTGCAATCACGAGGCCGGGATGACTCGAGCGAGCTCGTCGAGGACGTTTACAGCGTGCTGGACATGCCGCCGACGAAACATTGCCTGTGACGCGGCCGTCCCGTCTTGCTCGCAGTGCAGGCGCTCGAACATCACCTGCGAAGGCTATCACTTCAATCTCGTCTGGGTCAATTCCGAGACAGGGAGCTATGCTCCACAGCAACGGCGCACCTTTCCCTGCCATTTGACATGGCGAGGCTATCCGACATGGACGCTGGGAGAGGTTGATCATCTAATACGTGACTGCGAACACAGCCAATACAGACAATGTCGGTGCAGATTGCACCAAGGCCGAACCCCTTTCACAGTCTTCCCTCGAGCTCATGGCAAGACCGAGCCGGTTAACGCTGATGATGCGGACACGGGCGAAGACATTCTTCCATCGCCACAGCCTGTCCACTTGAACGATGCCGACTTCCGATTCCTCACCTTTGGGCCATTACAGGGACACAACAGCACGCCCAGCATCCAAAGCACTGGCACTTCTACTTCAGAGGCTTCCCACCCTGAAGAATGGATTCTGGACATTCTCGAGGGGGTTGAGAGCGATACGCCCGTCAGGGAAGACCAGGGCCTCGTTCAACAGGAACCCAAGAATTCCTTGCGTCGATCTACGAGGAAGACACCAATGCCACTAATCTCACGGCCAACCCAGCCTTGGAACGTGGATGCGGGTTACAACGAGAGTAAACTGTTCCACCACTTCTTGTCCTATCTCGCAAAGGGCATGATACCCGTCGATGACGATCACAATCCATGGAAAACCGTCTACCCATCCCTCGCCCTGCAGATCACACGTTCCACTGAAGCACAGGCTCTATATCATGCACTGCTAGCCCAGTCTGCGTACCATCTAGCCAATCTAAAAGGCCCGGAACGCGGGTCTCAGGAGAAAGCCAGTGCGGTTCGCCACTGTGGGATCGCGCTGCACCAGCTCCGCAAGAGCCTGGTCGCGCCGTCAAAGGATTACACCACCGTTTTGGCAGCTCTATATACCGTCATTCTAGCTGAACATGTCTTCCAAGGCGCGTCTTCGGGGTGGCAAATTCACATCCGCGGCGCCCAGGCGTTTGTCAATCAGTATTTGGACAAGCAGCCATGGAGGCAGTCGCCAGAGGCCTATATTGTCACACAGAATTTCGCTCTCTCCGTGCTCATCTCCAGCACTGTCGATAACAGCTATTTAGGTACGGCAACGGCTGAGGGTGTCAGTGAGCTCGATGGTCTATTGCGTGATCTGATGACGAAACATGTCTTCGGCTACACGCTGGGCGGTACTTCTCATATACTAAGAGCGATATATCAAACACGACTCCTTGAAGCGCGAATAAATGGGAGAGCTGGCGCTGACGGGCAGCTAGAGCTTGATGCAGACACAATTGCTCAGGTTAGTGAGATCCTTCAACTATCGCACGTTCCCTTGGCAGACAAAGTCGAGGCATATCTATGCCACCGCAAACTCAGCGGCATCACTGTCCAGCCTCGGTTGTGGACATTGACTCGACTTCACCTGCGACTTTTCAACACCGCAGTGATGATCTACCTGTTTTGCACCGTCCTTCGGTGCACCCCTTCGTCAGTAGCGCACGACGTATTACAGGTCCTCAGGGACGCCACGACTTTCATCGAAATGCACCACGGCACTGTGTCAGTCTGGCCAGTGTTTGTTGCAGCTACAGAGGCGTATACACCAGAAGCTCAAACCCTAGCTACGCAATGCCTCGACACCCTCGGAGCCCGCGGGGCTGAAAATCGCCGCCATATGCAACGTGTCGTTCACCAGGTATGGTCGAACCGCCAAAAATTGGCATCGGAGCGACAGTGCGACCCTGGCGATGTTCTGGTCGATTGGCGCCAGGTCATGAAAGGGCTTAACATGAATATCTTACTTTTGTGACAGAGAAAACGTGGTGAACACTATGGGTCTCCTGTTCCTCGTTAAGTCTCTGCTTGATTCCGTCATGCCCTATTCATGTCTTGCGTCGCAACACAGAGGGTGATGCATTCGATCAGAATGCTGGCGTGTTGGTCAGCGAAGTCAAAACTTCGACGGTATCCCCAGGTCTCAATCGGGCAAGGTCAGTGCTGTTCAAAAGTACGATTCATGGTCGTGCTGCCGACCAGAAACTGGGGGGCCATAGCATCCCGGGAATTTTTGGAGCATGCCAAAGTACATGCTCCTCCGTCACCGTGGTCCACGCGACACTGAGGCCATGCGTGCCCCCAATGCCAGGCATGGCGGTCGATGCGCCAATCGGTCTTCCCCGGCAATCACCACAACTTTTCTGCCATCGACAAACGGACTAGGGTACATTGTCGGCCTCCAACAACCCAGCAGGGGCCTCAGCTGCGGGAATCTTATACTCGAGCCGCCTTATACCTTACGATGACAGCCACCTAGGTTATGGATACGGGCCCCCAAAGCTGGCCAGTCTGGGTGAGCGCTGCACAATGGTAGTTTATCCTCGTCGAGGACTGCCTTGCCCGGCCGCGGGGTGTCCGTTGACTGGAGATTCCGTATAGCTTGGGGCATCTGTGATAAGGTCCAGTGTTTCCTGTTAGCGAAAACCTTATGCCAGGCTTGCGGGAGTTTTCTTCTTGAGATGCCTTTTTGGGTGCTCAGAATATGACAACTGGGGTCATCAGACTATTTCTGACCCGCCGCTTAAGGGCTTCGCCGGCTATCAATCGGCAACCGTGCCCTTCTCATTCTCCAGCCTGCGACGCATGCCGCAAGGGACGTAGCTCCGTCTGCGGTCGGATCAATGTTGTCTTCACCATGATATAACTTAAGTCTATGTTCCTTCCACAGGAACTGGTCATTGGTAGACTCCAACTGAGCCCTGCAAACACTGTCGAAAGTTTGTTCAGCATCATGCCGTACTCATTGAAACAGAGAAAGGTTTTGGTAACCGGCGGATCGAGGCAAGCATGAACCATATGGCTATTTCTAGATCTGCCGCGTTTTCGCACGGCTATCTTGCTTGAAGTATAGGTGCATCGTACTGATCGTTGCGTACGTGTAGGGGCTTAGGAGCTGTGATCTGCGAGAAATTCGCCGCTCAGGGTGCCGACGTGGCGGTCAATTATGTGAACAACAAGGAGCGCGCCAATCAGGTCGCCGAAAAGTGTTCACGACAGTTTGGAGTTCATGCCATTACTGTTCAATCTGTGCGTGGGTCCGAAACCCCCGACAGCCAGCTATTGGCCACTCTTGTGACAGACAAGACTGACGGCCGCTTTTCAGGACATTGGCGTCACGGAGGACATTGCGCGCCTGATTGCAGAGACGGTCAAGCTACTCGGTGGACTTGATATCATCATCAATAACGCAGGATGGACTCGTTTCTCAACATTTGGTGACCTCCATGCTCTCAGTCATGATGAATGGAACAAGGTCCATCCGCACCCGTGCCATTATATGCAAGAAAGAGCCGATCACCAAGTTATCAAGAAGACGAGGGAAGGTATTCGAAATAAAGACGGAGAGACTAGAGCCTCGCGGTGATTGTTGGATCGATGTATCAAATTTCGCTGACCACCGTTTTGTACAGTGCTGGACTATCAACGTCATGTCTCAACTGTCGCTGATGCAATATGCCGCACCAATCTTTAACAACAACCCCGATGGCGGCGTCTTCATCATTACATCATCTATATCAGTGAGTCTTTCCTAGCCTCTTTATTCACGGGGTTCCGATATGAGACCTGGTAATACAAGGGCAGAAAAGGGCCCAGAGATCATCTGGCTCATGGTTTTGACTCTCGCTCTTATTCACAGGCCATCACCGTTTACGGCAGCAGCATGGGCTACTGCGTCACCAAAGCTGCGGGTTTGAGACTGATGAAGTGTCTGGCTTCTACACAAGGCCCGAAGATCAGAGTCAACGCGGTTCTACCGGGGCTTCTGCTGACAGAATGGGTGAGCAAAGATATTCAATGCCGAGAGCTAATTTGTGCAGTGCCTGCTATCATTCTGGACTACGCTGATCAGTTCTTATGCTCTTTATACACAAAAGGGCATGCAATTTCCAGAAGCAGCGCGAAAGGTTGCCACTGAGAGGGCCGTACTCAAACAAGAGGTCCGTCTCTCCGGCCCCCGTATATAGGACATACTTCCTCATCCCATTGCTCTACGATCTGTACTAACGATACTCTTTATGCTGATAGACAAAACTCGACGACTGTGCGGATGCTTTTGTCGCGACCGCCACAAATACCTCCATGACTGGACAGCAAATTGTCGTTGGTAGGTCTGCAACGGGATCCCGCCCTTCCCCTGCCTTTGACCTCAAAGGCGGCTGCAGTTGCTTTTATTTCAGGGCTGACGTTCCTTTTGAAGACTCTGGTATAGTCATTTGATGGAATGGAGACTGGGAAAGTTTCGGGACAGGTTCCGCCTGGGTACGAGGTGCCGGTGGACGTGGACCATTACTGTACCGTATACAAGGAAATCAAAAATCTTCGTGTACGAAAGACAGTGAAGGACACTAGGTACAAGAGCAAGCCCCACTTCCCCGGGCAAGCACACTCCTTGTGGTCAAGCATATTCTCTGTTGATAGCAGGGCCTGAAATCCTGGCGTGAATGGAATCTGGATGGTCAGAATGCGCAAATAGCACTCACGTTCGTTTGTCAACGTAGGATTTAAGTCGTGGGCGGAGACAGTGTAGAAGAGGAAAGGGAAGCAGGGGGGGTTTTGACTATATCTTATTGAGTGGATCCTGTACCTTCTTTTAGGCGAAAATTGCCTCGTACTTGTTGATGAAAGACTCGATCGCCTTCAACAAGGGCTCAAAATGCTGGTCGGTGATCTCGATGGTCAAAGCCAGGAAGCCCCGAGCAGCAATGTAAATCCCGTGCTCAAGCAAATGGTGATATAAGAGCGCTTGCCACCTCTCTCTATCCGGACCCACGATGACAACGACAAAGAGACTTCCCAGTCCTCTTGCTATCAACCTGAGCCCCTTGTGGTCTGGCTTGATCGTTCCGGGCAGTCGCCTCTCGATCAGCTGAGAGATTGCATATCTCAGCCTGTCACCTCTTGCGTTAAGGTCGTTTAACGACACCGCGTCCATCATGGTACAGCCCGCAACACCCGCCGCCATGGTGATGACGTTGTTGTTGAACGTGCCTGAATGATGAAGTCTGTTTTGTCGGGGATCGAACAACTGCATAATTTCGCCGCGGCCGCCGAAAGCTCCAAAGCTCATACCTCCGCCGAGCCATTTACCAATGGTGGTCATGTCAGGCTTGATATCCAAGCTGACCTGAAGCCCTCCGTAGTGCAAACGCGATGTCATGACTTCGTCGAAGATGAGCACAGCTTTCTGTTCGTCCGCCAGGTCTCGGAGGTACTGCAGGAACTCCTGCGAGCCGGGAAGACAGCCGCCCGAGACTTGCATCGGCTCCACTATGATTGCCGCCAGCGAGTCCTTGGGCAGATTCGACACTATTGCCTCGGTCTCCGCAATGTCATTGTAAGGGGCAATGACAAAATCCTTGTGTGAATTCAGGCTATACTTGGGTTCGCGCTCGAAGAACATCAACGTGCTACCATGGTAGCCATTGAAGAAGGCGAGGATCTGGAAAGGGCAGAGGATGTCAGTGCTGGCCAAACACGATACGTGGTGAATCAACGTGACAATAGAGAAGCTCAACTGACTTTGTCTTTACGAGTGAAGTTGACAGCCGCCCCTAGAGCCATCAGGTTGGCTTCAGTCCCCGAGTTGCAAAACCGGATGGAATCCATGCTGTATTTGAACATTTCCACCAAGATCTTTGCCAATTGGCCTTCGTATTCGTTCTTGCCTCCAAAGCTCCAACCTTTGTCCAGGGCATCGGTGATGGCTCGTTTGATGACTGGAGAGCTGTGTCCGTATATCCCGGCCGAAAATTCGCCCAGGAAGTCGATGTACTCGTGGCCGTCGACATCGACAAGGGTCGCACCCTTTCCTCGCGCAATCGTAAGGGGAAAAGGCTGGACGTGAAGCACAGAACGGGTGTTGGCCCCCGGCATATCGTTTAGGCCGGACTTGAACAACGCGAAAGACTTCGCATTGTTCTTTACATAGCGGTCATGCGCCTCTTCAAGGAGTAAGTTCAGCGTAGGAAAACCCACTCCATTAATGGCGTGGATGGGTTCGGACTCAACCATAATTGAGCCTAGTAGCGGGAAGTTGTTAGGAGGACGTGGGCAGAGGTATGAGCTTACAATACGAATGATTGAACTTGAGCTTTCCCTCAGCAGGGAGACTTTTGAAGCCTGGATTTATATTCGTGCGGCGTGTTGGGCGTATAGAAACTTGTGGATGAAAGATATCGTGTGTATCCACTGCAGGACCTTGAACGTTCCGTCCGTATCCACCTTCCTATCCGACAAGCATGACGCTTCGAAAAGGAGATCGTGCGGATCCATGAATTGAGCTCATTTACAGTCTAAAGTCCTGCTCCCTTGTGGCGGCACCAGTTGTCTGAGTGGACAGGTCATGGCTGTGCGTTTGATGACTCTCGAGTCTGGTCGAGTGGCGCACAACCTAGCAGGGGAAAGTCTTGCCATGACTTAGAGCCTCGCCGTGGGTTGCCAACTTGGGCCTGCTATCCAATCACAGGTGTAATATAACGGACTAATTATTAGACTAAGGGGCCGGATGAGTGGCTCACTTCACACTAGGACATGGAGACCCACAGCCGCAGCGACTGCACTAGATAGCTTCACCGTTTCAGTTGAATCTGTTTGTTCAGGCTTGACGACCGAGGATCTCGTCGTGAATTGCCTTCTCAGACGCCAACGGCCCTTCTCTTATCACTTCGGGCAGCAGGGTGAGAATCAATACGAGAAGACTTCGGTATTTGCACCCCTCTTACAGGTCTACCCCAGTCTTCCACAAGAGCAAGATGACCAATTTCCAGCCACTGCCTCTCCATTCGGAGGTCGACTCGCCTGTGAAGATTTGCCATGGAGGTGAAAGCTCGCTCGCTTGGTGTAGGCGAATATGAGGTATAAATCACCCTTCTGGCCGAAATCCAGAAAGTCTCTTATCGTCAGCCTTCCTTCACGATTTCTTTGCATGGATTTGCCAAAGATGGCCACCCAGCCGACGACAACGGAGAAGACCCCAGAGGAGGTGACTTCCACGCAAGCAGCAAGCAGCATGCATATAGAAATCGAGGACGTCACGCCTACATCGCCGAACAGGCTTCACCGCAGGCTTCTGGGACGTCATATGCAGATGTTAGCCATAGGTATGCTCTTTCTCGCAACAGCGAGAAGCCTGCGTTAACAAGTTTCAACCTCCAGGGGGTTCAATTGGAGCCGGTTTCTTTGTTGGCTCCGGAGGTGCCCTGTTTCTTGGGGGTCCCGCATCACTGCTCCTTGGCTTCAGCATTACGGGGCTCTTGGTGCTTTGTACCATTCTGGCCCTAGGCGAGCTAACAGTCATGTATCCTGTGAACGGAGCCTTTTACATCTATATGATTCGCTTCATCGATCCGGCCTGGTAAGCGTATGCTCGAGCTTGTGGTGCCGTGTAACTGACGAAAGTCATGTTCAGGGGTTTCACAATAGGCTGGCAATGTTAGTACCCTCTCACCCTGACCTTACCACGTTATGCCAGACTGACAAAAACCAGATGCCATAGGATGGCTAATCACTCTCCCCTTTGAGATCATCTCCGCCGGTTTAACCATCAATTACTGGCACGAGTATAATATTGGAATATGGGTGGCAGTCTTCCTCACCGTTATTGCTATTGTGCAGTTCTTCGGCGTCAGAGGTTATGGCGAAGGCGCGTGGCCTCTTCCAACAACATTATCGCTAAGCTGACATCTGAACAGTTGAGTTCGTCCTTGGGGTTATCAAACTTATTGCCGTGGCTGGGTTCATCATCTTGTGAGTGTCTCGTGAAAGATTGGCTGAGCCTACCGAATCCCTAATCACCGAGTAGTGGCATCATCGTAGATTGTGGAGGAGTGCCCACCGATGATCGTGGGTATATTGGCTTCCGTTACTGGAGCGGAAAGGATGGCAACTCTGCTTTTCGAAACGGTAAGCTCGAGCACTGGCCCTCGCACACAGCATTCAGGCACTGACCACCCCACAGGATTTGCAGGGTTTGCCTCAGTTTTCGTCCTGGCAGCATTTGCTTACGGAGGGTCTGAGCTAGTCGGGCTTGCCGCTGCGGAGGCTGAAGACCCTCGCAAGTCCTTGCCCAAGGCCACCAAGCAAGTGTTCTGGCGCATTGCGGGCGTTTATGTTTTGTCTTCGCTGATAATCGGCATCACTGTCCCTAATAACTCTCCAGACCTACTAGGTGCCACAGGAGCAAACACTAAGGCTTCTCCATTTGTCCTAGCAATACAATATGCGGGAGTCCAGGGGTTACCTTCGGTCTTCAACGCTGTCATCACAATTTCCACCTTCTCTGTGGCCAACAGTTGCACCTACGGCGCAACTCGCACATTGCAGGCTCTTGCTCAGCATGGCATGGCACCAAGAATTCTCGCCTACGTTGATGGTAAAGGGCGTCCCGTGGGACCGGTGATCATTCAGTTGTTAATAGGGCTGTTGGCTTTCGTCAGCCTGTCTGCGGAGTCTGGTACGGTTTTCACCTGGCTCTTTTCGATCTCCGGACTGGGCTTGTTATTCCTCTGGGCGTCAATATGTCTCTGCCACATACGCTTCCGACAAGCTTGGAAGGCTGCTAACCGGTCTATCAATGACCTTCCCTTTAAATCGCCAATGGGGGTATACGGGTCATACTTCGCTGTCATTCTCGCGGTCATCATTTTGATCATTACCTTCTACGTTGCCCTCTGCCCGTATGGAGGACCGCCAAACCCGACCAATTTCTTTCAAAATTACCTCTCAGCTCCCATAATCCTAACTATCTTCGCGTTGAGAAAACTGTGGACGCGAGACTGGACATTGGGCGTCAAGCTCAAGGACATCGACTTGGATGCTGACAGAAGAGGCGACGGCGGCCTCTACCGTCAGAGAGAAGAAGAGAAAGAGAAGAGGAGCTTTGGCCGGCGAATGATCAACGCAATCTTCTGAAAAACGCTCGAGATGGACAATGCAGAGGATATCAGAAGATGAAGGTGGACCATGGCCATTGGTACGCTGATCGGCTTAGGGGCAGGGCAGGTTGATAGCAATAGATTGATATCCTGTCTCCGCTTGTTGTTCGAGCCCTGAGAGCTGCAAGGGACCAAGAACCTGTTTGAGATTTGGCGTCAGGCCGGTTTACGGCGAGGAAGCTGATCTTGCTACCCTTCTGTTCTTCGATTGTAGAGCTCGCTGGAGAATCTGGTGCATCTACAGCAGAAGGCAAAGCCCAAGTTGGAATAGAGTGGTTGGATGGGCATGCCTTCCGTGGAGAAGCAGTATACGATTTGAAACGACCCGGGAACGTAACTGCACACGATGTGTCGCTCTAGCTCACAATCTGGCATGAAATGCCAATAGACTGGTTGGCCTGCGCTTCGATTTCTTTGGCGTTTTCCGCAGACATGCGTAGACCCCTTGGGCCAGACTTTAGGCCGCCAAGGATCTTTCTTGGAGAAGATCGCGCCCCCAGTGCCGGAAAAGAAGATGTACACCTGGAGAAAGGACGACAAGCGTGAGTCGAATTCGCATTCTCCCACATCAGCTTCGATAAGAACCTGAAAAGCGACAAGACAAATTACCGAGCGAAGGGCCAATTATGAACAGGGCCCTCCGGACACGACTTTCGGTAGAAGGCCGACAGCTACCGCCTTTGAGTCCACACTGGGCTATACTGAAATAGGTTGCTAACTCGACCAACCATGAGAGCTTCCTTGTTGTGGATCAAGCTGATGCATTGTTCCGCCCAGGTTGGGTCGTCGTGGACTACTTGATCTGGACCTTGCCGGAAAGCTACTCTATCTAGACTACGTCCAACGAGGTCTCGGGCCTATTCAAGACCATCCTAGATTGGACAAAGTGTGTGGTCGGGAAATGTGGAGCATTGGTCGAAGCCGATCTTTTCTGTGCAGCCTCTCTACATGTATATATTGCGACGCTCATCAAGCAAGGTTGTGACTGTATTATCAAGTCTTGCCCGTGATCCCTTGTCAAAATGTTACCATATCTATATCTGCTTACATTGCTGTCCGTCCCCCTTCCTATTGCTGGAGTTACTGCCAAAGTTTGTCCACCATGGGTAACTCCTTACCTCCAAAAAGTCATAGCTAGCCATCCTGAATTTCCAGGCATACAAGTGGCTCTCTCCTCTCAACGCTGTGGGTTCGATTGCAAAACGAGCGTGAATTCTAACCTGAGCCACTTCGCCGACGAGCCACCTTACCTGGAAGACACTCCTTGGCGCATTGCAAGCATCACGAAGACTTTCACGGCTTCGGCAACCTTGCGGCTTGTTGAGCAAAATAAACTCAACCTTCACGCTCCAATCGTCAATTTCCTCCCTGCATGGGCCATCAATTATCTTGAACAAGAACAAGGAGCTTCAAACGCCAGCCAGATCACCAGCTGGATGCTCTTACACCACATAAGCGGACTGGGTGACCACGCCACAGATCCACGGTGGCTTCAAGAGGTTATGGCGAATCCGGAATATCGATGGACCCAGAAAACTGTCCTTGCATGGGCCGCAGCCAATGTGACAGGTGTTGGGTACCCCGGAGAAAGCTATTACTATTCTGACACGGGATTTACCTATCTTGGCCTGGTCGTCGAAAATGTGACAGGTCTAGGCCTCGCACAGGCTGTCCGCACGTTGGTCAAGCTCGACGCCCTCAACATGCCATCTACATACTGGGAAATCCTCGAGCCTACACCCAAAAACGTCCTCGCGCGGGCGGGTCAGTATTTGGAAGGCGAGGATGCGACCCACGCCGATGCGAGTTTTGACTTGTATGGTGCAGGCGGGCTGGTAAGCAACAGCGGGGACCTCAACAGTTTCACAAGGGCGCTTCATACGGGACGAGTGCTGAACAATGCATCTTTACAGCTTATGATGACGACGGAGAAGACGGGTTATTCTGGATGTGGCATTTTTAACGACACCTTTGCTGGTCAACAGGCATGGGGCCATCGTGGCTTCTGGGCTGCTTGGACTTATTACGTTCCTACTCTGGATCTGTATCTCTCTGGGACCGATGGTGTAGGTGATGACCAGTTGGACTTGAACCCCCTTGTGCAAAGTGTTATTGACCATGGCTGTCGCCCGGTCAAGATTGGAGATGCCGCGGGCATAGCTGGGGTAGTCTAATCGACCTGATGGAGAAGCATGCAGAAGAAGGTCAAGATTGGAGATGCCGCGGGCATAGCTGGGGTAGTCTAATCGACCTGATGGAGAAGCATGCAGAAGAAGGAGAGGCAAAAGATAGAGGGGCTTTTATTGGAATTCAAGTTGCGGTATTCTTGGAGACCTGATCTCTATGAGCGGTGGCCAGACGGTCCTGCTCTACCAGGATATTGAGGGTAGAATATTACATGATAAGCGTGACTACATTCAACAGTCTCGGGATACTCTTTTCCACATGGAGAATCTTCAGATTCCAGTAGCCTCCCTTCAAAGAACTCCCCCCAATCAGCAACGGAGATTCCAATGCTGCTAAATCGACTCTTAACGTTAGCATTCAACTTTTCGCCAGCGCCTCAATCCACAAATACCGGATAGTTTTGGGCTTTTTCCAGAAGACAGTGAATGCGCTTCTGTATCGATTCCACGCCACCATCGTTCTTCGATGGGAGGGAGAGGTATAACTTGCGTTGAAGTCTACCAAGTAATGCCCCCGACATCCTTCAGCCTCGTTCGGGTACCTGCCCGTTCATTCCCGGCTAATTATTTTTCCGCAAATCCGGACCGTATCGAACCTCGGCATCGACTTTGAATTGCTCATCACACTCACCATTCACCTACGTCAAAAGGCCCAGGACTGTCTTGTCTGCGGCCGAAAGCGAGAGCGAGCAATTCCCGACCTTTATCCTGTCTCGTTAATTCAATTTATTTAGACATGACCTTCACAAGCCGAACTGGCTTCACTCCTTAACATACTTCCCCCACTTGGCCATCATGGCCGACGCTCTCTGCGGTCCCTCCAACCCGCTTCAGAACCTGCAAAAACACACCCAGGTAGATCGGACGCTGCAGCAAGACCGTCTTATCGGTAATAGACAGTCGCCTAGCCAGGTCAGTCAAGCATCCCCTTCTTGTCCTCTCTCTCATCCATTAACGTGTGGTGTTTGTAGGGCTTCCGCACCGTCGACCCTCGAGCTGGCTCCCTCGATGCCGACTTCCAAGCCTTTGAGACCTCGACGCCACACCCATTCCAGTTCCAGCAGCCCGAGCTATTCCACCCTCAAAGCCATGTCCCCTCTGCCCCGGCAGGATGGGCTGCCGACTTTCAACGGCTCTCCATATCCCAGCAGCAGCAGCCTATGCCGGCGGGACAATTTCGCATTGAAGCGCCGCTGATCAAGTCCACAACCCTCGGCGGATGGCAAAATGAATTCATGCGGCAGCGGTCGGGGGCGGGTACACCAGTTGCGCAAGGGAAGCAAGCAGTCCGGGATGGTCCACAGTTGAGCAATGCCAGCATGTTCCAACAGTCGATGATGGACTACTCCCAGCCCATGTACCAGTCATACTCTGGAGATTTCCAGCAACAGCCGCAAATGCAACAACAGGCGACCATGATGTCTATGGAACAACACGTCCAGATCTCCGACGTCGATTTCGAAGCCGCCTTCGCGGACGCATTTGCCCACGCCCAAGAGATGGATCAACAACGCGCGGCATCACGACTGTCTTCGGACCCCGATGCCATGATCGCCGAGACGGACATACAACGACCCGTAGATGCAGAGACGGTGCGGATAGGCAGCGACGCCATTGCTTACCGCGAGAAAGCGGACCGCACGGCAGACCAAGACACCCGCGACGCTGATGAACTGGCCCGCACCGCAGGCCAGCTCCTCACCAGCGTGTCACACGACAATAGCGAAAAATTCCAAAACAGCCAGTTCCTGCAGCTGATGCGGAAAATCAGGGATCGCGAGGTCGAAGTCCAGGGTGACGAACTCCAAGAAACCGGCAGGTCGACGTCCACACCGGCGCAAGAGAGTCGACACTTCCCCTCTCAAGAAGCCTCGAATCAGCAGTCGTCGTCGTCGTCGCATTTTGAATTCCCAGACATGGACGCTGTTTATGCGCCCACAAACACAAGCGATGATGCCTGGGGGGCAGACTCGGAACTGGACCAGAACCAGAACCAGAACGCGCAGCACCGCTTTGCAGGTTCGTGGGACTATCCCCCCGCCAGCGCGCCGCAGTGGAAAGCTGCTCCGGAGGTGACTGCGCACGACCCGCAGGTGTTACAGAGGTCGCCCTACACGACTTATGGATTCGACGACGACCAGTATCCCACACACCCGCAACCGCAATCGCAGTTCGAGGCCCTCCACCCGGGCGGGAAATACTACCCGGACCAGTCCCCGCGCCTGCAACGCGCAGCCATGGACAACACCACTAATGTTGATGTCCCAGGCGAAATCGAGATCAACTCTGACATCCCGGTTCCTGTCGTCGGAGCCACGCAGCAGGACGGCGCGCCTCTGGAGAAACGCATCTCGGCGAGCGACTTTGACTCTCGGTACTTGGACTCCACATGGTTCAATTTCCACAGGTAGACATACCTTGGCTTTTACCCGGGGTTTGAAGGCGCTGGGCTTTTCCGATCTGTCCCCATAAATGCAGGGGAGAGATAGAAATGTCTGCCGGTTGATGTGCTCTTTAAGCCCACCCATCCACCGCATGAGGCTGGGGCAATCGGTGCCGTGACTTTGGGAATACACGTTCCTGCGTGGCTGGATACTTAAAGGGTTGACAAGTCTGTGTCTGCATCACGGGAGTCTATGTCCGTTGCGCGACGGCCGCCTGACTGGGCCGCGGAGTACACACCAGGGATGTGCTTGTAGCAGGTAATACCTGCGTCCAGCCCGGATGAAGGAAGGGATCAAGAGAGAGAGAGAGGTTATAATTATCCGATTAGCCCTGATAATAACTCATCTTTACACTCGACTTTGCTGGCTTCCGGGCATGGCCCATTGCCATGTACTTTTCCGTCCTTGACCTGCTTCCCGCTGCTGTTACTGCAAATCGAAGCCTGAGAATCGGGTTCAGAGTTGGATGGCTTGATGGATGAATGAGAACGACAACAACAACGAAACAGCGCACTGGATGTTATAAAGACTCTGTTTCGTCACTCATTTCACTCTATCCCATTCATTCATTCGGTCATTCATTCATTCGTTGAACTGCGTCGTTGTTCTTTGTAGATGTATAACTCCTCGCAAACGTATCTTAATACCCGATCGATCAATCATGTCCCCATCAAGGCTTCTCTTGCAATACCCTTGAGGCATCGAATCAATGACCATGTACGTACAGTACGCCCCAGTCTCATCGCTTCCACCCACAAATATAACCCAGCACCAAACGGCTCTGTATGTTAATCTGTCGTTGTCAAGATCAAAAAATCAACCACCCAAGAGAATCCAACTTCAACCGCCCATAGCCGCCGCCGCCGCAGCACCCGCGTCTCCCTCGGAAATAACCCAAAGCAACGACCAATTCGCGACAGCAATGCCCGCCATAACCCACCAAACGGCACCTACACAATTTCCCCCTAATCCCATGCCCAACCCCCATCCCCCAAGGGTAGGTCCCAGAGTTCGGGCCCCAGAAGAGATACTCTGCGCAAAGCCATGTATTGTGCCCAGCACACTCGGATGCGGTGTACAATTATTGATCAGAATCGTGGAGCCTGGGAGAGCAAATGTGCGGGCTATGACTTGGAAGGCCAAGACCACTGTGAGTGCGGGCCAAACCAAGTATGCTTTGTTGGGAATAAGTGACAGGTATGGCATGGTGGCATATGCGAGGATGGAAAAGGGAAGGAACCATCTGTAACTCGGTAGGGTGCCTAGTTTCGAGTTAAGGGATGGGTAGAGGAGAATCTGGAGAGGGAAACCGATGATGCCGATGATGGCGGTGGCGAGACCGACGCGGTCGGAGCTGAGGCCGAGGCCGCCAGTGAAGAGAAATGGCAATCTCGCATGAGCGTTGTTTGATCGGGGCGCCGGGAGAAACAGGAATACCAGCGCGTTGAATGCTGAAACATGCATTGCAAGGAGGTGGTGATTAAGCAGAGTAAGGATGACGTTCTTCGTGAAGATTTGTCGGAACGACAGATTTGGTTTCCAAGAAGCGGGTTTGGTGGCGGTGGGCGTCGCGGCTGGAGTCCTTGACGACTCGGGATCTCTGTCTTGCGTCGTCTGATCGTCTTCGTCGATATCCTGCAATTCGACCTGGTTGCCAAGTTCAGAGTATTCGTATTCTTGCCTACCCCGACGGAATAGAACTCGGACCAGATATTTGCCCAGCCTTCGGCCGTAATCCGGTCTGTCCTTCAATGCGACATGGGTTTCATCCAAACCCAACACGAGGAGTAGAGCAGAGGCCAGGATGAACATGGAGCTCACCACGTTGGGGAGAGCATAGGGGAAGGCAGTCATCCAGCCAACTCCATCCTTGCCGCCAATCAAAGAGCCTGGGCCAAAGACTGACGGGAACGAGGAGATCGGGTCCGCGAGGAAGCCGCCGAGGATAGGCCCAATGACCACACCTGGAGGCGTTCAGTCAGGAGGTAATAAAAGTGCTCATTCACATGACTTACCAATGTTGAAACACATGGGCAGAAGAAGGAATGCTCTGGACTGGTATCTATTGGGCCAGTTAGATCACATAGTCTTGGAGGGAAACGAAAGGCAGAAAGGGTACTTTTTCTCTTTGATAATTTCGCTGATCATGGTTCTCATGACACCCACGTTTCCATTGAGACAGCCAGCACATGCTCGGAAGAACAAGGCTTGGGCGAAGGACTTTGAGAAGCCGACTCCAATGCAACTGATACAGGTGCCGAACAAACCCACCAGCAAGACTCTTTTGCGACCAATCCAGGGCGTATCAGCCGCTCGTCCCCACCAGACTGCTGTTAAGAATTGCGCGGCAGCAAACGAGGCGGTAAGCATCCCACCTTGACTTGCAATCGTGCTGTCTGGAAGGTCTGGATCAAAGTACCGAAGTTGGTAGAACAAGTATGCCGCAAGAGACCGTTCCGTCAGTGGCTCGGACAGCCGAGCGAACGTGAGAACGGCCAACTGTCCCTTCTTAGGCAAGGACATCCATGTCACCGGTGCTTCTTCGTCGGCCTTGTCAGGCCGTCCATTGGCGGCGGCCGTGGTCGCTATGGGCTCTTCCTCTTCGTCTATGAATGAAGGACGACGAGCCGTTGAGGAGATACCGGGGGCCAGGCTCGGTCTGGCTGGGTGTTTGGTGGAGGGGCTGGCAGGAGCATTCTCCAAAAGATCAGTCTTGCCCTCAGATTTCTCAAAATACTCTGTGCTTGAAGTGGCTCCATCGAGCGCCAACGAAACATCTGAAAAGCGGGAGTTGTGGCCCTCTACATCTTGCCTGGCAGGGTCGTCAGGATTGTTCAGCGGCGGTGAGGGCATTCGTTGGGGTCAACTTCGGAGGTTATCATGTGGAGCACGCTCGCCAATCTGAAAGCTAAGCTTGTACCACGTACGAAAGGCTAAGAGATAATTCGCAGAGCAATAGTCAGCACAAGGAATGGTGAGCAAGTGAGGGTGCATCGACCAGAAACAAGAAATCTGGAGAAGAAGCTTGCAGAGATGACGGAGGCAAGACGCAAAAGACGCAAAAGACGGCAACAAATTGCGTGCAAGCGCGACTCAACCTTTTCCATGCCGCTCCACCCGACGGCAATCGGCCGGCGAGGCTGAACCGCCAGCGACGAGGCTACGTTGGCGAGGCTGAGTTTGTATAAGGCTGAGTCTACCAAGGTACAACGATCGACCTCTATTTGTATCCAAGAGTGTTTCATCTAGGGCTAACAATCAAAGCATCAACGAGGGTATCCAAGTCACGAATCTCCCACCAAATTTCCGAAACTGTACCAAATTCCCGCCAACGGCCCATCGTCATACAACCTTTCCAACAAGTGAGCGTCCATAGTGTTTGTTTATCCGTCATCACATCAATAACCCTCAAATCGTCAACAAAGTCACCAACCATATGTGATACTCCATGCCGTTCCGTCATTCATCGTCACCTTCTTCCGGCCTGTCATCCTTGTATCTCTCAAACCTCTGTTGCCAATACTCGCCCTCCTCCGAGTCCATACCCAAAAACCCCACGCAAAAGTCGCTCATGCTCTCACAAGGCCATTGTGTGCCTGCTGTTGAGTTTGAGGGATATTTATTGCCTTGCATCTCCGCAAAAGAACTTTCCATTGGCCCCTCTGTTGGATTGGTGGGATCGGAAAGCATTGTCCTTTGTGCATTCGTTTCCGCCACACGTACAATTCTTTCCAAGAGCGTCACCCATCGGTTCAACACATCTGCGTCCAACGTGCATGCATGTTGCCGAAATTCGACTGTCGGCTTAATTTGTTTCCAACTCGTTCTATTGCGTGCTAGATTGACCAGGTTCGCAAAATTGTACATATATCCCCTATATGGATTGTCGTGTTCATCGCGTTGTTGTAGGAGGTCCACGAGATCGAAGATATTGCCACGCTGTTGGAAAATGGCGTCTCTGATCGTTTCGGTTGAGTATTGTATGCCTCGCCAGAGTAGTTGTTTTCGTAGGTACCGAGCGTTGGAGCTGACATTATCGGCTCCGGTGTACTTGGCCTCGAAAGCGAGAACTCCTCGTTCGTTGTCCTCTTCTAGCTCTTCCTCGGATGGCTCGGGCGGTGGTTCGTAGGGGGCGTCGGGGTCAAATTCTTCATCGTCGTACGTGTCTTCAACTTCCACCTTCTCGGAAGTCGGCTCCAAAAGTCGAATGCCACAGCGACTTCGAGGGTGGCATTTCGACAAGAGGTCCTCGTGTAAGACGAGGATATATGCCAGATGCTGAAGTAACAATAAAGGCATATCTTCGGGGTTTGAAAAGTTGAATCCGACGTGCACATGTGTGCTCGCCCATATAGATTCGAGGGTTGAAGTCTCCTTGGAGAATAGAGCTCCTAGATATGTTCCAACTTGAGAGAAAGCTTCCGTTTTCCTCGCAAGGTCAAAAACTGGCGATATCAATTCCATTCCATAACTATCCCACTTCGAAATATCATCCTCTGTAACTCCCTGAGCAACCAAATGTTCGCGGAGTTGACTTCGAAGGGCTCCAATAACTGTATGATCGTTTGTCAAGGTCCATTCTGTGTAGTCGATCAGACTCTTTCGAAGCACGACTCTCTCGTCAGTGGAATTTTGTGCCGTCAGAGGAATCTTTGAGGCCTCGTGCGAGTCTCGATTATGTGGGTCAGGTTCTAGCCATCCCACAACGTTGGAATGGAGTCCCTGTCTGTCAAGGCGGTCTTGGGCAACGAGAAGTGGTTCTGCAACATATCGTCGCACCCATTGCTTTCCCTTATCTACTTTGTTGAAAAACATGCCCTTATGGAGCCTCGATGTGCACGCCATGTCTGTCTCCGGGACGTGTAGTGCCCATGACGGGTACCTCCATCGGCAATTGTAGGAAGGATTGGTATCAATATTGTCGTGTTCAAGAAGAGAGCGATGTTCGTAGTCTGCAAGTGTTTTAATGATGTGCGCGTCCAGATGGTATTTTGCTATGATAGATTTCAATAGATCCTCCTTGAAAGCCAGAACAAATTCGAGCTCAATGCCAAAATGTGTAACGGTGGTCGCGGCGTCTGCATTGGTCGCACAGGTGTCGATTGGACTAGATCTCGGCTTTTTGGATGGCGACTGAGATGGCGTGGAGTTGTTTCGCGTCCGCTTGTTTGCCAGATCGGGGGATTTGCTTGAACCCTGTGGTTCATCGGGGTTTGTTAGGCTGGCCATGCCGAATGCTAGATTTGTAGGCGACGATCGACGATTAAGGAGAGACAGCCCTCTAAGCCTTCAAGCTCGATAGTTGGAAAAAGAATGTCCTCTCTCGAAGGACCTCGAGGAGGCTGTCCTACAAGGGGACATGACGCTCCCGGTCATTTGGCTGCTTGCAGTGGGACCATTTTCGCCACAATGGATGTTCGCTTTGTATGAAGCACGACCCGCTGGCTGTTTGCGGCGGTGCCATGGTTTCGGGCCCACAATGGAAGTGGTCCGTGCGATGATGGGCTGAACCAAACGACGAGGAAGTATACCACAGACCAAACACGTTGTATCTGATCGGGCTGTGCATATATTTTTTTTGGTAGAGTAAGATCCTCACCAGGGTGCGCAATGCCCATCGCGTCCGTCCTGCATCCCCGATGTTAGCATGGCATGGGTAGCGTTCGATTTTGAAGGACTCCAATCCCTCATCTGTTATTTTCACGGCAGGGGTCAAGATTCCATCATTCAAAATCCAGCAACTGCCACAGGGCTAGCTGGAAATTTATTCTCGGTCGTCTGCCACGGTGAAGGGCTGACTCCATGGCATGGGTTAGCTGGTCGCGTACATTCACGCGTCGAATGCGCAAAAACTTTGATTAGCGTTCGTGGCATGTAGCAGGGAAAATCAAGCATGTTGGAAGACCAAGGATCCGGCCGCCTACGTCGTAATGCTGGATCCACGGAAAATCTTGTTGTAAGGTAGACCAAGTGTAATTTTTATAGCCTGTGGTGTTGTAGGAGGTGGAGGAGGCACGTTCCTGAAAACTGGAGTGCAGAAATACACCGGTGGAAAACGGAGAGTCTTTCTGACTGGTCCCCTGCGACAACTTACTGGAAATGAGGCCCATGCTCAGGAGAATGCATCTTTGGTCTCGCCAGCTAGATGAGAGGTGGGCAGGGTGCGCGGCGGAAACCATACCATTACTCCGTTGACGAGACTGACGACTCCAAATTTCGTGAAGGGTCAACTGTCAGGAGAGCTTTTCCTGAACCTGGACCCGGCTTTTCGGGACAGTGGTTTGTTGGCGTAAGTGTGCCATTCGAAGAAGTTCTCGAGATGTAGAAGGTAGGAGCTGAGGCGCAAGTGAGGACAGGGCGGCATCACTCTTGGCCCGATCCGATCGGGTGTGAGCGGCGATCAGTTTTTCCGACCTTGGCATTGGCCCTGGCAACTTTCTGCGTACCAGTACTGCATCCTGTCCTCGGACAGTTCAATGCATCTGTTTCACGCACAAACCCTGCCTCACGCTCCTTAAGCCTTTTCAGCGTTCTTGTTTCCAGCTTCAAGAGGACGACAAACTGCATTGCTGTGGCGTGGTCACCAGCAGCGAGCGAAACCCGGCTCGACTAATCACCATCCTACCTCCTCTTCTCGAATCTCAAGTACTTCCTCCTACGCGATTTTCCTTTCCATTGCCAGCACAAATAAGCATCCTCAAAAAATGTCCCTCGTGCACCTCGCAAACACCTGCTCTCATCTCCAGAACGCCTCGCGCGCTCGACTCGGTCTAACCTCCATCCCGGACACGAAATTCCACCTGAAACTCATGCTCGCACTCCAAAACTCGGGCTTCTTATCGACCGTCGTGCGCGGCGGTCCAACACCGCCCCCGGCACACAACCTACTATCCCACCCTTCCTCGTCCGACCCATCACACCCCATCGATCCCGTCACACGACATAACGTCGCCTCGCGTCGCCTCTGGCTGGGGCTGAAATACTGGAACTCGGAACCTGTGATCGGGAAGATGGAGCTTGTCTCCAAACCAACGAGGCGGATATGGATGGACGTGGCGGGCTTGAGGAAGCTGGTGTTGGGCCAGAAGAGTGGATACGTTCAGGGAATGACGCGCCCGGGAGAGTGCATGTATGTCAGCACGGACGTTGGGATTCTCGAGGCAAGAGAGTGCGTGGAACGGAAGGTCGGGGGGATGCTGATTTGCCGGGTGCGATAAACACGACTGAGGATCACAACGATGTGGTTGACGAGTAGGAAGAGGTGGTTGCCGGGAATGAGTACAATGAATCCACCCAGGTCAGGAGTCATGGTCACACTCAGGCCGGAGCCCCTTCTCCTCTGGCATCGGAATAGAAGCTGCGCTCTGCCAAAGTCAGAGGCAAACCAGCACTACCTCCACGGGACTCCTTGAGAAGACCCGTTTCGACATCTCGAAAGATAACCGAGGCGGAGGGATCCTGAGAACAAACAACGCCCTCCTGGGGATGGCAGTGCACCGATACCGGGCTTGACAGGGTCTATGGAAGAAGGAGAAAGCACACTCCTCGCTGGAACGAGTCCCAATGGGGAACCAACACAGGGAAAAATAGGAAGCGGGCATAACTCCCCGCCGTGCGTGCTTTTCCACCCCTTCTCCGCAAGCGCTGGGACGAAAGGAACCCAAAAAGGGACAGACCAGATCACGAAGGAGATATATCCGTCCCTCAAAGCAAGAACCCGACAAGAGAGATCTCGGGGAGACACACGAAAACCCGTCTGCACACCTGCTGTATAAAAAAAAAAGCGAAACCATCCTCCTCTTTACTCCCAAATCTTCGTCACTCTCTCAACCGGAGGAGGATGGGGATTTTAGCATCAAAAGCTAGACAGAGAGATCATCAGGCTTGTCTGTGTAAATATACATTTATGATAAAAGTTTTAATTTCTGTGCCCCTACTTGTCCTCTTACTCGTAGTTGATCAAGAATCAGGCGGAAAGGGGTGGACGCTAGAAACCAACACTGATCTCTTCCTGTCCTTCTAGTCTTGATTGTGATTGTGACCGTAGAGTACAAAGTAGAATACCTAGGTACCTCTCGCGAATGCTCCTGGCCTTTCCGAAGGCTGCTACGACTGTTGCCGCTGTAGTTACCTATCTGCCTAGGTAGGCATCAAGCAACGCACCAGATGACTTTGTCCGTCTGTCCTTTTTGTCTTCAAATCCCAAAAGAAAAGAAGAGAGCTCCAACCTGGTCCCTAATTCCTGGATGGTTGAAATTACAGCACCTCTCTGAAAGGTTGGTCGCCTACTGTTCTCCCTCTTCTTGCTCCCCCTCGGTCTCATAATCAAACTCCTTCGGCAGAGGTGCATCTTCCACACCTTCTTCATCCTCGTCGATTGCCGTCAATACACCTGCCGCCGCCGCCGCACCAGCGCCCACACCCGCAGCTACCTCCTGTCCTGTCCTCTGGCCAATTGGTGTCTGAGGATGCTGAGCCCCTTCGCCTAGAGTTTGCCCTCCGGCCTGTGCGGCTGCGGGAGTTTCGACTTTGCTGACCAATAATGGGATAATTTCCCTTTCCTTCTCCGGCTCGGTATCCAGCACAACCATCACACCCCCTGTCGGCCGCTTGACAGGCTGATATCGCTGATCTGGGAAAGTCAGGTATTTCAACTGTGCGGGCAACACCCGGGACATGTTGCTGATATCATAACCAATCTTCTCCTTCTCTGCCTTCTTCTTTCCCTCACCATGAGTTTCGGGCTCTTTTTTCTCCGCGTCTTCCTTGGATTTGTCCTTTTCTTTGCCTTCAGCCTCATCCTTCACGACCTCATCAGTATCCATCTTATCCCCTTTCTCGATCTTTGGCGTCACAGGTGTTACCGTATCGACATCCATGCTATCTCTTCGTTGTTGTTTTTCCTTCCTGGCCGCTCGTCTTTTGGCTTGTGCTGTGGTACTCAGCACGGCCGTCTTGACTTTCTCAGGTGCTTCGTCAGTCTTGGCTTGTTGTTCAGGAGGGTAGTCGAAGAAGCTAGGTCTGGTGTTACAGTGGAATTTGAAGACTGGAGCTTCAAGCTTTTGATCCACACCAATGACCGCAGTAGGCGTCAATGACAGCGAGAAGAAATGTGCCAATGGGAACCAGTACCAGTACTGAGTGAAGACCACGGCACCAACAATTCCCATCATGTTCAGATTGCCCGTTTGGGTCTGCAGGCTGATGGTGCAGTTTCGCCCGCCCGCATCTAGAATGCCCATGGCGATAGCACAGCCAAACTTGCACATTGCGTCCTCATGCCGGTCGCCAATGATCTTGAACATTGCTTTGCGAATGCTGCCAACCTTGGGGTTCAGCGCGTCGTTCTGCTGTATCAAGACCATGGCGAGAGCGATGAGGGCTCCTTGACGCACGAAGTCTGTGGGATCCTTCAGCATCGGTTCAAGCAAGTCAATAGCTTCAGCAAGGCCCGTGCCTGCACAGGAGATACCCAGTGCCATGGCGGCACCGTATCGGACGTGGGGATTGTAGGACTCAGCGAGGAGCTCCACCATTCGAGGAACGCTGGTATGCTTTCGGAATAGAATGAACCCCAAGCTGAGGACGGCAATCCGTCGAACATCGTCACTCACATCACTGACGGCCACGTGGAGCAGTTTTCGAACAGCCTTGTTGCTGCCCGTGCCGACGTAAGCCATGGCAATCGTCAAGATACCACCATACCTCATGGTAGGATCGGCGTCATTGAGAAGACCTTGAATGAGCTCATCCGCGCCTTCTTGTCGGCCGTACATGATCAATGCCATACCGACAGCGAGACCCCGTACAATCTTCTCGTGTTGAGTGTCGTGAGCATGCTGGATCATGTCTGACAAGACTTTGGTATTGCTCGAGCCAAGCATGACGAGACCCATTGCCAAACCCACAGCCTCGCCATTGATGGCAGAATCGGCCCAAAGTACATTTCTCAAATCTTCAAAGATGGTCTCGTCACCCGAAGCCATCCCTGCAACACCGAGGCCAAGGGCACCACCATGTTGCACGACCTCATCGGTGGCCTCCTTGAACTTCTCTCGAATGAAATTCACGGCTTTTCCTTTGTGATTGGCACATAATAGTCCATAAGCGTACAGCGAACCGCCTTGGCTGTATGGGGAATCATGAGAAGTGGCAACTCCAGCAGGCTTTGGCAGGTATGGGCTCAGCAGACGACGGGCTTGGTTGATATTGCCTTGGTGAATAACACCGAAGACTGCGGTGGCGGTAAACTTTGACCAGTTGGTGGCCTTGCCCAGCCACTCCAAGTTGTTGCGGAAAAAGGTGTCGGTTGCCGTTTTGGCGTGCATCAATCCCGCGCAGAGAGTGACGGCGGTATGATATATCGAATAGCGGGCTTCGAGGCTATCTTTGACCTTGTTCAATATCGACAGATCGACTCGGTTCGACTTGTGCAGAAACTCGATATTCAGATGTATTGACGTGAGACCATCCAAGATATCCCTGATCTTCTGGACTGCTTCCCGCTGCTCGGGCTTGGACAGCTTCGACTCTCCAGAAGGCGCTGGTGCACCTGCAGAATCCTGCAGTTCTTGTTGCAGCTGCTCTTCCGGCTTTGCCTGCGTATCGGTTTCCATCTTGTCACCATCTTGGGGCTTTGGCTCTTCCTGCGGCAGCATTTCGGCAAGTTCTTCTCGGACCTTTCGGAGGAATTCTTGCGTGCTGTTGTCGTAGAGATCAAAGGAGATCTGGTACGCCACAGCCAGGGAGCGGGCATCGCCCTTTTCGATCAATTGTCTCAGGATGTTAGAAGCCATAGAATGCTGGTCGAGATAAACCACACATTTTGCAATGGCGAAGTAGTCGGGTGAGGGGATTTCGTTGAGCAACTCCAAAATGAGCTTGAGGATCTCGTTTCGCAGGGCTCGCTCTTGTACCACGCTCATACAAATATCCAGCACGTATTCCATCAACTCTTCGCCCTTCTTCGTGGCTTCGCCGTTTTCTTTTCGCTCATCCTCAGCCGCTCGTTTGATCACGCGGCGCAAGATGTCCAGGTTGCGGCCCTCCAAAGCAATTCCCACGACCTGACGATATCGCTTTTCTCTGAAGCATCTCTCGAACAGAGACTCTATGACGCGAGTAAGGGGTTTCTGGAGACCGCGCTCTTGAATGATCCGCTCGGGTGAACCGACGTCGCCGAGCTCAACACCGGCTTGGGTAGGATCGAAAGTTATAGTGTTCTGCCTGGACAGAAGGGACTTGGACGGAAGGACAGATTGGGAGAATGGCGTGAGGGGGGATGTTAAGCTGGCAGACATGCTGGCGGCGCCGTCTCCCGCTTGACTGAAAGCTGTGTCAAGTTGAGGTTGGCTGGCAGCATTGGCGGCGGCCAGGGTGGGATCTCGACTGGCGGACAGAGCAATGAAGGTATCTACACATTTGGAGATTATGGTATCTTCAAATTCGCCAGGGTCGTCCAATCTGAAGTACTTTCCGGCACCGAGGGCAAAGGCCATGGACTCATTATATTCTTGCAGGTGGTAATACACTTTGGATGCGACGATGGCGGCGAGCTCGCGCTCCGGAAAGGAATCATCTTCGTGAAGCGCTTCGCTAAAAAGGCAGGATTAGCTTCTCTACCAGACTGATGAAGAAGAGACGTATTCCCAACATACATCTGGCCCAGGGCATCGGCAAGCTCGGTCCATAATAGATCAACCTGACTGTCAAGCTGCTTCAGAGCAAAGCTTCTGAGCTCTGGGTCAGGTTCTGACAAGAATCCGACAAGACCGGCAGCAGACACCAAGCCAACCATGTTTGTTGAAAGGCTGTTGCGTAGCGCTGGCGAAGGAGGGCGTGATGTCCGGAGAACTGTTGACCTGCCAGTGGGAAGGGGCAAAGCGCGCAACACACCGGGAACAAGGAGTTGAGGAATCGAAGGAGTGGAGAGGGTCAGGAAGAAGAAAGTCTAGTGTACAGGAGCAGGAGATGAAAGAGAAATCTGTCGACGATGGGTGGATGTTGAGCGAAATGGAAGGTAAGGAAAAGGATTCGCGCAGATGCAATTGACGTGTCTGCAGGCGATGACTCGATGTGTTCGCAGTTTGCATCACCTTCTGCAGCCTGGAGTTTGGATGGCGCAGGATGGCGCAGGATGGGGATTACGCTTAGTCACCCTGTGGTCACGTGCACTGGCCTGCCGACAGCCTCTCGGCCTCTCAGCCTCGTCTCCAATGATGGTCGCAACACCCACAATGAACATTTTGGTGGCATGGCAATAAGAATTGTGTTCTTAGTATTACAAGGGTATCAAAAGGAGAAGCGAAACATAATTCTCATGTCTCTCCAAAATCTCCCGGAGCATAGATCCAGCTTGAAATGTTGTCACCATCTCCCACCCTCACTTGGTCTGCCTTTGAAGCGTCCCTTCCCGACATAATATCCGGATATTATCAACGAAACCTCCCACGAGCTTTTCATACTTACTAGGTTGATTAGCTCGGAGGTTCGCGATCTCGATCCGGATCTGCTCCGTGCTAATCTCCACCTCCAACTCGTGCTCCTTCACCGCGGTGTCGGGGTAACTGACTTGCGTTAGGTCAATCTGGTACGCCAGGTGCCTATAGCTCATTCTGTCCTTCTTTCTATCGCGGCCGCCTTCAGTCATGTCGGTCAGCCAATTTGGATCTCCTTCCCATGGACTTTCAACCGAGATCGAGACGCGGTAGTCGAAATCAGAGCGAGGGTTGTACACTTCCAGGTCCGCAATCCGCGTCTTGATGATCTGTGCCTTGACCGTGTTCGTCTTCTCGTCGATCGTCCGCCGCACTCGAGGTGTGTGTCGAGGATTGAGCCATGTCATTATGGATGGTGGCAGGTTTTTCCGACCCACTTCGGTCAGTTCGTAGAATTCGTCGTACTCGTGTGGATGACTATAATCAATCCTGGGTGGTTCTCCGGAAGCCTGAGATGTCCGGTACGACTCCCAGACGAGGTCGTTAAGAAACTTGTTCATGGCCTTGTGCTGAGCCTGGGTTCACAGTTAGTTACAGACATTCCAGGAAAACGAGAATATAATATACGTACCATGTCCATGGAACTCTTGAAACTTGTCCTGCCCCTAAATTTGTCTCTGCTGAACACCGTCTCCGTCTCCACAGGTAGATTGAGCCGCAGGCTTGCCTGTTCGTCAAATATCATACCGACTTTGGCTTCGATCTCAAACATGGCTCCGCCAGCGGGGGGCTCCGCGTTGCCGATGACCATATGGATCCAATTGCAGATATACCTGGTAAGGTCATCGTATGGTGCTTCACCAGTGATAGATGGCTCCCATCGAGGCTCGCCCGGCGGTGTCGTTGTGTGACTGTGCACCTGCCCATTGACAGCCTGGGGAGCCATGGATTCTTTCTTGACAGGGACATCGTTTCTAGGCGACGTAGGGGTCCTGGGTGAGCCGGCCTGCCGTGCTGGAGTCCAGTCAGCCGGCTGGCCAAACTTCAGAGGCAGATTACGACGAGCACTCCGCGCCCATATGGGGATCTCGTCCCGCCGTGGTCTCTTTTTCGGGGGTAACGGCGTCGCTGCAACATCAGACAAATGACTTGCAGTCCGCTTCAACGAAGGTTGGGGCTGAGCGGTTGCTGGAGGGCTCTTTTGTGCGGGTAAAGACGAGTTTGTCAGCTGAGGTGTCGAGTTAGATTGGTTAGGTGCACCTGGTCCAGGACTCGGGCGGGCATCTGGGTACGGGACACCAGGTTTGGGCTCAGTCGACGTGGAAAGGTTCTTGGGCGTCGTCTCGTGACTGTGATTCTCGACATTCCGATCTGGTGTGGTGTGAAATTGAGCATTTGGGATGGAGTTGGAGAGGGATGCCCGCTTAGGCTGCGCGTTGGGATGCGAGTCAGACATGGGCTCCTGGTACCGCCCAACACTCTGCTGACGACCCGGAGGAGGCCTGGGAATCGTCTTGGGACTGACGCTCTCGATGCTCCGTTCGCGTTCACGCAAGTCCCCAGAATAAGTCCTTTGTACGCTCCCACTGGCGCTCCTAGAATGTTCCGCTTGCGGATAGGGCGGCTGATTATATTCTCTGCTCTGCGCCGAGCCGACAGAGCCGACAGACGATCTTCTCACGCTCTCGTGGCCATGGGACGTCGGACGATGAGGGTGAGGTGATGGGCGAGGGTAGGTAACAGGCGGGCCGAGGGGGGTGACTGGAGGAGGGTGAAACTGAGCCTGAGGTGAAACGTGCCTCTGCTGTGTATGCGCAAGGCCGTTTGCAGAGATGTAGTCGTCTCTGGAAGTGGGAGACTGGGCGCTCAGGGAAGGGTGTGCGCTGGAGTGATGATAGGTGGTGGCAGAGGAAGGCGTAGCGGCCTGATAGTGGTGGACGGATCCTGGAGTGGGAGGGTAGGGCCCAGACGGGGACGGCGAGGGAACAAAGGGAGACTGATACGGGTGCGAAGGTGGGATCCCTTCACGCGGAGTGTGTATCTGTCCATGCGGCCCTGGACTCTGCGCATAGAAGGACTGCCCGGTTGCGCTTGGCGTCGACCCTGAGGTGGAGGCTGAATTTTGTTGTTGTGGTGACTGGACAGCAAAATAGGAGCCGTTGGCAGAGGTGCGGTATTCATTTGATGGCGGCGGCGGCTGCTGATGATACGACGAAGAGGAGGATGGCAATGGAGGGCGCTCGAGGGGAGGATGGGACTCGTACGAGGGGGTGAGTTCGTAGGAGGATTGCGGTGTGTGAAGTCGCGGCGGAGGGTGAGGGTGTGGTTGAGGTTGATGGTGGTGTTGGTGTCGCTGGGTCGAAGAATCGTTGAGCATCGACTTCAGGTCCATGATTGCCCACAATATTGCTTCTGGCGTGAAGCTGTGTAACAGCGCGTGGATTTGGCCATCAATTAATTAGTTGTCCATGGGTGGACTGGGTGGACTCGTCGTTTGTCGCTGGCGCAGGATGTGTGCAATGCCAGCGGGTACGGAGGAGGGAGGTCAGGATTTCTGTCGACACTGCGAATCTGCGGCGCGCGACTGGCGACTGGCCGCATGCCAATGCCACCTTCCAACAACGACCGACTTTCCCTGATATGTAGAACCTCCGCATACTCCCACATCCTCCCAGCACTGACAACCACCATTCACAATTATTGTGTCACACTTCTGATTCAGGATGGACCCTTGGGGTTTCACAGGGTTGATTTTCCTATCTATGCAATGCTTTGTCTCTAATCCTACAGGTCTCCAGGCATACAAAAAAAGGGGTATCAAGGTCGAAAAAAGCACCGCTATCCACCGCCCACCATCCAGCCATGCTCGGTTGGATTCCTTATAATTTCTAAAAGGGGTCTCTTCGCTTGCTAATGTTTGACATTTCCACAATATGACCATCTGCTCCAGACCCGTCAAGTGTGTTGGAATTGGTGCGTGTCATGGCCAGACCTTCTAAGAGATCCTGATCGACGCCCACCTGAGGGGACAAATAGGGCGTCGTTCGCGGAGTCGTGATGGAGAAATTTGGCCTCACCGAGATGTTTCCCAGGCTGACATTGCGGCGGACTTTCAAAGGCCGCGGCAGCGTCAATGCATTGTCACTGTCCACGGGGGAGTCGATGCTAAGGCTGCGCCTTCTCAAGAACGAGGGCCGAGCTGAGCGACCACGACCTGGCCGATTCTTGCTGCTGGATCTTTTGTGTTCGCGAGCAGCCCTAGCCTCGGGCCCAAAGTTCACCCTGTCCCGCAGAGTATGGATGGCCTGGATAAGAGCCAGCTCGATCGCAACACAGTTCTTAATGCGGCACATGCGAGGCCATGTCGCCCGTTCTCCGGCCACTGTGGCTTCTATCATGAACTCCGGCGTGGGATTCATCATCATATTGAGGTACTCGCTTGGTTTGATCTCTGGCAAAACGTTGATGTCGCCAGTATATTGTTGGTTGAAGAGGGAAGCCCATCTGTAAAATCCCTGAGGGAACCCCAGATCCGAGAGTTGTTGTGCGCGATGTATAATTTCCTCCCTGAGCAGGTCTTTGGCCGCTTGAAGGGGGTTCCGCCCAGGGATGGGCGCTCTGGGTTGTTTCCCGTGAAAGACCTCCTCCTGATCCAGAAAGACCCGAACATGTGGGTTGACCTGTGAGACGATGAAGAAATTGACGTTGAACATTTCAGAAAGCTTCCTCATGGGAATGTCGTGGTCAAGGGACCCATCCACAAAGGTCTGCTGGGCATTTTGCATCCAGAGCTTTTCCTCCTTGGTGATGGGGTCTTTCTCGTAGATGTTGGCAGGCGGGAAGACATTGGGCACAGCACAAGACGCACAGACAGCCGACCAGATGAAAACATCGGGAGCAGTCACGAAGTTCAAGAGTCGTGGCTCGGCGTTGCCTGCACTGGACACGCAGATGTTGAGGATCCGCCCGGTCTTGTAGCGTGCTTCTCGGAAGGTGATGTCGCCCAGCCATGACTTCATGACTCGCTTTAGGTTGTCCATTTCAAAGAAGGCTCCAGTCCGCAGAAAAGTGCGGATCCGCTGTGCAAGCCAGCCCACCCTGCCAGTTCCTGGAGGATCAAAGACGGCCAGGTCAGAAAATGGAAAATGGTCGAGAACTTCGGCCATACGCTCATCATTGGCACTGCCCACGATGCCAGCCACAATACTTCCTGCTGAGGCGCCCGAAATAATCTCAGGTAACAACTCCGCTTCCCAGAGGGTCTTTACAACGCCAATATGCTTCATTCCCAGAAGTGCTCCGCCCGATAGAGTCAGTGCCGAACGCCCAAAGAATTTTAACGCGTCTTCTAATGATTGCTGGTGATGTCGAATTTCTGCAGTAGAGATGTTGCTATGGATGCTGGTCTCAGTAAAGGTCTCGATAGTTTCTAAGACGGTGTTGATGTAGTCGTCTATCAAGAACTTGGTGCCGAACCAAGAATGTTTGTAGAGTCGCAACATGTTCATGCCACCCAGGTCACGACTGAGCCCGGTTCGGAGGAGGTGTTGCATGGCATTCAGGTCCTGGTCGGCCACCGCATTCTGGAGTCGGATGACCTGGCTCTCGATCACGTCAGGATTGTAGCCGGGCTCAATGGACTCCCTTTCTTTCTTCCATGCCTCGTGGCCTTGCAGATTGTCCAGGTCGATTGTGCAGTTCTCATACTCGGCCAAACTTTCGGCTTCGTGCATCCGTCTTAACAGGGCTTGTTCATGTGTCTCGGGAGGTTTTCGGCTGTATCTGGCTATCTCTTCGGCCAGTTTCTGCAGTCTCCTGCTCGGAGAGAGCAACTTGACCGCGTCGGCGTATAATCCGACACATGACCAGAAGAGGGGAGTGTGCATAGGGACGACGGAGAGGAGGATGGCCATGTCGATATTGAGGTCGTGGCCATTTGACCACCAAGGGGCGCAGTAGCTAGGTGAGAAGTCGAGGGAGGAAATACAAATGCAATCTGCAGTCTAGGTGAGTGAATTGTGTTCAGAGCAAACAACAGTGATGACAGGCAAGCGGAATGGTCGGTCCTGCTATTGAAGCAGATTGAATCAGACTGAATCCGAGGGGCTGTGTCATCAAGGATGGAGGCGTTGGTGGCCACTTCCCATATGGGGGGGCTGGAGCGTGTGACCTGGTTCCGTTGTAGATCGCCAAAACAAGGCATTTACGATTGAGAGGAAAGAGTAAGAGAGGCCAACGAGAGATCCAGCAAACCAACCCACTTGAGCCAGACGTGGCAGATGTGGCAGATGATACGATTGATTGCAATTCAGGCCGGCAGAAGACCGAAATGTCGGTAGCCGAGTGTTCTGAGGTCAAGAACACCCACAAAAAACCACAAAAAACCGCGAGAAAGCGAATGACAAAGAACGGATTCGTGGCACCGGGACTCCGACAGGTACCTAGCGAGCTAGTATTCGCGGGACATGGTACCGAGTACCTCGTACAGTATCCACGGTCCACGTCGACGATACGTTGCGAACCTTGGAAGTAAATGGACAAGAGCGAGAGAGGGACAAGAGAGATGGTGGTGGGGCGAAAAATGACATCGACAATCGCAAGACTCGGAGGCGGAGGGACGCCAACTGGAACCTTGGAAACTCGCGGATGCTCCAGGTACAAGGCACGAGTATCGTACGTTTGCCCCAATCCTCCGTCACACACTCAGTACTGTCTACCTACTCGCTAGGTACCTACGACAGATCTCATGACTCGTTCAACCGCGTCTCTCCCACCTTTCTCTCTGCTCTCTCTCCCCAATTCTCCCACAACCGCCACTCCAACTTCCTGGGGAATGATCAAACGACCTGGAGAAAACTTGGTCACGCTCACGCTCTCATCCTTCAGCTGCGGACGGCCTCGCTAGGCGACTGGCAATGGGCATCCCCTGCCATGGCTGAGGGCTGGCATGTTTCTTTTTTCAAATTGAGCGCGTGATGTACCCCTTGTCTATCTCGTCGAATGAGAGACTAACAAAGGACGCCCCCCAGACGCCAGACGCTGCATTATTGATCCGGTTGCAAGGCACCAAGAATGATCTCGATCACATGCCAATTCCCGCATTTTGCTCTTTGTTGCTTTTCGAGTTCCTGACAAGCGCAGCTGTCCCTGAGCCCTGAGCTGGCACCTGGCAGGCTGGCACCCATCTGGCATGCGTCCCCTGCTGTTCTCGGCTCTCGAATCTAGCCTTCACCGCCACCATTTCCCCTTCCGTCGAGCGTCCAAACCCAACCAGCGGTCTGATATCCGTATTCCGCTCTACTCCAACGAACCAGATCCTCCGCGTGAGGCTTGCTTCTGCCGCACGATCGGGTCCGACCCGCACGTCTGCCCTGAGAGAAGATGCGAACGAGCATGTGCTCCAAAGTAAAATTTCGCAAGGTTGCACATGCGTCTCGCAACATTTTGCCGGCTTTTCGCCAACTGCCGCACTTGTGGTCAGCTCGGACCACCCTTGTTACCCATTGAAAACGGGAAAAGGGAGGTTCAAGCATCCAGACCTCGTAAAAGCCATTCCTCATTGGAGGCCCAGACTTTTCTCGACTGCAGACGTCACCGTGAGAGTTCCGAGATCGATTGGACACACTGTCCGTTTTCATCGAGATACTGCTCCTCATCAACCACCAAGGACTTCTCCTGCTGCAGGTCGGGCAGCTGCGTCTTCTGAAGCTCTTGGCAGCTTCTTCAAGCTGCTACAGCCAGCTTCGACGGTTTCTCCAACCTCGACTGTGTCTGGAGGAAGATTGTGTGAACCCAAGGTTTCCAGGAATTCGGCGAGACCTTGCCGAAGTCGAGCCGCCCCGTCTGCTTCATGCCAGAAGTGGCCAGTGTCTGCACTGACCGCAACAAAGCGAGAACCAGGCTGCGATTGTAGATCTTGGGTCCATCGTTGCAACTTGCTGGCGGACGTGAAGCCGTCGCGTGTTCCGTAACAACAACAACATGGATGCGTCGTAAGTTCGTGGAACTCTGCTCCTGGAGAAGGGTTGGTGTCGCGGTCTTTCCGAGTAAATCTGAGCTTTGAGAACATTGTAGTGAACCCAGCCGCCATTGACAAGATTGGAGATATGATGACATAGGCGACCTCTGGCAGTACCGGTGCAGACTCCTCCATTGCTGGAGCTTTTGTTGTTGCTGGTGCAGTCGGACTGCTGGGCTGGGAGGAACCAATCTTGCGACGAATCCTGTCCACGCTTCGTCTGATTCTCTCCCCATCCATGCTTCTTCTCGAGTTTTCCCGACTGACTCGTCGACTGGCAGCGTCCGACTCGTAGCCGCCCATGACGACTCCGGGACTTGGCTTCCTGGCCGATTCTCCTGCTCCTGCTGCGCTGCGAACCCGCGGTGTTGTCAGTGTTGTTGCCGACCCCGAATGCATCTCCAGGTAGGCTTGTGCATCCCGCGACAGGTCTAGAGCTCGGCGCCTGATCTCGCTCTCTGCCGAGCCCGAGGTTGGCGAGCGAAACAGGTCGATGACAACCCCCAGCGCCGGCAGATGAGACGCGATCATTGCACCGTACGAATAACCTCCGAGAATCAAAACAGGTGGTCTCCTCGCTGCTGCTGGAGGGACGTCGTCCTCGCCAGGCGGTCGTCCATGGAAGATAGCGTCGATGTAGCACACCAGAAACCCGTAGACCGAGACATAGTCGCTCAACTCTGGCTTGCCCGTCCAAGACGTCCTCCCCGCTGAGCCGGAAGCCCCTCTACGTCCAACGTCCACGTCAGTGAATATAATAGAACCGGGGGTGTTTTAACGACCTCTAGCGTGAAACCAGGCAAAGGTTCTTGTACTACCTACCTAAAGTTGAACGTGATCAGAAAATAACCCGCTTGGAGCAAGACGCCGCCCGCAAGCGCCACCACGGGATCATCGTAGCATCCGCCCAGTGGCGCATAGGGGTGCGCGAGGATGGCGAAACCAGCCTGACCAAGGACTCCTCGCGAGGAGTTCCTTTCTGTTCGCGGCCGAGGATAGTAGATCCGACAGTTGAGCTCGACGTCGTCGTGGATGCTGGGGATGGTGAATGAACAGTGTGGTCGTGGAAGTGACATTGTCGGTGTACTTTAGGTACCCATGTAGTGCCAAATCCGCGCGGCTCTAGGCTTTCTGGCTCAGCATTTGTGGGTCGATACAAGAGAGGATCCTCTGTCGGCTTACTCTATATTGGACCGTCCATGTATAGGTAGAAGAAGGTGCTCGAGTGATCGCGTTTTCCAACTAGTATGTGGGAAGGTGGAAGGTGGAAGTTGGAAGGCTCACGCATAGTGCCAAGCCACATCACCTTCACCTTCTATCGTTTCTCACAAGGCGCAATCAAACTGCCCCCAAGTAATTACGGATCACCACAAGCCTGGCAAGCCGACTTCAAGAAATAAATGGCACAGTCTGACACAGAGTTCTCAATAACGACGAGGTGACAACCTGGTTAGGGACAGCTAGGATCTAGTAGTAATAAGTACAGGGATCCCGCTGTGCTCAAGGAGCATACAGAATACCCTTCTAAGTTGAGATAACCTGATAACCAACAGTTAATCACATCTCCTTTGCCGCTGTCTATCCTCTTCTCGTAAAACCTGTTCCACTTAATTTTGAACTCGGCTCGCTGGCTACGGCAACACCAATCCACGTTCTGGGGAAATGAAACACACCTACGCATTACCAGGGTCGGGAGAACTGTAGATTCAGGATCTTTCCAAGTACTCTAAGACGCCGATCTAACACCCTCTCCACCAAATATTCTTCTTATAACTCATCCCTCTTTCTTACCTTCTTATCGTGCGTCGCATCCCATTCATCCAACCATCCCGTCACTTGCCTGAGCTCCCACTCATGTGCAGCTTTGATAAAGTCCGGCTCTGCACTGATGTTGAGTATCCCCGAGCTGTCCCAGTGGTGGCCGCCTCCGGTGATGAGCATCTGATTCGCCCCGTATCGCGTACTGGCATTGCGGCCGTGGTAGCATACGTCGCGCCACACATCGCTTCCCCCGTCGATCAATGCCAGTCTCGGCGCCGAGAGATTAAAGTCACCGTAGTGGTTGTACCACGTCAGGTTTGGCCCGTCCGGAGATGGCACAGCTTGAGGCGACAAGGGGCCCGGCGGAAATGCCCATGTGCACCACTGCTGGGTGTAGTCGAGGCCAATGACCCGGGACAGGAGAGAAGGTTTACCATGCGGTTGCGGAAGTTGGTATGCGCCTTGCTCTGTACAGGTACTGTACAGGTAGGAGCGAGAGGCTGAATTGGTAGGATCGGCGTAGAAAGTCGCTGCTCGATCCGTCAGTAGTTGTTACATTTCATGAAAGACCTCGGTCTGCGAGCGCACCATTTTGCGTGGAGAAGCATTCGGTTGTATCAATCAAATCTGGGCTGTCACATGTCGAGACAACCACTTCTTTGACGTAGTTTGCATACGCTCCCAGCCCAGTCCAGGCCGAGCCGTTGGTGTAATTCGCCAACTGCATGTCAACTGCGGTGATGCTTGCTGGGGCGTCTATGTTGGTGATGTTGTTGCAAAACGAGAAGAAATCGGGGGCGTCGTACGCCGGATACCAGTTGAGTTCTTGCCAGGTGTTGGTAGGGTAATTCATCGGTCCGCCTAGGGGAAAGGCAATCTGAGAGTTCAGGTACTGTTACCAGTCAACGCAAAGATTTCACTTACTGTCATTGCAAAATCCCTGAGATCACTCAAAGGTCCGAGTCCAAAGATATCCTTCAACTGCTGGATGGCTTTCGTGTTGTTCTGCTGGATCAAATAGTCCATCTTATCAATGATGTTATTGATTCGGGAGACACAATCCTGAGGCCCATTCTCTTGTATGGGATCATACCACTCAGGATAACCAAGAACGGCGTGTATGACGCCACTTGAAGCAATACCTCCCCATAGCAAACCTTGATACTGAACGAGAGAAAAGGCCGTCTGTGCACCGGCGAGACTACCCCCATACAAGATCCAGGGGTGCCCTGGGGCCGTGAGGTTGTTTCCGCCTGTGACGTTTGGGAAGACAGCATGTTGAGCAAAGTACGCATTGTCGGCGATAGTCTGCTCGGTGGTGAGGAATCGCAGATTGTCGGTCGTAGAGTTCGAAAACGGATAGCTTTCACCATAGTACCTGTTCTCAAGAATGACTCCTAATCCGCCCGTCGCATTCATTAGGATCTGGATAATCCCGGTCTGAAGATTCGAAAAGCGCGACGGTCCGCTAGTCTCGCCACTAATGTAGAGAAAGACGGGACCTCCTGGCTTGTAGTAGGTGTCGTCGAAATAGTACCTTTGCTTGAAAGTGAGATTTGTGCTTGGCGCATATCGAGAGCTTGTTGGGAAATGGTCGATGAGCTGGTTAAAAGTGTATGCCGTATAGGTTGTTGGTCTCCCATCCTCGCCCAGAGGGCCAACTTGCGCCGCACCAATGCCGATGCTGACCGTGAAGGCAAAGAGAATGCTTTTGAAGGACTTCATCATGAATTCATGAACTCCCACGCAGACAGTAGCAGGTCGAGCAGACAAAGAGGGGGGAGCTTGGGGGAGACGAGCTTGAGCATCGTCGTCCGATCACGCATCTCAAGTACGTTACCTTTGAACTTGCCACAGCCGATGTCGTGCTACGGACGGTGGATAGCTACGTCAAGACCACTCATGCTGCTTGCGGGAGCTCTGCGGTAGCGTGCAGGCTCGCCAGGAACTCGCAGGAGTTTGGACGAAGAATAACCACCAGTATCAGTGATCTCAGGTGGTCTGATTGGCTTGACCAGGATCTCGACAGGGTTGTTGGATATGGATAGTAGATCTATTCCCCTCCAGGCAGCTTAGAGCTTCTTCCAGGTTGCATTGTAGAGGGGCAAGTTGTTCCCAGAGACGGTAACTCATCGCACGATAAGGCACCAGCGATTCCTTCGGAAGGTCCGGCACAAACCGCGGGCGGGTCTCAAAAATGGCGCTGCCGGACCATTCCACGATTTGTACAATGTGCAGCCAGTATGAAGGAGATGAATTGATGGCAAGTGAAGATATGTACCGAGTACACACAGAAGAGAAGCGCAGGCACAGATCACACTTGCGGGGGCCAAGCCGCTACCGCTGACCTCGTAGTACTAAGTACGAGGTGCAGCATGAGCCGATGTCAGAGATAAATGGCACAGTCTGATAGAGTTGACGACGAGTAGGCCGCGATATAAGAAGTAGCTAATATTTGGTGATAACTTTAGGGATCCAGCCATACTTGAGAGCAGATAGCATCCTCGTTATAAGTGATGCTCACCTGAAACTAATGGCTAATCACTTTTATTTTACTACTCTATCGTGTAGTCTTCTCGTCAGACCTATGCCATTTATTTCTAACGTCGGCTCGAGCTATCCTAGACAGAACCACAGAACATCTTGTCTTCCGTCTGATTGGAAGCTTCTTTCTTGGTATATTTCGGCATAATAATACCTAATAAAACTTGATATAGTCAAAATCCGTTAAAGCAGGCTCTATATCAGCCACCAAAATACGGATCTAGAACCGCGGAGACATTTTTGCCAAAAGGTAGAAAAGTGACATATGTATATCTCCATCATCACACATTAGTCCATTTTGGACGGGAAGAGTGAACCAACACAAAATGAAACGGGCAATGAGTCCACCGCCTGAAGCACAGCGCCCAACCAAGTTGAACCAACCAATACTGCTGCAAACCCGCAATGGCAGACTCCTCTTTTGTAAAAGCCCCAATCACACCAAGATGTCCAAAACCGACCCACAAATGAAATGTATTTCCAAGAAGAATAGAACCAAATATATCTTCTCTCCTTCCTCTGCAATCACGCAAACTCATGCCGTCTCTGATATTGATCAACTGCTGGGGAGACAGACGTTGTTGATGTCATTGGTGCAGGAACCGGCCCCGCCGTTCGCCCTCTCGAGCAAGTCGTAGTTGGTATCTCCTACTGTGGTCGACGGGAGCTCGTCGTAAAGATAGCACGTCTGCGTTGTGATATCGATGACGGCACTCATGCAGAGATTGTTATTGTCGCACTCGTCCGAACAGTACTCGACGTGGTTTTCAATGACGCCGTCTAGCGAGTAAGACCCCAGTTCTACGGCGCCTATCGAGTAGATGCCCGCGACACCACAAAACGTGTAGTAAGAGCAGCCGCAGAAACTGTTGGCCTTGTAGAATTCGCCGGTGCAGTCGTCTGTTGGGGTGGGGCTGGCTGAAGTGGTGGTGGAGGTGCTGGTAGAAGTCGTCGTCGTCCACCATGAAGTTGACCACGAGCTTGACCATGAGTTTGACCACGAGGAGCTTGGCCACGATGAGGTCGGCCAAGAGGTTGACCAAGAGGTAGACCAGGAGGTAGACGTTGGGATGCCATAAGGGTCATTCGACCAAGAAGTGCTGGTGGGAACATTTCCACCTTCTGCGATACCGGCAGCTGCGATGTCAAATGACAGCGCCACAAGGAGAAAGGTCAAGACTGAAGCTGACGCCATTTTGAAGTGTGTTGTAGGACGGTGAAAGAAAGACAAAGTGAAGCAAATGACTCTGGCGCTGGTAATTCTGATCGAGTGCCGTCGAGCATTTTATAGCTCTTGCCGTACGGCGAGAGAAGCCCCAAGGCTAAGTTCCTGCTGGAGGATTCATTGTGTAAACAGCGGTAGAAATCAACAAGCCCAAGGCGTCCTGCCATGGAAAGTTACACTTGTTCGTCCATAGCAACGATGCTATGGTATCTTCGGCATACCACCAGCTTTGTGTGTCCCGGACGAGGCTCTCGCCCAGTAGTCGCTTTCTTGTTGTTCGTCAAGAGCAAGCCACCAGCATATCATTGTCCTAAACCAAATGCAGAGTTTGATATTAGCAGAGACAATAATCGATTGAGGTCAAAAACACGGCTGGTAGTCGAAAAGGATTTCTTTGGGTTCAATTGTTACCTGTTGTCGAAGCGTTGGGCCGTTTTTGTAGAGCCAAGGCCCAAACCGGTTGCAGGAATGCCCGCAGATCGCAACTTCTTCTTCAGGAGGTCCTGTCGAAGGCTAAATGGGAGAGACATGATTAGTGCAAGCATACGCTGCAGACGAAACTGTTTCAAGCCGTCAAGAGCAGATCCAAGTACCTAGGGTAGTTTGTGAAGCGGGCTGAGGCAGAGAGAAGCTTTGGGCCAAGTTCGACAGAGTTCAACGGCGCCAACCAGGAAATTAATGTTTTGGCGCTGAGAGTATGTTGTTTCGCGAACATGTCTACCCATCCTGCCGTAGGAAACCACAACACAGGTCCCTAGCCAATACAATCATGAAGATCCGGAGACGGGCCGTAGATTAGTCTGCGTCAAGACAATGGGAGACGGGCGGAGCTTGTCAATTGCTTGTAGATCCTAGACTAGCCGAATCAAGTATATTTGTGGAGGGGTGTCCATATTGTCCGTAACAGGAGCTATCTCGCTATGTAGAGGATGGAGCAGTAATTACGGAAAATAAATCCTTGTATTTGGGAGCAATAGTACACCGGACATCGCAAGCTTGTTATGATCGTTACGAACTGGTCTTCCCCAGGGCTTCATCCGCTGTAGGGCCAGCATCTCATCTAAGTACTACCTCATCGTCATCTACCTTGGGCATGTGTCAATGTAGAGCCGTAATTTTACATAGCTCCATGGTCATCCAAAACCCAAATAGTCATGTCACAACAATATCCAGACAGGCCTTGAACACCCTGCTCGAGAACCAGATAGACCCTGTTGCTGTCTCACGGAAGCACACCCCCGCCAGAATGTATCGCAGCACAGAACGTACGCTTCACATTTCATCAATATCGCCATCACATTTTCTGTCGCCATAATCTCATGTGTGGTCAGCATCTTTCTTTCGTCGTGTTCCCCTGACCTCGCGGAGCCGTCTTTGGTGTTCCGAGTCGACCTGGCTTCTCTCTGTATCACTGTCCAGATCCCTCTGCTTTGTGCTCCTGCTACGGCTTCTATCCGCGTGCCTTGTTTCGGATTCAACTGGTCGGATTTCATCTGTCGCCCTATCTTTGCCTTTAGATGAAGAGTGCCGCCGTGATGCAGGTGGTCTGCTGCCGTCCATTTCGGTCATCTCAGGGATATCCCGATGTTTGCGTTGAGAAGAGAGTCTCTTGGACCTTCTGTCACGCTTGCTGGAAGACGCTGCGAGCGCGCCGCCTCCCAGAACGGCTGGGTCATTGTGATATTCCCAACCTTTTGTATAATGCATATGCTTCGCCATTGGGTTAGCGGGACTGCTGCACCAAATGTTCATTACGTTGTGGCCTACCTGATGCGGACCCCAGATATCAGGAGTTGCCGCCCTACCGTCTCCTCTCCCATCGGCGGGTGGGAATCCCGAAGCTGCTGCCCTTCGTTCCTCGCTCTTCCTGTGTTGTCGCCGCTTGAACCAGATGGCAAGCCACGTAAGCAGGGCAAATCCAACTGCGAGAATTCCAAGCATGAGGATCCATCGCCAATGACCATCGATCCTGCAACATTTGTCAACATCTCAGTCGATATTCTCCTAGAACGGACCTACCAGGACTGATGTGAAGGAGGGGCAGGCGCAGATGCGCTTCCTGTCCCGGTGTTTGTAGCTGTCGGAGGAGGTGTAGAAGTACTCGTGATGGTCACAACAGTTGTAGAGCTCGGTTGGAAGGTGGAGGTCGTGGTCTCTAACGGATCGATGCCGCGACCCACCTGTTGACAGAAATTTGTGAACCATGTTTGCAGCAGGTCTCTGTCAGACTCGCTCGTGCATTCGGCAGTGCAGATGGCGTCTGGAGAGCCGTACAGTGCCTGCAGGAAGCTGCTCTGACAGAAGCAATTCTCGTATGTGATTTGATTTGTGGCGGGTTGGGCTGGGGGCACACAAGCGGTCTGTGCCTGGAGTAGGACCGCACAATTGACAGCGCAGCTAGGGAATTGGGCGGATGACGATGTCGGAACAATGCTCTGAGCCGACACGAGTCGCAAGAGGCTGAGAAGGAGAGGTGAGGACTTAAGGAGGGAGGAGGAGCGCATTCTGATCATGGTTGATCTTTGTCGCGCACGCTTTGGACGAGGTCACCGGGTCCTGTTAAAGGGCAATTCGCGAGCGCATTGATGATCGTCGAAGGGAGCGAACATGGGTCGGACTGTTGAAGTAGAGGACCGGTGATGGAGTCTAGGGAAAGCAAACGGCGGACATTGTGAGTCGCCGCATCTACCAGCAATTCAAACGAGCGAGATGCTGCAAAGTCGGAGGCGGGCAACAGCAGAGGGCAGAAACAAGGCGAATGGAAAGGGAGTGGACGTAGGAACTTAAAGGACATGCTAGGATTGTAGGCCGGGATTTGACAAGCACTATTCAATTGGCACATCCGGTTCCAGAAAGGCAAATGAACGAGCCGGTGAAAAAGAAGCAGGGGACGGATTGAGGCAACATGCATAACGCAGGTTCGCGCGAAGGAAAAAGGAGGACGGGATGCACGGTTGGTGGAGGGGGATTGCAATGCAGAAAGTGACGGGTAGAGGCAGTTACATCCACTTGCAATTGGAGGTCGACGGCAAGCTCTCCACCCGGCAGCTAATGGTGGTCAAATCAGTGCTTGGGGGTTCACCGGGGGTCCGTAGAAGGAGGGCAAGCAAGCCGCAAGATAGGTCATCCAGGCTTCCCGGGGGCAGATGAGTTCATTTGCAGGCGGACCTCTCTGCAGCATCACAGGCAAAGTTTAGGCGGGGCTACGCCTAGGGGCAATAGAGAGCCAGCCTTGGCTGCTTTTGGGGAGGAGGGGAGCCGCCAGTGTCCGCCACCTCGGCTGCTCGCTTCGCAACAGACATGGCTGGGAGTGGGGATTCACCTAGGTAAGGTCTAGGTACCTACCTTACCTAGGTAGCACCGTAGCAGCCCAGGTACCTCAGTAACACCGAGTACCCCGTACCTCTTACCTATCGGGCTATCTCAAACTGCATCTTCGGTTCACAAACTCTCGTGCACCGCAACTCAAGATTTGATGCCTCGCTCAACCGTACCGTCCATCCCGTTGTCTGCCCATCATGTCCAAGTCCGTCTCATCCTCCTCGGCTCTCCTCACACGTCTCTTCCAGGATCTCTCCGGCACCTGGCTACTCAACCGTAAGTTACAAAGCGGCAACCCTTCAGAGCCATCAGGACGATGCTCAGGCACAGCGACATTTACAAAGTCCCCTTCTCCGTCACCTGTGCTTGACGCCGATGGAAAGCTCAACATTGCCGATGCAGAACTCTTGTATCATGAGCAGGGTGACTTTGAAATGATGAAGGCTGTCGGCAACAACTTGGCCAGCGTTCCCACCTTCACCTTCTCGAGGAAATACATCTGGCGTTTGTCAAGGACCGAGAATGCCTATACAATCAGCATCTGGTTTACCAAGCCTGGCACCGAGACTATTGACTATCTCTTCCACAAGATAGACCTGCCTTTCGACAACGACCTAGATTCGGAGTCGGAACTGAGGCTCGTCCTCAATGGTACAGGAGGCCATCTATGCGTGGAAGATTTTTACAACAGTTCTTACTCATTCACAATGAAGCGCTCTGACGCGAATTCACCTTTCTCTCTGACCTCTTGGACTACCCTTCATGAGGTTCTCGGTCCCAAGAAAGATCAACACATTGAGACGACTTTCGTCAAACCCTGAACAAGCTCGACTCAAGGTACTTGGAGACATCCCAGCTCGATTGTCCACGTGTCCATTGAGTTGACGCGGTAGAATGGCTTCGATGGTCTGCTTCCTCAAAATACACAATTATCAAAAAGGGCGTGGCAATCAGGAAAAATCAACTTCGGCATGAATTAGCTGGACTAATCAAACTCTGAATTTCCCGAGTATCCACAGCTGCCATTCGAACAAAACGCCTCGAGCGTGACTTCAACAGCCGTTCTCCGGCTTTGGGAAGACCACGGACAACACCTCACCATATCGAATCGCACTTACCTGCCAAGTCCATTATCCGTCGGTGAAATGATATTACCATTGGCCGTAGCGAACTTCGGGCCATATTTCGTCGCCTACAAAATGTTATCAACCCCCCCAATACCAACAACCTCAGCAGTAAGCGGAATCTGGGCACAGGGCACCGGGTAAGGAAACACATAGGTCGATCCTGCCATGGCATCAAGCAACAACCTTCCTTTGAAGACCGAGGATGTTCCTCTCCCCGAGATATTTGCCTCCATCCCACGACACCCCCTCACTCTGGGCCCATCCCCCATTCATGCTCTTCCAAACATGACCGCTGCCCTGGGGGGCAAAGTCGGTATCTATGCTAAGCGGGAAGACCTCAACTCTGCCCTCGCATTTGGTGGTAACAAGACTCGGAAACTCGAATATTTAGTCCCCGACGCCCTCTCCAAGAACTGCGACACTTTAGTCTCCATTGGCGGATACCAGTCGAATCATACCCGCCAGGTTGCTGCTGCTGCTGCCAAGGTGGGGTTGAAGTGTAAGCTTGTGCAAGAGAAATGGGTGAATCATGATGACGTTGGGTATGATAAGGTGGGAAATATCCAGCTGTCGAGGCTTATGAGCGCAGATGTGAGGCTCGATCAGTCTGGGTTCGGCATTGAACACAAGCAGACACTGAAAAGGTTGGAGGAGGAAGTCATTGCTCAGGGCGGGAAACCCTATGTGAGTTTGATCCCACTCTGCGCACTGCAAGTTGATGCCGGATGCCAATGCCTCGACTTGGATCAGAAGTACGCTCAGGCAGTGCTTGAAGTCGACCTCCTGCTGCTCTTCATTGGCCCACATTCCGGTGTTAAACACTGACTCCCGGCTAGTATATCCCTGCCGGCGCCTCAGACCATCCTTTGGGCGGTCTCGGCTTTGCTCGATGGGCCTTCGAGGTGCACGCTCAAGAACAACAACTCGATCAGTTCTTCGACACGATCATCGTCTGTGCCGTCACAGGCTCCACGTTCGCAGGCATGGTGGCCGGCTTCAAACTTCTTGAAAGCCTCCATCCCCAGTCTGACGAGAAGAAGAGAAAGATCATCGGCATCGACGCCAGCGCCAAACCAAAGGAGACATTTGACCAAGTACTACGTATTGCTCGACAAACAGCCCTCAAAATCGGGCTTAGCGAAGCCGACATCAACGAGAGCGACATCATTCTCGATACGCGGTACCATGCGGGCACTTACGGGTTAGCCGACGAAGCAACGCTTGAAGCGATACGGTTTGGAGCCAGGACAGAAGCGTTCATTACCGATCCAGTGTATGAGGGCAAGAGTCTCGCGGGGATGATCGACATGATTAGGAAAGGGGAGATTGCAGAAGGAAGTACAGTGCTATATGCCCACTTGGGCGGACAGATGGCGCTGAGTGCGTATTCAGAGATTCAGTGAGAAAGAGTCGCGTTCTCAATGCAGCGCTACTAGAGAACAGAAGGAGCGGATCCAGGCAAAGGATTATATACATCTGCAACACTGTTTGTTGTGTGTAGAACCTGCATCTACTCCTGCCGGAATACGCGCGACAATGGTCCTCTGAAAGTTGGATCTTTGAACAAGTTGTAGTGCTGCTGAAGACACGAGATCTGTAAGGGGGCCTGGTGAGACCCCCGTATGATTTAAATAGATCTAGTCTCACTGTACAAGAGGACAGAGTTTCACAACCACCTTATCCAAAATGTGGTGGGCGGGGAGGGAGCACGTCGCCTTGTAAACCCGTCCTTCTGCTAACGAATCGCTGATAACTGACCACGTAACCCAGGTATATGGGTTGCGATCCAACTTGTTGACTCTCTCACATTCGCAGTATTCACGCAGCCTCTTCTCTTGCACAAAGCATGTCTGGAGCCCTCCAGACGGGGATGGAGCTTGTAGCTGTTAGGCACCTATCTTCCTTTGCGCCCCTGACTCTATCTATCAGAACCTTGCGTACCAAGCAAACCCCGACCGGGGGGGGGACACTCCATTCCTTCAAGATCTATTTTCTAACACTTCTTGAATCTCGGCGAATCCTTTCCCCCCAACTGCCAAAGAAGAAAAAAAAAATGATTTAATTCTTGACCTTTCCAGGCCTCTCGGACCCGGTCTTCTGAAACCCATGGAGGTACGAGTAAAGCCACTTGAGCATGACGGTATTCCCCGCCATGACGACCGCCGACAAGCCAAACAGACCCGCGCGCTGAGTCTGGTCCAACATGCCGAAAAGCGGGTACGGGTAGAAGCCGTTGTACGAGTAACACAGCTCGATCCAGAACCAGTACAGAAAGGCGATGACGGTGGACAGCAGGATGGCGGGTAAGACGGTGATGGTCCAGGGGGGGCTGAAGAGGAGGAGGTCGACGAGGAGGAGCGCCGAGGGGGTCAAATGGAAGCTGACGTCCGCGGGCAGAGGCAGTTCCAATTCCTTGGGCACGACGAGTTGCGGGTCGATGGCCCGGAGGCCCCAGTAGAGCGTCGAGACCAGCACCTCCATGGGCGCGGAGCACATGCTCAACACGTTCTTGGCGGCGAAGAGTCTCGGCGACAGCGTCAGGTCGGCCAACAGGCCCAGGATGAAGGTGGCGGTCGCGAGCGTCAGGCCGATGATGGTCAGGTACTGGAAATGCCACCCGTACGCGCGGTTGATGTGGTTCGGGTGCGTCGACAGCCAGTTGAAGCTGTAGCTGAAACTCGCGAGCCCGGCGCTGTGAAGTAAGGCCGACACACCCCGTGAGGGAGACTGTAGTTTCTGTAACGGGTGGCGGCGGATGAGTGTGTCCATTCGAGGTGTCTTGGACCGCTGCAAGTCAGGAGCCATGATGGGTTTTTGTTTTCGATGCTTCTTTTTTTCCTCTGGGAGAAGTTCGAAGGGCTGGGGGAAGAGGGTGGTGATATGTACAGAGTGGACTAACGGTTTGGGGGGACGCCGCTCAGTTGTTGCCTAAAAATCAGAGGTTGAAAAACCCAAATTGAAGAGACAGGAAAGGACAGAGATCAAGAGAATGAGCGTCCGGTCGAAATATCCCCGGGCGTATATGCAAGGCGTCCGATGCTCTCAAGAGATAGACTGAGAGAAAGACACAGCGAGAAGATTCTGAAGATTCTGAAGATTCAACAAGGACGAGTGAGATGGAGGCTGACGTAAATCCAACTTGATGCGTTGGCGGCATTTCATTTCCGAGCATCATGGCGCCACATCAGCCTCGCAGCCTCGCAGTCTTGCGACACATACCTAAGGTACCTACGTGAACAAAGCCCAAGCACATTCAGTAGGTCATTAGTTCTCAGAGCGGACTTGACAAGTCTAAAGTCTGGCTCGTGAAAATAAATCGAAATGTCACATCGACTTCGTCACCATGAATATGTAGATATGTACCCATATAATGTAAGGACAGTGGGTATTTGGACCACGCCCGCAACTCCAACGCTCAAGAAAAAAAAGCTCCATAAATATCACGAGGGAAACATAAGACCGATAGGCTTCTTTTCCCTTTTCACAACCCCCTTCATAAACATTCAGGTCCAGACAGGTGGTCATCCAAAGAACTCGCCCGTGACCAGACATTCCCAACTGAAGCCGCTCCTCCAAACTTCTTCCATAATCCGCCGGGCCCGGCTGACTTGACACATTCCAAGCCCTTCGGCTCCTTTGATTCGACTGAGCACTTCTGCGCGATCCAAGGCATCGTCCGCTTCGACTCCAGCGGTGAACATGGGAAAGAGCAAACATGCTTCGGCACTTCCGCCAATTCGAAGTTGCTGCAGGATCTTGACAATTTCATGGACTGCCATCTGTACCTCCGGGTCTCCGCGCGGAAGGTTATGGATGCGTCGCAAGAGGTGGACCAGCCCAGCCCAATGAAAGGCTGAGTTTGTCGCCAGGGATTCCTCGACATCCTTCTCCGACATCTCGGCATAAGCGGAATTACGACGCGTGCCGTGCGTCCCGCAGAGAGATGCTTTCGTGACCTGGGGACTGTGATGCGCGCACTGGATCTGTTCATGGTTGCGAGCTCGCTCAAGATCGTGACGCAATTTCTCCGCCCTGTTGAGTATGTCCATCGAAGGCTTCCAGTCTTCGTTGATCTGTCCTGTGTCGGGGTCAATTCTGCCTGCGGTTTCACATTCTCTCGCCAAAACAGCCACCTGAGCTAGGATTTGCACACATCGCGTAGTAAACCCGAGAAGACAGTCAATCGTATAGTCATCTTCATCGTCGCCATCATCGTCGGTCAAGGACAGCTCTTTAGCTGATGTGCTGTCCTCGTGCGAACTGGACCAATAGTTGCCGGCAAAGAGCGGCTCCTCGTTACGCCTCCCGGATAGTGAGCCCATCACGTCGAGATACGCCAGCCACCGCGTCAAGAAGTACATGACAGGGTCTTTGCGCGAAATGGAATGCGGGCCTGTGCGAGCACGAATAATGCTCCTAGCAATGCTGAGATGATTTTGCCATGGTATCGATACACCAAAACTGGAAGGTGAGATGATTTCTAACGAGGCGAGCATGATGGCCGTCGCCAAGTTTGCGTTCGAAACCTCGGTGTCCGACACGTTATCCAGAGTCTGCCGTAGGGAAGGAAAGACATCCCTGACCCAGAGCGCTATGCGATTCGCGGGTTCGGGGTGATTTAAAAGCCGGGCTCGGTGGCAAGCTGAGTACGCCAGCAGCAGATTCAGCAGATTCGGGTTATCAACAGCCACTATTTCAGGTCAGAGGATGAATCCTATCACGAAGCATTCGAGGATCTTGCAGACTTACTCTTTGGTAGTATCGTTTTGAAGGGGTTTTCTGGACAATCGTGGGGTACGAGGATTTTGGCCGTGTGGTTGAGGAAGTGATGGAAATATAAAAGGTTCATCGGGTTCTCTGACAGCGTGCGAGGCAATGGCTCCAATTTTCGGGGGATCTTGATGGGCACAGGGGAGGCATAGTATCCTCCACTTGCGAACACCGTCTCTCGACTGACCAACCCGAAGCCAAACTCGGGGACACCCAGATCTGTGTCATTCAACCAAGACTCGAAGTCGCTGTGTTCCGATGGTGACATGCCTGAGATGGCCATGGTATCGTTGTTCCGGGGAATATCGAGATCGACATTACCACGGTCTTGGCCGTAAGTTTCCGTTTCTGAGTACGATATCATCCGCTGATGTAAAGAGCCCCGTCGAGGAATCTGTTCATCGGCCGTCCCGTTCTGATCAGATTGCTTCGAATCTCTGCGATCCCCAGGCTCCGGATCTTCAGAGAGCAGCGAGCTCACAGAGATCCGTCTGTCCTCGTTGTCTTGTGTCTGAGAGGTCGACGAAGTTGCTGGAGTCAAGGGATTGCTAAGATAGGAGGGGAAGAAAGTAGGCGTGTTCGGGTTGAATTGGACCCGCGGGCCAACCTCTTCAGTGTCATTCGGACCATAGGATCCTGCTCGTTGATAACTAGGGGCAGTCCTCCCGAAACTGTCTGTTCTCGGACTCAATTTCATCCTCTTGTTCGGGTTGTAGGGCGAATGGACGGATTCTTGATAAACCATTGGATTAGACGTGTGCATAGGCGGAGGCATCTGCATGGAATAACCATTGAAATTGTTCATTCCATTGCCGAGGTTCGGACTGCCAAAGCCAGATTCTTGCGGAGAAGGATAGGGTGGCAGAGATAGCGGGTGTCGTACAGAGGGCGGGATGAGAGCAGGGTCGGCAACAGAGGAAGGATTCACATTGGCGCTGTCACCCCACTGGGGAGTTCTCAGCATCGGCGGAGGAGGAAGGATGGCAGGGTTGAAGTCAGTCGTCGCCGGGACAGAGAGATTGTTGGAGAAATGATTAATCGAAGGCAAGCCAGATTCTGCGGAAGATTGATCGACTGGATAGTCGGGAACCTGGATAGTGACTGGAGGGCCTAACATCTGGTCGTTGATGTTGGGACTCTGGTCGAGGCCGCCGTTGGTGTATCCATTCGAGGGTGGTTGAGGAGTGCCGAACGACAGGATCTGTGCGCCGGGCTTTGCATTTCCTTCCTCTTTCTTTTTGTTCCGACCATCCCAGTTCAATCGAATACTGTAGTCGCAGGTTTCGCCTTGTCGCTGACAGTTGGCGCAGGTCGGCTTCTCCTCACCACTGGAAAACACATTGTCAGCATCAATTCAACCAATTCACGTGCGGAGCGGAAAGAGCAACCTACCATTTGACCTTCCTCGACTTGCAGGGCCTGCGGAAAGAAAGATAAGTTATTGAGCTGGCCACTTTGAGGGTGTATAGACCAACCAGCAACCATTCCTAGAGCGCTTCTTGACCTCTTTCCCATCCTGGTCGGGTTTCTTTGGGCGCGGCATTGCGTCTGCGGAGACTCGTCACCGGTGACGGTCGTGGGACAGCGACATCAGCGTCTGTGCGGAGATGGAATGTGACTCGGCGTGAAATGAAGTGGTCATCTCAGAGTCATTCCCGACGAGGAGTAGATAAGTTTGTGGAAAGGACCGAGAGTCGAGAGGACTAGTTAGACTCGAAGGCCGCCGACGCGGGACAGACTTAAGACTGGCGAGATGCTGGCACGGGCTTCAGGGTTGCGAAAGCGGCATAGGCGGGGAGGATGCGGCAGAGAGTGTGTGCCATAACCATACAACCTCCAACTCAATGGTCCTCTGGACAAGAAAGGGGATGGAATTGACACTGATAGGTTTATTCGTCTTTGGGAGGTTAACCAAAAGAGGAGCAGTGTCGAGCCTTTCGCAGGCGGCCTGGGGGAGCGCTTTGGGCGAGTAGAAGGCGCAGATAGGCTAGACAAGTGCAATGGCGCACCTGTTGGACACGAGGTGGACAAGGTGAGCCGGGCGTGAGCATCCGAACAAGGTCGAGGGCTAGAGCACCGAGAAGAAGCCCTCGAAGACTTATTTCCCAGAGGGGTCCATCATTACCCGAGCTGAACTGAGAACTTCTTCCGGCAGAATGCACGGGCCACAATAATGTCCAACCGGTTTATGCTGATTTTTGAAACTTACCTAGGTAGGCACCGCCGGCCAGTTGGGCAGTGGGGACTGAGCACTGAGGAGTCAGGACGAGGCGCTGGGCACCATCCCGATGCGAGCATGGGCCTGAACAAGACGATGCTATCGCCTTGCTGAACTACTGAAAGTTCTAAACGAGTAGCTGCCCAGGTACTGGCCAGGCGCGCCTGAGGAGTGCCCGTGGTGCCCGTACTTGTAAAGTTTAAGGGCATTTTAGTGAGGGACTTTGGGGGTGGCTCTGCCTCCAATATGCACGTGTTCGGCCCAAGGATTTCGACCTCCACCACCACCACACCACACCACACCAAAGCTGCGCTCCCGTCTCAGATCAGCTACAACTCCAATAATTGCAAACTGGCGGCATGCTCTCGTAAATTCATTCTCGATTGGTGAAGAGCAGCTGGCCGGCTCTTTCTATTGGTTCCATTCGGTATACGGGCATCTTCACCAGTCTCTTTCTGGCGTTCGATCTGATAAACCGAACTGAGACACCTTGGGCTACCATCACTTGTTGGGTCCAAAAACTTTTGTTCAATTCTCCTCCCATCAACAACCAGCTGAATTCCGGCTCAGAATGTCCACCAGGACTGCGAGGCTGGGTCTACAGCTGATTCAGACTCGTACGATCCTGGCCCCGACGAAAAAGCCCTTGCCGACAGCACGACGCGAAATCTCCTCGACAGCTCTGGTTGCGCAAAGCCGTCACAGAGTCTCAGCATCCAAGCTCACACCGCTGGCTGCAAATCCGCCCTCCTCAACCACGACACCTTCGTCCTTCTTCACTCCCTCTCTGTGTCGAACGAGAAATGTATCCTCATCCTCGAATGCCTCAGCCGCAACAACCTCCACACCTCCGCCGTCGTCCTCCTCCCCTCCCACGGCTCTAGATTGGAATACTTTCTTCCGCCTTCGAACTGTACGGCGTCGCTACGCCCTCACTTCCTCGATCATTACATCCTTTGCTTCAACCGCCGGAGCATTGGTCGCATTTTCCGAAATCCCAGCCCTTGCAGATAATATCACGAAAATCATTCCTACTGATCCTGTCATTGGTATTGGGATCGCAACATTTGGAGCCACTTTCTTTGGCTGGCTGATCGGCCCTGCTTTTGGAAACACCCTCTGGAGACTGTTGCACCGGAGTCGTCTGCCAGAGTTCAACAAAAAAGAGCGAGCATTTTTTGAAAGGATCAAGAAGCACAGAGTCAACCCAACCGGTGCGAGCACCAACAACCCAGTACCTGATTTCTATGGCGAGAAAGTGGGAAGTGTGGCTGGCTACCGACGGTGGCTCAAAGACCAGCGCGCTTTCAACAGGAAGCGGGGAGGAAACTATCCTCCCACTATGTGAGCTGAGGTGTTTGCTGCGGAAAGCTTACGGGAAAGGATTCAATGTATGGCAAAGAGCGATTTCTCTCGAGCTACTGGGGCCGAGTGCTCTGATGATGATAATGAGGCTACAATTCACAGCTGTGCATTAGAACAAGGCAATGTGGGGGTCGACCTTGTCAGCTGTGCAGATGATTGTTCGAAAAAGCCAACATTCTTGTGTAATAACACTTCAGTTATCACCCTCGTTGTACAACAACTGACACTCCGACATGACAAGATGCAGCTATATTCCAAATGATACCATTCTACCCAAGCTTGGGCTTCTTTCCTTGCAGCTTCCCGTGACAGAGTGTTTTGTACCAGACCTCTCCTCGGCAGGCTCAAAGCATATCTACCTAGGTACCTAGCGAGCTAGATAGGTATTGTCTGGGCTGCGGTCGAATATCGCCTCACACGTGCCACCATGGAGACCACTAGGGTTTTCCTCTCCCAACCCCAGCACATCTCGGACACAGTTCAATCCACATTTCGCAGCTATGTCATCCTAGTGGCTACAACAGCCGTTTCTAGATGACTGAATAGCCTCGACGAAATGCAGCGTGACGCAGCTTCCTAACCAGACTTTGACGCAGAGCCTCGTCGTTGGATCGTGAGGATACCCCGGGACTGCTGCGCCGAATGTGGTATTGATGTCGTCTCCAAAATGAGAGGTGAGTTGGTATTAGTGTTCTGTTGCTAATCCGGATCACTTGGCCCTTATGCACGCCCTTGTATGCGAGTCACGCTGTGTTTACTGTCGACCACCAATCTCCTCCATGCTCCATGGATCACCAGCGAGGCTTCGGATAGAACAGCCTCTTCGGCCAAGTCTCGGGAACCACCATGAGTCAGCGACAGGGCGTCGTGACATTATTCGATGGAAGAGTCGGAGAGCCACAGGCACATCAAGGGGCATCGACCAACCATGAGGCGATCAATGGACGCCAAAATGATCATCCCCGGACAAATTGCCGCAACGATTAACGCATGGATTCGAATTCATCTCGACTGTGGGAAATTCCAGGTGCTGGCGATGCAGGAGAAAAAAACGACGAAGATGCGTGATTTGATGGCCATGCAAAATGTCATCACCTCCATTTCCTTCGCTGCACATGAACTGGCATTCGGACTAAAACCGGCCCCTGGTAATCAGGAACCTACGAGACCTTCATTCCCTTATATCAAGACCTGCTCTCCTGTCGGCCGTACCTTTACATCTTGGACATTCAGGTCCGGTGTCCCAGGCCATTCTGTCCAACCATCATCTTCCAATTCGCGTCCGACGAATCACTTGAGATTCTTATCTACATCTCACGTCCATCAGTCTTGATTACTTATCGATGCGACGCTAGCCACGGATCCCACCTGGCTTTATTTCATCTTCTGGCTAACGCTCACACAAGAAAGTCTAGGCGGGCAGCTATTAGGCTTGTGCTGCTCTTCGGTCCCTGCATATCAGTTGGAACCATATTGGTTCTTGCCTAAGTCAGGCGCGCAAGCTTCCCAAAAAGTCAGGCGTTCTGCGAGCTGAAGCATTCGCCATACCTGAATAAACGAAGTCAAGAAAGGAAGGAAAGCTGAGAACGACGAGGAGACGCATTGTTACATCACACACGGCCTGAAAGATCAGAAGTGCCCAAGGCGTCCTGTCACAACAAAGCGAAGGGGTTTGGAAGTGTTTCTTAAAAGACGCAACATCCTGTCCCTCCGACACTCAAAGAGTACTCGAGTTGACAGACCAGCATCTCGTTCCAAAACCAAGCAAGGGCGATACCTATTATTCCATTGAAGAATCGACATCGAGAGGGTCGCGCCTCGTATTCGGCCGTATCACTCATCCTCAGCGATCAGCCTCAGATCACTCATCCTTACCGCTACTGTCAGGGGCATCAGCCTTACAGTCATCAACATCAGCAGCCCCGACTCGGCAGGAATATCGCCCCGAATTCGCCCACAGAGCTATCAACTTTTTCTAATCATCCTTGACGAGGGCCCTTCTAAGCTGTTGAGACTGGGGAAGAACTATAGAAACCTGAGGCCCTGTCTTGCACGGACTGTTGTTTCCTTTCGCCTTTGAAGGATTCTGGCCTCAATTTTTCATTTTTTTACCCCTGGATTTTTTGGAGGGTTGAACGATAATCTGGGATCGACGCGGTCGAGCATAGCAGCGGTGGCTTTTCTCATCTTCTGAGGACATCAACAAGAGGACAAAGACAATGTCGCAGATCACAGTGTTGGGCTTCTCGCCTTCGCGGGCAGCTGATCAAGGAGTCATTGGTATTCATTGGGCAATCCTGCTCACCCCAGCAACCGAAGCCCAACTGCAGCAGCAGAAGGAGCAGCAGCAGCAGCAGCCGGCGGCATCCAGACCCAAAGCCATGTCTTTCTTCTCGGGTTCGCGGCTGCTGGCGAAGACGGGCAGCAATGCCGCTCCTCCGCTCGAGACGATTCTCTTTGACATGCACAATCACCAGCTCCGCCAGCAGGCGTATCCGGTCCCCGTCAAGGTCGGAGCGGATGACGCCGAGCATTCAACAGAAACAGACGTTGCGGCACAAACTCCTCAGGTGACGACGACAGACATCAGTTCGGACATTCACAACCGACCATTCCGTCTGTGTCTCCGGATGCTGCTGAGCACGCATTCTCTGCCCGTCACCAAGCTCGCGTCCAAAGTCTCGACCTTGCTCTACCGGACACCGACCTACGGGCCCGAAGACGACTGGCTCCTTGCTGCGCTCGACATGCTGGTGGGAGCCGGCATCCTCGAGCCGGCCCAGAACTTCGATTCGGATGGTGTCCTGGCGTTCGCGGGAGACGCTGTCAAGGAGTACCTCTCCCAGATCGAGCAAGGGCACCAGCGGGAGCAGGAAGTGCTGGAGCTGGACTACCTCAGCCACGTGAGGAGCATGGAGCAAGTCAAAGCCATGTTTGGGCAGCAACGACAACAAGTGGCGACGCCCCCTTACACGCCTTCGCAGTCGCCGTCACCTCCAGCGCGCTCGCCCGTACCCGAGGCCGAGAGGAGGGGGTCCGGCACGAAATCCCTCTTCCACCATCACCACTCTTCGAAGCCCCCCAAGTCATCGTCGTCGACCAGCCCGACCGACGTGGTGTACAAGGCTCACAAGTTTCTTGGTCTGCGCATCTCGCCATCGCCGTCGTCGTACGCGCCGCGGCACCGATGGGCAGCCGGTGAAGGTATGAAGCGTGCCTATTTCGAGCGGCAGGATGATCCGTACGGCGGGCTGATGTGAAGCGTTTTGTTTTTTTCCTTGTCTGGGTTTAGGGATCACGAGCAAGAATAACAATAACGAAAATGTCAAGCAGATTGACTCAAGGGAAACAAGGGGCGCAACACCGGCGGCGCATCTCATGGATATGACCGCCCCGAGACCCGGGCGCTGGGACTGGGATAGGGATTGGGAACGAGCCAGCACGGCCAGCTGGAGGTGCGTGACATTGCAATGAAAACCAATTATCTTTGATGACCCATTGAACCACACACACAAATATCACTCAGTCCCACCATTCCACTATTACTCGCGCATACTCATATCCATATACAGCACAGCGAAAAACCCATATCGTGTTCTCCCCCCCTTCCGTTCCTGCACATATAGACAAAGATCCCCCGTCACCCTATCTCTACTTGTCTCGAGAACCCCCAAACCCCAAACCCCCGGGATCCTCAACGCGCCCCCTGACTACCTAACTAACCCCGCCGTCGCAATTCCACAGCCAGGTTCCCATCTGAAAAAGACGAGACGCCCACTGATCGTCAGGATCTGAGGACCCGGGGGGGGG